AAACATCATATCAAGTAAAGTCCTATCATGGTAAGAAAGGCATCTAGCATTTCTGGTGCTTTTCTGTTTTGCGGCCGCACAGCCACTAGCAACTGTTTCTTGGAGAGAGGCATTTGAAAGGTAATCGTTGAACATACCTTATTTATATTAGGCATAACATTTTAAAGTGGTATGAATTTATTGAGTACTACTATTATAGAAATGGAAGGACAAGGCTCAGTCCGCAATCCAATTACTGCCCTCTGACTTCACTGGATGAGTGAAATTTTGATCAGTCACCAATATGTCTCTTCGATTGATTTGCAGCACTGGAGATTCACGGATGAGCGGTATTGCTTACGGATTGTAATTTACAATTAATCAATCAAACCTTTGAGGTATCACATCACGCATTGATTGTGCTTCAACATAGTATTCATTTCCAGATGCCCAAAATATTGAAATTTGTTATAATTTCTGTGCTTGATAATGTGATATTACTTTGCTAACAACGCCAGGTAAGCAAATGTGTTGTCGTTGTTTTGCGAATTCAACAATGGTATCTATGAGACAGATTTGGGCGTCCCTTATGATTCATTGCTAAGCAGGTTCTAGCAAATGTCTTTGCGTTGCCAACCTCATTGTTTGTTTCTGCAGAAACTGAGTTATCACCAGCTTAATTGAATATTAATCATCTTATGGTGCAGCTCAACCATTAATCATGAATTGTTTAGGTGTGGGATGTTCTTACATTCACAAAGATTTTGATTGTATTGAACGATTTGTGTGGGGTGTGCTTCACTCAATAGAATCGCCTTTTTAACTTCCAAGCATTTTCTATGATGTAGATGTTTCGCCACGAAATAAAAGATAGAGTGGATACTTTCAGTTTTCGTTCAAGAAGGCTGTCTTGGCATTTAACTTGCCAATAATATTGTGGCTTGTAGCAGCCTTGGATGGATTAAACATGATGTGTCGTATTTGAAAACAGGATAAAAAACATCGATATGGTTTTGTCGTAGTCTTTGAAGAAGTCGCTCTCTGGCTAATCTTGCGTTATATCCTTCACAACCATTGGTTCCATGTTCACCATTGAAGATCCATTTTTCTTTGACTATTTTGTTTTTCACCGATGTACATTTAATATTTCCACATCGATTTTCACAATTGAATTGATCACATTTGTGTCAGGAAGAAGTAATTCTGATTTTCGAGGGCTTGTAAAGTCTTGTGAGAGCAGTGTTACAATGAGGTATCTTGATTTTGAGACCATTAAATGAGCTTCGACATCAACAAAAGAAGATCGAGTTTTGCGATCCTCCTTCAGCACGTTTAGGTTCACCGCTGATCAATTCCGTGTATTGATCCACAACTTCTTCAACAATTGGTGATGATTTCGATAGTTTCAAGTTGTCGTCACTTCCTCCATTACCGAAATTGTTTGTGGAAATTATACATTTCCTGGTTGAATCGTTCCTTGATAAGAGGGTTAATAATCACTTCAGATTTTCTATTATGGATTCTCCCAATGATATCAGTATCACATTGGTTGTCAGGAAGAAAAGTTTTGACAAAATGTGATTAAACTATGGGATTACTAACAAATTTATGAGACGTATGTTCAACAGTGAAGACAGTAATAAATTCAATCTTTGTGTTTAATCATTTAATAGAGCAGTCGCCAATCTCAGATTGAATGATTCACTAATCTCAATATGTCTTTCAATACTGTTTGCTCTTGCTTGACTGCGAGAGTCGACCTTCAACATTCAAACTATTTATTTGGAGTATGCAGTTCAGTTATTTGCGAATCTGCTCTCATTTTTAATGTTCTGATCAATAATAGAATTATACAATCTGAATTGATGAATTTAATTCCATTTTGGCAATCACCCCCTGTTCCGAACTATCTTTCAATCCTTCTCCAAAATAAAAGCAGTCTGGTTTGATGAATCAAAGTCATGAAATGTAATTTTGATGGCTTTCCAAAAAGCGGTTCGCTTGACATTTTGATGTGTAGAAAACATTTGAACACCCAATGGGGCTTTGACTTTAACATTCTTCTTGGTTTGTGTGAGCTCAAACTCCGGGGATTCTTCATTGCTTGGGATTGGAGTATTATTCTCCAAGAAGTTTGAATGACAAAGCAAAAGTGCTAAGATTGACTGGACACATTAAAATCGATCAATAGTTGATCTACTTTTTCATAATCGCTTGATAATACTTTCTTGTTTTGTATTCAATGTGGATAAATCAGATGCGGTAACCTCATTGAAATAATTTTTATTCTCGCACAACTTAATAAACATATGTGACATCCATTTTGTATCAGTTTTGATAACACAAGCTGACTTTCTTGTGAAGCCGAGGAATTTATCAAATATTATGAATGACTGGGGAATAATTCCGAAGCCTCTTATTTGAGCATGAGAAATGGACAAATAATGAAAAGAGACATATGGTCCGTAACCATTAATCTTAGAGGAAAACTCATCTGCAAGATAAATCAGCGGAGCTATACTCCCGAATTGAATCTTTTCTGTAGCGAAAATTAGAGTTATTTTTGGTTGAAAAAAAAAATCCAGTTTCAAATCTTTCAAACGAATTTCTCACTTCACTAAAGTTGGACTCAATTTTCTTTAAACATTCATTGAATGACAATACAGGGACCGCGCTTCTCGTCATTCTATAGCAAAACAAACTGACAGTTCATCACTAAATCATGTTGTGCTTCTTCTGCACATCACGATTTTAGATAGTTGATTTTCGTAAACACAGCAGTAGTCTTATCTTTGTTTTCAACTCCTAGACTCATCAGTACTGTAAGAAACATCAACATTATCAGGACAACTCACAAAAGTAATGAGTGCACTTTGTGAGCTTTGAAGTAGCTCCGCTGCCCATATTTTCAGCATCCAATAATAAGAATCTTCCATCACCTACAATTTACGCCAGCAGTAAAATCTGCTATTAATATGTTGGCATATTCAGGACTAGTTTAAGACTCAACAGTTATTAAATCATGAGTTGTCGCACCTGAATCGGAAATATATCGAGTTTGAGAAAGACCTTCCAGTGACTAAATTATTCCAGTATATGATTTTGTTCCATTTTCAACAGAAACACTCAATGAATCAGCGAATCAACCAAGATACAATAAGATGAGTTGCGAGCAGAAAAAAAAAACATAGTAGTGCGCGCCATCCCCTTTTATTCCGATCAGGCTTGGATGACAGAGTATCAACGCAGCAGTCAGTGACAGTCCACGAGGGACCGAATGTAGACATTCCAGTTGCTCACATCAGCCACTTAATGACCAGTCAGCAGAACTTGGTTGAACAGATTAGCGAGATTGAAGATATTACTAGCCCTGCAGACGTTTTTCTCGTTGAAGGAGCCGCAGTCAAATGTGAGTGCAAAGCATCATCTCCATGAGTGCGGTAACGAGCATGGTAAGTATCGTTCTATCCTAGATGACGCTCTTCCAATGGAGGACTTGGTCCCGTAAGATAAATCGGTCTGTTTGAAATCTTTCAAAGTGGGTCGCAATCTCAAAGTTCTTTGATCCTTTAAGCACTAAAACCAGAACAGGATCTTAGCTTTGTGTGTCATGAACATTTCTGCGCCTGCGTCTTGTTTGCCTGTGAGTATGCAGCCCTTGCCCTGTTTTTCCGAGCTGCTGTGCAGGCTACATTCATGGATTGTCATATAAAATCAAACGCAACAGAACAATAGAATAATAATAATCGCAAAGAAAAATCAATTGCGGTGCCAAACCAACCGCTTTCCGATACCAGGTCAATCATTAGCGAGATGGAAAGACAGATCAGTATACAATTACATATTAACCACTCTAGAAACTATTCCACTAATGAATGTCAAGCACAAGTCATCCAATAAGAGTAGCGTGATCGGCATATCTTTATCAAAAGCACAATATTAAAACTGCACCAATGAGACGCACGCAACTGAACCACAACCATCAAAGTTAAATTATTCAAGAAATCCAGTCTAACAGTTGACATTCAAGACCTACGTTCTTCAGTTTGCAATCAGCTTTGTCACTCATGGTAACAGCTCTTCAAACTGTTGGACGAACATTGTTCAAACCTCTTATGAGCCGATGCCTGATTGAAATATATTTGCATGTCATGTGATTGGTGGGACAGCTCGCCAAGTTGACTGCAACATTGATATCACCGTATATAAATAGATCTTCATTATTTCAGTGAATTTGCTTCAAAACTAACCTAAGGAACATAGAATTTGCGACCGCTTTATTGACCCAAATGAATTCAGTTTTGCAAGTCAGCAAGACTACTAAAAACAGTTTGTTTCAGTCCAAATGACTGGTTTATAATTTTTAACTGCATGTTATTACCAACCAATTTTAGATCAGCAACGGCTGTAGCTTAATTACTGTCAGACCATTCAATTAACATTACTACAGGGCCGGCCGTCTAATTCGCAGTTAATCAAGTTAAGATCTGATATCTTAGCCCCCTTTGGGACAGAGTAGGTGAATTTCTCAGCATCAACCAAAATATTAAGTGAACTGCAATATGTGAGTGCACAACTTATTGAATTCAATCGGCTACAAAAATGAGCAATGCACCAATTGAGCAATAAAGTCATGGCTCCGCGGCAGCTCACTCAGCACCCACTGATTCAAATAGCATGTTTTATAGAAAGATCATCCTTGGTTGGGCTTGGACACCACAATTATCCAATTCGGACTATCCAACATCCAGTCCGACCAAATCTTTCATCAATACCAAAATACGGTCGTCACATTGGAGAGCATCAACACAGGAAAGCGACTGTGAACTTGTCCACGATCTTCCATTTAAATCATCCAACTGTGATAGGATTTCACTAGCTGCACCGTTCGTTGGGAAATGCGGCTAGAGTTAGTTGACCCGGATTATTATTTTACCACGCCGTAGTTCTTGTTCTTCAACAGCCAATCCTGAAAAATATCCGCTGAACATTTTTGAGGCAAAACCATTGTAGAACATCAATCATCTAGTTCTGACAAAACGAAGAATATTGTTTGAGTCGATTAATCGATTGAAATAAGTTCTATCTTTCAGGAGATATTCATCATTATCAGATACAAGAAGTTGTTCATTGTCAATATCAACCACCATATCTCCCTACAAGTATGCAGTGGTGACATCCATTTGATGAACTTTCAAAATGGTTTGTGATCCGGCGGCTTGAGGCGCTTTGGCAGATTGCAATCTAATTGCTAGGCAGCATGAGTCATTAGCATCAATTGTATCAAACCGAGAAAGCTCTTGAGCAACTCGTCACGCATATGGAACCCAATCCGTTGGTCCTGACAACCATCTAGCAGCGCAAGGCGGCCAGCAGGCTTTCTAAGAAAGAGAAGGTCAGCCAACAGGTAGGAACTGCTGTCAATGGTTGCCAAAAGCCATTATTAGCAAGCCACTTTCGAGATTGAACTAGAAGGATTTGCATTCGGAGCACAAGCCGCCGAAACAGGGGGAGCCAAATTAACAACAAGAAACTTTTTTTTGATGACGGTGTCTGATTCGCTTGTGAGTTATTTAAAAACCTCCTCAAAGAAAAAAAGGTGGTCTTCCCAAGCTGGATACTCTTCAGGAAGTTTGGCCCTATCTGAGTCGGCAGCACTGAATCCATTGGCGCCTTCATCGGAATCATATGTCGATAAAGCCGATTCCTTTGAAAACTATCGACTGTCGATGGCTCCATCATTCTATTGACCATTTCTGTTCATATTATTAAATTAATTACTTTGCATGGAGCTATCCTCTCATGGAATATCCGAAGCAACTGCGGTTGCGTTATGCGTGCGATTGACAGCAAAAGCGAACTATTTTTTCATAATAGCAACACCCATACGTTCCACCCAATTAGAAAATCCAATTGACCGATTAGCGGCAGTAACTGATGTATCGTGAATAAGAAATTGGGATTCATGAAAAAGACAAAATAGACGGAGAGCAACACCGCTGTTGCTACATTTGTTTACTCTGTTGGCTATTCTACCGGTCTGGTACCGAATAGCGACAAAGATGACACCAGTATCATCTTGAACTGCTTTCTAGAGTCGACTTGAGATAATCGCATTAGCAGCGCATCGCATCTTCATTAACATCATAGCATTTATTTTATTTTCCTAAAATGATTTCAATGCCCTACACACAGATCCCCAAACATTGCCGGTATCAATTTATTCAAAGACTCGTCACATTTCTCGACATTAATGCAGAAGAGAACAGGAAAGCATGGACTGCATTTTGATGACATTCATACCCAACTGGCATTTGTTGACTGATTCTTTCAGTTTGACAACAATGGTTGGACTGCTTAGATGCAATCTTCTTGTCAGATATGGCAGTGTCAACAGCTTCGTGATATAGTTGTTCGGTCAATTTAATGTAGTAATTCAACTTACCATCGGATATTGATGCTGCATCAATCAGCGAAAAAGCAATATATCTTGAATCATCATCAGCAAGGGTGGCTCGCAAGCAATCATCATCAACAACAACAGGCTCCCCTATCGCAGCATAATAAGTTTGAAGTAAACCAAAATCAGGGGATTCCTCGTTCGCGCACGGCTAACTAATAACCTTGGTCATTTTTTTTTTTGATCCATACACACAAATTCAATCATCGGAGGCAGAAATGCCGTCAACATTGCATAGATCATTTGCATCGGTGCAGTCAGCAGAGCTTTCACATTCATGGCACACGGAAGTAACTAACGCTACACCAGATGGGCCCCCAAAGGATTCATATGACGGAAAAGCTTCTCCCCTAATAGTTGATTCACCACGCCTAATACAAAATTACCTTTCAGTGAGAACCACCCCATTCAATAAGGAGCAGCCGGATTTCAAATTAAAGTTGCACCATCCGGACCATAAGACAGATCTTGTATATATCCTCTATTCCGGTCCATCACGGATGCAATACAATGACAGCAAAAATGGTGTCAACAATTGCAGCAATGTTACTAACCATGGGACAAAGATACAAAATCAAACTGCCCAAGCCCAAATATGTTGGAGCGCACCAGAATCAGCAAAGCAGTGAAGGTCGACATGACCCGGCCAGTTGCTTAGAACGATGAACCAAACAGAGACGTATAATTTTGGGGGCATCTACAACAATTATTCTGCAGATCCACTTGCGGCTCATAGTGATCCAGCATGAAATGGTTGTGCTGACCTAGACTCAGTAGACCAATGAGTTTTCTTGTAACAAAGTTAGCACGTCATTTTTTTTATTTTGGCTTCTGAATGCTCTTTGACTAACGGAGTCTAAGGGAATTCAACAGGAGCTACTAGCAAATTTTTGTTCAGCATGCCGATTGGCCATCACAACATGATCACCAAATGTAGATTTTGCGAATGTCTGAGAAAATGTGTACATCAATCACAGCGGAAGTGCTGCCTGAAGCAGATGGAAAGTGCTAAATTAGAAAACCGACATTGCATTGTGGTTTGGAACAATTTTGAAAAGGATTCCATTGAAGAGTCAATGGTATTCCCTCTGTTTTGGATAAACTACTTTGCAACTTACTAGATATAAGAGACCTGATCCAAATACGAGCGGCCTCAGCGCCAACTCTACCATTCCCATTTCTATGCTAACTTGTTCTTGACGGACATACCACCCGTTAATATAACATCATTCAATACGGCAAGAAATCAGCCGCCGGTAACAAAAAAAAAAAATACCACCAAACCACTGATATCTTTCTGCGCATCATTTTCGATGGAAAAGATTGAATTGAGTTTGATAAACACTTGAACTAGCCGACCAAACTGAGCTGCCTTGAAATTCGAAAGCCAAGCCAAAATAATGATGTTGTCGTCATGTATTTGTTTCTCAGTTTGTTGGCAGCGAAGCTTTGCGAACGGTTCACAACCTGTTTTCGCGACTCCATGATTAGATATTACGGTAAAGAAGTGTCACAAGCCGAAGAATGAAAGAAATATCGCCGTCCTCTTTGCTGAGGAAAAGGGATGGACCAAGGACGGTCACCACAGCAGGCTGGAGACAGTCACCAAAGGACCAGTCAAAAGAATGCAGGATGCTCACAACAGTGCAGAGGTCATGACTTGCAATCAGTTCAACTTTCTCAGCGGAAAGACATATTTTGAGTTTGAAATTTCTTTCGCAGTTTCCAATACCTCCTTGGTTGAAAGATAAAGCATTGGCTAACATAATGATTGCTTCATTAATTTTGGTTCATCTTTGCTGATTCTGAAGAATGTGTTAACCGTCTTTTTTTTTTTAGTTAATTGATGTCTCACCTGATTTAATTAAATAGGATCCAATCGATTTCCTCCGTAACATCAATTGCGATGCCAGCTTAGCAATTTATTATACGATATTTTGCAAGGAATTCTATAATTTCTCAACTTAGAATTGGCAGCAGAAATTCCAACTGATCTGATTCTTTGTTAATCAGCAAATACAACGGTAATTTACTTTTTCATTTCTTGTCATCTCATTTAAAAGTTGATTTCCTTAATGGGTTCCAAATTTGTGGATTTGCATCAACCATACACTCATCAAACTTCTAACCTCTTTAACAGTCATAGCTTTACCTTTTCCCGTTAAATTGTTGTATCTTGCGCTATATCTTGTACTGATTTGGTTGAGGCTATTGTGCTTCAATATAACGTAACTTCATTTCTACAGTTAGTTTTTTTTTACTTCCAGATTGAATTGTATTTCAACATTTGAAGCTCAGCTAATTTCAGGAAAAGCCATGCAATTAACATTTATTTGCTCACAGATGAATATCATTTTTTGGTTAGATGCCTCTCTATCTACGATTGCTATTCCTCTTGTAGATACTTTGCTTTTCAGATATTGCATCACCGTTCTCTTTCAGCTTTTTCTATTACTTCTGATATAGAAAAACAGAGAATTCTATATTTTTCTAACCGGCTTAATGACAATCAAAAAGGATATAATATGAGTCAATTATGAGAAAGTAAATAAAAATGACTTAGCTTCTCAACAGTATTTATGACGGAGTTCTAAACGCTGTGTACAATATTCAGTATCAATTTTTAACAGATTCAACACTCTACCTCTCACAATAATCGACTTTCTGCAAATTTCCACATTGGTCTACCTGACCCTCAAGCAATTATTATATCAATATAATCAATCACAATTGATTTTTTTCTGGCTGTTGCTTAATGACCGTTGATTAAACGATGGTTTAAGATGGCGATGACTAAGCACGTTGACATTCACTTCTTCATGTTGAGAGAAATGTATGCTGCGACAAATGTCATTGGCAGTCGAAAAGAACATTGCAATACGCCTAAGGCACTACTCAAATCCTCTATATTATGCGAAGTAAAAAGACGTTACGACGTAAATAATGGTATAGAGATCTTCGCATAGATCATTCCAACATTTAAATAATTGAAGTAGGCTTTATGTATTACGCTGTTTAAAACGATAATTAATACACCAATTGCTGAATTGCATGAGGAAGAGGTTAAGAACCAAATAGACATCCTTTACGCTCTTTAACCTAAATTCAGTTCCCTTGGTTCTTAGCAGCTCTTCTCTATATTGAGCATAAAAAAGTTGCACAAAAGCGTGGAAAAAATTGATTAGCTTTCTTTCGATTCAAAAATATCGAAGGAAAGGATTTCTTGTTGACTAATGACGTATTCTAATTGATTAATAAGTAAAGCAAAGCGAGATTGTCAACAAATTCTTCAGGCTTAATTAACGTGAAAAATGAATTCTAATAGCAAATCTCCAGTTAGCCAAAGATAATTGCTTCAACAGTGGCCGCTTTGCTTGTTGGAGCACAAACTGTGCAAAACCAAGTTAACTCAATCGTATCGAAAGTTTGAATTAGTTGACCTTCCGTAAGGCTTCAACGTTGCTATTAAAAATAGGTCAACATCGGATTGTGAGAACATCTCCTCAGTTCTTCATTTTTCCTATGTTGAATATGTTGTTGATTGAGGAGCAGGTAGTGATGTTCTACTCAGTGGTGAGTTTCTGACTGATCAAAGACATAAAAGCAGATTAGTGAACCCTCTCATATTTGACGACTTCAATAGAACAGAAACATCTGTGAACGATTGTGGTTTAAACTTATTTCATCTCATACGTTTCCCAAACTCACCAAGGAATGTCATGAGTCATGTTTAATTGGCTGCAATTAGTGTCACTATCCTGCGTGAATGCGACAAAGTATCGATTGACATCTATGTTCATTCATTTGTGAATCTGCCAAAATCAATAGTTTAGTGATGTTATGGGCAAAATAGAGCAAAACAATTTGAATTCGCTGTTGAAATCAAATTGCTTGATATTCAACAGACCAAGAGTGAGTTTTCTATTAACATGTAACCAGCTAACTAAAACCGAATAGTGTGCCGTCCACACGAGAAGTGCATCAATGAAATGACAACCCTGGTCGGCGGTTGTTAACCTGACACAAGTTTCAAATGTTGGAACTGAGCAATTAATCACCGCGCTGCATTTCTTTGCTTATTTGCTTTGGAAAAGTAATGGTGATTATCAATTAATTGCTTGGAACCAGAGAATAGGAATATTGATCGAAAGTTTTTGAGATTGAATCTGCATGCAAAAGAATATCAATAATTGAATTGCGATCAATATTCAAATGAATACTTAGTATTTCAAACCAATCATGTCTTTTTATTGGAAATCCGAGTGAATTCAATACAAAGATGGTTAACAATTTTGTCATCAAAAAAAGTCTACATCCATCAAGCCACAGCAGTTCGATCATCTTTTAATCGTCAATAGGATGACGGTTGAGCAAACAACTCGATACCAATATTAAACAAATAGGCAGTGACACAATTGCTGCAAATTCTTGTTAGAGCTTGGCATTTAGGCAATCTATGTGCATACTCAATTATATTCCGATGAAAAACTAATATGGATCTCCGACCGACATTCTTAACCATTAAGTAATGATTGCTGAAGGCGTTGCTCCAATTGATGCTCTAACACTTGCTTTCAATCAAAATCTGACGCAACACTTGTTTAACGAAGATGTCAATGGAGCATTTATTGGATTTCATTTTTCAAATTGAATTGTATTTATGATCGAAAAGAACTCAAGCTTATCCATGTAAATATTAGAAATTTATTCCCGTTGAAAACGATTCAACTGCAAGATGCTATAATAAGAAATCTTTTACTTCTCGAAGAAACAATCACTCTGTGATTGAACCGCATTTGTTGAAGTGAAACACCAATTGTATCAGCTTGGAAATAAAGACTGCCAATGGATATTGTTGACAAAATGATATTGGCAATTCCTGTAATAAAACATCAAGAGATAATTTACATTTCTGTGCCGTTTTTATTGTTGTTGATAAGTGCATTAAACTGGATGCTAAGCGTATAGCTGAATCAAAATTAAGCGAAGAATTGTTTACTGGCAAACAATCTGAGATGGATTTCAATTCTATCATGAAACGGACATTAACTACGATGAGTACAAAACAAAGCTTCTAATCCTCATTTTAACATGAAAAATTGTATTGTGAGCAGCACTATCTTCACTGACAATGGAAGCATGCATTACTTGATTTGAATTAGATCATCAACAATTGTTGAAGGGTGTGATGATCAGTCAACTTAATCAATGACTGGAAATAATTATCATATTGAAGATGCTTCCCCAAGCTCAATCGATGCTTTCGTTGATGACGAAGGGTTTGTAATAGAATCAAAACCAAAGCATATTCTTCCAGGAACTTTGCACGTATCCCTCCAGGCCCAAGAAATGGATGATCAGCTTTATCTGAGGGAAACGAAACAAATTCCATTAATCAAAATGGTGATGAATCATTAATTTTTTTGTCATCCGTCGTATACCACGTATTTCAAGGATATTAATGTTCATACCAGAACATGAATCAAATAGTTCTGATTGGCTTATGCTAATAGTGGGTTAAAATGATCAGTTGAACAACTCGGCCACCACTATATTGTTGAACTTTGCCAAGTGTGAAATTGACAACTTTAGTTTCCTACAGATGGTTTACTTTCGAGTTACTTCTGTCATTCATTCCAAATTACCAAGTTCTGAGCAACACCTAAATATACAATTTTTAGCTTTCAGCATCAAGAGCACTGTTAATTTTATCAAATATTTAAGTTTTATTAATATCAGAACCTCAACTATTACTCTAAAAGTTATTCTGTTTTAGCAATTGGGCATTATCAATTCTTTGATAGTATTATTCCATTTTGACTTTTGAGCGTTGTCTAATGTGTTGGTGAAGTTATGAAATCATGTCGGACTGTAAACTCCTACCAAATATTGTCCTTAGATTAAGTGTAACTTATTGCAACACAGCGTCTTCTATTTTAAGTATTACCCTCGTCATTTGCTTTTGAAATAAATCCGTTTCACTTTACTTTTTTTTCTGATGTGATAGTCACAAAAAGCTTTTCTTACTTTGGACTGGTTATGTAAAGATTGAATGTATTTTAATATGTATTTATTGTTTCGAACCGAATACAAATGAAGTATTGATTAGATTTCACTAAGCAGTGATTTACTAAAATAATAATTAGTATTGAACGTCAATATTTATTGGCTTTTCAATGATCACTGTCCACGACGTTCAAATCTGCGGCCATCGTTCGATATTCACCAAAGACAGTTTAAAGAAATGAGTAAGTCAATTCAATTAATAAACATTGCTATGTCCCGGACTGGTGCTGAATGGAGGTTGTTTAAGACATGGTCTGCAAAGAAAATCACCAAATATCGAGAATGCTGTAGGGCCTAATTTCATGCCAGTCGTTGCTACTATTGATCTCAATCGTACTCCAAAAACAATTGCCCTATTGTTGAAACAGTAATCAAATCTGCTGTTGAGATGGAAGTAATCGCAAAGTATGATGAAGACATTGGTAATGAAATGTTCCTCAAGATGCGTCAAAGATTCCTGATTCGAAGAAATATTCAAAATGTTAATCGTCTTTGAAATGTGAGGGGACCATCAGCTACTCAATTAAATGACAAACATTTCAGAAAGCTAATTAAAGATGGACACAGCTCATTATCAAGGAGTTAGATCCATTGGACATATACTGCTCTTCTAACGTTGCAAGTAATTCTCTTGCACATTGATTTAGAAGCAATCGTATAAGGAAGAAACAATTTGCTGTCACTGATGGAATGCCTTCTATATCAGTTGATTAGATATTTAGAGTCAATAATGAAGTGAAGTAACATAGATTGTTAGCCAGTTGATCAGAATCAATTATCCTAAACAATGATTTTTGGAAGGAAATAGCAGCTTATCAAGAGTTATGTGTTTCAACAGTGGTGGTGTTGGTGATTACAGCAGGTTTAGCGAGTCGCAAGCGAATTTTGACTCGGTCGATGGGCTCAAATTATTGAGTGTCCAGATTGCTTCAACCCAGTTATCAAAAGTGGAGGAAAATCAAATCTTGTCAAAGTCGTTTCGAATTATCATCAAACGCAACAATTTAATTTACTTAATTGAGGTTTTTTGACTTAGGTAGTAAACAGCGGTGAGTTGGTCACTCTGGAAGAAAATGCACACACTCGACCATTAAAGGTGCCGAAGGTGACGACATTTAGAAAACGAAAAATGCTGTTAATGCCAGCTGCTTTCAATTACTTGATATCATGATTTTATAAGTCGCTAAAACATGGCGGTTGTCAAGGCAAAGATGCCATTATATTTAACACCCTCTGATATAAAAATTGCAATCCATTAATAGACACGAATGGTGTCTGAAATCATGAATGACGGGACAGCAATAAAATATAGCTGGTAACAGCGAAGAAGTAGAAACTGATTTGGTGCTCAAGACTGATTATGAATTACTATAAACTCACAAGCGCGACGCTCATGATTCTATCAGTCAAAATCATTCGTTAGCCAGCAATCAACCAAATCCAAGCAGACTCAAACGCGCGGCAAAAAGCTGTTGATGCTGTCGTTCGGTTTTAAAGAAATCACTACATTCCAAATGTCACAGCTAACCGAAATTAGCTAATGTGGATCCTATCTCCGCCGATTTGGTTGGAGTGCGCCGTGAACAATTTTATTAATGATCGGGCTGCAGGATTATATATATTTTTCACTTTCATCGCACCTGAGATGGCTACAGCCACTTCTACTTTTCATCTGCTATTTTGCAGGGATAAAACAATTGCTTTAATTATCATAGCTTCAAGTATTCTTATTCTGATAACCTTCCCAATTATTAGGTGAAACCATTCGACTCTTACATTTACCCTTCATATATTATTAAATGAAATCACTATTTTCCTAACTGCTTCCTATCTATTTCAACTGGGAGTTATTCTATTAGTTGCGAGATACTTTCCTGGTTCAGCAGAACTATCAGCAATGTCGTTTATAGTTACGAACCTACGCCCCTTTGTGATCAGATACAGCTCTATGTTGCTTTAGTTAAGTCCCTCATATTATAATATTATTTGCCTTGTCTAACTATTCTGCTTTTGGATTCCAGATATACTCCTCCCTCCACTTTGTTTTTGATGTCTGATATAGGAGGCACAAATAACTTTTTATTATTCTACGTCTCCGTTATAATTATCGAAAATCATATAGTATCTGTTCACCTTTATCTGCACGATAAAATTATAAGACAAATCTTAAAAATGATAATCAATTACTTATAATTATATACAATATACAGTCTCAATTCCACAGATTTCCATTCTTTATTTTTGCAATGCTTGAATTTTGCTCAAGTTTCGACATTGGCCGCAATGCCTTTAACGAAATCGCTTTGTCAATTCAATAAACGAAGATTGATTAGTTTGAAACTGGAGCTCGATGGTGGTTGTTTAGTTGTTGGCTTCCCTTGATAATTACAAAATAAACAGAGATCACGAAAAAGGCAATGGCGTTGAGAAAATGATTGGAGTTAAGTCCCCAACTACTGAATCCACGGAAGTTTGAAAATAAACAGCTTTTTTGACATTTACGAAATTAATCAACTGTTGAATTAACTCAAAAAGAGTTGGAACACCTAATTTACTTGATATCAGCTCATCGCATGATTAGAAAGTATTGAATATCTTGCAGTTCTACCTAAGCTTTAAACAAAGACGTTGTATAATGTTCTAAGGTCAATGGATTTGCAGGCAATTCACTCCACACTACAAGCCGAACGGGATCTTTATCAACTGATGAGAGCCTCAAGAAAATTTGTGAACTCCAGGATGAGGATCCGATAACATATTCATGTGACTGCGCTAAGTTGACCAGTAACATAAGCCAAGCAAAGATTATAAGACCTAAAGCCAATCGGTTCAGTTGAGAAATATTTGGTGAATGCTTCACGAATTGCAGAAAACAAAAAGATCTCAACTGATAAACTAATTGAATTGTAGAAGTGTCGGCATGTCCTCAAAATTAATTTGAAAATGGATGCTAATCTGATTCTTAGAGTGCTAATTGGGCTGAGAATCGTCTTCTCGGTTGTTAGATTTTTGATGGTAGTCTGACAACTCATGATCTATAGAGCGCTGTTGGTTGTTGTTGATTGTCTGGTATCGAGGATATCCAATTCTCACCATGAGATGATGTTCGTCTTTTCAAATTGACAATAATTTGCTAGAATTGTTCCTCTGAAAAAGGCACACTGTGGATTGACAATAGTGATGGCATTGATTGTGAATATGTGAAAAACATTCAAATATAGTGGTGTGAAGTGCTAGAAAACGAAAAATACACTGGATCTCAACATCATGTGTGATTCGTTTCAAAATCACCCAAACCACGGTCAATGGTGGTTTCAATCCATTCAGTACCGTAGTGCAGCCGGAAATGAATTCACAGCCAGAAATAGTGAAAGTGGAAAAAAGGAGTGTGCGCATTGTTTTTCTGTTTCAGACAAAAGCACAATTTTCATGATTCCACAACAAATAATATTATTTTTTAGGAGGTACATCTCCGCTCGTTTAGCTTGTTTGATTAATGTTTAGATTTGGAATTTGGTATTGAAGAGCTTTTCAATAACTGATTCATCAATGTAGTTCAATGTGTAACTTACTTCTATCATGTTTCTAATAATATTCAAAGCATATATTGGTTTTCATAACTATTTGAAATGAGCAGAAAAATGACAAATTCCTTGCGGGTTATACATCACAAATATTAAATAATGTTTGAAGAACACCTCATCCTGATTATAAAAAAAGAATTATCGAATATAGTGATAGCAATTGTAGAATGAGAAGGACTTCGACAACAAAAATAACTGTTGAAGGACATCATAAATGATCATAATTCCATTACCTTATTCATTGTTAGATAGGTTACAAGCGAGAGAATACAGTAACTTTGCCTACAGGTTGATTAAGCCCAAATAATCAATGAGTATAATTTTATGGAACGCTTAACAAAGAGTCATTGTAAATTGAAGGATCTGTAACAAAGAATAGACATAGTAAAAGTAATATTCGTAGAAGAATTCAAATCTGCATGGAATTTTGAAATCCAAGAATACATCGAAGTTGTCAAGATGATGCTGTTGGAAGCTTGGCAATTGGAGTGATTGCGTGAAACAATTTTGAGCGATAAACATTTACAGTAGTTATTTTTGGTTTTCTCCCTTCATCACTCAACCCGTAATTATTACAGCAAATTAGTGAAAACAATAAACACTGTTGATGATCAGAGCATGAATTTAAAAAGTGGCTTCATCAAGTAAGTAGAGCACCGCCAGCGACTTTGACGTTTGTATCAATGTGGCTGAAAAATTTTATTATTCGACGATTGACTTTCAATAGCTTGATCAATAATATGAGGATGCTTGCATTGAATTAGCGAACAGCGATGGCAAAGAACTGTCAAAGTCCAAACAGTTGCACCGAAAAATTAAAACGAAGCAACTGGGTTTTGCAGCTCGTCAAATGTCATTTGAATCGATGATTCATCTTTCATTGCTTCAGTTATCGAAACATAGTCGACTTCAGGAGAAGAACACGGACCAAGCGATTGGTATTTTGAAGTGCATGAGCGGAAGTTAGCAATTATCATTGTGAGGTAACCACATTGAGCTTTTTTTATGATAATATCTCATGGCTAATCAGTTCCATGAACAACAGTTGGTTCAATCCATAGCTCTAGAATCCATTCGTTTTTGCACTCCGTTGATCAGGACGTCCGAAATCAATGTGCTTTAGTTGATTATTAGGATCCCTCAGACGAATGACCACAGCTTTGGATTATCTTAAGTATTGTGACACTCAGAAAGCAGCGGATGGATGAAGGATTGAAGGAGTAGGATAATGCCCACTGAAAGTAGATGTAGTAAACAATCAAGCGCTTCCAGCAATGCTGTCATTTATAGATACGTGCCAACAACTGAAGTATATTTGAAAAGGTCAATGGGGTGTTTGGGTGATGTTTCAAAGTCATTGTCTTGGTATTTGACTGAGGCTGCCTTGAATTGTTTCAGAGTTTGTATTTCGAAATGCAATCGAATTTTCTTGAAGAGAGCTTCAAAACATTTTCTGCCGATTGATTGGCTTCTCGAATGCAATTGCATAATACAATCTGGTGATCGCACATTCTTCAATGCGAATCAGTTCATTAAACCTGTCGTTCGCTTGTTAATACAATTCGTTGATTCTCCACCAATTTAACTATCAATAAGAAAAATTGATTTAGCTGTTTTAGAGTAGGCAACAAACCTAGAACTACCAATTTTTGAGATTGATTACTGAAAAAAAAGACATTTAGGCGCTTCCATCTCTTGATCTTTAGATGGATTCTCACATTCATTCCCACCGCGTATGATCCCACCTAAAACTACTCCTTCAACGTGAGCAATCTCGAGTTCAAAGAACTGATAATTCTATCAAATCATCAATGATTATTATTCTCATAATAATAACTAGCAACAGAAAGGGGTATTCATGTTGACATATGAACTCTTTTCTTTGTTAAATAGAATTTCTCCACACTTACATTTAATCCTCATTGAATTTCAGTTGAAGATTCCCTTTCAAATTTATTTAAGATGCCGCAAAAGAGTATGAGTCTATAGTTGGTCTTTCGTGCTATGGAATTGCTTCCGCATTTCAAGATACTACACTTTATGCACTTTAGATAAGTTCACACGTTCAAATTTACTTTCTAGCTGTCATATAAAAGACACCGAACTGGCTTTATTGTTCTACGTTGCAAATATATTTGATGAGAACTACGCAGTATCATTAGATTACCAGAAAGCCGATTCAAATGAGCTATATATGAGTCATACGAATCAATTAGTTAATAAGATTTTTGACAGTCATCCATCTGATACATCAATCGATTGCCAATGGTTACTTCTCTGATTTGTGAAACTCACTCCAATCACTCTGATTGGCCTCAACAACGATAAAGATTATATTATTCTAATACATGATTCATCATTGATAAATGGGGGTCTGGTGAGGAATGGCTGTTGCTTAAACTATGGATGGCAAAACCCATCACTAATTAGGTTGATACTGATGAATGTATCCCAATAGGATTTTTCGCTGCAAGCGATCTCAACTTTTCTTGAAGAAGCTTTGTGTTTATTGCTGACAAACCAGTGAAAGCGGCGTGGGAATTGCAAGTATTAGACATTACGATCAGAACGACCGTGCTCCGATGTTCAGTGAAGTGAATGAAGATTTTTGTGATTTAGAAATGATCGACATTGCTATCATTCGCATCGTCCAATTGATTCCATCAATTATAAAATTAATACTGAATTGATGCAAAACGCACATTGAAATGGATTCAGCTCATTTTGCAAGATTATAAATAGATTCCTACCAATGGGGCTTTTTTTGAGTTGCAAACAAATCCTTGCAAACTATCTTAAGAGCCGAAGCTTAACTGGGAACCGATTCGACGATACGAAACAAATCTCATCTATATCAATTCATCAGTTATTTAGAGACGCTGAAAAGTTGAAGCACCAATGAATGTTAGCAGATTCTTCAAAGTCAAATAAACCCAAAATTGAAATTGAATTTGAAGATATAATGAGATCAGAGTTTTAGTGCTTCGACCGGGGTGACTTTCTTCATTGCCGAAGACCACGCCGAAACCGTAGAAAAGCAACCGTCTAACAAATATAGCTAATTGAGTGGCTGGATGATTTCAGTGTGTTGAATGAACACTGATTGAAAGCACTATCTGAGGCGTTAATTTGATTGACGATCATTCGCATCTTTTACAAGCATTGTATTGAAGTGCGACGACCCATGTTGTGAAGGGTGTTGAAGTGACATCTGATCCCAATCATGGACATCTCCATCAATCTGCCAATGGTGACGATCTTTGGTCATCTGACATACATTTGATGTTATTTGTCTAAAATTATCTGATATCAACCTCATTCCAGTCTGACATAGCAATATCATTTGTCTTGCCAGTTCTACTGGAGATGGTCGCTGAGCTTTTAATGGAAGATTTGCACTATCCATTGATGAAGATCGTGTCATTACCGCTGAGTGTGGCAAAATCGTTAAAACTTCGTTTGCCTTGCCCAAAGGCAAGTTCGAAAGGAACTTGCTTTCAACAACCATTGTGATTTGCTTGAAGCTGACAAGATCCTTGGTCGTTTCTCTATGATCGAGAAGAGCACCATAACTCAAAATGTGGATGGGCTTCGCAAGAACTAAACAACATGAAAGGAATTTGAAAGTTGTTTATTTGTTGAAAACAATACTAACGAATGAAGATGTCACTGCTCAATCTAATTAGTTGTTCGGGCGCACATCTCTGCTGACTATGTTAGGCTAATTAGTTTTATACTTCCAGATTTAATACTAAAAATCATTTTGTTAAGAAGCTCATTGATATAAAAGAGTATAAAATGTATTTGTATCGTGTTTCCAAATGTTTATGTAAATAAAAAAGAAATTTACTAATTATTTAAGGAATTTCGAGAAGTAATAAGTTAATTACGCTTATTCTATCTCTGACATGAAACATCGTGGAGAAGGATGTATCAAGAATGTACGACGTGAAATACTCAAAGAAAAACATGAAGACACAGAATATGAGTGATTCAGCCAATTGAGATGATTCTGTTAAGAGGTTATGAACGCTCGTAAGTGCATAACAATAGCTGAATTCACTTCCCTGTCTTGAATAAGCAATGACTAACGTGTAGTAGCAATATTTCGCAATGCAACTGCTTCAATAGTGTAGCGTTATGTGACAATGGATAATGTTATTTTAATAGTCGTAGTCAATGATTTGATTAAGATCTAGTTCTCTAAATCCCTTTACGCCAAAGATATAACATTTGATCTTAAACAGCTTTTCTAAGATGACTATTTGAGAAGAATATTTGCAAAAGAAACGCTTGACGGACGTTAAATATAAGATTTCCACCCTTCTTTACAAATTTCAAAGGAGAATGTAATTTGATAAAAATCAATACAATTTGTTTATTAATATGCACGATCTTGAAGTGCCGTTCGGCCCACTAAGTTCTTCAGACTGTCAGCAACTTTCGGACTTGCATTGCTATAGTTTAGTATCATTTGCTTTTTGGAAGTATAATCGATAATACGATGTTCCCTCATTTGAATATGCTTGGTTTGGCGTTCAGTATCACCATGAAAATCTGTGTCATAGAACAATCATTGTCACCATACAAACTTTTAAACGCCACTGCGGTGTGCCATTCATGTAATATGATTAGATGGAATGAATCACTTTTCTTCGCTTGTGTTACTGAGACATATTCGGGTTCAATTAATGAAAACCCGACTAGTTATTGTTTTTTAGGAAGTCCATGAGACCAAGCTGCCAAATTAATTGTGAAGAAGCCAGTTCATCTTTTCCTTGTGGTTTTTGTTCTTTTTCAAGAACTGCCAATGACAACTGTTATTTCAAAAAAAATCACCGATCAATGATCTCCGGCTGTTGATTACTCCGGGTTGTCAAGAAGTCTGAAATCAGTAAGAATTATTTGAAAAAGATTACCGAAATGATGAATGGGGCACACCAATATTTTCTCAAACATACTGTGCTTAAAGAAAAACCCAGTTGAATAGCTCTTGATGGACTGACCGAGTATGGATAAAAAGTGATGTTGCAAACGAAATATTATCTTTTGCACCATTTGCATTGACTGATATTATACCAGCAATTGATCAAAGCATCGAAAGATCATTCTCCTGAATGGTTGACCATTGAACATCATTTTCAAATTCCTTGTCTCAAGGAGTGTTAATGTCTTAAGATTTGTCTTCTACGAGTTCTGATCTGATCATTTCACAAAATCTGTCTAAGACGTTTTGAGTCGGGCATTGGTAGGCTCAATAATTGTTCGAAAGACCAATTGTTAGGTGCCACTTTTTTGATGCCGATCATGTTCATGCGCAATGCCTTTGCTATAAATAATTGGTTTTCTGCCCTTTCCGCAATTGTATTATTGTGACGTAAATGGATATTAAGCTGCTGAGTGGCAGATCAAGCATCAATCTAATGAGTAGCGATAGTGGCAATTGCAAATGGTTGAAAGTTGATTTCCTTTAAGTCATCCGCCTTCCAACTCATTCTCACATTCAATCCAATTAACCAAGGTTACAACGAGGTTCATCTCAAGCAAATATAGAAACAAAATAAAATCATTTGACGTATTAATTAATCGGTGTTCTATTATCATTTTCATTACTTAAACAATGGTTTCGAATGACAATGAAGCACTCACATTGGCTTCCTATCGACAATTCCAATAAGATATTTAATTTTTCATTCACGCATTATCAATATGTTGCTCAAGTTCCCATATTTTAACACTTCACCTTCGTTTAGTAGTAGTCATGGTAAGGCAACCTTGGTAATTTATCATCTCGTAAAATCTATAGTCCTTAGCTGAACGTCTTATTTTCAAAGATGGCTTTTGTTATTCAGCTATTTCACTTTTCACTTCGTCTGTAAACTCTTCCTATCAAGATTACTTTGTCTTTATGATACAACCGCCGCAGACAATGGTTAGGCTTCGTGGAGAACTAAAATACCTTTTGATCATCATTGAATATGAATATCCTATTTGAATAACCAACACAAAAATTATATGTTAAATTAACTTTATTCAAGCTGTCACTAAAGTATATCTCAGTATGCAATTTCGAAATCTAACTCAATTCCAATCTTTTTTTTCCCCAATGCATGATATGTGCTTATTGTCGGTATTGGATAACGTGGCTTCGAAGAAATCATGACCTCAAGTCGCTGAGTCACCATTGATTTGCTTCTCACTGGTCCCCCTAAGAATGCATCGAATCTGCGTCAGCAGGAGGACCCCGAAAAGCAATGATGCTGTTGAGTTTGGCTTTAATGGACGCGCCGGTGGTATTTCTGCCAATGAAACTCCAAGAGGATTTGCTGCTATTCGCGAAAAATTAATGAAACTGCTCTGCAATTGAAACTGATTTGACATTAGGATAATCAAGACGTTGAACAAATCATCAATAGGTCAGATGAAAATTTGTCAAGTCAAGGAAATGGCGAAGTTCTTAAGCTTGTTAGAAGCGGCTTAAATCGCTGAATTCATTCAGCCAATTCAACACGATATCGAAAACCACATGCTTTGCTTGCACTCATCGTGCCGGATTTAGGTCAAGCGGCTACTATTCTCCCTTTCGTAAGTTGATAATAGTGATGATCTATGCTTCCCTGAAAGCAATTGTATAGTTGACAACACAATCGACCTTGCCCTCCAAATAGAATCTATACCAATTGCTGAAATCCTCACAGACATTACTGAATATCCAGAAGCACCATTGCTATCATACTCATTGAAATCAGTGTCACTAAGCAAGCACATTGAAAAAGCAGAAACACTGTCTACCAACGTGAAGTTACTCAACCGCTTTGTTTTGCTCATCAGAGCTGACATTGCAAAAAACAAAGAATATATTAGTGAAATGAAATATATGAATTTATTCAGTGCCTTTTCGACGCAATGAACTTACTGACGACGGATCAAAGTCAGCAACAGGATACCGTAATTGAATGACGATCACTCCGATGTTGAATAAATTCTTGGTTGAGCTGCCGCACCTTTCGTTGTGAACAGTGGTAAACCATTAAATTACGCAAAGATGGCAAAATATTCATCGAATGTGTCAATCACTTCGATATTGCCACAACATCGAGATCCGCTATAGTTGGTTCTCCAGTAATGTGACTTCTAAATTATTTCAAGATGTCCAAAAAATATCGTTATTCTAGTGAAATTTGTTGATAGTGTTTAAATGTGGCACTGTAAGATTGAATAATACTTTCACAAGTAAATGACTAATGAAATTAAAAATTGGATTTGGTTGTATTGAGCCTGCATTTCTTAATTGATAATATATAGTATTTGAATCTAACTAGAACGATTTCGAGAGGAAATGATTTCAGTGAGCCATTATAGCCCGAATGGATACTAAAGTTGAAACGAATTATTGACGCATAATGTAAAACGTGAAATATCTGAAAGGAAAAATGTATCCATTTAGTATGAACGAACTAATCTTATGTTTGTCATTTTTTATGAGCTCTTCAAAAATTTTACTCACATACCATTAACCAAAATAAATTGATGACCAATTTTTAAAGTGAAGTCTTCTTCCGTAAACGCAAAGTGGATGGGCTTCAGCGAAAATCTTTGAAGTTTAACGGATATGCTAAAATAAATTTTGAACTGATATCAGCAGGCTCTTAAAATAATTGCAGGCAACGTTGTGATAAATCTATCAAGTGGTTAAATCCAAACATGTCCAACCAAGCAAGAACATGTTGTGGCACACTTGGGCATCAAAGTGAATGTGGACAATTGTTGGAAGACAGATATTTAAACAGTAGTTTGAATTGCTTCTCTCACACTTCCTCACAATTAGTGTCTTTGATTGATTTATGATACTAATAGCGTCAACAAAATGATCAATGTGACAGGAGAATGAAATGAAGGGCTATCAACCACCTTGAATATATTGACAACGTCAATGACAATATTAATCGAATAACTCCGTTTGATCGGCCTGTTGGCAATCGTTTCACCAGTAAATATTCATTATATCTCATATAGTTAAAGTTGCTGTGAGGTATGAATGGAAAAGGGTGTCAAAGACAATAGTTTCCTATCAAACCAAATAAGAGACGACACTAGCGCTCTATGGCTTCTACACGTCTGCCAGAGAAAAATCACTTCCTATTGCTTTAGCTGATGAAGCATATCTTGAAATAGCATTTAACAGCGGGAAGGCCAATAGCCCGGCTGAAGAGCACAATACAAATGTACCCATCAAGATTGTGAACCAACCACATAAACATTTGTTGAGATTGTCTCACTTGGGCCAACCACTGTGACACCAATGGCTGTGAGTTGAAGATATTGTTTCAAAGGATAGAGTTTGATGGATTTATTGTATCAATTATGATGATGTCTGAAGTCACTATGCTTGAAATGCACATAATTATTATAGCAATTTATGGACTGGTCTTTCCTTTGAGAAACATAGTGTATCACTCGGAAGGCAGCGGATGAATAATTATCTAAAGGAGCAACTAATTTATCTAGCAGGTGATCGGGATAGACTCAATAATCAACTGGTCAATTGCAAGAATGTTGTTTTGGCATCGATGAACGAGATGTTGCGGTTCTCAATGCCTGCTAACGAAATCGTTGTCCATTCGGTGTCACAATTCATTCTTGGCGACTAAGCATCAATATAGATATCGCAATACTCGTGATGAGCTCTTTTGCAATTAATCATTGCTTGAAGCTTTCAGAGTAATTAGTGTTTTGACGAGCACTGAGCACTCCAATTTGTTTTCTCATTTTGGCCTTTAACTTACTTCTTTGGATTAGATCAACAAACATGGTGTTTCTAGTTGAATTGTTTCTACAGGCCGTAGCCGATGATAATTACGATTTTCGGTTTGCTGTTCGAACATCTGACAATGACTGTTCACTGATCGATATCAGTTTGGTACCAATATATGTCCTTGTTTTGTGTTGGCAAAAGAACATGTCGATTTTGAGAGGGCTCCATTGATAGATTTATGATTTCCTCAACACAATACAGTTGGTTGATCATCAACTTCCTGAGGGATGATTGATGATATCAATCCATTCACGTTGTCAGTATTTTCACTATTAGTCAAGTTGTATCTCCTCAAGACCTATATTTTCATGCTGAAGTGATCCTTCCTAGGTGCTGTGGTACTGTGCATTGGTGATGTGAGTATGACCTTAGATTTCTTATCAACATCACTTACAATCTTACGAAGCAGTCCCTTGACTCATGATGAATAATCATTGCATTATTCACAACTACATTGGGGCAACTCTTATCAACAGCAGTAGCAGTTGCCGCTCAAATACTCCTTTGTGTTCAATTCGGGAAGATACAAATGTCAATCTCAAAATGCTGTCTGATCTGATCCGAATATCTTGTTTCGTTATTAATACTTATGTTGGATGCTATCAGCCGCTGAGGTTCATTCGAACAATTATTACTTATTGAAGAAGCAGTTTTTACATTAGTATAACAGCTGGCAGCTTCATTTTTTCAACTGGAATTGTAGATTGGTTGATTCGAAGGCATATATTTGAGTCGCTTCTCCAAACTAACCAGATCTCAATGATTTCGAAGAGTCATTTCCAAACCAGAAGGCGATTAGATTAAAAAGCTATAACAAACCGATCCACATTTTGGTTCTTTTAAAAAGCTGATAGTCTTTCACTATGATTCAAACCATGCTTATGAGCCCCAAATGGCGCATCGACCACGTCAATTTCGCTTTTGGACCGTTTCAGAGTTTCCAGTGACGACTTTATTAATTGTTGTAAAAGATATGATTGGCCATGAAAATGGAATGAGCTGATGCAACGATCCGGTATATCTCTGCACCATCTCAGTCAATTACTAGTGAACTAGTTTATGGTTCGACTAGTTTGCTTTATTTGTAAGCATTTGCATGATGAAAAGATAGATAATGTGCAGTGAATTGATTGATCAATCCTCCTTCCATGCTGCAGTTGTTCATCCTTTCACTTTTGAATTCATTACATACTTGGTTAAATAAAGGTTCTTGATTGACGCACGGAGCAATGATTCAACTATTGATAGTGACTCAATTATTGATTCGGATGTCTCTCTTCATCCGGAGGATGTGCCCAACATCACTAATATCGTTTTCTGCCATTCAAAGTTGTTCGTAGGCGCCGTTAGCAAATTCAACTGAATCCCCTGTTTTATATTTTTCTTAATATGCAGTTCCGTGCATTGGTGATATTTGGAGCGGTTAGTTCGGTTTGCATGAATAAATGATGTCTCTCATGTTTCGCAAGCACTTTCAATATCACTGTGACCCTCAATCATTGTTGGTGGTTGGATTTCTTTGATTGTTATAAGAGAAACATTCCTCACCCTATCGTGAAACGAAGAACATTCAGTGTCCCCAACGGAATCACTTTGGACTTCTATGGACATTACAGCCCAAAATTGATGGATTTGCTCAGATTCACCAATGGTAAGACTTGGTTGCACAACGGATAGTGTTTTCAGTTCAATGTGATCGTTGTAACCGTTATCAGCCAATATGTCAGTACAAGTGAGATTTGTTGGTGAATTCGGAACTACCTTCATATTCGATGATTCAATCCATCCAAAATTACCACTTCGTTATGTCCAACAAATCTTTCGACTTTCAACCATTATATTCATATTTAGCTTTTATTTTGATTAGTTAAAAGATCAAAACTGTTCAAAACATGAGACCCTCCACATGAGTCATGAATGTATTGAACATCGCAAAGGTCACAAATTAATTGACTGTGCTTAAGATCTAAAATTCATGTATATTGAGTAACAACTCTCAAAACATCAGCAACATCAAGTGTGAAAACACCAAAGCTAACCAGCATTAAATTTTTACTTTACAATCATGTTTAATTTCATACCAGTTACCAAGCTAACACCTCCTACGTTTTGATTTGCGCATTTCACAATGTGAACAATGAATATATTTATGAACCAATGGCTATAATTATTGTTTTGACGTTCTCGCCCTTCACTGAAACTTATTGAATGTTGCCCTTACACTGTCCCTATTATTACTAATGCGTATTCGACTATATCACCGGACCTGATATATTTTCACCAATCCTAAAATTATTTTCACTGAAAAATAATTATCAGTTGAACATGAACTTTATCTGAAGTTACGTAAAAATAAAGAACTATAGTATTTTACGGCTTTTTATATGAATATCATCCATTGATTAAATGCGGCCTATATGAAGAGTGCTGTTTCAACTCAAAATAGTTTACCCGTGTCGTTCTTGTTAAATTCGTTCTTTCTATCTAACTTTGCGTTTGTGAAATTAAAGGCAGGGGTAATTCTTTACATTTCAAATACCTCCTACGGGTATGCAATGTTCTATAATATAAATATATCACTGCAACCACGATTGAAACTAGTGGTAAATTGCTTTAAACTAAATATTTGCCCATCACAATGGTTTATAATATTCAATGGGTCAATGCAGAAGAATTTTGAATGTTACCCTCGACATTGCTTGGCCTTCCCCCAAATTTCGCCATTAAGTTCAACCCCCTTATAAAGTCGTCATACGATTTATGTCTGATTTGATTGATATGTCTGGCACTGGTGCTGATTGGCCGTTGATCAACAATTGGCCCATCAAGAAGATTACCACCCACGTTGAGAGTGATGAGTTTAAATTTAAGAGATTCATTTGTATTCCTGATTTCATCCCAGCTGTGAGAAGATCTGCTCCTATTGTTGAAGCATTAATCAGAGCTGGTTTTTAATCCAGTGCAATTAGGTACCATAATGAACCCAACGAGTTTTGAAATATTCATTAGCTCAAATAGAAATTATCTGAAGGAATTTAATTTTATAAAAGTTCGCAGTGATGGAAAGTTATCAAATAATCAATTAATGAATAACATATCAAAAAGTTGGAAATGCAAACCAATACCGACTGAACTGATTGTCAGTGGCTTAGATCTATTGCTACTGATTCTGTTCCTCTCAAGATCGAATCAGAGATCCCGCTAAAAATGCTTGAAGACAATTGAATGCCCGGCGACGCGTTTGGTGAAACTGAGCGAATTCCATCTTTTCCAATTGAAGAAACAGAGCGCCGCTCATGGTGAAAAAGAAGTGAGATTGTCAACAAACCCAATGAAGTCAATCAACCTGACCAGAGCTTTCGACACAGCATTACTACCTCAACTAATGTTAGGTCCGCTAACTGTGGTGATGCTGGTCATTAGGCGCAAAATTGTCCAGAGCAAAAGAATGTTCAACTTCATGAAATCATTCAAATAGTTGAGCCTCTTGTTGACGTTAAGAAAGTGATTGGAAATAAAAATCATCCATTTGTGAAGTTCCTACGTTGATTGACGCTTATTTAAACATTAAAGAAAATCTTGACTCAGGTGCCGCATCTCATTTTGAAAACAGTGATGAAGTGCTTGTGATCATTCACTTTGAAACATATTTCTTCAAGGTCTCCATAGTGAGAATGATTCCTCAACAAATAAGATTTTAATCTGGGTTGCATGAAATTGCCTGAGGGCATGCCCATCCGAAGTCACCTTCCAATGTCAATATTGATGTGAAATTGACTAAAAGAGGATGCAATGGTCTTATCGGAAAAATCAAACCATTAATTCACAACAGTGGTGTCATCATCGTTCAGAATGAAGAAAGGAGTGAACTATTATACCAAGGATCAATACAGAAAAGAAATGATGTAGTATTCCCAACACTGAGTGTGATCTGGTTCGAACTCACCAAATCCACTGACGTTGCTCTGTTAATTGAATCAAAACGTCACCATCAATGATTCTACTTTTTGGGAAAGCGGAAGTGCAATAGTGAAATGAGAAGCATATCCTTTAGCTCTAGGCATGTGCCTACTCTCAATGCATCGCAATGGAAGAAAATTACTTAATGGGAACATTATCTCTGATAATTTTTTCGGCCTGTAGAGTGACCAAATTCATCTTCGGTCAAACATTTTTTTTCCATTTTGTGCTTACAATCATTCCAATTTTCAATTTTTCAAGCAGATTTTTTCTTACAATTATTGCAATCCACAAATGAAGCAATTGATTAATAATCAAGGGACCAACTAAAGCGGTCCTTCAATCTATATCAATTGTGAGCTGAACTTAGTCCATTTTAAACAATTACAAATGATCTACTTCCACTTAAGGATATTCTATCGTTCTTCGATAATATCTTATTTCAATTCTTGAACTTTATTTAGCGTTATACAATGTTTTGCAAATGAAATCCTATATGCTGTCATTAGAACATATAGTCCATTGTTTGAGACGTACCTATAGTCGGATCGCTTTTCAGTTGTTTTTATTTGAGGTTTTCTATTCCACATCAAATGTTTCATTCTAGTTAACTTTCAAATGAATGGTGTAAAATGCACTGATATACTTTAATTTGTCTACACAGTATTTATAATGATCGAAAGTAAAGTGAGCAAACATTTTGGAAAAATCTGAATTCAAATTGCTTCCCATTCTCATTAAATGAATCAACTACTTTAAGCTAATCAATCAGATATTGAATCGATTAGAAGCATACAGTCTCACAGTTTCACACAACCTGAACATCAATATCTTTCGTGCTGTCAATTTGGCGGCAATCGTTGCAAGAAGTATATTGAAGAGGACACAATATCAACTTTCATCAATAATGTAATTCCGGCTACGTGCGAGAAAACAATATATTTTGGTTCTTCTTCGCATTCCAAGTGCAAAATGAGTCTGTTCTTCACACTGCATGTTATTCACATCATATTCACGAAAACCACGGTCGTGGATATAGAAATGTGCTGAATACTTGATCTTAAAATAAGTATTGCACTATCAATAATGTTTGCCCGATAGAAGCATGTGATACTTTGTTTTCGGTTTAAATCAAATCATAACTTTCACGATTTCAGTTCATAATTCAATGGATGATTGGGGAACTTATTTTCGTTGATTTTGTTGGCAAAACAAGTGTTGAACATGGATTCATTGATATGGGTCGTCAATCGCTGTTAGCTGCAGGTCATCCACCGCTGTTCAAATCAGAAGCAGCAAATTCACTAATTGAATTACTAGTAGTATTTCCAACATTTGTCAGTCAACCAAATTGATGTTCTTGCTTTATTAAAGCGTATAATGAGCATAGTTCTTGTATTTATAAAAAGGACTACAATGAAAAAGGTTAGATCCATCAAGCTATTGCAACTCGTTCATCCTTCGAAGATGAATAATCCAACAAGTCCAGCAACGAAATCCAAATGAAAAAGAACCAATTAAGCATGTCACTAATATCATCTGAAGCAATATTGGTACGTGAATATTAATATTCGATCCTATTGAACAATTATATTGGTCAGAATACCAATCACGAATGTCAAAGCGAAACGCAACGGCAACGCCAAACGATTGTTACAGTTGATGGTCCATTTGGTGATGAAACGATTGCTATCAATCATATTGTGAAGCGTATGATTTAGAAAAGATAAATCGACAGTAGATCTTTTGAAATAATAGATAAAACAGAATTGCATTTTTGTTGAACACGATCCCAATCCAATGCTTCCCAAATGGTTGATGTCAAGCAATAAATTGAGAGTATCAGCATTTAAATAAAATTATTCGATTCGAGCTGAAAACTTGGAAACTGCAAGCCGTTTTGTTAGTTCTTGAGCAACATCTCCAACAACTTGTTTTTCTTTGATTGAACTTCAATAGTCCAACTCAGCCTACAAGCATCTTAGTAACGAAAAGCATATGAGAATGAGTGATCCATTACACATAGATATTACTAATTTTACCATTGCAAAATTAAAAGATAAATCAAGCCCGATTGCTGTTCCGGCTGGTGAAGGTGCCTCGAATGTACTTGTTACTGACGCAATAATCGAATGAACGTTGATCAATTCTATTCTTTGAAAGAAACTATTAAACAATGTTGAGAAATCTATGAGGATACTCAGAGAAACTCTAATGATTTGCATGCCAACTAAGGTCCGTCATTTCAACAATAGATATATATGTTCACAAGAATAACGTTGTCTTAGAGTTAAAATATGATAGCTTGACTCAACTGAAGTCATCAGCAAATGTTGGAAAAGCTAATGATTAACCTTGAACGTCTTGAACAGGTGTAAATAGTCTTGTTATCTGACTTTGCTCAATCGTAATAGCTTTTATCGTTGATAAAGAAGCCGAACTATTGTTACCAGAATACAATTCAATCACCCATTGACTAGTCCTAGAAGATTTAACAGACCTATAGAATTCGTAATGGTTAACTGGAATGGCAATGAAAATGAATTCAATTGAAAAAATCCAAGTTTTTGATCAGTTCCAGAAGCAGCAGATGGAAGAAAATATTGAAGAAGATAAGGTATTCGTTGTCGGTCATAAAACTGATGGCTGAGATGGCTTTAAAACAAAAATGGTTGCCAAAAGCGTTCTTCAAAACCTTTGCCAAATGTTTTTCGAAGTTAATTCCGCAGCAACCAAATGACACTCATCAAGATGAATGCATCTAATAGCCGCCATCACAACAGCAAGCTCTTGCTTTTTGATACTTAGACAACTGTCTTGAATCAACGAATTGGGTATGCGGATTACGTCCATCTTCCCGGCGGATCATCCACGGCAACAATCGACTATTGGAAGTGAGCTAAATGCTTTTTTGGGTTGAATTAGCCACCTCTGATTTCTTTCAATTCAGCTACATGTGTTGCCAACGATAGCAATCACTAGTATGAATGAATGATATTTTCTTCTTCGGTTGGAATTTCAAGTTGTTTAAAATTCAATGTTGTGGACACAATTTCAACTGCTGCAAGAACAAGATATTATTTTGTTAAAGAAAAGACATTCTATATGAGGAGTTCCAAAGAGCGAGATAAGGGATCTCAGAAAGGGCTTTTGTTGAATGTAGTTGTGATCAAACACCTAACGCATACATGAGTTCTTTAAAATTCTCCACTCAAAAAATTCAATTAGAATTTCAAGGGGAATAGTGAAAAAATCAAAAACACTTTCATCTAAATGATATCAAGATGTTGTTAAATCAGAGATTCAGCGTGCAATTCTTCTTTTAATTTTTAGATCAATTCCTAGTGCATTACTCTTTATGGCTCGTACAGTTAGATATGACACTTGATTTGGTACATCATTGTTAAGCAGACATTTATTTAGTGTACCTGAAGTCAATTTTCGGGTGCTTTGAAAGCCCAATGATAAGTTTGTCAAAAAAATGACATCGGCATTCAAGACTATGATAGTAGGTGCTATTGAAATCAAACCGCTTTCTGACTTCTTGACAAATGACAGTAAAGAAGAAACACGGATTACTCACTGGAGTTTTTTCTTCCATTATCAGACAATAGTGACAATTATTGGGCAACTGAGAAAATCTCAAGCAACAATGAAGGTCGCTTCATCACAATGTAGATGGTGACTTGGGCTGATCGGCTTCAACAAATCACTCATGCGCTCCGTTTTCATCCAGTGACGCTGATTATCTTTCTTGAACCAAAGCAACGAATAGAGAATTATTCATTCAATACATGTTCGACGAACTAAAGGGAAGACTTGCCTTTCTCAAATTCGATTGGTGTAACGATTCTTCGTAGAACATCTTATTCCATTTTGACACTCATAATCAATGCAAGCATCTTGGTAATAACAAGCATGTTACTGCTCAATTTAGTTGTAATAATCAATTGGACCTGCATAATATTATTACGAAGGACAATGTTGCTGACGTTAATTGCAAGGACGATGATAGAGCTACTGAACGTACATTAGAAAAATGATTAAATACTTTGTATTTCTGTTCATCAAATTACAATATAACTCCCAAATTGTCAGGAAGTGCGCGAATAGCAAACTTAATCACCGTCAGACTTATGGTTCCCAGTTATAACTCACATTCATTGCAACGGCGACGTTCGGCTCAACACGTCATGTCTCCTCCTTAACCTTCAGGATTTGAAGAAGTCATTAATATATCAAATCTTTTTCTGTTACTATTGCGATGGCATTACCTATTTTCCGTTGAAGTATTTCTAGTTCAGCACTCAAACAGAAAATATTTTTGCTCAAGTTATCCAACTCCTATGTTTTGCGATCTGACAGAAAAATATGGTTTTCTTGTTAATTCTTATTTATTCAAACATAGGCATTGATTTTACTCATATTCTATCTTTTGCTTTGAAAAAGAATTCGTTGGATTAACTTTACGTATCATTAGTGATATCAATGCCACCGATCATGGTTGATCTCAGCGGATAGCTTTGCGAAATTGTTGTCCGTTAACAATAATATATTTATTATTGAGAACAACTTAAAGTACGAATGAATTAAATTATCTTCATGCGTTTCTTTTCAAATTAATTCACAAAATATAATCTCAATTAATAGCATTTTTCTCAAATGACTGTTTTGCTTGGTTCACGTGAAGTTATTACGTATCTGTTGCCCAAACAGCAGATTTAATTGCCTTAAATTCTTTGCTTTGCCACTATATCGTACTTTCTTTCAAATTTGGATGTTCACACCTGCTCCGGCTAGTATCTGCAGATGCTCTATGCCGGTAGTTGAACTTCATACAACTTGGTTATAGTCAACGAATTGGTATTTATTACGATCTTCTAGAACAACGTGTTTCTTTCATTTAATTCCGCTGAATTGAAAATTGCTTTCCTTCACATGAGGTTTTTACTCCTCTCATTCGTCAGAGATTATTTGTTTTAACTTTGCTCTTCGCTCTCCTATAACAGGCCACATTATTGTTTCTTTGAGTTAGTGGGTTTTATTATCATAGAAAACCTTTTACAATCAATATATAATAAGAGGGCGCATACATCTACACAATGAATTAAAGCACCTAAATCAATTAGTTACTGATATAATTTACAATAGTCATTCTAAAATTTTTTTTAGATTTTCAATCTTTACCTACCGCAATTGACAAATTTTCTTTTAATTCCGACATTGGCCACAATAAGTTGACGCAATTCTCTTAGCCAATTCAGTCAATGAACGTTGATTGTTTTAGGACTGGTGAAGAATTTCGTTGAAGGAGGCAGGGTTAACCAAGTCAACTTGCAAATGGGTCCATTTTGATGTGCTTCACTAGTTTAGGTTCTTCGAAGCCATTCATGTCAATCAAACCCCAATACGATTTGCTGCTACTTTTCAAAAATTAATCAACACTCAATTTAAATTCAAAGTAGGAAGAAGTTACGATGAAGACAAGGGTACTGAGATGAAGATCAAGATATAACAAGAATTTGTCAAAATACGTATGTTTGAAATGGTTAAGGCCCTCCAAACCTTCTCAAACCCATCAATTATTGATCTGAGTGACAAAGCTCTCGACAAGCATATTAGGATGGTTTCGGCTCTCTCTGCAGGACATCCATTCATCTTTCATAAGCTGCTTCTTTGAAGTTTGAGAATATAAATTCTGCAAAGTATTCAAGGTCAGTTGGTTTAGATCGCAATGAATTCGATGCTTCGGATCGACCGAAAATCTATGTAAATAGAAAAAGATGATTCTGATCAAATGGATCAGAGTAAACTAAACACTGCAATGACTGTGAAGATGTAGAATTTGCATTAACCGAAGTTGAATGAATCAATTCGGTAGGTGTTCGACTTGAGAAAAGGAAATGCCAAAGTCCAACGATGATGCACCTCACGAAATCGTTCAATTAATTCAGTGACCTGAAGGATTCAAAGAACTTATTGAAAATGAATGCAACTGCGATTTTGCAAACGTTAGTCCCGTTGATCTTCAATTTCATCCGGAGTATGTTCATCAATCAGTTTCAGCGACACAAAGTATCCGCAGTTTCAAATTTTTAACTGATAAACATCATGTGAACATAATGATCAAAAATCTCAATGGTGAGGATGTTTGTACTAATCAAGAGAACGTTAACGATCGATTCTTAATATTAGCTCGTCTCCATCGTATTGCAAACTCACAAAAAGTTGCTATTACTTCTGTCAAATTGGGTGAAAATAACTACACTTCCGACATTGAATAAAATGAACTACTAAGTGACAAACAAGCATTTACTATCGGAGGTTGTAAGAGAATCAAATTCTTTGGTTGTTATTTTTAGAAGAAGGGCCAAAAGATTTGGTTCTAAACACTAAATGTGATGTGCTTCAATTGAACAAGAGCAATGGTGGTTGCGTTTCCAATCAAATCAATTGCATGACCAGTCGTGATTATAGTTTTCACGAGTTTAAAAACCCATTGAAGAAATGTGAAACTTGTTTTACGGTGCTAAACAAAACAGATAGCTCAGAATTTCACAACAGGAATGATGTACTGTGGACTGAATTTCAGCTGAATTAATTGGGCAAATAATGGTGCTAATGAATTTGGTGTTGCGAAGCATCAAACTAATTTTTTTCTTTTTTGATGTGATCAACTCAGAAGTCTCCAATGATGTGAGCCAGCCGCTTTCCTGTATTCAGTCCAACTGTCCCTACCACCGGTGTGTTGTAGTGGCGCAATGTGATCTGACGATCTTCCCTATAGAAAACACCGGCAATCTTCTGTACGTTGTATTCCATTAGATCCTCCATGAGCATAACATATTAGAATTGACTGGCAGGAGCCCGATATGGGCTGAAATTGCAATATTCGCCGGCCTGAATCAGAAATCTTAACCAGTGTTGCTAACATTTGAACTTGTGCTTTGGCCTTAAACATCAAATCTCTACTGCTCGGTGAGTTGGTTCACGCTTTCATGCAAAATAAGGTTATTATTGCTGATGAAGCTCATCGAGACAATTTTTGGCTTGAATTGGATTCAATTGCTGTAAGCTGGAAAACGGCAGACCAGTACTTCAAGCAATGCAAGAGGTACTCTAGAATACGTGGCGCGACGGTCGAGTATTAGTTCACTTGCACGATCATAATTGCATTCTGGGAGTCGTTGCTGCTATTAGTGTCACCTGCTCACTTGATTCCAGTGCATGGCAAACATCAATAAGCAGTTAGAAGGATTTCTAGATATTCCTAAATGAACTCCAATTCAATATTGTGAAGTAGACAATTCATTTCAAGATTCCGGTATTTTCAACGCGGCTTTTGTTTCCGGCGGGGCCAATGCTGAATGACTATTTCTTCAAGAATAGACCGTAACATAATTACGATTCGTGATGAAAATCTCTTGACAAATTATCCTAATGATTATGAATTTTCCGGTAGCTCTAGCCTTACAGCGATGGTCTTAGTTGTTGTCAACTTTCCAACCTGGCAAGATCGAGATGAGTGACACTCTATCAATGTGACAAACCTGACACTTTGGTGGTGCGCGGTTGCTGTCACAGTCAGGTCTTGCTGTCTTGTCACTTCAGCCGATATTTTTTCGGCTATACTTTTTTTGAATTTTCGAGGTTGATCAGTCAGTAATTGGTCAGCTGTATAAAATAGCAGGCATACTCATGTCAATTACTAAATGGTTCAAATTTGATCTTGGATCATGTGAAACGCTTGTGCTATGGCTGTTGGTTCTGCGACCAATCCCCTCATTCATCTCGGAACGCTGGTATTAGTGACAATATCGTTCTGTTCAATTGCAGTGGCACTCTGATCATTTGCAATGATTGGTGGTGAACGAAGGTCTTTTATGGTCCCCTTGGTGAATTATTTATTTGAGTCTTCGCCGCTGCGAGTACAAAATCCGGAATGTGATTGAAACATCATTTGTTTACGTCATTAGATTATTGGAAAGACACTGAACAGTTTCAGCAATATATACATCTCTTGTTGTCTCATGGCTCCTTCGCTCATTAATTCAATTTGGGCTGAACCTTAAAGTCATGCGGGTGAAACAGTTTGTGAAGCTAGATCCAGAATCAAAACCGTTTCTGCTTCTCCCAGTTGAACATAAGAGTGATTTGACAGTGAAAGACGAGTAAAATTATTCATATGCGGTGTACCGGAATCGCTTGCCATCTTTTCGTCTTCTGTTTGTTGATTTTGTGGGGGCAACACCGCTTGGTTGAGTAGTTACAATTTGCTTTTCTTTCTCCATCGTTGACAATTTATTGAGATATTTTGTTGTTTCACCGATTGCCACTCACTCACTACCTGATGCCCGGTTCAGTTATAATATTTGATATACTTAGAGATTATTGGATATGACCTTTCATTCTATTGAGTGTGATGACGGGTTTGCATACCAGCTGTCCAAGGACTATCGTCAAGCTGATGAATTCCAGAATCCTAAATCAGTTCCTCACTAGTGTGATAACAATGCAGTCGCCGAACGTTGCCAAAAAATAATGATGCATTACAGCAGCACAATGATAACGTGTGTAAAGATCCTCAATCTTTAATGAGTGAGCCTGCAAAGTAATCAGTCTTTATCATAAATGTGCTACTGTTACGTTGAAAAAAAATTCATCTCATGATTACTCCATGGCTTCTAATGAAAAGAAGCAATCCACCTAAGGTGGTACAAGCGATTGCTTGCCTCCTGCTTGCTTCTACTGGAGTATAATGGTGTTCACACCATGACCAGCTACGGATTAGCTAGTTCTTATTCTCGTCTTGATGAAACAAGTTTTTCTTTCGAAAATCCATTGTTTGGTGCTTTTAGATCATCACTTTGATTGATGTTTCAGTCGCTGCCATTGGTGCTGGGGTTAAGGGGAACTTTCGGACAGCTATCAAAGGCATCGATTACCCAAGTTTAATTTTGACTGCCGAGAAATCACATAATAACAGCAATGAGGACGATTAGTATGTTGACTTCAGGTCAGATGGCGAAATGATGAAGGTGTCAACAATATTAAATAAAATTTAAAGGAATGTGTTGCATTCAATGAGGATACTGATTATGTTGCTGTTGCGAAGGCTGCTGCCAAACGTTTCAATCGCCAAGTCGCTGGAACCAAAGCGAATCGGCAAAGGCTGTTGGATGACATTGAAATTGTACTAAAAACATTTACAAAACTTTTAATAAATTCTACTAGATGCAGGTCTCGTGTCAGACTTATTCGCTAGGAGCCTTATTGTTCCTACTACAATTAAGGTAGATCCTGCTATCCCAAAAGAATTATTGTTGACATACGGAGCGTCAGCCATTTCAAGGGAAAGGACTCTTTTTCTCGGCTAAACATCCGTTTCACAAAAATAATTTATTTTCTACATGGTGTTTCCAATACACGCAGCCATAGCAGTTGATTTTGCGGAAACTAGACCGGTTGCACAACCTTTTCTGAGCGGAACGGAATTGAGGTTACTCACACATGTCGTGGTGCCACTGGGTCTGGTGAAGAGAGACTGCTTGTTGATGGTGGAAGATCCAAGGCATTCAAAATTAATCAAAAGAATCTGACAAGTGCTTCTTTTCACGCCGATGTCGTCGCTGAATGATTCATGAACCATTTTCCTCTATGTGATATTGCCATATTTTTCAGAAAATATGGAAGTTACTCCATTTATTTTATTGCCTGTAGCAATCTACATGTTCCTGCATCGCAAGCATGGATAATTCTCCACAATCATTTCTGTTTCATAACGCTTCGAGAGAACAAGTTCTGCTCCATCGTTCAAATAACAAACTCACCGCACCGGTGGCTAATAAGTGAATGATATCTTTAATGCAGCAAAACCAGAAGTTATGGACAAGAACGGCAATTCATATCTGAGTTCATCGCTCAAAGTAAAATATTATGCAGTCGTTCCGGCTTGCTTTCTTCAAATAGAGGTTGCTCAAACAATTCAACTTATTGGGCTATTAATTGAGTTCTTCGACGGAATGATCGCTCAAAACTTTAAAATTGATGAGTTTCGTTGACGGTAGACACCAACCATGGTTAGACAGTACAAGGCGCTACCTCCATCAGACGGCCATGAGTTCGAAGCAATTAAATCATCACATTTCAACTGAACCGCTGCAATTTTGATTCCGCTTCCAGATTGTTTAATGTATGAAGTTTCTTCTAAAAATGAAATACTCAGTAAATCTTATGGTGCACCATGAAAGAACAAATGAAGTTGTGCTGAAAAGATGTAGACCTGTTGTAAATCACACTCATGAACTGCTCTCGACACCGCTGCTTCAACTTTGGAGCTAGTAAAATAACTTCAAACTGATTTTGCTGGGCACATTGGTGATCGACAGCTGGTTGACAGTTAGACGTTGGATATTACTTACAAGCCAGTTGATTGAAACTATAAGAATCAGTCTTTGGTAGCTTTGCTGAAATCTAACGCTAATTAAAACTGGTGAGTGATGCAGTTAAAATGCCGTGTTCCTAATGCTGGGTCTCAGATATACTGGTCAAAAAATTATAAAGGAGTTATCTATTTTGAAAGCATTTGTATTATGACCTTTCGTAACCATTCGACCAATCAAAATGTCTCGACCTTAATTTTAACCATGTATCAAGTTTAAAGAGATTGTGCAATGTTGCTTCCACGTTTGCAACCATTGGTACCAAACTTTGTGTTGCAAATATGTTGGATAGGGTGCTAATGGCGGCGGTGCTCAAACATATCAACAAATTGCTTTACCGATTGATATGTCATGTATTTGGCTCACTTTTTCACGTCGTCTTCTTTATATCTGAGTATAAACGATTGATTGATTATTTGTTGGATACACAACTGGATTGTAGTTGATCTGTTTGGCAGATGTGGTTATATCATACCTACAGCACATACAAAGTGATTTACTTACTTGTTTTCTTTTCATTGATAGCAGGTTTATCAACGTATTAAAATGTACTTTGGATTTGCAAGTGCTCCGGCTGCGGTTTAATTGCTTCATCTCTTTATCCTGCTTTTCCGATCGATTTGATACGCAAGTCAATGATTCTAACCTCAACAGCAGTCGGGATAAATGAGTGAGCGGGAACAAAGGAAGTAACAAACAGGCCGGTCAACCATCTGGCCTCATAATGTCCATGATTGCCGTATTCCTCATTGACTGAGGAAGGAGATAGACCAAGCTACTGCAAGGCATACTGTAATAAATCTTGAACACTCGCTTTTCTGACCCCGAATGTTTTCATTTAAATAAAGCTGATTTGGACTCAAACCGGATTGGCCTCTCCGGCCAGCCATTCTTAAAGACCACGATTTGCACGCGCACCGGCAGGGGCTCTCCAACGCAATCAATCCTGCGCAAACTACTAAAAATGGTTGGATCATTTTACCGAATTGTCTGCAGCAATGACAATGAGGTAGGAGATGCCGTCAACGACCCCGATGTCTAAATTTGGTCCCTCGGTGCGTTTCATTAATCTATTCCGCTGACGCTTTGTGATCTAATTCATTTCATATGAATGATATCGGTGGTTGCTTCAATTAATTTCTTAGAAAAATAATTCTTCATCTAGATATATCATCAAATCGCTAAATCATTGGAGAACGCTTCAGAATCAAATAAAAGTCAACCGCATCAACTACTGAACCATTACTATCATATAGAGTATTACTCAATTTAAAGCGCGATTCAACCAACATTATTGAAACAGAAAACGATTTCGACACAAATATGCTTCCCAATTTGAGCAAAAAAACAATTTTCATTAATGAAATCACTCCTCCACATTCTTCAAATCAAAATGGAAATGCAAGGAGTTACAGCAGAAAAGACGAAATGAAGGAGCTGCAACTAATGATTGGATGACGAAGTCCATATCAACGATGATAAGCGGTTCACTCATATTCCTTCTATTTGACAAATATTTGCCAATCAATAATAGTAATGCATCATCAACAGGAGTGAGGCGACTATCCAAATTGAACGATGAAGTTGATGCTGCAATTGGCGCTGGGTTGTTCGTTCCCATCACGATGTCAGAAAACCGACTTCTCAGAAAGATATCCTTCACTCATTTGTTTGTTTCAATTCATCAAGAAGCAATTTCATTTGCTTTGCTGAAAATCCTAAAAAACGTTTTCGGAGCAAATTGATTCAGAGCAATGAATTAAGTATATCTATTCAGATCAAAAAATTCAATGCCTACTAATGACCTTGATTCTCTAAGCCGATTTTCCAATGCTGCAACAATTTCTGCAACAACTTATTATTTTTGGCTTGATCTTTATCAGCCATCTCAACGTGATAAAATGTCAGTATTCTAAAAGATATTGAGATGGCGAACCAAAAATCAATGACAATTCCAATTCCATTGTTAGAGCATCAACTGATGACTCAGATTCAATTCCTCATTCTTGTGGTGAGATCCCCACCAATAAACTTGTTAATTGTCCCATTGATTACTCATCATTAATGAACAGTTGGTCTGTTCTCAACCATCTGAAATTGATTACAAATATATGATAAAACTCAATCGATTTTTGAAGCGTAGCAAAACACCTTTGGAAGGATATGAAATGAAGAAAAAGAGCTTATGGAGGCCACTAATTTTGGCTGTTGGAGAATATCTTGACGAGATGAGCCTATTGAGATTATCTCTAATTGTGGGGAACATTGTTGATCATGAATCTTAATTGTTCAGAGGTGATAATATAATTATTAAACGACCATCCACTACCTCATCAGGTATTTCAATTAATAATGAAGATCCTTTAATGTTATGATAGACAATCTATATAATGCCGACATTCGTCTCAGATGCTTTAGCAAGGACAGATAAATTAAAATGTATCTGTTCGAAGCAAACGAATTGAGTTGAATTAAAATAAATTGACCATTACTCATTTCCTTCTCAATCAACAGCTGATAGCAAAATAGTGAAATGAACATGGTTAATCAATGATTGACATGATACACACTGTTCAAATCGGATTCCGGCGAGATTAGCCGCGATTGAGTTCATTCAAAGAGTTGGCCAAGACAATAATGCTAATAATCGGCCGTTAAACAGTATGGTATGCTATGATTAATGCATTGGAAACCCACAATTAGCAACTACAATAGCTGGCAGTCATACTCCAAAATAGTTTTCTTGAATTGACCGATCTCTATGAAATTTATTTTCATGTTGTGGCGGAAACATGCATAGCAATAGAAGGTGCTTAGAAATAGTTCAAAAGATTGTACGACTGGAGGCCAGCGCCTCCAACTGCTCAATTCAATTCAAAATGTTCCTAAAGCTAAGATTAACTACTCTCAGCGCTGGTAGATCCATAATGGTTTCTCAACTTAAGCTGTTTAGTATCGATTTACGTTTACGATATTTTATTCCCGCACAAACTTAATACATTTATTGGCAAAGCAAAGGCATTATGTTCGAACAAATTAGCTACGAAAGATATCGGCTCTCATATCGGATCCTTGGAATTGATAATAAGCAGCCAAATAAAGAGCACAAAGTTCATTTAAACGTTTTGGATTAGGCAATTCAATTAGATTTCCAAGTGCAAATATTGAAATAATAGTAAAGCCATTTGTCTAAAGCATTAGAAAATAATGCTGATGCCGGAATTCTTAAAGACAATCCCCAATCAATCAGTGAATAAATTATTTATATATCACGGATTATTGATCTTTCTCTTCGAAATGATATGTCTGAGCATACATCTCCGCCAATTGGAAAATTGGTTAGTGGATGAACCGCATATCAATCTGGTGGATTCGGAGTTTCACAATATGCTGGTCAAACGAAATCATTCGGCAATCATTACTTTATTTATAATATTCATTTATCCGTTCGGTTTTCCGACTTCTTCAAAAGAAGTAATATCCTTTAATTAAACATTATTACCCAGAAACATCTTATTGACCATCAGTCTTTCGTGGCAGTGACTGGGCAGATGAGAAATTCACCCGAAAATGTCGTAGTCGCTTCTGCACAATCTCAATTGGTAGGTTGCTCTGGTGGTCTTCATGAAACCACGATTTGTTGCGTTCTCATCTGCTGACGCCGAATATGGTTCAATATCACAAGCGAAGGCCAGTGGATTATTCTTTGAATTCATATTGGATGAACTTGAATCAGCGCTGGCAGTTTCTAATCGAAATGGAGATAATAAATCAACTTTGACATAGTTATGTCATATTTTCTCTTATATTCGAATCAAGCACGTTAATATCTTCTGGCTTGTTAATAGAGAACTTATTTTCAATATACAACTATTTCTTAGTTTTAATGAACGAGGACATGTTGTCGTTGTGATTTTAACCGTGTTGGATCATTCAACTACATTTCAAGCCGTTGTAATTTTCTTCAATAAACCGAATGTATTTAAATCAAATTATATCGAAAATCACGGTTTGTGAGGAACAGAAAAAATATCAAACGTAATCATTTACAAAGATTCCCATCTTCAATTACTGTTCACAATTGCTTACCTCCCATGCTTACAAAAATATCTATTGTTATCCAAAAATATTTTATTGATACCGCAGTTCATTATCATTATTTGGTTAAAATTTGAGGATTAAAATCTTTTGAAACTCATAAAGAAATATGTCTTTTTGCTTAAATCTCACATTTGACAGGATTGATTTTGGTTTTCGAGATATCTTTCATTTTAAAAGTTTCCTGTTTTGTTGCGTTCAGCTCAGCTTTTGATTGTGGAATAAGTGGGAGAGAATGTTTCTACCTTGTGAAATGAGTTATAAAATTAGCAAAAGTTATATAATGATAATTGATTTATTGAAACTCGTCAGAAATGAATTTTGCATCGAACTGTATTGATCAATTAATGATTAAAATAGCTTACAAAATCCAATCTTTCATTGTAGCATTCTCAGGCAATTGGAGCATACTAATGCTTTTTTGGGTAACTTGAGAGTATCCTTTACATTACCTTACTTAAAAGAACCAACATCAGTCTCTTCCATTTATGAGCCAATATCCTCTCCATTGACTACTTTGATTAATTATTTCCCCTCCTTCTAATTAGTTAATTGTACAACCCTGTTTACACAGTGATTTACTGCAGGTGAATCAAAATCTTCTCAAACAGGGGATTGATCATCAATACATTTAAGCATCTGTGAGGCTGAGATGATTCAATTTTTAGTACCATCGTTAAAGTTGCAATGACACTCAATTACTTTAATGTGTTAAAATGCATGACTTTTTCTTTGGTTTGGGCAGCTACTACTATGGACAACATAGGCATCTTCGTTACAACCTTTGAGTTTCCTTATATTAAGATTTGCTTCAACAAGAGAGTTGCGGAGTTTAGTTGATTTTGTGGATATTTTTAACAACCTGTTTTTGTTTAATGCACTGACGCACTGAAGATTTCATTAAAAGACAAGAATACCTTTCGGTAATCATCATCAAATGAGTTGCCACCTCAACAACCGTTTCAACGTCATTTTGTATCGTATTCTTTACCAAGATTTAGAGAAGCACCAAAAGGAGCTTTTGATTTAATTTGGCGATACAATCCCGAAAGCTTCTTAAGTAGGTTTCTAAAGTCTGTGTCGTTCAATTCCAAAGCTGATCGATCCAATGAGTTTCTAAAAAGCTTATTGTTTTCAAAATCACATTGATTTTGGCATTGCTGTTGCATCGAATGGAAAATTTTAATACTGTTTTCTTCATCGTAGTTTCAGAATGATTTGGATTCTACAAATCCTTCGATGGAAGCTTGTTCATTAGCAGCAAATCTTTTTGGAGTTTTGTTGACATTAGTTCCAGCGATAATTCTTTATTAATTAATCTTCTTGGTACCAACCGTTTTAGCCATTCTCTTGGAAAATAACTTTCGGATGAACGACCAATCAGCACGACTCATAAACTAGTCAATCTTCGTTGAGAGAATTGAGATAATGATTTCTTTAGACTCATCGTGGCCAATGTCTAATCTTGACGAAAGATTAAAAACGGTGCGAAATAGCGATTGCAAATGAAGCGATGTGTCTGATTGAAAAATGAAATGTTTGATTAAGATGCTGATTAGTAGAAATTGCTCTATAAGACATTTGTACCGTGCTTGTGTCAACATACGGTTGTTGCTCTGGTTTTGATAATTATAAACAGCCAACTAGAAGAATAGAGACAGTGAGTGATTAATATCACAATTAACATTAAATTTGAAAGCAACATATTCATTTACAATGTGATAAATAAAATTTTTAAAATAGGGAACTCATTCTTGATATATGAAGCATTAAAACAAAATCAGAGAGATTTTTATGAGATGATAACACATTTTAATTACATATTTCTAACAGAAACGAGATAAGGATCAGGTGTAAATAATAAAAACCATTATGAGAGAATTGAATAAGAATAATCGAAGATATATATAGCCTGAATGTCAAAATTGACTGACTTCACGTATAAGTAGAAGAAGTGAAACGTAAAATGGGAGTACCCTAATGTAATTGTCAAAAAAATTATGAAGTTCAAGAAAATTATCGTTTTGACAAATATAATAACTCTTTTCTCTCTAAATGAAAAGGATGTAATGGTGGATGTTGTTGCAATTTTAGTGACTGAAATGAATATGTAAATTATTTGCGATGTAACAGCTTTCACGGTAATTAACATTCTTTTCTTCAAACATATCTGATAATATTTTTGTATTAATGGTGTCCTACTGGATTGGGCTTTGTATGCTGTATTTTTAATCTAGAGCATCAACATACCAGTCTTCTTTTTAAATTCCTTACCTTTTCTATATTTTGCTTTCACCTTTCATTTGCTCTTTTTTTTCTTGATCAATCATATACACAGATCATATGCTCGATATCAGTTGTTTATCAACTCAAATGGACTAGCAATTTGTGACGTTCCTAGTTGAGTTCTTTCGTTGAATGTTGTAAGATTGACAAATTTGTCGGTAATCTCTTTTCAATCTTTTCATTATTCTCATTCAACTTCTTGAGTCTTTTACCATTTCTCTCCTTCATAAATGTTTACAATCACGTCTAGTTTTAGCCAAAAATGTCGATATGGTTGATGCAATTAACCCATGTTTTAGGCTACGGTCTTGCGGTGTCACTCCCAACAGAATTACTCTCAATACATCTATTTGAATAAAGGATTTGTTCAACGTCAAAGTAGCCAATGACGAAGTCAAGAGACAATTGAAGTACTGAGCTTTCTTTAAAATGGAATTTGTTTCTTTACAACAGATATAACTTGTACTTTTTAAAGTCTAGGTGGCAAATCAAATAAGAAAGGTTATTCAGTTTGATGCCCACGAAGTAATGTAAACCTTAGAACTTCATATTTACACATTGTATCTTCGATCATCAGGCACTTAATCAAGACCACAATTGAACTACGAAGTGGAAATCAAACCGAAAGAAATGAAGGCAATGGCAGAGATCTGATCACCCTAACTCGCTAACGATAGAGGAATAACATATAAGAAAATAAGGCAGAGCTGCGACTAGTACTACCTATGGTTGAATTGCTATTAGATTGACTCTCTGCATTGACGTGCGACGAGTAATTGACTTACGAATGATCACCAATAAAGAACAGTTTTCTCAAAATTGCAGGTTGGGTTCATTTCCGAAGAATCTGTGAGCCTCCTTCACCCAATTTAGAAAGGACAATAATTATCTTTGGAGTAGTGCCCATTCATTTGCCATTGGAATTTTAGAGCGTGGGACAACAACTGCTGATAATAATTCACGATAGTCATCAACAATTTCATATTTTTCATTGGGTTCTTTTTGCTTTCTTCTCGAAATGACTGCTGAGAACCCATTTTGTCGGGGCTCTTCCATGGTATTGATTATTAGATTAATAAACTAAAGAATGAATGGTATCTGAGTAATTCTACGGTGCATTTCAGGAAACCATGTAATTTGGTGGGAGACACATCAAACACAGGGGTGTGATATCTAAGAAGATATGTGCTGGTTTCGATTTACCTTATGAATTGCCATGCGTGAGATATAACTATAATGAGTTTAGTAATGACTCATGTTGTTTTTAGATATTTGTGAATGATTTGCCGATTCAGCTCGTCAGAGTCAATTGTTGGTATCTCCGAACGAACTCTAGGCTCTATATTTATTGGTCATTGCAAATTATAATGAATAATTGTTGGAGCTCAAAAAAAAGACTTCCATTGGTTGCTGCTCGTATACTCAGCCCTCCACTGAGTATCTTTACCCGAGAGGTCTCCGGTGCGAAGTTGAGTCACCGTGCTCACCTCCTGCTTGGTCTTCTGTGATATAATTGTAACTGTCGCTACTCCTCTAACTGATGGTGCGATGTTGAAATTGGCGATGGCTTTTTGAAAGTGAGAATTACAACTGAAGTTGTGAAATATTGTATTCCATTGCAGGATGATCGATTTATGGAAGGCCTCTTTGATAGTGCGGAGAGTAGGAAGTGGATTGGTTCAGTCACTATCAATACATTTGTAGAGATATTCTAGGACTTCAATAAGTAAGGTTACTCCTCTCTTGAATTCTGAAGAATCAATCTAATGATAGGGTTGTCGCAAAGGGATATTTCTAATCATATACTTTTGCATTTGTTCAAATTGGTTGATGGAATGTGATGGAATGTAAAGTAGTATCGGCGCTTCATATGTTATATATCCTTTTGCTCCAGCTGCAGATGACCAAACTACACGGGCAACATGGAAATGAATGTGATTCCGTTGGTTAATGAGCATTTCAACGAATTCTGGATATTTTGCAATGGCGCTTCTGAAAAATAAGCAGCCGCCATAGTTGAAAATGATTCTTACACATAAAATAAAAAGAATTCTGAGTGATGGTAGGTTAAGGCTGCCATGGATCTGTGCTATTGGTGTTGACGCCTTAGCCGCCATGGTGATCATTTTCAACTGTATTTCTCCTGTTGTATGCATTTTCAGGGTTTGAGTGATTGTCACTCCTAAGAATCTCATCGTTCTGATTAGACTATCGTTCGCACCGTGGGTAAATATGAAAAGACTGTTCATTCTCCTGATTTAATTAACTTGATTGGCCATTCAAATGTATCTTTTAGATTTCTTTACTACGGTCAAACTCTAAGCTGTGGAAGGAAGCTCATGGCATGATTTTGTCAATTGCTTTTTGGAGTTTCCATTGCATTTCGCTCAATGTGCGAATTGAGTAGCTAAATAGATGGATTACGTCTTCAACTGAATATACAATTTGTCTGTTTATAACCTTGGATATTGTAATTCAGTATGATAATTAAAAATTTTTGAAAAAGGGAATCCGCGAGGAACTCTTTGATTGTTGCGGTAGGCTTTGGAAATATGGTTGTAGATACTGAAATGCACTTGTTTCTTTGAGTTGAATCATTGAATTATCAAGATCATTTTAAATGGAATTTTGGCTTATACGAATGTTTGAGTTAATTCGTCATTGTCCACAGGATCGGAGAAGCTTTTATCATATAAGATGAGAGTTGACATTATATCGTAACAATCTGAGTTGAGAGTATTTTTGGCTTAAATGTATATACACGCAATGGAGTCTGTGGATCTGTATCCCTCACAACCACCAAAAAGAAATCGAAGCAGATATCATACTGCAAATGCATTCAGTCGTTCCGTTATTGCGCTTTCAATGATTTTGCAAATGTAATGAAATACGCTGATTGGTCGAAAAGTATTTGCCGTCTGGTGGCTGAGCTTCTGATGTATAACTATAAGAATTATTGTCAGTTGTTTAAGGCATCAGAGCAATTATCCAAAGGAACAATCTCAGTTCAAAATTTTGGTATTATATGGATAAGACTATTATTATTACCAACGTGTTGTAGGACTGTAAGTTGATTTGAGCCAGGGCCAGGCGCCGTACTATTTAATGGTTTGCTAATTGTCAATCAAATTTCTAATGTAGCTAGCTTTTTCGCTTTGATGTGATCGTCATCAAGTAAAGTGTCGTTGTTCGACACATCTTGCCAATACGTCTCAAAAAGCATTTGACAACAATTAGGAATGGTTGATCAAGCAGTCGATGAGCTATTATTGAATTCAAAGTTATAATAACTGGCAAATCAGATGATTTTGAATATGCATTTCATAATTGTTCTAAAATTCAGACGTCGGTTTTTGAACTGTTGTTTGGAATTCGGTTTTGAGATGAAGATACGTTTTCCTTTTGTTTGCATTTGGCCATGGAAAAAGGTTGATTTGACTTTCTCTAAGTGATGTATGGAGTTCAGCTAGTTTGGAATCCTACCGCTTTTTGCAGTCATCCAAAACATTGAATGCGGGTATCTGTTGTGTTTGAAGTATGATTAGAAATGTTAGAAAATTGTTGGTAACAATTTCGAGATGTGGTTTATTTTGAAATATTTGCAGCACAGTGAAAACAAGTATTTTATCAACAGTCACATCCCGATTCCCTTAATGAGCATTTTGTGTTGTCTTGGGTAGTCATTAAATTCGAGGTATTTGATATTGATAATTATGTCAATGGCGAACTGATCTGCGCAAACTGTCAAATGCATTGGCAATACCGCAGACCGCAGCACTATCATTGGCGATGCAAAATCTAAGTCAAACGTACTTCCTTTGATAATGGATTGTGCATTTTTGTTTTTTATTTGTTGATAATTGTGTTCTGCTAAACAATTGGCTGCCTCTTCTGCTAATCAATCAATTGTTGCATATGTTGCTTGACATATTGTATGATGTGATTTGAAATGACCTGGTAAAAAATAGTAATCATTAGAGTGAGCTGAAAAGATCATTGGTATTATTTTGAAAGTGATGTTCCAATATCGTTGGTCCATCTGTTTATTAGTTGGGGCACGGTTTCCATTAGAATGTTTATATTTGTTACTAACTAAAATTGTTATAATATATTGTCAGTCACTGATTTGTCTATTAATAATTCAGCTTTTTGAGCAAATGAATTGCAAATATATGAAGCAGCCCAAACTCTCTTCAGTGCATCTCTGATATTTTTGAAGGAGATTTGATTAGATTGAGGAGAAGTTAACAGACCTGAATTATGTTTTATTTCGATGCCTTCTTGAGCAAATATTATATCTGCTTCTGATGTGTGCAGTACTACCGTAAGCCCATTATTTTTTTTTTGTAAAATGATGGCTATGAGTTTAATCATTTTCATCAATTTGGTTATGATGTTTTGCTGTCAGATTTCAGGGCTGTGATTTCAATGTTTGATTATGACGATTGTCATTCAATCTCTGCATTTTCTCCGAATCTAAGTCCGTTATAAGGTCTGTGAATCCTTTTTCAGCAGCGTCGGTTGAGCCTTTATTAGTGGATACACCTTGATTTCTGAATATTCGTTTAATGAAGGAATGTAGTCATCGTCTATAACATCGGCGTCCGTGTCGCTCAATAGAGCATCATTAGATTCACTATAATTGGGGACTTCATCGCTAGATTCATCGTTCTCTTAATTGGAAAAATGATCAGTACTATAGCCAGTGATTAGTGATGCGTATTAAGTCGGTGGTAAAAAATTCCATTTGGGGTTTAACTCATTTCATATTTTTGGTCGTTTTGAAATCATCCATTTTATCAGTTCATTTTCTATCCGTCTTGGTGAATTTCTCGGCGATATTTTTATGAGTTTTCAAAGCTTTGTGTATTTTAAACTGGGGGTAAAATGCCTTCATAGAGAATAGGTCATAATATAACTCGATATCATTCATGGCTTGATGGTATGCGTTATCAATATTAAAAAACAATATGATACTTTCCTTCAGCTTGGGTAAATTATTATGTCAGCTTAGTGTAAGGCTACAAGGCCCACAGACCAATGAGATTTGATTCTGCTGCTACATTTTTTTTTTGAGAATAGTAATCGATTGATGGTTAAGGACTGCATGAGTTACTTCCGTTTTATAGGCCAATCCGTTGTTCCAAGAAACGTGGAACAGTTCAATTGATGAAGATGAAACGGAGTTGTTGAGTATTATTTCCTTTGGTTGTTCTGCCTTGGTCAATCTTTGAAATTCTGCATTCATTTTACCACTTTCTCGATTTGTAACTTGTCAAAATTGTGAAAAATGACTTTTAAACGTTGGTGACTGATAAACTGAATATCCTAAATGACTTGTGGGGAGGCCATTTAATTTATATGTGTTAAGATATTTGCAAATGTATTATGGCAATCCATTTTGTGACTTGCAGAGTTAGGGATATTAGCTGGCAGTTGATGATTTAACCTTATCCAGCGATGCGGCGGATATATTGGCTCAGAATTAGTGATTTTGTAGTATATGAAATTTTCTTAGGTGTTGAGTAGTGGAAGCATTATTATTGTCATCACCATTATTTGAGTGCACAAATTAAATAGACGTATTATTTCCACTAATATTAGCAACATAGGCGTACGATAATTGTTGGTTGGTAGCTACTGGTTTTCTGGGGCATGGAACTACCGACATTACGACGACATTTGCAACTTGATTCCCAATTAATTTGACATCATTAGAAGCTAATTTTTGTATGCCCTGTCTGTATGTTGATTAACTTTTGATTAAAGTCTTTAAAATCGTTTGAGAAATTGAAATAATAATGGTTGCATTTTTGGGAACCACTGGATGAGTCTATTTCATAGCTCTTGCAAGAAAATGCATATGATGTGTGTTTGCATAGAAAATGTCCTTATTTCAACCACTGCTTTTGTAAGATCGTCAAGGGATTGAACTAATTCAGCTAGTTGAGTGATACGAGTGTCTTTGCTATTAGCAAAAGTGTGGATTGTAGTAAAGCTTTGAACAGATAATTTATTTATATTCTCGGACCACTTTCCTTGATTATCATGAACATTGACATTTTTGTTGTTTATGACTACTCGTTCTTGATTGCAACGAGATTCAGCAGCTATAAAAACGCAAATAGCTCCGTCTGAATCAAGAACCGATTTCATGTTCATGATATCATCGATTGCATATCTTGGGTGACCTCGCCAAGCGATCAACAAATGTTCTAACTTTTTAGATATCCAAAGGTAGGTCAGTCAAATTTCTGAATCGAATCTTAACTGTTTGTATTTTGGCTGTCTCTGCTGCAATGGTCAGTCCAGCCGCAAGTAAAGTGCCTATCCCTGGTTTTCACAATATTAGCCTCTCCTTGCTTGTTCAAAAGTTCACTTTCATTTTACTCGTAGGCCTTCAATTCCAGCTCGTTGCTATTCAAAATATTATAATTTGTTCAAGTTCTTAATGTAGTCATATTTTAATGAGATGAAACAAAGGGTGTGCGCCATAACCAATAATTACGGTATGCATTGAAGATAGTAAGTCATTCACTTCAATGATCAAAGTAGTATTAGCATATCCTCGGGAAATTGCTTCTCTGCTCTTGAATATTTTGACTTGAAAGGTCTGAGTGCCTATCACTAATTCCAATGCTATATCACTGATTCAGTAGATGAATTTTATAATTCAGTAATTCTTTACGAAAGGTTTTACACTCAGATTGCGGTGGGTCGGTTATTTTTCTTAAATATATCATACATTTTCTTAATTAATGAGAGGGTCAGCTTTGTTGTTCTTGTAAGAAAAACACAAGCGCCAAGCCTAGTGGGGTTCTTCTATCTTTCAAATAGAACAAATAGCGCTTCCACAGATTACAGCTTTTTGTCGATCTCATCTTCATCGTCCCTTCTGTCCATGTAAATCAAAATCATTCTCCTTGAGGAAAATTACTCATCGTAAGATATAAATCAAAATAAGATGTTAATAAAGCAGTTCAGTATTTCATTTTACTTTTTTTTCGGTTTTTGTTATATAACATTGTAAAGTACTTCATGAAAGTTTGAGATAGCATTGGTGAGTGCTGTGTAATTACCTTTCAATTAGATTGACATTGATCCATAGAGTTATTGGCTTTATTTGATAATGTTCAAATTTAATAGTTGGGATTTGCATTTCTTCTTGCAGTTCCACGATCAATGAATTGCTGTTCATTATATTGATTTGTTTTGTGACTTATTTCTTGAGTCACATCGTTGTCCAGATATCATTCAACGCTTAACTATGATATTATCGACTGTTTGACACTGTTTGAACAAGTGATTTCTTTCTACTTTTCAACTACAAATTACTTTCTTTATATAATGATTGCTATTGAAAAGACTTCGAACATAATAAATGATCACAAGCAAGGGCTTTCAACAATAGCTACTGCTTTAACTAACTGTCGGCTCTTGAGAAAGATATTGAATGATAACGATAAAGATGTTCAAAATATTAACATAATTGTTGGTTTGAGCATCTTCTTTGATTTTTAAGTTAGTATTGATAATGCAAAGGCTCGCGAAACGTTCAATTTAAGTTGGCATTGCCATTGGGAAGCATATATTAGTTCAGAAATCATAACCGAGTTGCAGCTTTCTATTATTCAGATCTGTGCACTTGACAATCGAAGAATCCTGCCTTAAACTTGTCTGATTCAAAAGTTACTAGAAATGTAAAAAGCCCAACGCGCCATTTCAAAGATGTTGAGAATTGTTAAAACCGCGGTGTGCTTCATAATGAGTTCTCTCAAAGGATGTCGCCCTCGTTTTTAATAAAACATCATTATCAAACACCAATCACAAGTAACAGCCTCAACATGACATTGCGGCAAATGTGGATAACATTTGTGAATGAAGTCGAAACTCGTATGGTCTCATCGAAAAAGTTTTATATTTAAAGATCAACACGTTGTTCCAAAGCATTTTAAAGAGCATTGAGATGAAAATCAGATTCCATCAGTGTCAGTTCCAAGAACTCTTTAAATATCTGATCATCTTTGCCAGCAATAAAACGGAAAAGGTCACTGATAAGTTGAATGGAAAAAATCGGTAAAGAATGAAAAGCTATTCATGCATCGCTTCCAAATCAAATTTGATTGAATAAGCGATTACCACTAAAAATAATCAAGATGAAGTTCTCATGTTCACCGAATGCTTAGCAAGTAATTGACAGATAAGTCTGTAAAGTACTTGATCAATTGTTACCGAATTTAGCTTGGAAAGCAACTCATATAAAACAAGTTGATGTTTCGTATTGATGATGAAAAGTCCCAAGCTAGAAAAAAAACAATATGAGCGATAGCACTAGTTATATTCGTGATTCAAGCTTTGAAAGAATTGAAGTGAGATTATACATTTGCATTGCGTCAACACCATAAAGACTTAATGGTAGGATTACACCAGCAAAGCCATTATGGACGAGTTCTTTAATTGAAGATCAGTGTTATCATTTTCAACGATCCTCTGCTAGGAGTTAAGGCTGATAATTTCCAAACAATTTAACTGAACAGCGACAATGTACTACACCTCAAACAACTGATATAAAATAAATCAATAAAATCAACATCTTAGCTTGGAATCGGACATGATAAATTAGTATATGTCACCTGTATCAGATTTCACCAATTTCTGTTGATGATTCAAATGGGAGAGGCAAAAAGTCTTAAATTGAGAAAACATGTAGTGTCAATAATCATGGAGAAACTAGCAGTCATAAATAACTTGCATTGACGTATGTCAATTATCTATGCTTCACAGAAACATGATTTCTCAAAATGTTATATAAACCGCAAATCAATTTTTCATTTGGAAGCGCAGGCGCGCGTCCACATGAAATCAACCGTTACATCTCATTCAACCTGAAAATAGCGCAATTCGTATCATTAATAACGTTTTGAATCTGGCTTTTCCAACACATCCATATCTTTGCTGCTATGTCTCTGCAACGATAGAAGACTCAGTAGGTGATATTAGAGCAAACGATGTGTGTTGAGAGTTCTATCTCAGGTAATAGAAGATGAACGAAGCAAAAGCAGCTTGCAGTGAGAAAACTGACCTGGAACTCCAAAGCGCAATCAAAACATGAGCCAGCATTGGCAAAAGTTGAACTTGTTTGGAAATAATATTCAAAATGATGACGCCGAATCTTATGAAAATATCAAAAGTATTTAATGCACCCCAGTTGATCATTTGTACTGCATTCATTATTATCTTTCTATTATACGGAAGGTCTGGTTGCTCTGTCGACTGCATTCGAATAAATACTTGTAGTACCAAAGAAATACTTTAAAAATCCGAAGATGCAAAGCCGATGTCCAATTTTGCTAAGATATCAATAAAAAGGAGCGCTGCATTTAGCGATCTACATTTCGGATGTCTAGCCGATTCATTCACTCGACATGATTTCTTGGCAATAGCATCTTGGTTGACCAATCAAAATCAATCAGGTTATGTTCAAATTTTCATCACGTTGGGAAACACTATTGAACCATCCACTCATAGAACGATCTACACACATTGATGAATGTGCTTTGTAGTATTGAAATCCCCACTTTCATTTTCATGGTTTCCATGTACAGCGTTGTAGATGTGCGTTATTTGGTCATGAATATAGTCATCTCAATTAACTGGAATATTTCCGACATCGCACACTAACGAGAATCACTTTTTGTGGAACAACAACGTTCAAGACCAAATTGATTAAATCAAATGTTTGTTATAGCATTTGAGATTGTCATCAATCAAATTTGGGGACGATGGATTAGTTTTTGACTACCACTTTAAAGTTCAAGTCCAACTCATTCCAAAATTTATATTTTTTTGCGCAGTAATCAATTATATCACAGTCCCTAAACCAAATCAAAAACATTTCATTGCCTCTATATGTTCAACTTCCCACTGGTTAATTGCAGAAGAAACAAAATCAAGCTGAACTGGGTCAATGACATAGACAATTTTGTATCCTTGCTAATAGATTTGATATCTGCTTTCATCCAAACTATTCTTCAACATAATCAGGTTTCAACGCTTCCTCGGACTGCTGATCATTCAGCCCAAAACCCCATCCTCGTTCAACTCGTTGTCTCCACGGAGGATAAACGGGAAATCCCGCGATCATCAGGGTATTCATTGCCGTAAGCCGGTCACACGCGGGGCCAACCTATCAGTCTTTCTCAAGAGCATGAAGCGACTGCCCAAAACAAAGCTGAATTAAATACGTAAGGATCCAATCAAAACGTTAATTATATGATTTTCGCAGTTAGAACAGATCGATACCACAGAAACAGCGTGGATGATTCCCCATCTTTAAGCAGAACAGTTTATGATCTATTTTGTCTTTCAATGTTGATCTGTGATTATGGGGAGTGTCTAAAGTCGGCCACTCAAAATAAATCGCCGATCTGTTCCCCTGTCGATCCATGATCAAACCCAGTTTTCTTTTAATAGACTTGACGATCCCATCCACACTAGTTTTTTGAAGATAGGTTCTTGGGTGAGTAGATATTTATCAATTGTCTGCAACATGTTTTGGGCCAAGCTTCGAATTCTTGCTGTCCACAATCAAGAAAACAAATCAACGCTGCTAGCTGATATACTAGGGCTTCAGTTTTCAATCTTCGTACGTTGGGAGGTTAGCCCAATGTATCACGGCGTCATTACCGAAGGTCCTAATCATGAACGTGATATTCATTCAGTCAATGTTGAGGCAGCTTAGGATTCATTTTGGGATACGCTGTGCTGTGGGTGAGTAATTCTTGCTGGTCCGCAATAGGTGACTTCAATTTGGTGGAGTAGCCGTGGCCTAATAGTATACCTGCCGAGAATTTATAGTAGTACAGGAGTTGCAACTGCTATTATCAAGACCAGCACACTTAATGTTGGTAAGTGGCTAAATAAAATTTTTAAAGAGAAAAACTACTGAAGATTCTTCATTAATTAAAGTGGCAATATTTTCGGGGCCTGCAATGGTGATCAAATGGTGGGGTTTTTATGCTGCGTCCAATCTAGTCACCACCTAGAGTCAAAACGATTTACTTCATTCCCGGATCTTGACACAGTTCCATTTGCTGTTAGAAATGTTTTGAAATGATTTTCGTTATGAACAATTTGCTGGTCGGTCACGTACATGGACGTAACTCACCTGTAGTAAAATAGCATTGAATAACCTATACCATGAAGGAAAGTAGTGCAGTCGTTTTTACCAAAATAGGCATTTGGATAGTGAGTGTTGTAACCACAGCCAGGGCATGCTGGTTCATCGGTGCCTTGCTATGTATCTGCTCATTAATCCGTTGGGATGTGATCAATATGGATCAGATGCTGATGTATTGGCAGTTGCTGGTAACTATCTAGCTGCTTTGATATCCAAAGTAAGTTATGAAAAAACCAGTGACTTCCATGTAATTCGAGCGAACGCTGATTGGTTGAATAACTTGGACCCTCATTCAAGTTTGATTGCTGGTAGTTGTCACACCATCGTTAATATCAGCGGCTTTGGTACGTTGATGATCGTGAATGGAGGATCATCATATGATGGGATTCACATTCCTCACGATGGTGTTTCGATCACACACGGCGCTGCTAAAAGAAGCGAGGCCCGCATTTCATTCAAAAATGGCTAGGTTTCTCAGAATAAATCATTGCTTGTGAGGAGAGCAGTTTCAAAATTGTTCTAAACATTTGTTGCACCAACTGCTGGTTTGTTAACTGCTACAAATTAGATTGAACTATTACGTCATAGAAATAGACATGATGCAAGAGACGCACCACAGATGCGAATTACTTCGGCGGCTGCTGGCTCCACATGTAAACTTTGTCTCAAAACAAATGCAACTGAAAATAATAATAATTTTTCCGCGGGAACAGCACACTGTGCTGATTGTCTTTTTCCCGGTGATTGTGATGTGTCAATGCCAATTGCTGCTGATAAAAGAAACGGATATGTTGAGAACTTCGGTAGCAATCATTCAGCATATCTGGTTCTCCCTGCATCCGGTAAACGATAATTAGCTGTTCAAAAAGTGAATACTATCTCAAATTTGCTCAACCATTGCTGGGGTAGTGGAAGAGATTTGTCTAATCTACTACAATGTTTTCATCGCAGCTAGAAATGAATTATTGTGAATCTCACAAAAAGAAACATATTTTTCTGTTTCGTTGGTCTTCTATTAGTTTTGGATTGTCGAACTTTGGCGCAAAAAATTAAGAGAAAGTGAACGAAAGTGGCGCGTCAAGATAACGATCCCGATTATCTGTTCTATGAACCTTTTAAGTCCGCGGTGCTTATCATAAATGCGACCTTTGCCAACGGGGCCACTCAGTCATCAATCCATCTTATTTAATATATACAATTCAATCAACTACAGCATTGCTGATGGACATTCGATCCCGCAAATACCTGACGACTCCAACCCAAATTTCGTTAACCAAATCAGAAAATGGAGCTGCGCTGTGTGTCTCTTTGAGGCAAAAATTGTTGAAGATGCAAACAATACGTTCAACCACGAAATTTGTTGTGGTATACATTTTTGTTTTGATGCGTTGAGGATAACAATTAATTGTTTGAAGAACTAATGGTGGCTGCTATTGAAATGGCAATCGCATTATTGCTAAAGATTCACAATCTGCTGCATGTGCAAAAGCGGAAGATTCATCAACTGCTTACAATAGCAAATTCAAAAATACTAGAAGTGCTTCAAGCGTTTGGGCAACAGCTTTAGCAGAAAAGTCAAGAGATATTTTAAATGAAGTAAATGAGTAATCTGCATCCAGTCACATCATAAACGTAAAGAAGCTGCCAATCACTCTGATTGGACTTCATTGTAATCTCCTTCATCGAGAACTGTCACAAAAGAAGGTGGTGATGCTAAGACTAGTGCTAAGTTTGATTGTGGCCATGAAGCAGCTGCCAAAGCGGTTCGTCAAATACGTCGTGGTGACAATGAAAGCAAACGTCACTGGTTTTAAAAAGATTCAAGATATAGAATTAAGGGAGGACTGATCGAACGTATAAAATGCCTGCATTCATTGCTGCTACTGCCGTCAATATGAATGCGGCCAAACAAAAGTTCAAAATTATTTCCTATTCAAAAGTTCAAACAATTAGTGATATCTTCCATATTGTTTGAGTTGTGCATCAAGTGAAAAGCTGACTTTAGTTGCGCTTTCGGAGCTTTAGGGCACTTTGCAGCAACTGGTGACCTTTCTAAAACACCAATAATTGCCGAGAGGTCCTCTTGACTTAAGAAAAGGAATTAAAGAAAAAAGCTTAGCACATTAAGCAGATAAAATCATAAAGAAGCCCCCTGCTGAAATACTGTAAACTCTAACGAAGGATCATCAATTTGATTTGGCTGGCGTTGTTTATGAATTTGGTATTGACGCTGAATTGTACAAGAATGATTTTTCTGTATTCATAAGTATTATATATCGTATGAATATGAGAAAATTAAACAGAACATTGAATGAACTCGAAAAATTATGTATTTGTTGAAAAAAATGATAATATAGTCATCTCAACCGACTGCGTTTCAAATGCCACAGCCGAACATATACAATTGATTTGTCCCGGAGCAGACAACCCCGCCATATTGAATTATGTCTGAAACATTGTGTAATTGCCACATATTCTGATTCAAATGGCTTAGGAATGCCCTCACTTATTTTGCTTTGTTTAGAATAATCGATGTTACCGAACACCGAGGGGTAATTATTGGACCGTTTGCTCTTCACAGTAACCAAAAGTTGCTGTTTCTGAAAACTCTATTGGAGGCCGACCACTGAAAACATTGGAAATCACACGTTTCAATGCCAGTAAATACCAAAGTTTATAGCTCCATTCAACACGCTATTGGTAACTGACAACTCGCATCAAGCTGCTCCACCGTCGTTCTTTAGCAGATCATTATTTTGATTGTTGAGTTTGATACATGTTCCTACAAGTTGAAATTGCCTTTCTAGGTTACTCAATTCATTTCTCCGCAGGCCCTTCCACATCCGCTTCTTCATCCTTTAAAAGGTTTTGGCGTACCCAAAAGAAATTTGGATATGTTGAGTTTCTCCTTGAATATTCAGTTGATTACAAAAAATAATCACTTGTATCAAATGCGCCATAAAATGGTAAGGTTAAGAGAAGTTTCAATTGAAGTGACGTAGAGAACAGCACCGGCCCTGCCATAAGCAAGTAAGTTGCACTACTGACCGGCGTCGCAGCCAACCGATGAAAAAGCATGAAGGCGATTGAGGGATCTGACTGATCCCGAGCGGTCCCGCCAGCTCGAACTAAGCAGAACGGAAAAAATCTGTCCGTTCAGCTCAAGTTTTGAAAAGTGGTGAGTTGTACGTTTTGCAAGCAGAAATTTCCTAATACATTAAAATCGATTAATAGCAGTTGCTTTCAGATGGGCGCCAAGAACGTTAGCCTGTCAGCCCGATGCTGAGTTGGTGATTTGCTTGGAGCCACCCACTGTTCTCAATCACTGATTAGGTCTTACATGCGTACTTCTAAACAAAATCAATAGATGTGAAAGAATGAAAATGTAAACAAATATTAAGTAGAACAATAAGTTTGAAGGTTAACACATTTGAATACCAACGAAACATATTACAATTAAAAATGAAATCCAGTAGCTCAATCAAATTGTATTCATCGTTGAAACATAATTAAAACAGTGGAACACCAATTCAGTAGCAATCCCTTACCAAACTGATCTGCAAATCGTAGAATCACAAAGAATTGGATATAACAGAATCAATGTGATCAACAAACAAAAAAAGTTGAATAAATGATTTAATAAAGCAATTCATATTTCAATTCTTTCAGGGAAACACCAAGCAGATCAACCAAAATATCAGCGACATTGATTATGCTATCAACTGTTATAAAAAATAATCAATCATTCTCCATCCCTTTCATACACTCTTATATTATTGGAATGTAATTCAAGTATGTGCAGCTGGTTCGATGGCATCGCAAGTGGATACCCGAATTTTCACTGCACTAAAAATGGGGAATCCTTCAGTGGTACTAACAGTATTAATGACCTACTGGAAAAGCATAGCATTTTACGTAGACTCTGATGCAGAAGTCCATTGCAGTTCACAAGTTGCAAACCACTTGAGTGCAAATTCGTTGAAGTTGAAGCGACAAGTTTGTCATTTTTAACGATCTTTAACCACAAAGCCAGTTACGTATTCCCAATATATCCAGTTCAATAAAATTGAAACTACTTCACAAAGATAGTCGCAAATGCGCATTTTCAAGGAAAAGTTAATGGTCAAATACTTTGGGATCCTTTAGCATAACGTAAGTAGCCGGTGCAACGTCCTCCATGATAACGCCGGGAAATCCCAAATACAACAACAATGTCATAGTGTAAACATCTTGCAGCAAGAAGCAACGAACACCACAATGATCAAACTAATGGTGATTAATCAAGAAAAGATTCATAACTTTCTCTTTGATGTCGAATCTCATTTTAGATCATCATTAATGACGTAGCCAGCGAACCAGACTGATTTGTAATTTAGAGATGAAATACCAAATTGATGTTAGTGCTCATGCAAATATGAAGTCATTTGTGATTTTCACCAACTGCATGCCCATGAATCATCTTCCTCGATATTCAAAAGTCAGTTATTGCTCACAAGACGAAAAGGAGTGCATTCGAGGGCATCACCATTGGGCCGAATAAAACAGCAAAAATGGAGCATCCAGATGGAATTTTAAATTTCAGTGATATTTGTTGAATCGAAGCATGAGCCCATGATGTGCGGCTGTCGCTCCATCTCAGCGAAAGGATTGGATTTCATGAGTCATCTTTTGCCACCATAAATTCAGATGTAGTGACAGTCCAAATCCTCTTTTGACGACACTGCAATATTTCAGAGGTCATTCAGCATTAAAAGATGTAGAAGGCGGTTTCACGGTGAGTTCGGTGAACATTTCATCCTGAGAACAAATAGGTCGCAGATCCATTCTGTGATTCGCGATTGCGTCGGCTGCTGCGCATCTAAAAACAACCTTCACAGAGTGCTACCATAACCCAGGACAAATTCATCGATATAATATATTTTACCAATCAGAGAGTGGCCTTAGGCAACCAGTTCGGGCTTTGCAGAATCACCAGTCGCAGCAGACTTTACAGACTGAACTAAAGAACAGCCAGCAGCCGATTCCCTGAGGAAGCATTAGCCAATTGATTCAGTTATTATCATGAAATATGTAGAGCCCTGCCATACATGTTACTTAATTGATTGCATTCTAAAGATATGCATTGAGTGAGTTCCACAACCCGGACCACGGCCAATTATCCGTAATGCGATCTGTCTGGATGGAATGTCTCGGATCATTTGCAAACATCCAAGAGTGTTTCTTTGGCATCAAAAGTTTATGAGAAGCTGTGGTGATTGCAGCGTGCGAATTGACATTTATTGAGCACCTCTGCAAAATTCATGAATTTCGTCTTCAAATCTTGTGGAAGAAAGGAATTCATTTTACCGATCTCTTTTCCTTTGACTACCTCATTGGCTGCATTATCTGACCAATTGTAAATACTCTGAGTAGTTCCTTCACGATTCTCATTTGAATTATTCGATGATGTATCTTCGTTGGCCGTCTCCAACCTATTTCATGCACTTGAAATTGTGTTATTACGTTCTTTAATAGCAGTTGTCGGGCAGCGCCCCCTATGCCCGGCAGCAATACATCTTTTTTCAATTGATGATGAATCAGCTGTGCCAGCAGCATAATAAGCTAAATTAATAACGAAAATCTTTCAGTGACTACAGGGATAATGTCAGCTGAAAACACCAACGCAGATTGGCGCTTTGACGACCTTGTAGGATTCTGGGTTAATTTGGCGGTGAGGAGCAGCACTACTTCACATTCTCTTGCACTACTTGTTGTAGCAAGTCGGCCTAAAAGTCATGGATACCGCAGGGAATCCAAAATCGTCATAAATAATGACAGCTTATTTTAATGAACTAATAAGTTCAAGAATTGTGGTGAGGAAAGCGTCATCTTTGCAGGTAACGAAATTCATCAAAGACACCATCTAATTCACACAATCAATGCTGTAATATTCAGGAACACCTATTCTAAATAGCAAAATCTTGCTTTTAGTTCTGATTGCTAGTTTTCAACGATGAGGAGCCTCACGATGATGAGACCGGTGAGGTTCTCACAACGCCTTTTTGAATCGTTCTGTCATGCAGTGAATTTGAGGGGCTCCGAAGCAAACTAATAATCAAATGAGTGAGTAATTTTTGTGGAGACCAATAAGAGAGGAATATATTTGTTTTCTATATATTCCATTCTTCGAAAAGACACTTACGGTGTGGCAATCAAGGCCAATCTAACAGATCTTGCGTTATGATTAACAATTGAACGAATTTCTCAATTTCATCAAGAGGAGCAACTGGCGTTGGCTCAGCAATGTCAGGATAAACAAAGACCCGCTCAGCTGTCCGCGGTCTTATAATCAGCTTATTTATTGCATTTGCGTCATTCCCTCTCTACCAGCTCACATCTTCAACTTTCACCAACAATATCTTTTTGATTTTAGTTATTTCTTCAACATCAGTTTCACCAAAGAGACCTAATCGTTTATGCTAATGATTAGTGATTCCCCCAACAACAGATGCTGCAGCGAGCGATCTATAAAATCTCCAAGTAACTAATTTTGCTGCCAAATCACCATTTAAATGAAATCATCATTGTTGAAGAAAGAAAAGACCCGTTTATTCTCAGAAGCGGTCCTTGAGATACAATCTACGCTAGAGCAACTAGTAATAAATTTTACTGAGTGTCCACCATTCAGATGCAATAGCCGATCTAATTTTTTTATGTTCAACTGTTATCGAACCAAAATCAGAAGCTTCACCACAAAGTGAGGAATTGTTGATGCGGTACTCCACCTTTAAGAAAGAATGTCGGAAGCACCCAAGTGCAAACGAACCGATTCGAACTAAAGATGGGTTTTCTAATTACATTCAACTACGCAGAAAAATGTAACTCATCTATTATAGGGCTATCCGTGGCGGCTGCGGCGGATGCATCGGCCAAAACAGAAGCCAAAGCATTCACCTTTTGCGGTGGGTTAATGGTTCTTGCAAATGTCTATTTCACTGACAACGTTAAAATGTTACTCTTTTTAAATCGGGCTCTTGAACGGTTGCCTAAGAACAAAAGGGACAGCTGTGAAACCACGCCACCCGCAATTGCATCATGAACAAGTTGCTTAGGCAAGAATAATCCAACAGTTAACATCAATTTATCAAAGTTAGCAAATGGAGTGACAGTATGTTCACCGAGCGTTGAGTCCGACATAGAAACCAGGTCGTATACCGAGGTCTTAATCTTGATTGTAGGCATTGCGTAGATTGCATTGAAGGTCATTAAGGGACATACACTGAACATTATTATCGAATAATGTTGGTCCTCGCAAAAAAAAATACCTGACCTGGTAATGATATTGGCGGCTTTCAACCCAATTCCACCAGTTAGCTTTGCTAAGTTAACTGATATCCTACTGTCTTATGACCCATAATGAAGCGCCTCCACCATTACTGCTAGAAAAGATTGGCCACTAAGCAAGGTATTGGCAATGGAACTCAATGAACCATTAACTGGGCCTGAAGCAATATCACCTCTAAAGGAATCTATTGTTTGAAAAAAGCTGGAAGCAATGGACCAGCCTTAGCTAGCGTTAAATTTAATTTCCAAGCTCCGATATTAGTGTTTGCATCGTCCACGACTTCGTCTGACAATTACTGAGGAACTTCTGCGTTTTCACTAATAGCCTGTTGTGGCAAATCAAGGGTAAAACATTGGAGTAAAACTTACATAATAAAAAAGGGAGGTGAAATAATTGCCAGCTCATTTGATACAAATCAAAGTCAAAGGGGAATCTTCATTGGCAGTAGAGCGGCGATAGATTGCAAACAACCAAATGTACTAATCGGAAAGGCTCACAGATGCAATGTCGGCGGCACGCGCTTTTGAGTGGATTCGAGTCCTAACCACCGCTATTAAGCATTGCTATTTGGGACAATGCAACTTTCAGTGAGAAAATTGGGGGCTGAGTTACCACTGCATTGTCGGTTGCCCTACGGCGGCTCCCTGAATTAAGCGATGAAAGCGGCATGAGAAGTCTTTAGCTTTCGTTTTAAAGAACGTAAGCAGGTCAATTTGTGAGCAATAGTTTTGCAGCAATCAAAAAGACTGTTTAATGCATCAACTGACCGGCCTATAATCGTGGACATCTGAATTATTTCAAAGGTTTTAATTAAGTGAAGTCGGTAAAAAAATAGTAAAGACACATCACATGTAAATACAAGTACATGGTAAAACAAATGTTAAGCTTTCAAAAATAAAAGTTAACATAGCAGTTCATGCATACTGTCATGCTAATAGTAGCAATATTTGTGGTGTTTTTCAAACGATTGCGCGACGGAATGGTAAGAAAATTAACAGGAAATCAAACAAACAATACGATTCGGATAAATGCAAGAACTGAAGACTTGCAAAATCATAACCATTAACTATACACAATAAATCAGCTTAGCCATCATGAGACGTAAAGGCACTGGCGCTGAGCTACAAAGTCAAGATATCCGCAAGATTTGCTTTTGGCTCTACACCTGCAAGAGTAAAAGCAGCATTGCCCAATTCTGTTATAACAAGCATCCTGATAAATCAATGTTTACTCTTCTCAAGAAATGCTGGATTGTTACCAAAGCTCATTGCTTAATTAATATGCAGTGAATAACGCCTCTTTTAAAAATCGTACCAATATAATGACGGACCCACACCAGTGACACAGCTTTTTTTACCTCGTCAGTTGTTGCAGCGATTTCACCATCACCAGTGAGCAAGGCACGTGACAACTCATTATTGAGATCAATGTAGCAGTCGTTAGATCGATATAAACAATATATTGTGCAACCAAAATTTCAGATGCAATGGTCGGCTGCCCATTCACTGTGAAAGAATTTGACGAACACAACTACAAAGATCTTTGTATGCAGCAGATAATGGTTGATAATTTTAATAGGTTAGGACCTCTTCTTCATCACTGAGATCTGTCAAGGTCTGTCTTCATTATTGTATTCCATAATACCTAACGGCAAATGCCATACCATCCCGGAATAGATTGCTTGCAAAAGCAGCGATCCCATATTTGAGCAGCAAAATGATATTATCTGCCAACTCAATTCCCAACCGTCGGTCTATCCGACACCGTGATTTGGAGAATCATCTGTGGAATGGCCTGCGACTGAGACAAGATGCTCATAAAATGTCGAAAACAGACCCCGATGCAGGTCCTCATTTACCACACTGTATTCTGGTTACTATGAACAGCATGGAATTTTAGGAATTGTCGCAAGCATTGATGGAACGAGAACTACTCTCAACAACGATGAAAATTATGATTTAACATCGTTGACTTTTGCCCCTAGAAATGGGGCAATTTTGAAATAGACCAGATGGAATTGGAGGATCCAGTGATATTTCATCATCAGAAATTAATGAAAGAACGTTCCGCTGATCTGATGTCGACGGAAGCAATTGGAGTTGACTATTCCGTTGCTTGTGCCGGCCCAACGGAGTTTGCTTCTGGCGATGCTTTGATTCAGAAGTATCAAATACTATATGACCCGGCGAGCGTTAGAAACAGCTGCAATCTGTTTCAATAATGTTTGAGCATAGCAACTACCATTAATCAAAATCGGTTTTACATCCATTCGATGTACTTGAATTCTCTTTGATGCGCAACCGGCAAGAAAGACTGTAGCACTTCTGTGTCTAAATACTGCGCAAATTCATTTAGCCCTATGAACTCCTTGATGACAAAGAAATCCGCAACCAACTAGAATGTCTTTTGCATAAGCACGCGCTGGAGCGGTCTTTAATGAGGCACAACTAATGGCATCCAGCACCCCTTCTACTGACAAAAAGATTGACAAACAATTTGAAATGCTAACAATCGCTGTCTGAATCTTTGAATGTTCGCCCAATTTGTAAAATTAAATTGATCAGTCTGGCTCCGAACTCCCAGCGGCAGAATATGAGCCAGCAAAAATTAACAGCAAAATTCACCATATGAAAGTTCTTCTATAATCAACTTACCATCATGAAGAATGGTTTAATGTCCTGAAAATTGTTTTCCGCAGCGCCTTTGGTGCCAGCAAGTTGGTCAATACTTGGTTCAGCATTGGTGAGATGTTTCTGGATATCTCCTTTAGATCTGCGGAAGCAATTCATAGAATTGATTTGAATTCATCGCCATTGGCTTCAACTATCTGTTTATCATCTGTAATAGTGGGAATACGGTCATCTCTTTCAATTGAAGCATAGCTTGTTGTAGCATTGAAAGCAGCCGCCGAGATAGAAATGCTGTCCTCGAAATATTCAAACCATTTGTTGATGTCAATCATTGCATAATTGAAGCGGATGACGGAGGCCCCTAATGACATCATCTTCCATAGCAGATACATCCACCGGCAATGGATCTGATTGTCTGAAGGAGGCAAATGCTGGATCATTGAAAGAGAAAGTGGTTGTATAAAATTCACAACATGATTCGACATCAACACAGCTGTTGTTGACATTGACGAATTCATCGGTCTTGCCGCCGATGTATTATCCAACAAACACATATTGAATACTTACATCACCTTTCTTATTGCGCGTGATTTGCTTAGCGAACGCGGCATAAAAACACCATCCAAGCAGCTTCAATACAAAGAAAACCTCTTTTCGTACGACTAATAGATCAAAATCATGAATCAAGTCATGTGCTTCTTCGGGGCTAAGGTAGTTCACCAAATTCATTGATGAAATCACAGCTTGATTCAGCGAACAATCAAGAACAGCGTCTTCGTTTAGCAAGGTCCTGGTGATTGTCATGGTTTTATTTGCCTGCGCTAGATGTCCTCATTTTATAAGACTGATACGGAGCTGAAATTCATCAATTGATTACTTCAGAATGACAATCATTTATCATCAGGATGCATGCATTCTAGGTACCTGACGACTACGGTGAAAATCTGTTCGTCACAAGATGTGAAGCGAACATAATATAGGATATGATCTTGGCAGCAGCATCTGGTTAGGTGGCAATCGCAGAAGCAACACGATACCATGAGTAATCATCAGCAATGGACACAACAGAACGACGTTTAGTAACAGCAACAACTGCCTTTCGCCTGACTTTTTCAACCAGAAAAAAAACAAGCGCTGCAGGCGGCTGTTTTATAGACGATTAGTGAGTCGCATTAGTGGCTATTGCATTTTGAGAAGACTGTGTCATTAAGCCATGAGAATCCAAAATGCGATCTATCTTTACAATATCACTGGCGATATCCTCAATTGGATGACCTCATTGTTCAACCAATTTTTGTACACTCTATGGCATCAGCAGATGGAACTACCAGACATTCTCACAGTCCTAAAGGACCTCCAATTCCATCCAAGCACTATCAAAATAAACACCAACGTCTTCGAATAAAAACCAACTTCTTCATTAATCTGCGGAGAATATTTATACTGATTCGGCTCGCCCGGTAGCCTGACAACTCTTTTCTAATCTTGCTCCAATGGAAACTGAAACAATACAGCTTGTTATAATAAGAACGATGCTGCCACGTGATTCATCTATGTGACCCAAATTAGAAGCAAGCTCGGTGAGCTGATCAGCGGTTGCACTTAAATATTGGCGGACACTGCAATCCAATCAAATCGTTTTGGAGTTTAACATCGGCTTTCATGTTTCCTTTCAAGGCAAAGCAAACAGCTCTCATCATGAATTGGTCCATGGGGAACAGCTGAAGCGGCAGATCCATTAGATGGTGTTGATGAGCCGCAGGTAAGTGTCTTTGCTAACGATCACATACTAGCCACTTGTGCCTGTTATGACAACGAGCGCAACTAATTGAGTTTGCCTTCTGCCTTTTCTTTGCTGCATTAACATTAGATAAGAACGCTGTGTCTTCAGCTACTGGATAAAGCATCTTCAGCAAAATATTCTGCCTTCACGATTTCACTAGCAAGAAACTTTTCGTGAAGCTAAGTAAATTGCCTGACAGGTGTTTGGGCCGAAGTGCAGTGGCATGTTAAAACAGCGGAGCCAATAACTGCAACTGAATCATTACTGTGAAACTTCATGATTGATCAATTGAATCACAAGAGAAACTATTGCAGTTTCGGCAGGTCGATAACAAATTTCAGCACATATCTGGTTGAAGGGGTCGGTTCATCGTATTCCCTGCTTCGCCGATAAAAGTATTGTATTCCTTCCTCAAATTAGATGATACGTGACGGCCATACCACGATCCATCAACCACCAAATACATTTAATCCTCAACAAATCAGCCGGCATGCAAAATATAGCAAGTGGAATCCAACCACAATTAAATATTGCATATGTCCACATGTTCCGCAGGCGTAAGCTGTTCATTCAGTTGTGAAAAGAACATTCGACCATACTACCCAGCTTTTAAAACAAAGCGCAAACTCAAATGGTTAAAGTTCACTGCATTCTTTAGATTCTCTTATTTTCAACACTGAATATTTCTATTTTCGCTCACACCCTGCTGTGTCAAATCAATAATCGTGGCATACAATAAACTACTCTATAGAAAACCCTAATTTCAAAGAAATAGCATGACTCTTTATTAGGAGCTGGGTTATATCACAAAGAGTCACGGGCACAACCTGATAGGAGATGGCGATGATCCAAATCTATATGAGGAGAGAGCTCTCAACGCTGAATGACGCCCCTCACAAGGACAATAAAGTGGAATTGAATCTTATCGGCAGCTTTGCCTGCGAAGAATTTTGCGAAAGGCAAATCGGACTTTCTGAAATGCTGGTACGTCCGTTGGTCACGGAAACCAGTTCAAACTCCTCAGGAATTGATGGAGAAACACTTCTTTCTTTAAACAGCTAGAACGTCACCGGGCTTGATTCTGTGATTGCCTATCTTTTTGTTGGCCGATACCGATGGTTTTCAAAAACGATTTGGCTAAGAAATCGAAATGTGATTGAAAAGTGAGGAACTAACGATTAGAAGAAAGTAAAACAAACAAATGAATGGAAGATATCAAATGAAAAAATCACAATTAAATCTTTTGAATATGATCATATACATATCTGGATATAATCAATTCGTGCAAGCAAACGATCTTCATCGTTCAAAATATATTATTACAGTCAATTAAACAAAATAGTGAGACCACTGTACCAAAGTGGTCACGAAAAAAATCCATCGACTATGATCAAATGAGGTTGAACCTATAAATTGCAAAAATGCTACAACCGTCAAAATCCCACAGTCATAAGTGAAATTTATTAAAGTACTTATATTCAGGTGCTGTGAGCACATTACCATATTTATTCTCAACGGAACTGATGTCGGATGTTTTCATTCCTTTCTATTTGGTTTAATAAAAATGGTGCATAGTAACACAAACTGACTGTCGAGCATCAAGAGCTGCACTCGATTCAGTGTCACCGTATCCCATTAACTCATCCAATAATACCGTTTGTAAAAAACATCTCTTGAACAGCATTTCAAATGGCTCAGTTGTCTTTCCGAACATGTTAGGTGGATCTGGATTAGTCCCTCAAGATATCGGCTTATCTCCCTTGCAACAACTGGAACATCATCCGTCACCAATTTGCAGCCCAACCCAAACAGCAATTGAATCATTTGAAATTTATCGATTATTGAATATATAATTAGTAGCCATCACTTTTTTGTGCAAGCAATAATTTGTTTACTAATACCAGTCACCCTTCAAATAAGCGTCATGCGCTTCATTCATTGACAGGATCGGTTTGATGTTAATCTTATTGCACAGCGATCCCTCCGTTATATTATGGACCAGCAAGTCCAAGTACTGAGTGCAAAATTACTGAAAGGTCAATTGTTTTGAACAACAATGAAAGCTGTAAAACTCCGGTTTGATCATTGAAACGAGTAATTCGGGTAACTAGGTCTTCGGCCTGCAGAGCTTAATTGCAATGCTCTTTGCTTTGTGTGAGATAAAAGTCACGATGTCTAGCAAATCCTTTTCGAAACATTAATAAATAGAAGCATCCTTAGATTTTCCAACCCTAACAGATTGCCCAATGTACTAGTGCATCAGCTGATCCGTGCAACCTTAGTACTTTGAACAGTTAGTCAACATTTGAACAAAATTGAGATTCCACCATCTCAATTTGGCGTTTATGACCATGAAGATGAGCAGCCGCGGCAGTAATTTCATTGACCTTTATTACTGTTGATGAACAACGGCCTGGAGAGCTTAGGCATTCTAACACTACATTATTGGAAGGGATGTTCTCGTGTATTGAATCTGATCAGGCTGAATGAACCTTTGAGCCGCTCTCCTTGTTTCTGGCAAATTCAAAATTGGTGTAGACCCCTTTGTGACCACTCAATGCCGCCCAACAAGGTGTTCTAGTAGGTAAATGAACCGGCAGGGTGCTATTGATTTCATCGATTGACCGACGTTCAATTTGGTAGGGTTTCTCGCTAATTGAGTCGGCAAAATTTTGTTTGGAAGAAGGAGTCGCTTTTAAAAACTGGCCAAACAGGTCAGAAAGTACGTTTCTTGAATCCTATCCATAAAATTTTGTCTAAACATCCTAAGAACTTTAGTATTGCCATGCAGCTATTAATGACGGCTTTCTTCGTAGCCGAAAATTGGTTAATTGGATTGCAGCAGCGGTGTGAGCATTCTTAACCACGTTCTCAATATCCGTTGATGTTGCACATTTAGTTGAACGGAGAAGTTTGTTAACGGCAGCTTCGTTGGATTATTCATCTGAAAATAGTGAGTATAATTTAAGATCTACATTGGTTGAATTCCTTCAATTTTGACTTGAAGCAATCCCAAATATATTTGACACATTTGTTACTCTGATTTGATTGCCGTTTTTAGCAGTTCACACACTTAGCACCGCTTAGCAGCTACAGCAACACGTGTGACAGCAAGGACAGCAGAAAGTGATGGACTGATTGACAAGAACAATCAATCCCTGACAAAGTTTCTCTTCCAATCACCTGACAGGATGCACTTTAATGGATGCCAGTCCATGGAGAGTTCAACCCCCAGACCGTTTGAAATTAATGTGCATCCAACAGATGCACCAAAGATACATTTATCACCTAATATCGCTTCTTTGATTGCTCTAGGATTCATGGCCTACCAGCATGTCTAAACTGAATGTACAAGCACTGGATAATTCCGTTGCATAATATAATTCAACTATCATCACCAACCGAGAGCCATGTATGACGGGAATCAAGCGGATCAAAGACACTACCGACAACACAAGATCATTCGCCAATGGTCAGCTGCATTAAATTAAATTATGAATATTTCGCGAAGACTCTTCATTGATTATTGCCAACATTGACCTCCGCCATTCGGATGACAGTAATATGAAACTGGAAGTCCATTTGTGATTTCTACAATTTGACAAAATGATTTCAACAACTTCGTTGCACACTCATTATCGACGGACAGCATAAACAGTCCTAACCAAAGATCGTAGAATAGCTTACAAGTAATATTCCAAGTTGGCGTACGCAGTCCATAGTCCAGCCATCGGAGCAATTGCAACATTTCTGGAAGAATCAGACCCAGCCCACTGCTCAATAACGTCAGCTGGTAGAAGACCAAAAAGAGTGGTAGTTAAATTTGCAGCCGACTAGTAGGTCATATTTGTCATTGTGCTTTTCTGACGAAACATCGAATCAAATCTACAAGCAGCCGAAATGCGAATTGCTTTGTGAATATACTGTAGAAACCTTTAGCACGATTACTTGATGTTTTGCAAACTCCTATTCATTAGCTGACCAGCACTTGGGGCTCTCAGTCCTTAATAATATAATGGGAGTGGATTACTTCCGGCCGAAGCGCAGTTCATCCAACCAAATTATTCCAAATTGGATTGACATTTTTTCTATTGTCAACTATAATCAACTTTAATTTTGGAATATGGCACATTTAAAGATTTTTAAACGACCCACTATTTCGATGCCTCACAGTGCTAGTACATTTTAAATCATCCTTTGTGTCACTAATTCCAGCAATGCCATTTCATTGAGAATTTGGAACGCTAGGTGACTTTCCTTTCACATCATCCTCAGAGGCACTAATGTTAACATAAAGTTGTTTGACGTTTAACATCGACTTTTAAGATGCTTTCCTTGCTGATAGAACTAGCTACTCATCAGCTATTCTGCCATTGAAACAGCAAAGGCAGCAATTGTATTCGCTAAATCTGATGGTCTAGCAGAAGCTGGCCATGGTACCAAAAAGGCCTTATTGAACTTAATCAATTTCTGATAGCGGTAACACGTTATATTTTTTGACAGAGCTAATTTCAATGGTGTTGTATCTTAACAGGGTGACTCATCTAACTCGAGGTACCAGCGCACAAATCGTCAGCAAAATATTTAATTCACCATTTTCATCACTAATAGTAAGGTTTCAATGTCCGCTGATTTCGGCATTATTTGTTTCTGCGAATCAGGTGTGGCAGACTGTAACAGCAAATGAATAAACACATACTGATAAGGGTTTATGACCTTAAAACTACGGCAATATAGTTATATAACAAAGTTATTCTAATAACTGCAATTGGATGATGTATTCGCCCATTCATTTCGTGTACGTCACCTCGCATTAATATCATCATACTCAACAACAATTCAACCAAGAAGGACTCTCAACCCATCTAATTCTTGAGTATAGTACCACTGATTGAGATGAAACTCTTGCAACCAATCCAAAAATAATCTGCTACTACCCAACAAAAATGAATTGAAACTGAATGGAACCTTTTAAGGTGTGAAACAACTCATTCAAAAACAATAACGGGAGTATATCTAAGCCGCTGATTTATCAAATTCAATTGAGCTGTTTCGAGAATCACCCCCATAGCCAAAACAGCGATGATTGCAGCATCTAATCTCTTTCTTTATTCTGCCATGCAAACGTTTCCAACTCGGCTCCTAACCATTAGTAGCCGGTGATGGTAATATATCACGGTAGGAAAGCATATGAGAATGAAGAGCACAGAATTGATTACAAGTGTGGTTTATGTTGTAAACCTGGTTAAATCAAAGTGGCTCACAAAAGCCGTCAAGTGACTGAAAAATTGAACAGAATGTCACCCTCTTGGAGACCGGAAGCAGCTCCCATTATCCGAGGAACTAGCTCTTGATCGATTGTGTTGGTGCAGTCCAGCACTGCAGTAGACCGGCGTGGAACAGATCCAGTTGACTGGCGCGTTAACAGGTTTCTCTGCAAAATATGATTTCCAAAAAACCGCAGACAGGGTGAGTTGACCGGGTTCCAATCCCGAATACGGCTTTCCACAACCCAACATTTTGGGGTGACGTCTTTGGAGCCTACACAAATAGTCGCGTCACTGATGCACGTGGGGGGATCTTGGAGCTGTGCAAGCACAGACGCATGGAGCTGCTTCTGTTTTGTGGGGGACGAATATCCCAATGCCGCATGGACATTCTGCATTTGTGTGCTTTGACCGGCACCTTTTTCTGCGACCCACGGATCAGCCCGTCATTGATTAACACCTATTCAAAGTAATCAGCAATATAGCTATAAATGAATATAAAAAATCAAAGACTAAGAAACTGTGACTTATATGCTAATGCTTTGCAATACCAAAACCAGCAAGTAGCAACCGTATTGAAGCACCAGCGGTACGTTGAAAGGTGACACTAATAATAATTATGATAGCGCAGTCAGTGTCTGACTTTACTAACACAAGGAGTGAAAAATTATCTAAAACCTAAACGAACGATAATAAACAGCTAAAGCTAACCCGATTTAATCAGGAATGTCTCAGTCATGAATAATGGAATTGTCGAGGCAACTCTTTTTCATACGATACCGCTGGTGCAGTAAGCGCGCTGGGTAAGAATCTGCCTGATTAGTATTTGGTATCAACAGCTGCAAAAAAGATGCAGAATTGCTGAGTCCTCTCATAGATTTTATTTAAACAAATCAAGCTTCAATATTTCCAGAAGACCTAAACGGTAGCCGCTGGTCCGAGCGGAGTTCATATGGGGGCAGATACTAAGGTTCTCAACTTCTTCACCAATAGATTTAGAGACTGTAATTGAGTGACTTTTTTTTCGCTGCTTCCGTGAGTGAGACTAACTCAGGTTCACAAGTCGGCACACAAAACCTAAGTTGGTTATTGAAGATCCGTGTCAGTGAGATTTCATCTCTTACAAAAGTAACATCTCCAAATGAATTCCAATACTGAATGTTTAGAGGTTCTTCCAAGTTGGAGGTTGCAACAGACTGGAGAACAAAAGAAGCATCCCCACGAACAAATAATAGTCTGAGTTCAAGCATTATTCTCTCTTTTTGAGACAGCTGGAAGGGGCAGCATGCATTGCGCACCGGCACATCAACTAAGTATCTTGTCGGCAAATCCTATATCTTACTAACATCAATGCGCGGCGGAACCCGACCAATCATTAATAAATTTGTAATTGGATGACTCTAAACAAAATCATTTAGAGGTGTGAGTTTGATGTAGAGCTTTGCACTGGCTTATTATTTTGGGCGGGCTTCACAATATGGATTCATCTTTTTGAATCTGCTGAACCAAGAGCGTGACCGATTTTTCATTAGACAGAGCAACTCCTGCCGCATTTTGATCAAAATCAACAATAAGAATTCGTGTTTTAAGTCCTGCAAGAGGGTTTTTTTTGATTAAAGACAGAAGGCTTGAATGTATCAGCTGCAGCTTTGCCACTGAAGATCCGTAAGAATAAGAGAGTTCCAACATTTGTATAAAATAGGTGATTGTATCAACTTCGAGGATCTAAACAGACAATATTAATGTGAAGAATCTTGATCAGCAAACGGATGCAGAACGCTCAGCATCGTTTTGAGGCAACAATAACAACGTTGGTTTAATATTTTAATCAACTGGAGTATCCTGCAATATTTTAGAGGTGATTAAGCACCAAACAATTCCCACGAATTATTATATCCTTACTTCTAATTTTAAGGGCAAGAGCTAAAATATTCATTACGATCATTAGAATTCAGTGAGACAATTATTTAACAGCTTGTCTGGACGTCGCACCAATGCCTGTTGATAGCTATCCTGTTCGACATACAACGGCAGCCAACTGCCGTTTTTTGTGACGGGAACACCTAATATCAATTGATTGCTGTCATGCATAGGCCGACGCTCCGATGGAAAAGATCTGTGCACTTTTGGTTGGTAGAATTTGCTTTTGCAGAAGCAACGGCAAGAAAGGCAGCGGCTTAGTTAGCCATTGATAACCATCTTCTGTTGGATCTCTTCAAGATTGGCAAAGTACATTGGTCCTACATCAATGATATCATGAACAATTTTTTTAACCAACTTGGTACTTGCCTGTTCGTCGACAAAGCTTTGCGCACCAGCGTAAACTTAACCAACTTGATCAGTATCATCTGTGTGAAAGAATGATTCCAATAAGTTTGATTATTTGACATTGGCACCTTGCGCTACTTCATCTTCTGAGCTGATGTCGATACACTCATCATCCTCATCGGAGTTAATCTTTGCTGTTCCATCTGATGCAATGGCAGCTCTCCTATCACTGGCTATTTCAGCAGTTCACTGATTTGTTTCGCTCAAGAGCACTAGCATCAATAGGTGTCACTCTAACGAAATATAAAACTTCTGATCAATTGCAGCAATCTCTGGATCTCTACACTAAACATTGAATTCATCACTGCGACAAGAACATCAGACAATGGGGCTGCTGTCACAACGATTGAAAACGCTGAAAGCACTTTTAGTCAAGACCTAGCAACCACAAAGAGCGAGAAAACAAGAATCAGCAAGCTTGGTTGCTTCATCCGTTTGCAATTGATGGCGTAGCAGGAACATCCAAACTGTTTCAAAACGCAGGAGGTGGATATGTTGCATAAATAACTGATGACAAATGCTGATTCGAGCGCCATTTTTTAGAGAAGTGGAATTCAACCAAATTCCCCACCCATCCAAGTGCTATTTCAGATGTAATGAAAGAAATCTTTTGTCATTCATTTAGTTCCGGCATTTGTTGTGCTTGATCTCTCCATTGGAACAACAATCCCAATTCAATGAACATCGTTTGCAACTGAAAATCTGCTTATGATTGCTATCTTGTGACAGACATCTTTGAAAATTTTGCACGCACAATAATTATTTCAGAAGAAGGTACGCACCGTCTGTGCCAATATTCGTTATAGCGAATTAGTTTCACTTATGAACTATCCAATTAGCATCTGATTTGTCAGCTGGGGCTGCCAGATTATTAGAATATAAATAATCATCAAGAATGCTGTCAAAGTGGCGACCCTGATGTAAAGGAACAACTGACGTTGTGCAACCATTCCACTATGAAATGTTGCAAGAGCAGCAGTCGCGTGTTTTATGGACAACTCATCAGTAAAATAGCTCGCATTCCAGTTGTGTCAAGGCCGACATTGTGGCCATCTGATTCAGATGAATTATTGCGGAAATAATCCAGATGTTCAACGCAGAATGCCTGCATGAATTTAACCGCAGCGTGTGGAACAAGATATTGAAATTATCTTGAAACAGTTCCACCATCAGCCTAAGGACCATTCAGATGAGCACATTAATCTTTGAATAGAACGAAAGTCCTGTTAGGTTTTTGCGCTTGACATGATATCAACATTTAATTGTGCACTGGACAACCAGTCTTGCCAGTTTTCACCTTCGCGAACCACGGTTTCTACAAAATTGTCACTCGTCTGGTCTCTTCACTGTTAGTTGTTTCACCATGTTTCATAAAATGACGGCTGGCGATCTCCTCTACAGTATTCCACTATATAGACAGCTTCAATTACATATAATCACTGGATTGCCCACTACACTCTTCAAGGCAAATTGCCCGTGTCGGCTTGCAAAAGTCAATGACACTTTTCAATTTTCTTAATTTAACTCCAAAGGTGTCGGTGTCCAACCACAAAGCTGCCCAGTTTGCCGTCTTGGTTCCCGCAATTATCTAACAATCCGTGATTTGGGCTGAAAAAAGTGAGTCGGTCATTATTGACGTGCCCAAGCATTTTCAGACGCGTCCCTTGCGTAGCGGCAAGGTGGTTGTCCCCGATTTGGATTTGTTGGTTACAATGGGTCGTAGGGCAGTCAGAAATGCGTTTTCTAAAACCAACTAATTCCTAGAATTGCGATTCAATCCACTAAACAGATGACTACCTCAATTTATGGTGCTATCGGCCGAGGTAAATTATCCATTTTGAGGGATCGCAACAACTATTTTAAGTGATCTGGTTTTAATACTAGCGAAGGGTACAACGATGGCCAAATTGCTTTGATTGTCTAATGCTGAACTGTCTGCAGCTCGACTTACGCAAAAACTGCTACTTACCATTATACTGTCAGTTGCAAAATTACTCATACGGATGCAAAAGAGTTAAATTATCCTTTTGGTGTTGAAGCATTTGCGTCCAACTCATGTTCACTAGGGATTCTTTTTCACGTTGAGGTTCATTTAAGATGCTTGTATTTAAATTAATGACATCTTATCGTCTTCCAACGTCTGAGCATTCTCGATAGATTTGTCGGCAGCATTGCTAGTTCCGGTTAGAACATATCTCTCAGCCGTTATATCAGTGCTGCAGCTGTTCTGGATGCCTCCAAAGTTAACTCGCCAATATTCACAAGGTCCTTGGAAATATTCGGAACGCTGATGTTGAGCTGAAAATAGATTGTTTTTGAATTTGGGGGATCCGAACATCTTTTTGATATTCTTGCATTGTTCTGCACCATCATTTTTCATTCTCGGCATATTGTAGGGAGGGGTGAGTCAATCACTGATGTCAAAGAGAGTGGAACTGTGAGCGGACCCTCTAAGGGGAAATGAGAGAATGTTTTCTATGCCCTCCATAAAGCAAATTAGATTTCAACCTCAATTGTTCAACATAATAGGGCTTGTTCATTATTGAAGGATCTTCGCCACTATAAGAATGGTGCGGCGGCTGGTGATAAAGCCGCTTTAGGGTTATATGATTGCTTGTTTACCCTCACCACTCCTGCGAATCGGACCTTCAGTCTGTGAAGACGATCAGACAATTTTGATCATACTATTGCTTGAAAAAAAAAGAAAATGGTTTTTTATTGGTTTCTGCAAGTTCAAAATAAGTTTCATATTAAAAGCGTTGTTGACAAACTATATTAGTAAGATATCCAAAAGCCGCCCCACCGCTGCTCTTGCTCTTCCTCAAGTTGACATATCGAAGCAAATATACTGCTGAAGCTAAGCGCATACTTTTCCAGTGATTAATGTTGATTAACAGTCAGGATATGATGCTGTTGCTCTTTTCACCTTGCAATCGTTTGGTGTTGCGAAATTGGTGAAATTACTTGCATTTGCCCAAGGATGTTTTCTCAAAACTGCTCATATTGACAAAGAGGATAAACAACTTGTTTCAAAGATTTTGAATGAGTTAAGCGAAGCTGAAAGTCCAAATCATAAATTGTCGGTTTCGTATGTGTACTATCAGTTTGGGGTTGCTGAACGTAGTTGTTGATCAATCATCAGAGTTGCAAACACAATGTGTATTGAAGAAATGTTCCAAATTTCATGTGCATTAATCCAGTGGTCCGCGCAGTGCTTTTGATGCATTTGATTTCCACCAAGCATTGTCCTCTGTTGACTACGCCTTTTAAATAATTTTATGGAAAACAATCATGAACAGTTTTCTTGATTGTCTTTCAATTTGCTTCATTTGCCGGACCCCCGAATAAATCAAACAGGCCGAGTAAGGAAATGACCGTTCTCTCTTTGTTCTTGCTCGCCACGGCATGAGTAGAAAAACTTCCAAAGTCATTATTCTTTTTAACGGATCGGTTGTGTTCAAATGTATTTGTTGTTTTGATAAACCCGTATTTCCTTTTGACGATCAATTTTTTCGCGGCATCAAACCAGCAAATGCAACAGGCTTTGGAGATACACTTTTTGCTCATGGTGTCGAATGGGATAATTTGTCAACTTCTTGCAAAAGCAAAGCTAACAGAGCTGGAAAAGTTTAAAACATATCGGGGAATGTCTGACAAAATAGCTTAACGTAGTTATTCTAAACCATTGATGTGTTTTATTTAATCAGCCCATGAGATGAACTAAAAGAAGATCTCAATTTCAAAAACGTCAATTCAAATAAATTCATTTATATTCTGATGTTCATAATGAGTTCAGTGAAGCATAAACAGGTGCTGGATGTAGTATTCAACAGCTTGCTCATACCAACCAGGTTCCTCAGAATGATTTTAGTGAGATTGAAAAGCAGCTTAAGCGGCTTACAGATGCTGCTCGAAATACCACCAATGACAGACGACCTCTGACTTATTTAGCTGCCGCGCTTTCTGCTTTTACTACAATTGAAGAAAAATATTCAGTCCTTAGTTGTAGCGTTTCCTGTCATCACAGCATCAACCAATGCTATATAGCAATATCTTCATATTCGATTATATGTTCATTAGAGAATTAGCGGTTGTTGTTATCTTTGTGAGTTTGAGATTAAGTCAGGCTTATCTTGTGTCTTGCAAAAGCCAGACTAGCAGCTGAAAAGATATTTTGTAGCTGATGCCATTCAATAAAACCAGGGTTTGGTCCGGCAGCTTCATAGAGAAGTTTTAGAGTCCTTTTTGCTGATGCACTATCAAATCACTTATAGTTCATTAAGTTAATGTGACTAGTGTTTTTACTCATGTAGATATCCACTCTGATATGCGCAACAATGAACCTCTTCGATTGGCCGATCTTGAGTATCCTGTGAAGCTTAAGATGCTACAAAGGTCAGTACTTGGAGTCAAACAATCCTATTTCTCTTTCTACAAAAACGTGCTGTTTGCAGTCCAAACATATGAGTTTCAGCAAGTTTGCGCTGAAATAGGTGTGTTCTTCTTTTTGAAGAACAAGCACCACTGTACGATTGGATTATATGATGATGATTGGGTTGATCCAATTCGTTGGAAGCAGTGATGGAATTGGTGAAATGATATCTCCGTCCATTGTTCAAAATGATAGGTCATGGAATATTTTGCGTCGTTCGCTTGAACTGGATGTTGCTCGAAATCAGAAACGGATTGATGAATCATTGAAAATGTACGTCGGAGAAATTGTTCAACTGTCTAAAGTGGAGGAGTCTCATAAGCAGGCTACACCAATGGTAATTAATCTATGCAGTGTGCTACTTGAACTCGTCGCTTTGAGTGAGATGCTGATCTGTTTTCAGTTTTCGAATCAACCAATGAATATTGGCATTTGGCCGCAAACTGCTTAGTGTATTTTATTGCATTCGAAGATGCCTTACCAATTCGAAAGTTAGGTGCACCAACTAAACATTCTCTTAGTTGTGCCAAGCAGGTGGCAACATATTTCAACACCAATCCTTCGACAGATCATAAGAGAGATTTTGCTTCAGATGATATAGCATGATTCAATAACAGTCATAGTGCTGCGGACACTGGTCATCGATCATCCGCGGGTGTGAACTTGTATTTCATGAATCAGAAGCAAGTAACATGGAATTGAAAAAGTTGGCCTAGAGGGTTTTCGCGACTTGTGATGCTCAATATATTTCACGTACTGAAGCTGTCAAAAATAGCTGTCCTCCAATCGGAGTTCTGGCGATATATTGGTACAACTGTTGAAACACCAATTGTCAACAGTGAGAGCAATTTTGCGATGAATTTTGGTTCCCATCACACAAATCTCGCAGGTAACCAGCTGTTTAAAACACGTTTGACGTTATGAAAGCCATCTTCAATGTTTCTTTTGCCATTGCAATAGTCCATTCCGAATGCATTAGTTCTGACATTTTAAGTGAGGTGTTTGGAGCGGCAGTGTCAAAAATGCTTAAGGATGTGCTTTAGCAATTTTTTCATCCATCGCTGTGGTTTTGATGCTTTCACTGGTCTGGTTTTGGCTACAAATCAATAGTTGTTTGATTTCTTGTTGATTCAGCGACCGTACAGTCACTCATTCAAATTTCTTGTAGTGCCGATGTTATATCGACAACAATCATAATTCAACTGTGTTACTTGTTTTCATTGTGATTTGCAAATCGTGTACGATGCTATAATAAAGTAGCTGCACATAGCTGTGATTAGTTAACTCTCTGTTCTTTGTTTTGTTTTTTTGATGCTTGCAATTTGATTGCTTCTAGAAGTTTATAGTTGTATCAACATCAGTTGCTCTGAAAAATGTGTGTTCCCGGACGATCCAAATTGCGATTTGACAAACTGGCAGCTTACCAGTCTTGACGGACAACGCATGAAACTTTGCGGTTTCTCACAGCACGAATGAGATGATGACCCATCCTAGAGAAAGCACATACAGGTATTTCAATTGCGTTAATTTCTCTCACCCCAAAATGGCTTTGGGGCAAAAACCGAGGACCGGACTTGAATCATTTTTTCTGTGTAAGTGAGCAGATCCCAAAAACAATTTTTCTCACCCACAACCTCAACCCGCTCAACCATCGGGAGCAGTCATTTGCTGGCTATCTAAAGCAGTTCAGTACATTCACCTATCGTCTGAAGTTCCGTTTCCTTGTGCAGCAGAGATTATTGTCGGGCTCCCGCTTGCTTACATTCAGTTCCGAGGTCTGCCTCTAGTCTGCTTTTGTGATCGTCGGTGATGAAACCCACTTTCTGATTTAACCGTTGGAGATGTCATTTGAGGTTGCTATTTTTATAAATCTCTGCACCTTATTATATTATCGTCCACTTGCTAGATCATTATGGAACGATGTATTTGGAATTAAAATCATTTGCGCCGCGCCTTTTAGCTGATTCATGACATGCAGTGTTTTGGGCTTTTCCGCTGACGACTTTAAGTCGGTCAGCATCTGCTACCAGCGCATCTTTGGGATTGTGCGTGACCTAACTGACTTTGGTATAGAAAAGATTTCCGATGTGTGTCAGGTAGGGTCTTCTTAAAACCCTCTTTGCAGTAAGATATTCTTATGGAATCACTACACAGAATTGGGAGAGAATATCAGAATGTCTTGTCGCGCATCGAAGAGAATGTATTGCAGTAAAAAAGTATGGAACATAGTCAATCAAGTATCAATTTGCCGGCCCCTATTACAGACGATTGGGTTGGATCGCAAGGCGTCAGCGGAGCACAACGGTGATCTACTTCGAGGCACGGATTATAGGTATGCCACAAGCTCCGAGTGGCCAGCTTTGACTTAGTATTAAATACTCAGACGACGTGCGTGCAGGCCATGGTTTTATAAATAATTCAAATGATGATTCTCGTTGACGGAGCAATTACCAGCCGTCAGTGTGAATTCTGGTCTCCAGTGATCGCCTGACGGGCGCAAAAGAGTGGGCGCGTACCATGATTAGGGCATGTATATCTAATCATTGTGAGGTAAATGAACTAAATGGCTTTCAGCTTTTGGAATCTGCGCCGCACTTCCATGGCCCTATTGAAGCAGCAAGCAACGAGAGATGGAAGATTCCTTTGTGTTGCTGGCTAAGAACGTTACTCCGGCAACGTCTCTTTTCAATAAAATAGAAAACCAGTAATACAATTAAACTGTTAGCGTACTACAAATAATATTACAGTGGCACCATCAACGAGAGAAATGACAAAATATATTAATCAGTTCAACGAAGAACGACGAATCCAACAGATTCACAACCATCACCAATTAAGTCGTTGAAGCAGTCCACTGAGATATTTGAACGTTGGCGATTATCCAATTTAGTCAACCATTTAGCAATACTCTTTTGAGTATCAGCTGTTGCAAGGAACAACGCAATATTTAGCAACCAGTTAATAAAATGTTAGTGGATAAAAAATCCCTGAACTATCCGCAACTTGTGAGATGGTTGTGAATGTTGATATCGAAGTTGTTATCAGAGTTTATAATTGGTTCATTAAAATTTGCGCCTGTTAATGGGAAGATCTCCATTGAGACCAGAGGTTCATTGACTACTTTGGTGAGCCAACTTGACTGAGTTGCACAAATCAGCAAGACCATCATGTTCTACCCATCAAAATGCAAGTAATGTTTTTTTGATTAATGAGAAATAAATACGGACAAACTGCTTTTCAATCACCAATATCTGGGGCTCAATCAGTCTCAGAGTATCCATCTCACTCCAACGAAAAGCAAGCTCGGTAGTGGACAGTCAATGATTTTGTGATCGACAAGCTGAGCACCTTTTGAGCACAGCCTTGATGCATCAAGCACCTGCTCTGAGGTATTGACTGATTTCTCCAGTATCCAGGTCAATAGTTTAGGGAAAACCAATTGCGGCAAAACGCAACGATCTAACATTACATCTGGAAACTGTTGAGTTCAAACCATCCAACCCAGACACATTTGTTTCGAGTAGCACATTGAATTGGGAAATAATCATTGGGGTGATACCGAATAAGTCCCTTCTATTATAAACAGTTTTGCGGTGAGTCTCACGAAGGTCAACAAAGGTAGTCAAAAGTCTAGGGTTGTTTAAAAATTTAAAGTCCAAGAAAGCAACCCAAACTTAGGGCAAGGAATTTCATTTTGATTAATAAACTGATATGCGAGGGGACCAGTTGGTGCTTTGCATTTGATGATCAAGCAACAATAACATAATTTAGATATAATCCTAGAAATCTGTGTTGTTCGTCTCCGAAAGACAAAGCATGTCCATCCGAACTGAAGGGCATTGACATCCAACCGGTTGAAAACAATTTTACATACTTTGGCAAAACCATAAAGGAGATTGTTTGACCCAACAAATTAATTTTTGTATCTTCCACACCATCAAAGGATGCTCACTGTTCAGATGTTAGGAAGGTGGTTTAATTGAAGTTTATCGTCCATATCATTTTGAACAAATTCTGCTGTCACATTCATTCGATGAGCACAGCATGACCTTGATGAAGAAACCGCATGAAAGACACAACCACAGTGGCACCCAATTACGAAAATGAATGCGCCGGAATAATCAACATCATCAATCCGAAAGTTGCTTTTAGCCACTACTCAAGCTTTTCCTGAATCACTTTTTAGTGCAGCCCATTTTGTAAACACGTAACCACAGCTGTCAAATGCTGTTCCACACATATGATGAGGCAACAGATAAATATTTTGATCATGCATTGCTGAAGCATTGACTGACAAGTAACTTTGTTGATTGGGTCTGCTCGACTTCGTTGGGCAGTACTAACGGCATTATGGCAGCAGCCAATGATGTATAGCGAAACACGTCTTAATTGTTATCCTTTTATCGTTTGTAAACAATAACGCTATTTTCTCAATGTGATCAACATGTTCTCGATGGTTGACTCCAGTCGAAGCAACTTGGTCCATTTCACAGTCAGCTCCAGTGTTAGGATCAGCGGCTTCAGCTGTGTCACTTGTGCTGCAAGACCTTCCTCTTTATCCAAATCATTTTCATTGAATCTATTTTCATGCTCATCCTTAGTTTTAATGTAAATATATTTACCAATCTCATTGGGGTGACGCATGGATGTGTCATCCTAAACAATTGCAGTTCGGCTATTATTGTCATTGATAAGAACGGACTGTTTTCCCCGCAAAAGACCAGCAGCAATGGAAGAAGCACCACTTGCTCATGAAATTGTTGCATCCATGGCCGCAGAAGATTGATCGCTAAATATTGTTTTGGTATCATTACATCGCCAACAAAACTAACAACTGCAAAGAAATTAGAGTATTGTCCACACTGTCCGTCATTCCACTCATCTTGCAAAAATCAGTAAAACAGAACACACTTGTATCACCCTTCCTTGTTCACTTGATTGGTTCGCGGCTCACAAAAGAAATCGTCATATCCAGACATTTTCAACAACGCAGCGATTCATTTTCATGAATAAAATAATTCAATACGAGTAGTCTACAAAGAGGAAGGTCTGATCATTATTAATATTTTCAAGAGCACTGCCCAGATCAAAGCCGTTTTCGGCAAGTGATTAGGAAAACCTGCTTCGACTAACAATTTCTTGTCTTTGTCACCAATGATCTTTGCAAACGATCAGCAACCACATGATGATCAGACATATAAAAAACTGACATTTGATTTTGGATTTCTTTCGTTGGACAAAATTTATTACTCTTACAAACAAACTCATCAATAATTTCCACAGTATGAAGCGTCTAATCCAATAGTCGTTGAGTAAAATTAATATAAAATCCAACCAGTCAAGAGGTAGTGATGATGTAGCAAATAACGAGGCAGCAACATATGTTGAATAATCATTACATTGGTGACCAGGAAACAACCATATTGAATTGCAGAATCACGCATTCGCACATAAATAACATCATCAAATAATTCAGTAGCAGAAATACCGTTTTCAGCAAACAGCTCTTTAATAAATATTGTCGCCATTCAATCAGACATAAACACGATGAATAATCACCAGCAGTAGAAATGCCCACAATTACTGTGATTATCAATGTAAAATTTTGACGTGCATGACCTCATCGCTCATGCCAAAGTTTGTAAAGTCACAAGCGAATGTTGGCGGGCAAGAACTCTACAGACGATTGGACGCTGTGAATATACTACTATTGTTTCGAATTGAAATTTCTCCGCTTCCCAGTCAGAATCCTTCGTTGAATGATTCTAAATAAAAATGATTTACAGCTGCTCACGTTGATCCATACATAGTTTAGTACTCGTTGCCCTTCATTTGCGATCGAATGGTCCTTGTCAGGTCAGATTCTGCTGTGATAGGAAAGGAGCTTGCAATGGTGAGAAGTCCGTCAAGTATCAACTAGATTCAGGACGCAAATATTGGAATTGAACATCCATTATTAAGACCAAATTACTCAGACCATGTAACGCGAAAACAAATTAGCAATTAGAAAAGATTTTAACTGATCGCTTAATCAATTCGATGGCCCTCTTATCAAGGCAAGAATCCTGAACAGTCTCAGTTGCCGATGAACCATTGACGAATCCTAAACAAAAGTGAATATCATGCTTTCTACGTTACTAAATTGAACACTCGGCTACTCAGTGTTTTGCCCTGTTTTCAGTTTCCGCTGGATCGTCCGATCCAGCCAATGACTTTGCTCCATTTGCTATTCTGGTTGTTTCCAAAGTTGGAACGTCGCTGCTTGATTGGTTTTTGAAAATATCTCTGTACCTCCTGTTGTCTTCCATAAAGAAATATCTTGTCGCCGGTGCTTCCCAAAATCTTTGTGTTAACATTGAGTGAATCAGCCGCAAAGCTCTTTATTCAGGTCCGATTGGCAGACTCTGTGACACCTTGGCACACTCAAAGGTATTCCTACGGTGATATTTTTCAATGGTGAATCACTATATAATGGTCTTCATGCGCGCCATGGTACAATTCTTTTGTAATTTGAGACCCCTATTATGAAAGCGGTTTCATTTCACCAGCAATGATTTTGCTCATTTAAACGGTGCTTTGGGTGGTGGAAGAGCAGAGTCAAGAATAGAAGACCGTTTTGTTACATCATCCGCTGTTGCCATGGTTTCTTCAACGTGGCATGAGCGACTAAGTTATCCAGGTGAAGCTGTTGCAAAAGACAGGATTTATTTTTGATTGGTGTGCTGCTGAGAGTTACAAATCTGAGACATCGCACAATGGGAAGCAATCCAAAATCTGTAATATCTTTTCTACGCCACAGTCCGCTGTCGCTGTTCATCCAGTTCTTGATCCTATTGATTAGTCATTAAAAGCCGCTGCTGCTGATATCAGTTGGGATTTTATCACCCCTCATAATGATTTGCTATGATAAGGTGATGTTGCTCTACTTGCTACTCGATCATTCGCAATAGCAACGCTGGTCCTTTTAACTAATCTGCGTAAAGGATGATTAGGCGAAAAGTAATAAATTCACCAATCGGACAATGAGTTTGCATCAAAGCTAATCTATTCTTTTTGACAAACACAAAAAGAAAAAAAAGAATATCTGTTCCTTGGAAAGCCAATCAACATGTGTTTGCTAAACAACGCCGAAAATAATGGTGTACGCCACCCCAGTGTCAAAACTGCTGTGAGCCACCCGGATATGTATATTTGCACATTCGTTGTCTATCAGCGGTCCTGCCTGCTGACGCTGCAGCTAAAGATGGTCAGCTTCATCTTTGAAAAGACAACCACCACCGCAAGGTAGCATTATATGTCGGTGATCTAATCGTTCACCAGCAATTTATTGGATTACTCAAGCTGAACTACACATAGTGACTTCCATTACTCACACAAAAAATGTAGCCGTAATTCTTTGTGAAGTTGTTGGACTTTATTTTTTTCAAAGCACCAAAAATAGTGCTGGGTCTATCCACACCGACTTCAAATTGATAGAACTATAGTGTGGAATGAATCAATCCCATTCGCAAACTAGCCAAATGAAAACTATCTCAATCAAGCACTTATTGAAACCGACTGCTCTGAATTAAATGCTAAAAGATATATCATTGCACTTCCATTTTTGGATCCATGCTATTGGCCGCACATTGTTTCCGGCTTGAAATTGTTTATGGAGATGGGTTAGTAAATCGATATTTTTGTACAACATCTACTATCCGTCTATATTGTGGGATGAAACTGCTAAAGTGCTTGATCTGAATTCCATAAACTGTTAAATAGAAAGCGGCTTCTTGCTTGAGTTTGCTCGAGACTGTGGCAGTGATTGGCTGGCAGTGCTTGGTGATCGACAATCAGCTGGTGGTCTTACGTTCGTCAGTACTCAAAAATCAGTTACATGCATCTGAAATAGGCTGGCTATAGTGGCTTTGATAACCAGTAAATCTAAGTACACTGCACTCATTAAAGCGCCCAAGGCAGCTGTGCTGCTAATGCAACTCATCAGTCATATTTTTTCCAGTGTTAAAAACCTAATTTTCTAAGGAAATACAGATTCTGCACTCATCTTTGCTAACCTTCCAACCAATCAAAAATTCTGCAACCTGATTTCAATCATGTATCACCTTCGAGGAGTGTTGCGGTTTATTACTTTCATTTACGCCGGAGCTGATACAAAAAGTAGTGAACCTGATATGTTGGCCATAGCGGTTAGTGCGCCAGTCGTCATCTATTTCAATAAATTGCATCACTCATTCAATTGTTCGTCGTTCTGGCTCTGTTGGTTCCGTCTAGTTGGATTGATCGGAATTTTCTTCTTTGTTTGAATGCATGACAATTATGATACAGTATTGTTAAACTTAGTGAAGCTGACTGAGTTGATATTATTTTTTCAACCGATATAATTTGATTCTATTACTGAATTCCGTTTTCATCTGCGAAGGGTTTACTTAAGGATTGTACAATACTTGCATTGACACTTGAATTGCTCGTCGTTTCACATATTTGTTAACAATCAATTTTCGCTTCTAATTCAGTATCACAGTACTTAATTGTACAGTCTATGGTGTTTAAGAAAAATTGTTGTACTCGTACAATTGAACATGGGATCGCGAAAACTGCACAGCAAACGTTCTTCAGGCAGAACGCGGAAGAACTGATGATGCTTCATTCTTTAAAGGATTTGATTGCCTTTCTAGCGCAACGAGCATGCCAGTATTTCAAAGAACCCGTTGGTCTGACGTCATTATACCTGTTTTTAGCAAATCAGTCACTGTGATTTCAACCAAGTCTACTTTAGTGGTAAGTGGTCCCTGGAGCCCCTGATTTTTACCCATAACTGGCGACCGCTTCACCAACACGAACAGTTGTTTGCAACAAGTCTAAAATGCATTAATGCATTGACCTGATTGTCTGCGGATTGCGTAGTGGAATTGGAGAGACTACACTGGGCATCCAAGATGCCGAGAATCGGTCCATCCGCATCTTTCGCGGGTGTGCTTCCAAGTCGGTCAGTGATCCAATCTAGCTTCCTAGGAATGCAGCTGTCGATCTTATGCACACCTTTCTATCTAATGTACATACACAGTTCAATATACGATAATAGACTAACCAAAACAAGCATCCGAATGATAGATCACTATCAGGTTCTATCTGCTCCCCATGGTGCGATGTTAATGTCAATGTAAGCTTCTACAAATAAAGGGTCCTGCAGATTGTGTACACACGATTGCGTTTATCGGAAGGGACCGTCGGCTGAGCAAAGAAAAGTTTTGGGATTTCAATGTCATTTTACTCAATCTGCTTCTTCATGGATTGTTTGAAGCTCGCATAAACAACTGTCTCATCCAATAGAAAATCTTGTGAAGAATGAATTAATATTCTTTGGTATTTCGGCTGCTGGTGGTTTAAAATGTGGGGTTTGCGAGTGATGAAAAACAACGAAAATCATTAAGAACTCATTTACAGCACAGCCGTCTGCTAATCTTTGTCATTCTCATGTTGAAATTGTATGGCCAACTCCGCCTGATGATGATCATGAGAGTCTATTGTTTCTCACCATTATTCATCGTCACTCAAGATATGTTGTGGTTGCTCGGATTGCTACCATATCATTAGCTGTTGGCAATGTACTATAATGTAGTAAACTTACTGGCCGTCTTTGGATATGATCGTTGATTTAGTCTGAAGTGATAACGAGTTTGGATTGAAGTTCCTCACTGGTTGTTATCAGGGTGAAGGAGTCAAACAGGATATTTCAGCTCCCCATCAGTTTTAGCAAAAGCCGGTCGTTGATCGTTGGCAAACAGCATCTTTCACAACTTCCCTGGCAACCGAAATTGAAGGTATTGATGACGGTTATTTGGGAAGGAACATGTGATCACTGCAGCGTATTTGACGACTTTCATTTTCACCCACGATCCCGTTCTGTTGACTACTCCATTAAGGTTACTTTATGAAAAACAATCAAACCTGCAATGATACCAGTATTTCAATTTGCGGCTTTTCCGATCATCCCCAAAAAACCAAGTAAACCAAGTTAGGTGGTAGATGTATCCTCCGTTCTTCTATTGGTTACGACATGAGGAGAAAAGCCTTCAATGTGTGCAATCATCACAACCGCGTCTTTGCCGTCTTTTCTTGTTTGTTCCTTTGACGACACCACATTTTCTTTCACAGATGCAATGTTTCCTGTTATTAACCTAGCAAATCCATTTAACGATAGTGTTGCACTTATTACAGCTGGTGTTATAGGAGAAATTCAGTCCAGTCCTGCCAATTACAAAGTTAGCACAACTATAATTGGTGAAGATTAACCATCAAAAAGATAATTTTAATGGGGATCACGAATAAATTGACATCAACCTGGATGATGGGGATGCAGATGGAGTCTATGAATAACATTGAATCAAATGGAATCTTTAGCACCCACAGATAATAAAAACCTGGATGGTATTCCTCGAAGCAGTGACAAATCAAACGTTGACCAACATGTTTAATCAAAAGAGGTGTGTCAAGAAAAGCGCCAACACAATGAAAGGATACTCTAATGGCTCTGTAAGTCCGAAAAGTAACCGTTAAAGACTGATCTTTATTGACATGATTGGCTGCTGCCCCAATTGCTGTTCTCTTTGTTACACCAACCAGTGCATAGCCAAAAGGCAAAGGTGCTTGCCAATCAGAACTTCTGGCACCCTACGATATTGGGACGTGTCTGTGGCTAATCGTTCAGCTGTGCAACGACCATTTGGCCGTCGTTGCGTCGTTACCATAAAGTTTGCACCAACTGGAAATGTTGCAAAGGCCAGAAAAGCTGCTGATGAATTGTCTTAATTTGCAGGAATTGTATTTACTGAGTCCGCTAACGAAGTAATGACGTATATGAATGTTAGAATTCCCCTTCCTGTTGCCGTCTCAAAAACCTTCAGGCCCATTAAATTTGTGTGGCAACTGCTTAATCCTATGGTGGCTTCGACGGTGTAACTATCATATTACTACATTCATCAGTTGTCAATAGGGAGTATCTTTGCAATGTTCAAAGAGTTCTCATGTCATCTTTAAGTTTCCAACATTCGCTATCTCATTGGCATAAGATGATAATAGATGCTTATTGATCTATATGTGTTTCTAAAGTTTTCAGCTCATCATCGAGTGATTCATGTCTTGGTGAATGACCACCCCTGAGTGCCCCGATTATATCAAAAATATGTCATCATCCTCGTATAATCAAATGGGATGGAGAAGCTCGTCATGCCAGCCTTGCGCTACCTGTTGGAGCTGTTAGATGTTGCAGTGATCCTCGGTCAACTTTTCGGAGTTGATGTTGCTCAAACTACCAAAGATAGTTCCGTGTTCAAGCAAACCGAGGTCAGCCTGATGAAATAGAACTTTAGAAAAAATATGACTTGTTCGCAGCGAAACCAAAAAAATAATTCTATACAACGCTCTTCCTGAAGAAAATTGCGCTTAATTAGTGAAAAAAAAGACATTACATTACTAATCAATTACTGGTACGTTGCGATCGGCTAAAAATAGATTACGGTATGATCTTCGATTCCCTGTGGGTTACGTTGATGATACCTTGGTACACTACTTTTGAACCACCTAAGTTGTCCTTAAACTGCTTTTGATAATGGAACTGAAATCGCGTAACTTTACAGTTGAAAGCTGCTTCTCAGTTAGGTCAGTGAGAAACTGTGAGAGTGAATGGACTGTGAATGGTAATAATTAAATTGCAGTTGCTAATTATTTGATTCTCATTCCTGAACAGCAGTGACATGCACCTTAAAGCAGCTATCTTCAGTAACCATGCTGACTTCTGATTCCGTATTCATCTCGCCCATGGAAGTGGTCAAAACGGCTGTGATATCAATGGAGCTCATAAATATGCTGATGCAAATGTTGAAAACCCTGTTATCTACCGCGATAACAATTTTTCTCTTTGGTTGGCTAATCATCTTACCATTCACCAAAAGACCAAACAAAGTTTATTCAAGCTTCTTGCATAAGCGGCAACTGCACTGATGCAACTAACTGCGCAGCAGCCGATACTGAAAGTAATGCAGCTCATATCTTGAGTTAGGTACTTGGTGCAGCTGCGATTCAATGTCCCAATAAATTGCTTCATTCAAACCACTATCGATAACTGCTGTTCTGTTGCTTACGACGTCTTCGACTCAGCTTATTATGGCTTTTGATTGATTGTTTGTTGACGAGGCTACGCTATTGATTCACATTTGTTGCTCTGATCGTGCAACTCATAGAGTTTCGTACGGATACCATCCGATGGAACTAGTGATTTTTTGTTAAATTGCAAAATGGTTTCGTTGCTTTTATAAACGATTTTAAAATTAGGTTGAATTGTTTACTGTTTGATATATTACAGTTTTATTGTAGTTAACCAATTGATAGTGTAGACTGTTGTGAGTGTCACTGATATCTACCATCAGCACTCACCATTGCCATCAGATAGATTTCCTCACGCTCTGTCATCCGATACAGTTTCATATAAATAACAGCTGGTAATCTGTTTCACGTACTTCTTTTTTATGCACTTTTTTACCGTAGTATACAATTGTGGATCAGCTGCAACAGGATTTCAGCAGGATGGGTAGTGTTTACTTGGAAGAATTAGAAATAAGAATGGATGCGGCCAACTTTTCTATTTGTACTTTGGTCTTGAATGACGAAAGGCCTCAGTTTGCTCCTGTGGATCATGCCATTAGCAAAGATGTTGCAATTCCTCAAATAGATTATAAGTTCGCCAAAGTTGAAGTTACTTTGTGTTCCATTTCCCATACGATAGTTTCTAGGGCGTTAGTTCTTCCTGAAATGCAACAGGAGCTTTAGAATGGGTTGAATGGACGTCAAGTGATAATTGAGTTAAAAGAGGTTTATCGTTGTACCAGTAGTGATGCTGCTATTATTTTCACCAGGTCGGCTGCATTTGGTGAATAGCAAAATGCCTTATTTAATAACCGGGATTAGAATAAACCTAATATAAATTTCTATTAAAGAATTTTTGACGTCGGCCGTGCTGATCAAGCTCATTTTTTTCTTATGCCAATTCTGCTTCTCGCACCACCTACACTGAAATCGTTCTCATTCAATATACCAACCATCACTAAATTGCATTTTCTGATGCAAAAGTCATCAAAATCATCAGTGAGATAATGCTCGTTCATGTCGCTAAGGTTCAACAGCGTCATTCATTATTTAAAAAAGGGCATTCAAATACTGAAAAGCACCCAAACTGACACGATGTCGTTGCAACAAAAAAGGAAATTTGGCGAGTGAATGTTTGTCGCTACGACCAGTTCCAGCTGGATGATCAGTTGCAGCCGATACATTTGCGGCTGTGGGGCATTTCGATGAACCAAGAAACTATGAGATTGCAGCTTGCTCGGTTGTTGATGGTCTTTACCACGCTGATTTTCACCTCCAAGTAATCTCATTTTGATGCTGGTGCGTCGTATCATACTTGTGCCAACGCTTATTTGATCAGCCAGTTCGCTACTTAAACACATCGAATTGCTGGTGCAGGTGTCAATAATGATATTCGTCTGGGGATTTTTCCGCAAATGCTTGGCATGGCACATCATTGATTAAAGGTGTTCATGGTTCCCATGCTGCAAATTGAGAATCAATCATCGCCGCTACTAATACAGGAGCGTCGTTTACACTCCAAGCCGACGCAGTTTATTTCAATAGTGCTTTGGCTGGTAAAAGAGATCATTCAGGATTATATTGAAGGTCCCGTTTCTTTATATGTTGATGCGTCCCTCATTAGAAATCGGCATGGACAGTTAAGACAACCCAGAGAGAGCGAGCCAACCAATATAACAAAAATGATCTTTTTGTCTGCCACTGTTTATTTAAAATAGTAGTTATGTCACGCAAGAAGGCCGACCAGATATATTAATTTGCTTTTTTCACAGCAGGAAACCGCCGCATTTGGTCCACCTCATGCAGACATCATTGTGCCACGGCATGTGAAGCTGCACCTCATGATAATTTTTTCTTGCTGGTATTGATCATTCCTCTAACTATGACTTTGTACTACCAATTGCAGCACGGTCATTTGCTGTTTGCGAGCTGTTATGTTACTTCAGATTGACCTTATGATTACCGGCTATGTGGGTTCATACAGTCCAATTTCATAAACCGTTTGCATCCAAGCGGTTCAAAACCTTTCACAAACTGAATAAATCACTGATGAAATGTCAGGTCTTTATGAATCTCATCACAGTAGAGTCGGTGGGCGTTGCCAAAGATCAGAAAAAACGAAGGCCAGGACAATGTTATTTTATACTAATGGTCGGAGTTACCTCTGGAACCTACCTGTGATTCGCGCAGGTGATTTGATGCTTTTGATTTAGCATAATACGCAGCTCGGATGATTTCCACAACTGCAGTATTTAATCAAAAAAATATCTTCTTTTATGCTGACGATGTTCGGATGTGGTGCTGCAGCCATGATTGCAAAGCATATCGGCCAACACAAGAAAAGTGATACAAGTGTTCTTAGTAATTTTGTTGGCTGAAACAAGACACGAAAGGCCTGCAGAGCGCAGATCTATCTTCACTGCTTTCTACTTGGCATTGCGTCTTGTAGCTTTGAAGAATCCAAATCTGCTGTTGTTGATCCATGTTTTACTGCTATTACACCATTCATTTCAGTTGCTGTTGGTTTTACACGTACTCCAGCCAGTGGTACGGAAAATTCGGTCCATTTCTTCCAAACACAAGGATAACCAAATTGCAATTACATCAGACGATTCATCTAAAAATAACTCCAAGGTGGATGATAATTGAATTTTCATCAGCTTAAATGATCAAGACTCAAACAGTGTCAATTAGAAAAGATTGAGTTGAGATAGATAAATTGGTTTCTCAGATGATACCAATGAAATTCGTGATGCTATCACTACTACGGAATTTGATTTGGATCAACTTGCTGGGTCAAGAATGAGTAGTCAAGAAAATTGTATTGACAAGGAGAACCTAGAAAAATGGTTCACAATCGATTGAAATTCCATTAGTGAAGGCAGGTCTGCTGCAACATATTTGGCTGCTGCCCGCATTCCCGCCACTAGTGAAAATCAATTCATCCATACAGTTTGCAAAGTTGTTTGTCAATCAGAACTTTAAAAAAATGCATCATAGCATTACGCATTTGTTGATTGACCTTTCCTTTCAAAAACATCCACTGAGCTGTCTTTGGGTGTTTCCAAGGAAGTCAGCACTAATTGGTGATTTAGCAACAGCCGGACAAGTTCCCCAAAGCTTTCCTCGCCTAAAAAATGCTCATTGTTTTGAAACGTGTAATGCGGGAACTGGGCGGAAAAATCGTAAAGTAATCTATGGCGGTGCTGCATCGAAAGTATTGCGGGTTTATCAAACAGATAAAACAACTGCTTTTTTTGACGGTGATATGGTCGCCAAAAATTTTGATCGCACAATCTCCTGGATTGATAAATGCTGTATATTCGTTGGAACCTTCAATCATTCACATATCAATATATGGACTTTCCAATCCTTTCTATCTATGTGCATAAAGAAGCTAAATGCTCTTCAATGGATGAAATGTCATCGGGTGTCCTATATACTCCGAGTGTTTTCTAACTCAAGGAACAAAGTCCAAAGCAAGCTAACACTATATGAATGCTCTTATTATTGCCGGATCATCAAAAGCAATTGTAAAACAGGTCTAATCATATCTCAATTCATTGGTTAAAATGAAAGAATATGAACTCTGAATTGATTTCTTCAGCTTTATGTTGCTAAGAGAAACAGAGCCATTGCTGGTTTTACAGTGACGTACGTCAGACTGATAGTTCAACCGTTAAAAATGAATGAGCATCAGTCGCAGGCCGCACCGTCGATCAGTAACTGGTACATGGAGGCACTTCAGTCACATGGCTCTGAGTAAGATCATCAAATGTTATTACTTCACAGACTAAATGGAGGAGCGTTGCTTTTTGCTGCAGATTGATCACCGTATGATATTGTATTTGCTGTAGAGTTAGTCAGTCAATTTTATGCTGCACCGGGCAAAATTCATCTGAGTTAGCTGAAGGAGAGCAAGGACACTTGAACTCAAATGGATTAACTGTTCATTGCAATGCCGCATCTTCAAGTGTGTTACTAAATTACACCGATTGTGATTGGACCGCAAACATTGGTGATCGAAAATCAGTTGGTGGCTATATTTTTGTCAGTCTTCCGGATGACAACATTTGCTCTTTCGGTTACTGACACCTGCCTGTTCCCCTGACGATTGGTGATCTTATTCAGTTGTTTATGAAAGGGGCTGCTGATCTCTCTTACGTTATTCTTTATTAAGGTACTTCTTTACCTTCAAATACAATCATCAACTTCCTACACAGGTTATGAGGCACATTTCGAATGTTCGCTGCAATGAATCAACGTAACTAACGAATTCCGCTGACGTTACGATTTAGACGTCGGTCTTAAATTTCGAAGCGGCTCAACTTGGTCCGTTTGTTCAAATTTATATCACGAAAAATTGTTTTGTCGCTGCTAATGTTGATTAAAACAAAGTTAAAGCCATCTTGGATTCAATTTGCTTTAGGTTAGTTAGTAGCATATTTGTTCCTGCCACACTGGAACCGTTTTTAAAAATTGGGTTGTATGGCATTGAAGTGATAGTTAATTTGAGAAAGCTTTCTGGCATTATTGGTGTTGAAGCTGTTATTATTATCACCACATCACCTAATTCGGCAAGGTGGCAAAATACGTTATACAATAAAAGGAATTAGAGTAATTGTGTCAAGAAGTTGTATTGCCATAGTTTTAAGGTCTAGAATGCTCAAGAATTTGCAGCTATTACTTACGCTGCTTTGGTTTCGGATACCACAAACGCTAAAATCCTTGTTACTCAATTTTAAAGTCCTAACACAATAAGATTTACCGATACAACAGTTTTGGCCAATCATTGTCCTGATGATGCACTTGTGGTAACGCAGGCTGAACAGCCTTAGTGCCTGCTAGTGAGGAACCCATCAAGAAGCCAAATTCAGATACGAGTAAATTTCTACCGTCCTCAATCGGGGAACACATTGCTAGTCAGTGTTTGGCACCACCGCCAGTTCCTGGTGCATCACCAAATCCAGCCGATGCTTCTGATGTTGTCGCCGCTCCGGATTCCCCTAACATTTATCGGTCATTGCATGCTTCGTTGTTGAAAATAACTACCAAGCACATGTTGACTTTAACCGGATCAACTCTAACTCTGCTGCTTTTCAACATATTTGTGCTAAGGCTGAATTGTACAGCGACTTAACTCCGTATTTAGGTCGGAGCGCTGGTATTGGTGACACTATCTTTCAAGTCAAAGGTAGTGGTACTGTGATGCTCCTCAACGGTGGATCATAAACCAACACTTTTTGTGCTCCACATTCTAAAAACTTAATCTTCATCTCAGTTGTTACAAATCGCGCCGTGCGGTTTCCATTCAAAGGTGATTGGGGGTTTTGAATGACACTTTAGCTGGAAAGAGAGCAGCCTCAGCAGAATATCAAAGTACGGTTGCTCCCTCTGCAGTAGCGTTAATCAATGCAAATTGGTATGAGCATTTACGTCATCCATTCACGACTGTTCCAAGAGATATAGCCATATTCTATGTCATTTCTGCTGCTCGTGGATCCAAATGAGACTCGGCTCACAAAAGAAAAATTATCGAAATTATTAAGAATTCGTCTACAAGACAGGCAGCCACTGCTCTTGGCCATCATCTTGTTGATATTGGTAAGCCAAATCCAATGGAGGTTGTTGATGGAAATCGTTACTTTATCTTCATTGGTGTCGATTACGCACGACATGTCTTTGTGGCTCTAATTGAAATGCCATCATCAGCAGTTGCCAGGTCTGTTTATTACAGCAAATACAGTCAATGACCATTGGATACACTGTTCATACAGTCAGAACTGATAAGGAGTGTCCACTCATGCTGCTTAATGAACTTTGTCAATTAGAGGAGATCAAACAAGAAAAGTCAGTTGCGTATCAGTCTGATTAAGATGGGGTCGTTGAACACTGGGAAAGAGTAGTCGTGCCAGAAGCAAGATGAATACAGTTTGAAATTAATGTTGCTAATTACTTGAGAGATGAAGCGGTAATCCGCCGAGTGCTTTTGAAATATTTAATTATGACCAAGCAAGGCGCTCCGTCGATTACACTATTGAAACTTTTTTAAGGAAGAATCTCAAGTGCTGCGATTTTGAAGCTGTTTGGATGTGCCCCTTTTGCCAAAATTTCCAAACAAATCCGGCAATCCAGCTCAAATGGTACATGTGCCGTCTGCGGATTTGTTGGCTACGACATCCGTAGACAGAGCTGCAGAAGGTACAAATTTCATTGCAGCAGTGTTGCTTTTAGTTCTTCTTGTCTCTTTGAAAAAGCCAAATGTCCTTGGAAAAATCCTTCAATTGCTGCCATTAAATGAACAATTTCATCTGCTGTTAGTGCAACACCAATTGCTTTAGGTGTTATGGAAAGAAATCAGTCTACCGCCTTCAAAGGCAATTGTAACACAACTGAAATTGCTTCAGCCAATGTACAACAATTAACTTCAAATTGAAGGATGAATATACTGACATCAGATCCGATGATAAAAGAAAATAATAGCAATGACAATAATTTTGATTCAAACGAATCTATTGACTTCTCTCATGATAATGATCATCTTGCTGATGCTAACACAGGTGCAGAATTTGATAGGGACCAACTCGCTGGAAGCATAAAAGTTTGTCAAGACGTTGATGTAACTGAAAATGAGCGTCAATGGCTTTCAAATGACTCGAGATACACCATAAAAGACAGGTTTCTTTTGAGATATGTGTCTGCTGCCTGTAATGCCGCGCCTACTAGTGACCTCAATTTTCCAGACCACCTCTGAAAAGTTGCATGTCAATCACAGATTTACGCTTTGATTACCACCAGGATAAATTTGTTAGTTAGATTTCCTTGTGGCAAAGGTGTTGATGTCGGTAGTTTGTTTTTCACAGCTCACCAAGCAGCAACTGGTGCTTTTGCTAAAGCCAGACTGGTTCCTCAATGCTCTTTTGAATTTGAAGTAAGTGATTATACCAAAACATTTGGTGCAGTTATTTGGACCAAAAAAGTCAATGTCTTTCTTGCTTATGCTGCATCAACGTCATTCACCGATCATCAAATTAATGTGACAACTGCATTTCTTCAAGGTAATATCAAGGCTGAAATTTAAATAAATTAACCTGCTCGATTTGTTAGTGCTGAGTATTTTCTGAAAGTTTGAATTTGCATATTTCAATTAATTGACTCAAACAATCTCCGCCTTGGCAGTACAGAAAGATGCCTAATGCTCTCCACTTTTTTTGATTCAATAAAGCTTCACCACAACATTGCCTCTTTTTCATTTCGAAGAAAGCACAGCGCCGCATGGTTGGGTTATATGTCGATGATCTTATTATTGCCAAATCATCAGATGCAATGGTGAAGGCGGTTAAATCATAATTCAGATCATTCTTCAAAATGAACCATTTTCGAGCAGCTCAAGCATTTCTTCTGCGACTGGATGTTGCTTAAAAAAGGAAAGGAATTTAGGTATTGATTAAAACCTACTTTAGAAAGATTACTCAACCGTTTAAAATGGTTGAATCTCAATTGCAAGCGACACTAATAATGATTGACCAAGCAAGAGGCTACGTAAAGCCGATGGCTCCAAGTTAGATGCTGAAGAATCATGACTTTTCAGAATGATTGTTTGCCGTTGCATATTCCTTTAAATTATTTGCGGAATGATACTGGTTTCGTGGATGGGTTAGATACTTGACATTTTGACTAACATGAATCATCCAAATAACTCGTGCATAATGCGTGTAAATCTATTTAGGCACAGACCCATTAACTGTTCATCGTAAAGCTCCTTTCTCTGTATGATTAATTGGACACTGGTTCTGTGACTGGGCTGGCGACATTGGGGATTCATAATTCTTCGGCAGGTTTTTGTGGCACTCTAATCTAAGCCCAGTTACGTGGAAGTGCAAAGATGCCGGCTCAGTGGCCTTGCCAACGTGTAAAACAGAATACATTTCATTCACTGAAGCGGTGAAAGAGGAAGTCTTCATAATGCAGGCTTTCAAATATATTGGTTAAAATGTTGATGAACAAATTATCTACTGAGATAGTAATTCTGCAACCAACTTGCCTAATCATCCCTTTATTCACTGAATCGCCAAGGATATATCAATCAAGTAACACTTGATGAACAGGTTGAGCATTGTTGCTTTTAGATTTGCAAAAATTGATGGTAGAGTTAATGTTGCTAATACCTTTTCCAAAGCCCTAGCGATTCATGTTTTTGAATATTTGAAAGATATTCATGAATGATTCAATTGTTGTGAGCTTTGGCCGTCTTGTCCACGTCGTTATGGATTTATCCGATTATTATTTGTTTTTTGACTTTACATTGGTTAGGTTTCGGTGTTTTGCTAAAGTCGCTTGACTGAGTGTAGATTTATTACGTCCTCAACAAATGCAATTGCATAGTATCGCTGGATTTCATTTTCTTATGCCGAATTTTAATCATAGTATTATAAAGTACTTGCTTTGGCATTTGATTTGCCTATATTTTCTGTTAATTCCTGTTTCAATCATTCTTAGCGATTAAATTATATGGGAGGCCATGATTGTGACGTCACGAATGGCTCAGAGGAGTGGGGATAGCCAACAAACAAACTAACAAACAGGGCGGTGACGTCTTTGTTGCGCATGTAAACAACCCTACTCAAGCCCGATTGCTTCAAGCATTAGAAGAGCCATGCTAGTTCACCGCTCATGCCAGTATTTCAAAAGCACCCATTTTTCTCAACCCAAGATATTCACTTTTGGAGGCCAGGCGTTGTGACTCAAACCCATTACCCTGCGCCCGTGAAAACATTCCTGGAGAGCATGCTTTTCAATCACGCTTGGTAGCCGCTCGGCCAACATCAGCAGTCGATTCGAGTTCTTTAAAATGTTTTACTACGTTGACCCAATCGCCTGAGGTCTGGATACTGCGTTAACGGGGTAGCTGTCAGCAGTATGGATTTCAACGGTCGGTCCCTCAATGTCTTTCACCGCTATGCTCTCTTGACGCGATCTAATCTAACGCAGTTCCCTCTAAACCCGGCAGGTGATATCTTTTACGTTCTTCTTTTTCCATATGATTCTTTTGATAATATATTTTCATGAACATGCTTCAAGATGTATGCTCCCCTTTTATCAAGAGCGATTTTCTTGAAGCTCAAAACAGATGTTTGATTGTCATTGCCGGCTTGTGTTACTGGATAGACTCCATTGAGTATCCAGTTGAAAATAGCGTTGTAGCAGTTGCAGGTTTTCAAAAATAGTTGCACAAATAATGAGGAACCAATTAACTACTCTACAATAGATCTGGCTATGAACGTGGCAAACCAACACACTAGTCACAAAAACTCGCAAGATATTTCATTCAAATATCAATTTATAAGAAAGTGGGGCCAAATTGCTTCTACTCTTGCCAGAGTTGCCACTAATAATAATTTTGCGGATATAATCTCTAAAGAGCTTAGGGCTCTGGTTTTCACCTAGCTCACTGAATTGCTTCAATGGTTGAACTGTTGATCGATGTGGTGTGTTTGTCTAGGTCGTTCGGGCTTTATCCGACTCTTACTGTTTGTTTGATGTGATGTTGCTACAGTTCAATATTGTTATCCATTTGTTTTGAACTACTGGGCATATCTCATGTTTTCAACGGATATGATGTGATTGAGTTTCTGCATTGTATTCTTGTCAACCAAACGACTATCTTTCAATTAGAAAATATCCTCATTGAGGTTGAGTGTGTAACCTTTTTCTTGCTTTCATTTTTCCATTGATTTTCACTGATTAATTCAATATATGGATCCCTGAGTGAAGCCTGATGTGTGGATAATAGGAATCAGTAGTTGCGAGCGAATAAGCAAACGGGTGGGGTGAAGTATTTCACAGAAAAACCAAAATAACTCCCCATAAATTATTGCTTGAAGGGTTAGGAAGGCCATATTTGTGCAACTGAAATGCTAGAATTTTAAAGGCTTTCTATTTTCTGACTCGAAAGTGTTCACCCTTCGAGGGCCGTGGTTGGAATTTCAACTGACTCCCCTGCGCCTGTGAGCGAGTCTCCCCATATCAAGATTTGCTCCCACACATTCTAGTGGCTCCACCAACGTAAACAGTCGTTTGCAGTGTTTGGAAAATATTTGACTACATTGACCTGATTGTCCGAGGTTTGGTTACTGGGTTGAGGAGACTGTTGTGGGCCTCCTACATCTCCTCATTTCATCTTTCGATGTCATGCCACCGGTCAGCAGCCATGACGCTTTTTGATCGATAGCTGTCCCCTATGATAAGGGCCGGACGGTTCTTCCACGTGCATCCATTTATATAAATGTTCACCTTAGCCGATTTTCTTAGATTTGATTTCCATCTGCAGGATGCCTGCAAACCGTGCTTTAGAGTCAGTTCTCAATCTTCTCCAGTGCCCCTTTGTGAACGGACCCAGTTTCATACAGAGAGAGTTGGGGATCTCTGTTGCGGCTTTTGGTCTTACGTACAGCTTTTCATTAATATAATTTCATGAATTTGCTACAACAAGATATTACCCATAAGGCCACAGCTCACGCGCACCAATCAAAAAAACTAATGAACGCTGTTAGCTTTAAGATTTAAGCTTCCGTCTAAAATTTCAAAGCAGATTGTTTGGACAGTCGGTTGAAGTCTATAACAATGAAGGTGCTGTTGTTGCAGAACATGCTGCTTGAAGCACGATTAAAGCCGTTTCGGATTTCATTTGCCATAAGTTGGTGACTGGCGGATTTGATCGTGCTGCATTGGAAAACCATTAATAAAATGGTGTGCATGGCGTCAAGTTGTCATTAACGTGAAAGACCTTTATGCCATTATTGGTGTTGAAGCTGCTAATATTCTCACCACATCACTTAGTTCAGCGAAGTGCCAAAGTTGATTATAAAATAAAACGGATGAGATTAAATCTGTCAATGGGTTCTACTCTAATATTCTATGGTCTGCAATGCTATTGAAGTTGGTGCTATTTTCTATGCTGCTTCGATCTCGGTCACGACCGACGCTAAATGAATACTTAGTCAGTTTTCGAATAGTAACAGAAATATATTTACTGATCAAAATGTTCTGGCCAGTCAACTTTTAAAAATGCGTTTGCTGGTGACACAGGTCCAAACATTTAGCCTCTGCTGGTAACGAACTGTTCAGAAAGACAAAACGCATAGCAGTGACATGCTATGGCAATCACAAAAAAGACTTTTGGCCAGGAAATGCATGGCACCACGGCCAGTCCCTGCTGGATCGGCTGTTCCAACTGATGCTTTTGCTGCCTTGATTGTTCAGGATGCTCCCAAAGCTGAACAGTCGGAGTTCGGTTGATCGTTGAAAGTTATTTGAATTTCATGTTAAATATCTAACCGATATCTTTTGATTCAGATGCTTCCAACAACATTTGTTCTAACAGTAATTAACTCTGCAACCTGGCTATTCATTTAGGTCAAACTGTTGGTAGTGGAATCATCATCGTTGATTTCAACAGTTCAGCTACTGTGAGGGTATTTAATGGCGGATCATTATCGACTCTATTTTATTGTTGCCATCGTGCAAATCCAACCTCGAAGTCAGCTGCTACAAACAAACAAGCCAGGTGCTCATTCAAAGATGATTGTGAATATTTGCATGATGCGCTAGCTGGGAGGAGAGCAGCTTCGGAATTATATGAATGTCCCCTTGCTTCATCTGCTGTTGCATTAGGAATTACAAATTATCATCAACATCTACGTCGTTTAGGAGACAATGCTGCGAGAGACATATCTAAATCTATTGATTATTGCCGTTGGTGGTTCAAAATATTAGTCTTGTTACAAAGGAAAAGCAACCAAGAGTAATCACACGTTTTCCAAAGGACCGGCCGTTGCATCTCCTAGTCTTCTACTTGCTGATAATAAAAGCCCAATCCCAGCTGTTGCTGCTGATGACCGTCCTTATCTTTTCGTAATTCTCATTAATTGTTCAACATAGCTCGTTGCTGTTCCGATTGCCACACAACCATTGCCCCTTTCCAGGATGGTATATTACATTACTTTTACTGAAAGAATATCAAATAAAACGGCTCGTTCCACCTGATCTGAAAACCGGTTTCCATCAAAGCTGCATCAAGAAATTTGTGATTGTCAAAAAATCAATAGTGAATAGTTTGCTTTCAATGAATGTCACTAGTGTTAGGTCCTGAATACATCAAAGAAACTATCCGCAACGCAGGCAGAACATTGCTCACTCAAGCTACTGGTTGTGAATGGCTGTGGACTAAAGCGGCAAAGTGTCCGGTAGATTTTCTGAATTGCATTCCCATTAAAAAAAATCTCGAGTGACTACGACTTTCGAAATATTTTGTGGAAAAACCATAACTGCAGCAATTTGGTAATACATGTTTGTGCTGCGTGTGCGATAATATCCTGTCAAATCAGGGTATGCAAGGGTGATCACTCTAGTGTCATCCGTGATTTTACGGCTGCGAGATGAGAGTAACGGCCTACTGAGTGCTCAATGATCATAATAGATCCGATGATGAGAATTCTTTTCTGTGCTACGAGCAGACCTAATTACTTATTCAAGAACAGTTATATTTTCCTATTAAACTAACGATCCCATCAGCCGTTGGATTAGCACCTACTGCTGCCAGTGTTATGGAGGGAAATCAGTCCATCTCTAGCACTGAAATGGATATCACTATTGCAATAGCATCAGACGATACATCAAGTGATAACTCCAAAGTAGATAAGCAATATATATACATCAGCTCACAGAATGAACAGAAAACGGTGTCGCTGACAATGGAATACATTTAAGAAGTCTCTCCCATCCATTATCGAGATTCGTCAAGTTCTCCATGCCATCACTAGTGCAGAGTGTGATAATCACCAACTTCAGTCATCTAATCGAGCTCCCCAACAAAATCATCAACACAATGAAGGCGTACTTCAATGGTTCAGAAATAGTTGAAACAATACCATTATAGACGTGTCTGATCTGACATACTTGGCTGCCGTCTTATTTGCCGCTACCACTTCTAAACCACATCTTGGAGACCGAATCAGCATTGTAGCTTGTGAATCAGATATTTGAGCATTGATAACCAACAAAGAATATCTGATGAATTATTTTCCTTTTAGTGAAAGACCTCTTCGCTTTTGAGCAGTGATTACATGTCAGTCAGCACCGACAGGTGGTTTTGCCAATGCCAGACAGGTTGAACAAAAGATGACTGAACTTGAAGTTATTGACTATCCGCAAGCAGTTTGTTTCAAAAATAGGAATAGAAATGTTATAGCCCATTTTGGTGCTGCAAAGACAAAATGGTTCGAGATTAATCAAATGAATGCAGAACAGCGTCACATCATAATCATATCGACGCTGAAAGTTTATTGGAACAACAACCGGTATTCGAAAATGCTGAGCATTGTCTGGAACACAGAGAGAGCAACAAATGAAATTGTAAAGGCAGTAGGACTCTCGTTGCTAACCCAACTATCATTTAGATCCTGTATACTCCTTGGATTGAAAAATTAATTCATTTGGACATCCTGCGCCCTACCTTTCAAGAAACAACTATGTCTCAATGATTGGACTACATGTATATCATTTGTGTAATGCACGATCATCAGATGCTATAGTGAAGCGGCTCAAAGCATATGTGCAAGTCTTGCTCATGATCAAAGATCTTCGAAGTTTACCAAATCGATTGTTTAGACGTGATGAGGCCAAGAGAAGCTGAGCGAATTTAGGATCAATGAAAATCTACGTCAGAATAAGAGATCAACACTGCATAATAAATGAGTTCCATTTGCTGCCATAAACATGTATGAAAATCTTATATAAAGACAGTCTAGACACAGATGGGATTGACCTAGATCATTGACAATCATCACGTATCGGATGAATCAATCAATAGCCGCACGGCGTCGCAAGTTGATCACAGGCTCACATTCGTAATAATAATCAGTTGCAAAATCTATTTTTGGGCCTGTTATGCAAATTCAATTTATGCTGTCCTTATAAACTGAGACGATACTATACCCGAGGCCGTTAACTGTCCAATGCAAAACAGCATCACGAATAAAATGCTTTTGACATTGGGACAATTCTTTGGATGCAGCTAGCAGGTATCGTAGATAGGTTGTCCGCTATGTTCTTTTCACAACAGAAATGCAAAATACTTCGAACGTCCACAAGCAGCATTCACCGTCCCCTCATACTTGTGAGGAACAATACGTGCCAGTTCTTGAAGCACTCAAAATTGCTGAGATGATAGAGCCGGTTCAATAGCCAATTCATGGAATTTTTGATCAGCAAATTATTTATTATGAGATCATACATGCAACTATCTCTGACATTCACCCCACTGATTTCAAAGATGCCACAGATACTCAAGAAGATATCACCTCATGAAACTGCTCTCCACTGATTCCTTTTCTACTACAAAAATTGATATTAACAGTAGTGATAGCAGCGTTGCTGCATGGCTCAATGTGCTGCAGTGCTTCCTGGCTTTGATGATTGCCTTTAATGGGATCGATCTTGTCAAAGTCGGTTCTGCTCTTCACGTATATTAATGTGATTGGATGGAAATTGGTTGTGTCAATTGTGGTTGGATATGCTACACTACTGTGTACATTTATATCACTTTATAAAATCGTACTGGTTCAACATCAGATTTATCATGAATTTATTATCTGCTGTAATTTTATTGTATGACTGTGCTAATGAAAATGAAAACAAACTTCGCTTTTTTATCTCAGTTTATTGGTATTCAATGTTTCTATTTGATTTGTTCGACTATGTAATTGATTTTATATGCAAGAGCGGGATTCTAGGCTGGACTGTTAGTCACAGACTGGAGGGTTTGCAATCAAACAAGATCAGAAACTGCGCGGCTTATCTCTTTACCACAAAAAAAAAAAATATCCTGATGCTTCATCCCATAAAACATCAAACTTGCTTCACAAGTGCAGCCGACATGGCAAGACTTTAGAATCACTTATTCCAATCACTTAAGACTTTCGCCTTTTGATATCAGTGGTCATAATTTTAATTTAATTCACGGCGCCCATGCGCGGATCTCTAGTCACCATGTTGTCTATTGATTCATGGTAACCATCGGCCAACGCCAACAGTGAATTGCTGAGTATTTAAATGCTTGACTTCAATCAGGCGATTGTCAAAGGTGTGGATACCCGGCTTAGAGGGCTGCGGTGCGCCTCCTGAATAGCTGCACTATGTCCCTCGGTTTCTGTCACTGCTCTGCTTTTTTGGCGTTCTGTGATTTGATCCAGCTCACTATAAAAGGGGCTGGTGATCTTTTTTCTGTTTGTCTCTCCTAAATACGGTTTTATTTTAATATATTATTATGGATTTGCTACGACATATATTATCGTTGATTCGGCACAGCACTACTCGCTACAACACGCTAGCTTTTCTTATAAGGAACAGGGTTATATCTAAGAGCGTCACGGGAGCAGACCGGTAACAAGTACCGAGGGACCGAATGTAGACATCCGGGACGCTCACAACATCCACGTTTTTCTTTCTGATATACTTCTTTTCTTCAATATATTATCGTGGATTTGCTACCACAATGGGGGAGGATCACATCAGAAATTGATTTTCGTGTAGACAGATTTGGCGAGGAACTAGCTAAAGATCCGCTGGCTACTAATGCTCCTGGGACGGCAGTGATTGATTTTGGTTAACTGGCTACTGGACAACAACTCATTCCATTAAGTCTGGCCGTTTTGCAGGTTGTTAGTTGATTCACCAAATTATTTGTGGAGTGCTTTCTGGGATTTTTTTTGTGAGAGATTTTTCAATCTTCAGACCATGTTCGTTATTAATTCGAACATTTTAAAACCGTTAGAATTTCCACTCCATGTTTTATTCTGAGTTATTTTTTTCCCAGGTGGAACTAGTTTGGTGTTCGTGAGTGACTGAGAACAGTTTTATTAGTTGCATCTGCGCACTGACGTACCTTGGGAAAGTAACTTTTGAATGTGCTGCGTAAGGAACAGGCTTTTCTCCAGAATTGTGTTGACCTGATGGCCAGGAATGGGGATATAAAAAGAAACGACCTGTAGTGATTTTCTTTTGCAAGTCGTTAAGTCTTTAACTGGTCTATTTGTTCTACATTATAATCTATAAATAAGATTACTTTTGTCGTTATATTTGTTTCCTTATTATTTACCCACAAATCTTTTGAACTGAAATAATTTTCACTCTCTTATTTTTGATTTTTAGCTGGTAATAATGACTGTTGAAATGCCTTCAATTTCTGATATTGTTCCCTCTTTCAGGCTAGATGGACGAGTTGCTGTTGTCACAGGCGGTTCTGGGGGAATGGCTGCAGTTTTGAATAAAGCTCTTTTAGCCCAAGGTGCCTCTGTCGCTTTGGTTGATATTGACCAAGCTATTGTTGACAAAGCAGGTGTTGAATTGACTAACTGGGCCACATATAATAATGTTGAACTTATCACAAACGATGTTCAGAAGATTTCTTCTTGGGAATGTGACGTTACCAATTACGATCAAATCACCCAAGTTTTAGACAAAATATCTGGATTTCACAAAAGTGTTCCTGATTTGTTAGTTCACACTGCTGGGTTTTGCAATAATTTTGACGCACTTGAATATCCTCCTGACAAAATGAAAAGTTTAATTGAGGTTAATTTGCTAGGCTCGCTTTATTTTCCTCAAGTAATGGCCAAATTGTTGGTTAAAGCTTCCAAACCTGGTTCTTTTATTCTTATTGGTTCCATGTCTGGTGTTATTGTCAACTATCCTCAAAACCAAGTTGCTTATAATGCCTCTAAAGCTGGTGTAATTCATGCTGTTAGATCGTTAGCGACTGAATGGGCCAAGTATAATATCAGAGTGAATTGTCTTAGCCCTGGATATATCTTAACTCCACTAACCAAGAAAGTAATTGGAGAGAATGTTGAAATCAAAAATGCTTGGGAGTCAAGAATTCCAATGAATAGAATGGCTGATCCTAAAGAATTTGTTGGTTCCATTCTATATCTTGCTAATCATGATGCTTCCAGCTATACAACTGGAGAAAATCTTGTTGTTGATGGTGGTTATCAATGCTGGTAGTCACCAATTAATTCTATAATTACCTAATGCTTTTTTTGTGATATTTTTTTGTTTTGTTGCTTTTTATTGTTTAATTTTCGATTTCACTATTGTTTTTTTTCTGGCCTACCTTGTTATCGCCTGCTTACTCTTTTTATTTTTACATTATGTTTAATTCTTCATTGACCCATTTTTTTAATCCTTTATACTTTCTCATACACATTTTTTCTAACCATTTGTGCTTTTCATTTCCAGAAATTTTACATTCTAACTGCTTTTTCACTGAAAGTGAATTCAAAATCATACATTACTTTGGTTATTGCTGAGCATCTTTCAATCGACAGGTGTAGCATTCACGTTTTTCAGATTATCAGATATAATTTCAAGGCCAAAATTGACATGTAGCTAAAGTTTTGCCATATTTTCTATACTTCCAGCTTCTTTAGCGAATATTGTGGTAAAGATTCTTCAAAGTCATCTTTTCGAAGTTACAAAATTTGATGACTATAAAAATTTTTCACGGAACAATCCTAAACAAAATCCTTCCCCAGGTTTCGTCGTAAATCTGGCTTTCACTATTCGAAAAGCATTCCAGCTTTCAGTTGAATTGCACCCTTTCACAAGAAAAAGAACTTCTATTTTAGTTTTTCTCCGCCAAAGTTGAAACAATGCTACTTTAAATGGGGTAGTTGAACTATTTTCTATTCAATGAAATTTCTCCAAGGCGAAAACAAACCAATTAGAGTCAAATTTGAGAAATAAAAATTCCAAAATCTAATTTAAATCATCAATAAAAATTATTGTAGAAAATATGTGGTTTACCCGCGAAAAAATAATTAAATGAAACCCATGAAAACGGAAACTAAAACAAAAACAAAAGTAATAGAAATATTGGATACAAAAAGAAAAGATAACTTAGATAAAAACGATAAAAGATAACTTAGATAAAAATGATAAAAGATTAACAAAAAAGCCAAAAATATAAAACCTTAAACAATAACCTTATCGAAACAGTGTCATTCTGCCTCGAATATTTCATCTGCTGCTAGCATTAAATATTCAATGACTTTACTTTGATAACTTTTTTCATCTGGATTTGTAATTGCAAAGGATAAAAGCGTGGGGCCCCAAATGATACCAAGATTACTGGCAGACATTCGATTAATATCTTGCCTTTGCGAAACTCTTCTAAAATGAAATAGTAATGATCTCAAAGTCCAATATGGCCCATCAGGCAAAGCATAAACAGTTTGATGAAGCTTTTTAACTCTCGATTCAGCTGGTAACCTTGCTGCAGCAATAAACTCGGGATATAGTTCATTGCTCAATAATGGTTCAGGCAAGGAAATAAAATATGCTTTCAACAAGCTTGCAATTAAGTATATCTCACCATCAGAAGCAGAATTGTTTGAAGGAATTATTTGAATTATATTATTTGGATTTGAGTCAATCGATTCCTTTAACTCTTGAAGTTTAAGTTGGTTCCCACTGGTTCTATAAATGCCTTCAGTGTCTAGCCCATAGAGATCTATCAAACTGATACAATATTTAACAATGTAGGGCACAAAGTTTTCTTCCCCTTGAAACCTTATTAATGTGTCAATATCATTTCCAAATGTTTTCAATTTGACTGGTGGTATGATGATACCTGGTAAAGGCGCAACACTTAATCCAAGACTAGAAAACCCCCGATTAGTTCTGGTGGGAATATAAGATGTTGAGACTACAGACTGAGTGAAATCTGGCGTTATTGTGGAGGTTGATGTGAGTCCTTCGTTACTAGCAGTCCCAAAGTTATTTCCCCCAGTTGTACTAAAGCTAAGACCTGATGAAGTGATTCCACCATAAGTGTTACCTTCAGATGTTTTATTGGCGGCCAAAGGCTGAACGTTGGAGATGACTGAAAATCTGAAATCGGAGTTATTATTAACGTTAATATTATTGGTGTTAAAAGGATCAACGTCATTGCTATGAATGAGTGGATCGTGCTTTATAGTACTACCATCAGCGTTTTTCTGATTATTGACCGGATTGTTTTCTTGGATCGAAAAAGTGTCGTTGTTAGTTGACAAAATACTTGAATTGAAATCGGCGTTATTACTAGTAGATGCACTATTAATGATCAAGTTCCCTGAGTTATATGTAGAAGCACTAAGTCCATTAGTTTGGTTTGTGTTTGTGTTTGTGTTTGATTTGAAACCTGAGTTGATACTTAAATTAAAATTTGCGTTATAGTTGGCTTGGGAATTTTGAAATGAAGGATGTAGTTTGTATTGAATTGGTATATATTCTTTTTTCGGTGTTTTTCTATGAAAACCCATTAGATAGTCATATAAGTCCTTTTCTACATTGACAGACGATGCAATGTTCTTAATAGAAGGCTTTTTAGAGTCAATTGAAGCCGGAGAAATAGTGACTGCAAGATGCATTAGTAAAGATTCTTCAAAGTTGGTATATTCTTGCAATTTTAAGGATAATGAAATATCAATTTCTAAAATCAAGTCTCTAAGTTGAGCAGAATAATTTGGACGGTAAACCTCCACTAGCTTCTTTTTAATTGACTGCGATGCTTCAGACTTGGATCTGTAGTCAGTTTCAGCAGTTGAAATTTTGGAAGATAATTCTTCCTCTTGTTGAAGTGTTGTCTTTGCACCTTTGATAGTAAATTTTGTTCTGTTTGGACTTGTAGTTCTGACCTTTTCAAGATTTTTACACAAGCTATTGTACTTTATTTTTGCTTTCTCTGCTAATTGAATGGCTTCAAGGCATTCCTGTTCACGCTTCCTAGCTTCATCTTTGATTGATTTCCTTCTCTCTTTTATTGATTCTTTCAAATAATTCAAATCATCGGAAATTCTAATCACAGACTGCACATAAGAATTGCCAAATCCAAGTAACTTTTCCTCGATGGATAGGATAGCCGAAAATTGCTTAACAAAAGAATCATCTTTAATCAACTTGTTGGATGTGTTTTTCTTCATTGTTTCATTAGTTGATCTAGATAGCTTTTTTAGGTGGGTGTAATTGTCTGACTTAGAGTTGGCTTTTCTGCTCAAATACCTTGCAAATTCTTCGCAGGTTTCAGTGGATTGCTTCAATCTTTTGGACAAAGCATCTAGAGAGTAATCAGATTTCAAGACGGAAGAGATAGCTTCATCTGTTAAATCAACTGAAGGCTGTGGTGCTGGGTCTGTTAAAGAGATTCTCCTATTAGCAGGACCCTCGTCTTTGTTTATCTTAGAAACTGGAGTGGGAGGAATGATTTCACTCATTGAAAAGCATTAATCTGATATTAAGAACGACAGAGTATCACCTGAAGTGTCTTTGAGCACTTTAGTTCTGAAAAAAGTGAGCAAAAGCAATAAACACTGGTGGATTATATCCAACGGGAGAATAAATTGTACCTTGACCTCCATCACCCTTTTTGATCAGCCTTAAGGAAGACCCGATGTGGCTAGTTCCGGCTAACACAGGCCTCGGAAGTCCAAGAAGGTCTGCAGTACAGCCGCGGGAGGTCTGGCCGTTTTCAAAATGTAGTTTCACTAACCACAAACTGCTTAAAACAAACAGTGCCTAAAATGGATAATGACCAAAATGAGTATTGCTCAAAAACATGCATCCTAAAGTGAATTATCTGCACCAACCTTCCCTTTTGGATCCCAGCCCTGAATCAGAGTTGAGTTTGAAACCTCCATCCCAACCAATCCATATAATTCATTTTCAACACTCATTGCCAGCTGCTGCTCTTGATGGTCTTACATTGGCAATGGAATATTCTAATAACTTTCGGCTCTGGCTTCTGATTTTTGTTTATCTTTCAGCCTTTCAGTTTCTCGTCTTGTCAACATCCTCCTCTCACTCGGTTTTAGATTTTAACTATTTTACACATCAACTTCAATCTCTTGACCAATTATCCTCTCATAATCCAGAAACAAATTTAGATGATCGTTATAATCTTTTGCTATCTGAACTACAACTGCGGAATTCAACACCTCCAGCATCTTGTTCAGACTCTACTCTCCATCTATCAATTGACCAGGTGATTGATCTATCTTTAAGAACTCTTTATAAGAAGGCTATTCTCAACGTTTCTTTAAAAAATTTAAATCAAGCTATAACTGATTTGAGCAACTTTTTGAATATCTATAACCTGCATTACAACACCAATAATGCTAAGGAAAACGAACACAAGAATTCCAGAAATTTTGTCACTATTCAATTGTTATCCTTATATCTTCAAGTTGGTAACTACGATGCCATTTCCGCTTTGCTAAATGATTCCTCGATTCAGTATTTACCAAGGGATAAACTCGATAAAATTTTAACTGATTTTAATGAGGTCAAGCTGTTGATATCAAATATTAACAAAACTTTAAATTCCAACTTAAATTCTTTTTCAAATTCTTTTTCAACCGCAGACTACAATTCAACTTCCGATTACCTATCTTCTGCGCTTGCAATCTCTCATTCAAATCCTCAATTATACTTGCTACTGATCAAAAATGATTTAAAATATTTATTTGGTAATTTCAAATTGTCACTGTTTCCATTGTCAAAATATCAGCTTACTCAGAATTTGCTATCCTCCTTCTTATCTCTATCAAAACTTTTACCCCTAGATTCAACCAATTATTTAATTCTATCAAATCTTTATCTTTTTCAATTCAGTAATGATAGAATATCTCACCTCTTTACTAAAAGAGGTATTCATTATGATTTTGATAATTCGATTTTAAAACTTTATATGAAATTTTTTTCACGAAATATAAACTTTTTTGCTCTTTTCAATCGCTTTAAATCCTATAACGACTATTATTTCATTGTCAATAGAAACGGTGATACTGATTACAATTATAATGAAGATGAGAAACCTGACGTCTTAGATGAATCGCATTATACTGAAATGCTTGATAGCCTATTATCCCCTGACCATCCCTTTCTAATCTCAAATCTTGATATGAAAAGGTACTTTAAAGATAGAAAAATTTCAAATAATTTTCAGTTATTAAATTACTTGTCCAATCTTTTTAATAATTATCTTTTAAATCATCACAATAGTCCTGATTATTTTTCAATAAATCCAGATCTATTATCGGATAATATTTTGTTGACAATAAATAATTTCTCTCTTGAATTGAACAAAATCATCCTTATTTCAATGTTAAATTCAAAACCATCACATTCAACATTCAATTTAAAGGATTTAAAATTTTATGCCAACAATATTATCAAGCTTGAACTATTAAATTCAAATAAAACACCAAAAGAAACTAAAAATAATAACTACATCCCTCAATTTTTTCCCGCTGTCATCCCAAAACTTGAATCTCTACTTAAATCCAAGAATATAAATCAATTGAAAAAAATATTTGATTTCTATTTAAAAAATAACATTAATAAAAACAAAATTACCAAAAACAAACTTTTTCAAAAATATTACAAAAAATTTGAATCCCTAATTGAAGACCAGAATCAACAAAACTGGAATCATCAAAGCCAGCGTCAGCAAAGGCACCAGCAAGTGCGTCCCGAGTCCTCAAAAAATAATTACTATAAAATCCTTGCAGTGCCTAGAAACGCTGACCAGGCTGAAATTAAAATGGCTTATAGAGCTTTGACCAAAAAGTTTCATCCAGACAAATACCAGGGCAATAACAAGTCTAAAGAAGAAATCGAAGCAAAAATGAGTGAAATCAATAGGGCATATGAAGTTTTATCAAACAAAGAGTTGAAGGAGAGATATGACAATGGTGACGACCCAAATGATCCTCATGGTAGGCCTGCATCTAATGGTGGCCAAACTAGTTATAATTTTCAAAAGGGAGGCTTTAATCCTTTTGGTACTGGCACTGGTAGTAATGGTAGAGCCAAAAATTTCCATTTTAATTTTGGTGGGAATACGAACAAAAACTTTTTTCAGCAATCATGGCAACAAAAATCATCTGGAAGTAGTGGGCCTTTTGCTCAGTTTTTCGGTCAGTCCAATCAAAGAAGAAACAACAAAAAAAGAGCCTTTTGAAAGCTATTTCTATTTTTTAAATCACTTTTTAAGAAGGTCAAGAGTAGTGTAACCATTGGTTTAACAAACAATGGCCTATAAATAAATAGTCTATATACACTGATTTCTTCCTCAAAATTATTGCATAGTATAACCACACAGTCAATTCATCATTAACTCTTTCACGGATTATAAATATACAGATCACTTCTCTCACGTTTAATATACCCTTTACTTAACAACGAGTCAATTCCTAATTTAAGGTCCTTGATTGTTGGCTCCTCTCTTCCGTTGTCCCTAATCAAGCTAATAACCCTCATGATCAAGTTAGAATGAGTAATGGGACCCGATCCTTTTAAATTTTTGATAATAATACTTTCTATTTCTAATGATCTGTCATTTTGCATGCTTTCCTCTAATTTAACATGCAGTCTTTTTGAAATAAAATCACTGCCATCAAGATATTCATCCATGTTTTCAGCTAAATTTTCCTCTACATTTTCTTGACTATTTTTCAGCACTTTGCTGCTTGTTGGTGATTGGTCATTATCTCTCACAACAGAGCCAGTCACAGTTCTTTTCCTTTGTTTCTTATTTAACATTGAAGACCGATATACTTCAACCTTCCGATTGTAATTCTTTAGTGAAATTACAGGGACCTTGACGATTTCACTACTGTTCTGGTAATTGTCGTTAAATCGAAAAATATCATCATTGAGAAACATTGGACTCTTTTTGTTTTTTAGTAATATTGGATTTCTGGATGCAGTTAACGAATACAACGAGCATTTAATTGAATCGATCACTTTCGTTGAATGCGAGTAACTTTCTGTGGTTTTAATGCTTTCTGTTTCTCCTTTGCTTTCTGCATCGTTATGGGTTATATCAACCTCTAATTTTTCCAAAATTTGCAGATATGTCATCTTTGATTCATTTTCAAACAAAAGAATAATAGACGCGGTTATGATATTAATATTCAATGTCTTCAACCCTGTCAGAAAGTTCACATCTAAAATAATTGTGTTGTAAAAAAAAGACCAGTTTAGCCGTCTCAAGTTAGTCCCTTCAGCATAAAACCGGTTAAACTCACTAAGAATATTATTGAGTGGACTAGGTAATGTAATATTTCCCACAAACGACGGAGGATCTGGCCAACATTTAGTAGTTAAAATCAAAGGAGAGAATTCCAAAACAGTGGGGAAGTTTTTCAAATGATCATGAAACTTGGTTTTATATGTTTTTGAAAGATTCAAATCTCGAAACATATCCATAAATTTGTTGAATCTGATTGATGCTTCTTCCTTGTCATAGTTGATGAAAAGCTTTAAAAACATTTTCTCAGCCTCGACACTTTTTTCAACTTTGATTCTGCTCAGCTCAACATTTTCTGAATAATAATTGATTAATCTCTTGGACAAATAATTTTTATAGATTCTGACAAAATATGTTTTGTCTTCGATTCTTTGATAAAACCAAATGATTTTTTCAAACAAGCCATTTAGAGCCATTTCATAGTCCAAGATCTGATCATTGGAAGATAGTGAAACCATTAAATCTTGAAAAAAATCATTGCAATACTTTACGATTAACAAAATTGGATAATTATTCTTAATACTTAATAAATTAGAGAATTTATTGTTAATATCATTAACAAAGTTAGCGTTGTTATTAAAACTATATCTAATAATGTGATCAAGTGTTTCTTTTTCTTTGAATAAGAAATCAACCAAATTGTTGGAGCTTTTGGTGATAACATTACTATTTGAATTGGCATTACCAAAATTATCGAGTATTTTTGAGCTTAAATTATTTTCAATTAATTTGGAATAAATTTTGCTTAATATTGGAATCTTTTTATTATCATTTAGTGTGAATTTATACAAATGGTTTAATGAGTGTTTGTTTGAGTTTCGAATAATTGGCGGTAATATTAAATTCAACGTTTCTTCAAAGTTTTGAAATAATAATGAATCTACTATAGTTGTCTTGTTTTTGATAATTTTCTCTTGATTTCTTTTTATATCTTTGAGATTGTCATAATTTTTAAAATAACTTTCCGAATTTATGTGGTTTATACTGTCGTTATTATTATTATTATTATTATTATTGTTATTATTATGATTATTACTATTACTATCGGGAAATAAAACAGATGATTCAAATTGGTATTGTTTCACTTCAGAGACTTTTTTTTTGTTGGAATTTTTCTGCCAAGAACTCAAATTGAAATTGCTGTTATAAATGTTTTCTAGTAAAGATAATTCAAACTTGAATACATTGATGAAGTTTTCAATAAATTTTGAATTGAAGGGATTGGTCGAGTAATCATCATTTGAATTTGAAGATAGTAATGTCTTTTTGTAATCAGAATAAAAGATTTTATTCTCAAGCTGAAAGATTTTATCAAATAAGACCGAATTGTCAAAAAGATCTATTTCTTTCAAAATTTTCATAACTTTCAAGATAAAAGTGTACAAAATGTTTAGGTTTTTAGTGTTATTAGAATCATTGAATTTGGCAGGGTCCAATTGATTATTTGAATTGCTATTCAAAGCAATCGATTTCGATATTATGAATAACCGAATAATTCTAAGAGAATAGAATAAATATAAAAAGACCAACAGACCATACTTGTTAGAATTTTTTGGATATAAATAAGAGTTTGCAGACTTGAAATCAAAATCAAAGTCGAAATCAGGTTCATATTCAGGTTGACCTGTTTTATTTTTTTTTTCATTAGGAGCACCAATGTGATCATCATCGTTAGTTTTATTGCTCTGGGTAGCATTTTTAAATTTATCTGTTTTTCTTTTGTCAAAAAATGAAGCCATAACGATGTAAACCCCAAACTCTTTAAGTTTTTTCTTGCTATTTAGATTAAAATTGGACAACAATTTAAGATCGTCAAAAGGTATTAATGATCTATCCAAATAAATAAAAATTAATCGGATTAGAACAATTTTACGCATCCACATGTTGTAAGAGTCTGTGAACAATTTTAAGAAATCTGTCAATAAAATTATCAAATCATCATAATAACCTAGATCGAGAACCCAGTTGTTGGAGTATTCCTTTGTTGAGCTTAGATTTAGAAAGCGAATGTGGTTTTTATAATCATTTGAATTAATTTGAGCTATAAGATGATCAAACTGGACTTTTAAAGTTGAGTCAAAATAATTTTCAAAATGATTTTTGATTTTCAAAATTAAAATTCTATATAGCTTTGAAGAGTAGTTGTTGTTCACCAAAAATTGGACATTTGAATATAGTTTGTTGATTGAGTAATTCAAGGGCGGAGTGTCGTTATTTTTAAAACACTCAGTTTGGTTGTTGGATAGAATAGAGTCCAAAGCATCAATCAACTCATTCAAATAGGTTTCCAAGACCTGTTGTTTCTTTGGGTTGTCTACTTTCTTAAACCTGCTTTGCAAAAGTTGAATCTGCTGCTGTTCCAGCGACAAATGGGAACAGTGGATTTTTGGAACAAGGTGTTGCGTAGTGTCTGGATTGCAGCCCAAAGGAATAGTAGCTAGAACCTCACTAACAGCTATTATCTCAGAAGGATCCATCAATAAGACAGCATTGAACAGAGTAAAGCACCAAAATCTGGAGTGCTTTACTGATTCTCCTTCTTTCAAAAGCTGATTATATCGGCTCGGCACGTGCCGCTCGGGCCGATTTTGCGAGAGGCCGAAACTCTTGGAGTTGCAGGTTTTGGAGTATTAGGAGTATTTGAAGTTGCTGGAGTTGTTGAAACTACAGATACTTGCTATGGCAGGGCTTAATGGAAACACCAGTAACGCTGGCAGCAAGGCGATTGATATCAACAAGTTGATTCTCACGTACAAGCGAAGTGGAAGTTTTGATGAGAGAAAGAAAGAGATTTTGCAGAGTTTTGTTGAAACACCCCAATACCAGCAGTTGATGCAGCTAGTTAGAAAGTTTGTTGATAATGAAATCTCCAAAGATCCCTCGTTATTGTTTAAGAATCGAGGCCAGCTAACAGCGCTAATTGAAGGGTCTATAATGAGATTGCCTGATTCTGTTGGGAAGAGCAATGTGGACAACAAAGGTGAAAACGCTGGTCAAGAACAGGATATATCGCCAGAAGACATATTTGAAAGTTTTGATGAGTTTGAAGATAATGCTCAGATATCATCTGTGATATCGAAGATGATAGATAATTTGGCAAATGAATCAACAGTCAATTCTAATAGATTGAGGAATGAAGTCAAGAAATCGTTAAATGATATGGTTGATAAAGAACAAAATAGATAAATAAAATATTGTAAAGGCAATGATTGAAATGAGGTAAGCTAATAAATTTACAAATATACTTGGCTTATAAAGAAATAAATGAAAACGAGAATGAAAACGAAAAGTAAAATGAAAATTAAAACGGAATAACTATAATAATAAATATAATACTATAATAACTATAATTATAATAACATTGTTTAGAAAAAATATCGATGAAATAAAATCACAAAAGAAAGAGAAATAAAATAAATAAAGGAAAAACAAAGACAAAAAAGAGGTAGCGAAATTTTAGTAAAACAAGAAGATTAAATTGAAAATTATAAATTTTATAAATTTGATTGAATTAAAAAAATAAAAAAATGTTTTACTAGTTGTTATTCAATTATTTAATTATTTATTGATTTTTTCAATCAAAAATTACTATCTTCTTTCTCTAAATCTTCTACTGTTATCGCTGTGATTGCTATTAAATCTTCTAGGATGTGAGGGTCTTTTACGGTTATGGTAGTTTTTGTTAATACTACTTGAAGACCTTTTAAAGTTCTTTCTGGGTCTCAATTCTTCAGTGGTGGAAGTCAATTCTCTTGCTAATGATGTACCAGGTTGAACACCAAATTTTTGGACTCTTATTAAATCCCTTTCAGCATTTTCTAATCCAACTTTATCCCCGAATTTTTTAGCTCTTGAGATTTTCTTTTGGAGTAGTTCAATAGCTGCAGTTTTTAATTCATCGGGAGTGAGTGTTTTTTTCTCTTTTGCTTCGCTATCATTTGAGTCACTTGAGTCATTTTTAGTGTTGACAGTAGATTCATGAACCTTGTTGACTTTAAATATTTTAGGCATTATAACAGTCAATGTAGAGTCATTTGCAGGGTGTGAGTTTGGTATAGCTTGTGTTTGTTGTTGTTGTTGTTGTTGTTGTTGTTGTTGTTGTTGTTCATCATTTTCTTGTGTAGGCTTATTGCTATCAGTAGAATCTTCTGGATTGTTGTTAGATTGGACATTATTGGGTTCAATTGAGGGCTCTACGGTCTCATACTGGTTTTCAGCTTCTTGCTGGGATGATTTATCATCTGCTTCAAGTCTTTTAATTAGATCGTTTTTAATCCCAATAATGGATAGGTTTCTTTCCTTCAATAATTCTTTTAATTGAGCAACGGTTTTCCCAGCATAGCTTGACATTTTGAGATTGAATTTGAAAGGACAATGTAGCGACAACGATGAATCTAGGCGAGAGGGCTGAATGGACGTGTATAGTCTGAAGAAAAGAAATGGCTATTGGTTTTTTTTCCAAAACGGCCAGTGAGAAACGTGACAACAATCCAAAATAGAAAAAGACCTGGTACACGTGCGATATCCCGTGACTAAGAGCATGTCTGCGCCACGACGGTGCTGTGAGACGGCCGGCTATTTCAGTTCCGGAAAAAAACTATATATGTGTCACATGTGTGTGGCAGATGCATTTCGGCTGTGGGGATTAAGCTTTGAGGGCACCAACACCCTTGATTTCTGTATCCCGACAAGAGGTACAGGCTTTTGGAGTGTTGGATTATTAGTTGAACCTGAAGGTGGATCAGCCTTTGTTGGTGGTCTCTTATTTTTGGATCTGCAAATGAAATGGTGTGCATTGAATTTCCGATTATCACTCTTATACGTAAGATAATAAATAATGAATATTTTCTCACACGCTTTGAAGAAAGAAAAAGGCGAGAGAAAATTAAAACAACCTAAAAGCGACCTAAAAATGATTAAGTGAAGTACACGTGAACGATGTGTGAGTAAAGAATTTCAGGGATATTGCAGTTAAGACTCATTTTCAAATGCTTTATAATCGTAATGATAATAATAATAGTAATAATAACAAAAGAGAGATATATCGTCGCTGAAAATAAATGTTTAGGGAAATGAATTAAATTGAAATAAATATGTTGTTGGAACAGTTAAAAACAGTGTGATTAGTGAGTTTATTGTATTAAATATGATCAGTTCTGCTGAAGAACAAAGACGAAAGAGAGCAGTAACAATTACAAATATATTAGTAAATTGGTGTTTGGAATCACAGATTAAATTCCATAAAAAGTTCATAGTTTAGTTGAAAGATGAATAGTGAATATTGAAAAAATAATGTCCAACAGTGGTGTGTACCGTATATTGCAGGTGTGTGAGTGTGCTTGCATATTTTGTTGGCTAGGAAGATAGTTGTTATCGGGAATGTGTATACTGAAATATTTAAGTTTCTGCAAGTGTCAAACATGATTGATGTTCATACAATAAAAACCCTTTTAATATTGAATTATAAAACTCTATTGGTCTAAGCTTTGAAACTGTAATTATTTTTTAAACCTTAATGATTTTAACAACCCTGAATAAAGTTGTTGCATATGGATATGATTCATAAAGCACTAAAAGATTGGTGTAAAGTCTACTCTTAAATTTCTTTTTGCCAATAACAACTGGTTCACAAAGAAGTTTAAACGGAATTCAACTTGCTTTAGCAATCGTTTGCTGATGAAATTCTGCTTAGTAAATATGAAAAGTATTATTGTTTATCTCTTAGTGAATTGAGATATTGTTTAGAGCTGTGTTTCAAAGTAAATAAAACTCAGCATGCAAGAACATTATCACTCAAATTTTTATTAAAATCTAACTGATCTCATAGCCAAAACATTAAAAGAACATTGAAATATTTATCCTGTTTAAGAAACATAAGAAATATAAGAATTTTGAAATTTTGGAATTTTGGCTATTTGCGGATTTTACAACTTTTGCAGTTAAAAAATTCTATTTATAATATATACTTTATTTTTGAAACTCAGTTTGTTTTCATCTCTGATTCATGAGCAATTTTTGCTTTTTCGCTTTGAAAATTTTTTCCAGCATACTCAACAAAAAGTTAAAAACTAGACAAAATCATTTAATTTGGTAACCTTTAAAATACTACAGGAGCAATTATTGTTTAGGATTTTCCAAACAATAAGGTGCTGTGGTTGATACAAACAAAAAATCAGTTATAAAACGCAGCAGACAGACAACAGACAAGCAATATGTTGCAATTGAATATTGTTTAATAGTAGATATTTCAAACCTAAACAGAGCTTATGGCCCAAAGCAGAGTGTCGATTTTCTTGAGATCTTGAGATTTAAGCTTTGAGTTGCTATTCCAATAAATTTTGACCACAACACAAAATGGGTAGCAGCAGTTTATGGTAAACGAAAGCCAGAGAAAGTGGTTTTGCAGCTTGATTGGCTTGAATAATAAAGGCAGCCAAATGGGTCGTAAATATAGAGCCGAAGAATCCCGGTGTGAGCATGCAGAGCCCGACACCTTCTGCAGCCCAACGGTTTACAGTTTGTTTTAGGTTCGTTTTTCATCTGCGTGCAATCTATGTGGAATCTGTGCTTTGCAAGCCTAAAAGCCAAACCCAAATGCAGCCTCAACCAAACACCCTTTGCAGTCCTGGTAAGATAACAGTGCCAAGCACAACTGTAATTGCACGATCATGTCTGTACAGTTTGGGTGGTCTAGATTGTTTTTATTGCTTATGCGGCGCTGTGATTGGCAAGTGCTTGCAGTAACGCATGCGCTTTGCAGCTGGACTGCGTGGAGCAGCAGAGAAATTTTCAACACTCGTCCTGCCGCACAGACGCGTCGTCCCGCGGCGGCGCTATTATGGCTTGAGCGTTATCTCTCTGTGGGCTGGTGCTTTGGAGATCTTTCCCCATTTGCAGCTCCAACATCACCAGCACTTTCCTCTGTTTGGTTCTGTTTGGTTCTGTTTGGTTTTGTTTTGCTCTCGATTTGCTGCACCAAAAATCACTGAAACACCTTCCTTGTCTCTGCTCTGCAACTCCTCTTCAATTTGTAGCCACTTTGTCTTCAAAACACAGTCACAACTTGGCTCTCTGTTTGGCACCCTGACGCCTATGAGACTGCTTACGCCTTTTAGACTGCTCTACACCACTGTTTATTTCTTCCAGCTCCCACTGTTCTTGCTCCCATTGTCTTTTGAGCCCTTGCACCACCTACAAAAGATCGAAGTCGTTGCTAGTTTTGGGTTGATTTGAGTAATGGGAGTAATGGGAATAATAAGAGTAATATGTATAACCCACATACAAACACTCGTCTGCTATCCAGTTCCACAACTTACTTCTCATCTTTCCCATCGTCCTCTTTGTAGCCCAGCAAAACTTTCTATTCTAATCTACAGGGAAGTTGAAAACCATCTCATTTGGCTTTATGTTAGAAACCATCTGTAATTTACTTTATCTTTCTTTAAAATATAATCTAAAATTGTAATTTGCAATTCAAAACACGTTAATTATCGTCATAACATGCTCAGCAGCTTCAAACCGTATTTTCTGAGAAAATTTTTATTATTTGTAGTGTTTTTGATTTTTAAATTTATTATTTTTGAAAGACAGGTCTCTGATCTATCAATCTTTAATTTTTCCTTTTATTTTTCTTAATTTTTTTAAATTTTATGGTCCTGCTTTTGAGTTTTATTATTTTCTACTTTTAAATAAAACAGAAAAAAAAAATTTTCTTTCTCTTTCTCTCTTTCTTTCTCTTTCTCTTCTCATGAAAATGCTGTTTACCCATATACTTGTATTTTCAACATCAATTTCCATAATTACTGTCTAACTATTTATTCTTTGAACTTTTATCTGCTATTTCCTGCTATTTTCTACCTACTAAAGCTTTTTCTTTTCCCATCTCTTTCTTCAATTTTGGTTATGAAGTAATTCAAAACAAAGTCCATTAAATAAATATATATACACACACACATATACACATAATCCAATTACTACCACCGAAGTATACTTTTACTATAATTGCCTATTACTATTACTATTACTATTACTATTACTATTACTATTACTATTCCCAATTAACTAATTGGTAATTGGCCTGTTAAAACCACCATTCACCATTATTATTCTCTTTATTTTATTTTATTTTATTTTACTTTTAACTTCTTCTATTCAAACTCAACATGCCCCCAGACTCTTCAAGTCCAAAGTCTCTCTCAAATATTAATCTCCAATCAGGAATTAATCAAATGAAACCAAATGTTACTTCTGACTTTACTTTGAATTCGATTCCTGATAATGAAAACGATAATAATAATAATAATGATAATAATAATGATAATGATAATGATAATGATAATGATAATGATAATAATAATATTGATGATAACTATAACGATAATAATAACAATATGGATGACAATGATAATGACGATACGTACAATGATGATAACACTGATTCTATCTCTGATAATCAAAATAACACAAACAATTTACAAACCATCAACATACTGAACCTACCAAATGGCATCACTTGGAAAGACATTAAAAACTTACTATCATATGTTATTCCTTCCTCATCCATTGGCTTCATCTTCTTGAATAAAAACTCTCCTATTCTCAATGCTGATGTCCTAATTTTTGATAGAAAATTGGCTTTCAATTGTATACACCTGTTAAATAATACCAAATTCAATGATTCTCTCATTAATTTGTCTTTATCTGATAGAATCATATCTTCTTCCGATTTGAATTTCTATAAAAATAACAACTACAACAACAATAACAACAGAAATAATTTCTTAAACTATTACAATAACCAAGATGCTTACTATAACATCACAAACCAAAAATATATTTCCTCAAAAAACAACTCAATTCGAAACCACTTTCTGAAAAATATCCTACCCAATAACGAAATCGAAATCGACAACAATTATAACAACTTCTCTTCTACCTATAAGCAAAATTCCTATCACTCAAATCAATTTTTCAATAACTATAATTGTAATTTTAATTATTCTTCAAATGTTCCATATAATAACTACCCTCCTTCTGCTCAAAATCGACTGGCAAATCTTCAGCGAAATGATTCCAATTTTGCTAAAAAACATCACAATTTCAATAACAACAACAACAACAATAATAATAATAACGGCAACAACAACAATAGCAACAATAACAACAACAACAACAACAACAACAATAATAATAATAATAATAATAATAATAATAATAATAACTTTCATGCGATTGATAATGACAATAAAAACCACAAAAAACCCATTCTCAAAACCCCAGACAATGACAACTACTACAATTACAACCAATCTTACAACTACAACTACAATCAAAATTATAACTATAACTACAACTCCAATTACAATTACCCCTACAGCTATAATTACAACAACGACTCTGCGAATAAAAACTTCAATGACAAAAACAACATTCCCAACATCAATCCTGCTATGGTTGACAACACTACCAACAATCCTGTAGAACTAGCCTTTTTGCCTATTCAATCTGCAGGCCCAATGTTTCCTTTTGCTCCTCCAAATGTATATAACTCTGTTCCAATATTTTCTCCAAATGCATCGAATCCAAACCTAATCTACCCTTCTATTCCAACTTTGACCAATTTGAATGACATAAATCCTGGCTTCGATAATGCTGATAACGAGTCCTTGGAAGATAACGATAAAAGATTCTCAGAAAATGACTCTCAGACTTCCAGGCTGGTTATTCCATCTCAGTCGCCTCAAAACACTCCAGTCGCCAACTCAAATTCAAAACATTTTACTGATCCAGCCTCTTCCAATTTATATGACACTGCTATTATGAAAAACAACGATTCTCCTTTAAACTCGTCTCCTAAGAATCAGTATGGAGCCCCTTATTATCCACTCCCACCACAATCGTTTTATCCCATTATTCCCTATAAAAATTATATCACCCATCCTACAAATTTCTATAATAATTCTAATCTATCCAATTCAAAAACATCGTTGCCCATGATAAATCCTACTGGTCGTGTTTCAATATCGCGTAATCCCTCTGATTCAGGAGTCTCAACATTTCCTCCTCAGGATATATATGCTAATCGAGCCAATCATTCAGATCCTTCGATTTCCTTGAATAATAACTGGCCCAATAATTTTTATTATAGGAATTATCCAAATAAACATGTTCAAAACCCAAATGCAAATGCAAATGCAAATTTAAATTTAAATTCAAATCCAAATTCAAATATAAACTCAAAATCAAATCGACATCTCTCCAATTCAAGTATTGATGGAAACAATCAGATTTCAAATCCAGTTATAAGAAACCTTAGATATACTCCAAATGATTATAATTTTATTTTGAAAATTGATGACGATGACAATTACACATATCCCAAAAATGGAATCAACTATTATGACAATATACAAATGAATAATAAAGGGAAAAATCGTGATAATTCTAAAATGAACAATCCCAAACTTTTCCGGAACAATTTGGGCAATAATTACGAGCCTTATAATTTTGAAGTCAATCGCCATCGAATTTTTTTTGGTAATATTCCATACTCTACAACATGGGAAGAACTATTGGACCATCTTAATGCTCATGGATATAAATGTAAAGTAGAAATCCCTTCAGTGAATGGAAACAGTAAAGGGTTTGGATTAATCGATCTTGACGATGAAGAAGATGGAGATAAGCTCATTCAAGAGTTTAACAATTCCATTTTCCATGGAAGAACAGTAACTGTTCGATACGATAAATATCCCAACATGTCTTATAATTTTAAGGTGAAATGTGTTGTAAATAATGAAGATGAGATTGTTGAGAGTGTTAATAAGTTAAGAATATCTGATAAAAAGAATATAAAAACGTCTCGAATTGAAGATGAACGAGATTTAGAAAAAGCCAGAGCTTTAGTTAATACGGTGGAAAGTAAAATTAATAATAGCCTGACAAAATAAAATCTATTTTCTACTTGAAATATTTTTTTTATTTTATTCTACTAATTTTTTTACTATTTTATTTTATTATTTTATTATTTTAGTATTTCATTTTTATAATTTCATGTAGTTTGAATTACTGATTCAAGCCAGTTTTTATTTTAATGCATTTTGTATTGTTTTTGATTTTTTATTAATTGATTTGTTTATTTACTTGTTTCTTCAAATATTTATTTATTTATTTTTCTTTGATAATTTTCAATTTTTATTAAACTTTGATTTTTCGTTTTCTCTAAAATTATTTGAATATATATATTGTTTTTGTATTTATTACTGATATTAAGGAAATTAAAAAGGCTAAATTAAAAAAAAGTTAAATTAAAAAAAAGTGAAATGAAATAAAAAAACAAAGGAGATAGATGAATTAAAAATATTATAATAATATGCATCCAAGTAAGATGGCTAATAAAAGAGTTGTAAGAAACATTAGAATATTTTGAAAAGCTTTGAATGAATTTATTGGTCTAAAGCCATTACTTGTAACACTTGATTTGTTGAGCAAAGAATAGTAATAATTGTTATTGTCAATTTTGTTTTCGTTTACAGTATCAGTAAAGGAATCTTGAAACAAGACATTTTCATTATAAGACAACGCAGTGGATTTAGTATAAGATTGCTTTGATGCTGATTCTGAAGTGTTTTCAATTTTTTCTAAATTTGCTTTTAAATTGTGTGAGAATTCAGTAAAGTTGTGGAAATTATTTTTGAGATGGTTTAATTTTTGTTGGTATAATTGACTTTCATCAATTGAATCAAGATCATTTAAAGGATAGAAATCGAAATTTGATTTTTCTAATAAACTTAAGAAAGAGTTTTCATTTGAGACTGAATTTTGGGTAGATGATTTCAAAGGACCTCTCTCATATTTTAGCAATTCTTCGAAATAAGTTGAGATGATATGTTGATCATCATTGAAGATGTTGTAGGGGGAGACTTTGTTTAAATCGTGGTGGTTTGAGGTGTTGCTTGTGATGAGGATATCATGTAAATCCAAGTCTGAAGGTTGAGCTTGAATTGGAATGTTATTTACAGGTGTTTTTTGATAATGAGATGTGTTCTTTATGTTGAAAGTCTTTTTGAAGGATTTGATTTCCTTTAGTAGCTTTTTATCAATGTTATTTGAGTTGGAGTTTTTGCTTAAATTTGGATGAGAAGGTAATAAATGGTGAGAGTATTTAATTGAGGATAAAGATAAATCGAAATTTAGTAGGAAGGGATTCTTTTCACATTGCAGTCTCATTGATTTGTAGGAGGATAGATCATAAGTGGAACAGTATTTCAAGCATTCAGATAGAACAGAACCGATGTAGTAGCATTTGCAGATTGAGTTATTGGGAGAGCATATTCGGTAGTTTTTCTTTGATTTATTTAAGCAGGAAATGTGTAAGATTGAGTTGCAAACAGGATTGATATTTAGAAAGACATCGTTTTTTTCATGATTTAGAACAGTGAATGGTTCGTTTTTGAATTGGTTGACAGATTTTGAGATTGAGTGGATGAATTTTTTGTTTGTTGATGTAGGTGTTTCTTGGGAGATGGAAAGGGATATGTTTAGAGAAAGATAAAGCAAGAGAAACGAAAGGATATTTCTGGGATACATTTCAACTATGAGTTATAATCAAAAGATAAGAATATAAGAAAGTGTTAAGGAAGTGCTAAGGAAGTGTTGATGAATATGGTGATACGAGTGTATAGAAATAAAGTAGACGAGAGATGGAGATGAAGGAGATGGAGAAGGAAATAGAGATGGAAATGGAGGATGGGAAAAGAAACTAAATGACACAAAAAGCAGCTCATTCACAATTGGATATCATTTCAAAACTGTTTTGAGATTGTTTCAAGATTGTTTCGAGATCATTTTGAGATGGTTAAAGGATTATTGATTGATTATGGGTGGATTCGTTATCAGATAAGAAATGGTAAACAATAGAGAGCGGAACCACTGCTGTGGGACGGAAAAGGCGATAAGAGAAGATTTTATTTGATGAGTACAAAAGAGATCTAGAGAGATCCAAAGAGATCAACAGAGATCTATATAAAAACAGAGAGAGCGCACCTCGAATAGGAGAGAGCAAATGAAAGAGATATAGCCATCAAAACAAAACAAATAATATTAATATAAGGAAATAAAAACATGAGAGTAAAGGTGAGAGAAAAGATGAGAGAAAAAACAAGAAAAAAGATAAGAGAAAAAGAAAGTTCATGAGTAAAGGGCAAGGGAAAAGATATGTTGATTATTCTAAGAAAAAGGAAGCTAGGGCCTGGATTTTATAGTTGAAAAAGGACAATTTGGTGTCTTTTTGTTCAGAGATCTCAGTGTCTAACTCATCGTATATGATTTCAGCGTTTCTGTACAAGTCAATTGGAACATCACCAATGTAAGCTCTGTCACCAAAACCACCAACCATGTATATGCTTTCAACGTCAAACTTGACCCAGAAACCTTTGTGGGCAGAGGTGGGGTTTGTTGGCAACCAAAAGACACTATCCTTGTGTCTTTGAACAAAGCATTTTTCAATTTTGGCAATTTCCAAGGGATCTTCAATTCTAACAAGAGAACCCTTAACATTGAGCCTGGGAGAGCCAGCAGTGGATTTGACGATTCCACCCGGGTAGTTTGGGTTGACCGAATTATCAGAGATAGGATGGTCGCCGGTTCTGACAGAAAAGGAGAGTTTGGTAGAGGGAGAGTTTTTGATGTTTTTCCAGGTAGAGGAGATCTCCAACATAATTAAAGTTGGATCTCCAGAATCTAAACAGTCAGCATAATATTCACTAAAGGAGACAGGGAAGCCGTTGGTGTCGACAGAGTTCAAACTCAAGATGGATTCCCTGTGGATCAAGGTTCTGGCAACAGAGGCAGCAGTCTTGACGTCGTAAGGTCCAGTAGGGGGTTTGAAAGCGAGGACTTGAGCCGCAAGAGCAGACAACAAGACAGAGACAGTGGTGAGCTTCATAATAAGCAGTAGGAAAGGACAGAGGGATAGATAAATCGATAAGGAAAGCAGAACGAAATAGCTTGCTATATAGAAGAATATCTTGCTAGGTACAAGAATGGAAGAAAGTGCACTTCCAGAGCAGTCTCTTTATATATCTCAGATCAGCATTGTTGAAAGTGAGGGTGGTGGATAATTGATCGTTGGATGTGCGTTTGTTCGGCAGTACTTATCGGACATGTCGCAGATAAGCGTGAAAGTCACGTGCGGTCACATGAGCACAGTCACATGGTCGGTGTTGCATGCACTTCGCACGTGCATTGACACGTGTGCAGCTGAGTCAGCTGTTGCACGTGTGCTTGACACCAGCGTTGTGGATCTGAGCTTATCACTGCGGATAAGGCATTGTAGAGCAGACGCAGCCGCGCTGTGATTGGCTGGACTTGCTGGGGTTATCTCGCTGGTTCTTTGTGGGAGGTGTTTACGACCCTTTGATCTGCTCTCACTTCTTCACCAACTGTTTTGATCCACTATCTCTGATCCACTGTTTTGACCAGCTCTCTTGATTCTGTTTCCTGTGTTACTGGTGGTCCATTTGTTGGTTGCGCTTTGATTTATAATTCTTCGGTTTGCCATTCGATATATCTCTCTTTTCCCAGGCTCCTTTGGCTCGCCATCTCTTTTCCATCTTTTTTGGTTTCTTCAGCACAATATGCTTCCAAGTTATGATAGAACTCGTATTTGCAGGGAGTAAGTATATTTCTCTCTTCTCTTCCACCTTTGCTCTCCCTTTTCCTTTTTTTGACCTCTCTCTTGCTACCCAGCTTGTCACTGCAAACTGCAACCACTAACATCCCCTGAAGGCCAACATCTCCAAGAAAGGGTATCTTCACCTCAAACTCCTCCACCTGGAAAAAACTACGAGGAAAGGCTGTTCTAGCTGCCACTGCTGCCAACAACGCCTATCTCATTCAGAACGATAAATCTCTATACAAGCATAGACTATCCTCATCTTCTGCCACCTCAAATTCAATCTCCCACTCGGTTTCAAACTTGAACTTGAGCCCGTTGTCTAATGACCCAAATATCCTGTCTTCTACTAACACACACACAAATAACAATAACAATAACAATAGCAATAACAATAACAATAACAATAACAATAACCACAATGATATTAATGACGACTACGATGACTTGAACCATTTCCATGACTTGGATCTCGATATTGATGTCGACAATTTAGACCGGTCTCTATTATATCTTAATGGCAACCTAAACTCAAACTCCATTGAATTTGGTGAAAACGCTGAATTGTATATCGCATACAAAGACTCCTTTGAAATTTGGGACTGGTTCCCTAATAATAACGATAACAATAACAATAACAATAACAATAACAATAACAACAACTACTTGGGTGGAACTCTTCACTTGATTGCTTCAAAACATATTCAAAACATCGACAAAATCATCTCCATCACTCCAATAGACTCCATCAGATCCTCTTCAACATACAACGTAATCATTTCCTACTACAAATCAAACCAAAAGAAAAACTTCTTTTTCATTTATTACTCAATTAACTTATGCACCCCCGAAAACTCCTTTAAAAAACTTCTTTCTCTCCCTTCCTCAAACATCGGCACTCCTCCATACAAAATCAAATCCTCTTTAAACTTCTTTGTAGTCTCTTCGGCTGATGGCTATTTATCCATCTTTGATAAATCTAACATCTCTCCTATCTTTTCCCATTCTTTGAAAACAAAGTCCTCTCACAATATTACCCCAATCTTCGACCTTTCTGGTAGATGGTTAGCTTATATTCCCCAATTCAATTCTTCTTCCAACTCTTCTCCAAACTCTAATTCTAATTCTAATTCTAATGATCCTTCTAATGAACATAACATCTCTAATGACAATATCTCTCCATCTAACCAGCCTAATAACAATCTCGATGATCCAAATTACAACCCCTCCTCCAATGTCTCCTATCTAAATAAGAAATCAATAAACCTAACCTCACTAAGATTACCAGACCAATCTCCCCTAATTAATAGAGTCGTAAACAACCTATCATCTGCTGCAATTGATGGCTTTCTAAAGCTTTCTCATTTGAGCTCTTCAAAAATCAAAAACTACCTCAATGAACCAAACACTCCCTTCATCAGCTCTAACCCACACGCAGCTACCAACACTCCCAACTCTCTCGATCAATCAACAACAATCAAATCCTTAGTCAGCAATATCATGAAAAATGATAAATTCAAAAACTCTTCGCCGGATTTCGTAGTCATAATGGACTTGGTATCCAAAATCAACCTCTGCATCTTCAAACCTTCAAATGGGGTCTCAAATCTTTCTTTATCCCCTTACGACTCTCATTTGGCTACTTGCAACACTAGGGGTGATAATATCTACATTTGGGATCTCACAAGAATGCCTCTAGAGGTTTCATTGGTTGCAAAATATAATCGTGGAAAAATATCTGCTTCTATCGACAACATCTTGTGGTCCATTGGTAATTCGGCTTTAGCCGTCGTCACAAAGAAATCTGGCTCCTTACACTGGTTTTCATCGGATTTCTACAATGATGTTAATAACAACAACATCAAATACTCGAGAAACAATAATAGCTGGATTCTATCAAACATCGGCCTATCCAAAATATCCTTGGGCCCCAAAATAGCTGAAATTCCACTGCTTCACAATATCAATAATGAGTCCTTTGGCTTCCAATTTAGAGACCAAAATATTGAAATCATTAGAAACAATATCCTACAATATGGCCTAATGAAAAGTTGTATATTATCTTTAAACTTATACAAAAACTCGATTTTTGTTATATCCCCAGATGATGGTTCTATTTCTTGGAAATACCAATTGCCAATTGCTCCAATTCCACAATCTCTCCTACCAGATCATTTGATAATTAACAATATTGAAGAAAAACCAAACCAAAATACCATACTCACTGAAAGCAATAATCACATTAATGGCAATGGCATTAACACTCACGATAATACTCACGATGATACTGAAAATAGTAGCGAAAATGACACCGAAAGTGAAAATGAAAACGAAAATGATAATAATTATAACCACCTTGATGGTCATTCCAACTTTAATCTTAATTCTAATCACCCAAACTCCAACACTCCTAGAAGAAACATCAACAATCAAATTGATTATGATTTCGTTGATCCTTTATCTGAAGTTGAACTAGAAACTTGTTTTCCATTTGCAGCTTTTCAAAATAACAGAAGATTCCAAATTGGCTATTACAATTTCAACAAAAATATCAAACAAAGCAATGCATTAAATGCTAAAAATTACACAAGCAGTCTTTTTTCAATAGTTGAACCATTGGATCCAATCACTGGATTGTACAAACACAATACAGAACCACAAGCCAACAATAACGATTTCCTCAACGACAATAGTGATATTGAGGATGCAAAAATGTTCATCAACAACTATAATGTGTTTGGTAATGGGTTTACAGTCGATACGTTGAAGTTTGGAAAAGGGTCTGGACTACCAGTTTTTAATTCAACCAACAACTGTCATAATACTACTCCTAAGACTAGTGCAAACGATGATGATACTTTTAATGATAATGATAACGAACATAAATATGATGATGATATATATGAAAGTGGAGAGATGGAAGGTCTTGAAAATCTCCGTCGTGCAATGGAAAGTGTTTTGATATTTAATGATGAATAGTTAATATAAACCCATTATTTTACTTTTTTTTAAAAATTTATTGTTAATCTTTTTTTTTCTTTTTTTTTTCCTTTTTTAGTTTTCTTCTTTTTTTTTTTTTTCCTGAAGTGTTTCTTTTGTTTTGTTTTCACAATATCTACTATTGATATTCACTTTTCTAAGTTATAGTTATTTGTTTTCAATTTTTTTGTTTGATAATTGTTCTTAGTCTCTTACTTTATTTCATACTACTTTTAGTTCAAACATGGTCAAGTTTATGGGAATAATAATACACACATTTAGAAATAAACTCAATCTACAAACTTGTTTTAGCATAAAGAAAAGAAAAATTTTAAAGGTCAATTATATAGAAAGATATAAAAATATAAGGATAAATAAACAAAACCATCTATTTTTGGTGAATTCTAATGAATATTAAAGGCATCATGATTGTAATCATTCACGTAAGTTATTACGGGGATTTGGTGTGCTACTATATTGTTATTGCTATTGTTATTATTGTTGCTGTTATTGTTGTTTGTATTATTTATGATGGGCGAGTTGGATATAATTGGAGAACCTTCGTTACTAGTTAAGAAATTCAAGTCGAACTTTTCATTGGGGTTCCCGTTAATTTTATTAGTATTCACATTAGTGTTGATATTATCGTTAATAGGCAATGTATTTTGATTGTTCATATTCATCAAGTTGATGTTATTGGCATCAATATTTAAATTATCCATATTGATGTTTGAAAAGTCCTGATTGAAATCATTGTTGAAAGTTTGATTAAAATCCTTTGTAAAATCACTCATTGAGTACTCCTTTTCAAACAATCCTCCATTTGGAGTGGTTATATTGTTGTTATTATTGTAGTAGCCATTATTATTATTATTATTATTATTATTATTATTATTATTATTATTATTATTGTTATTGTTGAGGTTGATATTTATATTGTCTATATTCATGCTATTGAAATCAATATTACTCTGCATATTATTATCGATATTAATATTATAAGTTGTGAAATCATGAATAATTTGATCATCAGTATATTGTTCGGGGAATAAGAGTGGACATTCAATATTCATATCTTTCATAATCTGATCAATTAATTCTTCATCAGTTGTGTTAACATGTTCATTGAAATTTATAAAAAGATTTCTATTATTATTGGAATTGTTCATGCCATTAGACATGAAATTCGCTTGAACCTGGTTTTGATTTTGGCTTTGAATTTGAACTTGAACTTGATTTTGGTTTTGAATCTGGTTTTGATTTTGGTTTTGAATCTGGTTTTGAATCTGGTTTTGATGCTGATGCTGAAGTTGAGATTGATTTTTTGATATTTGAATTTTATTAGAAAACAATTCAGTTATTAAATCATCAATATCACTTTCATTTTTGGGATTTTTGATTTGATCATTAATATGAGAAGGTGTACTATTATTATTGTTGTTGTTATTATTATTATTATTGTTATTATTATTATTATTGTTGTTATTATTATTATTTGTGTTGTTTATATGGTTAACATTTAGATTGTTTTCTTTATTATTATTGTTTATATTATTTATATTGCTTATATGATTGCTATTTACGCTATTTTCTTTAATACTGTCTATGGTATTAAAGTCAACAAAATTATTGTTGATTATAGAAGAATTGCTATTGTTGTTTTGATGATAATTGTTTGTTGAAAAGGCTGAGTTATTGGAAGAAGAGGATGAAGAAGAAGAATTTGAGGATGTTGATAGAGATGAGGTTGAGGTAGAAGTGGTGGATAAGGAGTTTGAGGTGAGATATTCATCTTTATCGGAAACTACCGGAGAAAAGGGGTCATCTAAGGGATTTAACTTGTATAGGGATTGGTTGTTGATATTACTACAATTGTTTATATTATTATTATTGTTAATATTATTGGTATTGAAGAGATTATTATTGGGACTGCTATTGTTGTTAGCATCAATAGTATTGGTGTTATTGTTATTGTTATTGTTATTGTTATTGTTATTGTTATTAGTGTTATTATGAGAGTTAAATTGAGAATAATTTTCATTAATTATTATTGGAAAGTTTGATTGTTGTTGGTTGTTATTGGGGATATTATTTAGATTAATATTGTTGATACTATTGAAATTATTATTAGGAGTATTAGAATTATTAATGCTATTGTTTGCGCTGAGAATTTTTAGTTTATTTTTCATCAAGTTATATGTAAGTTTTGAATTTTCAAGAGCAGCTTCTTCTACGATATGGAATTTGTTTTTGAACAAATTAATATGAATATCGTTGTTAAAGGAAGCAGTATTAAAAGTTTCTTCGATAGTATTCTGATTCTCTAAAATCAGATTAGAATTATTGGTATTGATAATATCGATTTTAAGATTAGAGTTGTTATTGTTCGAGACGTTGTTAATAGGGTTATAAACATTATTTAAGTTGGCAAGATTGGGAATACCATTGATGCTGTTTATATTATTAATGTTGTTGGCCAAGTGTGGTTGAATATCGTTTGATATTGGGTCCTTTAATGGGTGATTATGGTTGTCATTGACTATAACAATTGACCATTTATTTGCACGAATTGAAAAGTTTGCTCTGATTCTAAAAGGGCAAGAATTTGGGTTATTTTTCCTTAGTAATTTTTGTTTTTCCTTTTGAAATTTCTCAACTTGGTTATAGATACCTTTTTTTAGAAGAATTAACTTTTGCTTTTTTGATATTCTCTTTTGTCTAATTTTTTTGAAATTAGAGGAATACTGATAACTTTTACACTTGAATACAATCTTAGTATCATCACTTCTTTCGATGACTATAAGGATGCCCAAGGGAAGTAGTTTTGTTTGTAGCCATGATTTAATTGAGGATCTATCGTCAAACATTGGCTTTTCACTTGTGGGAGAAAATAAGAGGTCTTGAGCAGTGATCATGGTTGAATAGGAATTAAAGAAGGTGAGAGAGATTTATTAAACAAAAGTGGAGATAATGAAAGGGGGGGTGAAATAAGATATAGATTTATAAGGTATAAATACAGATTTTTGTTTGTTTGAAGGATTAATAGGGAAGAATCAGATTGAAGATGAGTTAATGGTAGAGTAAAAGGATTATAAAGTAGATTATTAGTTTCATATAAAATGCAAAAGAGAAAATGGTAGCTTCTTTGGTGGAGATATTTGTATGGGGATTCTTCTTGGTCAGCCTCTTGATCCGTTTCTGGGTATTTTTATTTGGTTTCGCTCTGATTGGTCTCTGGTGATTGGTGTTTAGTGTTTTGATGATTTGATCTTTTGATCTTTTGATCAGTTAATCTTTGATCCTTTAAAGATTTGATCGTGGTTTGGTTTTGAGGGAGGGAAATGAATGAAAAAAAATAAAATGAAAAAATTTGAAAACAGAGGGAAAAGAGAAGTTTATATTATTTAAAAGTGAATACAGAGCATTTTAACTTAAAAGGCCGGCGGTTGCACAAGATACGGGGAATCGGTACATGTCTCAAATCCGATATGCTCAAAGCACCCGCTTGCAGAGGGATATGAGTTTCTTGGCCGGTGTCGGCACGCAGTCTGATTGGCCGGAAAGATCGTTTTGATAATTTTTTATCTTTTCCATCGCAGGGTCATCCGCGCGCATGCGGAATTAAGCCAGTGGGACGTGCCGCGCACAAACAGACGCGGATTCAAAAATCTGTCACACAAAAACCCCGCTTTGAGTGGGATAACCAGGCGAGTTATTTTTTGTGAGTCTGTTGCAAACGTCGGAGTTCGGATTCCTTTGCGGATAGTTCGGCTCGAAGCCGGCGTATTTCTCGGCCAAGCCGCTCTTCCTCATCAATGTTTGGTTCTGTCGTATCTTCCGTCTTCGTATGTGTCTTCGATGCAACCGAACCGTCTGTCATTTCGATGTTGGAGATTTTGCTTAGTAACATTTGCGATGTGGTTTCAAACTTGTTGTTTTCAACACTGAGGTCCATGTTGAGATTGATAAGCCGAGCAATGTTGTTTCTGGTGCGAATGGTGTCTGTGGTAGAGCTTGAGTTGTCTGGAACAGCAGGGGGAGAGACCGTACTAATGCCGTTGGAAACACCACTAAAGGGCATGTTGGGAGGATCTGAAGTCACTTTGTGTTTCAAGTTAGAGTTGTTGATCTTCATCATGTCAATATAGTTGTTCAACTTGCTGTTGTTGTTGTCTGACAAAGAGTGGGAATCAAAATTTCTGTTGAGCAAGTGGTAGAGGAAGTTTCTCAATATCTGATTGTTTTTGTTGACGTAGTTTTTCGAGCTGGATCCGCAAAAGAGCTTCACCTGTTCATAGACCCTTTTCTTGTATGAGTTGTAAGGACGATTGGGAAAATTTCTGATGTAGTTGTTGACGTTGTGATTGTGGGCAGCAGAAGTGCCAGCCACTGCTGCTGCTGCTACAGCAGAGCTGGTAGTCGACCCAAGAAGGGGATTGAAGGGCATTGCATCACTGAGCGCCGGATTTCTGGCCATGCCATTGCTGATGAGCATGTTGTTGTACTCCACCACAGTGCTCTTGAACTCGTCGGTGAGCTTGACCCAGTAGCTCTTTGAGTAGAACAACTCCCTGCCATTTTTGCTGTCACCAAGCTCGCAAGGCTGCTGAGAGGGGTCGAGGTGCTTATACTCCTCGCTGGCGTAGCCATGAATAATGTTGTATTCCATGAAAAAGTCAAAGAAGCATTGCAACTCGTTGAGAGTGAAGTTTCTGGTGCCACAGCGCCTGCCGCCGTTCTTCTTGACTCTCTCCATTGTGTGCTTTTTTTTTCCTCCTCCCTCTCCTTCTCCACCTCCTCCTCCTCCAGCACCTTCTCCGGCACAGAGCTCAAAAGCCAGATTCCAGAGCACAGATACCAGCGACACGCACGCTGATTGGCCACCCAGCCACACCACCACGCTTACCCAAAGTGGCAGCCCGCCCCTCGGCCCGCGCCGCAGTGCTTTAGGAGCTGGAAAAAAAGCGAGGGAGCTTTTTCTCTGCTGCTTGTGTTACCTCTGCTTCTTGTGCTGCCTCTGCTGCTTCTGCTTCCTGTGCTGGGTCTTCTTCTCGGTGCTCTCAGTGTGTTGTGTGCTTGTTGGCTGCTTCCTTTCTTTTCTGTGTTTTTCTGCCTGTTCGACGACTGGCTCCAGCAGCTGCTCTTCAAAAAGCGAATTCGCAACTTATCTTTCTCTCTCTCTCTCCAACAACAACAACAACAACAACAACAACAACAACAACAACTATTCGACCATGGATAACGTAATACCAACAAACTCCAACAACCCTAATAACAATATTAATCCCAATAATATTCAAAATGTCAATAATGAGCACTACAACCCTCTCAATAACCAACAGCAAAATCTACAGCAACTATATTCCCAAATTCCAAGTCACTTACCTCCTGTTTCACTGCCCCAAGTATCCCAAATCAACCCCAACCCCAACCCCATTGACCAACACAATAACCATACCCATAACCATACCCATACCCATAACCATACCCATAACCATACTCATGCCCATAACAATGAAGACAACAATAACAATAACACCTACAGCCACAACTTGCAAAGAAATTACCAATACTACAACTACAAACACCATGGAATCTCTCTATTGCCCCAAAAATCAACAATATCAAAGGGCAAATACAACCTAACCGATTTTCAAATCATGAGAACCTTAGGGACCGGTTCGTTTGGAAGAGTTCACCTCGTTCGTTCCATTCACAATGGAAGATACTACGCTATCAAAGTCCTCAAAAAAGAAAAAATCATCAAAATGAAACAAGTCGAACACACCAACGACGAACGAAGAATGCTCAAACTAGTAGAACACCCTTTTCTAATTCGAATGTGGGGAACCTTTCAAGACTCTAAAAACTTGTTCATGGTAATGGACTTTATCGAAGGTGGTGAACTATTCTCTCTACTAAGAAGATCCCAAAGATTTCCTAATCCTGTCGCCAAATTTTACGCTGCTGAAGTGATCTTAGCCTTAGAATACCTACATAGTTTTAATATTATTTATAGAGACTTGAAACCTGAAAATATTTTACTAGATAGAAATGGGCACATAAAAATAACTGATTTTGGCTTTGCAAAGGAAGTCATCTCCTACACCTGGACTCTCTGTGGTACTCCTGATTACATTGCTCCTGAAATCATCAGTGCTAAACCCTATGGAAAAAGTGTTGATTGGTGGTCTCTTGGGATATTGATCTTTGAAATGTTATCAGGTTACACTCCTTTTTACTCAAAGACTCCAATAAAGACTTATGAAAAAATATTAAACTGTAAAATCAACTTTCCTAGCTATTTCCACATCAACTCAATTGATCTCATCAAAAGATTGGTCACAAAGGACTTAACAAGAAGATTGGGTAACTTGTCAAATGGGGTCTACGACATCAAAAATCATGAATGGTTTGAAGAAGTCATCTGGGAAAAACTATTAAACAAAGACATTGAAACTCCCTATGAACCCCCAATCAGTGGTGGAATTGGTGATAGCAGCTTGTTTGATTTCTATCCCGAAGAAAAATTCGATTATGGTATAAAAGGCGAAGATCCTTATCAACAATATTTCACTGAATTTTAATTAAAATGAAAAGAAAAAACAAAGAAAAAAATCACTAAATACAATATTAAAAATTAAAATAATCTATCCATTCATATTTATATTCAGCTTACTCACTATCTTTCCTCGATATATTTTATTTTGTTTTATTTTATTTTATTTTATTTTATTTTGTTTTGTTTTATTTTATTTTATTTTATTTTATTTTACTTTATTTTGTTTTTGTTTGTCTCTTCTGTTTAAAATTCGATAAAATTATTATTATATTATTTCTCTTTACCCCTTCTCTTCACCATCAACTTTCTGTATGGCCCCTGAATAAACTGTTGCACGATAAACACACATAAAACAAAATCATACTCGTATCCTTCCTTCGTTGCTGCGACTGGAAAAACACACACTCATGGTTAAGACAGTTGGGGCACTCTTTGTTCGATCGAGGCAACGTAGGATCGTTTCCTATGTCCTGCACCACCCCTGCTGTCTCTCCAATATGTGTTATCAACTCATTACGATAGATCTTGGGGTTGTCACTCAACTCAGTGTAATCGCAGTTTCTACACGAGTACAACAATCGTCTCGCTGTGATGTCCTCAATGTCCCGGTTCTCCTTGGGATAGAGCAAATTGTTGCTGCTGCTGTGTTAGTGCCAGATCTCAATACAATCCACAGGCCCATGCTCAAAACATACCAGTTGCGACAAAACTTGAAAGACGCCATGTTCTACTTGCACATTTCTCTCTTCTTTTCTTCTTTGCTTCTTTTCTTCTCTCTTCTGCTTTTTCCAACGGCGCGTATTTCCCGATTGGGCTCGACCACAAAAGTCCCGATTCGTAAATCCAAATATAATCAAAACTCAAATACCCTTCATTCTTCAAAGCTTCGCTCGTCAAATTCAAACTGCTGCTGTTCTCCAAGCACACAAAGCTGCCTCCAATTGCTATTGAATTGCCATTCAACTACTGGCTCAGAACACCAACAGCCGTTTCTTTTGCATCCCACTTTTCAAAAGACTCGCCACGACCACACTATCCGATAGTCTTGCAATCTCTGTTTGGCCATTTCCCCTGAATGTTTTCTTCAACATAACACTGCTCTCTTTCACTACGCTATATCCACACCTCTTACCACTTTACATAAACAGCTGCATTGGTTTTATAACTTGTTCCGGTCTAATCTATTTAATCGATTGGTTTCCCTCTAAAAACTTCCTATTTTCACTTCTAGGCCATATCCATGTTCAAAAAATTGAATCCCATCAACAATCTCAAATTGAATACTACTGTAAATGAAAATATCAACTCAAACTTGAAATTAAAACGCTCCTTATCTTCCTCAAACTCTCAGAAGACTGCTCTGCCTAAACTTAATAATGCTGAAAATATTCTAAGGTTAGCACCTAAAAACACCCTCATTTCTTCTTCCACTTCAAAATCTTTAGCTTCAAATAAAATCAAAAATAAAACAAGCAATAATAATAATAATAATAATAACAATCACAAAAAACTTATCCAAAAAAACCAGCGCAAAAATGATGTAGTTATAATTGAAAAAAAAAATATAAAAATTATTCCAAACAAAAAAGAACCAGAAGTTTCTTCTGTTATTGCCACTGATAAATCAATTTCAAGCAAAAAATTAAACAAATTAAATTTTAATGATGAATTTAGTTCTTCTCCAATCACAAATTCAAGCTCTAATCCACACTCAAGTTCTCTTCCAAATTCAACTCTTACTCAATTAAATGTGCTTGACGCTGATAACGATAATCCCAATAATAGTCTCAATAATCTTGACGGTTTTAACAGTCTTGATAATATCAACAACACCAATACATCAGTATACAGGGAAAAATCATATTTAAAAAGATCAATTGATCTATTATCTGTTGAAAACAGTCTAATTGAAATAATTAACTCAAACAAAAATATAAACAACAGCTTATCCTCTTCTCAAAAATTATCTTTAATTAAAATGTTAAATTCTTCATTTGACTTATTTCAAGTTCAAATTAACGATCATATTAATCAACTTAGCACTCTATCAACAATTAATGATATCAATGAGATCAATAACACAAATAACTTGAATAATATGAATAGCCAAAATATCTCTTCCTTAATTGATTGTGCTTCTTATCCCTTATTTGAAAGAATCCAAAATTTAGTAACTTCTATGACAACTTTAATAATGAAACTATCTTCAAATAACAACACCAATAATAACAAAAACAGCAATAATAATAATAATAATAATAATGATAGTAATAGTAATAATAACTTCAACCAACAATTCAACCAGTTGAATATCAACGTTAATAATTCAACTGATTCTCTAATTTCTACATTACATGAGTATAATAACAATAATAACAACAACAACAACAACAATAATAATAATAATAATAATAAATTATATCCTACCACTTTAACTCAATCAAACAATAACTTAATGAAAAACTTTAATCTGCTTAATCTTAACTCAAATCCTAAAAATATTTCTCAATTACCCCAAAATGATCCTCAATTATCTCAAAATATTCCTTCTAATCAAAACAATAATCCAATTAGATATCCAAGGTATGGCTCAAATAATCCCTCAAGAATTGTTTCTCAAAATCATAAAAACCAACCAAATCAATCAAATCAGTCTATAAACACAATCAATCACTTTAATGATAACGTTCAACCAATTTCTCAACTGGATATTATATCTCCAAGAGATTTGAATGAATCTAAAAATTATGTTAACCACCCAAATAATTTCAATAAAATATATAACCAAAATCAGAATCAGAATCAGAATCAAAAATCCCCCAATTTAATATCTCCAAAATCATTAGACCAGTCAAATCCATCAAACTATTTACCACATAATAACAATGAGTTCAATGAATTTGGAACTGAAAACAACCAGACAAGAAAAAGAAAACCAAGATCAAATACTTTTTCAGCTATAGACAATCCTCAATTCAACAACTTTGATACCTATAACAACAATCATAACTATTCCGACGATAATTTTATTGACCTTTACAATAATAACGGCAATAATGGAAATATCAATAATAATTACAATAATCAGTATAGTAATAACTATAATAATCATCGCAGTAACTATAATAGCTATAATAACTATAATAATTTTGGAAGTGATCAATTAGAAAACTGCGATAACCAGCAATTTCTTAACCATCGTCATCATTATAGTGACAGTACTGATAGATTTCGTGGCAACCATAATAACTACAACAGGAATGATATAAATTACTCTAACAATTACGGGGATAATAATCCTAATAACTATCTTAGTAATCAGGAAATGATTTACAGTTCAAATAACTTTGACAATAACTACCATGAAAATTTCAGAGAGAGAAATTCTCCTCTAAATAAATTCCAAAAAAGGTCACATACTACTAATAATATTGGAACAAAATTTGATAGAGATTTTGACTATGCTAATCCTATAATTAATGATCAATATATTGATGATAATTTTCAAAATAATAATAATAATAATAACCCTCAAAATTTGAAGTTTAATAAATTTCTCAATTCACCTTTAAAGAGTGGTAAAAGTTTCAAGAATTCAATTTATGAGCTTGAAAAAAATCGAAATAGTTTGGTTGGAAATTCAAATAAGTTTTCTACCAATTTCAATACTCAAAATTTCAATGATAATAACAATTATTCTAATAATAATTATCTTAATAATAACAATTATCCTAATAATAATAGCCCACTCATCAATGACAACAATATAGTAGTTGTTAACACAGAAAATGAGAATGAGGAATTTGATGATCAAATTGAGAGTAATCAAATGAATAATTTAAATGTATCTTATCAAAACACTTCGCCGTTTTCAAATATCAATCCAAATCGATTTTCAAAATTGAATAGTCCTGTGAACCTGAATCACTATTCAAATAATTCAAACTCAAACTCAAATTCTAGATCCAGATCATTTAATTATAACAATCATAACAACAATAACACCAATAATATTAACAACAACAATATTAGTGATATGAATTATAATAATCAAGTTGATCGCTCCCGCAGTCGTAATAATTATAACAGAAATGATTATAATAGACCCAATGCTTCTAGGACTGGAAATAGCTATGATGAGCATTTCAACAATTTTACTGAGAATTTTAATAATGATGATAATCAATTCAACAATCAAAATTTTAATAGACTAAGTAAAAGATACTCATTAAACGATTTTAATGGAAACCAACATCATGATGAGATGATGGATAACACTGTTATAAGTAATACAAACAAGCGATATTCTTTAAAATACATTTAAAGGCTCTGGTGGAAAACACGAATTCTATTATTTGCATTTATTTTTAATATTTTTTTCATTTTTTTATTATTAATTGTTAAATTGTTAATTGCTAATTTCATTTCATTTTGTATTTTACCTGGACATTTCATTTTATGCATAACAGTTAAGTATTTATGTTGTGTTAAATTTTCTTTTCTCATTTATTTTTTTCTACAATTATTTTTTTTTCATTCAATTAGTTTAAATAAATCCAAGCCATTAAAATAGACAACAAAACTTACAAATAAACATTTGCTTTTTATTTTTATTTTTATTTTTATTTTTAAACTACTTACTTTACAAAATTTTCTATTGTAATTTGAATTATATAAGTAGAATAATGATTATTGGATAGATAACAATATATATGTATATATACAAGAGAAAAAAATGAAGTAATTATGACAAAATAAGAATTAGAGTAGTGATAGGATTTATAATTAAAAAGTGAATAATGTTTTATGAAATTACTCGATCTATTCCAATGAAATTTTGGCACCTAAATCTTCTAAAGTCTTTTTCATTTTCTCAGCATCTTCTTTACTTAAATTTTCTTTCAAAATTTTTGGAGCACCTTCAACAAATTTCTTGCTTTCGACCAATGAAAGACCTAGTAATGATTTGACTTCTTTAATAATCTTTGGTTTTGCCTTAGTTTCAAAACTTTCTAATTTAACAGAGAAAATAGTCTTCTCCTCAACTTCTTCCTTTGGAGCAGCAGCTTCTTCATCGGCAGCAGAAGCAGCAGGAGCAGCACCTGCAGCTGGGAATGAAATATCTGGAATGTTTAATTTGGATTTTAGTTCATTAATCAAAGATGAAGTTTCCAACAAGGTCAATTTCGAGATCTGATCAACAATTGTTGAAATTTTAGGATCGATAGGTGAGGAAGCTTGGGTTGAATTCAATCTTACTAAGATTGGAGTTATTCTACAATAATAATAATTGAAAGAAAAAAAAAACAAGAACAAACAATTGAGTTAGCAAGTCATACTCTCATATTCAATGGTGTAAAGCTGAATTTGGGTAAAGACTGATATCGTTATTGACATACCTTCTTGGGCAAAAACGAACAGCTGTACGGACAGTTTGAAGAGCAGCAAGTGACATTTTGAGTAAACGAAATATAAGTGGAAGGAGAACGAGCTGTGTCTGCAATATTATCTGCTGCTGTTGATATATGATCAATGCTCGATGTGGAGGTTCCTATTATCAAATCGTTTTTTTATTGGATTTGATTTTTTTCAGTTGGACGAAAATTGAAAAAGTGGATTAGAAGCCCGCTTAAACACGTGCAAAATACCCGTTGCAGTGGTTGGTTTTGAATATGTGTGTTTACGTTTTTGTATGTTTTTGTATGTTTGTGTATGTGTTATGTAATATATTGCGTTAGAATGCATGTGATCCGTATTGGTGAATCAGCTACATATTTTACTCGATTTGGAAGTGGGTAGGTTTGTTGGAAATTAATGACTTTGCTATAGAAATGAAGATGTGTAAATAAAGATGCGTAAATGAAGATGTGTAAAAGGAAATGTGTATATATATGGAAATGCAATAGATGAACTAAAAAATTACAATCGTAAGATGTTTTTCTTCTCTATGATGAATTCAGCATCATGGATGAATTTCGGCAACTTTCCATAAAATTTTCTAGAGAATAAATAGTTTCCACCAAGAGATAGCTGCTTCAAGTTTTTTAAGCTATCCCAACTGGATATCAAAGAGCAGCTATTTCCGCTGCTGATGCTGATATCTTTATAAGTATCAGAGCTGTTGTGATTTGAAATGTGATTTTTATCGAGATACAAAACCCTTAGATTTTTCAAATGACTAATGTTTTCCACCTTTGAAATATTGTTGCCACCTAAATCCAAGTATTGCAAGTTTTGGTTAGAATCCAAGTTTTCAATTTTATTTAAATTGCAACGATATAGTATGAGTTTTTTTAATTTTTTTAAGTTTTGAATATTCTCGATTTTTTTGATGTTTAGATTGAAGGATAAATCTAGGATTTTCAAGTTTTTGCAGTCATTTAAGTTTTCTATTTGAGATATATTTGAGCATCTTATAACTAGTACTTGAAGCTGAGTTAAGTTATTTAGATGTTCGATTTTGGATATCTGGTTGTAACCTTTTATGATTAGTTTTTTCAAATGAACTAAACTTTGCAAAGATTTTAAATTGAAATAAACATTATTTGAATTTAGTTTAAAATTATTCGAAAGATTCAATGTTTTTAGATTTTTGAAACAAGAGATCTTTTCGATTGAATTGATATTGTTTCTTGATAAGTTGAGATTTTTGATATTTTTGTTGATTGATACGTTAAATTTATTGTTGTAGTAGCTTATTAGATGATGTAGTTCACTTAAATTTGTGAGATTTAAATTTTCAAGGGACAAATTTATATTAATGTTAACATTTGCACTTAGATTTAAATTTTTCTGATAATTTAAAACTTGAAAGAAGTCATTTACATCATTTAGAGTATTTATGTTGTCTAGATTATTCAACTTGATTAAATTTTTGAAATCTCTAAAGTTGATTTGTAACTTGATTTGCCTGGTAAAAGCATAAATGTAGCTTTTTAAAGTAGAGAAATCGTTTAAAGTGATTTTGAAGTTATCGATGATTTTAACACTATTTTTCTGATTACTATTATTGCTGTTGTTAAAATCAATGCAAATTTTACTGAATAATAAAAAATTAGAGTAAAAGGAAACTACCTGGTAGTCAGATAGGGAAAAAATTAATAGGATATCTTTGTGGGTTACAAAGTTATTTAGTATTTGTTGAATTATTGAGGGAGGAAATTTTAAAAGATTAAAAGTCATTTTAAGAATAAGGAATTATGAATAAAAAATTATGAATAGTAGTGATGGTGATGGTGATACCAGTTGCAAGGATAGCAAGAACAGTAAGAACAGTAAATAATGTAAATAGTAATGATACTTTGTGAAATGAAATATTGTAAAAGTGGTATTATTTGATCAAACACTATATATGATTTGGGCAAAAAAGAAAAGTGGAGAAATGGGTTTAATTTATATTAGACCTATTAATGGTTTTATTAGATTATTCAATTTCAATTGAAATAAGAAAAGAAAAAGCGAATAAAAAAGGGACTAGAAAGTGGATAATAATCGAATAAGTAGTAGATAGTAAATCATAAAGTAGCAATATAGTAATATGAGTCAAAACTAATATATATCACAAAGTAAAGATGTATATGATGAAAATTATTGAACAACTTTAACTATTGATATGACTATTTTTTTATCCTTTTTCAGATTAAATTCAATAGAACTGAATAGAATTTAATAGATATGAACTAAACTATACTGGTAGTGATGTGATTTTGACATTTTAGTTTTGGATCATATTCATTTAAATAAAAACTAACAAAATTAGATTATATTAGATTATATAATATGATATAATATGATATGATATAATATGATATAATATAATCTAATGGTATATTATATAATAATATATAATATTAAACTACAGGTAACACAAAGCAATATTATTACTTAGACACAAATTGATGATTTGACACATTAGATAAAGATGAAACATGATTTTAATTTGATGAATGGAAATAATTTAATGACCTACAGTGAGGAAAAAAAAATGATTGTCGAACTTTTCATCTGAATCGCCTAAAGTGAAAATAAAACAGAAAAGCGTTGATGATTGGTATAATTAACAAGACAGTGTGAATAAATGACACTTAGTATCTGACATGTTACTTTTCCAATCATTTCCTCGTTATTAAAATGGTTCTTTCTTTCACCTCATAGATAGATGAGGTGGAAAAGACATCAGATTAATCGGCCGGTGTACTTTATGGGTATATCTGGGTATCGGTTATTCAGCTATCAAGAGCTAAGGCCAAAGGGTTGGAGAAGAATTCAACAAGTCGTTCTAATTGTAAACAGCTTAAAAGGAAATTGTTATTTATCTTCCATCTTCAACAATATCCTCCTTCTTCTGTCGCAAGTCCTCTCTTTAAGTGCTTTCTTTAAGTCCCATTTCAGTGACTCAGAAAAAAGGGAGTTTTCAGCAAAAGTGTATTTTGACTCCAGCACTATGGATCTAAGCGGGATTTGATTAGTTGTATCTGTAGACCCTTGGAAGATGCATGCTGGGCGTGTAGCGCAGTTGGTAGCGCGTCTGCTTAGCGTGCAGAAGGTCTTGGGTTCAATTCCCAACTCGTCCATGTCTTTTTGCTTTTGGACCTATTTTACCACAAGTTGATCCTTCTTCTGCTTCAACTTCGCGCCTTGCAGAACTCACAGAAGAAACCTCACTTTTATGGTTTGGTTATGTTTGGTTTATTCAGAAAATCTACTTACTTTTTATTCTCAAACCTTTTAACCACTTGTTTCATTGCGTGCCAGATCTTAAGTTGAAGTTGAATGAAACAACAATAATGTTGGAAATATTGGACCCTTTGCAGTAACGCTCACCGCAGCAGGATAATACCTAACAGGCTCAAGAAACAGGATAACCCAAAAATACAGTTGGTTTCTTATTGCAAGTAATGCTTTAAGCAATACAACTAAGTTATTCTTGGAAAGCTCTGAGGCTATTTTGACTTGGAGAATCTCCAGTTCCTCACTTTGAGATACTTCGATATGGGTTTGATTAATCCGACATCCACTCTGTTTTTAACATGAACATGCTTTGTTTTTATTTCCCAATTTATTAATTTCTAATCATTTTACCAAACCAATATTTGTTTTTATTTGCTAAATCATGTCTATTAAACTGGTTCCAATGGATCTGAGGATTTAAAGGCTAATTAATTGAAAATAAAACCGATAATTCTTCAAACAACAGAACATCATATTTTATATTACAACAAAGGACCAAAACACAAGGCATAACAACACAAAAAAAAATTTGTTACTTTAATTTATTAAGTCAAAAAAAGATGGATTTTATTGATATCAAAAATACGGATCATATCTAGAATAATATATTAAACATCAGATTTTAATATCATAGTGAATTAAGCTAATTTGAATAACATCGGCTTTTGGATTGGAGTTTTAAACTGATTTGTTTCAATTATGTATGTATCAAAATCAATTCTTTTTTAAAAATTAAACAAATTCCCACTTTTTTTTTACTCAATTATTGAACAAATATTATCTTATTAGTACAATCAAAATTCAATTTTCTCAAGTAAGAATTGCAGTTTTGAAAACCAATCACTCAGAATCAAGTATTGTTTTATTGCTCAAGCTGATGTATAATAATTGCAACTATTTTTTTTTGGTTCTTATTTTTTATAAGACGATTAATCTAAACAAAAAAAAATCCATTCTTTGAAAGTCAAAACTGATTTCACAAAACAGGTATTGGAGATAATCGGCCCCTTTGATTACCTTTTTGCTTATATTAATTCATATCTTTACCTCAAACCAACTAACCCAATATCCAGAATTGTAATTCACACAAATATTCTTTCAATGTCCTCTGGAGTTTGTCTTCATCTAAAAAAACATTTTATTCTCAATTTTTTGACATGACTGAATGTATTTGACACTGAATATAATTATTAAATAGAAAATCTGTCTATTTGTTTACTTAATCAGTTAATAAAAACACGTTACCAAATCAATTTTAGGATGATCTTAAACCAAAAGAAATACAGATACTTAGTCAGTAATAATTAAACCAATTATAAATCAATTAATTAATTTTTAAACACCATTACAGCTATTGAAATCTTTAAATATATTCATTGCTATGATAGTTTACCATATTCCTTATAAATCTCTGAATGTAAAACCATCCTTCATCTTGAAATAAACGTTCTCCACATAAGAAAAATCCACATAAGAGAAACACAAAAAACAAAAAACAGAATACAAAAAATAAAACATTATTAAAACTGGATACTGCAGAGTTACACTGTAGATCACACACCATTACGTAAGGTTTTATCACGCGTTTAAAGACATGAGCCGCATCTCATACATATGTGTATTGAGTACAAACTCTATTGAACAATGCACATCTTAGGCTATCCACTTAACGCAGGTGCTATTCTGTTCACACAGGCTCCTGTTCTCTCCAAACTTTATGTTTTTTTTATGTTTTTTTATGTTTTCTACTGCACTTAATTTTTTGTTAATGTATCCACTCTGTGTTTATTTTACATCCAATATTTTCTTCAACAATTTGGCCGCTTCTCAATTGCACTCCTTTTTGTTGATATTTCTGCTTGGTTTTCATTTTTGGTTTTTGTTTTCAGTAACACCATTCCCTAATATCAATATCAATAGTGGTTTTGGAAATCTCCTGTTTGCTAACTCCTTGAGACTATTTGGAACAAAAAACAATGCAAATAAACAACAATTCATACTGACATTGGTGCAATAATTGGAATTACTGCAATTGGTTGTGTGTATTTGCGTTTTAATATTAGATATTTCAACATCAAGTTACTTTTGCAACAGATATTTTCAAATAAATAATGTGTTACAGAGATCTAGATCTATTTTTATTTGCAAAACAGCCTAATCTAGACCAAATGTTGAGTAATAATTATTGGTTTTATGTTTTATGTTGCAAATGTGATGGTGCTAGATTCAAAGCACCAAAGACAGAAGATATATAACTGCTGAGAACCATGGCCAAATAGATTTTATTCATGCTCCATTTGTAAGCACTCGATGTAGCAAAGTGATTGCCATAAACAACTATCCAGATACAAGATCTGCAAAAGGGAATAGCTCTGGTGTAGTTCTAAATCCGACGTGTTATATATATATGTAGTTGCAATCAATCAGTCACATCAATCACAGCTAGTGTTATTCTATTTGTTTTTCTTTTTATTGGTTTTGTTTTTATTGTTTCCAGATGGACATGGTTAAATAAATTTATTTTATTTATTCATTTATTTATTTATTTATTTATTAAATACGTTTGCAGGAGTGGTATATGGCATTTATGCTGGCTTATTGAAGAAAGAGGAAAAACTTTCGCCTACAATTCCAGCAAGGCCCAAAATTTTCTCACCAAATGATTAAGACCAGACATGTTGCAAACTTATTGGCGATTTTATTTGATTGATGGACTTGTGTGGCATCTAAATAGTATAGAATGATATCAGATATATATAATAGCTGCAGTAGCAGAGGATAGAGCACAAGTAGTGGGAGAGATATAATCTGGTGCAACACTAAATCGGCCAACAAGCCTATCCAATACTATCCAATACTATCCAATACTATCCAATACTATCCAATACTATCCAATGTTATTCAATATTATTCAATATTATTCAATATTATTCAATATTATTCAATATTATTCAATATTATTCAATATTATTCAACATTTCAAACATCGTTCCAGGCCTATAGAAGCCATATATAGACCATCACTAACTTGTTCATATCATCAAGAGTAATCACTAATAATAACTTCAACAACTGGATAAGCTACGAAACATAATACAGCTCATGTGGAAGTGGTGCAAAGAATAAACAAAGACAAAGGGATCAGATGAGATGAGATGAGATGAGATGAGATGAGATGAAATGAGATGGCAAGTAATAAATGGTGATCTACAATATGAAAGCATAAATGGAATCAAATGGAATCAAATTACAGCTGTCAATCATTAATAAACCTGGGACCCACAACACATACACTAACCAGATATGGCGCCAGCATAATATTCTGTTTATTCTGCGTATTCTGTATTTTGTGTATTCTGTGCATTCTGTGTATTCTGTGTATTTTGTGGTGCAGTGTTATTAAACAACCAGGCAGATGCAATGCTCTAGTTTAACCAACAGGCAGAAAATAATCCAGTAGATACACTTTTGGCAAAGATATTGTGACAAGACAAAGAACCAAGACGTGGTGGTGTGGATCATAGAATAATAATGAGAACACAACAACAATAGATGCAAAATATATGCAAATGAAGTTTACAGTTTCGTTTTGTGTGTGTGTGTGTGTTTGTGTATGGGTGAGTGAGTTTATTGTTAAAGTGTATTGGTGGTTTTTGACACAACAGTAGGTGGAGGAAGAGCACAGATTGGTAAAGCAGACATGTGAATGAATTGGATAACACTGGAAATCGGAAGTGCAGCAATAAAGATGAGCAAATGATCAGTGATGATGGTGGTGTTAAGAAATATATTTACACATGGGAGATTGAAGAATGGCTATTGTTGGTTTGTTGATGTCAGTGCTAAATTTATGTTCCAAATCCGGGAAGTTTTAAATAAACATGATCAATAAGATGACAGAACTGGTTCAAAGTTCAACAGCACTAAGTGGTATCTCAATTGAATTACAATGTTTTGCAAAAATTTAAAATAATAAGAAATATAAAATGATAAGAGGTGTAAACTCATCACAAACCTAAATGGGTAGAATTCGATTTTATCGACTGGAATTGAACCAAGAATATGGATATGTTTTTTTGTCCCAATCGGGTGGAAAACAAGAAAATCGGGATACCCGGCCCGGAATGGTTTATAAGCAATCACTAAGCCGAGTGATAATAAAGCCATTTTACCTGAATAAATGATCTCAGTAAACGATTGAAATACTCAAGCATAAACGTTACGTAACAATTTTGTATGGTTGTGCTTATTTGGCTTTGCTCATAACCCGTTTGGAAACACAAACGTAACAATAGAGGTGCAAGTTATAGAATGCAAAAAGAAATGCCGTTCCCAGGAATCGAACCTGGGTTTCTTCGGCCACAACGAAGTGTACTTACCACTATACTAGAACGGCTTCTGATTGTGATCTATTACTGCTTTATTTTTACACCTTATGTAATCTCTGGGGTATTTCGCTATTTAAGAACCTTAGAAAATCTGGAAAATTCGAATAATCTGCTATTTGATCTTGTTCTATTGTTTATAACTGTGCTTTAATACGCAACAATTGCAGCTTGATGGGTATATAGTGCTTCTGCATCCTTTTCTTCTACCATTTTCAAATCACAACTGTTTTGCATCAACAACTTCAAGCACATCGAGTTGGAATCATCTCCAACATCACCATTGTAACAGCTCTCAATGCTATCCTTCCCTTTATTCAAATTGTCCAACGTAAGATTGTTTCCGATTAGATATATGTAGAGAAAGCTATTTCTACTGTGGTTTCTATGTTCATATAGTTTAATCTTGTTTATGTTCAATTTACTGATTTTGTTGGAAGACAAATCTAGATATCTTAATTTTCTAAAATGTTCTAATCCTGCGATACTGGATATCATGTTTCTTTTCAAGTTCAATTTTCTTAGGCTTGGGTAGTCTTGGTCCTTTTTCAATAAGTTTTCAATAGTATTAATTTTATTCACATTTAAAGAGATTTCCTCTAATCTTTCGCAATGCTTTATGAATTTGAATTGATTGATTAAATTGTATGAGAGATCAATTTTTTGTAATTTGAACTCGAAATTATTTAAGAAATCAAGGCTTTCAATCAAGTTGTTGTTCATGTATAATGTTTTCAAATTGATCAATGATGATGAACGACGATCGGAATGGTTGTTGAAAATATCGATTGATTCGAGTTGGTTGTAATTTAACCATAATTTCTGTAGTTTTAGTAGACTGTTGTAAGCTTTGATTTCAAATTTGGTGATTAAGTTTGATTTCAAATTCAACAGTTTCAAGTTATTAAAACCATTTAAAAATGTATGATTTAGAGATTTGATCTTGTTATAGGATAGATTTAGTACAGATAAGGAATTTAAAGAGTTTAAATTTTTGATATTTGAGCTGAGATCGGATAATTGATTTGAGTATAGATTTAAAGATTTGAGATTTTTACATAAATTGATATTGATAATCTTTTTGATTTTATTTTTAGATAAATCTAGGTATTTCAAACTGAGGAAATTATTTGAGATTGAATTCGGATCAGTGTTGAATTGGATGAGTTGAATTGAGTTATTAAATAGATTTAAATTTTTCAAATTGCTTAGGGCGTTTAAATTTTCAAAATTGACAATTTTATTGTTACTCAAATTGAGCGAATTCAAATTTGGTAGAAAGTTTAGGTTTTCTAATTGTAGTATGTTATTATTATTTAAATCAAGGGTACTCAAGTTGGGCAAGGAGTTTAGATTTTCCATTTTTCCAATGTTATTATGACTTAGATTTAGATTGGTTAGATTGGGTAAATTGATGAGATTTTTGATTTTCGATATATTGTTATGACTTAGATCCAAGTAAAGTAGGTGATTTCTGTTGTCTGAAAAAAGGGGTTCGATGTTGTTGATGCCATTTTTGGATAAGTTGAGATAGGATAGGTGATTTAGGTTTGTGAATTTGTCAATCAAGTTATTAGATTTGTGATAAGAGAAAAAAGTTGGGTTCATGTGATAGTTTTTATAAATCAAGTTGAAAGATATATTGAGATGATTCAAGTGGAGTGACTGGTTTAATAGGTCAATGAAATTTAGATTTTTTATATTGTAATTGGTGAATGGGTTGTATTGGGCTGGATTGAAAAAGGATAGATTGAAAGAAACTAGAGATGTGTGGTTTGATAAGAGTAGGTTTGATATTAGAAGATCATAATTTCGGATTAGCAAATCTGTTTGGAAAAGGGGAGAGTGAAAAATTGGTAAAGAAAGAGATACAGAGGATAAGCTATGGAAAAAATTGGTGTTGAGATTTTGGGTACCAGCAGTGGAAGAAAATGACAGGAGACTGAATTGTATGAGCAAGTTTTGGGTGAAATAGCTGGTGATATCTCTGAATAGAAACAAGTCGTTTGAACTCAAGTAGAGTTTATGGTTGTCGTTATTCTTGGGACTAAAGTTGCCATGGGTGGTGTTTGTGAGAACCAAGGATTTGAACAAGATAGAGAGGGAGTGGGATTGGATCAAGGGGCAGGGAGAGAGGGCGATAAGATAGAGCAGATCAAAGGGAAGAGACAGAAAAATGCTGTGGATGATGTGAGGAGGAAGAGGATGGTTTGGAAGAAAAGCAGCCATTTCAAAGCAAATGGTGAATGTGGTAGAGAAGAGCGAGAGGAAGAGGAAGAGCGAGGGGGGCAGGTTATATAGTAGTATAGTGGTAGCAGTAGAAGCTGGGCTTGTTTTTAGACTCCTTTGGAGCATTTGGGGGAATAACAACGATATAATGGAGTGGTGATCTGCTGTTGGACAAGATAATTATTTAGCAACCCCATAGGGAGCTGTGAAGGTGAGTTGGTGGAGCATATTCACGTAGAGGGGTTATGTTGGAGAGGAAGAGGAAAGAGAGGAAGGAGAGGAAGGAGAAGAAGTAGCAGCAGAGGCAGCAGAGGCAGCAGAGAAGGTGTTGCCACTGCAGCGACCTCGTTATCGAATCTTAAACCTTCTCTCTTTCTCGAGTTTATCTTATCTCATCCCTCCATCACTTTCATCACCCCCATCTTCATATTCTGATTTATATTTACTGCTCTACAACTATATTACTATTCTATTATTCCATTATTCTGTTATTCTGTTATTCTCTTCTCTTCTCTTCTCTTCTCTTCTCTTCTCTTCTCTTCTCTTCTCTTCTATTACTCTGTTACTCAGGACTGCTATTGTATTGCCACCTGATTCAGCTCTTTTAATTGCATTCTCATGGCTGATATCCAGCAGTTTCACGATGAAAAGCATCGCAGGAACAGAAGACAGCTCTTGGAGAAGCACAGCCAGTCAATAAGATCTCTTCTGATATTGGTTGTGGTATTGATTGTGGTGTTGGTCTTCTTATTGGGTTTGTTGGTATTCATGACTATTCTACTATCCTCGACTATTGATAGCACTCTCAACACCGTCAACTCTATTAATAATCTTAATAATCTTGATCTTAATAATGGTAATGAAGTTTATTTGATTAATTTCCTTAGAAAAGTGAATAAACATATCAAATACTGTTTAAATTATATAAATTCGTGGGATATTTTGCCTCCATTACCAAATTATGCCGATAATGATATTGTTAATGATGATTTGAATTTACACAAACCATCGAATAAGGATAAGTTTTTCAGTATTCTACCAATTCATAACGATAACGATAACGATGATGATGATGATGATAATTATAATGAAGATTACAATTATTTTAAATTAAAACACATTTTTCATCATAATGTGGGAAATAGCAATTTTGTCCACAAAAGATTGGATATAACGGATGATTTCATTGAAAAGAATAAATTAAACGACGTGCACACTTTCAACCATCTAATCCACCAACGATCCAAGAATATTGATTTAAACAATAAAAAGTTTTTTCACAGCGATAACAACGATTGGCCAGAGTTGTATAAAAAGTTTTCGCCATGGACAATTCAACTACCCATCAGTTCCATCGACAACTACAAGACCAAAAAATTTGGCAGAAACGATAACGATGTGATGGATTATCTAAATGCAATTCATAATAATAATAATAACAATAACTACAATAACATTTTTGACAACGAGGACATGTTCATTCAAGATAAACTAAAACTAAACTGGGACAATATCAATATGAAGGTTCCCAACGTCAGTGATACGTTGACTATCCTAACTTTGGCGTTAATGTCTGGAAATGCGTATGTTGAGACTCCCCATAAAAGCGCAGATTGGTACAACATCTCTGATCCCAGATGGGACGATCGAAACACCTCAAGACACAATCACCAGGGGTTTGGGTGGATGACTGAGGGTGTCAGAGGACATGTTTTTGTTGATAATAAAAACGAGACTGTGGTGATAGCCATCAAGGGAACAAGCTTTGCAGTGCTAGCCAGAAGAGACAAAGCGATGAAGAACGACGCAAAGGACACTGTGGGAATGGACAAGATCAACGATAACCTCCTCTTCAGCTGCTGCTGCGCCAGGGTCAGCTACATGTGGTCGACAGTGTGCAATTGCTACAAGAGCTCGTACAACTGCGACCAGAAATGCCTTGAGAAAGAGCTCTATCGCGAAGACCGGTACTACAGAGCTGCGTTGGACATATATTCGGAGGCGTCGAAGCTTTATCCCAACGCAAAGACGATCTGGGCGACTGGACACTCGCTCGGCGGGTCGTTAGCGGCGTTAATCGGACGGACGTTTGGGTTGCCGGTGGTGGCGTTCGAGGCGCCGGGCGAGTTGCTTGCCACACGGAGATTGCACCTTCCAATGCCGCCCGGCTTGCCGTTCGAGTACGAGCACGTCTGGCACGTGGGTCACACGGCGGATCCGATCTACATGGGCACGTGCAACGGGGCCAGCAGCAGCTGCTCGGTGGCGGGCTACGCGATGGAGACGCAGTGCCACACGGGCAAGCAGTGCGTGTACGACGTGGTGACGGACAAAAACTGGAACGTGAACATCATGAACCACCGGATCCGAGTGGTGATCGAAGAGGTGCTCAGCGTGTATAACGCGGTGCCGGAGTGCGCACCTGCACCGCCCTGCCGTGACTGCTTCAACTGGCGCTTCACGTAGTCCCGTGACGCTTTTACTCGGCTCGTCTCTTTCAGGCGAGCATCGTCAACCAAAGCCAAACAAACACAACCACCTTCGCAGGCACAGAAAAGGTCTACAGAAGTCAGAGCTCGAGTAGCCAGCTCCAGCTGCTCAACGCTGGTGGGCTCGAGATATATAACCTCACTGTTCTCTTTCCTCACTTGAGCGAGTAGCCCACTTTGCTTTCTCTATACCATACTTCATATCATACTCCTATTTTTCACTTTCATTCCTCTACTCCCAATCTCCCAATCTCCCAATGGCCACCACCGAAGCCAACCCAAACAACTTTCTTACGGCTCACAGCGAAGACACTGACATTTTAACCAAGCTTCCTGCTCCCAAACACGAGAGAAAGAAAACTGACTCATTTTTCGGAAACCAGTCCCTTCTCGACTCGCTAAAGGAAATGAACAACAACTCCATCAACTCAACAAACTCAATCAATAACGAAAATCTACTAGGAAAAGACTACATCCTCCCCTCCGGCTTTCATTCAATCACGAAAATAGAAATTCCTTCTTCCAACTCCTCAACGAAATCAAGCCAGGTCAACGCAAATACTCAACAACAAAACACAAGGTCCTCTTCCCTGAAACTAAAACTTATTGTCAACAACCAATCCGAAGATGAAAATACTCCAGATCAAAAGCAAGCCCAGATTAAAAGAAATAATACAACCAAATCGTCAAAAACTCTATCATCCTCCGTCTATTCCTCGCATCATATTCAAGTCATAAATGAAGAGCTTGATGTTCCCTCCAATCACCCTTCTAATTCTAACAACAATTCCAATTCCAATCCCAATCCTAATATTAATAATAACAATAACAATAACAATAATAACAATAACAATAACAATAATAACAATAACCAAATGCCCATCACCCCTGTATTGAACAAGAAATTGTCAAAAATCTCCTCGACAAACTCAATCAACAGAATATCCTCAGCAAATTCCCTCTCAAACTCAACAACAACTGCCATGGTCATCAAAGAACAATCCCAAAGAAGAAGGTCTCTAATAGATAACTCCAAAAATAAATTCCCACAAAACATAACTGCAAACAATAGCATCAAATCCAAAACAACAAACTCCCCTTCCACTCCCTCAGTAGCTCACACTCCAATGGCACTCTCAAACTACAATTACAATCCAGTCCACGACTCCCAAAATGACTTATCGACCCTAAATGCTCCATCTCAAAACCAAAGAATTCCAAATAACACCACAAATAATAATCAAAATCAAAATCCAAAATCAATTCTTGCTCACAAATCTAACGACAACGACTTACATCGCTCAAAGGCTGTCAAAGTCAAAAATGGCATTTTTGTTAGACCTTTTATCTACATTGGCAAAAAACTAAAACTCTCCTTCAAAAAATTCAAAAGGATCTTCGTTGTCCATCGCCGTAATCGTTCAAACAAAACATTTAAATCCTCTTCTCAAAAGAAACAAAAACCAAAAAAACTAGCCAGGAAAAAATTTCAAAAATCAAACACTTTCACCAACAACCTCAAATTGAAAAACAAAATTCAAAAAAATAACGAAGCAGAAAATCTAATCTACTACAACAACAACATGATCGCTGTCAAACAAGCCTATGGCAAAAACACAATGGTCTCAAGATCAACCACCTCATCAACCAGATCTTCCTCCTCAAACTATGTCATTAGGTCAAACTCCTTATCTCTACTAACTGGTAAATACCAAAGAAGACAGCCTCCAAACTTGGAAATCCTAAAAGAAGAACAAGAAGAAGAAACGATTCTAGACATCACTCCAATCCTAAAACAAAACAAGACCCTCAAAAACAAATACTACGAGAAAAAATACAAACATATCCTATCTCAAGCTGGTCTGGCAATCTTACCTGTTCAACGTCACAACTTCACAAGCGCCGATAAAAAACATTCATACAGAAAATCCTCTTCATCAAACAACTCAGGCCACAGTTTATTAAAGGCCATTGTTTCCAATAAATCCCATTCTCATTCTCATTCCCAATCACAGTTACAACACATGGACTCCATTAAAAGCGAGAACGAAAAAACAAAAAACCAAAAATTTTTGGAACCTGTTATTGCTAAAATCATTTCAAACTCAACCGCCGTAAACAACGAAAGAGAATTTTCAAGCTATTCTCAATTATCTCAAGCCAACATCGAAATGAACAATAGATTCTATGAAAACTTGAACAAAAAACCTGATGGGGGCTACATCAACCCCAAAAGAGATATTATTGAAAGATACGTCAATGAAAGCTCAAAAGAACTAAAAATTAGAGCAAATATTTCGGCCAATGGCGATCTTTATTCAGCTAAAAATCAAACAAACAGCAGAGTTTTCACTCCAAGATCAAGAAATGTCTCCTACCAAGATAGCATTGCTCCATCTATTGAAATCACTGTCAAGAAGACCAGCGATTATGCTCCAACTGTTCCCCTAAAAATCGTCAAGAAAATGGATTCCATTAAAGAGACTTCAAAAACTGACCAATTAATCCCAAGTGCATCAAACAAAACTAATATTAGTCTATCAAGCACAGCACTTAGACTTGCTGGTAAATCATACAGGAGTTCTAAGAACCAAAGAGAGGTATCCTATGAAACTGATGGTTATGAAACTGAAGAAATTGAAACAAATAAAATAACATCAATAAATCAAAAGTTATTGGACGAGCAATCGAAAAAGGAATACGAACTCATGTGCAAATATTGGGCTTCTTACTTGAAAAAAAGTGTGGCAAATAGAGCCACTTTGAAATTGGAATTATTGAAAAAACAAGAAGAAGAAGCAAAGCAAAAAGAACTTTATCAGATGCAGTTAAGACAACTTCAAGAAGAACAGGAAAATGTTGTCAGAAAAAGGCTCTCAACTGTCCAAGAAGAATCATCCAGACCAAACAGCAGACAAGTCTCAGCAGATTTACAAAGAAGAATCTCAGTGTTGAGTTCAATGCTTGGAGATTTCACTACTGATGGCGAAACAGATTACTCTGATTCTAATACCAATTCAAGATCCACCTCCTACGACAAGACACTTTCTCGCTCGGGCTCCAAGCTAATCACACCTTCAACATACACCTCTTATGATTCAAGTTTCTCAGATTTGACCAAATCAAACTCCAATTCTTCAGACTCGACTATCGATGAAGCTGTTTCCTTGCACACTATCTCTTCTGGAAGAGAAAGCGGATATCATATTCCACAGAACAGACTTCAAAATAGCGATGAAGATCTCAAAAAGGTTTCCACAAATCAAAATCCTTCAAGAACAAATTCACAATTATCAAGAAAGTCTTTCATAATGAATCAAATTGCTTCGGCAGTTTCAAGAAACGACACTGTTATCATCAACCCAGAACACTATGGTGATAGCTACAAAGAACAACAAAGAATTCTTAACATGGTATCTATTTCTGAAGAACTTGCCCCAGCCAAAAGTTCCAGATCAAATTCCAGAACAAACTCAAGATCAAATTCAAGATCAAGTTCAAAATCGCGTTCAAAGTCACACATTCATTCTCACACACTCTCTCATCCTCACTCTCATTCTCAAACCTACTCCGAATTACAACAAAAATCAATGGAGCCATATCAACAAACAAATCAATACTATGATGCTATTGGTCAGCAATTTGATTTGCATTCATTGTCGTCCAAAACTTCAGGCGCTTCTTCAAGAGCCAACTCAATTGCCAATATTCAACCTTTGAACAATAATAATGTCCAAATGATGCTATCAAGAAGATACAACAGTGTCAACAATATGAATGGATACTACAACAATGGATATGGAGGAGCACAACCAATAATTCAAAATATTCCACAACCTATTCCTGTCCCTATGACTCTGCCTGTTTATTATCCTTCTGGATACGCTCCTAACGGCTACACCCCCTATGCCAATTCTTCTAATGTAGCTGGAAATGGAAATCCTGGATATCAGTATCAATATGCTCATTAATTGGATATTTTCAATCTCCATTATTTTTTTGTCTAACAATCTCACTACAAATGCGTGTATATTGATTGTATTTTTTATTAATTTTTTTTGGTTATTCTTGGTGTGGTTTTTTTATAGTATATTTTTTTCTAAAACTTGAATTGTTTTTTATAATTTATTTCAATTTATTTCAATTTATTTCTTTTTGTTTTATTATTCTGTTTTAGTATATTCACTTTAATCTTTTATTTTATTTTTAGACTATCAAAGATTTCCCAATCAAACTTGTTTATTTTTATAGTTATTTCTCTCATTAATTATTTATAAAATGCTAAATTATATGGCAATAAAATTTCTATTAAATTTCAAACTGTTCCAACTACAATCCCTATAATATAAGTAAAACACAAAAATTCCATAAAACTTACCAAATCAGTTAATCCGTTAGTTAATCAATCATGAACATCCTTTAAATCATTTCGTTCTGTTTTCATCAACTCTCTTAGAGCCATGGTAGCATATGAACTAACGCCAAGTTTCATCTTCAATATCACAGCTACTCTACTACCAATTGGTGAGTTATTTTCATCACTTTTTTGAGGTAATATTTGAATAGACTCAACCTGTTTGTCTGAATTGTTTTGCTTCAATCTTAAGATTTCCAAGTCAGTTAATAGCAACTGTTCAATTGGATTTTCATATTTTCTAATAAAGTATTCTAGATCTTTAGGTTTGGTTATCAAATGACGATAGCTTCCAGCAAATGAAAACTCTCGTACATTTCTGGACATATTGAATGGATCCAATCCGTCCTTTGCCATCACATCAACATAAACTTGTTTTAATTTTTCATTCTCAGGATACACAATATCAAATCCGGGTGTTGGTAAAACCACATCATATATTGTTTTTTCGCCCTTTTCGATTTCTTCTTGAGTTACAGCTCTTGCTCTAATAAACTGTTCAGGTCGAACATCTTCTTCAAAGTCAATCTTTTTATCAATATCTTTGTCATCTGAATTACTAGCTATCACCAAATCTCCAGGAACAATTTCAAACCCGAAAAGTTCAATTCTTTTGCTTGCAACATTGTTCCAAACAAAACTTTGATACGCATGCCCATACATTATTCTTAGATTTCTAGGAATCTTCATAATAGCCTTGAAATAAGAATCCGAAGTAAAATTGCCATCGTCTGATCTTAACCCATTGAGACTAAGAGTCTTGAGAATCATAGACTCAGCAACACACTTTTTGGGCATCTTTCTGAATGCTAATTGCGGGTCTCTAGATTCACTCCATACCCTTCTTGCTTCAACAGATTCCGGTAAAACTAAATCTTGTTCGGATAATATTAATTCACAAACACCTTCCCAATCTCCTAGTAGTAGTTTGACTCCAACTTCATGAGTAGATATTGAAAAGGTTCCGAATCTTTGCATTCCATAATAATTAATGAAACCTTTGTTTTTAAGAGTGCTCATGGAAGACTCAATAACCTTGTAAATGTCCTTATCATCTTTGCCTGAATCGATTAGCCTGGCATCTCTAATAGTTATTATAAACTCATTACCATTTAAATCACCCAAATTCAAAGAATTATCACTGTAACTGAACGAACCTAATCGGATACCTTTAAGAATTCTATTTAATCCATTGACTCTATCAACCCTGATTTTATTGATACTGGCTCGTTGGACAGTAACGCCTCTTCTGTCTTTTGTTCCGGCATATCTAATAGCTTTTGATGGAATTCTAAGAAATTTGGATAGTAAAGCAGCAACCTCCATTGTTTCTTTATTTTCTTTAAAGATTGAAAAATGTAGATAAGCTTTTTGAGGACCCAATCCATAATCATTTACAATTGGTTTAGCTCTATTCACTCTACCTCTGGAGTTCGAGTTTGCTAGACTTATTTTGAAGGTGTTGTTTGAGGTTGTTGCCGTTTCTAGTTTCCCATTAAATACTCTTCTTAATGTTTGATGTATTGTGCTGCGCTCTGATTTATCATCATAGTGGGTTTCTGTTTCAAAACTTTGCCCAACTGTCAAAAGATTATTGATTTTTTCCAAATTTTCACTTCCAATTAAATTTATAACTTCCTCTTTGTCCTCTTCTGATATTTCAGATACTTTGGGGTTGTTTTTTGAAAGTGTAGAGGCACCTGCTGCAGTTCCATCATTATTCTTTTCTTCCAAAAGTTTTTTTCTTTCTGCCGCTTTTTTAGCTTTACGATCTTCAATTGGAAATCCTTCATCTACTAAATGAACCACCTTGTCATTTGTATCAATTTCATTCACCAAGAAATCACTGTAACGTTCCTTTAGGATGCCTGTAAATGGATTGATATCATTTGAAACAAATTTGGTGATACCAACATCTGATTCATTGATACCAACAATCGTTTTCTTGCGTTGAAATTCCTTAATTTTTTCTCTTTGTTTGTCTTCAACAGGTGTGTCTGAATTCTTCTTTGAATTATCAAGAATCAATTTGATATCCTCTTCTGAGGAGTTTTCGTTCAATTGGCTTTTTTTGCCATGAGCCTCTAACTTTACCTTTTTAGTTTCTTTGTTCTCAAGTCCAGAATCATTGTCATCGAGTTTATGAGATTGTTTGAGAGAGATGAAGTCTTCATTTCCAAATTGCTTCACCGAGTCATTGAGATCACCTATTTCTTTGTTTTCAGATGTCATTAGTGATATGTCTATGCAATAAAACAAGAAATAGTAGGATTATTGGCGATTTTCTTTTCGAATTGCATTGTGAAAGAATAAAAAGTGCTGAAGAGAAGAAAATTTTCAAATCTGCGATTGTCTGCATTATCTACATATATACACATTTTCCGTAGCAGTGGTTTTATTCTGGAAAAATAATTTTGTAATCAACTGAAAAAAAACAAGTAAATTTTGGTAAATTCATGCCTTTGAGATATTGTTGGCAGGATGGTATTAGTTGAGGACTATGATCTGTTATTGAGAACATTGAGAAAGAGAACTTCGATGTTGTTTGAAGGAGATGAGAACGAAACAGACTCAATGGTCCCTTCAAGACACCATGAATCTCACAAGCTATATCTTGCATCGAAATTGAAATCAAATTATGGATTTAGGAGAAAACGAGTTTTATTGAGCAACGATAAACCTGAGATTGGTGGAAACCTGGAGTCTGGTGCATTGGTCAAATTTGGAGATGCAACATCGTTTGTAGGTCTCAATAGTTTAGCAGTGATACAGAGCAACAAGGTCAATTTGCTAAAACATGCTATTGAAAATAATGACGATCTTACAGAAGCAAAGGAGGAAATATTTGATGTAACCGAATTGGTGAGAAACCAAAGATTAAACTCCAGAAGAAAATCAAAAGCACATCCTAATTGGAAGCTACTATCGGTTATAGTTGGACATTCAGGCTGGGTTCGATCGTTGGCTGTTGAGCCAGACAACCAGTGGTTTGCATCTGGATCAGTTGATTCAACCATGAAAATATGGGATTTAGCGTCCAGAAAATTGAAGTTGACTTTGACTGGTCATATCATGGCTGTTAGGGATATCAAAATATCAGACAGACATACATATATGTTTTCTTGTTCTGAGGATAAGACTGTGAAATGCTGGGATTTGGAGAAGAACAAAATTATTAGAGACTATCATGGGCACTTATCGGCAGTTTACTCGATGGATATCCACCCAACGTTAGACATTATTGCCACTGGTGGAAGAGATGCCTCAGTCAGAGTTTGGGATATAAGATCAAGAATTCCAATCTTTGTATTAACAGGCCATCGAAGCAATGTTACTAATGTGAAATGCAGATCTACAGATCCTCAGATTATCAGCACTTCAATGGATGGTACCACCAGACTTTGGGATCTCAAAGCTGGGAAAACCATAAAAACATTAACATACCATCAAAAGAGTATTAGGGGCTTTGCTGTGAATCCAGTTGATGACACATTTGTCACAGCTTCTTCGGGCGAAATCAAGCATTTCAAGTTCCCTGAGGGGGATTTTATTCAGGATTTTACTCCTAACCATGATTCAATCATCAACACTTTGTCGGTAAATGGCGATGATGAAATCTTGTTCAGCGGTGGAGACGATGGCTCAATGTGCTTCTATGACTGGAACAGTGGAACTCAGTTTCAGAAAATGCAAACCACCAAAATGCCAGGTTCTATTGAATCAGAAAGTGGTATCTTTACCTCATGTTTTGACAAAACTGGCTTGAGATTGATAACAGGTGAAGCTGATAAAACCGTCAAAATCTGGGGCCCTGAGGTTTAAGCTTTGGATCATGTGATTTTGGTGCTTCTTCTAGTGCATTTGGTGCTTTTGCTGCTTTTACTGCTTTTGTGTCTGGAATAATGGAAAAAGTGCAGTGGAAGGATGTCATACTCCAAAGAGTTTATATGGTTTTGTTTCTTATATTTTTCAACAACTGGCTTAGTTATGTTTTTTATCTGCTATTTCTAAAATCATAAAATATTAAGAGTATTGCTATATATTTTGGCTATGTTTCGTCAGTTAACTGTCATTGAAGGAGAAAATAATAAAGGTGGTCTTCTAGCTGGAGTGTCAGCAAATAATGGCACTTTTCAATCTAATAGTGCATTAGCTGCTGGTGTAGTTGGTGTTCCACCACAATCAAATAACCCCAACACTGCTACATTCACAATTCATCCTTCTAGTCGTTCGAGAATTCCTTCATTGTCAAGTTTTCTAGGTGACCAGAACAACAATTCTACAAACAACAATATAAATAATATAAATATCAATAATAGTAACAACAAAAATAGTAATCACAAAAATAACAACAACGGCAATAATAAAGAAAAAATCGGTATAAGAAAGTTGGCTAAGGCTTACACAAGAAGTTTTGTTAATTGGAATGATAACACTTTAGCACCTGCCTCCAATAACGATAACAATAACTCTTTGAATACCATAACTGCAAAGCTAAATGCCATGGATTCTATTGGAAGGCATCGTAGAAAATCCAGGGTCCCAACAGGAAACCCCAAATCAATTGTGTTTGATATGCATGATAGAAAAGAAGAAGCTTCAGTAAAATTGGAAATATTGAGTACAAGTGAATGCAACATTAAAAATGGTTTTCAAAACAATGAGCATAAAAAGAGCACAATGAAAAATAGATCATATTTGGGAAAAAATGAAAATAGTTTAAATATGAATACCATGAATTCAAATTCAACTGGTAAAGTTTTAACCTCCAAGCATACATGCATTTAAACATTTCAATTTGGATCAATCTTCTAACTTTTTTGTCTTTTTTGTCTTTTTTTGTTTTTTTGTTTTTTTGTTTTTTTATTTTTTTGTTTTTTTGTTTTTTTGTTTTTTTTTGTTTTTTTTGTTTTCACAGCAGGCCCACAGTTGCACTTGAATAATTTTAATGACAGGAGAATAGTTATTGTAAAGGAAATTCCTCGGAAAACTGGGTTGATTACACTATTGTCATATATATGTGGAGGACCACTTGAACGTATTGTTGTATATTCAACCGGCGCTATCAATGTCAACACAGGAAAGAAAAACATGTATCCAATAAATTCAGTGGAATTACATTACATGTATTCTAAAGACGCTGAAAGCTTTATGAAGTATAGTCAAACTGGTTTGTTTGTTGTTAGTGGGCGCCATTTAAAAACAGAATGGGCTAGTAGGGATGATCACAATCTCGAAGACCACAACTATTCTTATCATGCAACAATTCCCAGTCCATTGTTAGAACAACTAAAATTTGGTGCCAGAAGATGCTTAATTCTCAAAAAAGAAGTCAATCATGGAGGTTCTTCTACTTCTACTCGTCATTATCCATCACCAAGAAGCCATTTTTCGGAATTAGATATCAAGGAAATCAAAGAAGATTTTGGTAGATTTGGATCAATGGTTGAAGTTGTGCCAATTATCTCTAAAAAATTGGGTCTTTCGATAAATTATTTTGATGTGAGATCAGCCATATTGGCCAAGGAGGCCTTTGATAATAAAAACTCATCGTTTAGAAGAAAATATTATGATTGGAACGTATGGTTTGGTAAGGATCCAACAGATAAAAGTTGTATTCCACTTTGAAATCAAAGATGAGATGACTTTTATTCATAAAGGAACGAAAAAGAAATCAAAATGAGTATAATAATGATGATAATAATAATAAATATATAAAATATTATATTTATTAAAAGATAAAATAAATATTCCCAAAGTAAATCAGGATATTTGGTTTTCCTTGGGTCCTCATAAAACTAAGCATTATAGTATCTGTCTGTAACACTACCACAGCTTCTTCCAGTGCAATAAGCAATATGAACATTCGGGGTATATACTAATCTGTTATTTACAAGAACAAAAAACAATCTTACTCGCTGAAAACAAAATGAAAACAGTAATCACCAGACATTTTCAGATTCACCTTTAAATCGTTTAACCCTTACAGGTTCCCAGTCCTGCTCTCCCAAACCCTGTAGTTTGTAATACTCTTCTTTTATATCTACCTTTCTCCTTTGTTTGGTCAATTTTTCCAAATCATGTTCGGAAAACTCCTGGGCTCTTCTATCAGCTCTTTCGAATTTCACTTTGAGCAAGTCTTCCAAAATGTAATTTCCATAAAGAACCAAGCCAAAAAATGGCAAGCCTAAAAATATAAAAGGCCTCTTCTTGAGTTGGGACTGGTATTTCCCAATAAAACTCTTCTCGTGCTTTAGTTGCTGGCTCTTGCTCCTAAATGTCTTTGCTCCAAATGCTCCCATGTTCTAGGTCGTCACTGATCTGATGAGTGATGAGTGATGAGTGATGAGTGAAGAGAAAGCTTCGGAAAGACTTCAATAGAAGGTGATTTCGATCTGAGCAAAGGCCGGGCAATGAAAGATTTTTTCACTTTTTGGAAGAGAAGGCGAGTTTTGAGCCTCAGAAGAAGACAAAACAGTGAACAACAGCAGATACGTTGGTCGAGATGGAGCAGTTGAACAGAGCAGAGGCCCAGGAGTTCCAGAAGACGATAGAGCAGAAGCAACAGAGGGATTTCATGAATGTAAGTGTTCTGTTCCCGTTGAAAAGAAGCGACCATGACCAACTAACAGTTTTGTAACAGCTATATGCCTCAGTTGTCCAACGATGCTTTATGGACTGTGTGAACGACTTCACTGCAAAGAATCTTACGGAAAGAGAGCTTGGTTGTATCGAAAGATGTACTGAAAAGCTAATGAAGCATACTGAAAAAGTGGGTCAGAAATTCCAAGAGGATAACCAAAAGATAATGGAAATGCAAATGGAAGAATAGACCACATTGAACATATAAGGTACTTGAGACCCATCGACAAAAACAACTGCTTTCTACTGGTTTATTGTGTATATAATGTTAACTGTTATGAATTTTGATGATGAGAGGAACTCTTTTTTTGTTTTGTAAAATTATTTATGGCTGATGTAACCAAAGAAAATGAATAGTAGAAATTTCAACATCAAGACAATTGATCAAAAACTACCAAAAACTACCAAAAACTTATAAATTTGTGATTCTTTTGTTTTTGTTGTGCTGGATAAATGTATAACTTAAATCTGAAAACCAAACATCACTGGGGAAATTTGAACATTATACAGAACTAAAACTGAAACTGAAAATAAAATTAACATTAAAATTCTACCCAATGTCAAAATCAAAATCAACTAAAAGTAAACCTTGGTATAAAGATCAATATTAAGTAAATAAATAAATAAATAGATAAATAAATTAATAAATAAATTAGTGAATAAAAACATCCTATCCTTAAAGAACTAAAAGAAACTAAAGAAAGATTAAAAATATTTGAATTTTTAAAGCAAATTGATTAGTCTGCAAATCATGTATTCCAATGGTATTATTTTGTTGATCATCCTAAATTATACAACATTAAATAAAATGCTTTCAAGATTTCTTAATTTTTGTGTGGTTGTGAAAATTGAGATTATTTTGAAAAAAAAAAATTGTAAGTAAATAAATAAATAAATAAATAAATAAATAAATAAAAAACACATTAAAAGCATAAGATAATATTTCGAAAGAATTAAGTAAAATTACACGAGCTAATTAAGTAGTACATTGAAATGATAAAGCATTGAAAATCAAAGTAAAAATCAATAGTAATAAACCAATATTTGATGATAAATAATCAAAGTAAAAAACAAAAAAAAAATATGATGACAAAAAAATATGAAAACAAGAAAAAGAAAACAGAAAATAGAGAAGAGAGAAGAGAGAAGGGAAAAAAAGAAAGGAAAAAAAAGGAGAGAAGAAGAAGTTTTTAAATATAAATTTAACAGGTTATAGTATTTATAAGTAATTAATGCTCCAATAAATTTGCAATTGAAATTTTCCTTCTATTTTCATTAATTTTGTCGCCTTCTGTTTTGCTTTTAGAAGAGGCAGAATTGCTAGCATCACGAACTGGGTCGTATCCTTTATGAAGAGGTGAGGCCTTTGGAGATGCCTTTTGAGAAAATGGGGAACCGAAATTCACAGGTTTGAACTGCAAAGGATCCACACTGTTGTTTCCGTAATTATTTGTCTTTTTGTTATAATTAATATTGCTATTGAATTGGATTTTTGAATTTTGAAAAGAGGGAGAGGGCGAGCCACTTTGGTTAGCTGAATAAATTTGGCTGTTGTTGTTTGCAAGGGGAGAGCTATTGAATTGAAAAGTTGATTTTGCAAATGGAGACGAGGCATTTGGAGCAATGTTGTTGTTGTTGTTGTTGGCTAAATTTTGTTGTTGGTTTGAGGTAGATTGTACAGGGTTAGAAAACGAGAAACTTTGTTTGAATAATCCGGTTTGTTGTATTTGAGGAAGAGCATTTGGAGTATTATAATCTGGGGAGAAGTTGTTGTTTGAGGATAGTGGGCCCAATCTTGAAATGCCTTGGTTTTGCTGATTTAAAGGAGGGACGAGAGAACCGGATATTGAATATCTTGGAGCAGAAGAGTTTTGTGAGTTTAAAAAGTTTGGAAAGTAATCTGGAGCCAATGAGGGTCTTCTTGATTCTGAGTTGACCTCGTTTGACATGATTGCGATTGAATTTGTTCTTGAGTAGGAATTCGGGTTTAGGTAATTATTTGGGATGTTGTTTGTGTTGGCGGTATTGAGATTATTGTACATTGGGTTAATATTGTCTATTTTGTCTTGGTTCATGGATGGTACAGTTGCAGTTGAGTGTCTTCTGAAAGTTGATGGATCTTCGATTAGTCTTCTTTTGCTTGAAGGTGGTGGTTGTAGATCATTATTGTTGTTTTTAGTGTATGATTGGGAAGGCATTTGGTTTGCATTAAGATCCATAGAACTTCGACTTGAGTATAATCGATTAGAAAAAGCAGGAGGCTGTGAGTGTATTAGTGGATCGATGTGCTTATTATTATTGTTATTGTTATTGTTATTGTTATTGTTGCTGTTGCTGTTGCTGCCAAATAGATCAGTTTTAAAATTGAAATTTGAAACCTGTGGGAGTTGAGGAAGAGGAGGAATATTTTGCTGAAGATTGTTTTGTATTATTGAGGAAGGAGGGAGATGAGAAGAGCGACGAGTGAGATAGTTTGAGTTTGGGTTGACAGAGAGTTGTTGAAGCTGGTGTTGTTGTTGTAGGTTTGCTTGAGCCGAAGCTCTTCTTCTTCTGTTGGCACCACCATTCCACCAGTTTTTGATAGCGTTATCAGATCTGCCATTAAGATGTCTGGCGATTTCAGCCCATTTTTTGCCATATTTGGAGACCAATTGTTCGATATAGGCGCCTTCTTCGGGGGTTATTGGAGTTCTGTTCAAGGTTGGTTTGAGGTTCTGGTGGTATCTCTCTCTACATTGTTTTGGGGTTCTTGTGCCTAGGTATTTTGATATTTGGACCCAATTGCTAGGGCCATATTTTTCGATTAGTAGTAGTAAGTTTTGGTCTTCTTGGGGAGCCCAGGGTCCTCTTTTTGTTGAGGGGTCCTTCTGGGTTGAGTTTAAAGAGGAGGATGAGTTTTTTGTTGACAAGGATTTTGGTTGAATTTTTGGGTGGTATTGGGAATAACTAGGCGACGAGGAAGAGGAAGAGGATACGATGGACGATGGAAGCGAAGGTAAATTGTGGGAGCTGTTGGTGTTGATGTAAGGGTTGTGTGATAGAGTGGGAAGTTGGTTTTGGTTTCGGTTTTGGGAAAACTGTTGAAATTGAATTGAAGGCAAAGAGGTATTTGAGGAAGATTGTTGGGAAGGGATGGAGGAGTAGTTTGAATTGTAGTTCATTTTTTGTATGGAAAAAAAACCAAAAAACAACAGTAAATAAAGGTTTTGTTAAAAAAAAAAAAAAAAAACGTTTTATAGTTGTATTTTGGATAAAGGTAAACTTTAGACAATAAAGTAATTGAAGATTAGTTTTTGGTTAATAATGGAAAATAGTGGGAAATAGTGGAAAATAGTGAGTTGTGTCTTGATAAGAGAAATCAACAAATCAATTAATTATATAGTGAGTAAAAAGGTTTAAGAAGGATAGTTTTTTTTTCTTTTCTTTTTTCTTTTCTTTTCTTTTCTTTTCTGTTATTTTCTGTAATTTTTTTAATTTTTTTAACTTTTTTTTTGAATGAAATATAATTGATGAATTTGTTTTAGTTAGATAGAAGAGTGGGATACAGCTTTCATTAATAGAGATGTGAGATATGGAATAGTGAGATGTAGAGTGAAAGAAATTGTATTTTAATTTGGAAGAATAAAAGATGTGGATAGAGATTAATATAAAATTTTTCTGTTAGGAACCGATAATTAGTATGGAGTAGTTAGCAATAGGCTGCCTTTCAAGAGAGAGCTGGAGAGATAAATGGAAAAGGAGTGGTATAGTGAAACAGAGGTAGTATTGAAGACGACACCAGAGTAGTAGCTAGTGGGCAGGAATTAGGTTGAGAACGAAACTAGGAGGTAGCAGTGGCAGCAGTTAATAGAGTACTAAGGTAATAAAGCAGTAAATAATAAATAAAACAATAAACAAAGCAAAGGTGAGATGAAACTGAGAGAAAAGAAGACAATTAAGATTATGAGTTTAGAATTTGATTGATCAAAATGCGAGTTGGAAGTTTTTTGCCAGTTTTTATGGAAGTTTTAGTTGAAACAGCGAGGAAGAACAAAAACAGTGGACAGGCTCTGGATAGTGTGAGAGTTGGCTCTTGATTAGAGAATGGATTGGAGAATGGGTTAAAGAATAGATTGGAGATTAAAGAATAGATTAAATAGATTCAAGAATGGATTCAAGAATGGGTTGCTGGTGATCAAATGCTTTGAAAGTTGTGGTTAACATTGGCCAGAACAAACAGCCAGTATTCCATTAAGCACTCAGGGCATTGCAAGACGTTACAGCTACAGTCTTCTGCTCTTCTGCTCTTCTGCTTCCTCTTCCTCCTCTTCTTCTGCTTCCTCCTCTTCTTCTGCTTCCTTTGATTCCCCTGCTTCCTCTGCTTCCTCTTCTCAGCCCTACGCTGCTACGACTACGCTCCAGTCTTTCCCAGTTGCTCACTCATGTCTCTAGATTGTCGCTGTTCTGTGACTCTCAAGAATGACGAGCAGATGTGGCAGCGAATGGGGAATTTGCTCATCATGAAGCCACCTTCCAGCATCATCACCAATGGTAATGCTCCTCTTTCTCTCATCCATCCTCTCCATCCTCTTCATTCTCTCCATTCTCTCCATCTTCTCTCTCTCATCAGCACTTGTTGCCCTCGTTTTGGACCCCGTGCATTCAGCACTTCTTGCGCTCTCCAGCGAAAACCACTTTTCCTGCAGTGGTCGCACCCCGGGAGTTTTGCAACTACAACCAACGCCCACGAGGGGAACCGTTCTCTCACCACTGAAACATCCTTCGATCACTTCACTAAAGACCGAATTTCACCAATTCCACCAATTCCAGCAGTTTCATCAGTTTCATCAGTTTTTTGATTTTCTTGATTTCAGTGCACCACTTTGTATTTGAATTAATGAAATCACAGGGCAATCTCTGAATTCTTGATCCTGGACCTGCAATCTTATTGTGTGTAGCCACATAAAATACAACTGCCTTGCAACCCACAAGCCACTTGGGATAGCTCGCTCGATTCTTCTCTTTTAACCTAATTTAACGTATTTTCCTCAGTGTTATTTCTCAAACACTTCAACAACTTTCCGCTGCTCTGTCTCAGAAATGTCTTGAAATCTTGTTCTTGCTCTGTTTCGAAAATGGCTCAATCTGTTCGAACGCTGTGCTGACACATCCCCTCCAACGCCAGCTCGAACACCCACATCGAACACCCACATCGAACACCCACATCGAACACCCACATCGAACACTGCTGACTAACATCTTACCAACTCACTCAATCAGGGTAATGAAACACATACATCCTGCATTTGAATTCTGATTACATAAGTGTACCACCTCTCACCCGATTTGGACATGGCGTGCACTCCCATATAGCTGGCTCGCCTTGTCCAGTCTCCATAGCTTTTAATGAATATATTCCTTTCCAAATCTGCTGACACTGAGTCGACATCAAACAATTTATTACTCTTCTATTGTTTCTACCACACACCAACTGTTTTTTCTAGTTTTGCTTCTTTTTCAAATCTTTTCCTTTGTAATTCATCACTTATGTCTTTGAGTTCTTCTCATGTTTTCCATGAAAACAAAATTTCAGCTTTCTAGCTTTCTAATTTTTCTAGATCCACCACCACCAATCTCCCATGTGTAAATATATTTCTTAACACCACCATCATCACTGATCATTTGCTCATCTTTATTGCTGCACTTCCGATTTCCAGTGTTATCCAATTCATTCACATGTCTGCTTTACCAATCTGTGCTCTTCCTCCACCTACTGTTGTGTCAAAAACCACCAATACACTTTAACAATAAACTCACTCACCCATACACAAACACACACACACACACAAAACGAAACTGTAAACTTCATTTGCATATATTTTGCATCTATTGTTGTTGTGTTCTCATTATTATTCTATGATCCACACCACCACGTCTTGGTTCTTTGTCTTGTCACAATATCTTTGCCAAAAGTGTATCTACTGGATTATTTTCTGCCTGTTGGTTAAACTAGAGCATTGCATCTGCCTGGTTGTTTAATAACACTGCACCACAAAATACACAGAATACACAGAATGCACAGAATACACAAAATACAGAATACGCAGAATAAACAGAATATTATGCTGGCGCCATATCTGGTTAGTGTATGTGTTGTGGGTCCCAGGTTTATTAATGATTGACAGCTGTAATTTGATTCCATTTGATTCCATTTATGCTTTCATATTGTAGATCACCATTTATTACTTGCCATCTCATTTCATCTCATCTCATCTCATCTCATCTCATCTCATCTGATCCCTTTGTCTTTGTTTATTCTTTGCACCACTTCCACATGAGCTGTATTATGTTTCGTAGCTTATCCAGTTGTTGAAGTTATTATTAGTGATTACTCTTGATGATATGAACAAGTTAGTGATGGTCTATATATGGCTTCTATAGGCCTGGAACGATGTTTGAAATGTTGAATAATATTGAATAATATTGAATAATATTGAATAATATTGAATAATATTGAATAATATTGAATAATATTGAATAACATTGGATAGTATTGGATAGTATTGGATAGTATTGGATAGTATTGGATAGTATTGGATAGGCTTGTTGGCCGATTTAGTGTTGCACCAGATTATATCTCTCCCACTACTTGTGCTCTATCCTCTGCTACTGCAGCTATTATATATATCTGATATCATTCTATACTATTTAGATGCCACACAAGTCCATCAATCAAATAAAATCGCCAATAAGTTTGCAACATGTCTGGTCTTAATCATTTGGTGAGAAAATTTTGGGCCTTGCTGGAATTGTAGGCGAAAGTTTTTCCTCTTTCTTCAATAAGCCAGCATAAATGCCATATACCACTCCTGCAAACGTATTTAATAAATAAATAAATAAATAAATGAATAAATAAAATAAATTTATTTAACCATGTCCATCTGGAAACAATAAAAACAAAACCAATAAAAAGAAAAACAAATAGAATAACACTAGCTGTGATTGATGTGACTGATTGATTGCAACTACATATATATATAACACGTCGGATTTAGAACTACACCAGAGCTATTCCCTTTTGCAGATCTTGTATCTGGATAGTTGTTTATGGCAATCACTTATCACATTTGCAACATTTGCAATCTGATACAACGCATTCTGAGCACTGAATCGAATCACAATAAATCCAAATGACAATGGATCTAAATAAAAAATAGAAACTACTATCATCAATCACTCCATTACACCTGGTCTGCATTAATTTGTTTTGCAAAAATATTTAGACCTTTGCAACGCATTATTTATTGCAACATATCGGTTACAAAGACAGTTTGACGCAGAAATATCCAAGATCATTGCACAAACACACACGACCAATTGCAGCAATTCCAATGATTGCACCAATGTCAGCAAGCAAACTCGCTGGTTGTTTGGCATTTTTTTTTTATTTTTTTTCTCATTGCAACGACACAACGAACGGGAGATTTCCATTATACTACTATTGATACTGGCAAGTGGCGTTAGTGAAAACAAAAACCAAACATAAATACCAAACATAAATATCAACACAAAGTACAATCAAAAAAAATTAATTTGGTCAAGAAAATACTGGATGTAAAAATCAAGACAGAGTGGATACATTAACAAAAAATTAAGCACGGTAGAAAACACAAAAGAAAACATAAAGTTTGGAAAGAACAGGAGCCTGTGTGAACAGAAGGGTACCTGCGTTAAGTGGATAGCCTAAAATGTGTGTTACACAATAGAGTTTGTACCCAGTATGCATATGTGCAATACGTATATTGCACGGATATATACACGGAAGCGCGTTTACAGCAAATTGATGCGCAGCGCTGTATATATGTGTCTCTCTTTGTTTTCTGATTGTCCGCCGTAATTCGTAATTTAATCAGTTTGTATTATATTCGTATTTTTGGCATAGTTGTGGCTTTTTCGGGAAGATCGAATCTTCCTTCAGTGTGGGTTTTGATTAAATGTAAAATACAATACACTCACTATTTGATTACTAATTGATTTATTTTTTTTGAGAGACTATTAATTGAGTTGAAATTGTCTATCAATTGCTGTTTAAAACTGTTTTTTCTTTGTTTCCTTCAAATATTAATTATCTTTGGAATTGTAAAGAATTGAAGCCAAAAAATGTCACCACAATCTTCATTAGCTAGCAAAGACTCAATTAAAGTAGGTATCATTGGTTTGAGCATTGGCTCTGGTGTTCGTTTTGTTCCACCCTGGGCTTATGTGGCACACTATCCTGCTTTAGCTAAAATACCTGAAAAGTACCAAATATCTTCAATCTTGAATTCTACCTTGTCATCTGCGGAAGCAGCTGTGAACAATTTATCTTTGAACACTACTAAACCTTTTGATTCATTGGATAAATTTGCCCAATATGAATCAAATGATTTGGTGACTGTCTCTGTTAGGGTCCCTTTACATAAACAATTGCTACTACCAAACATTGAATCCAACAAGAATATCTTCAGTGAATGGCCATTGGGCGCTTCAACCAACGAAGCTGAAAGTATTCTCAAGTTGGTCAAAGAGAAAGATTTGAAAACGGTTATTGGATTACAAAAGAGAAAAGCTCCAGCAATTTTAAAAATCAAAGAATTGATTTCTTCCAATAAAATTGGCCGTATCACCTCTGTCTCATTATCAGCTGTCTCAGAACTTGGTGGTCCAACCAGAGCTGAAAGTTTATCAAGTTATATATTTGAATCCAAGAATGGTGCTAATTTTTTCACTATTCCATTTGGCCATACCTTGGATGGGTTGCTTTATGCTGTGGGTAAGAAAGTCAAGTCTGTAAAAGCTAATGTTCTAACTCTTTATAAGGAACAACAATTGGTCGATCTTGATTCAAAACTTGTTGGGAAAGTTGTCTCAAAGGACACAGTTGATCACATTTCGATTGCTGGTCTTTTAACTGACAATACTCCAATTACGATTGAATTCAGGGGCGGAAGTAGCAGCAGAGTGGGCAATAGGAATCTCCATGTTGAGATCCATGGAACCAAAGGAGATATCTTATACGAGTCTGATAGTGCTTTCAGTGAGTTGGCTCCAATTGATCTATCGTATTCGTACGAAGGCAGTGATGGAGTTGTTAAATTTGACAATGGAAAGGACTACAATGCCACTGTGGATAATGTTTTGGGATTGTACGAGTCGTATTACGAATATAAAGACACTCAGGGGTCAAGACAAGGGTTTGAGAAGGATGGATTTCCAACCTTTGAGGATTCTGTGATTTTGCACAGATTACTTGACAGGATTGTGGAATCGTCCAACACTGGAAAGGAAATTGATGTAAAAGACATTTACGAGTTTTGAGTCAGTATTGAGTGGTTGTTGGATGATGAATACGAGTCTTGTTGTCATAAATCATATATTAAAGACGTAAACATAAAGAGTATAAAATAGGTATTAGGAATTAGAATATTATTCTATATTATAAAATACGATGACATAATATATGAGCAGCTAAGATAAGCTGATATAATGCAATATAGAATAATTGAGAATAAAAAGTAAAGTTAAGTGACGTGAGATAATATAAGTATAACAACATAAGAACATAAAAGCATGATATAAGAAAATAGGAAAATAAAAACACCAAATATAATGACATATGAGTATGAGTATGATGAAAGAAGAGAAAAGAACCAAATGAAAAATGAGAAAAATAAATTTGAACAAAAAAATATCAAATTTGAGTGAATATGATTAGAAATGATAAAACAGTTAATCATAAATCGATTCAAGATATTTGTTATTTTGGCAATCTCTTCTAACTTGATAAAAAAAGCCACCAACCATGATTTTCCGTAAATTGTGCAAATCGCTATTAACGTTGCAAATAAAAATATTTGATAAGATTGGAATCAAAGAATGGCAAATCAAAATTAAGATTTTTAACAAATCATTATTATTTAGAGATATGTTATAGGATGATGAGAACTCATCGATTAATTTTGAATTGTTTGATAAGATTGGAAAATCAAAGAAGTTTGACAAAATAGCTGAATTGTAATTTGAAAATATTCTCAACTGATTAATTCTTAATAATAAAATTAATAGGAAGGACTCATTTGTGATTAAATTATAGATATTTTTATAATTTAGGTCTAAACCGGTGAAAACCAAGCAATTTTTACAATTGCATGAAGATGACAAAAGAAATTTTGATAAAGGATTTAATTCATCAAATTTTAGAGATTGTGAGAAAGTTAAATAATCAACTGGAGAGTTTTTATCAATGATGGAGACGTTGGGGTTGTAGATTAATGGAATAACGTAAGATATGATAAAATGGGGCAAAATCAAATAATTTGATTTTGAACAATTATTGATTAAATGGGTATAAGAGGATGAAAGTAGAGGATTATTTGATAGGTATTTTGTGTAGGAAGTGTGAGTTTGAATAGAGGTATTGTTATTATTTAAATGTTGATTGAAAGAAGATAATTGGGATTTATAGGAGTTGAGTTGGATTGTTGATAGGTTGGTCAATTGTTTAGAGTTACCAAATTTAAAGAAAATGTTGAGATAATTAATTTTTTTGAAACAGGAAGATGAGTTATGAGTTTTGTCAATGGTATTAAATAGCGCTAATAAGATTTGATAACTTTTGAAAAGATATGATTGATTTTTAATGCTAAATTCAAAGATTAGAGTTAAGGAAGTTAGAGATGTGGATAGTTGCTGATTTTTAGTTAAATCATTTAGAAATTGCAATAGACAATTGCAGTTATTAAATTTGCAGTTAATTTTCAAGTTTAGGTCTTTTAATTTTTTGAGATTGATGAATTGGTTGAGAATGCTGAAGTTTAATTTTGAAGAGTAATGCTGATTGATTGAGTTGATGATTAATGGTAAATTTTGAGAGATATTGAGATCATTTATATTAAAATTGTTGTTGTTATTATTATTATTATTATTATTATTATTATTATTATGGGGAATACTGAAATTTGTAATTGGATGAGGGTTATTTGATGAGATGGTAGTTAAACCATGACAATGGTTTAGGGATAAGGAAGATAGGTTTAGTCTATAGGATGAGGGAATAATATTATGATAATTGATTGAATAATTTAGATCGTAAAAGAACTTGAGAGCCAATTGGAAATTTGAAAAGATAGATAGATGAGTGATGTTGTTGAACAACGATTTCAAGAATCTTTTGGATAGTAATTTGTTATTAAAGTGAGTGGGATTGTTCTGATTGATGTGATCTTTTAAACCTTGTAAAATTAAAGAAAGATCATTGATTTTGGGATAATAGGATAAGGAGTCGGTTTCCATATACATTAAGTCATTTAAAGATTGGAGAGATGATTTAGCACCATAAGGATCAAAGATTTGGATTGAAGAGTTTGTAAACGTGTCAGCAGTTAGGTTGATGTTGGTGAGAGTGTCGGCGGTTAAATTATTTTCAGTGTTAATATTATTGTGGTTGGATAATAAAGGGTTTGGTAACTTTTGTAGAAAATGAAACCTTTTTAGATTAGGGCAATTGGTTAGGATGTGGTCGTTTAATAGATTCAAGTTGTTTATCTTTTGATATTTGTAGTTAATGTATAGATCAAATGGATTTGAGTTGAATGAAAAGGAATCCAATGAGGATAATGAATTGTAGGAAAATGCGTTTATCTTATCGTTAACAGTTGAGCTGTTATCATCTAATTGAGTGATATAAGCAACGTTATTGAGGTAGTTCAAGTTATCAGTGCCATTGTTGTTGAGGTTAGTGTGGGCGTTAAGGTTAGTTGATCTGACTGGAATTTTGATTAGGCCATTGATCTCAGTTTTGATAATGAAGTGATGGATTAACTTTGATAGACGATTGTTTTTAGATAACGAGGACTCAAGATTTGTGATTTGAGAGGAATTTAGTATTGTGTAGTTTGTATTGAAACTTTTGTGACTTTTGTGATTAAATGGAGAGGATAAATTCAAATCAGTTAGGAATATTTTGTTGTACAATTTTTCAATGGCAAACTTATTGAGAAAAGTGTTTACAATCGCCAAATTGATCAAGTCATTTTGAGGCAAGAATGAGATAATGTTTTCAATGATATGAGAAGGCAAATTATCAAATAAGCAGAAATTGCTGAGGCTTGTTTCCATTCGTGTGATATGAGATAAGAGGCGAAAGGTGCGAGATGCGAGATGAGAGATGTAAGATGTAAAATATGAGATATGAAAAGTAAAATATGGTTGTGATTTAAAATTTACAGTTGAAAGCTGGGAAAAAGAGGAAAACAGAGGATATTTATAGGCAGGAGAGGAGCGAAAGAAGCTAAAGCGAGGCGAAGAGAGGTGAAGAAAAGGGATTGAGGTGAGAAATGAGTAATCAGGAGAATCATAGGCAAGAGAAAAAGAAGAGAAAAAGAAGAGAAAAAGAAGAGAAAAAGAAGAGAAAAAGAAGAGAAAAAGGCCTGAAACGACCGATCGGGTAGCAGGCTAAGAGAATACAGAAACGTGCAAAACACAATCGCCATCGAAATGTGTCAAGCGGAAAATCTCACGCGCGTATCAGCGTGGCGCGTGCCGCCGTCCGGCTGACAACGAAGCTTTCCCGCACCAGCAGCACGGTAAGAACAGCCCAAGACACGATAAGAATAGTGGCGATAAGCCAAGCAAGGGCTATCAGGTGGTGGTCCTGTGATACACATGGGCCACGTGTTGCTCATGTTTACTGCAGCGTCTCTCTGTTCCTGTCCGCTGCAGCCATCAGAATGGATGCAGCCACTGTCCTGGGTCTTTCCAGTCGGTGTTGATGGGAGATAGACGGTGTATCTGAGCCGATTCAACAATCAGCGATGGTGTTTATATTCTATTGTTTATATTCCACTGTTTATATCCATGATGTATGTTTACTAATTCATACCAATTTATACCTAATACCTATTTATACCAATTCATAACAATTCATAACAATTCATAACAATTCATAACAATTCATAACAATTTATACCTGTGGGGCACTTCTAAAATGTAAATACTCAAAGCACTATTTAATTATCTCTTTTCCTTCTGCTCTTTCTTGAGCTTTTCTTTCTTTCTTTTCTTCTGCATACAACTTTCTATTCAGCCTTTTCCATATCCTGAAAATGTCTATTTTCTCGCCTATCTCAAATTTCTTCCATAGAATAACTCACAGATCTATATCGATCAAACCCAGACACTATATCATCCTAATATTGCTAATCTTTATTGTATTGCAGTCTCTTTTAGTCTCTGGGTCTGCCTCAAATGATTCCAGAATCTTTCACATGGCAAACTTGAAATACAGTCTATCCAACTCTGGCAATTCTGCAAGTGCTATATCAAGAGTAGATTTACAAATGGGCTACTTTGGCTCATGTTTAAAAATCCACAAGAATTCAAACTCCCACGAATGGGTCTGTGGAAATAACGAAATTAAATTATTACTCAGCGACCAATTTTTCAATCAGCACATAACTCAAAATCAATCTCTAACTTACTTTATCAATGATACTGCAAAACTATTCAGAAGTGACTGTATAACTCCCTACATCTTAATTGTTGCAATCGCTCTATCAACAATCAACTTATTAACTTTGATATTTATCTCTCCTTCTTATCACCCTGGTATTTATAGATACTCTGCTTTCATTTCCTATTTATCCTTTTCCTTAGCCCTAATTGCTGCTATCTGGCAAGAGACAAACTTATTAACTGCCATCAGACTCTTTTCTAAAATGCAAAATGATTACTACGACCTATCCTCATCTTATTCAATCCTCTCAAGAGTCTTTATTTGGGTAGGTGTTGCTCTCCAATTCATCACTTCTCTCTTATTAGCCACCTTAGCCATTGTTGGTTCAATAATCCAAATTGGTGATTTTAATCCTGATCTCGATGATTTTGATGAAAAAGTATAATCAAAAATAATAAAATAATAAAATAATAAAATATACTATAGTAATCAATTATACACAGATTGGTCTTCATTGAAAAGTCAAATTAAACCTGAGGGATGGTTTTTATTTACTTATTTCTTATTTCTTATTTCTTATTTCTTGTGTTGTGTTTTGTGGCTTGTACTTGATTGAACTTATATTGTTTTGTTCTGTTTTATTTGGTCTCTCATCTGGTGTATTTATTTCCAATTTCATTTCATTTCTCTTTCTATTCATTTCTTTTAATTAACTCGCTCTTTCTCTTTCTCTTTATATACTCAATTCATACTAATTAAATACTAATTAAGTTTGATCACGTGTTTTATTGTTAAAATTCCCTGTAAAAATAGAATATATATTTACTAATCACATGTTAATACCAAACATGAAAAACTTTATTTTCTATCAATTATATACCCATCAATATAATATTATATAATATCATATAATAAGAATATCATATAATAATAATATCACTTTATTAAATCAAAAAGAAATCATATACACCTTACATTTTCAAAATGAAAATAATGCACAACCATAACCAACTAAGGCTCAGAGGAGTCAAAGCCGAAGCTCTTAATTTGTTTTTCATGTTATATCATCGAAAATTCATCCAAAATATACCCACCAATAGTAATTTTTTCTCTTTAACTTATCTTCCGAATTTCCATTTTTTATCTCATTTTCAAAAATCGTTTCCATCATTTGTTGTGTTTCCTGACAAAAAGACTCTTGCTCCAAATAACAATTTACCAACCTCACTGTTCAAATCAAATCCTCCTTGGGGGAAGAGTTTAGATCCTTTTAAATATGCAGTATGGAGAAAATATACGAAAAATTTATTTTTAAGATCTTTTACAAATACTTTTATTTCCTACTATAAAGATTTGAAGCAATCTGGTGATACTAATCATAATCATAATCATAATCATAATCATAATCATAACCATAACCATAACCATAAAAACAGTAATGGAAATAATGATAATACCTCAATTGACCAGTTAATTAATAATAACTTATCAAAATCCGGTGATCAATCGTATTTACAGATTTATAAAGAAATGATTGATTCAGATAACTTTGGCTATTATAAAAAAATGAACGGAATATATTTATTTAAAATCATTCACATTCCAAATTCTCAATCGGAAATTGAGCAATTAGATATAGAAATTAAATCATGTTTGAAAACAATTTATTCGGCAAGTATAGTGAAGCAAAGTCGTAATGGTTTTGATTATTCCTGGGTTTTTAAATCAAACCAATTTTTGGATTATAAAATGATAAAAAAGCTTATAGACAATAAGGATGAAAAAGACTTTTTAGAACGATTAGCTAAAAAGCCTTCTGATTTTTATGTAAATTAAATTAAATTAAATTAAATTAGATTAGATTACAAGTTTGATTCTAATAGTGTATATATAAGTGTTATTTAAATTTTGTATCTTGGATGAATTTTGACAATTTGGATCGTAAATCTTTAACAACGTCTAGATTAGTTAAATCATTTTCAAGTTCTTGTTGAGAATTATGCTTGAAAATTTTGTTAATCAAATTGATTTCTTGATCATTTTGAATCAAACCTCTTTTGAAACAAGCGAGAAATAGCTCATCTAAATTCATTAAGTGAACGCCATTTTCTTCAGTTGAGATGAGATAATTGTCAATCAATATTTCATTTTTGAAATTTAGTAAATTGTCTCTTAAGATTTCAATTGGAATTATAAATTTGGGTAGATTATTTAGTATATTTGAATTCAAAGATATGTTTAAAGAGTTAATTAAGCTGACGATTTCTCTTTTATTTAATTGATAAATTGATTTTTTATTTAATAAGATGTTATTAAGATTAGTTAGTAGAGCTGTGTGGTTGTTTGACCTATATTTATTTAGATAGGTCTTTCTTTGAATGAAATCTAGTAAGCAAGTGTTGGGGAATACACCAGGAAAGAAGTAAAAAATCAAGGGTGTTATCTCTTCAAATAAAATGGTTACAAACATAAAGGTATAGAATTTGTTCAAATCGTCAAAGGTTCGTAGCATTAGTTGGTATTGATTTCTTTTTATGTTTAGTACTTTGAAATTTTTCTGTTGCGATTTTGATTTATTTAGGGTTGTCAATTCGATATTTGAAATACTTATTTCGTTGATCAAATAGTGATTTAAATCAGCAATGGTTGTATTTTTCTTGAAAAGTTTAATGTTTTGAGTTGAGTTGAAGTGTTTTATTACAATTGAGTCTTGGAGTAGACGTTCAAGAGCTTTTTTTCTATTATTGCTATTGTTATTATCAGATTCGTATTCGTAATCATCGTCGTAGCCGTTTTGAGGAGGTGATAGTTTATTTTGAATATACTGTGGTGTATTGTTTAATAAAACAGGATAGACATGGTTGACATTTCGATAATTGATCTTGTTATAGTAAAAGTTATTCAAGATTTCAAAATTCAATAAATGTTTGTTATTAATTATTGAAGAAATACCATTCTTGTAAAAAGTTAAAATGTATTTTAGAAAATGCAACCATTTAAATTTTAGCTTTTCGGGATTATTCAATTTAAGATGGTTGAAAAATTGGTCCTTAGAGAAAATATGTTCAGATAAAGTGGATGGGATATTTATATTATCAGTGTCGATTTGTCTGTCATTGGAAGTGTTATTGTTGCTATTATTAATTGTATTGCTGTTGTAGGTCGTCTGGAGGATATTAGATGATAAAGTGTTATTGAATCTCTTTGAGTTGGCAAGTCGAAATACCCTGGAGCATGTATTTTTTCGTAGGTTGGCTATGTAGTTCTGTTTGTATATTATGGACATTGAGAGGTTGTGCTATAATTGTGGATGCGAAAATGGATAGTTTAAGATATATATTCTCATCTACAGTATCTCTCCAGAGTTGCACAGTGTAAATTTTTCAGGTCTGTAGCCTTAAAGACGCTGAACGATTTCATTGGCCAATCGCAGCCATAGGATATCAAAGGATTTGCAGCGGATTTGCACATTTGTGAGAAAACAGTCGGTTCGACATGTTCTCGGACGCGTGCACATGTGAGTCAGACGCAGGCGTCACTCTGCAACGGGTAACGGAAACTGAGTCACAACGAGCAAATTTATTGTTTTCTCTTGTTTTGGCCCAAATATTTGCCAGAGATTACCTTTCAGAAATGGCGAAAACTGGTGAATGCTATAATGAAAATTTTTCAGTTAGGAGATTAAATAATTATTGTGAATATCCAAGGGAATTTTTGTGTTTTCAAGACGAAGTCTATTTGAACAAATAATGCTGTGCAAGTTTATTCTGACCAACACAAAGTTATTTCGTAACAGTAAAAAGCCACTGGGGACCGTATGGCTATCTACATAATTGGCGAACGTGACAAGTTGCGCGAATAGCAAGCCAGTCAACTTGTGGCGATCCGCAGTGGACCCAGCTCTTTCTGCTACGCTTGCAGGCTCCTCCCAGATGGTGGTGCTGCTTCTGGTGCTTCTGGTGCCGGAAACCCGTTCTGGGCTGCCGCTGGCCAATGGCAGAAGCCGAAATCGCCAGCCAACAACAGCGCGGTGCTTCAACAGACAGCAGACCTGTGCGGCAACGCATGCCAGAAGTTAGACCGCATACAAGTTGCTATTGTCAACGCAGAGACGCCTTGGACTGCAGGCTTTGCGATGAGGCGGCATGAGTTTAGGTGCAGCGTCGATCCAAGTTGGAGCGACCTAAGTTAACACCCAGAAGCAGAGTTTGGAGAATGGGAGAATGAAAACCCACCATCACGAAACAACTCTCTGATCTAGCGTCGAAGAGAATCCCCAGCAGCACCTCCAGCACCTCCAGCAGATTCTCCAGCAAAAGCCTGCAAAAAACCACTCCAGCTCCACTCCTGGTTGGTCCTGCACACTTGCGGCTCGTAGGACCCAGATTTAAGGTTCTCCAGAAAATTCAGGTTTTGAAATTTTGAAATTTTGCTTCTCTCGTTTGTTTCTTTAAATCTGGTTAAAATTTAATGGAATTTGAATTAGAATTAGAATTAGAATTGGAACTTGATTGAGTTTAAAATTTCGACTCTAAATTCTATTTCAACTTATTTGAAACTTTTCTAACTTTCTCATTCATCTCTTCATCATTTCACTGCTTATTTCGTTGAGAAATTTCTATGGCCTCGGTTACTTGGTTCTTCTTTATCGATTTTTGTATATCTGGTATATATCTGGTATATATCTGGTGTATATTTATAATATTTGTATTGATATTATGCAATAATCATCCTCCGAAGCCCAAGCCAAAGTACCCCCTACATTTGATTAATTGGAAAAATAACCCAATTTGCTATTAAATCTGTTCTCAGTTGTTAATACTTTCAATTTGCATTGAAAAAAAATGATAAAAATTATCAATTTAAACAATATTTCATGGCCTTTACCCAATTTCAAATATTATATATAAGTCTCTCAATCTTTGAAATTCTCCATTTCCTCTTTTCTTTTTTTCTTTTCCTCTCTTCTTTTCTCTTGCTTTTCTTTCATTTTAATACACTCTACTCTATTCTACTACATTTTACTACATTTTACTCCACTACTCTTCTCGTCCTTGCCCAACTTATCCACCTTGCTTTACTTTTCCAATTTGTCAAATCATCAAGACTCTACTTTTCCACTTTATTGAGGCACTAATTTTCCCTACTCAAAATTGGCAGTGGGTTCATAGTATCTAAAATCGTCTCTCTTCTGCTCTCTTATATCCCAAATTTGGATCTTATCTCAATTTCTGCGTTTTGAACTAAATAATTTTCCAACATAGGTTTCATACACTATACCAGATATATACAAATCACCACATTACCCAATCCTATAAATTCTTTCAGTTTTCATTGCAACTTATCACAGTCCCCAATTACAGCTCTTCCACTCTGATTTTCCCATCTTCTCTCTTCCCACTGTTATGCTTCCATATCGACAAAACCAACCGGACGTGAACCAACCTTATCAACCTTCGTATCCTGCTCAGCACACTAACCCTAACGATAACCAAATCAACCACAATACTGACAAAAACACAAAAAACAAAAAAAATACAAAAATTATAAAAATCTCTGAAAACACTCTCAATCCCACCATACAAAACATCCCTATTAATGCTGCTCAAAGCCCCAATCACAATAGAACCCTTCCTCATATCCTTTCCAATCCCACCAGCAACCTCAACAATGATCATTCTCCGGTCCATTCTGTGCCAATTGGACCCTTGATTCTCTCTCCCCAAATTACGAACAGAAACCCCAATCACAATCACACCCAACTTCCTGCAAAGGTCACCACTTTTCTTACCAACCACCTTGTTTCCTCTCGACAAAATCCTGTTGCTGCCAATCCCAGTCCAAATCCTGATCCAAACTCGAACTCTAATTTGCCCATTAATACTGCTGTTTCCAATGTTCCAAATGCTCCCAACACATTGAATAAACAAATCAGATCAAACACATCCTCTGATATCCAATTACCAAATGTCTTTGATACTTACCAAAATGCTACTGCAAACACTCTACCTCCTCCAATTTCTTCTTATTTACGCTCAATCCCTTATGAATATCAGAATAACAGTAACCATACTGATGCTAACATCGATAATAGTTTTTATTCCAACACTCCATACACAACCAGAAACAATCCCACTCCACAAAGTCATATAAACAGAAATTACACTCCCATTCCTGATTATAGTCAAAATCAAAATCAAAATCATGATTGCAATTCTAATCGCCCTTATCCATATTTACAGGACCCTCAAAACTATCCTCATTACCAATCCCAAAACCAATTCCATCGTTCTTCTCATGCAAACACTTCAGGCTATGATCAATTGCTGTTTAATCCGGCTAATTCCAACCAAAATTATTCTCCACAAAATTTACCTATTCCACATAATTCTCAAAACCAGTCTCCCAAAAACACTCAAAATACTCAATCCATTCCTCCTTATAATCTCACTTCTCCTATCACTCTAAATCCATCTTCCTCGTACATTTTAAGCCATCCCCCAGAAAACTTGAGTCTACAAGTTTTCCATCCACCAAGACCTGTTCAGTATACCAACCAATATCGTTATTCTAACAACCAAAATCCAAACTATCAATCACCACCTCCCCTATCTTCTCGTCAACATCTCTTGCGATCTCCAAAAGTAACTCAACCAACAACAGCACAAATTAATTCTCACGACCAGTCTCCAATTTATCCTCGACATGATTCCGAATCAACTTTCCAATCACACTCTAGAAGAACCTCCCAAACTCGCTCTTCAATCAACACAGCTTCAATTCCAACTTCTTCAGCTTTTAATCACAGAGATCGCTCTTCTACAACTTTATCAATTGGAATTGAGTCCTTAATTCACTCTCAACCTGAAACTGAAACAAAGCCTGAAATTTTCAATCAGCAGAGAATTCGTCCACTAATTCCTGCAATCTCAAACGTCCCCATCTGTAAAGGAACCTCAAAGCATTTCTTTAAATTAGAAAATAAAATCGCATTATTAAAAGAAGTTCTTTGTAACAATCCGTTTGCAGATTTCAATAACTGGAAAATCATTAGCGATAACTATAACATTTGGACCTACAATAATCAGCCCGATAGATTTTATGCCGCTAACAATTATTTACCAAGAAAAGTTAGAGAATTAATGAATGATTATCATAAAGAATTTATTGCGAAACTGCAGGAATCGCTAACCAAGTCAAAAAACAATGATAGAAATACCGACAATAATGATAGTGATGACGATGACGACGACGATGATGATGAAGATGATGAAGATAATAATGACGAGGAAATGAATCTGCACCAAGTTTCTCCCTCTGTTATATCAGTTTCATCAATTCCTTCTACCTCAAATTTACATCAAAGAAGACTTTCCATTTCCAATGAAAGCGATCTGCTGAGAATTATAAACGATAACTTAAATAATAACTTTTATCAAATGAGAAATGAAAACAATAAAGAATTTCGAGAGCTATTGCAAAAAGTTTACGAAATTCAGTGTGAAGTCAAATTACCCGAAAATAAGAAAAAGAGAAAACTTGTCACTACTACAAGTTCTAATAAAAAGATATTATTAGACGTAGTTTCCAAACAAAAAACTTCAAATGAAAAAATAAATAAAGAGAAAGAGAAAGAGACAGAAAAAGAAAAAGAAAAAGAAAAAGAAAAAGGAAAAGAAAAAGAAAAAGAAAAAGAAAGGGAAAAGGAAAAAATTAAAGCAAGAGGAAGAGGAAAAGGAAAAGGAAAAGGAAAAGAGAAAGAAAAACCAAGAGGAAAACAAAAACAAAAACAAAAACTAAAGAACAGAAAAAGACAAAAACCAAAAGTTAATGCTAAAGCAAAAAGCAAACAAATTGTTTTAAATAACAACCACAAACTCCAAGATTTTCTAATATGCCCTGAAGGCGATAACTCTGGTGACTCTGATGATAGCTATAATGATGATGATGATTCAAACAGATATGGAGATTATAATGACAAAAATAGGAAGAAAAACAAAAATGTTGACAATAAAGGTGATACTAATGATATTAGCCAACAAAGTGCTCAAAGTGATGATGAATACGATAATAGCGATAATAGTAATGGCACTAAAAATGGAAACGAAAATAGCGAAGAAAACGAGACTCAAAGCAATGAAAGCACTGGTAACGATGGCACTGGTGGTAGTGAAGATAGTGATGACAGTTATGATAGCAACAACTATTCATACACAGCTATTGATTTAGAAGCAATAAAGCATCATAACTTTTATGAAAAGAGTAATACACCAATCTTTTTGGCAGCCACATTGCGAAACTTGGAGATAATAAATAACAAATTGTTAAGAAATGAGAATATTGATAGAATCACAATGGGATTGCCAGCCAAAAGTGTGCCATTTTTGAATAAAAAAAATAAAAAAGACATAAAATTACCAAGAATTCGTACATCGCTTGATATTGAAAATTTATCATTAAAACATTTGAATTTTTATTTGGAAAACTACGCTATTGAAATAGATGATGAATTCAAGAATAATATTGTTATGAAGAAAAAAGAGTTGGCATGTTTTTTAGGTATATTGGCTCCTAATAATTATTCAGACCTAACAAGAAATTAAAATAGTTTGATTTGATTTGATTTGATTTAATATGATTTGATTTATTTTATTTGCATAATGTAATATATAACATAAATGACTTAAATGACTTTTAAATTCTTTTTATGTTAATTTTTTTCACTTTTTATTTTTATTTTTACTTTTTTATTTTAGTATTGATTTTCATATAATCATAATTTATTTCAATAGCACTATTTTTTTTTGCTTTATTTTTTTTTGATTTATTTTCGCATTTATAGTATATGAATATGTTTAAAATAATATATTTAATTTTAATCAAGTTGATTTAAAATAATTTGGGCGATATATGGCTTCTGGTTTTATTATAATTTCAGTTTATGAAGTTTTACAATTTGGCTGAATGGATCAAGAAGATGTAAAAGAAGAAAAAAAAGTAATTAATAATAAAAAATAAACAATAAATGATAAATGATAATATTGTTCAGAAAAACTATAAAAAGCATAAAGAAATGACTACTTTTAAACCCATTTTTGCTTGTAATTTGATTATCTATCAAGTTTTTTTAATCTATCTCTATTTTTTAATATCAATTGATGAAAGAACTGTTTTTTTGATTAATCATCAAACAACTAGCACAGTACAGTTTATATTTGTTCTTTCTCCTGACCAATAAACCAACTGAATAAATAAATGGTAAATGAGATTGTAATAAAACTAAATGAAAAAATGAAAAATAAATGCTGCTTTTGAATTTTAATTGTCGACTAATAATTTTTAAACAAAAAAACAAAGAAAAAAAGAAAAAAGCAGCAATAAACAACAGCAAAGAAATTATGGAGGAGAAGCTGTTATCATACAATCCAGAAATTACAAATTTCACTCAATAGTAATATAATTAGAAATATATAAAAAATTAACTCAGAAATACTTCAGAATTATTGAAACCATCAAGTTTTAAATTTTTTGCTGGAAAGTTGTAATAAAAAGTAAAAAAAAAGGGAAAAAGTAGAAGCAAAAGTAAAAATAAGTGAAATTCGATAGATATTGTAAAATCACTTGCTAAGAACAGAATACTGTTTTAAGTTGAGTTCAGAAATATTGTGTTTTAAAAAGCAGTTTGACAATAAAACAACGACTTCAGGAAGCTAGAGTTGAATATAAACCAAAGCGAAAAAAACAAATGACAAAACACTTTTTTTTAGAGAAAGAAATCAGAATAAAAGAATATATTAAGGCACTTTTCGTAATTTTGTTATTGCATTTTGGGAAAAAAATCAGCGTACATAATCTCAAAATACAAATATATAAAATTTGCGCTAGTATAAATGGAACCACGTGCATTTTGCGTTCGTCCATTTTCTGTTCAGAAATTTCAGTCGTTTTCCAGGAGCCCTTTCTGTTTTCAGCTGTTTTTTTGAGCAAACTGAGAAAGAACCACAGTTCCAACTGGACAAAATTTGTTTGTCTCCAAAACAGAAAAAGCTGCTTCTTCTGCTGACAAAAAGCGAAAGTTGGCAATGGAAAACAGAAATACAAACATTGAGAAGAGTGAACGTAATTCTCAAACCTTGGGTTTTCCAAAAAATCGAAAAGTTAGGCAAAGTCATAGACCCGTCCTATAAGGAGTGTATGCAGTATCCTGTACTGTGTTATTCAACAGCACATCCAAGCATGCAAGCGCTTGATAGCGTGGTTGTGCTTTCGTAGACCGTCTGTTCTTACGGCTTTTGTGTCTGCCGCATCTCCGGAATTTGGTTCGGTTCTTTTCTTTGTGTTTTCTCTGTTTATATCTGTTTACATCTGTTTATATCTGTTCATATATTGATTGTGATTATCACTGATAATTCATTTGACGACTCGACTGGCAAAAACAAAAGGCATCGTTTCAAGACACTCAGGCCAATGTCAAATTTGAATGTTTGATTTTGTAAAACAAAAATAGGAATGCTGGTGAAGCTGGAATACTGCTGACTCAGCCAATCGCCAAAGGATTAAAGATTCAAACTTGATAAAAAGCTAAAAATTAGACCTTCTTTCTTTGAGATCTGCATATCATATCATTCTACTTGGGTGTATGGATCCATTTTTCATTATTATGGCACAGGCAGGCAACCTTAATGGACTGTGTTTCAATCAACAAAATAAACTGCTTTTCTTTTCATCTTTTCTGTGCTTTTCGCTATTCTCTTGATAACTTGTGTTTCCATTTGATGCTGCCTTTCATTTTTGCTGAATTCCTATTTTTTTTTCTTTTTTTGTTGGGTTTTTAGGCTCAAATTACCCAGGTAAATTCGATTTTACTCCTATCCAATTCAATCTGGAAACAAGAACCAGAGCTTGAAAACGAGATCAGAAAAGGTCTCTGACATTTGTTCAGCTCCTCAAATTATCAGCAAAAATTTTCACTGCCTTTGATTTTACCTGAATATAATTATCGTTTTAACAACTATTTAGTGTAAAGATAATCAAAATGTCTAGTGCTCAGGTTAAATGCTTTTTATTTTTGCCAGAGATGATCCCATCATTTGTACTCACAAACATTTGATAAATTGGTCATTTGAATATTGACTATTAGGCGGTCCTATATAGTTTAATTATCACTTTTTATTAATTGTAAGTGTTTATTTAAAAGTTTGAATACACTTCCCTTTTTATTTGTTGTAAAACTGGATTATATACTACATAAAATTATCAACTTATTTAATTTTCCCATATCTGTTGCTTTTGTTCTTGAGATTTTCTTGAGATTTCTCAGGTGTTTTTTTCTTTGGGTTTTTTGTTGCCTTGATTCAAAGATTTTTTAAATTTTGTTCAATCCATTTATTTTCTCTTGCAAAAATTTCAAAAGCAATTCCTGGTGTTGAATATCCCAGTGTTCTAATAAGCCTACACTTTTTTTTTAATTGCATGAATACCTACATCCTCAGAATTGTTTAATAAAACAACAATGTTAAAAGACTATGAAGTTCTGGCTTTTTTATTATTTTTATTTTTATTCTTTTTCAATCTTGAATTTGATTAATGTAAAATCATCTCGAATTAAGACAAATTCATTAGATTCTTTCAATAAAAATATTGCAACCATTTTCCTAAATTCTCCTCTATCATCTTTTGTATTCTCATTACTATTTTCATTCTCGATATCAATATCAATGTCAATTTCAATCTCATTCTCATCTTTTTGTTTTTCTATACTACTATTTTGTGTTGTTATTATAGACCTAAATTTTTCATTTAAATTTATATCTTCAATCCATTTTTTACCCTTTTTCAAATACTTGAAAAACAAAACTTCATTTTCTTCATCATTTTCTTTCAAAACAGCCATAATTTGATTATATTTATCAAGTTTAAAATCAAGAACAGTTTTAATACCGCCACTATTCTGTTCAAATAAATTAATCTTGCCAGTTAACAAACTCTTTCTTAAATCCCAAACACTAATAATTGAATCCTCATCCATTGAAAATAACCAAAACCCATTACTTGAAAAATATAATCGTTTTATTGATTTTGCTTTACTTTCCAAATCATTTGATGATTTTAATATTTCCACAACTTTACCAAATCTAATATCCATGACAATTATTTCATTATTTGCAGTACCAATCCCAATTAATAAACCATCGATATGAATATCCATACAAGTGGGAAAAATTTCAACATTATCATTATCATTTTCAATATTATCACTTTTAACCAATTTAAATTTGTGAACCTCATTTTGATCAAATGAATTGTATAACGATAAAGAATTATCTTCAAATAAAATTAAATAGTAGTTATCCAATAATGGGAATCTTTTAACAGATATGATTTTTTTTTTAAAATCAAGTACTTTGGAATAATCATATGAATTTTTAGTGCCACCACTTAAAATTTTCAAAGATTTTGAATTATTAAAAATGACTAAAGGTTTGTAGTCAAACTCAATATCACTAATATTTTGATTATTTTTAGTATTAATCCATTGAACTGATACAATTGAACTCGTTGAGCTATTTGAATCAAAAATCAGATTGCTTTCATTAGGATTTATAAAATCTAATAAATTAGACCCAGTTTGATTTGATTTAATATTAAAAGTAATTAATCTGTTGTTTGAATCGAAAATTAAAATTTTATTATCAGATTCATCATCAAAAGTGATGTCATTTGATGAATATAACCTGATCTTAAAATTATCATGATTTTCATTTATAGTTTTTTCAATAATATTAATTTTTAAATTATCAACATCAGTGTGAGTTTTTGATTTTAAACGTTTTGAAGAACTTCTGTGCAAATTAAATAAATATTTACTTGTTGCATCAAATAATTTGGTATAATAATCAGGCAAAGTAGTGTCATTAGAATTATTAGTATTAGAATTATTAGAGTTATTTTGAACAGAATATTGATTGTCTTTTCGAACATCTTTTTGATCGTCTTTTCGAACATCTTCTGGGATATCTTCTGAGATATCCTCCTGAATATCCTCTAGGATAGTCTCTGGAATATTTTTTTCTTTATCTTCCCGGATATCTCCTGAAATATTCTGTAAAACACTTCCCAGAATATCTTCTTGATTATCCTTTTCTTTATCCTCAGTTTCGACTATATGATAACTGGCAGCTTCATTTTTGTCCCCATTTATTTTCTCAAAATGAATGTTTGGTTTGTTGTGATTGTTATCAGAATTTTCATCCTTTTTATCCAGATCGTTAATGCTTTGATCTTCTTCATCCATCTTCTCAAGCTTGTCTCTGAGTTCATGTTCATTCACTGGACGATTATTTAATATGGAGACAAGAGAATTTCTGAGATATTCATTTTGCTTTCTATATCTGTTTATAACCCTCAATGAGGCGTCGTAGTGATATAAAGAGCTGGAAAGATTTTGTTTATAAAAATCCAACGTTTTTTTTAACTTGAAATTTTCCAAGATGACAGAATCAAACTCATTTTGTAAGGTGGATAAAATATTGGGAATCGAATTAAAACTTGGGGGACGGGGAACAACTACATTGGAGTCAATTTCCACAGGAGATCTGATCTCTACTAGGTCTTCGACACTGGCTAGCTCGTTGGTAATGGGATCAGTTCCATTCTGTTCGATGTATGTGTGGGCCAAGCTCTTTTCGTAGACCAAGCGAGACTTCAAAGACAAAACTGGATGCCTGGCTATCTCTCCAGATATCGAACAGTGCATTTCCTCGCTCTTAAGCAGCTCAGCAATTGGCAGATACAGAGGTAAAAACAGAGGTAAAACCAGAGATAGAGACAAAAAATGGTTTTGCAGTGAAGGGTGAAAGAATTTTTGCAAAAGTTGGTGATTTTGCTGACAAAAATGCACGTGATAGAAATTTCCGACTGTTTCTGCTGTTTTTGGTGTTATTGGCAGAGAAACTTGCTTCTCGATGGGTTTTACATAGAGCGATTCCAGGCAGAAAACAGACCTTGGTTGGTTTATTACTTCTTACAGTTTCAAGGAAAATAGATCAAAAACAGATAAAACACCAAAACTATCTCATGTTATAATTCAAAAAAAATAAAGCTAACCACACAAAGAATAAAAAAAAACAAATATAGTAGAGATAATGTTAATTTACATCCAAATGCACTTCATCTATTTGGTTTTTTTCTTTTAATTTAAAGATTTTTCAATTTTTTTAGGATTTTTTAGGATTTTAAAATTTTTTTTTGATTATTAAATGATATTAAAAAATATTATATCTAATTTTTCAACTAAATAAATGCGCTCATTAACAGCATTCAACGTGATTTCGATTTTATGTTCATCATCATTTTAATTCATTTCATTTCCATTTTAATTAATTGAAATTTTAACTTTTTTTTTGAAATTTTAACCTTTTTTTCTGATTTTTTAAAGATTATATATTATTTAAAATTGTATTTATCATTACTTGATTTTTGATTTTTAATTTTTAATTTGATTTGATTTTTTAATTTTTTTGATATTGATTATTGACTATTGACTGTTGATTTTTATTATAACATTGTAATTATATATCGCAAAACATAGTTTTGCATTTAATTTTGAATATTAGAATTTTCATTTGATTTTTTAAAATCTTGATAAGCAGCTAAAGCTTCTTCAAAATGAGATTTGAAAATGTCATCGTTTTCTAAAATCTGAACAATTTCTTTATTGTCCAAGTCTAAAATCATACCAGTAATTTTACCTGCAGCTTCTTCATCGTTTTGAACCTTACCAGTGCTTATAACCTTGGCATATAATTCTTCACCTAAAAATCTCTTTTGTTGGTCTAATGGATAGTTATTTAAAATAGCTTGATGGTTTGGCTGGTTGAGAATTGGTCCACCCATTCTGACATTATTGTTGTTGTTTTTCAACCCTTGTGGGTTCAAATTTTGTTGTTGTTGTTGTTGTTGTTGCTGTTGTTGTTGTTGCTGCTGATTGGGGAAATAGGTTTGATTGTTGCCATTTCTAACGACCATTTGTGGGTTTGGTTGATTTTGATTAAAGTCATTAAATGGTGATCCGCCGTTGTTGCCATTGTTTGGTGGGAGGTTATACATTGGAATTGGTTGACCATTTGGAACAGCTCTTGCCCATTGAGTTTGTTGTGGTGGTGGTGGTGGGATACCTTGTGGTAAAACTAACTGGGTGTTTGGACCTGGTGATGCAACAAATGGACCCCTACCGAGAAATTGTTGAGGAGCACCTTGGCCATAAAACATTGGGGGAATAAATTGATTATTTAAACCACCAGCGTTAGCGCCAGCTGCAACAGCAGCTTGTTGCATTCTGACTCTATTTCTTGCTTCGATTTGTTGGCTTAATTGAGCACGTCTAACATCCTTACGTTGAGCTAATGCAACATAAAGAGGTTTACCCCAAACCATCTTTTGGTTCATTTCAGAGACAGCCTTCGAAGCTTCTTCAGGAGAAGAAAAACAAACAAACCCAAAACCTTTGGATTTGCCCTTTTCATCCACCATAATTCTCGATGAGGTTATAGTACCAAAAACAGCAAATTCCGATCTTAATTGGTCGTCGGAAATATTATCATCAATGTTTTTAATAAAAAGGTTGACACCTTGATATTTTGTGATTTTTTCTAATCTTGATTGTTCGTGTTGTTTTTTCAATTCATCAACCCTTTCTCTCTTTTTTTGAGCTCTACCAACGTAAAGAGTTTTACCATGGAATTCTTTATTGTTAAGAGATTCAACAGCTTTCAAAGCGTCTTGGTGGTTTTCAAAATTAACAAAACCAAAACCCTTCAAGTTGCCATCGGGATTTCTTTCTAAAGATATAGAAGTTATAGTGCCAAAGGCATTAAATAACTTGTTGAAATCTTCATCAGAGGTTTCAGGCTCAATGTTTTTAACATAAACGTTTGTGAAATTGGCCTTCATTGATTCAAATTTGCTTTCTCTATCTTTTCTGGAAATGTGGTAAGCGACGTAGACTTCGTTATTGTTTAACAACATACCATTAACACTTTCTATAGCATTTCTAGCAGCTTCATCGTTTTCATAATGAACGAAACCAAAACCCTTTGAGTTACCAAATTCATCGGTAGCAACTTTGCAAGATAAAATTTTACCAAAAGCAGAAAATGTGTCGTGAAGAGCTTTGTTATCAATAGCAGGATCCAAGTTTTTGATAAAGATATTAGCACTGCCATCCCTTCTTTTTGATGGGTCTCTTTGAGACCACATAATTCTACAAGGTCTGTTTTTGATAAGAGAATAATTTAGTTGTTCCATGGCCACTTCAGCGTCTTTAGTGAATTGGAAATTAACATATGCATAGCCTAACGATCTCTTTGTAACAGCGTCTCTACAAACTCTGATGGAGGTGACTTGTCCAATTGATGAAAAGACCTCGAATAAAGTGGCTTCGTTGACCGATGGGTCCAACTCACCAACGTAGAGAGAGGCAGAGCTTTCAGGCATTGTAGGAGTAATTGAACCAGAAACTGAGCCAGCAGCAGAGGATGGAGAAGAAGTAATGACGGTATTAGCAGGGTTTGAATTTGAATTTGAATTTGAATTTGAATTTGATGAAGTATCATTATCATTAATATTGGCGCTAGTAACAGGAACAGCAGGGGCAGAAGGGGCAGAAGGGGCAGAAGAAGTAGCAGGAACAGTGGCGCCAGAAGCATTACTATTGGCTTTGGATGGAGAAGAAGTAGTGGAAGAAGTGTTGGCGTTATTTGATTTAGGGTCAGAGATTAACAAGCTCTCAACAGCCTTATCTAATTGATCCATATCAGACATTTTGAAGAAATGGTTAATGGCAGGTAGGAAAGTAAGAAAAGAAGTGGGGGAAAGAAAAGTAAAAAAAGGTATATAGTATAATTGAGGTATATAAGAAAAAGAATAGAGAAGTTTTTGTGTGTAAACAATTCTGATTTTTATATCCTTATTTTTATGTGGTTCTTGAGATTTTTCACTTTTTTACCCTTTAAAAAAATTTAAAAGAAAATCCAAAATAAAAAAACAAAAAACGAAAAAAAATTTTCCCTTTTTGAAGTCACGTGCCTGAACAACGAATGTGTGTTTGAACACGTGAATGCTATTATCTGCAGGTCGGAAGTGAAGAATGCTGCCCTCGGACTGTTCTGCGTTTCTCGGATCTGGTATAAGAAGAACCATAGGGCTGGATCTGAACCTTATGTGCTTTGATCACGTGTTGATTTCCGGTGAAATGTTTGAATCGAGTAAAGTTCCGATTTTCCTTCCGTAGCGAAGGGAGATATTATCTCTTTATACTAAGTGTGTGGCCGAATAAAGCCAGTTTTACTGAATGCACAGCTTGTTTTACTGTGTTGATTTTCATTCTTTCCAAACAGATCGAACTACTACAGGAGCTTTAAATGTGCTGGAGGTAAACCACACAAATTGTTTCGGGTAAAGCCGGAATACATCCAGCATACATGGTGTGTATATTTGAAATTATCGTTTTGAGTTGGATTAGTTGAAACATCCAACACCCACTCAGTGCTATTCAATGGACTTTTCATTTTTAGTTTTCATCAGAACCTCGTTCTAGAGTTTATCTTCCATCACACCTTCCATCACATCTTTCATCACAATGGAGAAGTATTATGTTGTGAGAAGGGGTATGTGACACCTGGAACTATCGAAGCTCTGTATCAGTTGAATTAATAGGTTATCTGTTTTATTAGGCCACAATCCAGGAATCTATTCTAATTACCAAGCCTGTCAAAACCAGCTCAGGGGCTACTCTAATAACGAATTCAGGAGGTTTTATGACTACCAAAAAGCCTATGATTACTACAGTTCCAAGATATATGTGGACGACTATACCAGAGCTGTCTTTGATACTGGCAAAGTGAAGTCAATTAACCAAGACGATCTTTTAGCAGCATATGGCTGTTTTTTCGGTGAATATGATTCTAGTAATGAGCCAGGAATAGTTCGTGGAGCACAGTCTCATCAAAGAGCCAATTTGATGGCTATTATGAAGGCTTTAAGCAAGATCGATGAAGAAATTAGTGAATAGGAGCGTGGATATTTGAATTATGACATACCTCGGTACCATATCTATACCAAGAACAGATATTCGTTAAATTGTTTAAATAAATGGAAATGGTTTAAAAATGGATGGCGAACATCTAATGGCCGGAATGTGAAAAACCAGGATATTATCCAAAGATGTTTATATTTAATTGATTCGATCAATGATTTTTACGACGATCGAGGCTGGTACGATATTGAAATTTCTTACAACGACGAATCCAGAAATGTCTTTGAATATGCTGAAAATGAAGCATTATCATCTGCTGGCAACGCACTCGATGAAGAATTGGAGAATTATTTATATTCTTGACCTTTTGTTGTTTTTTCGTAATGGTGTGTAATATGTTTGTTGCATAAAAAAAGAAAGAAACAAAACAAAACAGAAGTTGTTGGTAGTTTCTGCTCCAGCTTTATTAGGAAAACCACAGAACGAAATATAATATAATATAGTATAGTATAGTATAGTGTAAACATAGCGAGATCAGTGATAATAACAGTGCAATACCTGTTAATGAGACATTTATTGAGGCTACTTAGGAAAATCTTCCCTGGCCGTAGATAAGAGAAGAAGTATCGTCGTCTACATTTCCCAAGCTGAAGGGTAGCTTGTTACTAGTAGAAAATGTTTTATAACTGGGATCCAATGGAAGAAGCTTTTCAAAGTTCAATTTGAACCGGTTGTACTTTGTCAATACAACAGGGTTGATCTTGACTTTTTTGTCTTGTAAAATGGATATCAACGTGTCAACCAAGTAAATCAACGAGTAGAAAACTGTTCTTTGGCTCTTAATGCTCTCCAACTTGATAAACCATAATTGTAAAAAAAACACCAATTGATAGAAATGGTGGTTTATAAACACTGATTGCAAGAAAATTATCGGAATTAGTACAAAGAAATCAATGTGTGAACAGATGATTCTCGATGGCTTTTCAAAAAACTTCAACAATGGTATCAAGTGTCTGGATATCGAATAGTCTCGGAACACTTCCTTCACCAAGTAGTTCATCAAATTGAGCAAGCTAAACAATCCAAAGGGTAGTATCTTGAAAAAACTCATGGGACTGAAAAGATAAAGAAAACTGGTAGCCAAAAACAAAAAGTTCTCTGATCTGACCAAGTCGTTGACCGAAATCAACTTGGAAAAGTTGGAGTATACGTTAACACTCTGGTTCTTTCTGACTATCAACAAGTATCGACGGATTATCACTGTTGAGTAGGTTATAATGCACCCAATGAAGCTGAAGGTGTACCAGATCATGGGCAATGGAGACCTCGAGAGCATTGTGGCAAAATATAGTAGGAAGCCCATCAAGGCTAGCGAGTGCCCAGTTATCCAAAAGTACTTCAATATAACATCTGCGTCTGGGAGCTCATTGAGCATCTGCTGAAAAGTCTTCTTTGGTTTGGCCACTTTTTTCACCTTGGGTGGTTTGATGGGAGGGGCCTTTGGTGGTTTGATGGGAATGGAATTGACCTTGAGTGGGACCTTGGGTGGTTTTCCCTTGAGATCAACCTTCGATGACATGTCTTGTATGTCTTATGGTGGAGCACTCTAGTCTGAGGTGTGTATGCTGCAGTGTCCTATGGTATATGATAATGCAGTGCGATATAATCCTCCAGAGGGAAGCTGAAGTAGATCTGTCTCTGTTTTGTATTTATATTGCTTTTCTACTGTCTTTTCTACTGTCTTTTCTACTGCCTTTCCGATGCTTTTACACTGCCTTTTCTACTGCGCTTTTATACCGAAGGTTTCATCTGATCTGTGTTTACTTTTGCACTTCGTTTACACAGCATTATTTACAGATTATCAACATGAATTCCCTTGATCTTGCTATTCGTGCTATCAACTGTTGTCTTCGTTGTCACTTCTATTCATAGCCCCATCAGACAATGCCCAACTTTCTGCAAATGTCCCTGCACTTCAGCTGGAACATTCTATCTTCTTCAGCTGTCCCAAATCTTCTATCAAACTCTTCTAGAATACCACCAATGGCCTTTCTGCTGTTGTCTTTCAATCCTCCCACCTTCTCCAAGTTGCAATGCACTATTCCAACTATAAAGTAATAATCAATATAGTTCAATCCATCTGGAATTCTATTCTGGAAGTAGTACATCAATATGCTTACCAAAAACTGCAAGTCTTTATTTCCATATGCCCCTCTTATCAAATATTTGTAACTCTCTTTGTCTAGTTCCAAATCAATCCCCAGCTTCTCAGTGTCCATGGTTTCAATCTTCCACATCGCTCTCTCAAAGCCAAATCTACTTCTGTCCATATTCAAACTTGATGCCAAAAAGTAATTGAGTAAAAATGTATTGAATTTTTTATTGCCTTTCATGAAAAACTCCTCTCTCTCCTTTAAATCAAAAAACATTCTTTTTAATATCATAATATCATTTAAATTGATAATCTTACTCTCTTCTCGAAATTTGGCCATTGTCAATTTGCTCAATCTAACCCGTTTATTCCATGTGCTTTTAATGTATAATTGTCTTTTTATCTCACTTTTTCTCTTTATTTCCATTCTAATTCTTCTTATTCTTGAATTGACCTTTGTTGCATGCTTGATTGACTGAGATAATTTCATTGATTCAATTGACCCCAATGCCCCCAATTTTTCCATCCGTTTATTCAATGCTAACTCTGCTTTTAATATCAAATGTTGATTCATCATTATTTCTTCATCTGATACATTGAATGTTTTTATTCGCTTTTTCCTCAAAGCTTGTCTCGATTTTATCTCATTTTCATCCAATCCTATTTCTTTTAATTTTCTAGCTCTGGACAATCTTTTGAACATTATTTTCTCTCTCACTTTATCTTTGAAAATTTTCAATTTAATCATTTTCCTTTTCCATTCACTGCTAAATATCACATTTTTATCTTTATTTTCCATCTCGATGTGATTTTTCTTATTGATATATTTGCCCAGGTCATCATTCTTATCTCCAGTGTCCCCATGTTTATTCTCACCATAAATCATTTCTTTTTTTGCTTTATTAATTAATTTTTCCTTTTTATTAATCATTCTTTTCTCTTGATTTTTATTTTCACTAATCATATCATTTACCATATTCTGATTTTTAATGTTAACTTTAAAAGTATTTTCAGTATTTTCAGTATTTTTAGTATTTTTAGTATTTTTAGTATTGCTAGTATTGCTAGTATTTCTAGTATTTCTAGTATTTCTAATATTTCTAGTATTTCTAGTATTTCCAGTACTTTTTTTTTCTGTCATTGACTTGAGATTTTTAGAATTATTCAATTCATTGAAATTTCCATCTGGAATTTCTTCGTTCTTTGCTTTTTTTAAAAACTCGGGCTCAATTTCTTCTTTGCCTTCAATCAATCTTTGATTCTTATATTTGACTTCGTCCACTTTGGTCTCATAGCCATTATATTCACATTGATTTTCATGACTACTGATTTCAATATTTTCTTTTTCTATCAAGGATTTTGTTTCAATATTTTCAATTTTCTCATTTTGAGATTTAAGAATTTCAGTTTTACTATGATCATGATCATGGTTTTGATGTTGATATTGATGTTGATTTTTATGTTGGTTTTGATTTGGAAATTTAACTTTTTCTCTATTTTCCAAATTATTATTAGTAAATTCATAAAGATCGTCGTGATAAAAATCTTCATTATTAGATTCAAGTGAACTGATTATTTTTTTCCTTTTCAATTCATTCATTTGCTCCCTTAAGTTTCGCTTTAATAACTTCTTATCATATTTTTTTTCTTTAAACGTTTTTTTTAATGTCAATGGGAAATCATTAACTTGATAATTAAACTCGTTTTTCGAATAAATTAAATTTTTCTTTAATTTTCTAAATAAATCCTTATGATTTTGAGCTTTTATTGAACCTATCAAATCGGTTTTAAGTAAAAACAATTGGTTATTAATACTGTTTAAATTATTATTATCATTTAAATTATCATTATTATTATCATTTAAATTATTATTATTATTATTATTATCAATTGATTTCTCTTGAAAAAATTTAATAATTGATTCAATTATTTTATAATTTGAATTGAATTTAGATGATTCCGAAATCCTTAAAAGAGATCCATTATCAATATATATTTTGCCATTGATTATAAACTCATTGAAAAACCATTGTGATAATATATCATCAACGGGTAGTAGTTTATTTTTATAATGGTGAATGAATGTTGTCGATAGAGAATAATTTAAATGTTTTGAGAGTTTAATTAATTTAAAAGTCGGATAAATCAAGTCATTATTGACAAAATTTGTTAATATGATTTCTAAAGTTAGTGGAAAAACTGAAAACAAATTATTGTTTAAATTAATTTTATCAGAAGTGGTGAGGTTATTGTTATGAATTGAATTATAATAGTCTTGCTCTAATAATTTGACAGTGTATTTGTATACAATTTCATTACAATTTAAAACCGAATTTAATTGTAAAAATAAATTCAAATTGAAAAGTTTTAAAATGTGGTTTTCATTTTCAATTTTGTTTGAATTGTTATCAATATCTTTATGGTAATTATCATAATTGACACTTTCAAAATTCATTAGCTGTTGAAGTGATTGGATCAAATTTTCTCTAAAAATCAAGATCTTCTGGTGGTCATTAATTTTAGATAATTTAATTTGAATAGTTTTAATTAAAATCTGGTAAATATCATTCAAGATGGATAAATTATTGATTAGGATATGATTTTTCAAGTTTTGTATTAATAGGATGTAATTTTTAATAAAGATGAGAAAATTGGGATCGTCGTGATCTATAAGGATATTGTTGTGAAGATTAGTTGAATTTATAGAAAAAGAGAGAAATTTTTCTTTAAATGCTTTAAAAATCGAGTTTAATTTATATTTTTTGTTTAAATGATCATTATTGTTTAAATATACAAAATTTTGGTTGTGGATTTCCATCCCAATTTGATCTAAATTGGTAATATTGTTTATATTATTTGTCCAATGCTTTTGAAAGCCATTCTTTGGTAAAGAGCTTTGGGTATTTAAATCATTATCATTTAGATTTTCTAATGGACTTGAATCTTTCAAGTCATCAAGTTTGTCTGGTTCATTTGATATTTTTGGATCAGATGGTGGAAACTTTTTAAAAATAGATATGGATCTTTTGAAACTATTTCGACAACATAAATTGTTGTAGGCAATATGATCATAAGCATTATGTCTGTAAAAGGTATTAAAACATCTGTTTTGCAATGCAAATCTAGCAGCTGAATTGGAGAACATTTCTTTCCAGCTACTCTAGTTGGCCAAGTGACACATTCAATATAAGAAGAAAGTAAACCATTAACTTTTGTCGATGTTGTTATTCTTCTTTTTCTGCAGCTTCTGCTTCTTTTGCTTCTTTTGGAGAAAAAGCAAAAATTCCATACAACCGGATATTGGCAGATTCACGTGTGCTCTAATGTTCCGGTGCTCGGTTTTTGAAGAAAAAAAACAAAACAAAACTGGAGAATTGAAACTTGATTGGACCTATGAGAAAACAGGTGAAGATCAGTTGTAGATATAATCAGAAGGATGATAAGATCTGTTCTCAGTCGAAATGCCGGCATTTTAAAGGCAAGGCCGTTATCCATTGGTGTTGTCAGCAGCGTTGGTATAGGATTCAACAGGATCAGCGATTTCAAATTGAACAATTTCAAGAACGTTAATAGTTTCAATAATGATAGAAGTCAAATTTCGTCTATTCGTTATAATTCTACATCGTCACTATCACCAGTCGGATCGACATTGGCAGGTGCATCAGAAGGATTAGAAAATAAAAGCAGCGAAATTTCAACTACATTAACTTCATTTGCCGACAGTTCAAGTGAATTGATTAGCAATGCCAATGGGGAGTTGTGTACATATATTGGGTATTTTGAGAATCTTGGGTTGGCAAAGAGTTGGTGGTGGCCGCCAGATTTTGTTACGCATTTGTTTGAATATGTTCATGTTTATACTGGATTGCCATGGTGGGGGACTATAATGACGGTTGCTATTGGGGTCAGAATTTTATTGTTTCCATTGTATATTAAGAGTGCAGACAATCAAGGGAAAATGAACAATGCCAAACCCGAGTTGGACGCAATTCAAGAACAGATGAAGGAGATTACTAGTAATCCAGATCGAGATGTTGCAAAGGTTCAACGATTAATGCAACGTAGAAGATTGATTATGCAAAAACATGACATTAAGACGCGATATTTGATTGCACCATTGATTCAGGTTCCATTTGCTATTGGTATATTTGCTAGTATTCGAACATTGACGGGCATTCCAATTCCTGGATTTGAGAATCAAGGTATCCTATGGTTTACAGATTTAAATGCAGCCGATCCATATTTGGGATTGCAAATAATTACAGCGGCAGCATATGTATTGTTTATCAGATTGGGAGGAGAAACAGCAGGATCTAATTTGTCGCCAACAATGTTAAAAGTATTGACAGGGTTACCAGTTCTCTCTATTCCATTGACAATGAATTTCTCGAGTGGATTGGTGTTTTATTTTGCTATAAATGCGTTGTTTTCAATCATCCAAAACATGATATTAAGAAACAAGAGTTTTAGAAAATTCTTTAATATTTCTCAAATTAACAGAAATGCTCAAGCAAAGGGAAAACCATTCAGCATCAAAGAATTTGTGGATGCTAAAGTAGCGCAGAACAAAGCACAATTGGAAGACCAGCTCCGAATCGAGGAGATAAAAGAGAAAAGAAAACATCAAAAGGATAGAAACACAATCATGTCAAAGGAGGAATTTGACAAGATGTTTGTTAATAAGAGAAAACAATAAAGTGGCATCGATTGCGGCATGTACATAGAAATACAACAATCAGGTTGACAATGTTATGTAAAAGAGAGAAACCCCAAAAAAGCAGGACAGAGCGATGTGCAAATTAGATGAGCTATCCATGGTGCTGGATGTGGAATGTAAAACGCATGTTTTGCATATTTCAGCGCCACTGTGATTGCACCCATGATGCTGGTTTTTTTGTTTGCAGGGGTTCGCCAAGGAACGATGCCCGAGAGTCGGAGCGTCGGACTTCCAGTGCGCGTCCTGATAAGGCAAGGGAGGGGTATATTGCACGCTGTTGGGCTGGACTCCGAAGCTCGCGGCCTGTGCGGTCCGCGCGCGCTGTCGCTCCCCGCAGGCCGCTCCCAAGCCGACGCACAGTAAGAGCCGAGAAAACGTGCTAATTGGGGATTATTTGGCAAAGATCGAGATTTTGGGTTCTATTTCGTTAGGAGGTGAAGCAAAAAAAGAACTAGCTGGGTTAACTGGGCTCTTTGCGCAAACTGAGTTATGGGGTTTTTTATAATGCCACTGTTTTGCACTTCTCCAACGGTATATAAACAAATAGATGTCGTTTTCCCTGCTTTGCTCTTTTGCTTTGCTCTCTTTTCCCCTTTAGTTTGGATAGCATTGATAATCATCTGTTTCTCCCATTTGATCTTCCCTAGATACACATTCTTGTCTCAATTAACCCCAATTACATATTTCATAGCACCCTACTGCCCACAATGCTAAGAACATCCATCTGCTTGAAGAAATCCATCCCATCTTTGGTCAGATTCTACTCTACCAACAAGCTTCCCTTATCCGTTCCTATCACTTTACCCAATGGCATCAAATATGACCAACCAACTGGATTGTTCATAAATAACGAATTTGTTCCCTCTAGACAAGGCAAGACCTTTGAGGTCATCAGTCCCTCCACCGAAGAGGAAATCACACATGTTTACGAGGCTAGAGAAGACGACGTCAATATCGCCGTTGAAGCTGCTACACACGCCTTTGAAAACACTGACTGGGCTACTCAAGATCCTGCCATCAGAGGAAAGCTCCTATACAACTTGGCCGAATTGGTCGAAGAACATCAAGATGTTCTCGCCTCGATCGAATCTCTCGATAACGGTAAGGCTCTCCAATTGGCCAAAGGCGACGTTGGTTTGGTTGCCGCTTATATCAGATCGTGCGCAGGTTGGGCCGATAAAGTTTACGGAAAATTGATCGAAACTGGAAGCACCCATTTTTCCTACTCGAGAAGAGAACCTCTAGGTGTCTGTGGGCAAATTATCCCATGGAATTTCCCATTGCTAATGTGGTCCTGGAAAATTGCTCCAGCTCTTGCCACTGGTAACACTTGTGTCTTGAAAACAGCCGAATCAACGCCATTGTCTGCTTTATACGCTTCAAAATTGGTCAAGGAAGCTGGTTTCCCCAGGGGTGTTCTCAACATAGTCTCTGGTTTTGGCGGTACTGTTGGTGCAGCAATTGCCTCCCATCCAAAGATTAAAAAAGTTGCCTTTACTGGTTCAACTAGAACCGGTAGAACTATTATGAAAGCTGCTGCCGAATCAAATTTAAAGAAGATCACTTTAGAATTGGGTGGTAAATCCCCAAACATTGTGTTTGCCGATGCTGATATTAACAAGGCTGTTCAAAATATCATTTTGGGTATTTACTACAACTCTGGTGAAGTTTGCTGTGCAGGTTCAAGAATTTACGTTCAAGAATCCATCTACGACAAGGTTCTTGAAGCCTTCAAGACTCAAGCTGAAGCCGTTAAAGTTGGTGATCCATTTGATTTAGAGACCTTCCAAGGTGCTCAAACCTCTCAACAACAATTGGACAAGATCTTGAGTTACATCGACATTGGTAAAGAAGAAGGCGCTAAAGTTGTCACTGGTGGTTCAAGAATAGGCGACAAGGGTTATTTTATCAAACCAACCATTTTTGCCGATGTTAAAGAAGACATGAGAATCGTCAAAGAAGAAATCTTTGGTCCAGTTGTCACCATCACCAAATTCAAGGATGTTGACGAAGTTATCAAATTAGCGAATGACTCTGAATACGGTCTAGCTGCTGGTATTCACACTTCAGATATTAATAAAGCCATTGATGTCTCTCATAAGATCAAGGCCGGTACTGTCTGGGTTAACACTTACAATGATTTCCATTCCCAAGTTCCATTTGGTGGATTTGGTCAATCTGGTATTGGAAGAGAAATGGGTGCCGAAGCTCTTGATAACTATACTCAAATTAAAGCGGTTAGAATTAAAATTTACTAATTCATATTATATTTTTCACTTTATGACCTTTGCTAATATTAAGATTTGATGAGTTTTATTTTTTATTTTTATTTTTGTTTTTGTTTTTGTTTTTGTTTTTATTTTTATTTTTTACTTTTTTATTTTTCTATTTTTACTTCAAATGTTTTTATTTATTTCTTTTAATTAATAGTTTTAGTATGCTGTACTGTGCTTTTTTTTGTATTTTTTTTTGTATTTATTACATATTTAAATGGATTAAATTATAAAAAGTATTACAATTTGTGTAAGTGAATTGACAGGATTTTCAAATTTCAAATTTCATGGACAAATAAATTTTGGCTTAAGTGATCTGATCTGATTTGAAATTCCCAATTGATTATGGTTTATTTAAGTCAGAAATTGACCAATCAGGTGCGTAAGCGTGGCAATTTATTTCAATAAATTCCAAATTTTCAAAACTGTTAATTAAAAAACAAAACAAAACAAAACAAAACAAAACAAAACAAAACAAAACAAAACAAAATAAAGTAAAGTAAAATAAAATAAAGTAAAATAAAATAAAATAAAAACCAAAAATGTTATATATATATATATTTATGTATATATATTTATGTATTGATTGAATGAACCAGTTAATCAGCGTAGAAATAGAGCTTATAATTTAGCTGAGATGTATTCGTATTTGTCGTTAACCATTTGAACAATCTTTTCAGCAACACCGAAGGATAATTCGTAAGCCATAGCACCTGCACCGTAAGCATCGATCAAGAATTTGTTACCTTGTTCTTTGATCAAAACCTTGGATAATTTCAAACCACCTTTTCTAACAGCTCTGATGCTGACATTGACCTTTTGAATGTTGAATTCACCTTGAGCGTTTAATAATTCTCTAAAGTATGGTTTAGCGCTTGCAATCAATTCTTGGGTTTCGGCTTCTCTTTCAAATGGACAGAAGTCGTTGATTTGTTTGGTGCTACCGATTAAGAAACCGCCATCGATTGGTCTTTCGATAACGTAGATCCATGAGCCATCTTTGTGTTGAACAGTGACGGTTTTGTTGTAGTATGGGATGGTGGTTGGTTGTGGGCAGTTTGGTTTTGAGACAACCAAAGTTTGGGATCTGATGAAGAAGGTTTCAGGGTCGTAACCACCATGGTATTGTAAACCTCTGCCGGTGGCGTTAACAACACCCAAGATATCAGAGAAGTTGCCGAAACAAGAGGTGGCTTCAAAGACTTGTTTGATGGATAAGACGTCCAATTTGATGAACTTGACATTGTAAAAGACAGTAAGACGGTTGAATAAGAATTTCAATAAATGAGGAGCATTGGCGACCCATGAGTCGTATTCGCAGCCGAAGTTGACGTTGTTGAATGGGATGATGCTGGAGGATAGGGTCTTGAAGTTTTCCAAGTTAGAAGCATTGTAACCAACGTTGGTGCCGGTAACGTAGCCAATTGATGGTTCCTCAAGATAGTCGATACCCTTGACAAATTTGACAGAGGATTCTGGGAATTCTTGGGCAAATTTCTTAAAGTATTTGACAGTGGTTCTGTTCAACTTCATTTCAAAGACATCTTGTTCAGAGTAAGATGGAATTGGTCTAAAGTGAGCACCAGCCCAAGCAGAAGCATATTCATAGGAGTATTCAGGATCAGTTGGGAAGTATTTGGAGATGAGCAATACTTTGTAGCCTTGTTTGGACAATTCGTAGGCAGCAGTTAAACCAGTGATACCAGCACCGACAACGATGACTTTGTGAGTGTTGCAAGCAGACATTTTAGGGATTGTAAGCAATTGAGAGAGCAGGGGAGAGAAGGGTTCTATGAATATGTTCTACAAGAAGATCTGAAGGATTAGGTACTATGAGGAAAAAAAGAGAAAGAAGAGGGAAAGAGACTGCTCAGAGAATCCAAAGTATTTATATGGATGGCAGAACAAGCAAAGGTTCCTGAAACTGAGTGTCGATTGATGGAAGATTGAAACACATTTAAGGAAAAGTTCCTTTTGATTGGTAAATATCGAGCGTTGAGCTGAACAGAAGTGGAAAGGCCAGAACAAAAATAACACCTTTGAAATGGGCAGAGCGCAGATTTCCAGCACACTTTCGGTGGTTCGAGGCCCAGTACAGGAGCTGTTTCAGGTGTTGGGACATAGGAGGTTCTTCTGCTGCTGCTGCTTCTGCTGCTGCTTCTGCTTCTGCCATGGCTGTCTGTCGAGTTCTGGTCTGATTTTGGCTGATCTGTGATCTGTGTTTGGTAGAACCTCCTGTTTCTTTGGTATCCAGACTAGACATCACATTGGTCTTGGTGTTCAAAGGTACACTAACACTTCAATGCTGCTTCTCTCCAACTTCGTCCTTTATGCAAAGTGTTTCATCAGCTCGCTTTCTTCTGTTTCCCTCTAATAGGTATTGATAGACCTTAAAATTAACGTAAACAGCAGATTGCATTGAAACAGACTTTGAACAGAAAATAGCCGTTATCTTGTCACATTGCTTCTGATTAGCATTTTATTGTCTTTCCTACGCTTTCTATTGTCAACTAAATAATATTATTTATCAACACTACTCCACCACTATCACTAATACACTGCTTATCATTTGGGTTCACCACCAATCGTTGTTGGTTTGCTTAGCCTGTTTATCTCCTTATTATCCTATTCTAGAGTCAAATCAACTGTCTGTTATCTATTCTTACATTTTCATGATCACCCAAACTTAAATTGCCTATTTCATTTTCATCAGCTTGTTTTTCCTTGAAAAATTCAATGGTAAATCTTCTCTTAATCTTAATTCTTTTTACCAATTTTTTTCCAAAATTCGGTAAAAACTGTTAATGAAGTTATTGAAATTACCGAAACCATCCTACGATAATTTCCTGTTTTCTAAACTTCCTAGTGATCGTTGCCTTCAAGCCTTTAAGAACAGTAGCAAAACACAATATATTAATAAAATCTTTCCTAAAATAATCATCTCCAATAATGCGTGTCCGCCGCGTCTCTAACGCAGTTCTCAAACTCACGCACTTTCTCACGCACTTTCGCCAGTTATTTTTCAACTTTGTTTCATTTCAAATTATTCGACTTTTAGCATAAAATCTGTTTCAAAAATATTTACTAAACTAAAACTTTGTTCTTCTCGGTTTTTACCTTCTAAAGCTATCATATTACATAAATAATGTTCATTTCTAACTACATTTCTAATTACATTTTTAATTAATCTGCTAGTAAGACAATTCATCATTTTCCTAATTTCTCATCAAACACTGGTTTATCATTGCTTTCTTTCGAAGATAATTCGAATTGCTTACCTTATTCTTTCTCTTATTATAATATATTTGATTATACTTGCAATAAAAATCACTATACTGCTTTTCCATTTCAAAATCACTCGCTTCCTTAAAAAATACATTATCATTCTGATTCTGATTCTGATTTTGATTTATATTTTTCGCAACACCTTCAAGATCTAATGTATGAATAATCTTCTTTTTCACCTTCTCACCCATTTCTCTATACTCACAATACTCAAGAAACTTATTAAGCGTAACTGCTGGTTTATTTTCATATCCAGGATTCAAACATGACATTTGCTTTTTGTAATTAATAACCTCCAGTTTAAAACTGAAATCATTATCAGTATCAGTATCATTGTTCAATTTTATCCCTATAACATTATATCTTCTTTTAGAGCCTGTTCTTCTATAAAATTCACAATTGTTTTTTTTTAATTCTAAATGTATCTTGTAAATTCTCTTCATATATTCATTTTCACGCTCATTTCCATACACATTTTCACATTGTGTAAAATTGCTTTCTTCGTATTCTTTGCACTCATTTAAAATGTCCTCAATAGGCTTTTCATATTTAAAATTAAAATCAAAACCAAAATCATAATTCAATCTATCGTCAGAATTGCTGTAACTATTCTCATAATTGCTATAAATATCTCTATAATCAATTTTCTCTTTATCATTATCATTATCATTATCATCATCATTCTTTATATTATTGTCATTAATATTTTCATAAACATCATCATAAAGTAAATTATTAATATGATATTCCATATTCATTTGAAAATAAGAAACTGCATTAGACTCTGCGCAATTAAATGACATGCACGATTTATCGATTTCGTATTCAAAACCACTCCCTAAATTAGCAATGTAATCCTTATCAAATGAATATGTACACTCAAAAGGATTAATATAAAAATCATTTTCATTGTCATCCTCAAAATCTTTTTTGTCATTTAATTCAATTTCTTTCAAATCATTTTTCCTTTCATTAGCCTTTATACTGTTCTGATGATTTCCACTATTATCTCCACGAACTTTAAAAACATTGTTCATGCTTTCATTATCTATCTTTTTTGTATTTTTTATCTTTTTCACTTTTGTCATTTCTTCTATTTCCACTTTATCACTTTCCATCAAACTACCATCGCTGTAACTTAACAACTGATCAATATCATAGAGATTAATGTCCAGCATATTATCCTCCTATTATTTCGTTGCTTTCAAATAGTTACTCTTTCTATTAATATGTATTTAAATTTTATTTGAGCACAATCAGGGCTTTTATATCGATTGCATCTGCACTATTATATGACTAACTTTTGCTGTCAAATAAAAAGAAGCAATCAAAAACGAATAGTTAAAGCAATATGCATGATCATCCCACAAGATGCGGGTTTGACACATCCAACTCTCGAACAATAGAAATACATGCATGACCAAACTTTGTCTTTTTTTAACTTTGTCTTTTTTTATCTTTTTTGTTCAAGATTTGCTACAATTTTTATCACACGCGATTTTTGATTGGTTCAATATTTGCATTGTGTATAATAAAATTATATATCTCAACTGTTTCCTTTTTTTTTCTTATATTTTTTTTGTTTTATTTCTATTTCTTTTATCGTATCTTGCGTTATTTCTGTACTTTGTTTCGATTTGAAAGCAAAAGAATCATATATTATGACAAAGATTTTAATATAAAAGAGCAGCAGATTTCTCTTTTGCTCTTCATTCTTAATATTTATTTTTTATTAATAATCATATTAATTATATCAATTACTTCTCTACAAACTCCGCTAATTTGTCTTATATTTTTGCAATCACATCTGATAATAATAATTTATTAATCTGAACAATCTATCAATACCCTAATCACCACTACTATTACTATTACTATTTATTTTTAATTATATCAAAATGATTAGCACCAAAAGTTCCACCTTCATCAAAGCCGAACCAACTTTAAGAAAACAAGTGTTAAAACTTTCTAAAATCCAAAAGCCTATTGCTAAAAAAGTTGTTAAACAATCCAACACAAAAGAGCTCTTTAAACTTGAACAAATTGATTTAATTCTTAAACAATCAATTGCCAAGAAGCCAATTATTAATAAACCAATTATTAACAAACCAATTGGTAAGAAACCAATTGCTCAAAAAAAGGTGATTGCTAAAACTGTTGCTCCAAAAAGATTGATTCTTACATTTCAAGGTAAATATATTAATACTTTCAACCTTGATTAATTTTCACGTTGTTTATGCTGTTCTATATATATTATATTTTTGTTAATTGTTTTATATTATATCTTGCTTAATTCCCTATTCTATATTTTATGTTATTCTCTAAAGTGCGCTCTCTAATATAATAACTGATATTTCTCTTATATGTCACAAAATCCCTAAGAAACACTTCTGCAAACACACCACAAAACCTCAAACAATATGGGTTTCACAAAACTATCTCCTTCAAAGGTTTTTCTATTTTAATAATCGTTACCGATTTCAAATAGATTACAGGTTTTTATTTTATTAAAATCCAAAGTAATTGTCACCAATCAGAAACATAATATTGAATCAACTAAACATAAATAAAACTTGTATAAAACTAAACATGACTATTTATAATAATCATAATCTCAAATCAAAAACAAAATATATTACTCAAATCATTGAAAATAAAAATAAATATTTAAATGGATATACAATAAAAAAAAAATAATAAAAGGATATCAAAAATTAAAGGCCAAATCTCATAAATTATTCAAATAAATCAAACACTCCATACTTTATTATCGGCAACCATAACCAAATTTCTATCTTCCATTTTCTTTAATGCTTGTTTATACTCGCCAAGCGAATAGTGTTCTTCGGTTGATAACTCTAAATTAATCGAGCTTAGTAAATCATTTGATGGGCAACTTTCGTTTTCAAACAAGTCAGTATTTCTCAATCTTGCTATTATTCTTATTATTTTGTCTAATCTGGAAGGAGAAATTTCCTCTTGAAAAACTTCCTCTGGGCTCTGTGTACGATCTTGGAATTGGGGCTGTCGTTGAGGAGTTTGTTGCTGAACGTTTGATTCGCCTAATGGTTGTTTTCTTGGAGTATTTAATGCACTTGAAACATTACGTTGACGAGTAGTTCTTTGGCTACGAGTTGAGATATTATTCTGACTGCTATTTCCATTTTGATTAAGATTAATATCTGTAATATTATTTTGCAACTCTTCTACTCCTTCGTCCTCATCTTCACTTTCACTATCTAAATCTTCAGGATCTTTAGAATCTTTGGCAACATTATTAGTTTTTCTTTTTTTAGTTTTTCTTGTTCTTTTTACAACTTCTTTAAATAAAGCGTACCTTAGAATTTCTTCTGCTACTTTTGCATCTTTAACTTCAATTCTTTGTGATAATCTGACTTTAGCATGAGCAGTTGCAAGACGAATTAAAGTTTCAAGGGTTCTAACAGTTATTGGAGAAGTCTTTCTTGCGTTGTTAGTTAGGACGTCATTTCTTAAGGAAGCAAATGTATTTATAATGTAATTTTTAGATCTGGAAGTTAATTTTGGTTTTATTCTATCCTTGGCATATTGAATATATTTTTTAATAAATTGTAATTTTAAAATTTCGACCTGAAGAGGTTTTCTGGTTGAATTGTAATTATGAGTCTTTCTGTAATTTTCTTCAGCACCGCCATGTAATAAAGGATCGAATTTTTCAAAGATTTTATCGTAGGAGGAAGTATCGTTATCTAATAGGTCATCGTTATTGTTGGTATAATTATCATTACCGACAGATAGAGTCAAGTTTTCCATCTCTCTTATGGGTTCACCTTCTGCATAACCATTTTTCAAGTAGCGATGAATCTTTAAGACGTGGTTAGCAATTTTACGATCTCTTTGATCGTCGATATCATCAGTGACAACAAATAGCAAATCAAAACGAGACAATAGGGAATCGGGTAAGGCAATGTTTTTATGGGGGTCTTTGTGAACATCATATTGACCATAAACTGGATTAGCAGCAGCGATGACCGAACATCTGGCATTTAAGGAGGTATGGATACCAGCTTTGGCAATTGTGACAGTTTGCTGTTCCATAATTTCGTGGATAGCAACACGATCGATATCATTCATTTTATCAAACTCATCGATACAGACAATTCCACGATCAGCTAGAACCATTGCACCTGCCTCTAGCTTACGTTCACCTGTTTCCTTGTCTGTTGCAACAGCCGCAGTCAAACCTACACCAGAGGAACCTCTACCAGTTGTTGCAATGGCTAATGGAGCAGTGTTGAGGACGAATCTTAGGATTTGGGATTTGGCAGTTGATGGGTCACCAACCATTAGAATATTGATGTCACCTCTTAAATGGGAGCCGTTGTCGAGATTTTTCTCTACACCACCCATTAGTAGTAACAAGACAGCTTTTTTGATATATTCATGGCCGTAGATTGAAGGAGCTAGAGATTGAGAGATCAAATTGAAAATGTTTTTTCTTTTAGAGATTTTATTGATGTTTTTAACGTCATGATCAGTGATTTTTTGGATTGCTGAGACACCGGAAGATCTTGTGTGGACTGGATAGATTGAGTTGGCTATTATGATGGTTTTAAAAGAGGAGATGTTATTTTGGCCAGCACCCAAGGTTCTATAAATCCCAACGATTTGGACTCTGTCGCCAGGTTTGACTATATCTACTAGATCATCATCGAGGATGATTTCGATCGATCTTGGTAATTGACCAGCAGGAGCCTTTTCTGGCATTTCCTGGATGGTTATAGTTTGGTGGTCGTTGTAGGTGGACAAGCCATATTCGGTGAGTAGTTTATGGCCATCAGGGTCTTCAGTGGGATAAATTGCAGGAACCGAGATGGGATCAAAGGAGTTTGTTTGATCTCTGTACTCTCTTGCAAAGAACTTTCCATTGAAATCACAGTAGTGAACTGATCTTAAGATTTTGGGACGAACTAGGGATATTTTTGTGACAATGCCTTCAATTGATATCAATTTTGAAAGTAGGTTTGATTTAATAGTTCTCGGGGACACTTGGTGAGAGCCAAAAGAACCTCTAAAACCGATGTGGAAATGTGTGTTTTCATCGATATCGTAAAGGGTGATGTTGTGTATAGCAGCGATGGTTTCCTTCAAGGCTCTCTCAGCAGCAGGTAGATATTCAGAAGGAGTGTTGAGAAGACCAGACCAAAATTGAGGAATTGAGTCTCTGATATCGTCGAGAGAGATTATTAGTCTTGTTTCGTGTCTTCTGAGCATAGACTGAATCAAGTCAGTGTAGTCTGACTGGATCAAGTTTGTGGAAGAGTAATCAGGTTTCTGAGTAAGAAAGTCCTGAAATATTCTCACTCTATCACCAAGAACAGCATCAGGAGGAAGTTGGGACTGGGAGAAATTGTCCATATTCGGAAGAGGGGGGTGAAAGCAGGCAGCAGAGAGACAAAAAATGGAAGAGAGACAAGATTTTTGCAGCAAAGACAGTAAAAAATAAGCAAGAGAGACAGATTAAAAGAAATAGCCAGTTGGAGGTGAAAGTGGAAGATGATTTTTTTCGTTGAGATGAAAACAACAACAAGCGGAAGAGGCAGTTCCCTAAAACGGCAGCTACCGGATTTAGTAGCGCAACAAACGCGAAAATAGCAGAATAGCAGACGCGAAACGGGGGAAAAAAAGCAAACACAACTGAAAGTTGTGCAGAACAGAGTTTTTGAAAAATCAGAAACCAGGTGAGGTGGCGCGGCCCGCTAAGACAGGTTCAGCGCAGAAGCAATTCAGGAGAGATAGGGTGCTAGAAATTGTGGCCGACACAGAAAATACGGCCACAGCGAGAGAGATAAACAAGCGCGGCAAGCGACAGCCAATCACAGCGGCTAAATAGTGGCGTTTCCAGACCCATGCTATCCGGACGCAGACGCCAGTGCGTTGCTGAGCAACAGGCAGAAGAGTCGCCCAAGCCTGGCTCAAGAACGACTCGATTACTTGCCTAATCGGACCAGGAAGAGCAGCGCTGAATCTCCAATTAGGCCCAAGAGACCTCAGCGACCTCCAATGGACCGTGAATGGATCTCCAATAGATCTCCAATAGATCTCCAATAAGTCTCGCAGGCTCAGGCTGGCCAATGAGCGGCATGCGCTTGTTCCAGCCGCCGCCTGGGTCGAAAAGAGCACGCCTGTGTTGAAAAGAGCACACCTGCGCATACAATAGGCACCGCATCCTAACGCAGGAGCGCGCAGGGGAGCATGCGTTCGTTATGCTGAGCTGCGATTGGCTCACGCGCCGGTCGCGTGAGGACGAATTTCACACAGAATTCATATAAAGAAATTGGGATTTTTTCAAAATTTTTTGTCTGGTTTTTAGTTTTATTTTTTTTCACTTATTTTTTAGAAAACTTCTTTTTTTTCTTTGCAACTTTTTTCAAATCCAAAACTTTTTCAACTTTTCAACTTTTCAAACTTTTCTGGTTTTCTCGCTTTTCTTTCATCGTTTTGCTGCTTTTTGTTGATATTTTACTCATTTTCTACGCTTCTTTAGCTCTATTTTCTATTTCATTTCATTTGAAAACTGAGTTTTTTGCTAAATTGTCACAGTTTAATTTCAATTTCAATTTCAGCTTCAACTTCTTTCTCATATTCCTTTTCATTATCAGTGCCATTGCCCTTTTCGTTGCCCTTTTTATTGTCATTTCCACACCTGCTTTCATTTTCCTTCTTTTCTACCTCATTTTTTTTTTTACTTTTGAATTCCCACGATTTGTATTCAAGAACTTTATAACTCTTCTTCATCAAACCCACTTCAACAACATAAAGCAAACAAAAGAAGGCAAATATCGAAATAATCGATTCCCAAATTTTATAATAATATTATTATTAGTATCAAAATAAAGACACCGAATTCAAATTTTCACAATTCAACTCATACTTTTATTCCATTAATTTAATTGCTCAACTGATCAACACACTAACTCATTAACGAATTAACTTATCGTCTCATTAAACAATTACTGTTAACTTATCTACTCATCAACTGATTTTAACTCCTTAACTTACTCCAACTTACCATCTCTCTCATTAACTCATCTAATTTCATTAATACTCAACAACCAAGTACCCAAGTACCCAAATATCCAGATACCCAAACTATTTCAACAGAATCTTCCTTTTGAATTCCTTTCAAATTTTTTTAATAAAAAAATACAGAAAAATACAAAAAATAACACAGATTTTCTCAAAAAACTTAATTATCTTAATAATTATTTATTGTTTTCGTCACTAAAATAATATCCAAAAAAACAAAAAAAAAAAGGAAATTACTTCAAAACTGTTAAACAAAAAAAAATCTCCCTTTAATTTTTAATTTTTAATTTTTTTAATTTTTTTAATTTTTTTCATACAAATTGAAAAAATTATTAAATTTTAACTCTTTCCAATCAACAAAATCTAGTATTCTCATTTCCATTTCAATTTCCATTTCAATTTCCATTGTCACTATCATTCACACTATCATTAACACTATCATTATTATTATTATCGTTATACTAATAACAATAACAATAGAATTTTATCTTATTTTGCTCGGCCTAATATCGTTTATTCCTACTGATATTATATAATAAAATAAAATAAAATTCTACTAAGATTTTATTAAGATTTTATTAAGATTTCACCAAGATTTCAACGTTTGGCTTCAATCAAGTATATTATGATACATGCCATTACTAAAATATAACCAAATACTATAATTTACTACAATTGCAACTCTCTGTTTCCACTCTGACCCAAAATGAACAACCACCTCCAATCTATTCCTGATTACAACAATCATCCATCTCAAGCTATTCCTTCCAACAGCAATGCCTCTGTAAACTCAACTCCAAACAACTTGTCTAATCATTTAAACATCAACACCTCCACCTCCACCTCCACCACCTCCACCAACACCACAAATAATAACAATAATAATAATAATAATAACGCCAACAACGCTAACAACAACTCCCACTTGAACGAAATCTTCAACTACCCTTCCACTTCCTCCTTTGCTGATGCTATCAACGAGCTCAAAAAACTACTCACCATAAAGTTCTCCAACACTACCAACACCCACAACTTGACAGCTTCTTCCACTCGACATGATCAGATCCTATTATCCAGAATGTTTCGTCTAATTGAGGGCCTCCTTCTAAAATACAACACTGATGTCCAACACCCCAACAGCTCCAACAGCCTCGTTACCAACCACAACCAGGCCCACATCTACTCTCAACCAACTCCTCCCTCTTCTCGTTTCCCCCAACCAAGCACCTCTTCTTCTCCCCCTTTATCTTCTTTACCTTCAAACCACCAATCCTCCTCGGTTTTGATCTCTCATTCCCATATAAACCAACAACAACCTCAACCACAGGCCCAGGCTCAAGCCCAACAGCCCCAAACACAATATCAGTCGCTGCAACCTCAACCACAACCTCATTCCCAGCCTCTGCAATCCCAATCTCAATCTTCCCAATCTTCTCAATCACAGTCTCAACCTTCCCAATCCCTCATTTTCAACCAATTGCCCAGCGATATAACCTCAAACAACAACCTATCCATCTACTCAAATAACAACCCTGATGCAAACAACTTGGCCAGAACTTCCAACAGATCCTCAAATCTTAAAAAGAGAAAACTATTCAGTGGCTACAAATGTCTAGCCTGTGCTTCAAACTTCGATGATAAAGCTGAGTTGAACGACCATTATGAAGAAACTCATAAAACATCCGATGGTAAAAATTTCAAATGCCATTTTTGCCAAAAAATTTATAAAGATAAATATTATTTAGGTCAACATATCAGAGATAATCATTCAAAAATCATGAAAGTCGAATTCAAATGCTCTGCTTGTCACTGTGTTTTTGAGAGCAAATATTTGTCAAATCAACATTACAAAGACACCCATTTTGTCAACAATAAAGGTTACAAATGCTCCTATTGCAATAAAATCTATAAAGATAAATACTATCTAAGTTTACATTATAGAGATCTTCACACTGTAAATGACCAACCAAATAATAATAACGATAATAATAATAATATTAATAATAATAGCAATAATAACAATAATAACAATAATAACAACAATATTAACAACAATAACAACAATAATAACAATAACAATAACAATATGAATAATAACAATAACGAAAATAATGATAATATTAATAACATCAATAATATTAACAGTATCAATAATAATACTTCTGATAATAACAACAATATAAGTCAACATTCGGTTGTCAATAATACTAACTCTACTGCCACTAATATCAATAACAATTTTAATAATAATAATCTCAACACTACCCTTAGTAACAATCTCAACAACAGTCTTAACAGTCTTAATAACAGCCTTAATATTACACATAACCACAACCACAACCACAATCGTCTCAGTCATAGCCAGGACTCTACTATTGACATAAATTCTAATATGAACTCAAATTTGACACATAATATCAATGCAAACTTGCTGATGAACCCAGCTTTGCAATACAAATGCGAAGGTTGTTATAGATATTTTCAATGGGAAAATCAATTAAATGAACATTACACTACTTGTGCTGGTTTAAACAATCATATGGAAAATCTTAATAGAAGTCATAACCACAGCTATAACTCAAATGCCAATTCAAATCATAACAATCACAATATTAATCATTTAAATTCTCATCCACATAATAATCAAAATACTAACCCAAATGTCTCTCAACAACAACAACAACAGCAAATCCACATAACAAACAATATTCAAAACCAGGGCATCCCCATTAACAGCCTTAGTGCATCAAATCAATTGAGTGGATTGCAACAATCAGGAAATTTAAATAGTATTCAAAACAATCAATTAAATATGAATAATTCAATGATATGATGTCACAAGATTTGATATATTACAATATTATAGTATTTTAACTGGAATTTCGTTTCATTTCTATTTATCAACAATTATAACTAATTATTTTATATTTTATATTTAATTTTTATTCGTTTTTATTCGTTTTTATTCGTTTTTATTTGTTTTTATTCGTTTTTATTTCTTATTTTTATTCTTTATACTTTCAATATTTTTTTTCTTTGTTTTACTTACTTATTATTTATTATTTACATCAAAAGAGCAGAAAAATTCAAAAAAAATTACAAAAAAACCAAAACTATATACATATTTACTTTTAACTTTTTTACGTGATTAATTGATTTAACAATTTGTTTAAAATTTAATAATTTAATAATTTCTTTATTTTTTTATTTTTTTATTTTTTTCTCAATCTCTCTCAATTCTTAATTTTTTTTCTTCATTTTTGTTCATCTGCATTTAGCAAAAAGTCATCATTTCAAGTTTTACTGTGGTAGAGTCCAATTGCATATAAAATCAGAGAAGTTTTTGTTCAGTTAGCAACTGACCAAAACTCATTTGCCATTAACTTGTGATGTTTATGTTTATACTTATGTTTATTTTAGTATGATATTTATAATTTATAGTCAGTATATATTTAATTCTTTATTTATTCCTTATTCATCACTTATTCATTACTCATTACTCTATTTATTGTTTGCTATTCTCATCGCCTTTTTGTTCGAGCGAAGTTATTCGTAAATTTCTTCCGACTTCGCTGCTTCCGAAAATGCACCAACTGCCAAACCACGTGATTGATCGATTTACGATGGCTTATATTGTCATGCAAAAACATGCAAAGACATACGGGGGCATACGAGGGCACCGTACAAACCCCCTAAACAGGGTCTGTTTGATTGGCTTTTTTGGGTCCTTTCTCAAAAAAATTTTCACAATTGGAGATTTTTTTCATGTCCATTTTTTCGACCTGAGACGAGTTTGATTGAATCATCTTAGAGTTTCATTCCATACCTGCCCATATTTGTCTGTTTTCTAATAGTGAAATCATAGCCTAAGTTAGCTCAAGATGAAGTTTGTTGTTATTTCAGGTGGCGTCATTAGTGGCATTGGAAAAGGTGTTATTGCATCCTCTACTGGGTTGTTATTGAAAACTTTGGGGCTAAATGTCACAGCTATTAAAATCGATCCATATATGAATATCGATGCTGGGACCATGTCTCCTTTGGAACATGGCGAGGTTTTTGTCATGAACGATGGTGGTGAATCTGATTTGGATCTAGGTAACTACGAAAGGTACTTGAATGTCAACCTAACTAAGGACCATAATATCACTACCGGCAAAGTTTATTCTTCAGTTATCTCAAAAGAAAGAAAAGGTGACTATTTAGGTAAAACTGTTCAAGTGGTCCCTCATTTAACTAATGAAATTCAGGAGAGGTTGTTAAGTGTTTCGCAAATACCAGTTGATAGTTCAGGCCAAACTCCTGATATTTGTATTGTTGAATTGGGTGGTACTATTGGGGACATTGAATCTGCTCCATTTGTTGAAGCATTGAGACAGTTTCAATTTAGAGTTGGCCATGAAAATTTTGTCTTGATACATGTCTCTCTAATCCCTGTGATTAACGATGAGCAAAAAACGAAACCAACTCAAGCTGCTATAAGAGATTTAAGATCTTTGGGTTTAACTCCCGATATGATTGCTTGCAGATGTTCCAAACCTTTGCAAAAGCCAACCATTGAAAAAATTTCAATGTTTTGTCATGTTGGTCCAAACCAAGTCTTAGCTGTTCACGATGTCAACTCCACCTATCATGTCCCACTTTTATTAAAAGAACAAAAACTATTGGATTTTTTAAACAAAAGATTGAACCTCAATGCTGATATTAAAATTTCAACAGAATCCTTGAAAAAAGGCCAATCTTTATTGAAAAATTGGGAACTTTTGTGTCGCAACGTTGATAACTCCTTTGAAGTCGTTAAAATTGCAATTGTTGGTAAATATACCCACTTGAAAGATTCATACTTATCGGTCATCAAGTCTTTAGAACATGCTTCAATCAAGTTGAAAAAAAAATTGGTCATTATTTGGGTTGAAGCTACTGATTTAGAACATCAAATTTCTATTGATAATAAAGCCAGCTACCATAAAGCATGGCATTCTGTTTGTACTGCTGATGGCATATTAGTTCCAGGAGGATTTGGTAACAGAGGTATTGAAGGTATGATTCAAGCTGCCAAATGGGCAAGAGAAAATGACATTCCTTATTTAGGTATTTGTCTTGGTTTGCAAATTGCTACAATTGAATTTGCAAGAAATGTTCTCGGTATTCAAGATGCCAACTCCGAAGAGTTTTTTCCAAATATTACTGATGATAAAAAAATAATCCTTTATATGCCTGAGATTAATAAAGAAAAATTGGGTGGTACAATGAGATTAGGTCTCAGAATCACCAAATTCCAAAAGGATACTGATTGGTCAGTAATCAAGAAACTATATGGTTCAAATGAACAAATCTCAGAAAGACATCGTCATAGATATGAAGTTAACCCTAAATTTGTTGAACAAATTGAATCCAAGGGTTTAGTTTATGTTGGTAAAGATGAGAAAAACGAAAGAATGGAAATCTTTGAATTGAAGGATCATCCTTACTATATTGGTACTCAGTATCATCCAGAATATGTTTCAAAAGTTTTAGAACCTTCAAAGCCATTTATTGGCTTAGTTGCTGCAAGCTCAGGTGTTTTAAATGAGGTTTTAAGCAATAAACAATTATTAAAATATAATGGAGGTGAAGCTGATTTCTAAGGAAAAAGCGATAAATTTGAATAATAATAATAATAATAATAATAATAATAATAATAATAATAATAATAATAATAATAATAATAATAATAATAATAATAATAATAATAATAATAATAATAATAATAAGAATAAGAATAAGAATAATCCAATTAAAAATAATGACAATAATAATAATTAGGATTTGGAATAATTGAAATATAATTTAGAACTGAAAGATTTATTTATTAGCATGGTACAACAATCTAAAAAATATCTTAAAAAAACGAAAAACAAAGAATTAAACCACTGATTAATCAGTTTTTCTTCAGCTAAATTTATTTTATTTTATTTTATTTTATTAATTTTCATTTTCATTTTAATTTTCATTTTAATTTTAATTTTTTTCTTTTTTCTTTTTTTTCTATAGTTTTTCCTTTGTTTTTTTTCTATGATTAGAAATTGTTGTACCACTATATTTTAAAGACAGAAATGATTGTAAAAATTCCGGGATCATGTTGGCATAAGGGAATCTCTCCACAATTTTTTTTTTTTCATCAAACAATTAGTTATTCTGAATGGTTTTTCTAGCATCTATTTTGTTTATTTTTATTCATTTATTTGTTTGCTTTTTTGTTTTGCATCTTCAATTTCATCACATAAATATTCTATACTATAGAAATTTTCAGACACTTATATATACAATAAATAGATTTTTTTTTATTCTTTAAAAAATTCTTATAAAAATAACATTATCGTCTATGATTAGATTGACTAGATCTTCTTCTTCTTCTTCTGACCTTTAAAACATTTATAGTTTGTTGAAGTGTCTTTTCATCGATAATAGGTTTTTCTTTACTTTCATCTGATGATTTGTAATCTAAATTTATGCACAAACCACTATTACTTTTTCTTTTTTTTCGAACCTGAAGAATATTTATTTCAGGCATAGTTTGATCATAATTGTTTGAATCTGCTTCATTTAAGACCGAATCATTTGATGGAGTTGGTGAAGATTTAGAATTTGTTTGGTCTTCATCTACGCCAGTTGGATTGGTAGATGGAGTTGATGAACGTTGGTAATTTATTTTTTGGTCTTCATTTACGGGTGGGATATAATTGGGTGAGTGTGATTGATCTAGGTTACCAATGACTTTTTTGAAACCTGGTTCCAAGTTGTTTTTATTATCAACGTTTTTATTATAAATGTTTTCATTATGAATGTTTTTATTATTATATTTTGAATTGAAGTTATTTAAAAAAATGTAATTTAAATTATTAAAGGCCTCAATTGAGCCGATTTCAGTTGAATAATCTTCACCAACTATATAGCCTTTTAAGAATTGGAAATATTTTTTAGTTAGGAAGATTTCGTCGTTGAAAATGTTATTTAATTTTATATCATCTAATTTGAAATGAATGGAGTAATTGATATTATTGTATGATTTGGATAAAAAAATTTGTTTGTGACGAATTGGATCATTAACGTTTGAGTTGTTTATTTTGAAATAGTGAGAAGGGATTGATATAGTTGGGATGTTGAATTCGTCGATTGAAAATTGGATATCATTTTTGACTTGAGTATCAATTTCAGTTTCAATTTTGGATTTGTTATCGTTTTTGGTGGTGATTTTATTATCATTTTTATAGGTGTTGGTGTTGGTGTTTTGAATTGAGGTTAAACCGATAAAGCCCACAATGAAACCAAATCTAAATTCTTGTCTAAAGGCCAATTCGTTCCAATATTGATACAAGTCAATATCGTTAATTCTTTTGTTTTCTAGTACTAAATGCTCTAAGAATCTGGCTTTAGGGTCATCGGGTAAAAGAGGGATATAGTATTTTGCTTTATAATTTTTAAGATTCAAGTTTTTGCAGTTATTTAAAAATTTATTGTGATTGTGATTGTGACTATCATTATCATTATTGTTGATAATATTTGGATTGAAAATTGAGCCAATTTGAAAATCCAATTTGACATTGTTATTTATGTTTGGAATGTTGTTGGTTATATTGAATAGTAAGTCTTTTGGGATGAATTTTTTAATCATGTTTATATCTTCACCTGGGATATCGATGTTTAGATTCAAGGAAGCTGGGGAAAGTGGGAAGATTGGGTTTTTATAGAGGTTATAGATTAGATTAATCCACCATTTGAATAGGTTAGAATGAGACAAGATGTGTTTTTTTTCGTTTTTAAAGGAGTTTGGGAAGAGGTAAGATTTTTCAGATCTGGTGAAGAGGATTAGTTTGTTGATGATTTTGAAGTTTGAGGTTGGTAAGAGGGAGTAGTAAGCTAGGGATTTGAATGCTATTCTGCCATGGTTGGAGGTTGTTGATGAATTGTTTTCGTCGATTAGTAGGTTTAGTTTTTGTTTTATGGATAGGGAATCGTTGTAGATTGAGTTGGAAGAAGATGGAAATTGGAATTTTGGAAGGTAGAAGTGGAGGTAGTTGTTGATGGAATCGTAGTTTAAGAAGTAGATTATGATTGCTTGGATTATTGGGTTTATTTTTATTTTATTTTTGTTGTAGCCATTGCTATCTACTTTTGAGATGTAAATGATTTTTTGAATTTTGTTGTTATTGTTATTGTTGGTTGTGGTTGTGGTTGTGGTTGTGGTTGTGGTTGTGGTGGATAGGGAGGAGATGTAGTTTTTATTTAGAATAATGTAGATGTATATTTCTATAGCAAAAAAGATTCTGTTTGAGTTGTTGTTATCTTTTGTTTTTGTGTTCTCTGAGAGAGTGATTAGATTGTGAGATTTGATGGTTAATTGGTTTTGAGAAGTAGAATCGTTAGTTGTGAAAATGTTTGGGGATTCTTTTGGAAAGGATTTCAAGTGAAGAAGCAGGTAGGAGATATCTTTGGGAAGAGCGAATTGTAGGAGAGATTTAAGAGATAGTGGTTGCATAGTGGCAGAGGGATGTATTGTGTGTGTGTGTGTGGTTTTTAATTCAATTCCTTTTTTTTACTTATAATATTTTACTTATTACATATTTGTTGATGGGGAGATTTCGTTTTGATAAATTTTAGGTTTGGCATGCATGAGAATATGCAGATATACGTATAAGATATGTGACCACGGTTGGGGGTTATTGATTTACAGCACGTGGGATGATTTAGATGGAGAGTATCTGTAGGTCCGTGAGGGAGAATCGAACGGGAGAAAGATGGGGTTATTTATTGTCGGTATATATGAATTTTTGCTTTATTATGGATTTATATAGGGAAGCAAAATGGAAGTTTAAAAGTAGAGATTTTTTGTAGCCGAAATTGAAGAGAATGTTGAAGAGGGTAGATTGGCTGAAACGGCCTAGACTCTCTGAATAGAGTATTATTATATCGTGATCTGTGGTGCTGTTGTTGATTGTGTGAAGGTGGTTGTGATCGTAGCAAATCAAGTGGTTTGAGGAGTTGTTGTTGATGATGACCGAGTTAAAGGAGGAGGTTAGGGATATGTTTGCGTCCAATAAGGCTAGATATGCTGCGTTGATACAAGCCATTAGTTCTAATAAGTATGATGAGGATGAGGATGAGGATGGGGTATTAGGTGGGGAGTTCTTTTGGAATAGAGAATTTTCTGAGGGAGACACGAGAAACTGGAAGTTGATTACTAGCAATTGCTTGGGATACATTGATAGGTTGATTTTTCTGATAAGTAGTTTTCGCAAGTTGTTTTCGATTAGCTGGTTGTTGCTATTGTTGGTAGTTGAGAGAGAGGAATTGACGGAGATGTCAAGGGCTAGTTTATCTGGCAATTCCAATTTCAAGGAGCTTTCAATGGGGCCATTGATGGAGCAGATTAGTTTTAGGTTGTCGCTGATGGTTAAAGAGGAAGAGCCGTCGCAGTGGGATATGATGGAGGTGTCGAACTTTAAGCCGTCGAACAAGGAGGAGGACAAGGCAGGAAGGGCATCTGGAGGCAAGTTGTGGATGTCCGGTATGGACAAGTCTTCCAAATCTAGGGTGGGCATGGTGGAGATGGTGGTTGTGGTGGATGTGGTGGATGTGGTGCTCTGTGATCTACACCCAGTTTTAAAATTTTCCAGCTGGAAGCCCTAACAGAAGCCCTACACAACCACTCCAGTGGTACTCAGGGCTCTTCTGTGCGCACGCCTCAGAGCCGCATGCTGATGCGGGGATGCCGTGCGTGCCACGGCCCTGGAAACAAAGACAAGAGGCACAAGCAGCAGAAACAGCAGAAACAGCAGCAGCAGCGGCTGGTGGTGGACGGTTCTAGACGGATGCTGGGGCTGGTGCTGTGTGTGGCTCTGGCCTGGCTGGTGCTGGCTATTTCAGCTGCCTGCTCCGGAGAAAGAGCAAGACGAGCTCCCAAACGCTGCTTGAAGCCTGGAGCTTTTAAAACCCTTCAGCTTCTTTCGCTAATACAAAAGCGATTGCGTCGTTATCCCAAAAGGCTTCAGAAGCACAGGTATTTTTGGAAGCACAACCATCTTTTCCACCATCTCTGCAGCTGGTTACAACCATCTTTATATCGTGCCCTCACTCTTTCTGTTGTAATCGCCATCACTATACTCTTTGTAACTGATTGAATCACTTTTCCTCGCTAGCGTTCTAATCTTCTCTTTCTCTTTCTCTTTCTTTAATACCTTAAATTTTATTCAGACTTTATTCAGATTTTCTAAATATTATGTTTTCAATTATTTTATTCATTTGATATAATATCCTATAATATAATATAATATAATATAATATAATATAATATACTATATATATATATATATATATTCACTTATATATATATATCTTCACATTTTTGATACTGATATACTAAAATGGACACTTTCACAAACTGGAATGACGACAATTTGGACAATAACAATAATCTCAATAATCTAAACAATATCAATAACTTGAACAACTTGAACAACTTGAACAACTTGAATAATGCCAACAATATAAATAACATCAACTCTAATAACAATATCAATATTAATAATGATCCTGATTTTAACTTCTTTCATCTACCTGAAGATCATCTTATTGATCCTTTAAATGACAATCTACTACTCAATACTCTGAACAATAATCACAACAATCCCATTCTCAATCCTTTTCTCAATAATAACAATATCAATAGTCCTAATAATCAAAATAATAATAATCCTAACAATAACAATAACAATAACAATAACAACATTAATGATAACATTAATCCCAACAATAACCCTAACAAATTAAACTACCCTCACCACATATCTCAATCAAAATCTCAACCCCAATCTCAACCAATAAACCAGAACATTCAGAACATTCAAAACATAAAATTCCAAAACAAAATCCTATCAATCAACAACAAAAAACTCAACGATTTAGACATTCCATCTCCACCAATCATACAATCCCTAAACAGATCAAACACTTTCAACAACAACCAAAACATTAATCCCAATATCAATCCAAACATCCTCCCAAACAACAATCATATAATGAACAATAACATACCCATCTCTCCTCCTCCTTCCGGCTCTCTATCCATAAACCAAAATAACCAAAATAACCAAAATAACCAAAATAACCAAATCAATCAAATCAGCACAATCACTAAAAAAATAAGCGCCTCAAGACCTTGCGATCACTGTAGAAGAAGAAACGACCCTTGCACCCTCCTCAACGATGGAACTACTTGCTCCCACTGTGAATCAAAGAGCCTAAGGTGCACCTTCTCAGACATGAGCATCATCGTCAACAACAACCTCAACAACAACCTAAAAAGATCCATAATGGACGACAACAGCGATCTATCCAAAAGACAAAAAATAATCTCCTCCATCAACGACTCTCTCAACAACAGTCCCAACAACGCCAAAAACATCAACAACAACATCTTCCCTTATCAGAGAAATCCACCCAATCACATCCAAGCTCCAAACAACAACCAATTCAATAACAAATTCAATTCAAACAGCCCTGTAAATCAAATGAACATGAACATGAACATGAACTCAAACGCGAACATGAACTCAAACATGAACTCAAACATGAACTCAAACATGAACTACCCTCACAACTATCCTCACAACTACCAATCCCAAAACTTTCATCAATCAAACCAAAATACTCCCTCTCAATCATCCTCCAATATCATCCCAAACTTGCAACAAAAACAAATACCCAACCTACAAAACCAGAACCAAAATTCAATTTCAAACTCAAACTCAAATCTAAACTCTCCATTTCCCTTGACTCCAAACGCCCACCAAAACTTTCCAATCAACAACATAAACAACAACAATCTACCTCATCATGTACACCTGCAATCATCAAACAACAACCAACCCTTCAATTCAAACTCAAGAAATCCTCCAACCAATCACATCAACCAAATCAACTCAAATTACCCAAACTACATCAACTCAATGCCCCCCAACGGTCCAATGGCCTTTAATGGTTCAAATTCAATCAACAACAACAACAACAACAATAATAATAGTAATAATAATAACAACTATAATAATAATAACAACTATAATAATAATAACAACTATAATGCCCCAAATAACTCAGCAAACAACTCCAATAACAATTTCCAATCGCTGCAAAAAAAATTATTGCAATTTCCTAGATCCTCTTTTTACATAGGCCCAACATCAATATTCGATATAAACCTTATAAACCACATGAAACTAGACTCAATGGATCAGGTCCAATTGACAAAATTCGTTTCTCTAAGAAAAGTATCAAGATCTCCAAACGTCCAATTTCTCTTAACCGACGACTTTAACTCCTCCTTGTACGAAAAATCCTCAAGAAACGTTGATGAAGTTGAACAGATAGTCCATCCATTTGGCCCAATCTTAATAGAATTGTACTTTAAAATAGTCCACCCTTACTTCCCAATCCTACACAAAAGAGTCTTTTTAGAAAAATATGAAAGAACTTATAGAGAATTCTCTGCTCCCTTATTAGCCGCTGTCTACTCCTTGGCCATACAATGGTGGGACTGTGATCAGAGATTGGTTTCAATACAAAATAAACCAAATGCAAATCTACTAATCTCAATTGCCATCAGAACATTCTCTGAAGTCATTGAAAGACCAAAATTAAGCGTGGTTCAGGCAGGTTTGTTGCTTCTACAATGCAGATCTGATAATAACCAAAGAAACTGGATACTAAGCTCCCAAGTCGTAGCTTTGGCTGAAGAATTGGGCTTGGGCCTTGATTGTGCAAACTGGAAATTGCCAAAGTGGGAAAGAGGTTTGAGAAGAAGATTAGCTTGGGCGGTTTGGCTACAAGATAAATGGCTAGCTTTAATCGAAAGTAGACCTTCTCATATCATTATGGGCAACAATTGGCTTGTCAAAAAGATATCTGATGATGATTTCCCTGAAATATCACAAATCAAAAAAAATATACCATCTGCTCAATTGTCTCCAACAAATATTTCAAACAATCCACACAAAGACGAAAACTTGACAGACACTGACGTCGGAAAATTGCTATTTCAACACATTATATCTCTAAGTGAAATCATCTCAGAAATTCTTGATGCCTTTTATAAATTATCAGACATTGATACTGTACAACCAATAGAACAAGTTTTACTTCGTGCAAAGCCCCTACAATTGAAACTACGCGATTGGTACAGAGCACTACCAAAACCATTACAAATGTCTTCACTACAGCCTGGGAAACTATGCTCCAATGGCTCTTTACAATTGGCGTATTTTGCTGCAGAAATAACTCTTCATAGAAAAATTATAACATCATTGAATTCTGCAACACCTCCCGACTTGTCAAGAATTTGCAGAAATGCTGCAAAAACTCGTTTGCTTGCTGCCATAGATTTCGTTAGTGATTTGCAAAAACAACACATTCGTTCTTTTTGGTATTCTTCGACTTCGGCGAATTTTGTATTGATAGGAACATTTTCTGGCTTGCTCTTTGTTAATAGCAAAACTCCTGATGAAATTGATTTTTATCGAAAACAAGTATTCAGGTACAGAAACATACTAAGAAATTGCTCAGAGAAAGGATTTCCTGCTGCCACGTCTGCCACACAAAAATTGGAAATGCTTTTAACTCATATTCCTGGTTTGAGGTCCGAACAATATCCAACTCCTAATCCTAGCCAAACTTCAAATATAATGCCCCCATATTCAAATCCCACCCCCCCTCCTCCTCCTAATATCAACAATAATATCAATAATCCCAACTTTCCAACGGCTGGAATGGTTTCTTTCAACAGTAATGCCCCATCACCAATGGGATTTCCACCAAATCACCAGGGAACTTCTGTACCTCCATCAGTACATCCTGCATCTTCACCAGCAACTTCTTTATCCGCTGATAATAACAATAATACACCTCATTTGAGGATGGCTGTAACGAATAATTGGAATCACACAGGCACTGTTAATAGTCCTAATGCTGATAATAATATGATTAATACCACTCAGAACAACAACAGAATGAATCCCATGATGAGTCAGTCAATGGGGATGATGCCTGGAGATAATATGATATCCATGCCTCAACCACCACAACAGCAGAATGGAAATAAAACCAATCCTCCATCAAATTCTGATATGGTGACGGCCTTCAATGCTGATGATATCAATATGAGAATGGATATGAATACAAATATTATGAATAATATTAACATGGTTCCTAATAACAATAACAATAGAAACAGCAACAATAATAATTACAACAATAATTACAATAATATGAATAATAACATGAATAATAACATGAATAGTAACATGAACAATAACATGAATAACATGGCCAATAATATGAATAATAACAGGAATAATAATATGAGTAATAATATGAATAATAAAGATTTTATCAATTCCAAGGATACGAATTCAAATAATTTGATGGATAACAATGAGATGGATATGAATAACATGAAAATGAACATGAATATGGGCTCTATAAACAGGAATATTAATTATATGAATCAGAACAATGAAATGAATATAGGAAACATGAAAAACATGAATAACATGAATAACATGAATAGGAATACTATAAATATGAACAATATGAATAATATGAATAATATGAACATGAAAAATATGAATAGCATGAATATGAATAATATGAATGTGAATAATATGAATAACCAGTCAATGAATATTAATACAGGACAGAACATGGGGCCAAACATGGGTCCTAGAAATATGAATAACAATATGATAAATAATTATATGCGTGGCACACCTCAGAACAACAATAACAACAATAACAACAATAACAACAATAACAATAACAGTAGTAGCAATACTAATACTAATAATTACAACAATAATAGTTCTAATAACAATAACAATAATAATAATAATAATAATAATAATAATAATAATAATAATAATAATAATACCCTTAGTAATAAGATGATGATGAACCCGAAAAGCGCGAATTCTGTGAGTAACATAACTCAAAATTCGAATTCTAATATTATGAATGGCAAAAATATTATTTCAAATCAGGTTGCAAGTTCAAATTCAATGACAAATCCAAAATTCGGTTTAAGAGTACAACCGGATAATTTAAAAATTGAAAATGACAGTAATGATAGAAACATGAAGAAAACTGTTTCGGATAGTAATAAGAGAAATTCTACTAACATTAGTAGCAACAACGCGAAGAATATTATGGCAAAAGAAGAAAATAGCGGTAAAGACCTTTTGACGAATAAAATCAATATTAATAATGGTTATAACAATAATAACAATAATAACAATAATAATGGTATTAGTAATAATAATAATCACAAAGACATTAATCAAAGTATTAAAAAAACTGACAATAACAATAACAATAGCAATAATAACAATAATGAAAAGACTGATAGTGCTATCATAAATAATAATAGCAACCTTCAGTTGTTGAAGGAAGATGTGGGTTCAAAGATAAATGGCAACATATCGGAAAAGAACCAAAATTCTCAAAAGCTCACTGAAGGAATCACTAAAGAAAACCAAGATGGAAAAGCAAATCCCTCTGCAACACAAAGTCTCGAAGATAATAAATTACAGCCAGATGACTCACAAAGTGTAATTAATCTATCGAGTATAGATAATGGGACCTCGACACTTGATATTCCAGATTCCGAAATTATCATAAAACTAAACAAAAGTCGCAAAAGAAAACCAGAAAACACCTAGCACCTTATCTCATTGGCTTCGATGTTTACATTTTAATTTTTTTCGGTTCAAGCAATATATTATAAAATTGTTAGTTTTCTTTGATCATGTATTTTTAACTTTTTCTGTGTTTTTTTTTTTGTGATATTAATAATTAATTAGATGTTAATAAATGTTTTACCGACATTTCTAGTACTGATTATCGTAACAAATAATTAGGAATCAAATGATCTCAAGCCGGAATCCGGACTTTGTGACTCTTGGAATTGAGTTTGAATTCTAAATGTGAAGTTTGAGTGGTTTAAATAAAAAATTGGGCGAATTGTTTCAAAACAAGTTTCCAGAAGAAAAATCTCATTTCAAACAGGAAATAGCCGAGATGTTTACAAATTACATGCATACGAAAAGCCGAATATTGAATTTCAATACGTATAACGAAGAATCATAATTACGTCGTTTTGAGTTTTCAAAAACAATCTGCTTCGAATTATCGTCGGCGGTTTCCGTATTTGTTTATAGCACTTCCGGGTAGTATAGGTCGGTTTTATGTCGGAACTCCATCTCTCGCTCTGCTGAAAAGTTCCTTGAAACTGAACTTAAAATGGTAACAGGTTGATAAAATCTATAATCAATTGTCAAGAATCTTCAGATCCAAGATTTCTGAGTTTGGATATGGATTCTGCTGAAGAAATTAAACGGAAAATCAAACACCAAGTTCAAATTGGAAATGCTAACGCAGGCACTATTTTAATTGATAGGATCTTGTCTGAATTGAATGATAATCAATTGAAGGTTGTAACTGCTCCTATCAACTCACAGCTCCAAGTAATTGCTGGTCCAGGCACTGGTAAAACCAAAGTTTTGACATCGAGAATTGCTTTTATTCTATTGTACTATAATGTTGAACCTCGAAATATCATTGTCACCACCTTCACCAAAAAAGCCACTGTTGAAATGACTGAAAGATTGAACTTGTTATTTAAAGACTACAGCTTGATTGATCTCTCTAGCTTGATAATTGGGACCTTTCATAGTATCTGCTTCAAAATACTTAAAAAATATGTTTCTTTGACGACTCTTAAGCAAGATTTCAAAGTTGCTGCAGATAGAGATGTTAACCATATTATCAACCAATTGATGGAAACACCCCCTCGAGAAATCATTGATGCTCAAAAGGAAAAAACAACAATAAGCACCAGACGTGACTATAATGGGGTGAGTGTGAGAAATCTGATTAGTTCAATTGATATTTATGACAAAAAAAAGTTCAATTCTTATATAATGTCTCCTCTGCAAGCTGTTTATGATTTATCAAAAATAAAATCTGCATTCTCAAAATGTAAATCACTTGGTATTTATCCTGAAGATTATATTAAACAGTATGATGATAAAGAGTTTTACTATTTTTATAAATATTACCAAGACAGGATAACAGAATTGAATATTTTGGATTTTGACGATTTACTAATGAAAACCTCTCGATTATTGAGCGAACATTCAGGTTTATTGAAGTACATCAAACATGTGCTTGTTGACGAGTTTCAAGATACAAATTCAATCCAATTGAAATTGGTTTGTTTATTTGCATTGACCTCTGGAAATTTCACAGTTGTTGGTGATCCTGATCAAAGTATCTACGCATTTAGAAATGCTGTTCCCAAAAACTTTGATATTATGCGAAATATTTTTCCATCTTTAAGAGTATGTTTATTGACAGATAATTATAGATCGACCAGCGATGTTTTAAAAATTAGTGAATCAATTATGTTACAACAAAAAAATCGTATATCAAAACACCTAAGTTCTCAAAAAACACTGACTTTTTCGCCGGTTTTTAATACAGTTAAAAATACTAAAATTGAAGCTGAGCACATAGCCAATGAAATAACGTGTCTATTTGCCTTACCAAATGGTATATTTACTTTTAAAGACTTTTCAATTTTGGTTCGGGCTGGTTATCAGTCAAGAGTGATTGAAAATGCTTTACTTTCTCAAAAAATTCCTTATGAAGTTGTCAAGGGCCGAGCATTTTGGGAAAGAAAAGAGGTAAATGCTATCCTTGATTATTTGAGAGTTATTTCTTCTGAATATGATAAATTGGCGATAATGAGAACAGTTAATTATCCAGCTAGAGGTATTGGCAAGGTTGGTATGTCTACTTTGGAGGGAATGATTGAATCATATGAATGTCCATGGTCATTTTTAGAAGATTTTATAAACCCAAAAAAGAAGATTGTCTCCAAAGTTAGAATCAATAAGAAAGGATTGAAGACTTATGTTGAATCAATAAATATTGCCAAATCCTATTTAGAATTTTCCAAGGATGATAATGGAAAATTTTCTGATACTATAAACTCAAATGAATATAACGATCTTGGGAAAACAGATGATTCCAAAATGTTATCACCTCAAAAGATAAATCTATTAAAATTATTTGATTTAATTTATGAGAGCTCTGGACTCAAAGAAAATTTTTCAGATGATAATGAAAAGCACTTGAATATTATGGAAGTCAGATCCCAATTGAAGGGGTTTGAATCTAAAGCAGATGTAATTCCTATTTTTGAAGACGAGAAAACAGAAGATTTTCTGCCTGCAATTCCAGATGAGAATAAAAGTGAAAAGGATATACTAAGCGACTTTTTGGAATCAGTTGACCTATATGCTGCAGCAAGCGAAGAATTGAACAATGAAGGAGAAGTATATTCTAAGGGCAAAGTCTCAATCTCAACTATTCATGCATCCAAGGGATTAGAATGGAGCGTTGTATTTATTCCTTCATGCAATGAGTCTCATTTGCCTGCTAGATTTTCCATATATAGTGGTAGTGATGAAGATCTAAATGAGGAAAGAAGAGTCTTTTATGTTGCTATAACCAGATGTAAAGCATTGTTGTATTTGAGTGCTTATAAGCAGAGTGAGAGATCAAATTGGTCAAATTACTCTAGTGAAGTTGAAGTTTCTAGATTTTTAGATGCAGAAATTCTTAAAATGACCACTAAGAAGCAAATGGCATTTAAAAATATGAAAAATTTGGTGAAATTATACAAGTTATTTGGGTTTTCACTTCCAAATGATGAGCTTGATAAAAATCTAAAACAATTTTTGGAGGACTATAAAACGATTAATTCCAAAAAGAAAACATCATCGGTTTGGAGTAATATTGAAAGATGCAGCGTGTTAAAAAATTACAAAACACCAGTTGTTGAGACAAATTCTTCTTTTAAGCCCCCAAACTTCATAGAAAATGGGCCTCGAGGTGGAATTCCAAATGGTGGTATTGTAACTGCTTCTAGTTTATTAAAATTATCGGCTAGTGAGTTGGCCGAATATGGGATAAACACTAGCATCTCTAAATCTCGTCGTATTTCGAAACCAGGATCAATAAGAGGAAGAGGAAAGAAAAAAGCTGGTTGAAGATGTTTTTGTGTTTTGTGTTTTTGGTTTATTTTTATATTTGATAAGATTTTGAACGATATTCTACGTAAAATTGTACCGATTCAAGAGGACATGTTATTAAATCGGAGAAATACAAAGTTCGGAGTTTAAGAATAAAAAAAAAAGGAAATTTAAAGAGCAAGAGGTTTTGAAAAAATGATTTGAAATAAATAAAGTTGGTTTTTGAAAATTAAGTTGGTTAAGTTGGAGATTGCTACAAATGGTGATTTCTTTTTTTTTAAAAGAAAATTTATATTATATCATCATTATAAAAGAGAGTGCAAAACAAATATAGAAGAGAAAATTTATGAACAAAAGTTTTAAAGAACTAAAGATAAAAAAATGTATAAAAAAAGCGATCATAATGAATTTTTAAAAATAAATTTATAAGTTAATCAAGTTGTTTAAGCACCTTTAAATTGATCTTCAGTAACACCCTTACCCATGGCAGCAGTTGAGGAAACACCACCAGTGACCATTTTAAGCAAACTGTCGATATATTCAGCACCAGACCATTTTTGATGTTTGACGACTTCGACACCATTTTCGATTTCTGGAGCTTGGACGTTTTGACTGTAGGCTTTCATGCCGATTTTAGCATAGTCTCTGGAGAAGTTGTCGACAGCCAAAGCAGTGACATGTAAACCAGCGAGGGTGATGAATTGCCATACGTAACCTAGTTTGGCTAATCTTTGTATGAAAGTAGCTTGGTCTTCTGGTTTCATGGCTCTGTTCCAGTTGAAAGATGGAGACAAGTTGTAGGATAACCATTGGTCAGGGTACAAGGATTTGACACCAGTAGCAAATTCAATAGCTTGGTCAATGTCTGGTAATCTGGATTCCATCCAAATAATATCAGCGTAAGGAGCAAAGGCTCTAGCTCTGTTGACAGCACATTGGGTACCACCTTGGTATCTGTAGTAGCCTTCTCTGACTCTTGGGGATTCCCAGTTGAAGTAGAGATCTTTGCCTAAAAATTTTTTGGCCAAGGCTCTGGCTTGTTTGTTTGAGGTACCAGAGGTTGGAGTGACGACGGAGGTGAATTCTTTGATCAATTCAGCTTTGTTTGGGTAGTCGCCAGCTTCGATGGTGTCGATGACATGTTGGTGGAATAGTTTAAGACCAGCTTTAGAGACCCAGTCAGCTTCAATGGCAGCTAATTCGTCACCGTAAATACCATTGGATTCAGCTTCGGTCATGACTGAGATCAAGTCTGGGAGATCTGGGTTGGTGGAACCAATGACAAAGTAGTGGTCTCTGGAATCGATGGTGGAGGTCAATAAGGTGGCAGCTTCGGAGTCAGTTCTGGCAACACATAACAAGTCAGAGCCCATGATATCAGCAGAGGTTCTGATAGCAACCAATCTGTTGATGTGTTCTTGCACAGGGACTAAAACTTTACCAGCCATATGACCACATTTCTTGGTACCTGGAGCTTGATCTTCAATGTGGATACCAGCAGCACCTCTTTCGATGAACAACTTGGTCAATTTGATGATAGCAGTGATACCACCATGACCGGTGTCACCGTCGGCAACAATTGGTCTTAAGAAGTCGATGTAGTTTAATTTGGCTCTTTCTTCCTTGGACACTTTTAATCTGTCTTCTCTTTGTTTTCTGTCATGGAACAATTGGGCAAACCACAAGTGTTGGACTTTGTTTGGAACAGTGTCCATTGGGTAATCAGCTAAATCTGGGGATGGTTCATTTGAGGTGGAAGCAGTTGAGGAACATTGCCATCCGGAAACATAGATACTGTCCAAGTATTTGGCCATTTGGGCGACGTGAACAGGGTCTAAAGCACCGAAAGTGAAAGAAGCAGTCTTGTTTTTGTCATGTTCAGTTAATAATTTGAATAATTTCTTGGCTTGTTGGGAGGATGGATATTCAATTTTTAAAGTACCTCTCTTTCTAGCGATATCTTCAGCAGTGTAGATACGTTTGGTGCTGCTCCATCTTGGTTGAGCCCACCACTCTTCGATTTCTTTGACTTGTTGTTGGAAGAATTGTTCTTCTTCGTCGACGTTAATTGCAGTGTAAACCATTTTTCAAAAATAGATAAAGAGTAAGGGATATAATTTGTACAAAAAGATATGATGATATAACAGAATATGAAACAAAAAATCAAGCAATATTATGATAAAGATATAATGATATAGTAGTATATTATTATAGGATTATTGATGATGATATAAATAAAAATTGAAAGGAAGAAAAAAAAAGGAAATCTGATGTATATATATAGAGAGAAGCAAAAAGAAACAAAGAGATGTGGAAGTTGCAACAGTAGAGTAAATTTCAAAATCGGGATGAAGATAATGGTGGTGATGAAGTAATAGGATTCGTAGAGCCAAAACGATATGGCCAAACTGGGAGTAATGTGTTGTGAATGCAATTACAGTTTTGCATTGATACTGATTAAAAGCAAAGAGATGGGAGAAATTGAAGCACAATCTCCTGTTTTGCAGATGATTAATGGTGAGTTTGACTTGATATAGCGAGCTGTGATTGGAGGAAGAGGAGTTGGTGGTTTGAAGGAATCGATGGCTGGAATTTGAATTTTTGGAAAAATAAGGATTTTTAGAGTTTGGGACTTTAAGAAAATTCGATAATAAAAAATCTGGGGTAAACAGACTTGTGAAATTCATCCAAAATAAAATAAAAATCAAGAGATTCGTGTCAAAAAAGCCGCGGACAGCTGCCGAGCAATACAGAAGCGCGCGGTGAGCTGCTTCTGCGTGGGCTCGGCGCGGTGCTGATGCGAAAGTGCGAAGAAACCATCAGCAAAGAGAACAAGAACGCGGGCGGATCAGCGGCTGGCCCGCCGCGTTCGACAAGCTCTCGGCTCAAGGGACGGATCAGTCTGTCTTTGGCAGAGAACGGATTGCTGCGGTGTGCGGTCGGCTCTGCAGTGCTGGCGCTGTTTTTACCGGGATGGGCTTACGGCTGGAGCAGCCAGAAGAATCAGAACGAGCACAAAAATCAGAACGGACAGAAAAATCAGCATAAGCAGCACAAACAGTGCAGGTAACAGAGGTGCTGGAGTTGCTGGATCCACTGGATCCGCTGGAGCTCATGTCGATGCGACACATGTGACTCGTGTTTGGAAGGTGTTTCCTACGTTAAGCTCGGCAGGATGATAAAAGTTCAAGATTATCATAAAATAACTGGAACCAAGAAGAGACAACTGCATCAGCTGTATTTCCGTGCCCGGATTGCTCAAATATCCTTAAATCAACACTTCTGTATTCCCTTTCACTGTTGAGATAACGGAACAGTTTCTCAAAGTGGAATATGGCTCACTATTCAAATTGAGGGATGAAGCTCTAGCTCTTACACCCTCAAGAAGAACAAGATTAATGTAATATCAATTTTTACTAATCGCGGTAATTATAAAATATTTACTGGTCAATAAAAAATAAGCGGATTAAATAGTTCTAAAAGTTAGACATGATTCAAAATGATTGAACACCGTATCGAGTCAACAGAGTAAGAGAATATAATTTACCAAAACCAGTTGGACGAGATGTTGAAAATGAACATCTTCCAATTTTCTAGAGATTTGTTAATCTCATAGACATTGTTTGAAAGGATTCATGGAAGATATCAAGGAAGGAATGAGAAGAAAACTGACGTAGCTCAAAGTGATTGGTAGTATCTCCGAGCACGGATTGTTGCTCCATTAAGACTTCCACCCACAAAACCGACCTCTTAGCAGCAAGGCCACGTGCTAATTCCCGACCCTTGGAAAAGGTCGGTCGATGCGTTGTCCCGCACTAACTCTATGGGTTGGTGCACAGAAAATCAAAGTATGGGTGTTGAAGGTATAATATATTTATTACACATTCCTTATGTAAACAACACACCTCCAGCATGTGCTTTGATTCGGCCTTTTTCAATCTCCATCATTTCACGACCTACTATAGATGCCTATATCTACTGAAAGGCTTATCATTCAATAAAACCAAATCAAATCGTGTTAGGTTTTAAATTATCAAAATGTCAAGAGCCTCAAAGATAACGTTCGCATTATCAACTCTATTCACTGTTGCTTCAGTTGTGATGGTATATGATCTACAAGAATCCGAAAGAGAAGTATGTTTTTGATTCACAAGCCACATCGTCAACCTAATTCAATAAATATAAGATTATCGTACTAATATGATTCTGCTTCTAATAGGCAATTGCAATGGGCCCCGTAAAGGATGCTAAAAGAGTAAAGGAAAAAGAGGAAGACAGGCTAAAGGAACAACTAGCCAAAGAAAGAAAAAAGGAACTTAATCGACTCGAACATTTGGAGCAGATAGAATTAAAGAAAAAATATGAATCAATGCAGCCTCTATCTAACGTCACACTAACTGCTGAAGACGAATAACAGTCCCAAATAACTATTTTCAATTCTTCTTAAACCCATACAAGACGATGCCTAATGATTCTTGTAAATATCACAAATCTGCTGCTAATCTCAACCTTGTACATGTTTCCATTTTATCACAATCTTCTTTTGTATATACATCCAGGCTCATGATTAAGACTGGAAAGCAGACAATTCCCAGTGATAAGCTCAAATCACCTGGTTTCTGGTCTAATAATACATACAAACTTGCGAGAAGAATCAAATCTGATTGAAAGAGCTCATTCTTGAGGGGAAATAGTAACTGTTTTCCGTTACCCTTTCTAAATGCTTTTCAGCCGAAATCATGGAGCGAGGAAAGACTCAAAAGAATAGTAAGGTATCGAAAGAGAGGCATTACAAGTGCAGTCGAAATCATAAAAAAGAAGAATAGGAAGAATGGAAAGAAAACGAAAAGGGAAGTTTGATTTTAAAAAACTAAGTGGAGGAATTACAAGTAGTAATATAACGAAGATAATAAAGCATAGTAATAAAGAATTGGAACCGTTAATATTACTACAGATGAAAATTGGAGAAGTTGGATCTGGACTTGGTGCTAGATGCCATAAATTTGGTTGAGCTGATTATGTGATTGAATAGGCTAGAAGATTCAAAAGTTTTGTGGTTTTCTTGAAGTTCAATTAAAATAAATAATAATGATATAAAGAATTGTAATATGAGGAAATTGAGTATAAAATCCTGCTTGAGTCTCACAAATTTTGGGATATCAACTTTGTTGAATAATAACCGGTTCAGCTTACTATTTTAAGAGTGGTTATTGTTCCTCTCAACATAAACCCATCTCCCAACTAGATGGGTCGTATTTGAAAAACCTGGCCGATTCTGCGAAGCTCCAAAATCATTCCTAATAAATTTAATTTTAAGATTAGGGAATTTTTTTTTTAACTTGTTTAATGTTCTCGAGGAGACGTTTGAACGTCTCGGTAATTCCATTTCTTTCATATTCCTTAATTGTGAAAGGTCCCTTTTATCAATGCCTGATATGCTTTCCGGTAAAATCAAATGAGTTAAATTGCTCCATTTGGATAGCCCATTCATCCGTGTTAATGGGTTTAACATCAAATTTAATGTCATTTCAGTGCTTTCTTGAAGTGGAAAAGTGTTTTTTTCTCTCAAAATTGTTTTTAATATTGACCGCATTCTATCATTTCTCGATTCATTCACAATTTGATCTATTGCATTAGACTCTAGATTGATATATGAACAGCTGTTTAATTGATTTATAGGTATTAATACTTTTATCAAATTATTCGATAGGTCCAAGGTCCTTAAATTTTTAAAACAACCCAAATTGTCCATTTTAAATATTCTGTTATTAGATAAGTTTACCTCAGTCAAGTTTTCTAAATGTGCCTCATTTTCCATTATTTTCAAATCACTAATCCAGTTATTTGATAAATTGATAACACTGATATTAACTAATTTTTCAATGTTTTCAACTATGTTGAGTCTATTTCGTGACAAATTTAAGGAAGTCAAGTTGACCAAGCTATCTAAATTTTCAATTTTTGTTATTTGGTTTTGTAACAAATTTAAGGAATTCAAATTGATTGAGTTATCTAAATTCTCGATTTTTGTTATTCGGTTATGAGACAAATTTAGGGAATTCAAATTGATTAAGTTATCTAAATTTTCGATTTTTGTTATTCGGTTATGAGAAAAAGAGATTGCCTTTAAATTCATCAATTTTGTGGGAAAAACTCCAATTTTTATAATATGGTTATTTATTAAAATTAGCGTCTGTAAACTAACAAAACCATCAAAACAGTTATCTATACTTTGAATGGAATTGAAAGATAATTCTAAAACCTTTAAATTTGATAAGTATTTAAGGGTTTGAATATTATCAATTAAATTATGATCAAGAAACAATTCTTCCAAGTTTGATAATGAACTTAAATTTTTGATACAATTGATTGAATTATATTGCAAATAGAGACGCCTTAGGTTTTTGAATTGGGATACATTATTAATTTTTGAAATAGAATTACCATCTAAATTTAATTGAACTAGATTTTCACATCCACTAAGATTGTCAAACGTTGTTATTTTATTTCCAGATAATATTAATTTGACCAAATTATTCAGAAATGAAACGTTTTTTATACAAGTAATTCCACTTAAATTTAAAAACAAGTATCTTAACCCCTCAGGGAATTGAATTTTTTTCAAATTGCCAAAGTTATTATTTCTCAGTTGGAAATATTTTAAATTGTTTAAATTTAGCACACCAGACCCAATTTTTGTAAGAACCATTCCATCCAAATCCAATTTTTTTAAATTAAATAAACCATAATTTACATATTCATCTGAAAAGAGATATTTAGAATCAAATCTGTATATTCTTGATTCTTCATGTACTAACCCATTATAAGCTGAAAATAGAATTGGAAAATTGTTGTTTATAATTCCGAAATCAAAATTTATTGTTATTGCATTTAATGTTTTTTTATGATAAAGTAGAATATCTTTCAATAATGAAATACATTTCCAAAATTCAGCAAGTAGTATAGGCGACCGGCAAGGAGAAGTATAATCATACAATGAAACATTTTGAACTAGAAACGCAATTTTTCTCACTTTACTTAACAGAGTAGTTATATCTTGATGTCTTTTTAATAGTTCTTGGTTAGGTAAATCTATTTTGAAATATATGTTTCGGGAGAATTGATTCAAATATTTTTTAAAAAGTGTAGCATCTTTAAGGTTCAATTTCAAAGTAACCTGTTCTTTAATCTTCCTGCTTACAGTTAAACCATAGTTTTTACAACTGCATGAAATAAATTCAATTTTTTCAAACAGAAGCTGCAAGCATGTTGCTTTGACAATGGAGTTCAATGATGAAATAAACAAAAATCTGTGCTTAAATGAAAGTTTGGTGAAAATATTTTTGAGGATGTGAGGCGGTAATCCCTCTAATTCATTTTGTCTACTTTTCTTAATTGGTTCAAGATACATTTTGGATATAATGCCCTAGAAGTAGATAATATAATCACTATGTTTATTTTAGCAATAGACTGGAGCATTTACGTCTATATTTATATGGAGGACTTCTTGAGCAACAGAAGATAGTGAACACAGACATAAGCTTTTTTGATATATATCCGCATAGACATGCATGAGCCAAGCTAATATAACGGATTGTTTTATCTCCTTCACAGTAACTTTCTTTATTTTACTGTTTTCTGGTTTTTTGAACAAAGAGGTCATTTTCTTGATAACTCTAGGGCTTCAAATGCATACGATACTTATTGATATGAGAATATACTGCAAATTTTATGGATTGTTTAATAACAATAGACCAGTAATATGTGAAACTATTGATTAAAAAGAAAAAACATAATTTTATATCTATATATTGGCTAAATCAGTTTTACTATATAGGTTCCATATAATATTCAGGTGAATAAGTAACTGAAATTGAAATTGTCTGCATTTTAATCCTTCTAAGAATCGTTCTACCTTTGTCATTTAACAGATTACATTCTAATTCCGAAATTCCAATTCTGATTTCAAAAAGGGAGCAACCGAAATGAGTTTCGAGGTGCTGTCGGGGTAAAGGCCAGGTGATTCAGCCCCGCATCTCGGGCTAGAAATTAAGAGATACAGTTACGGGTACCATCAGGTCTGAAAATAATACAACTTCCCTTCAAGAATAAGCTCTTTCAACCCAATTTGATTTTTCTCGCACGTTTCTATGTAGTATTTAACAATAAATCAGGTGACTTGAGTTTGCTATTGAGAATTACTCAGCCTTTTCTTTTGTGCTGAACGGCCCGAGAGCCGGCATTGGACTTTTCTTTTATCAATCAAAGACCACTCTCACATGACTATTTTTTGTATGTTTTCTCCGCGATTTTTCTAGAAATTGCCAGATTTTGTCTGTTTTTTCGTGTACCAACCGATTAGGAAATAGCAGCGCAAGCGGAGATGAAAATTTTTCTCTTTTTCCTAAAAATTTTGTTGAATAAAAAGAAAATCAGAAAAATCAAATTAAAAATTTTTTTTTCCTTTAGAACTTAAGCGCCTATTTTATTTTACTATAACTAAAGTAAGAAAAAAATTTACAATCCTTCTTTAATTAATACTTTCCAACTATATCCAATATTAATTTACTTCCTTATTACTATTATCATTAATTTATAAGTAATATATACTATATTTTAATATTTAATCCAATAACTCATTCCCCTTTTTCAAAATATGACTGAACAAATTCAAAATGAAATGAATAATTTAAATTTAAATCAAAACCAATCTCAATCCCAACAAAACGACCAAAGAAGATCCTACATTCCTCCTCATTTACGTAACAGACAAGGCTCTTACCAAGGCTCTGATTCTGATTCTTCTGGCTCCAATCGTTACAACTCCAACTTCAACAACTATGACAACAACAGCAACAGCAATAGCTTTTTTCGTGGTCGTGGTGCCGGTAGGTCCTCTTTCAACCGTAGTCCAAGAACTGGCTATCGTGGTGGTAGAAACGTCAACTATGGCCCTCGTCCTGATCACTATCACACTGGTCGTTTTATTGATGGTAAACAAGTTCCAGGCCCAAGAAACGACAAAATTGAATTGGAACTATTTGGTGCCGTCGAAGACCCAACTTATCAATCAAGTGGAATAAATTTTGACAACTACGATGAAATTCCAGTTGAAGCAACAGGTTCCAATGTTCCTGATCCAATCACTTCATTTACCAGTCCTCCTCTTGATGATCTCTTGTTAGAAAACGTTAAATTAGCTAGATTCACCAAACCAACTCCTGTTCAAAAATACTCTGTCCCAATCATCGCTGCTGGAAGAGATTTAATGGCTTGTGCTCAAACTGGTTCCGGTAAAACTGGTGGTTTCTTATTTCCAACTTTGTCTGAATCCTTTAAAAATGGTCCAAGACCCGTCGAAACACCTCAAGATAACCAAATGAACTCATTTGTTTCTCAATTTACCAGCTCAAAAGTTTACCCATCAATCTTGATTTTAGCTCCAACAAGAGAATTAGTCTCCCAAATCTTTGACGAAGCAAAAAAATTTTGCTACAGATCGTGGATGAGACCATGTGTCGTCTATGGTGGTTCTGATATCAGTTCTCAAATTAAAAACATCCAAAGAGGCTGTGACATCTTGGCTGCCACTCCAGGTAGATTGAACGATTTATTAGAAAGAGGCAGAGTTTCACTAAAGGCTATTAAATACTTGGTCCTTGATGAAGCCGACAGAATGCTAGATATGGGTTTTGAACCTCAAATTAGAAGCATCGTTGAACAAAACGATATGCCTGGCGTCAACGACAGAACAACTCTAATGTTTTCGGCCACTTTTCCAAAAGATATTCAAGTCTTGGCTAGAGATTTCTTGAAAGATTACATCTTTTTAAGTGTTGGTAGAGTTGGTTCAACCTCAGAAAATATCACTCAAAGAATCATTTATGTCGATGACAACGATAAAAATTCAGTTTTGCTAGATATTTTGTCTGCTTCAGAAAACGGGTTGACTTTGATTTTCGTTGAAACTAAAAAAATGGCTGACACTTTATCTAATTTCCTAATTTTACAACAATTTCCTGCAACTTCTATCCATGGTGATCGTTCTCAAAGTGAAAGAGAAAGAGCTTTGGAAATGTTCAGGACAAATAAAGCCTCTATTTTAGTTGCAACTGCCGTTGCCGCAAGAGGTTTAGACATTCCAAATGTTACTCATGTTATCAACTATGACTTGCCAACTGATATCGATGATTATGTCCATAGAATTGGTAGAACCGGTAGAGCAGGTAACACCGGTGTTGCAACTGCTTTCTTCAACCGTAACAACAGAAACATTGTCAGAGATTTAATTGATATCTTATCAGAAGCCAACCAAGAAGTTCCAGATTTCCTTTTAACTGTCAACAGAGAAGGATTGAAACCAAAGCGTGGTGGTGGCAGAACCACTGGTACAAGAGATTACCGTCGTCAAAACAACTCCAGCAATGGTGGAAATTGGTACTCAAATTCTAGTTCTAATGGTTGGAACTCTTTTGGTAGTCAGCCTTCAGGTCAAAGTCGTTATCAAAAGGGCGGCTCTTCTCAACCCCTTTCTCAGCAAGGTTATGGGAATCCTTCAAGTCAAAATAGCTGGTGGTAATCCACTAAACTTTAATTTCAGTTCTTTGAATGTTGAATTTTTAAGTTTTATTATTTTTTTTTTATTTTACTTGATTTATTTTACTTTTATTTATTCATTTTTGTTTATTTTATTATTTTGTTTTTTGTTTTAAATTAATATATTATTTTTTGTTTTTATTGTGTGTGATTGGTTTTTTTTTCACATTTTAGAAAATTAAAAAAAAAGAATTTTGGTTATTTGCTACAATGAGAGAAGAAAACTTTTGCACAGATTTTGTTATTATTTTACTTGATATTTTATTTTGATTTGATTTTTATCATGTTTAATCAAAGTGAAAAAAGAAAAAGAAAAAGAGAAAGAGAAAAAAAAAAGAAAAAGATTATAGATGGAAATTAAAAAAAAAAGAATTGTTAAGACAAGGAAAGATAAAGGAAGGAAAAAAAAGGAAACAGTGCATTAATTGTTTATTTTTTTGTTTTTTTTTCAATAATTTCATTAGGGAGAAAAAGCAAAAGAAGTTATACCAAAAACCAAATATAATAAGTTACAATTTTAAAGATTTATTATAGATAAATTTTTATTCATTCATACTTATGATTTTTCAATTGGGTTTTATTTTTAGAAAAGAAAAAAGTTTTTGTTTTATTTTTTTTCCGTTGCTTTCATTACATTAATATTTTTTTTCATGTTTGTTGTTTTTTGTTTTTGTTTATCTTTAAATTATGGGTTAATTTAAGTTTTTTTTGCAAAAATATTTGATATTCTTTTTTTTTTCACATTATATTATTTTTTTCTCTTCATTGATTTATTATTAGTATACTTTTTTGCTTCATGTTCCTTTTTTTTTGATTGTTATGGCAAGAGATAGATATAGAAAGAAATACTACTAGTTTAAAAAGAAAAAAAAGAAAAAAAAACATTAAAAGATTTTTCCAAATGGTTAATTCAATTCTCTTGTAAAATAGATTTATATTTGTACATAATATATTCATCAACATATTTTAATACATGATAAAAATTTATTTAAGGCTTCTTTTTATAAAACGCTAACAAAATGTAGATTATGTGAACTGGCTGCTCAAAGCAGCATCTTCAAGAGCACTTTTGGTGACACTGATGGAGCTCAAGTCGCTAAAGGAGCTGGAGGAAGCTGTCGTTGTCGTGGTGTTGTTGTTCGTGTTGTTTGTGTTGCTTGTATTCGTGTTGGATTTGCTGCTTGTGGTGTTGTTTCCAGTGCTGCTGTAATGGTTGTTTTTCATTAACTCGTTGATTGCATCGATGTCGTTGGTTTTCTTGGTGATTTGGTAGTTGAGGTTGGGGTTGTTGTGCAATTTTTTAAAGTTTTTGAAATTGTTGTTGTAGTTGTAATTGTTATAACTGTTGTTGTGACTGAAATTGTAGTTTTGGTCGTTTACAGATTTGCTAATGTGTTTCAATATTTTGGTTTTATTATTGTTTTCTGAATTGAAATTTAGCAAAATATTTGGATTTAATATTTTGGTCTTTTCATTATCTGAGTATTTTCTTATATTTATATTTAAGATCCCATCATTATCGTTATCATTGTCGTTGTCGTTGTCATTATCATCTTGTTTATTTTCTTTTTCAAGGACTAAGCTATTGTTTAAATAATTGTTTTTCTTGAAGTTTCTAAAATTTCGAAGTTTATTTAAGTAGTTAGCATACAGGAAATTATCGACTTTATGGTTTGTATAAATTTCATCATCATTATCATTATCAAGTTCAAGTTGATTATTACCAATATCACGATCTGAGTCATTGTTGCCGTTGTCATCATCATCATCGTCATCATCATCATCATCATCATCATCGTCATCATCATCGTCATCATCAAAAGTTGGTAGTTTTGTTGACATTATTTTTGAAGAATATAGATGCTTATGGTAATTATTATGATTATTATTTTTATTTTGATTATTATAGTTAGAAGCTTTATTGCTATTTTGGTTGTTATTGCTTGCGATATTATTTTTATTTATATTTAATGAAGAGGACAAAGACGAGGAGGATAAGAGTGGTGAGGATAAAGAGGATGATAGTAATTGTTTATTAAAATCTAAAGGATGGGTGTTATTTATATTAGTAAAATGATTTGTATCGTTGTATATATTATTGTTTACGTTTATATTTGTATTTATATTGTCATTAGATATAGTGTTATTGTGAATAATGTTATTCTGATATTGAATATCATTTGACTGCTGAATAGGGTGGCTATTCAAATTCAAGAGATTTGAATGGAAGGAGTTTGTTATCTTTTGATTTGCAGATTCTACTTTGAATAGGTTATTATTGTGATTATTATTATTATTATTATTATTATTATTATTATTATTATTATTATTATTATTATTATTATTATTATTATTATTATTGCTGTTATTATTGTTATTGCTGTTATTATTGTTATTATTGTTATTGTCGGTTTGATTATCATAAATATCATTATTAGTATAGGTATTGTTATTTTTAACTGTTTTGTCAAATTCAAGATTAGAAATAACATTATAGGAATTGATATTGTTATAATTAGCATTATTGTTATAAGTATTACTAGGATTATTATTAGAATTATTATTAGAATTATTACTAAAATTATTATTTCTATAATTATTTCTATAATTATTATATAGATTCTGTTGATAATTATCCAAGTTGTTACTAAAGAAAATCTTCTCATTGGAGAATTGATTTCCAGAGTTATTTTCTTGATTTAGCTCTCTATCTCTATTGCTATCTCTATCTTGATTGATATTAATGTTATTGATATTATTTAAATTGATCTCCAAATTGTTCAACTTATTCGAGTACAAGTAAAGAGCCATTTTTTTAAGAAAAATGATGGGAACATCAAACGACTTGGCCAAATTGTTCCAATTTAGATTGTCCAAGCTATCATTGTAGCTATTGCCAATTGCATTGTCGTTGATTTGGCTGTTCAAGATATCTAGCAACTGTCTCTGCTTTGCCGAAGACCAGTTTTTGATCAAAATTGGAGGATCAACAAACTCGGCTCTTTTGAAGGGAAATCTCAAGTAAATAATGGTTTTCTTCTTATCCATCAGAGCAACAGCAGCAACAAACACCCAAAGCAAGGAAAAAAGCACCAGTATCGAGAATATCAAGCTCACAGCGATATCAAAACTCCTCCCCGAGTACAATTCATTCCTCGTTTCACATCACTTCGAACAATAGCCATCCGGGAGCGGATTTCCGTTTTGGGATGCCTGTGCACGGACTGCCTCCATTCGAGCCAACAAAACCTGAGCTCCATTTCTATTTCTTTATCTTGATTTCTTTATCTACATATCGCTTTCTCATCAGCAAAACCAGCAATTCTGCTCCAATGGAAGAGGCAAATGCCGCTGCAAAGCCAGACATAGACTCGCTCTACAGCAGACTACCCAGCAGACAAGTCTTGCAGAGCTTGAACATCAATTCTCTCATCAGCAACCAGAACAACACCTGCAAATCGTACTTTGCAACTGTGTTTGAAAAAGATGGCAATCTAATTTATTCCTGGTATCTAGACACTAAGCACCACGGCCAGAACAGTGCTAGAGCTCTGCCTGAAAAAACTAAAAAGGAGGTTGTGCCATCCAGCAACGATGGCGACATCAACAGTAAAATCGATAAGAATGGCAAAGCAGATGGCGAAAACCACCCCAAAAATGAAAGCCATGAACAGGCTCATGGTAGTGAGAAAGAAACAGAAAAAACAGAAAAAAAAACAATTAAAGATGGCTTACACAAGTACAAGTATGCATATAATTACAACGATCCAAATGAAAGCCAGGAGATCATCAAACCCGTTAAAGTAATCAAATGCTATAAAATCATCAAATTGTGTTTGAACATACTCAACAAATACTCAAATCTAACAGATGAAGTTTCAGAAGTGCTTCACGAGAACAAACACAATAACCCAAGCAGCAATTTCCAGTTGATCAGGTTGAATTATGATCACAATAAAGAGCTAATGATTATCCCCAACGATGAACTAATTCTTTGTATTGTCATTAATAAACAATAACGATCAAAGTAATAATAACCGGATTACTGGTAACAATAGAATGCGTTTCAATGTATCTTAATGTTGTATCAACGCAACCCACTGCAGTGATTGAACCAGAAATACGGTTTCACACAAATTTTTCATTTTTTTTTGATAACAAAAATTTACTTTTGACATGAAACTGATAATGTCAAGTTTAATAGTTGTAACCTCAATTGTGCCCTATATACAGCTAAATGTCTTCTAATCACACTCCTCCTGAATTGCCTAACTTTTATTACGATGCTGAGCGAAAAAAATATTTTAAAATCCTCAAAAATCATCAACTCTACAACTCCTTAACAACCAACAATAGAGATAACAATTGCAATAACAACAACAACAATAATAATAATACTTTATCAAAATATCTGAAATCCTCTGTCAATGCTGAAAAGAAATCACAAAAAACCAAGATGAAGTACAAAAAGTTCCAACAAAAGAAAAGAAAAAAGACCTCATCACAATCTTCAATTTTAAATCAACCAATCAAACACCTAACTTCTTTTGAGTCTAATTTTATGGATTTCAATAATAATAAATTTAATCTTAATAATATTAATCACAATAAAATTGAATTTTATTATGAAAACTATGTAAATCATCAGCTATCAAATTTATACGATTTCAATAACCTAAATTCTCATTATCATTCAGACTTTTTGCTTAAATTTTCCAATTTAAATTCAATTAAAAATTTATCAAACGAAAAAAACGATAACACCAATAAATCAGCCTTAAAATTTGTATCAAATAATTTGAATGATATAAATAGTAGAAACTCATTATCATATATCATACCGAATGATTTAAATCGATCTTTTTTAATTTTATCAAATAACTTAAAACTATTTCATATAAATTATAATCAATTTAATGATATCAGCAACAACAATAATAATAATAATAATGATGATAACACTAACACTAACATGAAAAAGTTACATTTGAAAAATATTGTATTTGCTAATGAATTTAGTAACAGAAACGACCTTACTTCTTTGAAATACCCAGTGGATTTTACTTCTAATTCCAATCATTTATTATTTAATTTTATTGGAGACTCATCTTTAAACAATTTGCCATTAATATCTTTACATAAATTCCATTCCTCTTCTTCTTCTAGTAATAATATTGATTTGCTTCACTCCTTTTCAATCAAAGGCTCTAAAAATCAATCCTTCTATTGCTCAAATCTAATCAATCAGAATTTTTGTATAGCTGTTAATAATCATTTTTGTGATATCTCTATTGAATCTCTAAATAATCATCATAGCTCCACTTTAAACTTAACCAACAATTATCTAAATAATTCCATAAACTTCAAAACGAACATCTTATCATTTGATGCATACAATGATGGTAATTGTACTCCACTGGGTAGCTTAATTGCACTTGGGGGTCGAAATGGAAATATCTATATACTCGATAAGAGAGTCAATAACAATAAGAGTGATATTGATAAGACTAAAAATATGCAAAGTTTTAATTTCAATTCTGCAGTAACTGAAATTAATTGGCTATCAAATTACAACAAAATTTTAATATCGGGTATTAAAAATAACTTGAAACTATTCGATATTAGATATGTGAATCAAAAAGTAAAATCAAATAATAATCATGTAGTTTCCTATAAAAATTATTCAAACAATTCAAATTTAAATAACAATGGAATCAAATCAAAAAAAACTTTTATTAAATTTTTAAATAATGACAAAAATTCAAATAATCAATTTGGGAATGAAAGTTATTTTATGATTAATGATAATAATAGTAAAAATATCAAGTTTTATGATTTAAATAACCCATTCCCAATTAATGACCTTTCTTTTGATAAAGAAATTAGTGATTTTGCTTGGTCAACCTATAATTTCAATCATTTTTACATCAATTGTGTGCAGAATAATAATTATATTGACATTGAAAACCAAACCCATTTTAATAGCCTATTTGTTACAAATAATTTTGACACTACTTTTGAGCATGTATACCAGTAATAATCTATTTAAAAAAGAGATAACTTTCCAGGTGGTGAATACAGAAAGAAAAAGAAAACATTAAAATGCTATCTGTTGTGCACTAAATTTAAAAAAAATAATTTCCTCCAAACTGTTCTTGGTGTGGGTTTTTTTATATGCTATTTCAAATTCTTAACAATTTAGTCATTTTCAACAAAATATTTCCACTGTTTAATATTTGCAATCAATGCTTTTTCCTTCTTTTTAAACTCATCTGTCATTTCATTCAATTTTGTTAAATGGTTTTGATTAATTTCATCAATTTGTTGTTGATTTTCTATAAACTTAGAAGACTTTTCTTCTTTGTAATCAATTGTTAATTCATTGATAGTAGAGTCATAAGCTTCTTTAAAAACTTTACTAAACAATACTTTATTTTGAATTTCATGTTCTTCGACTATCTTGTTCATCTCAATTTTGCCCTTTTCCCTTTCCTCTATAATCTGATCATCCAATAGTTTATTTTTTTTAACCAAGGAATATTTTTGTTTTTTAGCATCTTTTATTCTTGTTTTTTTTTCTATGATTAACTTTTCCAATTCTTCAACATTTTGATTTAGCTTTGCTATTTTTTCGTCCAACTTTTGATTTTTCGCTATAGTTTTTTTAATTGGATTTTGATCCTGGTTTTTAGTTGAAGTTGTTAAATTCGGCTCTTTGTTGCAATTGGTAAATAATTGATCATAGTAATTTTTTTCTTTCAAGTAATCCAAGTAAAATGCTTGGATTGAAATTGAAAAAACTTTTAGAGTCTCTATTATTGTAGTTACATTATATATTTTTCTTAGATATGATATTATGATTTTGGTATTATTCCTTGAAGTATTCTTTTCAGAATTTTTTTCCTTGAGATGATTTTTTCTAATATATTCAAATGCATTATTAATGGGGATATCAGTATATAAATCGCTATTAGAAAGGTTGTTATTATTGTTTATTATTGTATTTGTTATATTATAACGATTTGCAACAAGTTTGAACAAGTAGCTGATTTTCAATAGACTAAAACCCAGAGAACTCTTTTGATAAAGTAATATAACTAAATGAAAAAAATAAATGAAAATTCGATTCTTTTGCATAAATAACTCAAAGGATTGATTCGTTGTTTTTGTCGTTTGTGGTGCCACTATTGGTGGAGGCTCATCTTTAATCTTTGATTTTTTCTTTTCAAAAGGTTTTACATCATTTTGCTGATTTATATTATGAGTGTTAAAGTCATCATCTGGAAGAAAGAACGAGCCAAACTTCAAGATAATAAGTGATAAAATTGGCAATAGCTTATCGTTCATGTAATCTTCTAGCTCTGGATTAACAAGATCTTCATTATCAGTCTCATTTTCAGTTGTATTGTTATTATCATTGTGCTTATAGCCACCCATGTATCTTAATTTAAATAACTTGATTGAAAGCAAATTGGTCAAAATCAACAAAAAAGAGATATTTATCTGAATTCGTTCCAAATTCTTGATTTTGGAACTGTCCAAAAGCTCTCCATTTTTATCAAACACAATCTCAAAGGTGGTGTTAATAGCACCAATGTTATTGCCATCATCAGCTAGCTCATCCTTGAAAATAAACAAGTACACAGGCTTAATTGATATCACGAAATTGATCAAATTTATGAAATTGATATGGATCAAGTTGTATTCGGTTTTAACATCGTCATTAGCTAAATTGAGTCCTCCTCTGGCACTATTGCCATCAAAGCAATTGGTCAAGAACCTGAAGACTATAAGAGAGCTTTTGAAGGCATTGCCTATGTTATCACTGACGAATCTCAGATACAATTGGCTATTCAATCGCTGTGCTATTGATTTCTCGTTCACCAACTGGATGATATAAGCTTTGTCTTTGCCTTGATCGTCTGATAATTCGTCCCATTTGCTGTCTTCTGACAATATATCAGAGTTGGAAAGAGTTCTGTCCAATATATCTAGTACAAAGCTCTTGTCCATGTTGTTCTTCAGTAGATGCTGCTTGAGAGTCGTCTTTCATTATAAACACAACTGTTTGGAGGAATGAGAAAGTTTAAAGCAAAAAAACAAAAGTGGCGTCTCGACTCTCAGACACCAGAATCGTATGCAAACTCTACTATCCAAATCTGTGCTCTTCAATTCAGGCTCTGGGTCGAAGAGAATGTAACTGTTGCGCGATATGCCTGGGAACTTATCTGATATAGACTTTGATTCAGATTTCGAGTCAGATTTCGAGTCGAATTTGGTGTTTTCATCTCCTGGAGATAGCAGTCTTGCTGAAATGCTCCATAACAGTCCTCAAAAAAATGGAAGCAAGCAGAATGGAAGCAAAGGCAGCTTGGGATTTGGTACAGAAGAGACTGAACAAGGGGAACAGGTGGTGAAAGTGCAGATAAACTCAATTGATTCCTATCAGGCTGTTTCCACTTTTTTGGATAATTCTATCATCAATATCGATCCAAACAGTCTACAGAATTACAATATGAACAACAAAGATAATACCAGCTCTTATATCAACAAAACGCATGTATTGAAGTTCAATGTGGTTCCAGTGATAAGAATTTTTGGCTCTTTGAAAACTGGACACACTGTTTTAGTTCATATTCATGGAGTTTATCCTTATTTTTTTCTCGACTTCAAAAACATATTAGTCAGAGAAAATGTTTTGAAAAAGAAATATTCAGACAAAGAAAATTCAGACAAATACATCGACGATTCGTTGGATTTTATCAATGATAATTGCGACTACTTGAAAGATTTATTGGAAAGTCAAATAGAAATTGCTTACAAGAGAAATGAAAAAAAGAACAAGAAAAAACAGAATAATTTGAACCAGGATGAAGTGAATTTCTTGAATATGATTGGAAAAGATCCAAGTAAATATGATTTCACTCGAAATAATTATTTTAAATATAATTCCACAAAACAGAGAAAAAATTTCAAATATATCGCCGATGTTTCAGTGGTGAAATCAACTCCATTTTATGGCTATAATATTGGTTACAAGTTGTTTTATAAAGTTTCGTTATTATCCCCTGTTTATCATTCGAAATTGGTCAACATCATCAATGAAAATACCATCACCAGTCCTCTATTGAAGAATATTAAAATTTACGAGTCTCACATTCCTTATATTCTACAGTTTTTAACCGATTTTAATCTCTTTGGATGTTCTTGGCTAAACATAGACAAAAATTTGATATTTTTAAGAAACCCTATATTTAATATTAAAATAAGCCCCTCTGATAATGAAAAAGATAAACCTGAAAACCAAAATCAAAATCAAAATAATAATGCCAATGAAATTAGTGAAAATGATAATAATGATAATAGTGATGATAATGGCGATGATAATGGTGATCAAAATATAAAAGCTCACCACGGTTTAACAAATAAGGCTAAATTAAATAATGATATCATTAATTTAACTCGAAATTTAGTTAATCAAAACAATTCAAATGTTTTATTAAACATAAAAAGGATTGGAAGAACATTTTTAGAAATAGATATACCATGTCAGTCCATTTCTAATCGATCCAAGTTAAAGAAAAGGGATTTGCACCATGATTTTTTAGAGTATTTTCAGCATAAATATAATAAAGATTATGAAGCAAATTTTAAAGAAAAATATTTATCAAGTACAGATGAAATTATAAAAGATACAAATTACCAAAGAAAACTTCGAAATAAACCAAGTTTTGAACCTCAGCCCTCAATTGAAAGAGCCCTTAATATTAACGATAAAAATTTCACTGATTGGAGTTTACAAGCTGATTTAGATGATTTGTTTAGCTATATTTTAGACTCTTTAAAAGAAAAGAGTAAAAATAATAAAGATAAAAATGAAAATGAAAATGAGTTGTCATTTGAGAATTATATTACAAATATCAACAACTTTAATAATGTTAATGAAACTTTATTGAAGCATATAAAAACTCCTATGGAAATTTTAAATAAACTATTTCCAGTTTTGCCGAAAAATAAAGTTACTTTGCAAAAAATTAATGAAGAAACAAAAAATTCTTCATTTTTCGACAATGATGATTTTATCAACTTTAGTGATGACAATATTTATGATATTCCACTTAATAACAATCCCATAGGCAATTTTGATGGCAAAAACTTTACTTCTGACAATAATGTTGATAATGCTAAAACAAATAATGATAATAATAATAATAAGAAATTACCCGCAATCAATCAAAACTCATCTCATATTGATCGTAATACAAAAGGCATTTCAACAAAAAGCGAAAAGTTATTTACAAATGAAGGCTTTTTAGCAAACTCATCTCCAATGAAATTTGTGGATGGCACTGAAAAAAATAATAATTCTGGCTCCTACAAAAATGAAATCGAAATTGAGGATATTGATGTTTATTTCTCTCAACAAAAATCTAGAAATTTGAACAGTCAAGGATTAATGTCGCAAAGACCATTTTCTCAAGCTTTTCAAAGTTCTCTAAAATCTATAAGGTCTGATATATTTGATAGCACATTTTCATCCAAGACTTCATTTAGTGAAAACCCTTCTTACATAAATTATTTTGGTTTGAATTCAAATTCTAATTATTGTTACTCTTACATTGTTTTACAGCCAGATTCAGATGATATTATGGAATCATTTGAAAAAGAATATGATTTGCCAAAGATCGAGTATAATGATCCATTTTATAGCGCAAAAGAAGATATACTGAAGACATCTCATGTTTACGCAGGAAAGAAATATATCCTTAAATGTTCAGATAAAGATTGTTTGCCCGGTGTAAAAATTGGTGCTGGAATAAACTCGATATCGGAAATTCTTAGACGACAAGTTGAAAATCAAATTGCAAATTTCGAGAATCATTCAATCAAAAGAAAAATAAATATTAATAATTCTAAAATTTGGAAGTATGTTATTAAACCTCCAAGTTACAATGAAGTTGATGTGGATCAAATTGTACATGATACACATATCAAGAAAAGTAAAGAATTGTTATTGAAGAGAAAACAAAGGGCTAGTTTTTCTGATGAGAATACTGACGTTGACAGCGATGATAGTGAAAACAGTAGGTCTATTGAAGATCAAGAAGATATGGATTTGTCGTTGTTTTATTCCCAATACAGAAAAAAACGTAGAAGTCTGTTGTTTTCATCTCAAGTTGAACCGACAACTCAAAAAGTGAAGTTTGGATTTAAATATCAAACTCCTAAACATAAAATACAGAAGAAACCCAACCAATATAACCATTTGACTGTTTTTACAATTGAAATACATGTTAATGCAAGACCAGATTTTGTTCCAGATCCACTAGTTGATGAGATAACTGCAATATTTTGGAAATTTGAAGAAGAAACTATGCCCTTTGATTTGGGAATTTCTAACACTGGAATATTTTTGTTAGATTCTAAAAGACAAAACTTACTGACAAGTTTTTCGAGATTGACTACTATTCCAATTGGACATTATGAAGAACTTGAAATGCTCATAGAACTCGGCAATCTAGTTCAATTAGTGGATCCAGACATACTTGCAGGTTTTGAGGTTCATTCGTCATCATGGGGCTATGTAATTGAAAGAAGCAGAGCCATTTATCAATATGATTTATGTGAAGCTTTATCAAGGGTGAGCTCGAATTATAAGAATAAGGTCGGGGATAAATGGGGCTATACTCATGCTTCAGCATTCAAGATTACTGGTAGGCATATGATAAACATTTGGAGACATTTAAGGTCAATTTTTGACTTGCAAAAGTATTCGATTGAAAATATCACTTATCATGTTTTACATGAAAGAATAGCATATTATGATTGTCACACATTGACTAGTCTTTTTCATGGATTGCCAGGAGAAAAGGCTATTTTTCTAAATTACTGGCTAAAAAGGATTGAGATCAATTTAAAATTATTGCAGTCTTCAGATTTAATTTCAAGAACAGCAGAACAAGCAAGATTGGGAGGTATTGATTTTTATTCAGTTTTATACAGAGGATCTCAATATAAAGTTGAATCATTCATGGTTAGAATGTGCAAAGCAGAGAATTTTATGTTATATTCACCAAGTAAGAAACAAGTACAAAAACAAACAGCTCTAGATTGTATTCCATTGGTGATGGAGCCTGATTCTTCATATTTCAAGAGTCCGGTAGTTGTTTTGGATTTCCAATCATTATATCCATCAGTTATGATTGCATATAATTATTGTTATTCTACAATTTTGGGGAAGTTGCAAGGATTTGACGCAAAAAATGGTAACGAGATTGGTTGCATTAATCTTAAATTACCTGCTGGTTTATTAGAGTTGCTTGAAGATGATATAACCATATCGCCAAATGGGTATATGTTTGTCAAGCCGAATATCCGAAAATCGTTATTAGCGAAAATGTTGGAAGAATTATTGGAAAGTAGAATTATGGTTAAGGAGACTATGGATTTATTAAAAGATGACAGGGGGCTTTATAAGTTATTTTATAACAGGCAATTGGGATTAAAGTTAGTTGCAAATGTCACATATGGGTATACATCTGCCACATTTTCTGGTAGAATGCCATGCTCAGCAGTAGCGGATAGTATTGTGCAGACAGGAAGAGAGATATTGGAAAAATCTGTTGAATTTATTGAGAATAATGAGAAATGGAATGCCAAAGTTGTTTATGGGGATACAGATTCATTATTTGTTTGTTTAATGGGTAAATCAAAAGACGAGGCCTTTGAGATCGGGAGGGAAATAGCAGAATCGGTAACTAAACGCAATCCAAAACCCATAAAATTAAAATTTGAGAAGGTTTATTTTCCCAGCGTTTTAATTGCTAAAAAAAGATATGTTGGGTATTCTTATGAGTTTAAAGAACAGGTTGAACCCAAATTTGATGCCAAAGGAATTGAAACAGTTAGAAGAGATGGTACGCCAGCGCAGCAGAAAATATTAGAGAAAAGTTTGAGAATGTTATTTGAAGAACCTGATATTTCTAAAATTAAAAAGTACGTTCAAGAGCAGTTTTATAAAATAATTGTTGGGAAAGTTTCTATTAAAGATTTTTGTTTTGCCAAAGAAGTTAAGATTGGGTCATATAAAGATGTTCGATACATGCCTGCAGGAGCAGCATTAATAGCTGAGAAAATGGAAGAAGATGATAGATTGGAGCCACAATATAAAGAAAGAGTTCCATATTTGATAAGAAAAGGTAAGAAAGGAGAAATATTGAGAAAACGAGCAATATCACCAGAAGAGTTTATTAATAATCCGAACAAATATGAATTAGATTATGACTATTATATTCGAAAGAATATTATTCCACCGTTAGAGAGGGTGTTTAATTTGATTGGTGTTAATGTATTAAGATGGTATGAAGATATGCCGAAATTTGGTAATGGGATAATTGAGAATAATAAGGAGATTGAAAAAGGAGGACTAAATAAATATATCAAGAAGAATAATTGTTTTATTTGTTATAAAAATGAGATTTTAAAGGATTTTATTTGTTTTAATTGTTATTTTGATAAAAGGAATACGGTGGTTAAGATAATTGATAAGATAAAAAAAGTTGAGGAGAAAAATTATAAGATCAAGACAATTTGCAAAAATTGTTCATTGAATGGTAAGAGTAATTATAGCAATGACATTGATAGGATAATGTGTTGCAATCAAGATTGTTCAATTTATTATCAACGAAAGAAAAGTGAGTTGAAAATGGAAGATCTAAATCGAAAAGAGAGGTTAGTTAAGCAGTTGTTAGATTTTTAGATTTTTTTTAGATTTTTAGGCTTTTGTTAAGCTTTTAGGCTTTTAGATGGGCTTTTGGAGTGTGACAAAAATGTAGCAAAAGACTTTTAAAAAGTAGATGCAAATGCGACTCAGATAAGCCAGATTAAAATGGACTGAATACAATCGGCTGAACAGAATGGGCTGAATGAAATGAATTGCAATTAATAGAAGTAGATTCAATTGATTGGAGATGCTGTTCGGTGTTAAGCGTGTAATTGGAGGAAGAATTTAAGGTTTCGGGGTGCAGTGATTGAAGCTGAAAAATGAAAATAAAAAACCAGCAAAATAAAGTTTCAGATTTGAAATGACGAAATTTGTTATCAGGAGTGGTTTAATTCTTCTTTGTGTATTTTTGGAATAATCTTGGAAGAATCTTGGTGTTTTCTTGGTATTCCTTGGAATATTCTTGGTGGGTTTTTGTTGTCCTTGCCCTTGTTTTTTCTTGTAATACGAGCAAAAAAACTGGTAGATTTTTTCATTTGTACTGGACTGAAAAATGAGTTGATTTATTTAGATAACAAAATTAAGTTTGAGACAAATATAGAAAAGAATGCACTTGAAGAGGAATTTGAGAGTAAGAATAATCCAAGTAAGGTGAAAAAAAGAGAGAAAAAGGAACCAAGAGAAAAGAATAAAAACAATACACAAATTCGAAGGAAGTTAAGTATAAGAAATAAAGAATACGAAGAATGAAAATAGAAATAAAAATAGCAATAAAAATAAAGAATCAATAAAAAAAAACCAGTGAGAAAAAAGCATAATCTATAGTAATATTACAATTGATGATATTGATAAAATAGTAAACACAGTAAAATAATGTAATGAGCTAGCATCAAATGGAGAGACTAAATGCATTGCTTTGGCTTCGCTTGAAGATGATTGAGAAGAGGTGACATTGTCTGAATCTTCAGTGGTCGTTTCCTCTTCATCGTCGTTTGAGGCTGTTGAAGATTGAGATCTGGTGGAAGAAGTGGAATTTCTTGCAGTTGATGTCGATAGACTTTCATCAGTACCACCAACTAAACTAGCAAATTCCACCTTAGCCTTTTGCACTCTTCCTAGGACTTCACCATTTTCAGCTTCGATTGAATCGTAATCACCCGAGGTATCTTTGTAAGTGTAAGAGTCACCGGTGGAGTAGTCTGTGATAACAAATCTTTGAATGTAGAAGTGGAAAGGCAATTCGTCGTAGTCAGTTAAACCACCAGCCCACAGAATAGTACCTTCGGCGTTGTCAGAATCACCACCAGCCCATAAACCAATAAATAATCTGGAGGGGGTTTGTGGGAAACCATCAGAAGTGTTGTTGTAAAGGACTTTGGCTTTAATGCCGTCAATGTACCAGATGATTCTTTCGTTATCCCAATCTATGGTATAATTGTGGAATTCTTCTCTTGGGTCTTGCATTTGATACAAAGTTGATCTGTTCCAAAAAGTGGTATTGCCTTGATGAAAAAAATTCAAGCAAACCTCATAAGCATTACCACCAAACCATTCAATATCGATTTCATCCTCACAGTCACTTTGCAAGTAAACGGTTGAGATGATACCCTGTCCCGGCGAGGCCTTTGCGATGACTTCAAATTTTCCAAAGAGAATATACTCATTGGAGACTAAAGAAGGGTTATCAAAACGCTTATTGATAGACAAGACTAAGCCATCATCAGTGTAGTTGATTGTGCCTGCCTGAGAAGAGGTTGAGTAAACAGAGAAAAAATCAGACACTGAAGAATTGGAGGTAAAATTTGTTTCATAGGACTTTGCCAAAGCAGGATTTGGGTCGCACTCATCAGTGGTATTTAACGGATTACAGATATCCAAGTACGAATAAACGGGAGCGAGAAATAAAAGAAATAACGAGAGAAAGGATAGAAAGCTGAGCATCTTTGTGGGCAAAAGAACGAAGGCACAGAAAGATAAACGAGAGAGAGACTGTAAAAAACAAACAAGATCGTAGATGGAGAAAAAAAAAGAACTAAACAGATGGAAATCAAGCAAAATACGCTATTTATATGTGATGATTTACAGACAATAAACACTCTCCGATGATAAGTGAAAGAAGCGTAAGATGTTATGCTCCATGAGAATGTTATACAGCAGTATTTTGCGTGCTGCACAGCGACGCAAGCGATGCGATTGGCGGACAAAAACACTATCCGTTTTTATTGCAATGGCTGTGCTGGGCCAATTGCAGGAAGCCGCGCCGAGAACACAGCAAGCCAACGGGTCTTGGCGGCACCGCGCACGTCAAAGTGATTACAGTGCATGTACGCGCATCCTATAAATAGTACCGCAGCATCCAGCTGTGTGTTGCAGCTAAGCCCGCACAATACGCGCGATGTTCAATCGCTGCGGTTAGGGCTGCGAGTCGGCACGCGCGTCGCCTCTTGCATGTCGGCTAGCCCCGTACCATCGGTGGGGATCTAGTTTTTTACACGTCGCGCCAGCCGTGTGGATCTTATTAACAGTCACATTCAAGTCGTCCCAAACAGTATATCACGTGCGCTTTCTTTTTGCAGCCAATGTCTTTTCGAGTTGCTTTCAACAGCTCCAACAAAAGCAGCAAAAGTAGCTTCACCAGAAGAAGAGCACTCAGCAGAAACACCAGACAGCGCAGCAGATATTGCTATTGCTCACACACCATTGCTAGACATATCCTCTTGCCATTGCTTTTCTCCTCTACAACTCCACAACTCCACAATGTCTGCTGAAGAAGAGTCCATTTTCCGTATGTTTTCATCTTCATTTGGCTCTTTGACCACCATTGACTCAAGCACAAACTAACATTCAATCCCACCATCTCTTTTGCTATTGCTCTATTGTTAATTTTTGACTAATGTAGGTTCTGCGGAAATGTCATTGATCCAATTGTATATTCCCAATGAGATATCAAGGGAAACTGTTTATTCCTTGGGAAGTCTGGGCTTGATTCAATTTAACGATTTAAACAAAAAAATCAACTCCTTTCAAAGAAATTTCATAAAGGAAATCAGAAAACTAGATGAAGTTGAAAGACAATATAGATTCTTTAAATCCAAACTAGACTCTAAAAGTATTTCACTAATCGATGACCAATACCAGTTGGATGCCAATCCCATCGATACCTTCAATATTATAAAAGAAAGTGAAATCGATACCTATATCGAAAATGCGACTTTTTTAGAAAAAAGGTTGATCCAATTAATTGACTCTTCGGAATCCTTACAGTTTAAAAAAATGAAATTGGAAGAATTAAGATACGTTCTCTCAAATTCTGCCACTTTCTTGGACAGAAAGGAAACCACTGCTAACTTTCAAAGAAACTCAATCATCTCATTTAACGATCTACAAAATTCTACAAACAATTTATCCAACCCTCCAGATTTTGATGACCATTACGATATCGATGATAATATTCAATTCATCACTGGCGTCATTCCCAGAGAAAATTTCGTTTTTTTGCAGCAAATTCTTTGGAGAACTCTCAGAGGTAATTTAATCCTCAACTCAATAGAAATTGAGTCTCCAATTTATGATCCTGTCTCTAAAAAATTCATCTCGAAAAACTTTTTTATCATTTTTTCTCATGGTAATTTGATCTTAAATAAAATTAAAAAAATTTGTGAAAGTTTAAGCTCAAACCTATACGTTATTCAATTTGATAAGGTAAAGAGATCTTCAACTTTCTTGGAAACTAACCAAAACTTAAATGATCTAAATTTAGTGCTCAACCAAACTGTTCAAACTTTAGACACTGAATTAATCGCCATCTCAAAAGTCCTCACTGGTTGGTCTCAAACTATTAAAAAGGAAAAATCAATTTATAAAATCTTAAACCTATTCAACTATGATGTTAATAGGAAAACGCTTATAGCTGAAGGCTGGGTACCAACAAATCAACTTCTAAACATTAAATCAATTTTAAAAAAAATCACTGATTCCTCCGGTTCAAGTGATATCCTAATCATCTTGAATGTCTTATCAACAAATAAGACTCCCCCTACTTATCACAAGACAAATAAATTCACAAATGCTTTTCAAAATATCTGTGATGCTTATGGTGTAGCCACCTACAGAGAAGTTAACCCTGGTTTACCAACAATTATTACTTTTCCCTTTATGTTTGCTATCATGTTTGGTGATTTAGGTCATGGCTTTTTACTATTCTTAGCTGCTTTGCCCTTTATAATCAATGAAAAAAAAATTTCCCAAATGAAAAGAGATGATATGTTTGATATGGCTTTTTCTGGTAGATACATCATTTTATTAATGGGTATCTTTTCAATGTACACTGGTTTGATGTATAACGATATTTTCAGTCTTTCAATGACTTTCTTTAAATCAGGTTGGAAATGGCCAGAACATTTTGAAGTCGGTGAATCAATCGAAGCAACTCAAACTGGTGTTTACTTTTGGGGTGTAGACTCCATTTGGCATGGTTCTGATAATGCTTTATTATTCTTAAACTCCTATAAAATGAAATTGTCTATTATAATGGGTTTCATTCACATGGCTTATTCATACATGTTTTCTTTAGTAAATTATATTCATTTTAAATCTGTCATTGATATTGTTGGTAATTTCATACCTGGTTTATTGTTCATGTGGAGTATTTTTGGTTATTTAACTATTTGTATTGTCTATAAATGGACCATTGACTGGGTTGAAATTGAAAAACCTGCGCCAAGTTTATTAAATATGTTGATCTCAATGTTCTTATCTCCCGGACAAATTGATCAACCTTTATACGATGGTCAAAAACAACTCCAAGTTTTCCTTCTAATTATTGCTTTAATTTGTATTCCTTGTCTTTTGGCTGTCAAACCTCTATATTTGAAAAGAAAAATTGATCAAAAGACCCAATATCAAACAATTGAAGATGCTTCTCCAATCGTGTCTTCTGACACCCATATTGGCAATGAAAATTATGATAACGACGTTGAAAATCACAATGGTGAAGAAGATGATGAAGATAGTGAGCATGGAGATCATGATGAAAATTTCGGTGATATCATGATTCACCAAGTTATTCATACAATTGAATTTTGTCTTAATTGCGTTTCACATACTGCTTCTTATTTGCGTTTATGGGCTTTATCGTTGGCTCATGCTCAACTTTCTCAAGTTTTATACACAATGACATTAGCTAATTCTTTTGAAATGAAAGGTTTTTTGGGAGTGTTTATGACATTTTTCTTGTTCTCCATGTGGTTTGTCTTAACAGTATGTGTCCTAGTTGTTATGGAAGGAACTTCAGCTATGTTACATAGTTTAAGATTGCATTGGGTTGAAAGTATGAGTAAATTTTTCGAAGGTGAAGGTTATGCTTATGAACCGTATTCTTTCGATACTATTTTACAAGAGGAAATTTAAAGTTCAGTTGAATTTGAGAACTTGAAATAATTCAATTGAAAAGATTAAAACAAAAGCTCTTAAATATCACCAAAAAATAAACAAAAAAACAAGACAAAAAACAAGACAAAAAACAAAAGGCTAAAAATTAAAAACGAAACATGATCAACCTTCCTATTTACTACCTTAATTTTATGGTTTAATTCTTGTCAAAGATTAAAACATTAAAACTATTTTGGTTTCCGGTAAATCCCTTTCAAAATATTTTTTAAACAATAAAAAGAATTAACGTTTTCCGACTCTAATTACATTTTATTTACATTTTTTTGAAAAGTATTTAGTTTAATTGATTTTTTTTATATACTATCAATCTACATTTATTATTCATTTCTTTTTGTTGAGATTCGGTACACGTGATTAAAATTCAGTAAGCATATATAGATTAGTTCTCTCTCGTGTATCCCTTTTTCGTAAAAAAAATAGAGGATAAGTTTAAATTAAGATAATTTAAAAAGGTGACAATAAGGAACAGACCGTAAGACTTATAGAGTAGCAAGTATGGCTTATTTCCAAGGGGAAACGAACTTTCCAGACGTCACGTTACCCACCTTAAATAGGGTAGAATCCGAAGACTTTTACTATAACACGGCGGGTAACTCCTCAATTTTTTTGTAGTTTTTTTTGATTGGTGTTGAAAAGTTTAACATGTTAAAACAGACTACCTCCATATTTTTGACATTTATTACTGCATTGAAAAGATTTGAGCATGAATATTGGAGACAGAAGAAGAATAATTGGACCAGTCAATGCAAGGGCTCTATACTTTGAAAACTCAAAACCAAAAGAATCAATACATCATACTAGAAAGAAAAATAATGAAATCAGACCTTTTTTCATACAAACTGGTCTTTTAACCAATCCAAATGGATCGGCTTATTTGGAAATAGATAATACATTAATATTAGTATCTATCTTTGGACCAAGACCCATAAAAGGTCCATTTATGAACAAGGCTTGTTTCCAGGTTGAAACAAAATTTTTACCATATGTTAATCAGCCAAATTATTTGAGCAAGGCTTACTTATTCAATACTAATAATAATGCGACTGAAGAGGATGTAAATATTAGAAGAAATTTGGATATTACTGGCGGCAGTTATAGCTCTTACTCAAATATTGAGCAAAAAATCTCAAGTTATATTCACTCAGCTTTTTTGCCTTCGATAATTTTAGAAAAATATCCTAAATCCACAATTGATGTTTTTATTATAGTTTTGTCAGCTAATGTTGAGGATAATGTATTATCATTGATATCGGGAATATCTAACTGCTGTTCTTTAGCTTTAGTTGATTCGGGAATTGAATTAAACGATATTATATCAACTGGTATTTCAAGAATATTGAAAGATAATACGGTAATATTAGATCCAACTACAATTCATAACAAAGATATTACTGATGATGGCAAATATGTGGATGCTGTGATTAGTTTTATGAATTGCAAAAATGATCAAATTGTTGGATTTTTGACGGATGGGAACTTGAATATAGACAATTCATTGATAGAAGCTTTAATCAACAATTCAAACAGAATGGCCAAACAAATTAGGGCAAACATTGATGTATATTTGATCGATCAAATAAGTTCCAACTAAATCTAGAAGTACTTTAATCAGATAACTATCGATATACTAAATATACATTTTTTTTTCAAAAACTCGCTGGTTCTTTCGTTTTGTGGCACTTTTTCCTCCACGGAAAAACTATATGTATGTTCATTTCTATATATGTATTATACGCGTCTCTAGGCATACATATACCTGTTTTATATTGATTTTTTCCGAATGGTTCAGATTTTTTCCGAGTGCAATTTCAACTCAGAAATCAATTCATTGATTTTGGATATTTTCAATTCAAATCCACTTATTTTGTTTCTATTTCTTTGTTTAAGCTCTTCAGACACTTTAGTTTCGTAATCTTTGCCATTGATAAGCTTTTCAACTGCTTCTTTTTGTTTAGCTACTTTAGCTAGTTTTTTCTCGTTTTTGTTGATTTCTTTCTCTACTTCAATCACACCTTTGATTAAACATTTAATTTCATAGTCTTTGAAATTTTTAATGATAAAGTGATTATCAATAATATCACTACTACTTTCATTAATAAATATTTTGGATACATTTTTAGATAAAACCGATTCAATTATTGATTTTTCTTGAACTAATAAATCTGATGTTTCTTCATTCGAAGAATTAATGTATATAACTCCAGTCTTGTTGTTGTTTATGTTAAAATGAGATAATATTTTTTTGGATTCAAGAACAAGATCAACAATTTTGCTGAATTTAATAGCTTCCTTTTGATACTTTTCTCCTTTTCCAATAAATTTAGCTTTAAAGATAGTTACGCCATCAGTGTTATCATTTATCAATCTTTGAAATAATTCTTCAGAAACTATTGGAATTAATGGAAATAAAACTTTCAAAAAGTCATTCAAAACAACAAAAGTCGTTTTGCGCACCGATTCTATAATATAATCACTGGAATCTCTTAGCAAATAATTAGTTAGATTCAAAAAAAATTCAAATTCGCTATTTAAAAAATCTTTAATCTTTAAAATCATATTTTTAATATTATAAAGATTAGCACGACAATAATTAACCAACTCATTTAATTTGGATAACATCCATTTTTCGGCTAGAGTTAATCCCTTATCTTCTATATCAGTAGAATCAAAAGAATATTTGAAATTCTCACCTAGGTTTAATATGGATTTTTTGATTGCTTGATATAACTTGGAAATAAATCTATTTTCAGTTTCTACAGCAATTAAACTCTTAAAAACAATTTCTTTGTCATCTTTTTCATTAAAATCATTAAAATTTACATATGATAATAAATATAATCGCAATGCATCACTTCCATTTTCTGACACACCATTTGGATAACTTTTTTCATAACTTTTTTCATTTTTTGTAACATCAGTGTTAGATAATGTTATAGTTTTGAGTTCTTCTTTTAATTTTGATAGACTACTTCCCTTTATGATATTAACGTAATTAAAATTATTTCCTAATTTTTTAGACAATTTTCTTTTGTTATAGTCACTGACCACAGGGGTAATGATTAATTCATCAAATGGCATTTTTCCAGTTAAGTTTAAACTGATTAAAATAGATGGAATAAACGACCAATCGGAGTTTGAAGTAATGAATCTGGAAAAACTTTTAAATTCAGATATCAAGTTGTTGATATCATTGGATGATTTATGCCAAAAGTTTGAAATCAATGAATACAAGTTCAATGAAAACCAGGACTCAACAATATCTTCATCTTGTACAATATCGAATGCTTGATTTGGAAATCTGGACTTGGCCTTAAGAATAGCTTCATCAAACGAATTGGCAACAACCCAGTTATTTTCATCATTGCTATCAACATTATTGTCTGCTTTGAGTTTAACTAAATAAGTTGGTGATTGATGACCCCAGGAGTTATAATGACTTGTAATACATAAATCGGAGTTGTTACTTGGATCAATATTATTCTCAATTTCTGATAACTTATTGACTAGTTCTCTTTTATAAAGCAATGGAGTGATTAAAAGGCTATTATTGTTATTAATTTCATCAATTAACTTTGAAATTGAAACCAAATCTTTCGTTTTTAAATACCAAAATGAGTGCAATCGTTTTTCAATAACATCATTAGTTCTTGAGCAAATTTGGATTCTCATTGGATTATCTTCTTGTTTGATTAAAGAATTGTTTTCTTTTAAAAACTCAATGATTTTAGTTCTTGCATCTAATCTTTTCATTCCTTTCCAATTCTGTCCACAATTTTCATTTAGTGTTCCATCTCTATTGAAAATTTGGACAAATTTCACATTATGTAGTTTGCTGATTTTATAATCTTTAATATTATTTGAGGGTGCCAATCTGACAGCACCAGTTCCAAATGAAATATCGACCATTTCCGTATCCAAAATAATAGGTAGCTTTTCATCAGTTAATGGATTTATTGCAAATTGGTTTTGTTGTAAATGTTTATAACGATCATCGTCTGGATGAATTAAGACTGCGACATCTGCAAAAATAGTTTCGGGTTTGGTTGTTGCAATAATTAATTTCTCATTTGTTGGCGAGTTGAAAATTGGATAAACAATATAATTAATAATACCAAATTCTATTGGGGTGTCATAACCTGGAACATCCATAAGTGTTCTGCCTTTAATATTGATATATTTGATATGAGACTCTGAGGTTGAGTCATTTAAATAGTAAGACCAGTTAATCATATCTGATTTTTTATAAATCAAACCCTTTTCATACAATTTGACAAAAAGATTATTAACCAAATTAATGTATTTTGGATTTAAGAATTCAATGGGGTTTTCTTTTAGATTGTTGTTGATTGAAATACCAAGATCAAATAATTGAGAGGCAATTCTAGATTTATTAGAATTGTACCAAGTTATGAAAAAATCATTGAATTGAGATGAATTTTGATTGTTTTTAATTAATTTTTCATTTTCATAATATTTTTGTTCAATTACATTTTGAATATCGATTCCTGAATGATTAAAACCAACAATTGGCAATTTTGAGTCTGGCTCTAAAGATTTGTAGAAAAAATCCTGAATAATCAAATTCAAAGCATTACCCAAGTGCAAAAAACTGGTAGTCTTTAAAGGATTGACCAAAATCGAACTCAGATTATCATTGTCATTGTCATTGCCATTGTTGGCGCTAGAACTGAAAAAATTATTCTTTAACCACCAGCTGAACCAAGAGAGCTCAACATTTTTTGAAATATAGGATTTAAAAGACAGATGGTTGAAATCTGGTAGAATCTTTTTCATTCCTGGAACTGTTGGATCATCGTAATCAAAAGACACATTATTTAATTGTTTTGCCTTTGGGGCATTTTTGATTTGTTTGTCCTTTTTATCTTTTTTGTCCTTCTTAGCTTTTTTGTCTTTTTTATTGGATTTTCTTTTCAATTCAGATTGAACATTGATATCAGATCCCATTTTCTAACGATATACAAAGCTTTGATGAATAGTGGACAAATAATGAGTGAGAAAGTGAATAGTGCTGTGGAATAAGAAAACCTTCAGATGAGATGAAATTTTCAATGTTTCCAACTCTTTGTATAAAACAACCAATGGCACATTTTCGATTGTGGAAAAATATACTCAGATTATAGCTACAATTACAAGATAAAGTAAAGACATAAGAGATAATTACTGAAACTAAAAACAAAACAGTAAGATTAAAAATACATAATATCTAATGACACTCATTATTGAGATTGAATTGATTATAGAAGATTTCAAGTAACATAATTATTAGTTATATATAAAATTAAATAGATGATATAAGTATAATAAATTAAATTAAATGAAAGTTTCATAGGAGGCAGGAGCTAAGGTTTCTGGAACATTACCTTTGGTGGAAATGATTCTTGCTTCTCTTGGTTTAGCTGGTTGTCTTTTCAATTGAACTGAAACACCTTTGGCTTTGGCCTCAGTTCTTTTTGCAGCGTTTTCTTTGACTCTATTCAAAAATTCTTGACGACATTTGGAGTGTTTAACATGTTCGACTCTTAAGTTAATTCTTTTTTCGAGGTAACGATAACCAACGATTTTGTTAACAATTACACCAACTGAAGACTTGGTAACGTTGTAAACAATACCAGTTTTACCATGGTAGTATTTGTGTGGCATACCCTTTTGGATAGAACCGTTAGCCTTGATATCAACAATATCACCTACTTTGTAGACCTTCAAGTAGGTTGATAATGGAAGAGCACCATGTTTCTTGTAATCTCTGGCGAAGGCGTAACGAGTACGAGATCTATAACCGTGACTGTAAAAATTTGTTAGTTAATCTTTGGTTCAATTGCCTGTGGATGGAATCCAATATACAATATCTACCAGGTCTAATTGAGTGCCGTGCTACTTTTCAGCAAATTTTAAGGATTTTCACTGGATTTGATTTAATGCGATGAAGGACATCGATGATTTCATGTTCATTTTCTCAGAATTTTCATGTTCCGTATTCTACTATTGAAATTTTAATGGGAACTTCAAAACATTGCTGGAACAATTTTATTTTTAAAATTTTTCTATTATTTTGTGCTTTGATCTTCGACTCTGTTGATAATTATTCAATTTAAACTATTATACTAGACTCTAGTAATATTTTATTTATATTCAAAAAAAAAAGAAGCTCTGGTAATTAATTCTTTTGGTAATTAATTCTTTTGATAATTAATTCTTTTGATAATTAATTCTTTTGATAATTAATTCTTTTGGTAATTAACAGTTAATGTATTTAACTTTTTTTACTTTTCACTGCTGCAAATTAAAATTAATTTTCTAAAATATTCAATATGCTTAATCACAAAAAATTTGAATTACAATCTCAACAAGTAAACATTTTTCAAGATAAAATCGATGATATTCATTATACAATGGCCAATATTCGATCTAACTAATTTTTGATTGAAAAGATGAACTGATTGCGAGACTAGCATTGACGGTAATTATAATTCTGATATCTGATCTTATAGCCTCGACATAGACAACATAGATAATGGAGCAGTATGGACATACCTTTTACCCATTTTTGATTATTATTGATAAACTGTTCCTTTTTCTACCTTGGTTTTAGTTGAAAGAGAGTATAATATAAGAGTGTTACTGTTTTCCCTCTGTGTGCTCTGCTGAAATTTGAATATACTCAAATCCACCTTCTCGCCAAAAATCCGTGCACAGCTCCGTTCTCGTTTGCATACAAAAATCCGAAATCCGCACCACGACTTAGAATCCGGGTCACATGCTCAGCATTGACGCAAAAAATAAATTTATGTTGTGAGCGATGTTTTGAAGCCCTAATTGTTTTCACGTGGTATATAAAGCCCTGTGATTATATTGTGTTTTTTTAATTGGGTAATTGTTGGCTCAAAATAACTGCAAATCGCAAATGAGATCTATATAGCTATGTCTAGATTAGTATTCCGTAGTTGGACTCCTCTTTTATTCTTTCCTTCAATTTTACAATCGCCTTGTTTGCATGCTCAACTAATTCGTTGTTACCAAACAAGTATCCTAGTTTTAGTTGCAATTTAAAATCCTTAATCATCTCTTCAAGGCTGCTCACTTTGCGGAATTCCTGAATGGAGATACTTAGGTAATGTAAAACTTTATTGAAGAGTTCTTTGTCAACCTTGTCAAACTTGTATTCGCCACCATCCGAGCTATCGTTATGGTTATTGCTACCGTTGTTATCATCACCGGTATCTTCGTTATCCACAATTATATTTGAATCTTTACCAAAAGCATTTTCGTAGTTATTTTCATAAGCAATTTTTTTTTTAACCAAAATTCGGTATACCGACACAGACAACAAGTAATATGCTTGAGCTATTATTTCTGTATTATTAACTTGCAAAATCTGAGGCATTATATTATCTAGTATTTTCAAATTTTTTTTTTCTTTATCCTTTAAGTTTAAGAAAATTTCAATCAAATTCACCAAGCTCTCATTAAGTAATGATATTAGTGAGGAGTTCGAACAAATTTTTATTGTTTTCAAAATAATAGTTAATCCTCGAATTGAATTTCTATTGATATTATTATAACAGTAATTATAATTATAGTTATAGCTATAATTCTCATTAGTTATATCTCCATCATAATCTCCATTTAAGATTTTGCAGTATAAATTAGAAAATTTAATGTACCAATAATGATTATAATTTTGGCCAGAGTAAAAATTGTAATTATTATTGCTTTGATTAATACCTCTATTGAAATTAATGTTCTTGTTATTTGTTTCATTTGAAGCAGAATTATAAACATTGGCAGTGAAATTATTAATTTCATTGTAACACAATTTCAAAGCCTTTGAAATATTTTTATGTTTAAATTCTAACAAGATTTTATAATATTTAATTTCAATTTTTAAATCAATATCATTAATATTAATCTTTTGTAAATTATTAATTAAAATTTCAACAAACTTAAATCTTCTCCTATTAATTGATTGTTTAATTAATAAAATTAATTTTCTTGTTTCCAATAATTTTAAGATTGATAAATCGGTCAAGGTGCTTTCATTTTTATTTTTGTTCTTATTCTTGTTTTTATTTTTAATGTGAGTTTTAAAGTTATCTAATATTTTAAATGATTCATCAATTTTTCCATATTGATATTTCAAGTAAATTTTTCTGATAATAATTGATATTTCATCGTTGATATTTTTACTTTTATAACAAAAATCCAATGAAATATTTAAAAATAAGTTTGTTAAACTTTCTATTCCAATTCTATTCCAAACTGTGCTTTCCAATTGGGCATGTCTCATAAATGAAGAAGAAGAAAAAGAAGAAGAGGATGTTGAGTTTGAGGAAATAAGATTATTGGAGTTGTTGTTATTAGAAAAAAGGGAAGCCGACGAATTATTTAATGAGGAATCTAAGGATGATAAGTAATTGTTATCAATTAAAGATATAAAGTTTGATTTCAATAAATTTTCAAAAATTTTATTTAAATTGTCACCATCTAAAATCATTTGTAGGACATCTAATTGATAGGATATTGAATTTAAAGTTAAATCTTGATTTTCGTTAGTTTTTCTTTTTAAAAATTGTAATAATTGATCATTTGAATAAAAAAAGTCATGTTTTAAATTTGGTTTATGTTTCAAGAAATTGAATAACCAACTTAATAGATAATTGAGACAATTGTTGTCATTGTTTTCTCTTGCTACTTGAATTGCTTCTTTAATTGATTTAATTGCTTGTAAGTCATTGCCGAAATTAGCATGTAAAGTAGCCAAGCTTAATAGGGCGTATTGATAAAGAACGTTTTGTCGGTTCGACATTATATAGTCGAAATAACGATGTAGATAGTTGTAAGAGTTTTCATAATCGTTTTTTTTCAAGGATTGAAGATATTTGATATAGTAAGAGCTTGGTAGTGTATTATTTGAATTTAATTTTGATAATAAATTTAGGATTTTTTTCAAGTTAAAAGGGATGGGAGTACCATAATTTTCTAGCAATTGGATTTGGTTATCCAAGAGTTTTGATAGATCAAGATTTGATATTACGAGCAAATTCTTTGAGTTTGAGTTTGATAATAGATTTAAATTTTGATTTTGGTTTAGTTTCGCTGTAATCTTTGAAAATAAAATCTGGTCTTCATTATGAATGTTGTTAATATTAAAATTTTTTGGTTTTGTATTAATTATTGATAGGTTTAATTGATTGTTAATGTTGAATAGGAGATTTAAGTTATTGAATAGGAGGTTTATTGATAAATTGATGAATTTGAAAGGAAAGATTAAGCTTGAGTTAATTTTTTTAGTATCGTTTGTTATAAAAGAGATGATGATATTGTGATGGTTTGAAATGAGAAAATTTGAATTAGAGTTGAGGGAACAAATTAGAGATTTAAAGTAGTTTCGAGATAGAGATCTGAATTGAATAAAGCTTTGCCAAATTAAGTTGTAATTATAGAATTCTAAAATTGTAAAAGAATTTGATATATTTAAGATGAATTTTCCCAAGTAAGAATTTTTGGTCAATAGGTTTGTCGGGTAGTCATTCTTGTTGTGAAAATTGTTAAGGTTATCGTTGTTTAAAGAATCCAATAGGAGTTTTCCTTGGTCTGATGAGTTTACTAGTAGATTTTTTGATAAAGATATTAGAGTATGTAAAGAGTCGAAGGAATCAATTGACCAGATGAATAGTAAGAGATTGAATTTTAGTATGTTTATATCATTGGTTATTGAATCCTTATTAGGAGTCTCGGCGGTTAATAACTTTTTTGATTTTTTAATTATTTGACTATTATTGTTATTGTTATTGTTATTGTTATTGTTATTATTATTATTATTATTATTATTATTATTATTATAATTAGAAATGATGTTAAAGTATTGTAAGCAAGATTTTTCTAGATCATTTATTAAGTCAATTAGTGAGGGATTTGTAAAAAATTGAACGTTGTTTAAATGGTCATTTTGATTAAAATCGTTATCGAATTGATCGAAATCATCATCAGAGTCTTCAAATTGGGAATAACTGTTTTTATCATTGTTTATATCATTATCTGCATCATTGTTTGCAATATTATCATTTTCGTCATTTTCATCTTTGGTGGTTTCATTATTTTGGTCATTTATGTTTAAATTATCAAAAGAATTAACGCCACAATCAATGAATCGAACAATTGTAGCTAGTAACGAGGGCTGAATCGAGTTTGGTAATATTCCTGTGCAATACGATACAATTAGGGAGAGTAGAGCAATTTTGATGGGAGATAAAGAGGGAGTTAATACTAACTTCGTATTATCATTGATTCGGTTGAAACTGTCTATGGTGGGACTTGAAAACATTAATTGATCAAAGAAAAGATTTAAAGAAGATGCAATGAATTGAGTTGAAAACAAAGAATCAGTAAGAAAAGAAAGCTAAACACTAAGAAGTTTCAGTTTTGCACGTGCCTCTCACGGGATGTGTCTGATTCCAGTACAGGAGCAGAAACCGGCACCACCTGGAGCATAAAAAGCGATATTTCGGAACCAAAGAACTGCAAAAAAGCCGCATACGATCTGGAAGACAATTGGAAGAAAATTTCAGAGCCATTCTTGAGCATTTTCTGAGAATTTCACAACAACTCCGGATGCCTCTCCAAAGCATTTCAGAGTAAAAACAGTTTCATCTCACGCAATGCGCCAATCGCAGTTCAAAGCAGAAATATACGCCACAGTGGCGCATAGATAGAAGTACAAAATTTCAAAGCAGCGGATGTGGTTTTGTGGTCTAGTCGGTTATGGCATCTGCTTAACACGCAGAACGTCCCCAGTTCGATCCTGGGCAAAATCATGTTTTTTTGCTTCCTCTTTTTTATCTAGCACTGCTGCCGGTTGAAGGAGGAGAGCAAAGAACATTGCCAACAGGAGCAGTTTTCCGGGCTCGCCGACAAGTGCTGCTGTGCTGCTGTGCTGCTGTGCTGTTGGCCATGTTCCAGTCATCACTGGCGTCGTGATCCAAGATTCATGTTGATTCGGAAAACAGGTTCAATTTGAAACTTGCACGCTCAAACTTTATTTCCGGTCCATTTTTCTATCTCAGGATGTTCATCCATTCATATGTAAAAAGACTTTTGAGTGTTTTTCAGTTTTTGTTATTTTTGGTCTGCTTTTTCAAAAAATTTCAAGTCTATTTCAACTTATTTCAATTTGTTCTAAACCAAATTAACATTTTTTAGAATTGTTTATAAAAAACTCTAATGCATAACATTTATTTTTTATTTTTATTACTAAACAAGAATCGCATCTCTCACAATTTTTTGTATTTCACTTAAAATTGCTTTTTATATATTACCAATCATATCCACTAATTCTTATTTCAACCTGTTTAAAATTAAGTAAACTAATAATTTTTTGTGTTTTCCTTTATCAATTTTTATGAAATTAATTTTCCATCTGTTTTATCTTTTTTTTTCTTTGTTTTTTTTCTTCCTATTAAATTTTTCTTCTTTCTTTTTTTCTTTGTTTTTTTCATTAACTAATTATTGGGTAATATCATATTAGTTTCATTGTATCTTTGGAATCTTATTCAAAATGTTCTTCATCCAATCTAATTTAAAATTCTCTCTATTTATATATCCATATGTATAGATCTAGATACAAGTACAGATACAGATATAAATAAATAATTGGTATATATATAGTATAACTATATCTTGTTTTTCCTCATTTCATTTTCCTACATTTTCATTTATATGAAAATAATTATTCTGTTAATTAATTATATCCAGTATCTGCTCTTATAAACTATACTATACCCTGCTCCACTATACTATATTGTCTTGCTTTGAATTGTTCTATATTTTATTACATCTGCTTTACTTGCTGAAAAATGAATGGAAATGTCAAGAACATAAATATTGACCTATTCAATAATCTACCTCCTCACTTGATTGATGCAATATTCGAAAATTTGCCTCTCAACATCATTTGGCTCTTCTCGTTATCCTCAAATGACCCAATATACTCAATATCTCTCACACACCTATTCAAAAAAATTGTCATCTTGCCTGATTATCCCTTTGAATTCAATTTCAATTTATCTCCTTCAAACTACAATAAAATCTTGATTTTAAACTACTCAAAGTCTCTATTGTTTAGCAAAAATCTACTAAACTACACCCAGTTTTTGTCCATACAATCCGAAGGTGGTAATGATTTTAACATCTTAAACCATCTAATTACCACTACTACAAGCAACAATATCAAAAGATTTAAAAAATTTAAACAAATTAAATCTTTTGCAATCTCTTTAATCTACTACCATCAAGATTACTTCTCTATAAATAACTTCAACTCTTTAATTCTAAACTTCTTGTCCTCTTTTAACAACTCTTCTCTACTAAAACTTAATATCAACTCAACTCTATTTAATAACAACTCTATTCAATTCTTTGTTAACAACATAATACATCTAAATTTTGAAAACCTATCCCTCTTGAACCTCAATTTCAATTTTCTAAATTCCATCCCTTTCTTCCCCCATTCTCCATTTACCCAGAATTTAAAATATTTAAATTTATCAAATAATAGAATAAACACAATTCAAAACTTAAATAACCTACCAAATTTGATCTACCTAGACCTATCAAACAACAACATCAAAAAGATTCAAAATTTAAACAACCTACACAATCTAAAAATTCTTAAAATTAACCTAATTCCCAACAAAAATTGGCTACAAATAGACGATGGAATCATTCTCATAGAAAACTTAAATAACCTAACTAACCTACGAATATTGCAATTAGTAGGTAACGATATCTTAGAAATCCAAAACTTGGACAATCTTAAAAATCTAATCGAACTAAACTTATCAAATAACCAAATCTCAAAGATTCAAAATCTATCAAACCTATCCAATTTAAACATCTTAAACTTGAAAAATAATTGCATATCAAAACTAGAAAATCTATCAAAGTTATCAAATTTAATAGAATTAAATTTATCAAATAATAAAATATCTAATCCAGATAACTTGCCTTACTTGAAAAATTTAAATTTTTTAAACCTAGACAATAATACGTAATAAATTTTAATGATAATAACTCTTAATTATAATAATTCCTGATGTTAATTTGTTTATTTGCTTGTTTTTATTTAGCTTGCTTTCTATTTTTTTTCTTTTTTTTCTTCTTTTCTAAATTATACAGAATCTATATAGAATCTATACACATCCACTATTAATACTCTCGCAACTTTATACATTGTTTTTCTTGGCTATATAATCACTTTTGTAATATTATTGCAATCCAGTTCCGCTTTGCTGGCAATTACTCGGCATGCCAAAAACAAGCAATTGTATGCAAGGGTTTTGATGCAGCTTAGAGTTCTATATCAAATGCACATCTGCTCTTGCCCAAATTTATCACAACAATAACTGGAAACACTCAGCTAAGTTTAGCCTGCAGTTTTGGAATTTTATGATTCAAAAACCCCAACATACACTCTTTCAAACCAATGTACTTTATTGCGTAAAAATATCTTTGAAAAACATCTTTTAAAAACATATATGAGTTTATTATTTCTATCAGAATCACAGCACAAGCTTTGTGTGACAAATTGAATATAAATGAGTCTAACCATATGAGGGGTAAAGCTCTTTTCAGTTGAATATTCAGTTGAGAATGGATGTCAAATACCCTTGTGATGGGGATGTATTCAAATTGTATTGACCATTTGGATCGATTGAATAGTTTGGATCATTTGGATTATAGAAATTATTGGGATTATTTTGAGATTCATATCATTTGTAGCATTGAAATCAATTACAATGTCTTGAGTAAAACTGAATTAATATCAGACCTATCGAACTGAAAAGATGCTTGATCTTGAGACATTGACAAATAAAAACAATTGAAGTGATGGGGCACTCAATGGATCAGATATCAATAACTAGCTATTATTATCAAAATAACTATGAGTGTTATAAGCACTGTAAAGATTAATACAACATTTTGAATAAAACCGAAAAACGAGAATGGATGATGAATAAGAAAAACAGATTTGCAAATGGGATAAACCAATAAAAGTAGCAGCATTGTTGCATTTTAAGAGACTTATACATTTATGTATCACTAAAGTAAGTCTTCACATTTTTTGACTTCTCGTTCATTTTTCTTTCTTTTCTTTTGTTTCTTTTTTACCTTTTTGGGTAGATTCTATTTTACCTTTTTAAAAATAAATAACTAAAAAGCTTCAAGTTTTATTTAAAATACTGTTATAATACAAAACTAACTGCAATATAATATCAATTTGATTTAAATATCTTGCTTTTCTTCCATCAAGAGAAAACACTTCATATTATCTTTTTGCAGGGTTCAAGAAAAGTAAGATAGTTAATGAGTTATTATTCATCTTAAACTTTAAATTCAACAATTAAAAAGTAACTAAAAAACCACTAAAGCATAAAATAATTGAAGCTTTTATTATAAATTGTTTTGGCTTAAGACTGTCAAGATGACTGCATATATAATCCTTTATTGTTAAATGAAGCACCCTTGTTAGTTTTTATCTAATTTTTATTCAATCCTCATTAGTAAAATTTATTAACTTCCAGTTATACTGGAATCTGTTTTGATTATTGGATTAGAATTTGTTTTTTTGAATGTTGATTTTTTTGGATTAAAAACTTGACAACAATAAGTATTGTATCGTGGTGTTTATATAGTTTATGAAGAGCTGTATTGATCAAGATTGTATATATTGTATTAAATTTTTGCCTTTGTCATTGTGATAGAACTTGAAAGTAACACAAGTAAATAAATTTTGATTGATAATCTTATAAAATTTTATTGAACTATGAAGCAATGCAATATATAATCTAGCTCCGATAAACTGAGATTTTCTTCCCTTCAGCAGGGCTAAGAAAAACTTTTCAAGCAATATGATAATAAATAGAAATTTTTAACATTAGGCTGATATTTAAGTGTACTAATATCATTTATATGAGATTATTTTCCAGAGTGCAGACGTTGTATCAATAAAGGCTTTTATGGCAGGATTAAGAAATGACATATTTTTTCAGTGAAATGTGATGTTGAAAATTTGATAGATGTTAAAGGCCACATCAAATACATATATATATAACACAAACAAAAGCTTGAGATGTTTTTTTTCAATAATAGGTTAACAATTAGTTTTTTTTTCAACAAAATATCTCAGCTCTGCAGAATAATTAGAACATTTTGCCGTTCCCATGTTATTTTGAGAAAATTCTAAAAGGAATATATAATTAGATTGGATTAATTTGACAATTAAATAGGTGTTTTCTTCAGTAATTGTTTTCTTTTGATTTTTATCAAATTATTTGTTGTTAAAGATCAACATTCTAAATCACTTTCAAGTTTTCACAAAATGGAATTTTTGTTGATTTAAACAGCATGTTTTCTGCGTGCAACTTATGGGATTTTTTCTAGTTGTTTTTTTGCTTGAATACCACTATTTTACATCCAATATATATTGTTTTATGACTCCTAAAATCCAACAACAAGCAAACTATTTCATTGAGTAATAAAATTGAAATAGATGATGATGGTGTGTTTTCAAGTATATTAAGATTGATAGCTTGGTTTTTTAAAGTGATTTACAAGCTAAAATAGAAATTTTTGAATCAAAGGTAATCTTTAAAGTGATGTAATTTATTGTTGTACAACTGGCATAACCTCAACAAAAAAAAATGGAATTTTAGTGCATTATTTTTTTGGTTTTGACCACAATATGATTACGTGGACTAATAAAAGCAGTTTTGGTATACTTAGTTTAGTGACGAAAATTTTGTTTATTCAAAAATTTGTTAAAGCAAAGTCAAAACAATTAGGGAGCTTGTTTGTTTTGATTATTGATTATCAGTGTGGAGTAGCTTTTATCCTAATATTTTGATTTTGGAATTTGTTTATGACCAGAAATAAATTTTAAAAGTACAGTTGATTGTAATTTACCTTGTCTTTGCTTTTTTTCAAGGAATTAGATAAAGATGCGTTGAAAAAATAAGTTTTTGATTTATTGTCATAAAAAGTTAGTTTACGGGTCATAAACAAAATAGCAAACAAGTCAAAGTTCTGGATGTTGCACAGAAGATTCAAATAGAGCTATTGACCTGAAAATAGTGAAAAAAGCAGGTATAAAGTCACAGGAGACCATTAGGTAGCTTTTTTGACCATTTGGGCATTTATCTATGGGATGAATATATAATCAGCTCCAATTGGTTACAAAACACGTATGGTGTAAATGCCGACGCTGTTTAAGTTTTCCGTTTTGTTGGCAAGGTGCAACTGAATGGCCGAGCAAAATAAGCAATTGCATGCAAGGGTTCGATGCATGCATGAAGCATATATTAATGTTTATGATTGCTTCTTTTTGTCCTTCTTTGGAGCATTTACATTAGGTTTGTTTGGGTAAGCAAGTATATATATCTATATTTGGTGGTTTTCCATACACACAATTTTGGAAAACAGTGTTATTGCTTTATTCAATTAATTGCTTTATTTCTTATGAAATGTGATTGAAATAATTTACCTTTGCTTTTGCTTTTGATTTTAATTTGAGAATAGATGAAAACATTAATCATTTATTTTCTCATTTTTTTTTATTAAATTGAAATGAATTCTATTAATTTTTTAGGCTCTTTGGACAAAAATGACATTGAAAGTTCAAAAAAATCAAACGAAATTGAAAAATCTATCGGGAGAGATAATGGAAACGAAAATGAAAAAGAAACTGATTTAGAATCAAATTCGAATTTGAACTCTGGTTCCGATTTTGATTTGAAAAGGGGTTTAAAAGCTCGACATCTTCAGCTTATTGCTTTAGGTGGTTGCATTGGGACAGGATTGTTTGTTGGATCAGGTGGAGCATTAGCTGTTAGTGGACCAGCAGCATTATTAATCGGGTATGCTATTCTATCATTTGTGATATATTTTGTTATGAATTCACTTGGAGAGATGACTTGTTTTATGTGCTCAAAGGGAGCATCAGTTCCTCAATATGTTACACGATATGTTGATAGTTCATTAGGATTTGCAGCATCATATAATTATATTTATGCTTATGCTATCTTGGTTCCTGCAGAGATTTCAGCCGGTGCAATGGTTATACAGTATTGGACCAGTGATGTTCCAGTGGCTGTTTGGATTACTATTCTTTGGTTGGTGATTGTTGCACTAAACTTCTTTGCAGTTCAGTATTATGGCGAAGTTGAATTTTGGTTTGCATCATTAAAAGTGATTTGTATCATTGGGTTATTGATTCTTGGTGTTGTTTTATTCTTTGGGGGAGGGCCTGCACAAAATGGTAGATTGGGGTTTCATTATTGGAAGAACCCAGGTTCAGTTAGAGAACATTTGGCAGTGGGAAATGCAGGCAGGTTTTGTGCAATTTTAACAGCAACTATTCGATCAGGTTTTGCGTTTATTTTAAGTCCAGAGTTGATTACTATTGCAGCAGGGGAGACTCAGAATCCAAGAAGAAATCTTGCAAAGGCTACAAAAAGATTTGTTTATCGAATTGTGTTTTTCTATATGTTTGGTGCATTGGTTATTGGGGTGATTGTGGCATATAACGATGAAGGGCTATTAAATGCAGTGAATTCAAAGGACTCAACAGCAGCAGCATCGCCATTTGTTATTGGGATTCAAAATGCAGGAATACCGGTGTTGAATCATATTATAAATGGTGTTATCTTAACATCAGCTTGGTCGTCGGGAAACTCATTTTTATATGCAGCATCAAGAAACTTGATGAAAGCAGCCAACGAAGGGTTTGCACCCCAGTGGATGGGAAAGTGTAACAAGTGGGGAGTCCCCTATTTTTCAGTGATGATTTGTTCAGCGATCAGTGGATTGGCATATTTAAACATTACTTCTTCCTCGTCGTTGGTGTTTACATGGTTGTCGAATATTTGTACAGTGTCAGGGTTTATTGGATGGATAGTGATTGGAATCACATATTTGAGATGGAGATCAGCAATGTTCTACAATGGTCTATGGGACAGGTGCACATTCAAAACGCCATTGCAACCGTACTCAACCTATTTTGTGATAGTCTTTGTGAGTTTGGTTACAATTACAAATGGGTATGCTATTTTCTTTCATTTCAATGCGTCGGACTTTGTTGCAGCGTACATCACCATACCCATCTTCTTCGGGTTGTACTTGGGCCACAAAGTATGGCACAGGACTAAGTGGTTCTACGCTGTGGAGGACATCGACGTAATAAGTGGATTGGAAGCGATTGAAGAAGAAGCAGCAAATGCTTCTCATCCAGCTGCAAAAAACGTGTGGGAGAAAATCTGGTTCTGGGTCGCGTGATCAGATGTTGACCACGCACATGGGTGTATGCATATACGCATCTATGTTGCATATTCCAATGTCCGCAGTTGCCGCTTTGGGACACAACCCCACACTGCTGGCTTTGCGTTTGTTTTAGACGGCAGTGTTCTTTTTGTCCGTTCTTTTTGTCTGTTCTTTTAGTCCAGTGCAGTTTTCTTTTTTCGGTGCTGGAAGTAATTTCAAAGTATTCCAAAGCAGTTTCACAATATTCGCAATGTAGCCTTCAACTGCTCTCCAGATGCTCTCCAGATGCTGGCAAAGGCGTACCTGATGCTCGTGGAGAACCACTAGCCCGAAATGTAGAACACCTTTGCAATGAAACGATCTCATTTCTCTCTTTTCTGCCATTTGCATAATCTGTCTCAAACAATTGCCTAATCTGACCAGCCCATCAGCAATTACTCCATCTCTCTTACCATCGACCACATTTGTAAAAAAAATAACTGATAATATCAATATCATCTCGTTGCTCTTTTGGGTCTCGTTGGCGAATCATCTGGATCTAAAGTTGTGTCCATTTTCTCTTTTCCCCATCGTTTAGCTACACTCCAACTCTATCAACGTCTATTTCTGTAATGGCTCCCACTTTATTGCCTTTTTGATATTGCAAACAATACGACCTGAAATACCACCCAGCTACTGCTAATCTTATAAATACTTTCCAAATATCGCTTCTTCAACATGTCTAAACCACTTGAAACACTTTTGGTCCTTTACACCACTCCTATACCATTTTCTGTCATTATATATCGCTGCAAACTATCCTATTTTGAACTAATTTAACGTTTGTTTTTTATTTTTCAAAAATTCTATACTATATCCTATTTCGCACTATATTATATTATATTATATTATACTATCCAATATCAACTATTTATCGATTACTGATCTATCACATATCCATCGAATATACACTATATCTAATCCCTTATCTCGAACTTGCCCTTTCCAAAAATTTGTTCTCCTACTGTACTATTCTCTTCTCACTCCTGATTGTTGGATCGAAAAGAATTTAAAATAATATAAATTTTAACTCTTCTACCATTCTTTTTCCTGTTTTTATTGCAAAATTACAGAGTCAATTTCTTTCCTCCAACTTTCAATTATTGAATTGCCTTCTTCATTTGCTGATTCCAATTTTCTAACTCCAATTTTTATCGCTAGCATCAATATTAACATCAATATTAAATAGAAAAAAAAAAAGAGAGACAAAAAAAACAAAAAAAAACAAAAAAACAAAATAAAAAAAACTCATTATAATAATAATACCAAACACAATAACTCTAATCACTACAATAACAAGCATATCTATATATCTATCCTAACTATTCGTTAACATTAGTCTTTTATGTCATCCATAATCACTATTATTATTAATTAATATATTCAAAATAACTAACATAATCAATATACTACTCGGTTAACGAATTAACAACATCTCCATATCTAGTCTTATATCCTCATTATTTTTATTACTCCATATATTTACTTGCTCATTTATCCCCATTTCCAAACCTGCTTTTCTTATCCTTCTCTCATTATTGTTCTTCAAGCTTATTCACACTATTGTATTAATACTCACAATACTCACAATACTCACAATACTCACAACACTAATAATAATAGCTAATTTTCTAATATCTTACCCCTTAAGTGCCCATTCATCAATGTCTCAAGATCAAGCACCTTTGCAGTTTCATCCATCTGAAATCAACCCAGCCTCCCTCAACAATACCATAATCGATTCCAATCCCACAAACGATATTAACTCCAATAACCCTAATAATTATAATTACAATAACCCAAATGATCCAAATGATCCAAATAACATAAACTACTCAACAGACCCAAATGGTCAAAATAACTTGAATATATCCCCACCACGAGTATATTCAACATTCAATCCCAACTCAATATCGAACTCACAAGAACTTCATCCCATAGGCTCAGACTCTTTTATTTTCAATTCATACACACAAAGCTCGTGTTCTGATTCTGATGAAGACGACGATGAAGACGATGAAGATGAAGATGATTACGACGACGAGGACGATATCGATATAAACAACGAAAATGACGATGTTGTCAGTAGACATCTTCAAGAAATTGACGACATTGCTGAACAAGTAGCCAACTCAATCTCTTCAACTGCTGCTTCTTTAAAACTTCGAACTGATCCAAACTTATTATCCCAAGAATCTATTGTTTCTGAACTAGATTCCCCAAGAAATATTCCCAATCCAAACCAAAACCAAAACCCAAATTCAAACCAAAACCCAAACCAACAACAACAACATTATCCAGTTCAGCTTCAGACTAATAGAGATATCGACAACCTTTTAAGACAAAATGAATTATTAGTATTTAAAATAAATCAATTGGAAAAAATAAGAGACGACCAATTTATTAAAATCTCAAATTTTAAAAAAAAATTATGGGACATTCTAGATTTATCAACAAAAAACTATTTTGTAACCAACTCTGACGTTTATTCAATTCACAATAATGTTGATCACAATAATATTGATCAAAATAATATTGATCAAAATAATGAAATTCTTTCGATAAATTCAAAAAATATTAATCAATTACCCAACAGTAATGATAATAACAATAATAATGATAATGACAACAACGAAATTAACAACATTAACAACAATAATAATGACATTGATAATACCAGACAAACAATGAACACTGAGGTTAGCAAATATTTTGATGCGAAAGACGAATATATACCCAGTAGTCAAACCAACGATTTATCTCAAATTAATGATATCCCTTATGTATCGAATGAAGACGATGATAATCAAGAAAACCAAAATGACGGACAAAGAGATCTCAACAACCTCAATGCAGAATTTAAAACCAACTCTGATATCACTATGAATGAAACCAATGAAGAAATTAATCGAAATAACAATGAACCTCTAAAAGAAATTGAAAATGATGTCCATAATAATAACCGGACTTTTAACAATGAACATGCAAAAAAGCCTCCATCTCATCCTCCACCTCCTCTTTTATTTGATCATTTAAATGCTGATGGAAAGCCTTTTAAACTTAATAAATATATTCATACACCAATGAAACAATCGAGTAATGTTGACTTTTCCTATTGTCTGGCTGGAGAATACGTATCCAATACCTCTGAAACTACTGATGATGAATCAGACAATGCAGAAATTGGTCGTAATAAAAATATTAATAATATTGATAATAAAAATGATATTAATAACATTATTGGTACTGATAATGACGACATTGATAAACTATTTGCAAAAATTACTGAAGCAATTAATTTAAATAATAGTAAGCTATCCTCAGTCTTGAAAGATAACTATACCTTTGCTGAGAAAAATAGATACTTGGATGCCAAAATCGTCCAAGTATTTAGCGAAAAGGACAAGTTATCTACGAAATTAATTGACATTAATACAGATTTAATGGATTTGAAAAATTCAAATTCAGATTTGATTTCAAGTAACATATCTTTGAAAAATGAAGTGGCTCATTATAAGAGAAAACTTGGTAGATTAAATGATTCCAATAATGTTTTATTAAACAAAAATAGTAAAATTGCCGAAAAAAATAAAAGTTTAATTGAAGAAAACTTGGAATTGATGAAAGAAAATTCAAAATTAACAAATCAATTAAATAAATTCTCTAATGAACTAACACTTAGCCAAAATGAAAAGGAAAATATTGAAAAGAACTCAAGTCAATCAATAGAAATGTATTCCAAAAAAATAAAATCGGTGTCAGAAAGATACAATAACTTAAAATTGAGATATAAAGATTTAAATAATGAGATTTTGAGTTTAAGAGAGGAAAAGGACAATATGAATGAAATCCATAAAAAGGTACTTAAAAAATATTATAGAGTTACTGAAAAACTTACAACTGCCAGAGAAACCATCGATGATCTTCAAAATTTAAAAAATGTTAACGATTTCTTTAAGGATAAATATAACGAATCAAATGTTGCCATTTTTCGATTAGAAGATGAAATTAAAAGGTTGAGAATGAAGTTGGATTTGGTAAAAAGTGGCAGCGATGATAATGAATCATTTTCTCATTTTCAAAATGACAGATATTCTGAATATAGAGCGTATCATCCAAGCATGATGAACAATCCTCTTGAATCTCGTTCATCATTATATAACTAGCAATGCATTTTTTTTTAATTTTTAGTTCATTTGAATTCATTTCAGCTCATTTCAGCGCATTCCAACTCATTTCAGTTCATTTCAAATCATTTTAGCTATTTTTTTTTTTTTTTTTNTTTTTTTTTACTTTTTTTTTTCAATATTTACTGATAATTTGTTAGATTTTTGAGTCTATTTTTACAAAATTTAATAGTTACTGGATTGAAAAATTGGTTTATTGTAGTGACTAAATTTATGCTGTTAAAAAGACAACTATTATTTATTTATAGAATGCATTATTCTGTGTATCTAAAGCCACCTAGTATTAATGGTTTTTTAGGTAGCCTACCTTGACTGGGTAAAAGCATTCTTAACTGTTGTCTATTATCATCTGCACTAGATATATAGACGAACCCCATTATCGAAGATCTCAACACTATATCGAGTGGATCATTTAATTCAGCATGAGAGATGGCTAGTATTGAATTTTGAACATTTGAATTTGCCACTTCAATTTTTATCAAAAAATCAGTGTTATCAGAATGATCCTTTGTATTTTCTTGGTCATCGGTTTCTAATAACTCTCCTTGATCATCTAATTTCGGTATAAGCTCTGCAAAGGATTGGGATTCTATTTTCAATGTTTTTGAATCCTTTATCCTATAGATTAGCAAGTCGGAATAACTAACAGTGATTGTATAAGGAGATAAAACCGATTTAGGGAAACCATAAAAGTACTCCTTGATTGTTTTTTGTTGCAAATTTCTATTGAAAACGTCTGATTTATCAACACAACCATTATTTTTATTAATTTTTAGAATTTGAAAGAAGGATTTACTGTTCAAATCGTTTTTGGGGTTTATTTTATTTGCCAATTTTTTTTTTAAATCAATAAACAACCTCTCATTTCCGACTACTAGAACTAGATTAATTTCAAAATCGGATATGATGTCTTCAATGATTTCAACATCATCAACGGTTTTTTCATCATTATTGCTATTTTCTTTTAATTTATTTGAAAAGGGAGGGGTATCGACTATTATGCCTGAATTTTTGTTATTTTGAGAATTCAATCTTGATAAAACGGTTTTACTCAACCTTGTAACTTCATATCTATAAAAGGGCAAGTTTTCTCTAATTGAATCAAAGCCATAGTATTTGGCAATGACTTGTTTGGAATGAACAAGAGATGGCCCAGAAGTCAAACTTTGACCCCAGCCATTTTCCACGTCTAGTATATCGTTGATTTCTGTTGCAACTAGAGTTCCAGGTGCCGAATATATTCCCTCGTTGGGATTCAAATTGACGTATAGTGGTTGTCTGTTTAGTTTCAAAGCATATGAACATAAAATTTTGGACAACGTAGACTTTCCGGAATTCTGGGGACCAATAATTAATAGGTATGGAGGTTTGCAATTCATTAAATCAGCCTGGTAGCGTAACTTCTCCAACATGAAATGTAAATTGAGATACTGGTTCATAAAGGTTTCATCTGAGATATATTCTGAGGATAGGGTGCCAGTGTATTGAAATTTGCAGCCAGTAAAGCTGAAGAGAGAGGACTTGATCCCACTGAAGGTGAAGTCCACATCATTGGGAAGATCTGTGCCATTCATCTCGCTACTTCCCTCAACTACCTTCAAAACAAACTTTTCCTCAAAACCAACCTCAAATCTCCATTCAGAATTGGCAGGCAATTCGACGGTTTTCCATTTTGTGTTGGCACCAAACTGCAATGGCATCAGTTAGCTGATTATGTCTGATAATTGTGGATGAAAAGTGCACCAGTCAAACATACCTCTTCCTTGGGTTTATTAAAAAACGTAGACATTGTGTTGCAATTGTTGTTGTTGTTCTTCTGCTTCTTCTGCTTCTTCCACAAAAGAACTTTCTTCTTTGAAAAGCTCACGAAAACGGCGCCACTCAGACGGGTCTCCTCTTTCCAAAAAAATTTTCACATTTTTCAGCAGAAGCCGAAAAAGAACAGAATCAAACAGAATCAAACAAAAGCAGAAGAAGAGAAAGAAAAGAAAGAAGCAGAACAGAGATTGGACCATGAGCTTGCTGACAGAAAACCACCATGTTGCGTTGGTGTTGAAACAGTTGGAGACGACAGAACCTCCTACTGATTTCCAGCTTATTCTTAAGTTATTGACTACCACTCCTTTTTTGAGCCAGACATCGCAGCAGGACATTCAGCATTTGGTGAAGAGGTCGTTGAACTTTCTTAATGATTCTGATTTATATGCTCAATGGTGTGGAGTCAATTTAGTTAGATGTTTGTCATACAACCCAATTGCGTTGTCGTTTTCTTCTAACGTGCTCAAAAACTTGGTTAAGATTCTCATTGATTTCAATCGGTTTTATACTCCAACTGATTTTTTTCACGACAGCTTTTTAAAGATTGTCTTTGACAATGTTTGTGAGACGATATTGGTCTTTGATTTGAATATCAAGGATAAGCAGACGTTAGCCAGAGAGATACTAACTCCTAATTTGCCTCATATTTTTACAAATTTGATCCAACTGATAGACTTTTCCCCGGAACTAGTTATACAAATTCTTTTGATTTTGCTAAAGAATCATCCAACAACGTTTAGGTCCCAGGCAAATAAGTTTCAAAAAAAACTATTTGCATTATTAATCAAAAATTCCAATACTTCATTTCACGATAACGGAAATAATAATTTAATTAAACTAATTTGCGACTCAATTGCTTCGATTCATTTAGTTGATCAGAAATCTGTGGCAGATCAATTTAATTTGGAGTTGTATTCAATCATATCAGAGATCAAGTCATTGGTTGTTTTAGTGTTTGACGAGTTTTTAGATAACAGTAACAATGATATATATTTGAAAAACTTGATTGATTCGTTACCAAATCCAGGTCAGAATCAGAAGGATATTTTCCCATTGTTGAGTGTTGATTTGAATGATTTATCATCATTGTATCAGATTTCAAAGAGATTTAAATTATTAATTGAGTTATTATTATCGTATTTAAACAATTCGTCTGATAATGTATATAAGATTCCAATTGGTTTGATAATAAACATTTCGGAAATTTTATTGAATATTTCTTCAAGACATCAAATTCCATTTAAGAAATCTTTGTTAATTACAAAATCAAGCAATTTAGAATTGGGATATATTTTGGACGATTTATTTATTGACGTTCAATCGACTGGGTTGCATTTGATAGATAATTTGAGAAACTCTTATTCGAGTTCATTATTGCTACATTTCAATAGGATTTTTGGATACATTGAGTTAGTCATTCCATTTAAGAAAACTGGCACTCCTAACAATAAGAGCAAGAAGAATGGTAAGAAGAATGAATTTAAGAAAATTTTGGATAAAAGTACTGTTATAAATCATGAAAAAGAAATGGTTTTATTGTTATCAACAATTAAAGGATTATTAGGATTATTAGATGATTCTGATTTGAAATATTTGGATTACAATCTAATAATTTTGAAAGCTATTGAAATTTCGTTGATTTTATTAGAACTGAGATGTTTGATTGATGGTATTTTTACCAGTACACAAGATAACAAAGAGAAGAGTAAGAACAAGAATAAGGGGAACAAAAAAATCAGTAATAATTTTAAAGGCATTCCATTGAGTGATTTAGCTTCTAGTCCTAAAAAGTTTATGAAAAGTGTATCGAATTTATACAGGATTATTATATTGAGATTTTTAAAGGAGATTTTGATCAAGTTTAGTAAATTGCCGATCAATCAGTATACAATGATAGAAAGAATGGTTATATTGAACTGCATTGATGGTGGATTTAATAAGAGTGTTATTAGGGAAGAAGAAGAAGAAGAAGAAATAGGGAGATTAAAGATAGAGTTATTGATGACGTTTATGATGTATCCGAATGATAAAGAGAGGAATTCGATAAGTGGGATAGTTTTGAAGATCTTTGAGGGAAATGGGCAAATTAGTGTTGAGGATAAAGAGATGATTAGTTTGTTCATAAATCCCCGGATTCCATTAGGAAAGCAAATTGTTAATGTGGATGATAGTGAAAAGAGGAATAATGAAGAGATAAATAATGAGGAGATAAATAATGAAGAGAAAAATGATAGCGATGAAGAAGAAGAAGAAGAAGAATCGCCAGCTAAGCGCCGAAAGCTCAATGTTTTATCGGTATTTGGAGAGAATGAATCATTGAAAGAGAAAAAAAGTGTTGATAAATATAACAATGACATAGTGAAGAATGAAGAAGTGAAAAAAGTAAAAGAAATTAAAGAAGTAAAAGAGATTAAAGAAATGAAAGAGATTGGTAAAAAGATTGAGATTGATAATGAGATTGATAATAAGATTGATAATAAGATTGATAATATGATTGATAATATGATTGAATCAGTTGAATTGAAGTTGAATTCCGGATTGGATTTGGAATCAGATTCAAATTCAGATTCAGAATCAGATTTTGAAATGCCAGCTATTGATACTGGAGTCAGTGATGAAGAAGATAATGATGATGGTGATGAATGATATTTATTTTAGATCTTAAACAGTTATATAAATATATAAATATGCTGAAGCGAGTATGAAGCGAAAGTTCATATAATTTATAGAATAATATTTCATTGAATGATATTTCATTGAACGACAATTTTGATTATAATTTTGATTATAATTTTGATTATAATTTTGATTATAATTTTGATTTTGATTGCAGAGAACCAAATTGAATTAAATTTTGAGGAGCTCTTTGAGCATATTCAGTCCAACTTCCATCGTAGAGCAAGATATCCATTTGGGATACTTTGGAGATATCGAGAGCAGTTTTGAGGATGCAAGCAGTTACACCAGTTCCACACATCACAATAGTCTTATTTGCAGGATTGAAGTGGTAATTTTCGGATAGATTGTTGAAAATCTGGGTGAGGGAGTCCTTTGACTTGAAAGTTTTGTCTTGGTTTAGTACTTGGTCGAAAGACAAGGAAATTGCACCAGGAACATGGCCAGAAGGTAGACCAGGTCTTGGTTCTGGGTCGTCGCCAGTAAATCTCCCGAGACTTCTGGCGTCGATTATGTTGTAGGAATCGCGAAGAGAGGGATCATTGATGATGTTGACGAGTTGTTCATAGGATAGGACAGAGAAGGGGCTGTATTTTGGGTCTTTGATGAGGGTGGAGAGGTCGTGGTAGAGAGATTGAAGCAACGATTGGGTTTTGGCATCAGGAGAAGGAGGAGCGTTTGAGAGAGAAGGTAGAGGAGAGTCTGTTTGAACAGGAGAAGAGTCAATTAAAAAGTCTGAGGATGGTTTGGTTTGTTTGTAGGTGTTGTAGTTGTCTAATATGGAGATGTAGGGGTAGTTGAAGAAGCCAAAGGTCCAGGCAGCTCTTGGGCTGGAAAAGTTGTTGCCTTTGTCGTAGATCACCAACTGGTCGTTTTGAGAAATACCCAAGGTAAGCATGCTCTCTATGAAAACGTCCTTCTGTGGCAACATATGAGGATAAGAGGATTGTTTATCGACATATTTGTCGAGATCAAAGAAGACAGAGTTGGGAATTCGTTCTTTCTGGAACTCGTTGAAGCCATTTCGTGGGTCGTTGGGCATGAACCAAGTTGCGTCAATTGGAATGACGCGAGAGGCCTCGGTGGAAGTCTTCAACAAAAGAGGATACTGGTAGGCTGGGAGGATGTTGAGGTAGTTCTTGAAAAGCATCTTTGAAAGCAGCTCTTTCGCAATGGCAGAAAGATGGTGATTCAGCTTCTTTCGCTCCAGCCAAATCAGTGGTTATATCTGAAGATCCACCACTGTGGAATCCAGTCTCGTGCTCAAAAACACCGAGCGTCACCTGACATCTGAGCCAGGCGAGCGCTCGCATCTTCCAAGCATGTTCGCTAAGAGCTGATTGGTCTCGTTCGGCTGCTAGCTTTCTCGTAATACTCGGTGGTGGTTCAGACGGAAGCTAGATTTCCGGAGAGCACGGGCTCTGATTGGCCTGGAGAGGAGCCGAGCGCAGTTGGCAATGCAACCGTGGTCTGGGCCAACGCCAGATGAGAACATGCGCAGGACTGTACACGTGCAGCCGCATCGTGCTGCACTTGATAATACGCAATGCGTGTGTACGTCAATGCATGCACAAGCGTGTACCGGATGCGTCCGTGTGTTTCCGACCACGGATTCTGTTATGCGCGGATTAGCAGCCCGGGGCGTGTTGCCACTGGTGAATGAGGTGCTTGTGCTTCCTCTTTCTCTTGTTATTTTGCTTCTTGTGCCGCTGCTTCTTCTGGTGCCAATTTTGGCTCCTGTTTTGCTTCCAACTGCTATTCTTTCTCTACTTGTTCCAGCGGCCAACGGTCCACTTTCAGCTGCCTCTGAAACTAAATTCCAAATTCCATCTCCCTTCATCAGGCAATCTCACGTAAAGAAGAAGGATAAAACACCAAAACACAACAAGAAAAAATTTTATTCTTTTCTTTCACTCGAGATTACATTTATCAATTATCGTCTATCACTAATTCATCACTTTATTTAAACTGGCTGTATTTGATATTCTTTGTTACTTTTCATTATATTCATCTTTCTCTTCGTCTTATCTTTGTCTTATCTTCATCGTCTATTTTCTCTCTTTTACTTACTATACTATATCTTACCCCCTCTATCTTTATCTCCATTTCTAATTGATAACACTACTCTATCATCATAGCATATTATCCACTTCCCCAACCCCTTAATTATCCAGTTTCTCTTATAACAGTCCACTCAATTTATTCTCCAAGCTCTCTGAAAATGCTCTCCAGTCTCCAACTCTATCAAAACCTCTTCCAGCTCTTCATCTCAAAGAAAACCCACGACAAATACTATGGCTACAACATAGATATCAAGCACATCTTCATAATGGCAAATAACAATTTTGCTACTTCCACAAACTGTTTAAAGATTAATACCGACTCTTCAAACTTTTTAATTCTCTTCAACCTAAACAACTCAACAAACTTGATTGTAGTCCACAACTATGCTGATTTGTTTATCTTCAATTTCTCAGATTTGAACCCCAAGTCTTTATTCATCAACATCAAAAAATTGGGCATCCTAGACAAAGTCAAGTCTCTCCAAAAACACGCAAAAAATAACTACAACCTCTCAAGAATATTGCAAATCAAATTCATCAACTTCAATGTCAACACCACCCAATTAGACAACCCTACCAACAAAAACCACTTCAACGACTTTCTAAATCCCCCAATAGATTTATCAAATCTACCCAAGTTGCCTGATTTGCCTGAATTGCCTGAATTATCACAACTAACTGGTCTATCCCAATTGACTGACTTGAATAAACTAAACAAGTTCAATTTCACAAAATTCGATTCAAATTTTGATTCAGATCTTCATCTAGACTCAGATTCAGATATCGACATGGATTCATCTTCTGATTCATCTTCTGATTCATCTTCTGATCTAGATTTAGATATAAATATTAATAATCGTAATGCTAATGATAATGATAATGATAATGATAATGATAATGTTAATGTTAATGTTAATGTTAATGTTAATGATAATGATAATGCTAATGACAATGATAATGATAATGATAATGATAATAATGATAATAATGATAATAATGATAATAATGATAATAATGATAATAATGATAATGATAATGATAATTATAATGATAGTGATAATCCTAATAATGACAATCCTAATAATAATAATTTTAATAATAATGATTTAGACTTAGAACCAATATCAATATCAAATATAAACAATATAAACAATATAAACAATATAAACAATATAAACAATATAAACAATATAGACGATATAAACAATATAAAAAACTTGAATAAACAAGAAAACTTGAATCAAAACATCGCTCCCCTAAAACAAAAGACTCCCATCGATAATGATGATGAAACTGATATCCAGTTTTCTAATGATGACTATGATTATGATTATGACTTCGACTTTGACATTGATCATAATCACCATAATCATAACCATAATAATGATATTCATAAAAATAATCATAACGATAACAATAATGAGAATAATAATAATAATAATGCCAGTGCTAACACTAACTCTAACGCCGGCGCTAATTCTAAAATTATCACTAACACCAACGCCAACACTAACTCTTATGTTAATGATAATGACGAAGAAAACAAAATAACTAAAAACAAATTCAAACAAAAGCTCACTAATCTTCAAAACAATGATCAAAATGAAATTCAATCCAAAGACCAAAACAACATTCAAAATAAAGACCAAAATCAAACTCAATCAAAAATTAACTCCCAAAAAGAAAAAAACCCTCTTCCATCCCACATCATCTTAAAGAAACTACAAATCTTTAACCACCTCAACAAATTCAACTTCTTTATCAAATTCCTCTACTACTTCATCATCGATGAAAACCCCTACATCAACATCTGCTTCAACTCTGACATCAATGACATTATTTCAAAAGTCAACCAATTCACCCTAGATGATTTGTTAATCTTTGACAATAAAATTAATCAAAATATAATCACAAAATCTCACAATAATCATCACAAAATAATCCAAAATACCCAAAATAATACAAAAAATAACATTACCAATAATCAGAAAATAAATCCTCAATTTATCACTTCAAAAAAGACAAAGTTCAATAAACTTAAAAAACTAAATAATAAGCCTAAAAGGACAAAAACAATTAATGATACTAATAACATCAACAAAATTTCAAAACCAAATAAATCAAAATCAAATAAACCTACAGACTCTAACAAACTCAACAAAACAACTAAAAATATTCACAAAAACAATATCAGCATGACAAGAAATATAGTTCAACCTCCAATTAACTTTAAAAAATCAATTAATCTATTTAAAAGTTCTCAAGATAAAAATCAAATTCAAGATAAAACCTCAGATAAAAATGACTTAAACATCAACCTTATTAACCAAATTAATAAATCTCACACTGAATCTGAAGTTCAATTTCAAGCAAATAACCAGTGCCCAGTAAATTTAAGCTTTAATGAAAATCCCATTTCAATTAACTCAACTCAAGAAGATAACTTGAATGATTTAGTGTTATCCCAGGGTGACTTGGCAACCCCAATCGCTCATCAAAACAACTATAAAATAGACCATTTCGATCAACCAAAATTAACTTCAAAAGACCAATCCTTACCTGGTCCTCGTATGAAAAATTTTCTTTCAACATCCACTGGAAATACTAGAAATCAAAAACGTCAAAACCAAATTCGACAACAACCTCAGCCGCAACTCCAGTCTCAATCTCAACAAAATCAATCTCAACCCCAACCCCAAATTCAACCTCAACAACAAAGTCAATTTTCACCTCAACCTCAATCCCAGTCTCAACAATACCAAATTTCAAATTTAAACCAGTTTTCAAATTTAAGTCAATTTTCAAATTTGAACCAATTCTCAAATGCAACGCAATTTCAAAATCCAAATCAATTTTCAAATAATACCCAGGTTCAAGAGCATGACTACCACTACAATTATCCTTACAATCCTCATAATTCCAATAATCATCCACAGTATCAAGCCCAATATTCTGGAACCTCAAATAATTCCTATCTTCATTCTAATCAAAATTACAACATACCTCAATTTCATCAAGGACAAATCGAATTAGCAAACAATCAATACAATAACAATTTTAATAATTTCAATAACAACACTATCAATAATAATGCCCCTAACCATAAAAACATTCCTGAAAGTACCGTATATAATCAAAACGTTAATGTTGATAATACCGATACTGAAAAACTTAGTGTTGTCAATAAAAATACTATTAATCCTAACATTATTAATAACAGCGATGACAATGCCAATAATAGAGAAATTCTTGACAATACTGTTCTCAATAATAAAATACACCATGAAAATATTAATGATAAGAATACCAAGAGCCAAAATAATATTGGTAAAAACACAAATAGTAAGAATGATATTAATAATGTTACAATCAATGGAAACGCAAATAATAATTTAGAAACAAGCAGTAATGAGTGTAAAAACGAAGTTAAAAACAATAGTCTATCTAGACTTTTAAATCCTTCTCCTTCAGTGGAAAGTTTCACTATCCCTTCCAAAGAGATTTCCGATAAAATTTCTGATAAAAGTTTGAGCAAGATTAGTATCCAAAATATCACAAATGAAATCAATTCTGAATCAGCTGAAAAATCAAAAAAAAGTGACATTCATGAGCTTTTAAATATCAATTTACAAAGCACAAATTTGTCTACGCTTTCCGAAAAATCAAAATTGTTTAAAAAAGGAACAATACCTAAAGACGACATTAAATTTGATGACATTAATCATATACAGTCAGTGGATTTTGAAAAGGCGATTAAAATCAAAATTCATCCTGATGATGATTTTAATAAAGTTTTGAATGACACCGAACTTTATAATTGCAAAAATAAAAGCTGTATTGTCTATTTAACCTTTGAAAAAAACATTCAAATTTTTAATAAAAAACTCCAAATTCATGATAGTTTTGATACTTGCGAAGTTTCTAGAATTATTCCAAGCGAAACCCAATTTAATGAAATAGAAAAGCAGTTTAGTTTTTCAAATGATGTCAATTCAGTTACTGAAGGCAGAATGAGAACAAGAAGAAGAGATAAAGAAAGGGAAAAGGAAAAGGAAAAAGAAAGAGAAAGAGAAACTCAATTATTGGAAAAGAGTGTTTTTTCTTCTGAATTCAAAGATTCACATTCGTTTTATACTCTATCCATCATTAATTTATTTGTTGAAAATATCAATACTAATTTTCTACTTAATTATCTGAAATTATTTCCCAGCAATGAATTTAATAAATTGAAGAGAGAAAGCTTTATGTATACTGAGAATGATGTTAACTCTATTTTGAAACCTTTAAAATTGAACAAAAAGCTAACAAATTTTTTGATTGATGTGTTTGTTAAACAAAATAATCCTTTGAATATTTCTAAAGTTCATCTTGTTACTTTAATCAAATTTTATACCAGTTTTCTATTAAACAATAAAGCAAATAGCGGTGAGAATTTGGAAGAAAAATATGACTTAATTCTAAAAGTTTTAAAGGATAATAGAAATGGGGTGCATCCTTTGTTGAAGCTAGACTCACATCAATTTGAAAGCTTTGATGCGCAATATCAACAAAAAATCATGAAAGCCAGCGATGAATTATTAAATAACCATGTCAATTCTAAGATAATTTCATCCAACTATCCATCCAATTTTAATTTTACTTTGAATTCAAGTTCTCTTCTAAACTCAAAGGCTTTAGCTGGTTTGAGAGGTGGCAATGTGGATATACACAACTTCAACGAACGTGATGCGCCTTTACTGAAACGATTGAGAAGTAGACTGTCTACTGTTGATCCTTCTGCTCACCATATGCATATCAATCACATTAAAAACAAGAGTGGTATAGTAAACATAAATATCACTCATACAACTAACAATAACAATAACAATAACAATAGCAGCAACATCGGCAACAAGAATAATAGCATTACAACCACTAGTACTAACATTACTAAAAGTGCTTATAATAACAGCAACAACGATTTGAAAGGGACTGGAAAATCTCGATTTAGCTCTAGAAAATCATCAAGAGAACCCCCTGCATCTATTTCAACACTCAAAAGACGTTCGAAACTTAGCAGTGTTTTATCGTCAAAAGAATCTAGTCCTATCGATGATTCTTCGTTCCACACAAAAAAGACGAGTATTGATGTTTGCAGTAATGCTGAAACTCGTACAACCATAGAAGAGATTTTGGACGAAAAATCAGATGTTGGGTGTCTGAATTTCAACAAAAGCTTGAAATCGGCCGAAAAGGCCAAAATCACAGATATTTCAGAGCTCAAAGAAAAAGAAATCAGCGATCCCTCTGGATCTGGCAGTTATATCGAAAGCTTCAACGGTATCCACTCCATCAACCACATTAATGTCAATAACGGAAGCCTCCATTTGAAAATCAACGAGGCAGACTCCAAAAGCGATTCCAAGGATGTCATAGTCACCAGCGATATTATTTTGGAACTTATCAGCGAAATCAAAACACACAATCGTCTCTTGGGGCATATTTTGTTGCACCGGTCCCAGTTTGCTATTTGCGACGATACTGAGAGTGAACCTGTGGAGGACGAGCTGAAGTATGAAGGCGATCTCTACGTTGAAAAGATGAAGTTGAAGATTCGAAAGTTGAGAAGCGAAAAGTCTTTTTACAAGGACCAAGCAGCCATTTACAAAGAAGAGGTCTCGATTTTGAAATCAATGATGGACAACCAAAGCAAAACTTCCACTTCTGGATAAACATTTGAGCATTCTTCTGTTTGTGCTTTATTTTCATTTCATTTCGTTTTAAATTGTTTTATTTTATGTTTTTATTTTAGCACTGATTTTGTGGCTATTTAGAAGTCCCATTTATTTGTGTTCGTGTTTGTTATTTTATACTGTCATTTCTTACCTTATCAACCATTACCACACCATTTTCTATGAGTTTATACAAGAAAATACTTTCAGAAAAGTGGTGTAGATCCAACTAAATATAAAAATATTATATAGAAATTAAATGCAAGTCAGTTTAAACTTTGTCTGTATTGAACAAACTCATCGCTAAGAACCAAGCGCCTGGTTTTTTCCTTCTCTTCCTCGTTTTCACTAGGAATCAATTGCAAATGGCTTCCATCACCGCTTCCTCTTTGTAATTTAATTTTATATGTCGCAAAATCTTCTTTCTTTATGTTATCTATTAAAAAGGTAATGACTTTGATAAACCAGTTTAGAGAAGTGGGAACATAATGTTTTGGCATTAGTCTTTCTATTTCTCCCAAAGTAAACTTTTCAACTTTGAACAATTTTGTTTCATTTCTAAATCCTACAACAAGTGCATCAACACCGGAAAAATAACATTGAAAATAATAGTTTAGCAATCTTTCCCTGTAGAATGACTTGAGTTTGATAAGTTTTTCAAAAGTAAACTCCCCAGTAATTGATTGAAGAACGTACGATGAAATGGAAATGCATTTCAATTCAAGATAATTTTTTGTAGCAGGCACTTCTTTTTCTTTTTGAGTAATGGGAGATTCATAGGCACAATCTATTTCAGATTTCAATAAAAACGAAATCGAGTTGTTTTTTTTAGTTTGGTGATTGTGATCATATGAAATGTTAAATGTTGTAAGTGAATTAAATCCATCACTGTTATTTGGATTCTTCTGTCTAGATATTATATCCATTTTGGTTTTACTATCAAGTTTTGCAATAGATTCTGGGCTTTTCACTGCTAATAATTGTTCAAAAACGTAACCAGAAACAGTATTTTTTTTTTGCCAATCAGATAAATTTTTTTCGGTTTCTCTGTAGTTATCATTTGAAATATAGATAGATTTATCAAAATAACAAACGTTAAAAGTGAAATCAAGGAGATCTGAAAGACCACAAGCAGCAAGTCGTGCCAAACAGCCTCTAGTGGTCACAATATTTGGTTGAAGTTTAAAATTTTTATTTTTATTTTTATTTTTATTTTTATTTTCATTTTCATTTTTGTTTTTATTTTTATTTTCACTTTCATTTTTAGTATTTGAATTAGTCATTATATTATCATCAATTTTAAGCCCAGGAAGACTCATTACTACTTGATCAATTAAATCATCGTTTGAACCTTCAACAATTTTAGGATTAGAAATTTTAAGACTAGAAAATTCTTTCTCAAGTTGATTATTATCCTTGTTTAGAATACGAGTTTGTGTTTTTTCATAGTTTTTCAAAGTTGTTAAGACATTAGATAATTTTGAATGTTTTCTATCCAATATTAATAGATCGAAATCTTTATAAGGGATATTTAAATTCAATGGATTTCTCAAGCTAATGTTTTGGAGAGGATCATAATAATTTAAATTAAAATATTTATCATCTAAAGTTTCTGTTTGAGATACTTTTGAATAGCAATCTATTTCAACACGATTTTCTAGAGCCACTGAGGTAGTATATGTCAATTGAAAAGAATCATTCCTATTTAGTGTCTCTATCTTTGGTTTATTTGAAGTTCTTCTAATATTTATTGGTTTCATTTTCGACAAGTGACTCAGATAAGTATTGAAATTGAATAATCTACTAACCATTTTCTCAAAAAAAAAATATAAAAAAAAGCAACACAAAAACAAGGATACTTATAGATATTAGATTTGTTTTAAAAGGGTAACACTAAATTATGATTTTGACGATTTAACTTGGTATTAATCAAATAAACAATTTTGATTACTGTAAAATTTTAATTTTCTGCTTATTGTAAAAAAGATATTGTAACTTTATTTGTGTGTAAATTTCTGTTTGAAAAAAACTTTGAATTTGACAAGAGATTTATTCAAGTTAAAAAATAAGTAAGAGACTTTTTAATAGTAAAGACTTGAAATAATTTTGAAATAAAATAAAATGGAATGGAATATGATGAGATTAGATAAGAATAAATGTGATGTGATGAGATGAGATGAGATGAGGTAAAACTTTTTTAAAAAGAAAAATTTTGTCAAGATTGAAGTCTGTTATTTTAAATTCAGAAAAAATTTTAAAGTAAAGTTGATGAAAAAGTTTGTTTTAACACGGAAGCTCATGATAAAGATTAAAAAAGATAAAAGAATGTAAAATGATGAGATCTGAATGTCAGTTAAATGAATGGTGAATTGAGAACATAGTGATAATGAAATTCACCATTGGCTATTGAAATATATTAAACTGGTAAATTAGTTTGGAATTCTTATATATGATCAATGAAAAATTTGTAGAAAAGTGATGTGATTTTTAATTTATCAAGAAAACAAACATCAAAAAAAGAGGTAATCTGGAAACAGAATTCTTTTTCCTATAATATATGAGTATCAATTCTCAATTCAAATTAATATACTGTATTATTTATGATTGATTAACTGTTGATACAAAAAAACGAAAAAAACTGCCGGCGCTTAAAATAACTTTTCGTTTCAATTAATGTAAAGAAAACCATTATTGATTATTGATAGTTTAAAGGTGAATTAGTTTACATTATTATTTAATTGATTTTGTTAGTGAGATCAGTAAAAGTTCAAGGAATAACAGGAATTAAATTCGATTCAATTATTTAGGCAGGGACTCTGCTGCTTATTAAATGAGTTGAATTAATCGGTTTCTTTATCGATGATCAATATTTAAAAGAGTTGATGATACATTAATATTAATTTCATTATTATTCGTTAATATCAACAAATCAATATCAATAAATAGATTCTTTGGTGATTTAACCCATTATATCTCCTTTTTATTGATAAAAAATTGCTCAATTACTGTTTAATGATGGCGATTCAATTACAATATTCCAATATATAAGAAAAAAGATGTGAACAATCCACTGATAAATATGGTTTGAAACGCACTGTTCGATGTGAAAGGGATGCTCACTCTTAAATCGCATTTGAAAATTCAAACACGTGAAAATCTAATACTATTATATTATTTCTTTTCAACATTAGCTAGGAAGATCTGTTTTTACAAACTGCCCACAAAGCAATGTTGCAATATACAAGGTAAATAACATATATATATTTTATTTTTGTGTTTTTATAGGCATCCCAAAGCCTTTATGGCCAAGTTGGTAAGGCACCTCACTAGTAATGAGGAGATCGTCAGTTCGAATCTGGCTGAAGGCATCTTTTTAGAGTTTTCTTTTTTAGTAAATCTATGGAGAATGTGATCGTGTATTAGGAATAAGTGTAAATAGAGGAATTTAGTAAAGAACAGTAAAGAGAAACATTAAAATAATAGTAGGAAAATCTTAGGTGAGAATAGATAGAAAAATATACATATGTATATAGGGATGGTTTAATACCAGCCAGTGAGATCCAGAAGACTACCAAAATTGATACCAACCTTTAGATTTTTTGATTGGGGTATTAGGGAGCTTGGGAATTGAGGGCTTGGAAATTTTACTACCATTATTGGAATCACTATCGTCTTTATTGTTTTTGTTATCATCTTCACTGTTGTCACCACCAATTATTTTTTTCAAAGTATTGTGTTGATCCTTGTTGAATTTGATTTCATCTTTTATCAATTGATCTATTCTTGAATTTAATTTCTTGACTTCATTCTTATATGCTACTAATCTTAAATCCTTTGAGTTTACTATGTTGAGTAGGTTATAGTAATCATAACCGATATAGGTCAATGAACCAAATAAAATGACATTCAAAATGGGGCTGATGTATGACTTTCTGGGAGTTTTGGGTGAGGAATCTTGCTTCTTTTCTTCATTGGTTTTCAATGGAGCTGGTTGAGCAGCAGCATTTCTGAAAAAAGGAGTAATGCCAAAAGATCTTTTGGGAATTGAAGATAATGCGCATTTATTGGAAACTAGTATAGAAGTTGTGTATTTAAACATTTTGTTTAATAATTGTAGCAGGTGTAGTAATTAGATGACTGAAGAGTATGAGTAATGGTGTTAAAATCCAGTTGTAAAGACAAGCAATGGCAATAGATTTATATGTAATCATCCAAGCGAAGAACCAAAAGATAAAATTGCACGCCCATAGATACAAGCACAGAATAGGGATCGCGAGAACACTATTTACAAAACACCCATCAGATCAAAACACATGAACAGAGAACAATCTGGAATGGAGTGATTATTTTTGCCTCAAACAGGCCCAGGTCAAACCCAACAAGCTGAAAACCATCCAGTCTTCCAGCGACAACAACAGTCTACAACTCAATTCTCAACTGCCTTAGCTCCTAAGCTCCTAAGCTGCTCGACTAACCTTCTCCAGCATCATTCATTCTTATCTCGTCTTATCTTTATTTCCTTATCGGACCAGAGCCCTGATGCGAGCCCTATTGTCTAGAGCCCTTATATGTGATACTATCACATTAATTTATATAATCATAAAAATGAATGATTATGTAATTACCAACTCATTCCCTATTTTCTTATTATTCTTTATATATGTTTTTTTTGAGAGATCAACAGATATCATCCTAAACAAATAAATATCTTATTTCAATTAGATAAATTAACCGGTTTATACTTTCACCTAACGACTGTATTATCTCTCGATAACACTGAAGACACTTTCTTCTCAGTAACGTGTTGAGCTTACATAAAGCTACTATAGAGCCCTGATATAAAGCTCTACTAGTTACAGCCCTATTTTCATCACAGGGTAACCAATACTTCTTTTTATAAGCAAAAAATCTTCCAGTTTTTTTTCTTTCTTTCAATTTCTGTAAAGTTTGAAACTCCTGATTTTGCCCCATTTTTCTTATAACTTATTGAATAAAAGGTAGAATTGCTGGGTCCTGAGATGGAGGAGAGCAGCAATTTTTGGTTTGATTCTATTGAGCTTATCTGGTTTACACGCCTTGAGCTCTTTTCATCAGTGCCATGAACAGCTTTGAAATGCTTTGAATAAATAAATGAATAGGTCTTCAATTACACAAAACCCATTGTCGTTTCTTTCAATAGTGATGATTGTAATTATAGTCTTGTCAATGCCATTTACACCGATACAAAATGTATAAATTTAAATCAATTCCCATTTTTTATTTTATTTTTTTATTTTATTTTTTTTGTATATTTCAAGAACACTTACTTGTACCATGGACAGAGAATTATGGAATCATCTTGGTGTTTATCCAGTTGATCAAAAGTTGATAATCAATTTGAATATTTTTTCAGTATTCAAGCTAATCTTTGTCATACACTTAATAATAGTCTATTTCATATTTTATTATTATTTTAAAATTGTCTATTTTCTAGTGATTAACTTTCATTCCTTATTGAATTCCAATTTATTTGATTTAGGTTTTCTCAATTCAAATTTAAATAATATCAATGATGAAAATGATAGAAATGATAATAATAGTTATCACATTAATTTACCCGATTTGATTGTCCAATTTAAAAATGATCTCAACTCATTCATAATAAATCTATTTTATTTCAAAAACTATAAAATAAATTATAAATTTTGGTACCATTTCTTGGATTTATTTCAATATTTAATAAATATAAAATTAAATTTTTTCATCACTGGGGATACAATTGATTTAGACAACAATTCCATCATATTATCAAATCATAAATCTCTATTAGATTATTTAATTTTCCCTTATTTATCAAACTATTTTATAAAACTTTATAATAAAAATAATAAAAATGGTAAGGATAAAGAAGATAGTAAAATATTCATAAATTTAAATTTCTTAACTTGGGCTTTAATTTGGCAGTTTCCTTCTTTAAAATTGTTTTTAAACTTATTTAATTTGAATGAAAACTGGTTACTAAATAATGACGATTTAACTTATTTATTTGAAAAGAAAAACTTATTACAATCTTTTTCTAATCATACTCATGATGATGAAAAGAATACAAATACAAATAAAAATAAAAATAAAAATATAAATATAAATTGGCTAATATTATACCCTGAAGTTAATATTTTCACCTTAAAGAATTTAAAAATACAAAACAATAATTCAGTTACTTACAAATTCTTATCAAATTTGTTATATCCAAGATTTTCTTTTTTGTATCCATTTTTCAATTACTTGGATGATTTAAATATAAATAATAAAAAATTTATAAATTTGAATGATTTCAATAGCTTTAATAATTATAATCGAATTTATGATATCTCAATCATTTACTATATAATCGGAAATAATAATCATAGTCATAATCATAATCATAATCATGATGGCGAGAATGACTTGAATTTTAATTTCAATCCACCTACAATATTGCAATTATTATTATCAAATAACATAAAATCTTTAAACATCAGAATTAATATCAATTCAATTCAGTACCCTAAATTAAGACATTTGAAAAAAAAGAAAAACTTTGAAAAATGGTTTGAAAGTTATTGGTTTAAAAAGGATAAATCAATAAATTTAATAATGAAAAATATTATTAATACTAATGTTATTAATAAAAAACATTCAAAGTCAAAACAAAACAAAGTAAAGTAAAGTAAAGTAAAATAAAATAAAATAAAATTAATTAGAATATTGAAAATTCAAACTATTTATAAATCAATTGCCATATTCAAATAAATCCTCGATACTTGAAGCGAATCTCTTAATTCCCTCTAATAACTCATCCTCATCGTCTGCCATTGTCAATGTTAATCTAACAAAATTAGATTTCCTTATTGCTTCCTCTCCAACAGCTAATACTCTGCCTAGAATAACAATAACACCATGTTTCAAACATTTATTATTCAATAAGGCCAAATTTCTAAAAATATCATTTTTCCTTAATTTTTCATTCAATTCAAAATTGATTTTAACCGATAAAAACATACCATTTTTAGGCTCAATTACTTCAATGAAATGTTTCTCATTAATCTTTGATGCTTTTAAATAATCATAAAATATTTTTTTTCTAATGGAATAAGCTTTTGAGATTTCAATTTTCCAATCTAACCAACTGTCTAACCCACCCCTTTGTTTAATAACGTTATATAAAATAGTTTGAGAAATACCAGATGGAGATCTTGTTGATAACGAGGAAATTGTAGTTATTGTATCAATAAACCCTTTATGACCAACAACAAAACCTAATCTTGAACCTGGAGCAAAAGTCTTTGAATAGGTTTCGGCTCTTAATACTCTACCAGAAGTATCAATTGTTAAATAGGATTTCGATAAATATTTATTAATATATTCATCTCTTGTAACGTTACGATTTATAAAATCATCGTTCAATACAATGTAACCATAGGGATCATCTTCTATGATCAAGACATCATGTTTTTCAAGAATTTTGTATATTTTTTTTCTTGTCTCCAAACTTGAAGTTGTTCCAATGGGATTTTGACCAGTTGGAATGGTATATAAAGCCTTTGGTTTCCTTAAATCTGGATGAATAGCTGACCAGTTATCTAATAAGTTTTCCAATTTTGAAACGTTAATTCCCTCACTTTTTTCGTTGAAATCAACAGGAACAGGAACAGCAATTCCACCAAATTGAGATAAATTAAAAGTTGATGGAGTGAAAGTAAATTCTTCAACTAAGACTGTATCACCGGGATTGATCAACGCTTTGAATATCTTATTTAAACCATCAGCAGCACCAAGAGTAATAACCAAATCCCAGTCATCATAATTTGGTTTATTTAACAAAGTCACCAAACTTTTATTAAATTTATAAAGATTGTCATGGCCACTTGGTGCCATATATTGGAAACCATCGGAGATATAAATTAGATCCTCATTTAGTTCCTTTTTAACGATTTCAATAGTCTTTAAATCCAAGTTATCAATTTCGGCTTTTGATAATTTCTTGGTTTGAAATGGTTTATCAAGAGTATGGACTGTAATCTTTTCTATGGGAAAGAACCCATCATTGGGACAACCATAGTTGAGATAAATTGGGTTGGGATGAACTTCACCTCCATCAGTTGCAGGAATTTCAGTTGAAAATCGGCTTGAGACCTTATTCTTTGTAAATTCAGCCAAGTGGTGAGCAAGTGGAAAAATTGTCATTTCTAGATATGTTCAGTAGACAAGCAAAACCAGCTAAATTAGCACGAAATTTTGGCAAGAAAAAAAAAATCAAGCTAAGTTCCTTTTAAAATAAGTGAAAATGCTTTTAAGGATTTTGTCAGCGATGTCAAAACTATAGTGAATTGGTGATATAAATATGTGTAAGCTAAATAATAACCAAGTTGGATTAGTAATATAAAAAGGCAAATTATCGGTTAATTCTCGAGACGACCTCACACACTTTACACAGCAAATAAGAGTGAGAAATACAACAATCTCCTCCAACAGCTATAGGAAAGACTTTAACCACATTGGACCGTTTTCAGACCCGAGACGTGAACAAAAAGTCGAAGATAAACCGAAAATAAATCCAAGATAACGCTCTGGCTTTGAGCGATAAGGGTTGAGCGGATAAGAAACCACAAACGCGGAACGGACACGTGAATATACATAAACACGTGTAGTGATGCACGGAATTTGCGCTGTGTTGCAACTACATCAGATCACGTTTTTGGCTGAATTAGACCCATAATTTTGGAATATGTGCGTGCGCGTAGTGTGCATTAACGTGCCTCCTTATTAGTTGATATGCATGGCGTTTTTTTTGTTTTTTTTTCGATTTGAGAAGAAAATGGAGGTGTGAGAGAAGAAGTGAACAGTTACTGATCTGTCTCGGGATGTGTTTGAGTTGTTGATACCATGGTGTTTGGTGACAGTGTGGACATGAAGGAACTATCCCCCAGGTCCAAGGAGGTGATCTCCGGTTTAACTGCTGGGTTTTTGACCACCCTAATCACTCATCCATTAGATTTGATAAAAATTCGGCTACAATTGGATTATTCAAATCAATCCCACTATATCATATTTAAGAACATTGTAAATAATATACGAGATTCTAGAAATCCAATTATATCCGAGATATACAGAGGCATATTTCCAAACTTGATAGGGAATTCCATCGCGTGGTCATTATATTTCACTTTGTATAACGATTTTAAATCCAGAATCAACTTCAACTTCGGTGAAAATAATCAGAAAAACTCAACTCAAAACTACTTTGCATCTGCTTTCTTAGCTGGTTCTTTGACAACTTTAATGACAAATCCCATATGGGTGCTTAAAACAAGAATATTGTCCACTTCGAAAACATCTCCTGGTGCTTACAAATCACTAAGCGATGGTATCAAAAGAATATTGAAAGAGGAAAGTATCTTAACATTCTGGAAGGGCTCAGTACCTGCTTTAATTGGTGTCAGTAAAGGTGCAATTCAATTTTCTATTTATGATAATCTAAAGGATTTTGTTTATTCGAGCAAAAATATGAAAATTTCGAAAGAAAAACAGAAATTGTCATCTTTGCAATACATCACTTTATCTTCAACATCTCAAATAATTGCAACAACAACTTTGTATCCCTTGCAGATATTCAAATCAAGATTACAGGATTATAATCATAATATTAATAAACAAAAAAAATTGAATCAAAATATTTTATCCATTTTTAATAAAACTTTTAAAAATGAAGGCTTTACTGGCTTTTATAAAGGATTATCAACCAATTTAATACGAGTCCTACCGGCAACATGTATAACGTTTACTACTTATGAAAATTTGAAACATTATTTAAATTAAATGAATACGATAAACTAGAACTTACAAAGAAAAATACAATACAATACAATACAATAGAAAAGAAAGTAACATAATTAACTATAAAAATACTCTTCAAAACTTTTTGTTAATCTTCTAGCTCCTTCAATTATTTCTTCAATATTATCAGCCATTGCTAACGTGATTCTGATAAATTTCGCATTTTCTCTTGCTCTTTCTCCAACTGCCATCGTTTTTCCTAAGATAACGACAATACCATTATTTAAACAAATATTATACAATTTATCTAAATCACTTTTAATATTATATTCATTTGAATTTGCATTTTCAAACTTAAAGACAATGGAAATGAACATTCCATTATTTGGCTCAATGATATTGATTAAATTATCTTGAACCAATTTTGTTTTTTTCAAAAATTCAAGAATTTTATATTTTCTAATTGAATAAGCTTTGCTCAATTCAATTAACCAATTCACCCAGCCTTGAAATCCTCCCTTTTGCAAGATAAGATTTTGAATAATTGTTTGAGAGATCCCAGACGCATATGTAGTAGTTAATTCAGTTAATTTCTTTAAATGATCGATGAAAAAATTATTGGCTACAATAAAACCCACTCTCGAGCCTGGAGCAAAAGTCTTTGAATATGTTTCACATCTTAATACTCTGCTAGAAGTATCAATTGTAAGATAAGATTTTGATATATAATTGTTTATATAATCATTAATTGCAATCTTTTTATGAATAAAATCATCATTTAAGATTATATAACCATAGGGGTCATCTTCTATGATTAAAATATCATGAGATTGACAAATGTTATAAATTTTCTTTTTAGTTTCCATTGAAGTTGTAATTCCAGTTGGATTTTGGCCATTTGGAATTGTATACAAAGCCTTTGGTTTTCTTAAATTTGGGTGATACGATCTCCAATTATTTAATAAATCTTCAAAAAATTCTAAATCGATTCCATTATTAGAATTTTTATTGGGGTTTAAATTCAATCTAAGAGGAATTGGAATACCCCTATATTGAGTTATTTGATTGACAGTGGGGACAAAAGTATATTCTTCGACTAAAATTGTATCATTGGGGTTAATTAAAATGTTGAAGATTTTATTTAAACCATCAATAGAACCACAAGTTAACAATAAATCCCAATCATTATAAGCTGGTGGATTGACTTTTAAGATTAATTCTTTATTAAAATTGTAAAAAAGTTTATCGCCTGTGACCTCCATATATTGAAAACCTTGAGAGATTGTAATTGATTTATTGGTAGTGCTATTTTCATTGTTATTGGTACCATTAATAACAAAATCTGTTGTATCTTCATTGTTAAATGGCTTATTGATTGATTGAATTGAGATGTTTTTTATTGGAAAGAAACCATGATTCGGACAGCCATAATTGAAATAAATTGGATTTGGATGAGGAATTTGATAAGATTCGCCAGTAGTAAAATCATTATCAGTTCTATATTTAACAGATTCCGATAAATGATGAGAAAATTCAAGTTTTGACATTATTTTTTTTGTGTGTGTTCAAATTAATATTAGTATTAAAGACTATTGTAATAACATGCAGCGGAAATAGAGTATTTATATAATAATTTGTCTTACCCGCAAGTTATAAAATATTGAAAATCTATTAATAAAATGAAATGATTTCATTATCCATTGACTGTATTATATTAGAATTAAATCATAAGGAATTTATATAATGAAATTATCAAGTTAAACAATTTGATATTGTTATGGCTTATATGATGCAATACAGTATAGTTATAGTTTTAGTAGGAATATTATTCATACCCTTTACGATAGCTGCCCTTATGAATAACCGCTTTTTAGCGATTTTTGCTATTATGTGGTACATATTACGTAATCCCAAAGGAGAAGCATTCTGTTATAAATAGGAATAATTTTGTGAATAAAGAGGAAGGAGAAAAACTTTATTAATTATCTTATTATACTGTGTCTTTATAGGATATTAAACGTCAAATTTTAGTAAAATAAATAACTAAGATATTGCGAGAAATAAGACAATTAGCTACAACTAGACGAAAGTTTTTCTGAAAAGTCTAATGCCTTTTTTAACACTGGGATTTCTGGAAATCAGCATAATAGGATAGTTGTCAAAACATTTTCTTAAATTAAGATGCTGACTGGTTTAGCCAAGGTTATTATAAATGACTAATATCTATGGGTAATAACATAAAAATTGATATGAGAACCTGAGAATAACTCCAGCCAAGTAGACAAAGAACCGAAACTCTAATTCAAAACACAATAAACTCCAATGCACCAATACAAATCTTAATTGAGATTCCATTGCACTGGTACTGTTTTGTTTGAAGATCACAGAATCCTGCATATATTTGTATACATCATAAACACATAACACGGAAACTCAAAATTTGTATTTTAAATTGAATTAGAGGTGTTGTTTTGGGATTTTGAGAAAAGTGATGAGCTACGCAGTTTTTCTTCTTCTTTTCTTCTTTTCTTCCTTTTTTGGTTAGTGTTCAACAAAATATTATTTTATCTGCAAGTCTTCATCTGTTATTACAATCGAATTCAAAGGTTTGAGAAATCATTTTTTACAACTTAAGATTTCTGTTTGGCACTGTCTGGAATTTTGATGTTTGCAATAAAATTGGAAACATTATGAATTTCAATATTTTTAAGCCATGCAGCACTTTAGTGGGTGTATAGATTACTGCTTACCATTTTAAAGTCTTTCAATTGTGATGAAATTGGTTATAATGAGAATATCTAAGGGTCTAAGAATCAATGTAAAGTTGGTATTTAATCAACAAATATATCCATGTGTTTTGTTCAAATTTGGATTTTGATTGACCAAAATATAAATATTAGAAGTGTTATAGAAATTTGATAAATGTTAGAAATAATATGAAAATTGGATAAATATTATTCTATTATACTTTCAATAGGTTTATTTTATCTTTTGACTGCTGCAAACACCTACAACGATACAATCAAAAAAACCAGAGTGGTTAAACTTCAATATGAAGGATCTCAATATGAGTATCTACTTGCTATTTTAGAATCGAGAACTCCTTCACAAAGGTTAAATTTTTCATTCACATTCAGATTTTTTGATCTTGATGATGAACCAATTCGGTCAATCAACTCTTCATTCAGCTTGAATTTTTTGGATCTAAATATTGCAACTGGTTTTGGAGGTATCGGATACTTTGCATTTAAATAACAGTATCAGTTACAAGAATTTCAAGTTTGGATTGGCATTTTCAATCAATAGTAATGCTGGGAGTCTCCATATATCATCATTCAAGATCACTGATCAAACTTTAGAGTCATAAAACAAAACTAATCTAATTGATATATTAATCAAACAGAACTTGATTGAGAGAAAAGTATTAGTCGAGTACTTCAGATATAACGCACCTAACACCTATAATTACAAATGAAGTCTTTCGGTTGGGGCATTGGTTATACAAAATATCAAGGCAGTTCGACAACTACACCAACGATCAACAAATATGACCAAAATCTCAAGCCAAAAATACAACATTTGGATTTCACATTATCATCATTTTCAATCAAGTTATCCACGGGTGTTTTGCAAAAGCTTTATAATGGTTCGTATACAGAGACAAAATTTAATTATTGGATTTCCAACTTGGATACAACCCTAGCAAAATCATTTAGTTATATCAATAATGATAACGAGTCCGACGCAATAATAACTTTCACTGACAGATTATATCCAATATCATTTTCACATGATGGATCAAAGTCATATTTGCAATCAGATATCTACGAACTATTGTTGAGTACAATTGCTCTTGGGATCCTAATTTGACTGAGCGAAATGTACGTAATCGAACGAGCGAAACACCGAACAATTGCGTAATGGTGATATCCAAACTCACAGCGCATCACAACATGTTCCTGCAGCTCTCTGCGGCGCCACCCCAACACTGGTACTAGGTTTCAGACCGCTATGGCAGAGCTCTAACTCGCGCGAACAAAGCGGGAGCGACGCCTATTGCGTCACTGGTGCTGATTTTGTTTGGAAAGGGTTTATTCCGCGCTCCCCCTGCCGTCGCCGCTCCGCCTGTGCACCATTTCCGTTGTCTTTTTGCCCACTTCAGAGCTGTTTCTGGAGCCCAGACCCTCGTGCAACGCCCAACTCGTGCTTCCTGTGCTGTTTCTGCTTCCTGTGCTTCCTGTGCTACTTTTTTCAGATTCTCCAGTCTCACGGTCTCTTCCCGCCCTTTCTGTTGCCCTTCCTTTGTGTGATTCCTATCCATCTGCCGGAATTTCTCCTTTATCTCTGCTGGATGCACATTGCTCAATTGATATCTTGATCCACTCTCATAACATTGTTTGGTATTGTTTCCTTAAGAGAAAAAGTTGGCTCTGGTTGATTAGTTTATAAATTATTTGTTCTTTTTGTTCTCCTGAATTTTGTGAAACTTAAATTCCGACTACTATTTAACTTCTGTTCAAATAAGATTACTAAAACTATTAGATTATCAAAATTTCATATTAACCAAATCAAAAATTAAAATTTCTTAATTTTTCATTTGAAAAACAATATAAATTTAAAACTACTAAACAAAACAAAAAAACCATTAAAAGAGAGGTATTAAATAATAAAAAATATTATTATCATTATTATTATCACTATCATTACCATTGTTTTTACTATTAGTATTAATATTATTACCAGAACTATAAAACCATAATTAAAGATGTCAGATTTAAATACTACAAACTCTGCTTCAAACCATTCACTTTCTTCATCACTCAAACAGAATGACAGTTATCATGATATAAACGACAATAATACCATATCTGATATCAATACTCTTCATCCCATAAATAACAATAATGAGCCAAATATACAGGATACTCTTGATAACGTAACTCAAAACCTATCCAATTTATCCACTGATGATCAAACTACTCTGATTCAAAAAAAAAATTATAAATTATCCTTTGATGTTGGCGTAAGTGAAAACAAAAACCCCAAATACAGACCAACAATGGAAGATGTTCACACCTACGTTGCCAATTTCTGCGAGCGTTTAGATTGGGGTTACTTTGCTTTATTTGATGGCCATGCAGGAAAACAAGCTGCTAAATGGTGTGGTCAAAATCTACATTTATTACTACAAAACGAAATTCTCAAAAATGAAAAAAACTCATCAAAACTCATCAATGATCAAGATATAAGATCCTGTTTGAATAACTGCTTTCAAGAAGCTGATAACTTGATCGCTGATAGTAATAACAGTATCGGCTCAAGTGGTTGTACCGCTGCCGTGGCTATAATAAGGTGGGAGCTAGATGATGATAATGATAGTGACAATTATAATGACAATTACAACGATAGTAATCCTCCACAAAAAAACAATACTAATATCAACAATAACAATAATGACAATGATACAGATATCCATAAACATAGCATTATCAACAATAATGAAAATTACCAAGTCACCAAAAATAACTATAGAAATAAAGACAAAGACATGACAATACCCCAGTTTTCTGACCAGCTTAATAACTCAAAAATAAAAAGAAAACTACAATCAAATTTTCAATCTCAATCTCAGTCCCAATATCTTAAAGATTACTCAAATTTATTTGACTTCATTCCTACTCCAAACCATAGAAGAATGTTGTATACCGCAAATGTCGGCGATTCAAGATTGGTTCTTTGTAGAAATGGGTTTGCCATCAGACTATCTTACGACCATAAAGGCAGTGATACAAATGAATCAAATAGAATTGTTCAATCTGGAGGCTTAATAATGAGAAATAGAGTCAATGGAATTCTAGCTATAACAAGATCTTTAGGCGATCATTACTTGAAAAATTTAATAATCGGAAAACCCTACACAACAGCCTTGGAAATGACTGATGGTGACGAATTTCTAATAATTGCTTGTGATGGTTTATGGGATATTATAAAAGATCAAGATGCAGTTGATCTAATCAGAAACGAAGCCAACCCTCAAGTTGCTTCAAGAGTTTTATGTGATCATGCTATTAAAAATTTAAGTATGGATAATGTAACTGTCATGATCATAAGATTTGATCAAAGAATTTTAGAACTGACTTACTCTGATAGCGAATTAAGTGATTATGATGAATCTCAATCTCAAGATCAATTGAACTTATCCTGATACAAAATTGCTTAAACAAAACTGAAAGTAATGAAAAAATAATGAAAAAATAATGAAAAAATAATGAAAAAATAATGAAAAAATAATGAAAAAATAATGAAAAAATAATGAAAAAAAAAAAATTATAAAAAACTAATTAAAATATCAACTTCATATTTTCTATCTCTATCTGATTTAACCGTATAATTTATTTTTAATGTTTTCCAGTATTTAATTAGTTATGTCTATGCTTTCCAATTTCTAATTTAAAATCTCGCTCCAATCTAGTTTTAATTTCCTGACTCCAAATCTATAAACCTTTAAAGCTAAATCTTCACTTTCCCAGTTTTTAATTTTAATTTTTAATTTTGTTTGTTTATTACTTATCACTTATTTTTTTTCTTTTTCTTATGTTTTTACTTTGATGTGCTTGTCTTTATATTTTCTACTATCTACTACTACTTTATCATTTTACTATACTGTTTTTACTTTTTTTAATTTTAATTTCATTTTTATTGTCCTTATTTTTATTTTTTTTTGTTGATTTTATTTATTTGACCTTCATTATTTAAATGTTTATTTCAATATTGTTTTACTATTGCTTAGCTATTTTTCTAATAAAACAGATTTAAAATTAGTTATTGATAAACAAATTTCAAGAATTCTGATCTTCATATCTTGTAAAATGCAGAGGCGCGTCAGTCAAATGCAAGGTGGTGTAATTTTGTATTAACCAAAATCCTAACGGAAACCTAATTCCCAATAGAAACAATACCCTTTTTATAATTAAATTCTATTTATTTTCATATATAGATAAGAAAAATATAAGTGTCCTATAACATGGTTTGGCTTTTCTAAAAAAATACATCTATTTTGAATAAATTTTTATAATTTCGTTCAAGGGAAATGCACTTTAGATGAGAATTAAAACTGATAAAAGACTGTTTACAATTAGCAGATTAAAAATTGTATAACAGTATAATCAGCATAATTTAGAAAAAAAAAAAATTCAAAAAAAATAATGAAGATATGCAATCATATTGTAAAAAATAAAATATCTTTTTCAAAAAAAAATGTGTTTAAAAAAAATGATAATAAAGCATAATTGAAACAAAAAAAAAGATTGACTTTAAAAACAATAATTAACGATAATATAGAGTTAACGATGATTAAGAGCATTAATGGATTTTCATAAACTCCAGTATAAAAAACAAAAAATAATGATAATGAATAAAAAAAATCATGCCCAGATACAAACAGTATTATCGGCACCACCACTAGCTAAAGTGCATCTAATACTTTTGTCTAACTTTATTAGTTTCCTTTTTTGTTTTTCAGCTTCTTTTTTAGACTCTTTTGAAGTAGAACCGTTTGCTGAAGTTGATGAATTATCGACAAGTTCTTCGATTTTAGATGTTTCATCTTCCCGTTTTTCATTGAACGAATTGACTGAATTTTCAGTTTTCACAGTACTGTTATTTTGAATGTTTTTTTCATTTTCATCGTTATCATCATCTTCTTCGTTATCATTTTCAAAATTGATACATGAAGCAAAACATATCTTATTGATAAAGCTTTCATGGCCACCGGACAAAGTTTTGATGCATTTGATTACATCATAATTCGTCAAAGATATATCCCAAATTTTAATTGTTTTATCATCGGAAGCTGAAAATAAATATCTACCGCCAGGATGAAATTGTAAAGATCTTACCCAAGAGGAATGGCCTTTTAAATCAGCTAGAAGAACACCGGTTGGATTCGATGAGGGCAATGGGCTTCTGTGTGGTCTAATTATTGGTAAAGGTAATAGCCAAATTTTAATTGTGTCATCTCTACCACATGTTGCACAATATTTGTAGCCCAAGGTTTTATAATTTTGATTATCTAAAATTTCTTTTGAGACAAATTTTTTGGCCAATTTATCTAAATAAACATTTGAAATTTCGGGAACAAATTTACAGTCTTCAACAACTTGATGGTGTCCAATCAATAAAGCCAAACCAGTACCAGTATCTGAATGAGACAATCTAATACTTTGATCATTTGAGCAACTTAATAAGAAGTTATCATTATAATTTAGATTAATTGATCTGACCCAATTTGAGTGACCAATAAACGATTTTAAACACCAGCCATTAGTAATATCCCATAATTTAATTGAAAAATCTCTTGAACAACTAAACAAGTGATTTGGATTTGAATTTTTAAAAGATATTGAAGAAATCGAGTGATCGTGACCAGATAAAGTTCTAATTGGTTTATAATCATTATTAGGATCCCAAATTTTGATAAATAAATCAGATGAACATGTTGCAAAGAGGTATATTTGATTTTTCGAAAAAGTTGAGCTATTTTTGAGACCATTGCTATCATTATTCTGGATACTGTTACTACTACTGTTACTACTGTTATTCAAAGAAGTTAGGGAGATTGGTAAGGGGGAGAAACATGTACAGTTAATTGATCTTGAATGGGCGTTTTTGTTAATAAATTCTGGTTGGATTGAGTTTAATAAATCCCACACTATTAAGGAACCGTCGTTACAGCCAGAAACTAGTTGTGGCAAAATTGGATGGATTGAGATTGTATTGACTTGAGATTTATGAGCTTTTAAAGTTTGTTTGACATTTGTTGGTAACCAATTTATCTTTTTTAAGGAAGATAAGTCATTGTTATCGTTTGTAGTTAGAGAGGAAAAGGAATCAGTTATATTATTGTTGAAATTATTATTATTTAAGATTTCGTTTAGTTGATTGACTTTATTTTCCAATTCAAGGATTTTCTTTTGAAGCCTTATAACCGTCGACCATTTTTTTTCTAACAAGTTAATTTCCGAAGAGGCAATTAAGTCAAAATCGGTGTTATTGAAGGATAAATTGTGAATTAATTCATCGATTAATTCCTGGTCAATATCTCTATTTTTAAGGTAAATTATTATTGATCTATTAAGATCATTTTGCTGTTTAATTGTTAGAGTAGACATGAAGGAAAAAAAATCAAAATAACACTTAATTAGTATCAATTACTAGGTAATAAAGCGCAGTTTGAGAAACTGATAGCAATTAGTTGATGGCGATGAATAAGTTTAGTTTAATTGCTGATTGTTGATTGTGTTGGACTGTTGATCAAAAAAATTTGTTGATTTGGTTTGGATTTGACTTTGTCCAATCACGTGCAAAAGGGTATAAATCTAAATATTTCCAAGAAATTCCAAAAATTCCCCAAAGATTCTCAAATTTCCCGATTTTCCGATTTTTCCAAAGTTTGGTAGAAATTTAAATTAAAAAAACAAAAAAAAACAAAAAAAAACTGGAATATTTCAGGTGGAAGGAGTTAAAAACAAACTAGGGATTTGTATTATACTATAAAGGGGAATTTGTGTAAACTGTATTAAATTAAACTAAGTCAAGATAAATTAAACTGAAATAAACTAAAGTAAAGTAGGAGAGACTAGAGTAGACTAAATTGAAAAAATGATATATAAATGAAAGAATAAGATGGTGATGTTTATCACCTTTATTGGACTAATTAATTGGGCTGTCAATTCATTTGATTATCTTTCAAATCAGAATTTAATGTAAATTTGAATTTAAACTATTGGAGTATTGGAGTATTGGATTATCGATTTTTGACGATTTTTTTTCTAACGAAGTTGAGTGAAAATACTAGATTTGTCATCATCATGATAAAGACCCATTCCTGGATCAGTTGGGTTTTCGTTACTTGCAACACTGAATTCCAAATCTTCCAATGTTATCATATCCCAATATTTGAACAACATCATGTAGGTAAAGACATTTGCTAAGGATGTAAAGAATAAAGAATCTAAGTAATGGTTGCAACCCTCGCAAATTATATTCGATAAAGCATATAGTAAGACCTGCCCAGCTATGAAAAAGCATACACCTAATAAGAAAGCACCAAAAGCCCAAATATTATCAAGAATAAAGAGTGATAAAATCAGTTGAGAGATGATATAGACAAGCACAAACACAGCATTTATAATATATAATACGATAAACAATGGAACAGTTTGATTTAAATTGATTCCATCAAACCAATTTTGAAATGTGAATAATGAGATGATGAAGGATAAAGCGAAAAATACTAAACTTGATAATCTTAGTAAGAACATTGCTTTCTTTTTTCCATCTTCCCAAATTTCAAACCCTGTTAAACCTGTTATCATCAAAGTCCAGCAAGCCATTGAGGAGAAACCATTTTGAATTGCTACAAAATACTTAAAAGTATCTGAACCTGGGGGAACAACTCCACAATCAACTATTAAACTCAAAAAGGAGAGAATAAAAATTATTTCAAAAAAATAAATCATTTCATTTCTTCCGATTGCAGTATATTTGCTTTTAATGTTGAATAAAATCACGACAACCAAAATTAATGCACCAATGTTTATGAAAGCTGTACCTATTTGAAAGATCATAGTGTTGGCTAATATAATACTTCTGGCATAACATTTTGGGATTACACCTATTGAGATTGATTCTAGTTGCTTATCGATTGGGTTTGTTAAAATTGTGCACAAGGGTATGGAAGCCTGTTGACAAAGTTCTGTAAAATTTCCAAAACCCATTTTGAGTTATTATTGTTCTCGTTGCAGTTAAGCCGCTATTGATACTGGTGTTGGTATTGTTGTGGATAATATTGTGAATGCTGATGAGAATACTATTGTTGATCTGGACTAGTATAGCTCTGGTCAGAACAAAGTTGTTGTTGAAAGAGTAATTGCAATAATAAAGGCCTGAAAAATAAGATAAATGGAGAGAAATTATGTTCAAACTGGCCTTTTGAAATGACAATGAGCTTTATAGGTGAAGAGCCAAAAAGAAACGAGATTCAAGTCCAAAACCAATTTTAAAATTTTTGCATGGAAGGAGGTCTACCGTACAAAAATAACGAGGTCTGCTAACATTGCGCAGCGCCCACGCACCGCTCCGCCCCCGCATCGAGGGTCTGTTCTATTTATAACCTCTGACAATAACGCGGAAATATGCAATAATATGCAATATATGCAGAAAAGGTAGTATCACCAAAAGCAGCAAAAGCAGCAAAAGCAGCACCTTCTAGAGAGTGAATCGCCAACTGGGACAGTCTTTACAGGGAGGAGGATCCACACACACAGGCACCTGTTGCTGGTAACCTCCAATCACCTGCTCTATCATAAACTTGATGCTGTGTTTCAAAATGTTCACAGTCCATCCTTTATCTCTAACCACATCGTAAACACAGGTTTTGCCAGAGAAGCACTGTGTTTCAAATCCATAACCTGCAATGGAACAGCTACTGCTGACTCCATTGCATGTTCCTAAATATATTGGGTCTGCATTATTTCCAAAATGATAAATATTTTCATAGTCCTTTAGTAAACCTGGAGGCATTGGTAGGTGTAGTCTTTTGGTAGCTAAGAGCTCAGGAACTGCTTCAAATGTAACCACAGGCAAACCAAACGTTCTTCCTAATAGAGAGCTCAAGGACCCACCTAAAGAATGACCGGTCACAAAGATATTTTCAATACCAGGATACATTTTGATTATATCAAGAAAAAACCTCAACGTTTGCTTATAGTATCTATCATTACGATACAATTCTAATTCAAGACATTTTTCATTACAATTATATGAACTTTTATAACAATCGCAAACTGTGGTCCATAGATAACTAATTCTAGCACAGCAACAGCTGAATAGTAAGTTATCATTGAGTTTATCATTGGTGCTTGTGCTTCCCCTTTTATTAAATTGGTTATTATTAAAATTATAGTCAAGACCAACGTTATAATCGGTATTGAGTTTATCATTATTAATATTATTATAAGCATAATTATTTAGCAAAGAAAATGACGCTTCACTCCCTTTGATCGCTATAACCATTGTTTCATTGTAATTATCAACAAAAATTTGTCCTCTTACCCCATCAGCTAACCATCCAAATCCGCTATTGATATCATGGTGATTACCAGTATTATTATTTGTATTATTTGTACTGCTTTTATTGAGATCAAAGTTACCATTGTTATTCCATGGGGAAGATAGATTATACCAATCCTTATTATTCTTTGGAGTTTCATAATATGCATTTGATGACATGAAAGCAAGTGTCAATATTGTATTATAATCTGTAATATTTGGTACGATATTGTCTTCATCAGCCAATCTCCACTTGAAATTTTTATCAGCTTTAATACCATTCTCGCGTCTATCGGAATAATCAATACTGCAGTGAATATTATCCAAATGATTTAAAATGTCCAACTTATCTTTACCAAACTTTAATTTTTTATTTTTTTTAATTGTTTTGATGGGTAATGAGACATTCCAATAATAATCCTTCTCCAATTTTGTATTTCCCATATCATTACTAATTTCATAATTTTCAAGTGATAATTTTAATGAATATTTATCAATTAAATGATCGGTTATATCCAATCTTTTATAAGTTCCATTATTATTATGAAAAACGTGTTTTATCCTGAAAAATTTATAAGCATCATTAAAATTGCCATTAAGATCACTATCAATATAAATATTTTTGTTATAATTATAATCGATGTTGATACCTTTATAAAATGGTAGCAAGTCTAATTTGTGGGTTAATTTGTTATTATAAATGCGTTCATAATCAATGTATTCTTTACTCAATTTAATCATGAAAAACCCTGAGATCAATAACACTACAAATAACAGTGATAAAACTGATTTCTGGGAATAATTCTTCTTTATCTTATTTGGTTCACTCAATTTATTAAATCTTAAACTATTTTTGCAGTCCTCGTTATATTCCTCATTGTTTTTGGAATAAATAGTTTGAAATAACATTCTTGGTTTATTTATTAACTGGCACTCATCCGCAATTCAAGAAATTATTGGCTGATCAAAACAAGAGACTACAACCATTGAGTGATCCAAATCAAACCAAATCTTTTCTTATCAGAAAACCAGAATCTTGGATGGATTAGTAATTACATAATATTATATAATATATACATCCTTATAATTTATAGAGTTTTATATTGGCATCATGGCCGAGCGGTTAAGGCGAAAGATTAGAAATCTTTTGGGATCTCCCGCGCAGGTTCGAGTCCTGCTGATGTCGTATTTTTTTTCTATTATGATTTGTGCAGCTGATCTCTTTTTTGCGAGGGTAACGGCTGTGAAGTTTTTTGGCATATTCCCACATTTTGGTTATTAAGTCTTCAACGCCATCTCGTCCCAGTTTAACCGCAACATTTTTAGTATAATTATAATGAGATCGATTACTTCGCTGTTACCTTTATTCAATAGAAATGTATTATTTATAAGCAGGTCATTCAACCGGGTTTCAGCTCGCCCATTTTCATCGATAAATTCATACTTGAGGAATTCATCCTCGTCCTCCTCATCTCCCATAAAGATTGATCCAGACTCGATAATCGATGAAGATAAAGGTTCATTAGATAAAAAGAAAATAAAAGGCCAAAACAGTGTCAAAGATGCTGTTGGTGAGAAAAGTAATAATATTCTGAGCAAAACAAGCGAGAACGACAAAAACTTGAACAATAATTTAGATAAGAATGAATCAACTATAAATCCGGGCAAAAAATTAGATGTTAAAACTGATATTGAAAAGGAATTTTCAAAGAAAAATTCGCCCAAAAACGTTTCATTAAAAATACATGATGAAAGAAATAATGACCATGATAATGAAAAAAATAAAGGCATCAGTAACGATAAAAACCTGAAACGTTCTAAAAGCAAAACCAATAAAAAAACAATATTGAAAAGAAAGTTGAATAAACCAATTTTATTACAAGATTTGATGGACCATGGTATTGCATTCCATCCTGATTTTCACAAATTTTCATATTCTTTATGCTTCAAAGAGAATTTCGACCGTTGGAACAAAGTCCCGGTTGATATCATCAAAAAAATTGATCCACTTTATATTCCCAAGAAAGATGACGAGATCGAGGTCCATCAATACAAAGGAGGAAGAATCAAAAGCTCTATCAGCTTCTACTACAACTTGAACAAGGCTCGATCATGAACCGGTAACTCGCCAGTCTGACACTACATACTTTTTTATACTATATCTTATGGCTCCTATATATACTCACACTACACACCTTCTCTTATTGCTTTGTCTGCTTTGTCGTCTCTTTCCTTTTCCCCAGTCTTTTTAGAGGTCCCTTTCCAGTGGCGCCATTCTCTCACGTGCGTGTCTGAGCCGTTTTGACTGTTTGTGGTAGATAAACAAATAAACGTCAATAAATGTCAATAGTCTGCAATCGGTAAACAGTCAATAAACAATAACTATCTTAATACCATCACTGGACATTTCACCTCATTCAAATTTAATTGATATCATTTATATCCAGGTTTTTTTCAGTTTTTATAGTTTTTTTTCAGGTTTTTTCAGATTTTTTTTGCTCAACTACTAAAAGTGTATTCAAAATGGATAATTCAATTCATGTTCCTGATGGTTACTCAGTCTCAAAGAGATTACAAAGTGAATTAGTTCAATTAATGATGTCTTCTACTCCAGGAATTTCTGCGTTTCCAGAAGATGACTCAAATCTATTAAAATGGTTTGGCACAATAGAAGGCCCTGAAGATACTCCATATGAAAATTTAAAATTCAAAATATCTCTTGATTTTCCAAATAACTATCCTTATAAACCTCCAACAATAAAATTTATTTCTCCAATGTGGCATCCAAATATTGATATGAGTGGTAACATTTGTCTTGATATCTTGAAGGAAAAATGGAGCGCAATTTATAATATCCAAACCATTTTGTTAAGTTTGCAAAGTCTATTAGGTGAACCCAATAATAAAAGTCCATTGAATGCTCAAGCCGCTCAATTATGGGATACTGATATGAAAGAATATAAAAGATTATTGATGCAAAGATATGAAGAAATCGATGACTAGAGTTATAAATTAACTATATGATAATTAATTTATAAGTTTCTTTTTGTTTCTTTTGGTTGTTGTTTTTCCCCCATCACTAAATCATTTTATAATCGACTTTATTATTCTTTTTTATTACTTACCTCTATTACTTTTTTTTATTTTCTTTTTATTCTTTTCCTCTGTTTTTTTACTATTATTGATATCCTAATCTTCATCATTGTCTTCGTCATAATCATTATTATCATTCTTTTATTCACTTTTTACTTAGTTTTTATTTAGTTTTCATAATCATTAATAAATAATGAATAACAAAAATAGAGTGTTGATTAGTATATATTTTTATAAATGATAGACTAAAAAAAGTTTAAAAAAATAGATAGGTAAAAATTATTTTGTTCAAAAAAGAGCCTTGATAAGTTGCCATCTAAATACTTATATAAATACAAATAAATAAATTAGTCAAAGAATTTTCTAGTTTTAGATGGACCAAATAATTTTAATCTGATAGCTGGTAAGGATAGCTCAGATAATAACTTTAATCTTTCATCTAAAGTATTGTCAATGTCAATTTTTTTAGTGCTATTAATAATAATGACTCCACCATTAACATTATCATCTAAAAATTGATCTTCTAAGATTTCAATAGTAGTTTCATGAGAAGTCTTTTCCTTATAGTACTTTTCTAAATCTTCGATTGAATCCTTAACTAAACTAACGTCATTTTTTCTCAATCTTAAATAAATTTTACTTTCTAATAATGACAATAAACCTTCTTGAATTAAGCCAATCAAGATTTTTTTATAATTCTCGCTATCGTTGTCATTATTTTTTGTTGTGATGATTTTTAATTTATTTGCAGTTAATTCAAAAATATCGTCCAAAATTTTTTCTCTTTCAGATAAAATTTGCAATCTGGTTTTATTTGAAATAGTTGACTTGGTAATCTGTTGTTGCAATGAGGCCTTTTTCAATTTACTTTCATATAATGAATCAATTGATGAAATTTCGCTTCTAACAATATTGGCCTTCTCAATTTCATACTCTTCATCAGCCTTTAATTTAATTTCTTTAGCTTTTTCTTCGGCTTCTTTTTTAATAAAGGCCTCCATTTTATGGAGTTCTTTAACGACCTAATGCAAAAATTAATTAGAATTTCAATGTTAATACACTAATATACACATGGATAATACATCACAATAGATAATTAAATTATTCAAAATGTCACTTATTGGCAAATAATCACTTACTTGGTCGTCACTTAAACCATGAACAGCAGCCATTTTCGAATATTAAACAGTAAATACAAATAAATAAAACAAGGTACTAATAACCAAAGTATATTCTATGATAAATTATCTATTAATTGAAGCTACTAGAAGGAATCCAACAGTATCACCATAAAATCTGTTATATTATAATCAAACGCAATGCTGGAAGTGCTGCTTAAATTCAGCCAACCAACCAAAAGTTACCTGGACCAGATTAAAGTACAGTATATTATATATAAGGATAGTTCACAAACGCAGGTTGTAGGTTGTATAGTGTAGTGGTTATCACTTTCGGTTTTGATCTCAAGAAGCTTCCGAACAACCCCGGTTCGAATCCGGGTACGACCTTTTTTGTTTTTGTTGAAATCTCTTTGGAATCAATCGCAATAAGGTTTTGTACCGCGCATTTCAGCGTGTACCTGCGCCTCGGTGAGCTTAAATTCTTCAAAACAAGCCTGATGGAGCTTGGACCTATCAACATTAAATACCATCCTAATTCAGGTTTGTGTTTCTCTGTTTAAATCGCTGATAATGAGGTTTCTTCTGTCCATATATTTTCATATTTAGAGAACTCTTCAGTCATGTTTTCCTTGAAATATAGAAAAAAAAGCGTGTCCCTAATATTCTCAAATTTTTTATTAAGGTCCACCACAAGATCAAAAAAATTTTCACTATTAGTTGGTCTAATCATTTTGCTGCTCCTCTATCATGTTATATCAATAGAAAAATTGACCAATTATTCAAATAGTCTTCCACTCTATCCATATTTTCATTCCAAATTTATAGAACACCAACTTGATCAGTTGAACTCTCCTATTTCTTCCTCAGTATATTACCATACCAATTTTATACCTTATAATTTCACTTTATTCAAAAATCCCTTTAATATAAATTTTCTAAAAAATTATCAAATATCTCAATTAATTAACTTCAATCCAGTTTTATTTGATTGTAACTCTATTTCTAATAACTATGATGTTTATAATCACAACTATGGAAAAAAATATAATAAAAACAATTTTTTAATATCTTATCCAAAGAAAAAGATATCATTATCATCAAAATCTCAATATCTCAATGATTTGAAAATTTTCAAATCCCAAATTATCAATTCTGTATATTCAGATCTACTATCTCCACTGGAATTCAAAAAGGACTATACAACCAGAAATCTTAAAAAAAGTTGGTATCAATATGGTGCAAGTTCAATATTTTTTAAAAAAAATGATCTATTCTTATTGACTAATAGAATTGTCTATTCTGACACCGAAAAAAGATCTTTTGCAAGATCGAGTTTTTTATCTTTTCAAATATATGACAAGAATTGGAATCAACTATATTCCAAAAACAATAAACATCTATATTGCTTTGTTAATCCGGATTTATCGAATTTGTTGAATACGCTTAATATTAAAAATATTAGTGCCATAATAAATTCATTGAAAAATGATTATCAAAATCATAATCGTAATCATAATCGTAATCATAATATAGATAGAAAATGTTTCAAAGCCCCTGCAATACTAGATATTCCTTTTTATTTTGAACTTAATCAAACTTCAAGATTTTTTGGTCCTGAAGATCCAAGGATCTTAATCAAAAAAACTTACTATAATTTTTATAATAATCAAGAAAACAGAACTTTGATAGATTCAATTGAATTGGAAGAGCCAATAATTATTTATAATAAAATGACAAATCATACTTTTGATTATTACCGACTAATTCATGCTTTTTTACCCTTTCAAAATAAAGAAATAACTTTCACTTTCAACAAGCAAGCAAATACAGAAATTGAAAAAAATTGGCAACCCTTTTTCAATTCAAAAAATATTATCGATGTTTATCTTGAAAACAATGAAAACGATAGAAATAATCCAACCCATTTCACAAACGGTTATATTAATTTTATTTATTCAATTGATCCCTTGGAAATTCTATTATGTAGCTTAAACACTGGTATATGCAATTTCCAATTTCAGGATAACATTTACTGGAATTCCAAAAAATTATCAGTAGATCCTGTTCCTGATAATGAAAATATCTTATTCAATAGTGTAGTGAATAATGATAAAATTAGTGCTATGAGAGGTGGAACTAATTTAATCAAAATTCCAGTTTTTTTTTTAAATAAAATCTACCAATTACTGAATAGCAGCAACAATAATAATAATGATAATGATAATAATAGAAATCATATCATTGATAATTTCAATATCAATCTAAAAAACCTATTAGATTACAACATTTTCATTGGATTTCCAAGAACTCATATTGATGATTGTGGTTGTTGTAAAGTGACTTATAGACCATCGTTTATTGTTTTATTAAATTTGAAAAATTCTTCAACCTATCAAATTAATTCAATTTCTTCTAGTTTAGATTTTAATATCGATGTTCTAAATTGGAAATTGGCTGAACAATTAGATTCATGCATCGGCTTTCAAAATGTTTTAATTCCAAATAGTATATCATATTGGGATATATTTAATAATTCAATTTCAATTGTTGAAAAACAAAAGAACATTATCAATAGCTCAAATTCCGAACTGGATACCAATATAGAATCAAAATCAGAATTAGAATTGGAATTTGATGATTATATGGGTCTTATGTTAACTGAAGCTGATTATTCGAATGTGTTGATTCATATTAGAGGATTTCTAAAATTTTTAATCAATGAACTTGACTTCTTTAAAAAGCAACCTCAACACAAACTCGCTAATTCAACAGATGGTTTATCTAATGAAGAAGCTCAAAATGTATTAAAAAAAATTAACAGTAATTTACTAGTGCAATGTGCACTAGAAGATTCAAAACGATATTGTAGTGAATATGGATTAAGCCATAGTCCATTTGTTCCCAGTAGTCATAGAAATAAGAATAAAAATCCCTCCTGATTTATATAGAGTGTATTTGCTTTTTTTTTTTCTTTTTTTTCTCTTTTATGTTTTTTCTTCATAATATCAGAAATAGCAGATATTTATACCAAACAAATTAGCTAATTGAAATAGCTATGAAATTGAATATAATATTAAAAAATTAAAAGAAAATAATTCATTGTGACTTAATTGAAAAACTATTGAAAATTAAATATAAGCCACAACTAATCAACAAGTCAAACAGTGCCCAGATAAAATTATTTAGACAGTCAATATGTAGTTTTTTTGCCAGCTTCAGTGCAAATATTATAACAACTAATAAAAACCTAAATAATAGCAATTGAAAATATTTTTCTCCAAGGACATTTCATATTGTCTTTCATCTCATATTATTTAAAAAAGGAGACTTTGGGGCTTAACATTCAGCCAAAACAAAGAAGCAAAAAGCAAAAAAACATAATTTCAAATTAATCTAAAAACTAAGAAGGTAAAATCAATATGTTATCAACTGTAAATGGGATTGAAATCTACATATACCAATAGTTTGTTGTAATATTAATGTGTAATAAATGCAATAACCATTGATTTGAGATAAAAAAATATGTAGTCATGTATAAATATGCACAATATGTGACACCGGTAAACTCTAAATCGATAAATCTCTTTCTCAGACCCCCTTTTTGTATACATGTATGTATTTACATGTATAGCATGCAGGTGGCTAAGCTTTTTAAAATCAGGGTCTTTTGGAATTGAATATAATCAACTCTGAAATAATAATTAATTTGTCTTTTAAATCTAGCAAACAAGAAAGCTAATGAGTAATTAAAAAAATTTTATTTATTTATGTGGCTCTATCAATATTTACAAAAAAAATGATTTATTTCTAATTATTTATCAGCTTTTTTGTATCTTACCTATTCCCTAAACATAAACAAACATCGTTTTATTATGAGAAAAGTTGATTTATTGAAAACAAAACTAACAAATAATCCCAAATTATGCAATTTTAATTGTTTAAATCAAAAATTAATTTTTGGGTTGTTGAATATCTCAAAATTGCTAATGTTAAATATGGTAGCACAAAAAAAACATTTCATTAAGCACAAAAAAAGAGGAATCCAAACACAATTGATTTAGAAACAGGCAATATATTATAAATCTGAGAATTTAAATTTTATGTATTTCAATAGAGTATTAATAGAACATCATTCAACAAAAGAGTAAAGGTATTCATAACATGTTAGCATTTTTTTCAAATGGATAGCTGGCTACACCATTTTAAATAATTCTTTTATTATCTTTAGTATCAATACAGAAAGTAGACTTATAAGCTGATTAAATCTATAAAATATAATAAAAATTAGCCTTTTTAACTAATAGAGAAATCCTTTTTAAGCATCTTTTTGATTTTATCAACTTTAGAACTTATAACAGTAATTAAAAACAATTAAGAATGTTTTTTTAAAACGCTTTATTTAAATTAAGTAGAATAGCTAAATTAAATTCAGTCTAATATTACACCACTTTTTCATTAAAAAGATATATGATAATAATATTAAATTTGAATTATTGAAAAATCTATAAGAATATTAATATTTCTTCTATTTTATTTACAGACAATTCAGGTTTAATTTAATATCTATTATCTATTGTTTTTTTGATTATTTAGCTGTTATTCAATTTCATCAAGATTTACACCTCAAATATCCCATACTTTAAAGTCACAGATTATTTTAATCCTATAAATATTCCAGAAAAACCATTTCTTTAACATTTAAATCATTTAAATCACTTAAATCATTTAAAATGCTCATAAAAAGAAAACCTAATATTAATGTCATAATTTTCATTATTAATTATTCCGTTTTGTATTAATTTAATTTTAATAATTTGAAATAATTTGGACATTAATAAAAAATCACCAGTCTTTTTATATAATATAAAATCAGAAACATAGAAATTAGATTTTCAAAATTTTTTTTTGTTTTCGGATGATAAATTTTTGAATATTTATAGAGTATGTGAATATTTATAGTATTCAAAATATATGGTTGAAAATTTTAATATTAATATACTTTTACTTTTTATTTTTGTGATGTTAACACAAAACGATGTTTCTTTTATGTAGAATTTTAATTGAGGCTCTGTGTTGTAAATTAATTGTATAAACAATAGTTTATAATAGAAAATTTAAATATTCTCAAAAAATAATATACTCAATAGAATATATAAAGAACAGCAAATAAATACAATCAGAAATATAGCTTTTATCATAAAAAAGTTATTTTTTATTGTTTTTTTCTTATTTCTTATTTAGTTGTTTTTTTTTTGATATCAAGAAAGAAATAATAGCATATTTTTAATTAATTAAGAAAAAAATCATATTCAATCTGAAGTGAACTTGAATTGATAATTATTTTGGTTTCAAAACTAAATTTCTAATTGACAAAATTATAGATAAGATTTAGACTAACTTAAACCGACTTAATCCTAGCAATGTGCTAATTACAAAAGATTTTCAATTTTAAAACGATAAAATTTTGATTTTGTGTTGTCAGCCATAAAATTTGCCTATCATCTGGAAGATAGACTTAATTTTCAATTAATAATATGGAAAATGATTATCTCGTTTTTAAAAATCATTGATTATTGCAAAGATTTTATATACATTATTTACTATGTTTAATAAGCAATAATTAGTGATAAATCAAGAATTTTATTAATTCTGAATATATACAATAGCAAATATATTTTTTAATATATGAGTGAAGCTTCTGTTTCAACTGATATCAGTAAATTACTTAATATGAATAAAAAAAATAAAAAAAACAAAAAAAACCATAAACTAGAAAATAAAAAAACAGCATAATGAAATGAAAATATAAATTATAAAATAACAGATTATAGCAACAAAAAAAAACAGCTTAAGAAATCACATAATAAATAAAATTAAAATTAATGAATAAACAAGAAAAAAACAAATAAATAAAAAGATTAATATTTAAATCAAAACTAGGCATTAGTCTTCAAATCTCTATAGTAAGCCTCTTCTTCGGCATCAATGACATCTTTGTAAGAAAACAAATCAACTTCTTCAAGTGGTATAAGATGAGTTTTATGATAAAACTTGTAAAAAAAGTAGAAAATGAAAAACACTGGTATACAAATATACCCAGAAATAAAGGACTTGTAGTCAAAAGAACTACCTTCAGATAAATCCAAGAAGACAGTAAAATTTTTTATTAGCATTAATAAAATTGAAAAACCTATTGAAAAATAAGTAGTATAAGGGGTGAAACGAGCTGTGTAATATAGTTCTTTCTTTCTTTGGATACCTTGAACTTTGATGGCATTTGTGAATCTGAAATGACTGATAAGAATTGATAACCAGGTAAATAAAATAAACGTACAATCAACATTAAGAAAATGTTGATAAACAATTTTTGAAGAATCACCTGAATTCATATAACCTAAAACAGAGAATAAGGAACAAAATGCAAATGCAGCATATGGAACACCTCTTTTATTTGTCTTTGAGAAAATTTTTGGAGCCATTCCATTAATCGATAAACCATATAATGTACGAATGGAGACGTAAAGTTCTGTGTTGGAAGCAGTAAAAATAAAGATCAAAAGACATGAGTTAAGGATATGAGGTAAAACTTTGATACCTGCGTTTATGGCAGCAATAACAAAGGGAGAATTTGTAGCTGAAGATGAATAAAGAGAGACAGCTTCTAATAACAAAGGATCATCAGATGATACGATCATTCCCATAAAGAAAATTAAGCAAATGTAAATAGGGAAAATGGTCCACATAATTAAATTATTAGCCTTGTGAATATTTTTTCTCATCGGACTATGAGCTTCAGCTAATGCAGCACCATAAATTTCAATACCTGCAAAAGGATAAATAATTGTAACTAAAGATGCTAAAAAGGCAGCAAATCTTCCAGGGCTTCCACTTGTACCAAAGTACTCTTTAAAGGCACCAGGATCTTTCCAATATCTGAAGCCAACTCTTTCGTTAGTTGGGCCAGCACCCATAGTTAGTGCGAAACAAAAGATAACAAGGCCAATTAGGACAATTACTTTGAAACCTGCAAAAAATTTGACAATTGTGGCATAGAATTGAATGCCAACAAAGTTACATATCATGTCAAGAATAATAAAAATAGTGACCCATAAAGCAGGATTAATTGTTTCTCTATCTATCCAGTATTGAATAGCAAGAGAGGCAGCAGAAATTTGAGTTGGAGCAAGAACCAAATATTTAAAGAAATAGAAATAACCACTAGCAAAACCAAAAGCAGGATCAACATATCTTGTTGCCATTCCAGCACAACCATCAGGAAGAGGAATATAAGTGGCCATTTCGCACAAGGAACATAGAACAGTGTAAGCAACAATACATACAAGTAGAAAGCCGAATAATAAACTCCCACAACCACCAAAACTTAGACTAATACCTGAGGCAACAAGCATACCACTACCAGTTGTACCAGATATAGACAATGCAGCTAAGTCGTAGTATCTTAATTTGTGGACTAGTCTATGGCCTTCTGTCATAGCTAGAGGTTGTTCGGAGGTGACACGATGCAATTCGTAGGAAACTTGACGATATAGAGTTGAGGCAGTACTGCTGGTGCTAATTGAACCATTATCGTTATCGTGCTCATGATGGTGGTCATGATGAAGATGATGTGGGTTGTTGTTGTTGTTGTTTTTTAAATCGTCCAAGTTGTTAGTTGTTGTTGATAGAGAGGAGTTTTGTTCATAATTTATTTTTTGTTTTGGGAAGTTCGAATCAGTGGAAGATCTTGAATCGGAATGTTCGATGTTTCCGAAATCATTTCTATAGAAGGAATTGAAGGAGTTTCTTCTATTTAGATTCAAAGATCTTCTTTCATTATTTGTAAACTCCATTTGAAATTATAAGTGATATAGTAGGAAATATATTATATATACATGTATATATGTATATTTCAATTAAGATGATGTAATGTAGCTTAAATACGGATGATAATATGGATTGAAGATTAAAATAATTAATGAGGCAATTGTTAATTGATGGTGGATAAAATATAATATAGATAAAAAAAAACTAAAAAATGATTGAATCGAAGAAAAAATATTTTGGAAAATTTTAACGAAGAATGGAAAAAAATAATAAAAGGAAATTATAATAATTATATATGAAAAGTTGGTATAGTTTCTTTTTGGATGATGATTAAGTGATTAAGAATATGCTGATAAAATCAGAAAGAGAGAGAAAACTTGGAAATGGGAAATAAATCTATATCCACATTAAATTAAATGAGAAAAAAAAAGGGACATTTAAAATGAACAATAAAAAACCTAAAAAGAAAACAAAAAAAATTGAGACTGGCACTGCAAAAATTTGAATTTAGAGGTGTTAGGACAAAGAATCTAGCAGGTGTTGTTAGACTGGAGGCAGCTAAATGGTAATTTAAATTGCAATTGAATGAATACCAAAATCTGTAGATATGTTTGAAAGTTTAGTTTAGTGTTAAATTAGTATAACAGAGAGCTGCAATTCGTAAATGATAAATAATAGATTTATTTGATGATTTGCAACCATTTTGAAAAGTAGGAAATGTTGGTGTCAATATTTGAAATTCGTGCAGCGATAAAGTGGTAGAATGATAAGGTGGAAGTGATAATGGGTGATGTCAAAGAGAAGAATCAAGATGTTGGAAAATCAGAAAAAGCAAAAGAAGACTTGGGAAGAATTAGGAAGAATTGAGAAAAACAGGTCTCGATTTTTGATTTCTTTTGAACTTCTGAAAACCCAATGGAAATTTCCTAATACGGGTTTAACATTTAAAAAATAAAAACGCAAATCTTAAACCTTAAACCCAAAACCACAAACAATAAACCCTAAATGAGACATTGTGAATTGTAAATGGGAAAGCGTGCTATTAATATGTTGATATCAAAATGAACACAATTCAAATTGAAATAGAAACATGTAGCAAAGGGAAAAGAAAATAAATTTTGAGTTAAATACATAGAAATTCCTCCTTTTTAAGAGGAAAAAAACAACCCACCAGAATAATAAGATTATAATGTGGAGTTTGTGTGTCTTGTTTAAGATGTAAACAATCAGATCAAATGCCCTCATTCGCAATAACGCACCCAGGCTCCAGTAGTATTGCTTAGCACTCTCCAGTCAAAATTGACAAGAACTGAATGTGCCAAAGACTCCAGCTGAACTAAAGGAGTTAACCAACCCAAGAAAACAGTTGCACTATATTCTGTGTATGTTCTGTGTATTGTTCTGGGCATTTTCCCCAGGCATAAAGAGTGCTGTTTTTGACCTTCACTCACGTGATATATATCTAGCTTCTGTAGAGCGGGCGTCGGGGTTTGCGAGCAGCAGCTGGAATACGGACGAGGAGATGGGTGCAGTGCGTAGTCCGCGCGTGCTACCGCGGCCGCTGAGCGGGTTTGAGAGACGCCCAGCAGCCTGCCCTCGAGCGTCCTGTCAACCAAGCGTTCGCCAACGCTGATTGGTTAGGCGACGCACCCAACGGGTACAAAACAAGAGAAAGTGGAAAAAGTGGAAAAACTCTGAAAGGACATAACACCCTTCTTGTCCGGCCAGGCAGGGCAGATGAAACTGGTGCTGTTTTTTTGCGTTTTGTTCCCCCTCAAAGTTGTCTTTAGTGCAGCTAATTAATCTGCCTCAAAGTCTCCCTTCATCACCAACAGAGCCAGAATAAGGCCCACAGGCAATTTGGTCAAGCATCCCAACGATTCTAGTCAATTAAATGGAAATTAGTTGTCTGCAGCTTTCCTTTAATTCCAACGACTTCTAAACGATTTTTGTCTAATTACCAATGAGTTTAATGGTATTCTATCACCACAGGGACTATAAGCATAGCATTATGTATCGAACATACAAGTGTAGATATTAGCTGTTTTTCCAATGTATTTATTAAATGTGAATTCAGATATGAAATGGATAGGAATTTGCTATAATTAAATGAAATTCTAAGCAAAAGATTGTCTAATTGTCGAGATCTTCAATTGATAGTCAAGTCACCCACTGATAGAAGCTAATTGATAGTTAAAAGAAAATTATTTAAAAGTAAAATCCCGTTCAATGCTATTCAATTCAGTTCAATTTTTAACGCACAAGACGTATTTCAAAATTTAAATCAAAAATCAAACAGGAAATAAATTATCAGCACTTCTAATCTTTTACATATCTGTTCCAGCTGTTTTAACTGGATTTAAGATCCTTTAGTAATAAAAAACAACAACATGCTGTCCCATCTATTTTAGTTTCAAAATATATATTTTAAAAATTGAAAATAATAATATGACAAAATAAATATCTGAATCTAAACCAGTTCTAAAATTAATAAAATTATATGTTATTATTTTAATCACCTGCTTGCTGCCTGATAAATGCTATCCATTTAGTTTGAATTTTATTGAGCAAACTAATTGAATTAAATTTTATTCAATAATTTCAAATAATTTCATCAGAATTTTAATAACTTTTAATAAATTTCAAGTTTAAAATTTATTCAGAGTTTCAGACTACCGAAACTCTCCAGACTTTTTCTGTCTCTTACTTTCTTCCATATCAATTATTTTCAACTGTTTTCAATTGTTTCCAACTGTTTTTAGTTATTTTTAACTGTTCCTGGTTGCGGTTTTCGGGAAAAAACAAAAAAGAAATTCATGTCTAATCAAAAAAAAAAGAAAAAGAAAAAGAAAAACCAGCATTAAATTTACAACCAAAGCTCACCAATCAATTAATAAACCAATTGAAAGAAATTACCTAAATTTATTAAAAATTACTAAAAATCAATCAAAATCAATCAAAATCTATTGTTTTTAATCGATTTCATCAACTTTCAATTTCTAGATCAAATTCCTGCATCTCTCATCCAAACCGCACCTGAATTGCTCACTTTAGAACAACTCCACATTCTCACAAAATGTTTTAGCAAAAAGCTCTAAATCATTTAAATTGTTCTAATTTTCCCAGCCTTTTATCTTAGCATCATATTATTTTGCTCTTTCCATTAACCAACATACCCTTTTTCTTCTTTGAACCAGTTTTCCTTGTTGTGTCATACAAATCATCCAAGACCAAAGAGTGTAAACTCTTTTCTCCACAGAGTCAATCCAGTTATCTCCGCAAAATTTAGTTTTTACAAATCACGTGCACAGAGCATAAGACTACTGTATTCGTTGCGAGCCCAGCTTATATTGGCACGTGGTCTTGTGTGATATTGTGGTAAAATGAGTCATTTGCACCAGCTGGGTCTTTTTCCCCATTGCTGCGAGCTGCGACGAACCTTCACTATTGACTTTTGTGTCTGTCTCATACTAAACTTGGCTGTTTTTTTTGGCCTCGGAGAAATTCTGCTTTTTTAGTTTTTTCTCCCACATGCATGAGTTTCTTCTCAAACATCAAGAAAAAAAGAAAAAAGAAAAACATTTCCGAAACCCGTTCAGCGTTTTCCGAAGTTTTCGGTGCAACTCCGAGCCAACAGGCTTTCTTCTCTCCCCAGCCAATCAACTTGCTCAATGCCTTTCAGAGCCAGGCAGGCATCTGACATCAACTAGCTGTTTCGTTAAAACATCCTTACAATATCTCGAGCCTCACGCCAATGTTTCGTTCAAAATTTGAAAAAGCCATCGCAAAATCACTTCGAAATCCCACCCTCAGCGAGATCGTGCAATAATTTCCATCTTTATTGGTAAATGAGTAATTCAAACTTTTTTTCTTTATCTCACCGCTCGGTTGATTTCCGTGCTTTTTCCAGGCTCCCCCGGATGTTTATCTTCTCCTTACATTTACTATGCGATACTAACCACGGTTCTCTTTTCAGTAACTGCGGATTCAATAACCGACAAAATATATCAATCAACTCAATGCTCTCAATTTAAACTAAGGAATTTATTATATAACGTTTAAAATTTTAGTAAATTATTGTTTAATATATTGGATCATTTGAATGAGATTGAAATAACTGGTTAGAGCTACACTGTTATATTGTTTTGTACATATTTTCTTTCTTTTTTCCAATATAAAGGCTTTTATTCCTTTATCAATATTCTTCATTCATTAATTCATATATTGATAAAATTTTTAATATACTAAAAATCATATATAAACCCTTTTCGTTTACTTGATTGTTATTCCTAATTTTCTGGGGATCATAAACACAAAATCAGTATAAAATTATTAAAAAAAATAAATTTTGCAACATTTTCATCATGTCACTTAGATCATTTCCTTCAAATTCCTCAATCAACAGCGTCGTTAGTAACGGCTGGGTAGTTCAAAAATTCGGTGGGACTAGTGTTGGTAAATTTCCTGAAAAGATTGCTGATGATATTATCAAATTATACTCATACACAAATAAAGTTGCAGTGGTTTGCTCAGCAAGATCATCAACTATTAAAACCGAAGGTACAACTTCAAGGTTACTATTAGCTGCCAATTATTCAATCGAAAACAAAGATTATAAAAAAATCATAGATTTGGTCTTGAAAGACCATTTCAATAACGCAAATAAAAAAATCGTCAACAATGCTGAAATAAGGAAAGAACTAATCGAACAAACAAAATCAGAATGTGATCAAGTATTAAAACTATTACATGCCTCAACTGTTATTGGCGAACTCTCTTCAAAGACTTTGGATAGTATTATAGCTTTGGGTGAAAAATTAAGTTGTTTATTTATCTCAGCCTTATTGAACGATAGAGGTGTTAATGCTCAGTATATTGATTTGTCAACAATTCTTTTAAATTCAAATAACAATAACGGCAGTAATTCCAGCATCTCCAATTACTCCAATGGTAACAAATTCAATGATGACTTTTCATTAGATCAAGATTTTTACAATAATTTAGCTAAAAAATTAGCAAATAAAATAAAGTTTTTACCTGATGGTGTCGTTCCTGTGTTGACCGGATATTTTGGTCCAGTCCCTGGTGGACTATTAAATGGTATTGGAAGAGGTTATACTGATTTATGCGCAGCCTTGGTAGCTGTTGGGGTCTATGCTGATGAACTACAAATCTGGAAAGAAGTCGATGGTATATTTACTGCTGATCCAAGAAAAGTCAAAAATGCAAGATTATTGGATTCGGTCACCCCAGAAGAAGCTGCTGAATTAACTTATTACGGCTCAGAAGTTATTCATCCTTTTACAATGGAACAAGTCATAAAGGCTAAAATCCCAATTCGTATTAAAAACGTTGAAAACCCAACTGGAAAGGGCACAATTATTTATCCAGATAATATAGGAAGAAAAGGTGAATCCACACCACCTCATCCACCAATTGCCAGTAATTTAATTCCTGGCAATTTTTTTATCAGGACTAAAGGCCCTACTGCTGTTACAATCAAACATAATATCATTGTCTTGAATGTTCACTCCAATAAGAAAATTCTATCCCATGGGTTTTTAGCAAGCATTTTCCAAACTTTGGACAAATACAGATTGGTAGTTGATTTAATTTCAACCTCAGAAGTGTACGTCTCAATGGCATTATATCATACATTTGACGAAGAAAATGAATTGAAACTCGCCATCAGTGAATTGACTAAATATGGTACTGTTGACATAGTAAGAGATATGGCAATCATTTCATTGGTCGGGAAACAAATGAAACAATTCATTGGTATTGCCAGTCAAATGTTCCAAACTCTAGCAGAGCAAAACATCAACATTGAGATGATATCCCAAGGGTCAAACGAAATCAATATCAGTTGCGTTATAAACGAAGCCGATAGTTTGAGAGCTTTGCAAGCAATTCACGCCAAATTGCTTGACAGACCTACAGTGGTAGATCAAAGGCTCGCAGCATTGAAATTGAGTGCATACTAGGGACACATTGCAGTGCTATCCATTCTATTTACCATTTTATTTACCATTTTATTTACCATCTTATTCACCATCTTATTCACATTCTTCTATATTTACATAGACCACCATATACATCTTAGATAGAAACCGCTGTTCGAGCCCCTTCGGCGTCCTTTTCCACAGTTCGCAGTTATCGACGTTTCACTTTTGATTTCAACCCCAAAAAACAACCAGACCCATTATTTTACACTTTCTGCTATTATATCTCTGTTTTCTTCACACTTTCAATTCTCTTTATCTGGGGTGTTTTTCTGTTTGGTTTGTGGGCTTGCAATTGTTATATTAAACTACTCCCAGTTGACTTTCGTGTCCTTTTCTCTCCAGGTTTTCTAACTTTTCTATTTAACCTTTTCCTCACCTCATCTCTCTCTCTTATTTTTCTTGCTACTGCTTTTGCCCTTCGCAATGAAAAAAATACTGAAAAACTCATTTGAACTAGAAGATTTTGCAGAGCAAGACCAGTTGATTAACAGTGCTAGCAATAATGTTGGTATACTGGGACAAACCAACGACTCTGATACTGATTCAACTTTTTCTGAAATATTTGAGGATTTAAATTTAATTTCCATAAACAATTCAAAATTGAAACCAGTGTTTTTTAATGATAATAACAATGAACTTGGCATTGAATTTAAAGATGAAAACGCTAGCAGTCTCAATGATAATGATGAAAATAGTGACAATTTTGCTTCAACAAGTACAAACAATATAATACTTCCAGAGGCAGTTCAAATTCCTTTCAAAAATAAGAAGAAATTCTTTCTTTTATTTATTTTTTCAGTTCTAATTTGGGTCATAACTTTGATTTTTTATTCAACAAGTAAAATCACTTATCAAGATGACTCAGATTTCAATCAGAACTCAAACAATAAAACAGACACAGCTCCAAAGACTTCACATATAAACACAGATAATGAAAAGCTTAAAATAGATCTTTCAACTAATAGAATGGGTTACTTTTACACATTTGAAAAACATATAGAGTTTTTACCAAACGATTACAAAAATGACAATGGTTTGTATCTATTAAATTCTGGCTCATCCTTCTCCATTAACACTATGAAAAACGATAATCAGAATTTGTTAAAAGCTGAAAATAAAATGCAATATAAAGACAAGACTTACACAATTCTGTCTTTTGTTCCAAATTTAAATCTAACTAAAGCAATTGTTTCAAGCAATAAAGAATCTCAATATCGTCATTCTTATTTTGCATATTTTTTCATTTATGATTTTATTACAAAAGAAATCGAGCCATTAAAACTCAGTGAAAACGACGGGAAAGAAGAAATGCTTAAACTAAGCTATGCAAATTGGTCACCATTAGGAAATTATATTTACTATATTTACAATAATAACATTTATCTTAAAGATATTTCAAATAATAAAGACCTCCAAGTAACTAATGATGGTTCTGAAAACGTATTTAATGGGAAGCCTGATTGGGTGTATGAAGAAGAGGTATTGGCCACTGATAATGCCATCTATTGGTCTCCCAATGATGAAAATTTTATTTTTTTAAAAACTGATGAAACTGATGTGCCAGTGTTTCAATTGGAATATTATGTTCAAGATAACCAAGACGTTTATCCTAAAATCGTTGATTTGAAATACCCTAAACCAGGTTTTAGCAATCCCATTGTTAGTTTAATCAATTATAATATCAAATCAAATAAAGCAGTTGAAATCGATCACAGCGATAATAATTTGGGTGAAGATTTCATCTTGTATGATTGCAAATGGATTGATAATAAAAATGCAATCATAAAAGAGACTGATAGAGAAAGTAATCAATTAAACATAAGAAATTTTAAAATTCTTGGAAAAGAAGAAGATGACATTTATACCTATTCCAATGAAATTATTAGAAAAGTTAATGCTGTTGAAGAATTTGGAGGATGGATTGAAGAAACTTCTGATTTGTTAGTAATTCCACCAAACCATGAGCAAGATCGAAAACATTATGGTTACGTTGATGTTATTGTTGATGAAAATGGGTTTAGACAGCTAGCATATTTTGATCAAATTTCAAACGAAAAGCCTAAGAAGATATTAACGAATGGTAATTATGATATTATCGGCGGTGGATTGGCATTTAATTATGAAAAAAATAAAATATATTTTTTATCAGCAAAAAAATCTTCAATAACAAGACATCTTTACACAATTTCGTTAAACGGTGACGACCTTCAAGCTATCACAAATGATAAGGTGGATGAATGGAATGATGTTAAATTATCGCCAAATGGTAATTATTTATTGCTTTCTAATAGAGGACCAAGTGTTCCAACCCAAAAGCTTTTCAATATAAATGAGGACTTTGATTTAGAAAAGGGGAATAATTTAGCGACTAGTGATACAACAATTAAATACCTTAAAAAGTTTCAAGTGCCAAAGCACACATTTCTCGAGTTTGAAGTTGACGAAGGAGTCAAATGTCATGTTAAAGAAATATTGCCAACTAGTTATTTTGATAATGAGAAAAACAAGCAAAATAATAAAACATACCCTCTATTGGTCAATGTTTATGGTGGGCCGGGATCTCAAACAGTTGATGTTCTGTTCAACATAGGATTTGAAGATGCAGTTTCAAGTTCTTTGGATGCAATCGTGTTGCAAATTGAGCCCAGGGGGACTGGAGGTAATGGATGGAAATACAAGTCTTTTGCCAAAAACCAAATTGGATACTGGGAACCCAGAGACATTGTGAACATTGTTGAGCAGTACATTAAAAGCCACGAGGGCCTCGTTAATACCGAAAGAACAGCGATCTGGGGCTGGAGTTATGGTGGTTTTACAACACTAAAGACGTTGGAGTACGACGCAGGAAAGACCATCAAGTATGGAATGTCGGTGGCTCCAGTTACAAACTGGCTATTTTACGACTCGATATACACCGAGAGATATATGGACTTACCCAAGAACAACGAAAAGGGCTACCGAGAGATATCGGTGATCAGCGAATTGGAGAACTTCAAAAGCGTCAAGAGGTTTTTGATAATGCATGGCACAGCTGACGATAATGTTCATTTCCAAAACAGCCTTGACTTGATTGACAGATTCAATCTAAAAACTGTGGAAAACTTTGACTTGAAGTACTTCCCAGACAGCAATCATGGGATATTCCACCATGGGGCCAACAAAATCGTGTACGACAAGCTATTCAAGTGGCTTTCAGATGCTTTTGCAGGCGACTTTGATGCCATCGACAACTGAGTCTGAAGATAAGGAAGCACAAACATCAGAAAGAGCAAACCGGGGGAGGTCTTACGTAACCCAAGGAATGAGACCCTCGGAAGTGGATGCCCCCGCCAGCGGCCCGGTTTGAGCCTGTCGGTTGGCGATCTTTGCCCGGAGCTGCGATTCGGTCATTTTCCAAAGTTAAAGCTTTGAAAATTTTTTTAAACTTTTGGAACTGGTAGGAAAGGACACTTTCTGCAAATTCATTTGGTGGAAAGCTTTGCCATTTCACAAAACACAGCTAATATGATTCATTGGATGGAGTCGTTGCTTTTTCAGTCATCTCCATATTTTGAAATAATCGCCTAACCGTATTTATTGGAAGGTTTTCTCCAATTTTGCTTGTTAATATAATCTTATGTTTTTTTCCTTTCCAGTTTTGTTACTTTTTTTTGTTCTTTTTAGAAATTCTTATTGATATACTATTATTATAAATGTTGGGGATAATATAGCAAAATACTAAATTTAATCCTTTTAAATCTTTCACCCTGAACTTGAACTTGAACTTATCTTTATCCACAAGAAAAGCTTTTTTTCATACTTGCAACAGATTTTTTACCAAAATGACAATCCCATCTGAGTTGAAACCCTTGGGTGATCCCTTGGAACAAGCTAAAAGAGCTGCTGCTTATAAGGCTGTTGACGAAAACATATCGTTGAATTATAAGTATGTCGGTATAGGCTCAGGTTCTACTGTGGTATATATTGTGGAAAGGCTATCTCAATTGCCCCTTAGCAAAAACTTCATTTATGTCCCAACTTCCTTTCAATCAAAGAAATTGATTTTGGATTCCGGTCTAAGGCTATCCAATGTCGACGATATAAATATTGACAGTGACCATGTGTTGGACATAACCTTTGATGGAGCTGATGAAGTTGACACCTCTTTGAATTGCATTAAAGGTGGTGGTGCCTGTTTATTTCAAGAAAAACTAATTGCTTCCTTATCCAAGAATTTTATAATCGTGGCAGATTACAGAAAGAAATCTCCTTCTTACTTGGGCGTAAACTGGTTGAAAGGTATTCCAATTGAAGTCGTTCCAATGGCCTGGAGTAAAATTAGAAACGATTTGCTTAACAAGTTTTCCGCAAACAAAGTCACTTTAAGACAAGGTGGTGTTAATAAAGCTGGTCCGGTTGTAACTGATAATGGAAACTTTATACTAGACGTTGAGTTTGGAATATTGGATGTTGATTCATTTGATTTATTGAAGTTCAATCAACAAATCAAAAACCTTGTTGGTGTTGTGGAAACTGGTCTTTTCATAAGTATGGCTAAAAAAGCTTATTTTGGTCATGGTGATGGTTCTGTTTCTTCAATTTCTAGCACGAATCTTTTAAGGAAAAAGAAACTTTACTGATTGTTTCACACATTAAATCACAATTTTTTTTTTTTTCGTTTATTTTAGTCTACCTATTATGATTTTCTTATATTACAATTCGTTAAGATTCATTTAGAAACACGCCGTTTTTTTTTGTTTTTTTTTGGGAGCAAATTTAATTCTGATATTCATTTTGTCTCAATTTTAGTATTTATTTTGTCTCAATCTAAATTTAATTTAGAGTAGACTCATTGTATAATCGATACTACACTTCAAACTGGGTGAGAAGTTTTTTAGTATTTTATCTTATTTTTTTCATACCTAAATCAATGTCCTTAATAATGAAGTCTTTATCTATTCTTTGAAATTGATAGTCAGTAATTTTCTATATACACAGTTCTCTTTAAAAAATAATGATAAATCTCTTTGGAATCTTAAAAGAATAAATGAATTTCATCATTATCAATAATCGGTAATCAATCTACCCACAGTAATTTATATTATAATTCTGTAAAACTTGTCCGGTTTAAAAAGTATATATAAGTGAATAATATATACATGTGTAAATATAGTACATAATTTGGAAAAAAAAAACAATCCAAAAACACCAATCCCACCATACCAACCTCTCTTGTCAATTAAAATCAATGAAAAAACAAAAAAAAACAAAAACAATAAAAAAGGAAAATGTCAAAAGCAATGTAATTCAATAATATCAACATTTTCAAAAGAATCTTTAGTGATTTCAAAATTTTCAACATCCTGCCATTCTTCAAACCATCCTTTTTTTGTCAAAAATTTCTCAAGTGGAAGACCAGAAACAGGAAAAAAGTAAGTTAAAATCATATAAATCAAAAATGAAGCAGTGAATCCTGTAAAGTAATTCAAGTTATAAATATAAGTGGCTGCAGGTGGAACTGAAGCTCCAACATCGCCAGCAAATCCAACGATATTAATGGCAATTCCACAAATATAAGCAATATATGCTCTCCAATTCGTTCCAAGTTTATTGAATCTATAATCAGATTTAACGTCACCACTGTATAAATGATATAATTGAAGATAACCTCTTCTAACGACAAAATAATCGCTTAAAATGACACCCGAAATGCAACTTAAAAAAACACTATAAGATGCCAAATAACTCATGAACCTATTAGAAGATTGAAAAAAATACCATGGACAAATACACAATGCCAATCCTGCACAAATAAACCCACCACGTCTAATATTGATGTATCTAGGCAATAAAGCAGTCATATCAGTACCAGCTGATAATGAATTCGCCGAAATATTTGTACCCAATTGGGCTAAAGCAAAAGAAAACCCAATAAAAAAAACACCAATTCTATCTTTTGGAGTATAACCATCATTAAGAAAATTTCCCAAAACCTCTAAAGGAGACCAATAGGTCTTTCCGTAAATTATTGTTGACGAAGAAGAAACAAAAATACCAATTAAAGAAGTAATTGAAAAACAAATTGGAATTGAAAAAATTTGAGGCCAAAAAGCAGCATTTTTATTTCTAGCGAAACGAGAGAAATCTGGAGCATTTAAGATCAATGCAGCAAAATTGGCAATGCAGCTCATTAAGGCTTTAACAAAAGCCCAGGCATGAATTGAGCCTGAAATTGATGTCTTTTGTTGAACAACAGGTCCAATTCCACCAGCTTTAACAACTGACCAAACTAAAAAAGCAATTCCTGCAAATGGAACAATTGCAGCTTTTATTGTGAATAAATGACGAATTGTTTGGGGAGGAAACCAAATTGCAGGTAAAGAGATTAACCAGAAAAGAAAAAAACTCAAAAATTGAAATGGTGTTGTTCCATTGACATGACCTTTTATTGTTTGATTTAAATCATTTGAAAAAATAGATCTCAAAATCAATTGAATACATTCACCACCTAGCCAAGCTTGAACAGAATACCAAAAAGCAGCCATTACCACTCTATTAATAACAGGCCAAATGCTTCCAAAAACACCAAAAGATGATCTGCAGGCAACAGGAAAGGAAATATGATAATTGGTACCAATTTTGGCGGAGAAACTAAGAATAAAACTAACAATGAAATAACCAAAGAAAACAGCTAAAAACACTTCCCACCATGCTAACCCAGCTTCAACTCCGGTACTTGCAATTTGCCATGTATTTATATTGAAACTATCAGCTATCCAGAAGAATACAAAATTGAACCAAGACCAAGTTCTTCGAGCATTTTCAACGGGTTTTAAATCATGATTATACAAAAACATTTTGGCAGCACTGAGTTCGGTATGCTGAACTTTGAGGTACTTGTCATGAAAATACCTTAATCTCTGATATTTGGAAAAACCAGGGGCCACCAACAAGTCAGTCGAATCATTATCAGTGGAATCATTGGAGCTTCTGCTCCTTTTGTTGATGACAGAAGTTCTCTCCATTCACTTCAATTATTATAGGGCAAATGTGAGAAAGTAAGAATTGAGGTTGCAACAGACAGTGGTATTGGAAATTTTGTAATTAAAACAATGGCAGATGAACCAACATAAGTTAAAAACTGGAAACACTCTCCTAGCTCAGGGCAGCTCAATATATATTGTCGAAAACAAATAAAGCATGTCTTTTTCAGGGCCTGACCCACAGCTGATTGGCTGTTGAAAAGCAACTCTGAAAGAAATAAAGCAGCTTATACACGTCTACAGCGGGTCTCCCGCACTTTCTGTATTTGTTTTGACGGACTTTGGGATCCCGCTGTTGAGCCGCGGGGCTGCAGGAACCCGTTTTTTGTTCTTTGAAAATTGAGTTGGGGGAAAAGAAAGAAATATTCTTTGGAGTTGAGCAGATGGTTAATAGATGATGGGGGCGAAAAGAAAGCATAGTGAAAGAAATACCATAAGTGATTTGGAGTTTGTACCTCCCTCTCTTGTGAAATGCGACCATTGTAAGCGACTGAATTTGATTTGTTTGCAACATTCTGAATCACAATGTACAAATTGCTATAAAGCTAACCTTGATTGTGGAAGGAAGTGCCAGCTTAATGAAACATCGAAAACTGTATCAAATGGATTCTCAAAGTTGGAGTTTTCCTCCGAAAGAACTGATCAACAGTCTTCTTATACAATTAATCAATCACACTTGAATTTGCTACAGAATCAAAATTTAGAAAAAACCAACAATCAAAAGCTTCCTACAGCTGAGATTTTATTCAAAATGATGGACCAGGATTTTTCCGATGATCTGTTTGATGATACTCAAGAAATTCATGCTCAAGAAATTGACACTCAAAATGGAAATCAAAATCTAAGCAAATTTGGTAAGATTGATAAAATTAGTGAAATTGATGAAAATAGTGATGATAATCTTTCTTTGTTTCCCCAGATCACACCATTTTCTCAACCTGTCTCAATTTACCATAATGAATGGAGCCCTGAACCACAAGAGAAGGGTTTGAATTATAATCTTAATTTAGATTATGAGTTAATGGGAACAATTTATCGACGGTTGTATATCGGATGGCTGATGCTAGAAGAACAAATAAATTTTGTAAATAAATATAAATCAAAGACTCAACAAAAGATTTTTTTTCCTATTACAATAAAAAATGATATTATAACTAGAAAGTTGTTAAGTATTGATGAAGCCAAAATAAGAATTAAAAATTATAAAACGCTTCTTTATAACTATTTACCCCTAGTTGAATTACCAAAAGTGGGTTTTGATAAATTCAGAGAAAGATTTCCGTTATTATTTTTAACCACAATGTCAATAACTTCATTTACAATTTCTAAAATAAGAATTGGGTGTAATTTTGAAAACGAATATTTGAAATTTTTAAAAATTCAAATTGAGCATTTATCTCATTTAGTTAATGAAGTTTTAGTATTAGGAAATAAAACATTTGAAATCTTTCAATGTTTGGTTTTAACATTCAACTGGTATAATTCTCCCAATTTGTTTAGTCATAATAAAGATCATCATATTTTAAATTTATTAACATCAATGGCTATTGATTTGGGATTAATTAAATATATCCAATTCAATCCTAAACTTCATTCTTGTCGATATGAAAGCAATCTTAAAAAGGAGATTAATTTAACCAATCCTTATAGCATTGAGTGTCAAAGAATTTTATTAACGATTTATTTGTCGAATTTTAATAATGTATTTCTTTTAAATAAGCCAAAATTGATATACTGGACAGATTATTTTGATGAATGTTTTGAGGAATTATCCAAGAGCTCATTAAATTTTGATGTAAATACTAGTTGTATAACAAAAATTTATAGTTTGGTTGAGGAATGTATAAAATTGGTTAGCGGTGTTAATGGAAATAATAATTATAACAGTAATAATTTCAAGAAAATTAATTCTGAACAATTGATTAACAATCAAAACATTGTAAATTATTTTATTGAGAAAATCGGTAAAATAGATCGACTAAATGTTAAGAAAACTGATTTTTATAGAATATCATTTAACACAGCTCAAATACTTTTAATTGAACACTGTTTATTGCCACTATTTCTCAACAAAGATATTAAAGATATTGAAAATAATGTTGAAAAGATATTGAATGAATTTAGCGAAGGTGAAGAAAAAGAAAATTTAATCAAACCAGTTATGATGAAAGCAATGAATAGAGCATATGATTATTGTATTAAAAATATGATTATTATTACTTCATTAGAAACCAAGACGCTATTAGTATTACCATTACCCCAATATTCAAGAATAATTTATAATTTATCATTGTTTTTAAAATTCAGTTTAATTCAAAGCAGATTTCCCAAAGTGCATCGTTTCTTTTTCAGTTTTCCCAAGAATAATGATTGCAAGAAAACTGTATTGAGTATTCAAAATTTCCAAACAACATTGAAAAGAATAATCGATAGATTTAGCTATAACAATACATTGGTAAAGGTTTATTACGTTATTTCATTATTATTGGTTCATTACAAGATTACATTGAACCGAGAATCGGAGAGCTTTAAAAAATTTCTTGATGAATATAGGAAAACAGCAAATGCAGAGCCCAGTCCAAAAGGCAAACGGCTTAAGAATAATGTTGGCAATGTTGTCAATGTTGTTAATCCAGACGAGAGCGATAAGCTACATGAAGAGAGTACCAACCAAAGCACTAATGAAGATGAGAAAGAAGATACTGAAGGTGGCAGTGACTTTGGCGATTTTAGCAACGAAAGTGATCCTTTCCTCCATGAAGTAGACCTGAGCAACTTTAAAAGTGCGAGAGATGAGCAAGAAATACGCCACTTCGGCTTGAAGAACTTTGACTTGAAGAACTTCGACTTGTTCGAGGAGGTGTTTATGAAGTTCTTCGAGACAGAGGCCCCAAGCAGCTTCATCTGAAGAGCGTTCCACTCTGTACAGACATGTCTTGAAATGCACACACGCATTTAGCGCGGTTCAATGCACTTAAGCATTTGGACTACGTAATTATGCACCGGGGACACGGATTATCTCCAAGAGCAAACCTCGCGACTTATTTCCACCTCATCTCTGGAGCTGAGCAACAGAAGAGCCTTGAGCACCACAGGCAGATGAACCACACGACCAACGACAGTGATGACGCACAGCAGTTCAAGAGGAGGAGGGTGTCTAAGGCCTGCGACTTTTGTCGGAGACGAAAGGTCAAGTGCAACGGCGAGAACCCATGCATTAACTGCTTCAAAAATAACTTTGTCTGCAATTACTCACTCTCCAGAAGAAAGAAGTCGACAGTGCTATTGCTAAACAACGACATCTACAATGGCGAACAGCAGGTTATTTCTGAGAATCCTCGGGAAAAACTCCCTCTTGGGTCTCAAGGTTTTGAGCACAATCAAATTAGTCTTTTGACTGACCGGTTAGATAAAATGGAGACGTTGATGCAAAATATTACTGACAAACTCAGTACTTTTAAAGAGGATTTAAAGGATGGAAACGCAGATAAAAAATATAATGCTAATACTAATTTAAATACCAATTCAAATGCTAATGACTCTAAGAAAAAAACCAATAGATTCAATTTTCCTGTCCTTGAACATGAAAACACTTCTGAATTATCACTCAATAGCCCAAACAAATATTCACCTTTCATTCCTGAACTTCGTCCCAATGAATTTATTGGACCCCAAACAAATTTCTCAATTTTCAGTGCAAAGGGCATGCAATGGCTTCGAGAAAACCTCGGTTCAGATGCAAAAGAATATCTTGATCCCTTGATGAAATTGCCTAAAACCATACACAAAGTAGTAAAATCTCAAATTAAAAAATGGAGAGAACCTATTAGCTCTGTTGAATTAACTCCCCTTCCTGATAAATATATAACAGATGCATTGTTAGAACTCTTTTTAGGTGAAAATTCCCCAATTCCCATCCCACTTTTAAAACATAAAGAAATGAAAGCGCTATTCGATCAGTACTATCAAGAACAAGCTGGTATATATTCAAAGAATAAGTTAAATTACTCTGATTTTCTTCTAATGAATGTAGTTGTTACTGCAAGTTCCAGCTTACTTATCGATGCTAAAAATGTCGATGAAAACTTTATAAAGTTTTTAAAACTTCCAGACATACCCATTTCAAAATTAAAAGAACTCGAAAACAAACACCTATTAAACTCGATATATTACTTTAATAGAATATCTATTGTACCTGATGGAATTAGATCGATCCATGGGATACTTTTATTAGCAATGTACAATGAAATCACCTTTTCTCACAAGATATCCTACATGTTGCTCTCAATTGCTATAAGATTATCTCAAGATATGGGACTACACAGAGCAGAAACATACACTGGTTATAGCGAAGCTGAAGCTTTTACTAGAAGAATAACCTGGCTGGTCTGTTATCAATATGACAAAGCTGTTTGTTTTAGAACGGGGAAACCACCAATTGTTAATGATGCAGACGTTTCATTCAAACTTGATCTGGATTTCACACTAGCTATATCTAAATTTTATCAAATTGACGCGTCTCAACTTACTGATTTCCAAATTTCTTCTTATTTTAATGTACTATACAATAGTGATAACACTGATGTCGGCCGAGGGTTTTTATTTATAATGGTATTGTTGGGTAAAATTGGAATAAAATCATATTTTAAATTATTCTCTGCAAGTGCTTTAGTAGGGAAAAGCCAAGATGAAATCGTTGAAATAGTTGGCTCTTTATTACAAGAACTAGATGATTTCCAAAAGATACTTCCACCTCGAATTCAAATTGGAAACAACATTCTTAAAAATTTATTTAATAGTACCGAAAATGAATATATAAACAGCCACACTAAAATGTTTACAGTGTTTGTTCATTTTGTTTATTACAACTTGGTCATTCGTGTTAATAAAATTGCAATGAGAGATCCTTGGTCCACTAATCTTACAGCTTCTACTAAACCAGATCAACCAACATCAAGCTCATCTTCTGGAAACACTAAAAAGTTCAATGATAACGAATTTTGTAATAGGTGTTTAGATGCCGCTAGACAAGTCTTGAAATTATGTTGGGGTCTTCCCCAGAGAGTAAACCATTTATTGTCTCTTTGTTTATTTTTTCCCAGTAATGCTCTAATTCTATTATTCGGTTCCGTTGTTCAACATCCTACTTCAGAATCTGCTGCCGATGATTTAAACTTGATGATTCAAGCATATATGAAATTCTTCGCTGTTTGTCCGGAAAAAGCAAAATTCCAAATGGTTGATTTGGCAGTGAGACAATTAATAAAAATAGCAATCAAAATCTATGAAAAAAATAATGGCGATAAACCATTTGAAATTTGCGATGAAGTTAAAGGTGATTTAAACAGACCAGCTCAAGTGATTGATAGGTTAATTGAGGAACGGAAACAAAGAGCACTTTCAAGCTTTCAACAAGAAAGACCGAATATTAATGCTAATAATAATACAAAAAAATCGACGAATATTTCTGCAATGAATTCCAATGCGAGAAGTGTTTCTTTGACTAATGATGCTAATACTACAATTGATAATAATAACATTTCTAATAACAATTTAAATGGAAATACTAATCATAATTTAAATAATAATTTCAATGGAGCTTTTAACAATTCAAATGGCAATTTTAATAACAATAATCTCAATTCAGAAAATATTAATGACAATAATTTTAATACTGGTGGGCAGGGGTTTTTCATGCCCAATATTAATGAATTGAATGAATATAAAAACGAAGTTGGCTCTACGACATCAACTAGTAATTTTGATGAACAATATTTTGATTTCAATAACAAGACATCTACGGAAGTTTTTGCATTATTTGATTCATTATTTTGCTTACCAGATTTTATAATAAACAAAGATATAAATTGAAAAAATTTCTAATTTTCATGGGAAAAAAAATATAAAAGGATTTTTTTTGGGCTTGAGGTTTTTGGTTTTTAATAGTTTTTGAATTAAATTGTGATATTAAGGTTTTATTTTTATAATTCTGTTTATAAAAAATTGTTTGGTTGTTTTATTTTCATTTTATCTTTATCCTGCTTATCTTTATCTTGTATCTTGTCTATCTTTATCTTGTATCTTGTTTATCTTTTTTATTTTTTTTTTGTTTAATTTATAATTATGTAAGTATAATTATTGAAATACAAAATATGAATATTTTTCTTTGTTAATATTTTTTTAAATGTAAGAAATGCCCTATATTATATAAATCTCATTAAGAAGTAATTTATAAATAATAAAACAATAAAATTATACAATTGAATTAGCGGATTTAGAATTTAGAGAATTTCTTATTAGATTTACCAGTACCAGAAGAAACTTTTAAAACATTAAATCTAACGGTTTTTGAGATTGGTCTACATTGACCAACAGTAACAACATCACCTTCTTGAACACGGAAAGCTGGAGAAACATGAGCAGCTAAATTTTTGTGACGTTTTTCGTATCTGTTATATTTTGGAATGTAGTGTAAATAATCACGTCTGATGATAATAGTACGATGCATTTTGGTGGAAACAACAGTACCAGTTAAGATACGACCACGAATGGAGACCAAACCAGTGAATGGACATTTCTTATCGATGTAGTGACCTTCAATAGCGGTTTTTGGGGTTTTGAAACCTAAACCAACTTCTTTATACCATCTCTTGGTACGTTTTGTAGCTTTGGCTTTGGGGTTGGTGAAGATATGAGGTTGCTAGAATGAAATAAAGTTAGTAAATTGCTTATAGTTATATGAGTGAATTGAATGTTGAATAAGATCTAATATAATTTAATATGAAAAACTGATTTTTTTTATAATTTTATTCAATTTTGATTAAAGTTTATATAAAGTAATAAAATAAACCAAAAAAAAAATATAATATGATTGATTTGTTGTTTTTTTTCAATTTCAAACAAGTTTCTCAATTTGAGCAATTAAAAGCAATTTTCCTTTATTGTATTTTCTTAAGAAAAGATTATACTATGTTATTAAAAATAAATAGTAATGCTGATTTTATCATAATTATTCACTTTATTCAATGTTTGATTTATAATTTTAAAATTGTTGTGACTATTTTTTAGGCAAATTTTAAAATAATTACTTTCCAAACTAATTTATATTTAAAAATTTATTGAAAATTTCTAGTTCTGTTTATTAGAAATTATTGCATAATTTTTGAAATGTTATTTAAAGTGATTTGCGCAGTTTTTTATGAATTTAAACATTTTGAAAATATGAGTTTCTATAAATATTTCTAGCTGATATAACTTTAAAAGTGTTTTTATTGATTATATTTGGCATTTAATATTTCACGACAAATCATCTTTAGATTGATAATTTCATTATTTCATTATTTTGCCATTTAATTTTCATTAATGGAAAAGGTATAGTGATCTAATTATTTATTTTAATACTTTAATACTTTAATAATTTAATATTGTAATATTGTAATAATTGATTTGTTGATACTTGATATTGAATAATACATCATAAGAGATATTGAACTATAATAGATCGTAGATTAAATTGAGGGTTGATAAATACACACCTTTTGGAAAGCTCTTTCAGCTTGAACGTTTAATTCAGTTGCCATTTTCAATTGATTATTATATTATATAGTACTAAATTCCTAAATTTAATTCTTTATTAAACAACTTTTCAAGTCTTGCTTCAAGAGGTACTGATTAGACTGCTAACGCTATCAAATGAATTTTTTTGAATATAATCAAAACGAAATGGAAAATCCGCATGCGAAACGGTGGGTGACATCTCGGTAGATTTTACAATAGTGAAAGCAGGCCATTCTCCCTCTGTTTCGCAAGACCTGAAAACACTGAAAACAGACACGTTGTGAGCACTGCTTAGGGCTTTTGATAACAGCCCTATATACACTCCCGTGATACACACATTGTTCGGGCAACCAGAAAGCAAGGTTTTTGTTTGTTTTGTGTTCGAACTCCGCGCAGGAACCGCCGACTAAAGGGGAAGTCCCAAAGGAGCAACTGAGATGGAGGAAAAGAGAATAAAGTTCAAGAAGAGAATTACGTAAGGCAATGTTGAGTACTTAAAGTAGATTGATGCTGATTGAAAACGAGTATAAAACATCTTGAACAATCTAAAACGTTTCTGATGAAATTAAACTAAGACTTTGACAACAGTTGAATTGTATTCAAGAATATATTCAGCTATCTTACAATAATATCAGCAAGATGGCATTTATGTTGACCACAAAGAAGACCAGATTATTGTTTTTATCTATAATCTCGCTTTTGATCCTTTTAATAGTCTACAAGAGCCATATTTACAGTTACAACTATGATAACTTCGATCACGATGACATTGATTCGAACTTATCGTCAATGATAACAAGCAACAACAACCTTATAAATGACAAATTGGAGTCACTTGGCTCTTTGGATAGCGTTGGAACATCCTTACAATCCTCACAATTCAAAGGTGACAATAAAGACTTGAGCACTAGCAGCAATAGTAAACTTAAAAATAATAAAGTGGACGAGGAAATCGACGACGAGGCCGATACCACAAGTTCAATTGCCTCGAAACCCAACAGTATAGCTGGTTCTGATGACAAACAAAAGGATCTAACGGAAAAACCTGGAGAGGAGTTTAGTCCCAAGAAGGAGCTCAATGCAATACTATCAATATCCCCCGTTGTCATCTTTTCAAAGTCGTATTGCCCATATTCAAATAAACTAAAAGAACTATTGAAGCATGAATATGAGATCGTTCCTGAACCTAGTGTGGTGGAATTGGATAAACATAAACATGGCAATGAACTACAAGTGTACTTGGGAGAAATAAGTGGCAGAAAAACAGTGCCAAACTTGTTTATCAATGGTGCTTCCAGAGGTGGGTGTGACGATTTAACTGAACTCCATTCCAAAAACGAATTGCTTCCCAGCCTTGTAAAATGGGGAGGAAAGGATATCAAGGTCTCGAAGCTCTCTGTTCCCTCCAACTCCTAGGTGTCTTTTTTTTTATTATTTCATAGCATTTTATAAGCTAATGTATACATGTGGCTCTCCATTTGCGAATTAAGTAGTAGCTGTCTCATTCCAGCAATACTAATAAAAAAGAATAAGAAAAGTGAGCAAGAAGAAAAAGAGACAAAAGGAAATCAGAAATTAAAAAATAACGACCGAAAAGATAAAAAAATCAGAAAGACCATTGCTGTGGGTTGTATGCATGCGTGCGCATATCCAGCGCTGTGGATGCTGGATCACTCTTCTTCTACACTTTTCTTTTGTTTCTTCTTTTTGTCTGTTATTTACGAACGACCTTTATCGTTGATATATATATCTGATATCTTTCTCTCTCCAGCTCGCCAAACAGTGCATTTGCAAAGGAACAGCCACGACCAGTAGCCTGAAATGCTTAATCACTTTCCGATTCCCGATGGCGAGTATGATATCGATATTCTTCCCTCAGTTTTCAGCGAAATAGGTGCCACTAATAACAATAATACCGGTAATAATAGTAACAGTAATAATGAAATATTATTTCAAATCAGATATGGGTTCAAGCCCGAATCTGTTGATGATTCTATACCTTACAAGATATACAGGAACACTGAGGAACCCAGTAGTCGTGAATACCTTATTGAAGCCAAAAGCAATGAAGACGCTCTAATAATCTTTGAGGGTTCATCCATATCATCAAATGCTAATAACCCTACTACTACTACCAATGTCAGTCCCAATCAGAATCCCAACATCATCATAACAAATCCCAGCAACAATCAAAACATCAGTTCAAATAACCCGAATAATTCGAATAATTCAAATGATTTCATTTTAACTTTTGATAAAAATCTACACTCGAAATCCTGTAAACTATCTCCTATAGATGCAATGTTGAAATTAACTAAATTAAGAAATACCAAACCGTTATTAGATGAATTTAAAAAATTCAAAAAAAATGCTTTAGACGCTCATAATAATAAGTTGAATATAAATACAGCAGTCAAAAGAGAAAACAATAATTACACTTATAACAATAACAATAGTAACTATGTCAATATAAACAATAATAGTAATAATAATAATAATAATAATAATAGCAATAGACCTAAATTTAAGATAAATGAAGAAGAACTTCATTTTGATCCCTCATTTGATAAAAAATTGGTTGAAAATGATAATAATGGAATAAAACCAGCAAAAATAAAAACATCAATTAAAAAAAAGAAATCTACTTCAAATTTGAATAATAAAAGCACTGATAGTACTAATAGTTCCAATACTACTAATACTACTAATACTACTAATACCACTGATACTACTACTACAAAACCAGTGGTAAATAAAAATGGACAGCCCAAGAAAAAAGTTGGTAGAAAACCTAAAAATGCATCGACTAATACAAACAGTGCAAAGACTAATACTTTGAAACCTCAAATGGGAGGTAAAAGACCTCCAGGTCCACAAATAACTTCACCAGTAGCTCTGAGTAATTCAAATAATGCAGCCTCATCAGTTGGGTCAAAGAGATTGCCATCAAAGACACCATCTCCTTCACCTAATATTTCTGAGTTACAATTGGATTCAGAAGAAGAGATTTCAGACGCCGACGATGATTCGCCAAATCCAGCGGTTTCTAATTTATTTAACGTCAGTAATAATAGTAATGCTATTGCTACGAATAATAACAATAATAATAATAATAATAATAATAATAATAATAATAATAATAACGCTGAGGAGGAAGATGATGATATTGGATCATTGATCAAGGAATTAGAAGATGTGGTCGATAATAATGATGATGATGATGATGATGATTATGAAAGTGATTATGGATTTGACGAGGCGTTCAATGCACCAGGTGGATTTAATTTAGTTGTTGAAGACAACAATCATTCAAAGAAGGAAGATGTTAATAATAATGTTAATAAGGTTAATTTTAAAGATGCGAATAATATTGATATCAATAGTATTAGCAATGTTAATAATAATAACAAAAATATCGATAACAATATTAATAACAATTTTAGTAACGATAATTTTAATAATGATTTTAGTAATGGATTTGATTTTAATAGGAATTTTCTTCGAGAAAAGAAGAAGCCTATTAGTTTAAGAGGATTGCTTGGGGATGATAAGGATAGTGAGGACTCAGCATCCAGCAGTGAGGAAGAATGAAGGAGCAAAAAAATAAAAAAATAAAATAAAATAAAATAGAGGATAAGAGGATCAGATATTGTCAAGTTTTGATATAAAGTTATAACTGTAAAAGCTATTAGACTATAAAGCAAGTGAGTGAATGAGTAATAGGCACCATTAGATTAAGGTTATTAGAAAGAGGATAAAAACAAGATGAATATAATGAAATTGAATGAAATGTGAGGAATTACAGAGTTAAATGCAGAAAAAAATAATAATAGTAGTGTCATTATTGTGTGGTATGTAATGTGTAGTTTGTAATTTGTTTAAGATTAATATAAAATGTCTTAAATTTAAAATAATGGTATTGAGTATAGCTATACATAACCCCATTAAAGTATGATTAATATTGATATAAATAAGAAATTTTTGTATTTAAATAAAGAAATATTCAACTATTCAAGTATTTAAGTGGTTATAGATAAAATATAAAATATAATATATAGTATGAAATCCAAAAAATGAGAAATATTTAAGAATAAAAAAAAATATTTTCAATGTTTTTAAATATTTTAAAATCTTAAGTTGTTTTCATCATTAATGAGATATATGAATCATAAACAGAGACAAATACAAAGTAAAAAAAAGTAAAAAAAAGTAAAAATGTAAGATAAAAACATAAGTAAAAAAGAAAAAAAATAAAATAAAAGTAAATGTAAATGTAAAAGTAAATGTTTTAGAAAAACAGTGAAATGTAAAATAAAATAATACAATAAAACAAGGAACTGATAAGTAGAAATAGATTTTGAACTGAAGATAGCAATGAATAGTTTTAATGATATAATAATATGATATGGTAATGTGATGAATTATGAACAGTGGTTAATGGCCAATTCTTGATTCGAGTCTATTGATCTGATTTGAAATTTAATTGGTATCACATATCACATAATGCTCTTGCATTCTGAACAGTAGTCATGGGCACAATACAAATTGCATTGGTAGAACTTCTTGTTGGTAGGAAAATCGACTTGGTTGAGCCTTTTGCATTGGCAGCACTCCCAGTAGAAAGTAACATGTTTTCTGAATTCTGGGGGTAGTTGGTCGTTGGAGTAGCCTCTGAAGGGTCGTTTTCTAAAGTAGTCGGCCATGGGGATCAGTGGTGAGTGGTAAAGAGAGGGAGAGGAAGAGGAAGAGAAGCAAAGCAGCAATTGTGCAAAGAAAGCAGTGGTCAATTGAAGACTGTGTGGAAAAGAAGCAGCTGGAAAAGACCAATTAAAGTATCTGAGTGAGAGCCTGATGGAGTATATCTGAGAAGAGGGAGGAAAGTGATCGATATATATACCATTTCCCCAGCTGCTCGGAGCTGCGATAAGAGCACAGCGCCAGCAGTGTGGATCGAGCACGCGTTCCTCGCTGAGTCATCTTTGCTGCGCAATGACGTTGCGCTTGTTCCGCCACGTCGTACCCGCCCCGCCCTCGCGCAGTGATCCTGACTCGCCGCGCTGCGTCGGGGCGCGGGCGCGGGTACTGCGAGCCAATAAGTGCGCGCCACGGGCGTGATAACATGCACCGCGGTGGCCTGCTGAGGTTGTGTGGTTTATCCGGGTGTTTCAAAATGTGATTGTGTCCGGGTAGCGCAGCGCCTGGTAGCACAGAGTTCAGACCCACCATTAGGCAATTTGCAGACCTTTAGGGCAATTTTTGTTTTTAGCTATCTTTCAACTCTATTCAGCAGCGAGAAATTTTTTGTTGAACAACAGGTTGATGATTCACAATCAGTCACCTTGAATCACAACAATACTCAGCAGAGCTCAACTCTGGCTGTCTCTGCATAATGTCTCACTTTCTTATCTCAACAACCATTGGGGAAGTGACTCATGGACCCAGTGCTCAAAGATATCCCGTATTCCCATGGTATCCCAGATATCCCAGATATCAAAAGCTAGTTTCTCTTCAATCAATAATATTTATTAATTATCAGCCATTCAAGATAGCGCACCAGATAGTGAGATATCTCGCTGATATCAGCGAGATATCTCACTATTAAACAATCTGTCTCTTTTCTACCTCTTCCTCATTTCAAGGTTTGCTCTTTTTGTCTCTCCTTGCAATTCCAGTATTGTTCTCCTAAACAATAGCGCTGGATTGCCACCACTGTGGGTCTTTCCCCTTTGGGTCTCTTCCACAGTGTCCAAGAAAAAAAAAATAAAAAAAGAAACCCTTTTTGTAAATTACGTTATAATAACCTCCATCACATTTTCACAACACACTAGTTAAACTCATTTAACTCTTTTTCTCAAATATTCTAGATGGAATCATTTGATTTGTTAAATGCTGCCTCGTTTTCTTAATATAAACATCAAAAACACCATTAAATCTAAAATGTCTGCCTTAACTTCTTATTTAGACTCTCCCGATTGCAAACAGTTTTATCCTGATTGGATCATAGCTGTCCTATTACTACTAGAAATCCTTTTAATCGGCGAAACTAGCAAACCATTTGAAAGAGACTTTCTAATATCTGATGCGTCAATAAACCACCCGTTTAAAATCAACGAAACCGTTAACGTGCAAACTTGTATTTTACTTTCAACTATAATTCCTATCTTAACATTTGCTCTCACCATCTTTGTCTTTAATCTTAAAAACGACGATAAAAAACTCACTTTACGAAATTCAACTTCGATCTTCAAATTTCATCTCTTTCATGTATCAATCTTATCTTTAACGCTATCAATTCTGTTCAACGTCTTCCTAACTGACATTCTCAAAAATTGGATCGCAAGACCTAGACCTGATTTCCTATCAAGATGTGGGCCCGATTCAAACCATTCAAATAATATCGCAAACACTATAATAAACTGTACAAAACCCTTTGGTCAATCAGTTTATTTAGATGGTTTTAGATCCTGCCCATCTGGTCATTCAAGCATTTCTTTCAGCGCTCTATTCTTCTTATCTTTATGGCTAAATAATCAATTAAATTTTTTCAACAAAAATCAACCTATTTACAAGCTCTTAGTCATACTAGCTCCAACCCTATTAGCAGCTTTCATTGCAATCTCTAGAACTCAAGACTATAGACATCATTTTGAAGATATAATACTTGGCGCTTTCATTGGCTCAACCTTTGCTTATATCATGCATTTCAAATATTTTGGTCCAACTTCAGTTATAAACAATCTATCAAACAATGATTCATCTACAAATTTATTACCAATATAATTACACATAATCTAAAGCTCATCTAAAGCTCATCTAATAACATTCCACAATCCATCAATTACAATCAAATAAACTGCAGAAAAATTTTTATAAACAAAATCATAAATAAAATTATATACAAGAGTAATCTTATCTTTTTCCTTAAGGTTTTTTTTTTCTCTTTTTTTTTTAAATTTCTTGACCTCTTTGATTTTTCAAAGTCAACCTTTTGTTTTTTTCTTTTTGTTTTTTTCTCTTTTCTTTTCTTTTTGCTTCTTTTCGTTTTTTCTTTAATTAGCGAAGTGTAATATCAAACCTTTCAGCTAATGTTTGTTTTATCTTTTCATGGATTTTATTGACTTCATCATTCGTCAATGTTCTATCCATTGACTGATACGTAATTCTAAAACACTTACTCAACTTTCCATTGGGATGAACAAAATTATCAATGCAATTCACATTTTCAATCAAATCCTCTTGACTCACTTCTCTGATAATCTCGTATAAATCGTTATCATGAAATCCTCTTTCACTTTCATTTCCCTTTTCTTTTCCACTATTAATGAAAAAACTAATATCCTTCTTGGATGATGGATACTTGGAATATGGCTTAAAATAATTAACGCTTCCTTCTTTAAACTGCTTCAAAAATCGATCATCTTCTGACCAAAATAACCTGATATCGGGTATCCCAAACAACAACATTGCAATTCGATCCAATCCAATACCAAATGCCCATCCAATCGTATCCTCGTTCTTTCCAGAATTTATTAAAACTTGTTGTTGTACTAATCCACATCCACAACACTCTAACCATTCTCCATTCCAAAATACTTCAATCTCCCAACTTGGCGCTGTCCAGGGGAAATAGGCTTCTACCCACCGAACTTTTAATGGCTCGATCTTCTTGTTGTTCCTATTCTTCTTTGATGCTATCATCCCCAAATGAAATACTTCATTAACTAATATTTCAATGGTTCTCTTTAAATGTCTACTAACTAATGCAACTTCTTCAACACTCATATATTCTTGTTTGGGATTCGTCTTATCATCATATGATTTGGGTGTATCCTCTACAATAATGTCAATTGTAGGCAAATTTTCAAGATCTTTTGAAATAGTTTCGATAACATTTTCATCTTTTTTCCAAATTCTAGCTCCTTCCATTTGATGAAACCCAGGATAATGTGTCTTGTCAATTTCATCTCTTCTATAAACATCTGCAGTAATAAAATAACCTGGTGTTTCACAGTTTTTAAAGCAATAGTATTCATGTGCTGATGTATGTGTTCTTAGTAAATAATCTTTATTGATATAATATGTGTCTGATTTGCTTCTTCCCGGATGATCCTCGGGAAATCCTAAAACATCAAAATTTTCAAATTTGGAGACAACAGGTTTAAAATTGTCATAGTGTGTATATCCCATATTGCCAAACCTCTTTTTCACTAAAGAATTCAAAATTCCAATTGGATGATTGGGGTTTAAATGTAAATTTCGACCAACCAACTTAAGAATAGACGAGGGCAAATTTGTCCAGTCGTCTGTCTCATAACTCTTGCCATCTATCACTATGCTTTCAGGTTTCTCATATCCTTAATAATCAACGTAATTAAATTGTTAATAATTTGGTTCCCCTTAATATCAATCAAAATTCAAGTCAAAGAGTTCTATGACATACTTAAACATGAACCAACGGAAAAAAATCGGCTCAAAGTAGCCACCCTGGCTACATTACTCTTGAACACCACCCTTCGAACAGCAGGAGCAGCTCTGATAAATGCTAAGGCCATTGCGATACAGACGAAGTTGTTAATGCTTCACCAAACACCTCTGCTCTTTTCAATTGATTCGTTTTGTCGATTTTTTGAATGCTGTGTGAGGCATATTACTGCAGGTTCCAGAATTGTGGATGCACTTTTCTAAAAATGGACGCTTTCTAAAAATGGACGTTTTCTTTTCATCCACCAGATTTGAAATTCAGCATTTGAACCAACTCTATTTTTAGTGTTAGGTCTAGGGTTTTTCATGATGCTGGAGCTTCTCCTTTCTCTGTTTTTTGCTGGACGATGAGACTCAACAGCCAGACGACAATGCTGCTATTGGTGCTTTGCTGCTTATTTTTTGGTGCCCTTGCTTCCAAGTTTGATTCAGAACATTCGCTCTCTATTTCACGCTACTACAATGGCACAATTATTTCCTCCAATTCTACAAATTTCACTGCTTCTCATTCGCTTATTAGAGGTGTTGCGCTAGGTGGATGGCTTCTTTTGGAACCATATATTACTCCTTCGCTATTTGATGAAGAAATATTCGAGCTGATTGGCAACGGATCGATTCCTGTTGACGAGTATAATTACTGCTTAACACTAGGCAAAGAAAATGCAACTGAAAGACTTATTGCACATTGGGATACCTTTTACAATGAATCAGATTTTGAAGACATTGAAAACTTGGGACTCAATTTAGTTAGAATTCCACTTGGTTATTGGGCTTTCAAAGTTTTAGACGACGACCCTTATGTTACTGGCTATCAAGAGGCCTATTTGGATAAGGCGATAGAATGGGCAGAAAAATACAATTTGAAAGTCTGGATCGATTTGCATGGTGCTCCTGGTGGTCAAAATGGGTTTGATAATTCAGGATTAAGAGACCACATTGATTGGCTAAGTTCAGAAAAAAACATCAATTTAACTTTACAAGTTCTTGACTATATTTTTAGCAAATATTCAGGCTCAAAATACTCTGAAACTGTAATTGGAATCGAGATTTTAAATGAACCCATGGGTTCTAAATTAAATCTAAACACTATAAGAAACTTTTATTATGCTGCATATAATATTAAAACCAAATACAATTATCAAAATCATTTTGTGATTCATGACGCCTTTAAGGGTATACGTTATTGGGATGATTATTTTCCAAGAAACATTACTCAAAATGTTATCATTGATAGGCATTTATATCATGTTTTTGGAAGTTCACTAAACTATGATGTTGAAGAACATATAGCTTCTGTCAATCAATCTACTTACTACATCGTCGAGGAGTCCAAAAACACAATTGGTGTTGTAGGTGAGTGGTCTGCAGCTTTAACTGATTGTGCATTCTGGCTCAATGGTGTTGATAGAGGCGCAAGATACGAAGGTAAATATGATAACTTTGAGAAAATTGGCTCTTGTAAAAATATTGATAACATCGATAAATGGAGCGATCAAAAGAAAATGGATACCAGACGACTTGTTGAAGCTCAATTAGATTATTATGAAAAGACTGGTGGTTGGATATTTTGGTGTTATAAGACTGAAGAGACTATCGAATGGGATATGTCGAGATTGGTCGAATATGAATTGTTTCCTCAACCATTGACTCACAGATTATATAATTCTACTTTCAATTATACCAGTAATAGTAGTGCATTTTCTCTTCATGGAAGTCTAAATGAAAAGAAATACTGGGGTTTCACTTTATTATTACTTTATTCCATTGTTATTTTATTTTAACACAACTAGCATAGATCGTGTATTACATTTTTATCTTCTACATTTCCTCTTACAATCATTAAATATTTCTAGATTCAAATTTTTTACTTAGAAAAACTATATGAAAGATAAAAAAATAGAAATCAACCAACATATAATAAATAATAAACAAAATAAATACTATAAATAAAAAAGAACACTAACTTTTACTTAAAAATCAACCAAAAAATCATAGAAAATTGTAAAAAAAGAAACATTTTTAAAAATAAACCATAAAAATGCAACAAAATAAAATAAAAATAAAATACCAGCAGAGGTAAGTAGAATATAGTTGGCACAAACAAGCATATATATAAATCAGAAAGCATTAAAAAAAAATAATCAAACATCAAAGCATGTGCTACATTGAAAATTAATCATTACTAGTTTACTAGTTAGTTACTCTTGGAAGTTTCATCAACAGTCACATTTATTTTGGAGTCAGAATGAATCAAAGTTTTCAAGTTCGAATCATAGCTATTCAAAATTGTTTGGAAATTTTTGTTAATCTTGATATATAATTGATTCAATTCATTAATTTTAAAGTTTAAAGATACAATCTTTTTGTTAAAATTATTCATCTGATCATGATTTGATTCCATATTAACCTTATAGTTTTTATTCAAAGAAATTAAATTGTCAGAATTGCTATTAATCAATTTAAGAACCTTATCATAATTCTGATCTATTTTCTGCTTAATAATCTTTTCATTTGATTTGAGTTCTTTAAAAATCTTATTTATCTCCTGATCGATCTTTTGGTTAATTTCTTTATTAGATTCGTCTGCTTCCATCTTATCAGTAATTAATTTTATACTATTATTCATAGGACCTGTCTTTAAAAAAACTTGCTTTTCAATAACCGTCTCCAAACCTTTGTTTTTTTCATCAAAACCTTTTTTAAGTTCTTCAAACTCTTGATCAATAATACCTATTTTCTTATTAAATAAGCCAATAATTTTATTATTGTTATTATCGATCTTCGAATCGAGTTCCTTGTTAATTTCCTGAATATTATTATTCACAATGCTAAATTGGTTTTCCATATCTTTTTTCAACCTATCAATTAATTTACTTTTATCGGAATCAATCTCTTTTTTTAATGAAAAAACTGTATCATCTATCGACAAACTTTTTGTGTGAAGTTGATCTGTTATAGATTTTGTTAAATTTTTATGATTTTTCTGAAGATTTTCAATAGCCAATGCTCTTTCAGAAAGGTTATCTTTTATTTTCAAGAATTCTTCATCTAAAGATTTGATTTTAGTATCATATAAATTTGAATTTTCTTTGATTTTAGAATTAAAATTGAATTTGACATTCTCAATTTCTTCTATAACATGTTTAACGTTATCATGAATTACATCTGTGTTCTGGTCTCTAACTTTCAATTCATTACCAACAAAATGCTTTAGACTCTCAATATTTTTGTTAGCAGCCTCGTATCGGTTATCGATTAACAAACAAACATCTTCATTAATTTTTTCGTTCAAATTTTTAATTTCTTTTTCATGTTGATTGAGTTGCATACTCATTGAACCCAAATTATCATTGATATTGGTGACTTGATCAGTTACCATCTCCAATGTACTATCATTGGTCTCCATTTGACTCTTTAATGTTTGAATATCTCCTTGGAAAAGTTCTTTTCTAATGGAATCAAATCCATCCTGAATATTATTAATTTTAGTATTTAATTCACCCTTTATAAGATACATTAAACTTTTGTTATTCATTTCAAACTTATTTTGAATTTCTTTGACATCATCATGAATAAACCTTGATTTTGCATCAATTTTGAGATCAATATCGTTTTGGATTTCGTTATGTTTCAGTTGCAATTTACGAACTAAATCATTAGTTAAATCAATGTTTTGTTTAAATACATTACAGTCCGATGAAATGATATCGAAATTTTTATTGAGCTTCAGGGATAATTCTTCATCAACTGTTCGATTAACGTTTTCAATCTTTTTATCAAATTCATCATTCATATACTTAATGCCTTCATTGAAGTTGTTGTAATCTAGCTCAAGGCGGTCACTTAAATCTTTGATGTTATCGTTTGAATTATTAATCTTGTTGTTAAATTCATATTGCATTTTATCCAAAATATTTGCATAATTATTGATTTTAGATTTAATTTCTTCTTCTAAAGATTTACTTTTCAATTGGACATTTGAAATCTCTTCTTTTGTTGAGGATATTTGGTTGGTTATATCATCAAGTGCAACTTTAAAATCGTCAGAATTGAGTTTTGTTGATTTAATTTGGGTAAGATCGTCATTATACTTTGATAAATGGTCAAACATTGTAGAGTCCGTAGTTTTAATTTTTTCAAATAAATCATCATTAAATTTTGCCTTTATATCTTTCGTTTCTTGTGAGTTTGAAAGTAATTGGTCTTTTAAATGATTAATTTCATTACTTAAATCCGAGATTTTTTTAGCAAAGATAATATTGAAGGCAGTGTCAAATTTTGAAATTTTGGAATCTAGTTCATTTTTAAAGTTGTCAAAATCTTTATTAACAGCGCCGATTTTCTTTTCAAGATTTCCATTTAATTGGTTATTAACTTTTTTATCAATTTCGACCTTAACGACATTAAGATTATTGTCAACACTTTCTTTAAATGATTGTAATTTTGAATCAAATTCAGTGACTTTTGTATCAACGTATTTTTCGAAATTAAAGATATTGAGAGAATTAGTTTCAACTTGTTTTCGCATTTCATTCAAATCCTGATGGAAATTCAGGATTTCACTCAGAAATTTTAAATTGATTTTTTCTTCTAATTTTTCATTATTGGCAGTATTTTGAGCAATTTCTTTTGAGATTTCGGAGATATCAGAATTAAATTTTTCCAATTCTTTTCCATAAATGTTTGAAAATTTTTCTTCTTGAGAGTTGAATTTATCTTCCAAAGCAATTTTTTGATCATTAAAGGTCGCCAAATTTTTATTTAAATCAACAACTTGAGAGTTTATAACGTTTTTAAAACTTGATAAATCATCAAAGTTTTCGGATAATTTTTGGTTCATTTGATTAATTTCATTTTCAAGGTTGGAAACTTTGTCATCGAGAGCAACTTTGATGTTTGTATTGTTGATTGATCTTTCAGAATTTTCATCCAGGATGATCGATAATTTCTTATTAACCGAGTCCAAGTTTTTTTCGTATTGAAGGGTGAATTGATTCTTTTTTTTATTAAAATCATTAAAATCAGTATTTATTTTGATGAAATTGCTGTTAATTTCCTTTTTGAAATTTGATAAATCGTTGAAATTTGTAGTTAAAATTTGATTGAATTTGATTAATTCATCTTCAAGGTTTGAGACTTTAGTGTCTATTTCATGATTGAGTTCATCATTGATGATTGATCTCTGTGAGTTTTCTGTGATGAGATTTTGAAATTTCGAGTTGATTGAATTTAAGTTTTTTTCGTAATCCAGAGTGAATTGTTCATTTTTTTCAATTTTTTGATTGAGTGAGTTGAGATTTGAGTTTAATTGAGAAATTTGAAAGTTGATGTCAGTTTTAAAAGAGGTGAGATCGTTCGAATTGGTTGATATCTTTTGATTGATTTTATTCAAGTCCTTTTTAAGATTTGATAATTTATCGTCAAGATCTGATTTGAAAGCTTGGTTATTGATTGAAGTTTGAGAGGATTCATCCAGAATGGAGCGTATTTTGTCATTAATTTGTTCTAGTTTCTTTTCATTGTTTAGAATATTTAGTTGAGAAGTGATTTCTTTTTTAAAGACAGATAGATCGTTGGAGTTTGTTAATAATTTTTGGTTAAATTGGTTTAAATCGTTGTTGATGTTTTTATTTAAATTAATTAGGTTTTTAATTTCAGTGTTAAATTCGTTGTTTAGTTTTAATATTTCATTGTTAATACTTTTTGAATTTTGATCTAAAATCTGGTTGAAATTAAGAAGGTCATTATTTGATTGAGATTGGTTTGAATTAATATCATCAACTTGAGACTTTAAATTGATGAATTTTTCATGTAGAATTTGAATACTATTATCAATATTTTTAAGTTTCAAGGTGTCAGTATTTGTCTTTTCAAGAGATTTAGTCTCCAAATTTCTATTTTTTATATTATTATTGTTATTATTTTGAGAATTAGAAACCGATTTATCCAAGTTATAATCGTTTAAGATTTGGATAGCTAAGTTTTTTAATTCTTTATTATCAGTCAAGAATAATAAGGATCTGAAAAAAACGTAAATTAAAATTTCAAAGATAATCATTTATTTTATTGGAAAAGGTTGCTAATGTGAATAATCTGTGATTAAACTACCTAGTTTGATTTGATGTGGATTAGTTTAATTTCGATTTAGATTGGGAGGAAAACATAAAAGATACAAAAATAAGAATAAATCAAATTAGTAAATATTTATATTGATTATAACACCCTTTAAGCCAAATTTTTCTTTTTGATAAATTCCTTTAAACGATTCAGTGAACAATGAAAAAAGTGATGTGTAAATTAAAACTGACAAAATATGGAGCTGTAGTACAGTGACTTTGGATAATTGATCTGAGTTAACTTTTTTTCCTGGAGAAGAAGTCTTGATTTGGAACAGGAATTGATCGAGCTGGATATATCTGGATATATCTGGAGAAATTTAGATGAGAAAGAAAGTGTCTGGAAAAAGAAATATTACAAGGAAAAAAAAGAAAATATTCAGTAATTGAGCAAACATTTTCGATTTAAATAGTTTTGCTTTGAATAAACAAAAAACGAAGAAGAGCTCGATCTATTGTTGATAAACGATGTTTATATTTGGAGCAGAATTTCTCCGGCACCAACAGCCGCGGAGATCGACTGCCATACTGGGGTTGTGCTCTACTACTGTAGTCGATCTCCGCGGCCATCTGAGACAGCGAAACTTTGAGCACATCGTCAAGTTTGTCGCAACACCGGCTTGAGCTGGAAGAGATGGAGAGGAAGGAGAGGAAGAAAAGGAAGAAAAAGGAAAGAAAGGGAAGGAAAAAAAGAAGGAAAGAAAAGAAAGAAGGAAAGAAAAGAAAGAAGGAAAGAAAGCAAACATGCAGAGGAAAATGGTGGGATGGAGCAGCTTCTCATCAGTGCAGCTCGATACTGCTGGTTATTCTTCCTTGAACTTGATGAGCAGTCTTTTAGGTTCAATCCAGTCTGCCCTTTAGCATCCATCTGATCACTCCTATTACTCTCTCACTGTTTCTCAACTGGTTTCCACACTGGTTCTCTAGCTGTTGTTTGCAACTGACTGCTCCAAAAGCAATAAGGTTTCTTCTAGTGTTGTTTCTGATCTTCACCTTCCATTGGCTTTCTGATAGGCGACTCTTGCCCGTTTTGTAGCTGATCACAGTGTGTCTCGAAGGAAAGCAACTGACCTCTGTACCAACAATTCACTGTAACCCAGTTCTGCTACCCAAACAGGAAATCCTTCTAAATCAGCATTGCGTAATTGTTTATGTAATGCATAATGCCAAAATTACATAATCGCACGTGTGATTTAAATTTGTTTCAACTCTGTTTTAAACCAGCCACAAACATAAAAATGTGACATTATGTAATATTCAGATACGTGCTTACTCAATCTTTCACGTGACACAATTTTCTCTTATTCCTCAATTTTTTCAGCTTTTTTCACCAAAACCACTTAAGAAAAATTTTTAGCTGATTGCAAAATCAGTATATAAAGATCTTCATTATTTGTTTACTGATAGGAGTTCCAGTTTCTAGTATCTATTTTCTAGTCAACACTAATTTGTTTTTCTCTGTTTTACATATAATTACTATATTTACCACTCTATTTGTGCAATTACTGCTCTTAATTTCCATCTCAATCTCAATTCAAACTAGGTTTTAACTACTGTTTTTGATTATCAACTTCCACAACTCTACAGCAAAAATACATTTTACAAAAAAAACAACTGAAAAATGACTGAAGAAGTATCCCAAAAGCTAAACGATTTGACAATCACCGATGACAAAAAAATAATTGACGATAAAACTACAACTACAACACTAACAAAATCTACGTCAAACACAAATTCGGCAACAGATTCAACTACAAATAATAACGCTCAATCTAAAGAACCAGTTTCAATATTTTCTTCAAAACACTTTACTGCTTACCACCCGTTAAATTCCAAATGGACTTTATGGTACACAAAGCCTCCAACAAACAGAAATGAATCATGGAATGATTTATTAAAACCCGTCATCACCTTCTCAACTGTTGAAGAATTTTGGGGAATTTACAACGCTATCCCATCCGCAAATGAACTACCAATAAAATCAGACTACCACTTATTTAAAGAAGGTATTAGACCCGAGTGGGAAGATGTTGTAAATTCAAAAGGTGGTAAATGGGCCTACCAATTCAAAGAAAAAAGTAAAGTTGACATCAATGATTTATGGATGAGATCCGTATTGGCTTTGATTGGTGAAACAATTGAAGAAAACGAGGAAAACGAAGTCAATGGTGTTGTATTGAACGTCAGAAAAGTCTTCTACAGAATCGGTTTATGGACTAAAAGCTGCGACAAAAAATCTTTAGAACCAATTGGTAAAAAATTTAAAACAATTCTAAAAATAAGAGACGACGATCAAGTTGAATTTACTTCACATGATGATGGTGACACTACTGCTTCAAAGAAATCTTTCCATGTTTAATGATCTCCCACTTTCTCACTTAATCTGATTATATATCATTTTATAATTTATCTTTTCAGCTTTTAAACCAATTTAACTATTACTTAATTACTAAATATTTAACCGCTGTTATAGCTAATCATATTAATACACTTTTCTTTTCTGTCTCTGTTTGTTTGCAACACCACTCAACAGAAAACAAATAAACTCAAAACCGATTCATCTAAACTGACCTCTAATCTACTCAAACACAATTCATATAAGCCGACCTCTAATTTACTCAACTCTTAAAATAACTGTTTGCAAAAAAGAAAGCACTATATTTGCCTGTTTCTTTTAGGAAATTCAGCAAAGTTTACTTGGATCATAGTTCCGTCGCACTGGTTCTTTTTCCACAAATCTGTTTCAAATTTTATTTTGTTAAGGTTCAAGAGAAAAATAACAAAGTCTCCTTTTCCTCTAATCTAAGTAATATTATATTCAAAGAAATTTGGTGTTACAATTATAAGATCAATACAATACTTGCTGAATATATTGTTTTATTCCATTAAAATGATTTCTTTACTTTTCAAGAGAACTAATGGTGATAGCAACAATACCAGTAAATCAATAAATCAATAGTGCAAGAAAATTAAACCGATTGCTTGATTATCTATCTTATTCTATTGTTGTTGTTTTTTTTCGTTTTTGATTGAATTGAATTATAAATATGATAGATAGCCAAATGATAATTTCTTGATTGTTTTTTTTAATAATCTTTTTTTCTTCACACTTTATATATCTCATTAGTTCAAACAGTTGTATAACATTTAAACACGATAGTCTATTACATTCAATCAATTTATTTTATTTTATTTTATTTATTTGGTTATTCCAGAGACCAATTAGTTACTAAGTAATTATATGATAACTTTTTCATTATTCAATCAATTGGATTTGCTAATATTAATTTTTTATCAAAATGCTAGTTAATAAAATTAATGAAAACAAGATACGATTAAGTCTTTCAATAAATACAAGCTACAATAACAATAATAACAATAATAATAGTAAAAATAACGATAATAATAACATTGATAATAATAACAAAGCAAAACTCATTTCATTCAATAAATTTGAAGAAATGAAAGCTATTGATTTGATTTTGAAACAATTTCAAAGGAAATTTTCTGCTTTAAAAAACAAAAACACAAACTATGAAAATGAAGAGCAAAATGATTTTTTTGTTAAATTTCAAGAAATGATATCATCCATTGATTCAATTATGAAAAAATTTCAAGAAAAATATTTCCCTTCACAAAATGAAAGCGCTGGTGACAAAAAAGACAATAAAAACACTAATTATAAAAGTGTCAATGAAAACATTGGTTTTGCCACTAATAATAATATACACAATAATGATAATAATGGTAATCACAATGATGATAATTACAATAATGATAATCTTAACAAGGGTAATAAAATCCGGATCATTATCAACCATCTTAAAGCTAAGAGAAATAACTCGGGTAATCTTGATAACAAAACAAATGTTGGTGCTGCATTTAATAGTGGTACTGGTGAATTGAAAAAGGACCGAAAAAAGAATAAATCAAGGTTCAAATTTGGTAGGAAAATATTTTCCAAAAAGGATGGGAAATCGCCAATGAGCAAGGAACTAAAATTACAGCTTCAAAAGAATCGTTTGAAGCTATACCAAATTCCCAATACGTCAATATTGGTTTACAGAGATTACAGAAGAAATAATGAGAAGATTAGGACTGGTAAGAAAAAAATCAATTTGATTGGGATCAAAACGGAATTGAACGACGATTACGTTGAAACGAGAAACACATTTGGATATGATGAATTGATCGACGGAAACTTCAAGTACAAAATGGAAGAAATCAAAATCAAGAAGCCGCTTTCAACGTTGAACCCAAACTATAGCCCAGTGCAGAGCATTGAAAAGAGCTTGCCGGCATTATTTGCGCATTCTGAGTTGTATCCCGAGGACTACAGCATCATCGACTCTGTGTGCAAAACCGTTGTTAACAGAGCGATCCAGCACCAGCTCAACAAAGAGGAAGGTGTCTTTGGGCACATCAAGACCCAGAAGCAGCGCGAGGACACTGGGAACTTTGACGGCTACAACAAGATGATCTACGATGAGAAGGTCAACCCCTACGCCCTCATCTTCAGGAGATACGGCAATGTGTATGTGCGAGAAACGAGCGTTGCCAGCCCCAACAGGAACTATCTCCTCAAAAAGGCGTTGTTGAACCTGTACATGAGGAACACACCCACCTCAGATAGCTCCAGTGGCCCCAGCTCCAGCAGTCCCAGCTCCTCCTGTGCTGGCTCCTGAAAAAACCCCTCTGAGCACCAGCACCTTCCGCATTGGGAATATATCTGCCTGTCCGCATCGGGAAAGACCCGCAGCGCTGGCGCCGATGTTTGTACTGAGCCGTAAAGAAAGGTGGAAACATTTCACCTGGATTCGAAGGCCCTGCTTCTCCAGCAAGCTCTGCGTCGATTGCTCTACTCTTCACGAATAAAGCTGCTTCTGCTACTGTCGAGTGTCCCAGCGATGTAAATCTGCCTCTTCTCCAGCTACTATATATCTGTTTCTCTGTTTCTCGTCGCCTATTTTTAGTTTTGTTTCTTTTATATTTCAATTTCATCGGCATCCTCACAATTCGCATTCCTTCATAATTAGCAGTGCTGTGCTAGCTCCCCAACTAATTCTCTTTGTCGTTCTGTTTCTATCTCTTCTTCCATATATAATAATGCAATCCCGTAGCATTTCAAATTCAAATCCAAGTCCAAATTCAAATTCAAACTCGTGTCCAGGCCTTTACTTAACACACAAAGCATCAACCACTATGAGCTATTTAAATGAAATCACAACAATAGGTACATCACCACCACAACCACCCCTTGTTTCTCACAGTTCCTCTCAACGAAACAAAAGAAGAAGACCATTCAACGATGATAGTGTCCTAGAAGATCACATCAACATTAATGTCAACATCAATAATGTCAACATCAATAATGTCAACATCAATATTGCTCGATATGACTCCATTACTCAATGTCCCACTGCTCATCTCAACAATCAAAGGGATGGCTACCAAAAGATCAAAAAGGTCAAATTGAGTGGTAAAGGAAGGCTCCCACCAGTTGTTCTCCATGGAAGTGCCAAAAGAATAAACTCCTTCATTTCCCAACGAAATACCAAGCAATTATTAATCACATCCAAAAAGAGCAGTAATAAAAGAATCTCAACTCATTATTGCACGCCAAATGGCTCTTCCATCAATACACTAAACAAGGAGAAATTTTCAGCTCCCACAAGCAATAAAAACCTCTCAAACAACGATCAATCTATAGTACTCAATAGAGATTACTTTAAATTATTACGAGCACGAATCCCATTAATCAGAGAATATATCAATATAAGGGAAAAAAACGAGCCAAAAAGAACACACTATAAGCTAATCGGTATCAAAATGGAACTAACCAATGAATATATAAGAAACCATAATTCTTTCAAGTACAAGATTCTCTCAGATCACTTAAATAACCAAAGAAAGTTCACATACAAGTTGAAAAACATTCCTATTCAAAAACCATTATCCAATTTAAATCCAAGTTATAAACGTGCGAATTCAATAGATAAAGATATTCAAAACTTGATTCTTTGCTCTTATTTATATCCCGATGATTTTGAGATATTGAACTCGATGAATCCCATTTACGTTAATAAAGTATTGGATAAAGAACACAAGATTAATGAAATGATTGATAATACTACTAATACTACTGCTACTATTACTACTACTACTACTAATAATAATAATAATCATCATGATTTCGAAATCGATTCAAATACTAGTACTGATCAAGACGTGGATAATTATCTCTATGACGAGTATGAGTTTGATGAGGAAATAGATAACCCTCATATCAATTCCTTAATAGAATATAAAAACATTTTTATTGATAAAAGACAATTCTCAGTCTCGAATCCCAATTATTTACTTAAAAAGGCTATTCTGGGTAATTTCATTGATAAATTGGACGCAAAATTAGATCAAATAGAGAGATTACAGCAATATAATTTAAAATACAAAAAACATTAAAAGTATCCATTAAAGGTATTAGTTAAAGATAATTATTAAAAATAACAAAATATATAAATTTTTTTATTTATAGATAATGACTATATTATAATTTTCAATTCAAAAGCAAAATAAAAACAATAAAAACAAGTTCATTCTCCTTTTTACACTCTTTAAATTCTTTTTACATTCTTTTCAATTTGATTCTCTCTTTTCTTTTCTTTTCTTTTTCTTTTTCTTTTTCTTTTTCTTTTTCTTTTTTTAATTATTTGTTAATGATTTGTTAATTATTCGTTAATTTACTTTATTACTTTTATATTTATGTATGTTTAATAAAATTTTATTACGATTTTAAAATATAAAAACACAGTTTATAAAAAATTTATAAAAAGCTTATAAAGTTTATAAAGTTTATAAAATTTATAAAATTGTTGGATTTTATAGAAGATTAAAAAAAGAAATGAATAAAAAACACAGTAAAAGAAAGTAGATATAATAAAATAGAAATCAAATAGAAAGTTTATAACTCGAGGGACCATCCAGTGTAGACTGATATAAATAAAATATAATAGTTGAAAAAAAAAAACGAGAAAAAGAGGGTAATGAGAACAACAATCCGAATCAATATTATTAATACTATTAATATTATGAAATCATAATAATAAAGCAGCGATGAAGGAGAAGAAACCTGAGATGCAAATGGAGTTGATACCGATTCTTTGGTACAAATTATTAGCAGCATTGGTTGTGCTGACAGTGATAGTCAATGGGTCTTTGACTGTGCCAATGGAACCAGACAAAGTGCCCATACCAACAGAACCAGCTTGAGGAGATGCGACAGCAGTGTATTGAGACGAGAACTTCTGGGAATAGGTTGTTTGAATGGTTGCAACTCCACCATCTGAGTAAGTGACAGTGACCCAGATTAAAGTGGAAGTCTTTGATGTGGACGAAGAGTCCGAATCTGTTCCAGTGGTGGCATCTGTGTCCCCAGCAGCAGTAGTTTCATCGAGAACAACAGTGATTTCGTCGTCATCAGCATCAGCCGTAGTTGGAGTGGTGGCAGTAGTGGTAGCAGTAGTAATAGTAGTTGGAGTGGTGGTTGTTCTTGGCGTAGTGGTGGCTGTTGTTGTTGGGGTAGTAGTTGTACCAGTACCAGTACCAGTACCAGTACCAGTATCAGCACCAGGAACATCAGTGTCGGTGTCGGTTGGAACTGTTGGAGTGGTGGCAGCACCTCTACCACCAGTAGCGAGAGCAGTATCTGTTGTAAGAGCAGTTCCAGTAGTCACAGCTGTGGCAGTTGTGAGGGCAGTTCCGGCAGTGTCAGCGTCGCCAGCAGTCAAAACAACCAACTCATTACCATCAGCATCGAGCTCAGCAGTAATTGGAATGCTATTAACGACTGTGTGGACAATGAAGAAAGAGGTGTATAGTTAGTTACTTGTCCAAGCCATAACGATTGTGGGAAGTGAAATATTTCAACTGCCAGACCGGCAACACAGGTTGAAAAACCCCCCAGAAGAGCTAGGAAGAGCACAGAAAAGGGACACATACAGGTAGCTAACAAAGGTAGCAATAGACAAGCAAAGAAGGAGAAGAGTTTCATGTTGCTGGCAGCAGAGGACGAAGAAGAAGCAGAGGAAGATGGACAGCTAAAAATAGCAAGAATGGTCGAAAGCGGTGGAGGGCTTTTCGAGGACCCAAAAAGCAGGAGAAACAGAACCAGAACCAAGAACCAGCTCTGAAGAAGCGACGATGCCTCGAGACTCCCAGCTATCGTATCTTCATCTCCAGCACTCCCACCATGTTCTCTACATGACTGAGTGGGCCAAGGACACCATCCCCTACGACGACGTCGACATCAGCGACTCCTATCTCACCAACCAGCTCTTCTCCAGCGCCAACGACGCCCACGACACCCTTCCTGACTCCAACAACGACGCCCACGACGACGACGAGCTCTACAACGCCAACTTCAACAGCCAGTTCTTGAAGAACCAGGTTTTCGGCAGCTCCAACTCCATCCACAACAGCAGAAAGCGCAACAGACGCCTCTGGAAGGATTTGGATCTCCAGCGCTTTGTTGCGATCAACAACACCTCCACCACCTCCACCAAGGCCATCGCAGGCACTTCCAATGCCACTGGCGCCAACAACAGCAACAGCAACAGCGACAACAACACCTCCAACAACCCCAACATCGATCCTTCCATTGGCCTTTCCATAGCTGGTTTCAACAACTTCAACGCTGATTACGACGAGTTCGTTCACTTGCCTTACAACGACGACAATTTATCTGATTTCAATGCTGCCAATTTGAGAGTTGTTACATTCGACCATACAATCTTGGACAGATTCACTCCCGCCATCGACAACGACGACACAATCATCGAAAACAACGAGAGCAGCATCAACCTCAACAACGTCGACAGCCATATCCACACTCTTCGCAACTTCAATCGAAATCTAAACCCCAACCTTAATTTGAATGATATCGACACTGATACTGATCTCGACAGCAATCTCAATAACGACATTCTCGACTCGAGTCCCTTGGCTGGTTCTCCATGAAATTTGATAAGCTAATGTGTATTTTCTACTTGGTGAAGCAATTAAAAAATATAATAGCAAAAAATAATGAGTGAATACATGAATACATGAATAAATAAAATAAATAAATCAATAAATCAATAAAAAAACAAAAAAAAACAACAACCAAAAACCAAAAATCAAAAATCAAAACCATTTAATTAATTAAATCTTTTATCTGTTTTATAACTCATCCACAATTCTTGATTGAACCCCACTTGAAAATCCAAGTGGTTTTTTTAATTTTTCTTTAGTCTCTTCTGCTTCTTTTGCCTCTTCCTTTTGCTTGCTAATTCCTTCTTTCTTAACTTTTTCGTTAATTACAACTCTGTTTGAAATACTTCTAGCATCATCTAAAATCTCACCAATTGATTTATAATTCAATTTAACCCATGCTTCTTCAATTTCGCTGATTTTCCCATCACCACTACTTTTTTCGTTAACATTATCAAGTTCCTTTTCAATATTATGGCTCAAATCAACCGAGGGAAATTTCTCTAATGCAAAACCTTTTCTCAATTTAAACTCCCTTTTAGTATTCTCGCTCTCTTCCTTTGACTTGATCTTATTTAAAATCGTCTCAATAACGAAATTAGAAATAAAGAAAAAATGTTCAGAAATCAAAATTATTGACAACAACTTCCAGCTCTTAATATTAACTGCTGACTTCAAATACCCTCTGTCACTCAACTTGTCTAAAATCAAATTTTTGCTTTCAACATTTAATATATTTAATTCAACACTATCATTCTTATAATTAAACATAATCCTGGAGTAACCATACATTGCTGTTATTGATGGCCCGACGATTGATCCCAACCATGTCAACAAAAATAAATACTGGTTCCATGGATAAATCGAATCAATTCTTTCAGGTATCGATCTCTTGAATTGAGTGAAAATTTTAACTGCGTCACCCCTAAATTCAAACCAATTTGATAACAAACAAATAATTGGTGCAACTGTCCAAGCTTGCGAAAACATAATTAAAAACCCATATTGGACAATCATTTCTCTGTAATCGGTATTAACATCGTAATCATCAAATTGAAACACTTCTTTTCTAACATGATCAAGATAAGCCTTTTCAGATGGCTTGTCGTTATAATTGATTTTTTTATCCTTTGACAAATAGTTCAAAACTATCGATTGAATCTTAGGTACGACTGATTCCAAGAAAAACCCTAAAACTTGGTTAATAACAATCGCGAAAAAAAACTGTTTATGTAAACGATCGGGATTAATAACAAATGGTTCATTTTGTTTTAAAGGAATCTTAGATGAAATATAAGTTGAGATGAAAAAATGAATGTTTTCAATATATGGATTGATCAAGTAAGCAAAAGGTAAGTAGACATAAGAAGTAATAAACAATGCCATATAAGAGGTTAAAAAACTGATAATGAATAATTTTTCATTTAAAGATCTCTGGTAAGATAACTGAGTTCTATGGTTTTCCCACTCAACCATTTTAGTAACAAAAATGTTATAAATAAAGGTTAAAATTGGCACAAAAGCAGACAACATGACGGTTGGAATTAATGAAACAACCGATTTCAAAGGACCGTCATAAACTTCATTTGTAATGATTTCAACGATAAAACAAAAAAATTGCCAAATAATGAGGATCAATGCACTAGATAAAGCCAAGGGGAAAAAGGACAATTTTTTAAGAAATCTTTTCCATGGATAATAATAAGGAATCTGGTTACCAGTAACGTAATCATTAACTAATATTTCACCGATAAACTTAAAATTCTTCAAAGCGCTTTTATCAGAGTTTTTAGTTTTCCAAGAAATTGCATAAATTTTTTCCTTTCTCCTCCATGCTTGAATGAAAACTATTCCCCAAACAAAGTTGAAAAAAGTGTAAACTGAGGAAAATTTTGAATTTAGATAATAGTTTTTCGAAAAATAAGTCACCAAACCAAAAACAGAAGGGAAAATTAAAAAAAATGAATAAAAATTTAAGAAAGCAAAATAAAGTGCAACCTTTTCACCAAATTGATTTTTAATTAAATTGATATCGTCATCGTTAATGAAAATCCTTTTGAAAGACCAAATTTTTAATAAGTTTTTATTAAATTTTCGATCATGAATTGGTTGAATATTGGTTATAAAATCCCATTTATTGAAGTTAGGAGTTAAAGCTAAAAATGAATCATCAATTAGAATATTGTAAATGATTCTCAATCTTTCAGAGTTGGACAAAGTGTCGTACAAATGAGAGGAAGATTCCAAGTTATCATTAACACTATTTTCATTTGAATCGTTAGAGATGATATGTTCGTTGATATTATAAATCCAATCGTTGATTTTGTAATTGATCAAGTATTTTTCTTTGAGAATTGATGGTCTCAATTTGATAAACAACAACAAACTGTTGTTTGAGTAGCCGGGTCTGATTTGAATTAGAAAACCATACTTGGTTAATTTCTCGACCAAAGTTTTCAAATTGGAGTTGGCCTGGTCAGTTGGAGTGTTTGAAGCAGGATCGATGGGGTACTTGACAGAAATAACGAAATCAGGATCTAGGTCCTCAATCGAGATAGATGAAAAAGAAGGATCTTCCATGGTGTCTCGCAATTGCAAATGGCCAACAGAAGGGAATTGAGTAGCAACAGCCAACAATCAGCAGAACAGTCTTGCAACAAAGGAGATATTGCCAGAGAATAAAGAGCAACATCAGAAATCCCTATTTATACCCGGTATCGACTCCTGTTTCAGTTCAGATTGGAAAACTCTGAGCACGTGCTTATTACGTGATACTCAGGTGGTATGTTGGGTGTTTTGCAGTGGGCTCGATTCCCGCTTAGGGCTTTTTTTTGTTTTCCCAATCCAGCTTAAACCAGATTGGGAACGTTTGGTGGTTTCGAGTGGTGGAAGAGAAGAAGTTGGTCCAACAATCGCAATGCCAGCCCCAGAGCCTGCTGCTAGCGAGAGCACGTACAGAGCAGAGAAGAAGAACTTGTTCCAGAACTTGAGCTTTTTGGTTGTGGAGTCTCCCGGCTTGAATCTAGTGGAGTGCGAGACCTTGAAGACGATCCTATTGAAGTACTCAAACACTTCCATCAAGATCAAGTATACGAACGAGGACCTGCCTGATAACAGCTATCTTGCTTCTTTGTCTGGATTTAGCCATATTGTTTCATCTACCTTGAATTTTTCTGAGTACAATGAGTCTTTTCAGTTGATGATACCTGTTATCTCCTCTGACTGGATCTATCAGTCTTTGCAGAAAAACAAATTGCTACCTGTGAGGTTCTTTTATCCCCCAATTACAACAGCCAGTCACTTAGGAGTTGCTGCTGATAAAATTAATAATAATGCTGATGGAATTGATAACAAAAAGCCTCTTGATCTAAATTTTCTTAATGGCTTGATAATAACTGTGGCCAATCTAGATTTGAGTTCAGATGAAAAAATCCTAATTGAAAACCTAATTGAAAAATTTGGCTCCATTTATCAAAAGAACTTGTCCAAAAAATCAGACTATTTAATCACAAATAATTTTAACCTAAACGATGATAAAATCTTACTAGCAGATTATATTAACAACAACAAGAAATCCTTGAAAAATATTTATCTAATTCATCCAAACTGGCTATACGATTCATTTAAATATTTGTCTAAACAAGATATACATGATTATGTCTTAAACTCGAATAAGATGATGCTTAATACTAATAATAACAATGACAATTCAATTGGTGATTTTGACTACGATTACAGCAAAATTAAAATTGAAAGCGATATTTTGGTCTTAGATCATTACAATGAGGATCTTAATAATCCCTTTATCCCAGCTTCGTTAAAATTTCTTCAAGGCAAAATTATCTATTTTGATAACTCAGATTACCAATTCAATAAGAAAATCCTTTCAACTCTTTTCAATTTAATAAACCTATTTGGAGGTAAAGTTTCTGTAAATTTATCTATTTCAAACATTTTAATCACAAAGTTTAGAGACTCACTTTTTTATAAATATGCAATTAATTTCAATCAAAAGATAGAAAAAAAAGAATCCAAGAATAATAATGATAATAATAATAATAATAATAATAATAATAATAATAATAATAATAATAAAATAATAATAGGAAACCAAAATTTTCTTTTATCAATGATTCAAAATTTAAAAATCTTAAACCCTCTAAATAACTTATTATATTACCCAATATTTAAAGAGAAAATTCCATTTTTTAGAGATAAATCTATAGTGATCTCCAATTATTTTGGAGATCAAAGAATTTACTTATCAAATCTAATAACAAATTTAAATTCAAACTTTATACCTTATCTAAATATTAATTTGAATTTCCTAATAATTTCAAAAAAAATTGGCTCAAAATTTTTTGCTTTAAATAATTGGAATCAATTGAAGTTGAAATCAATCAATTATATAGAGGATCCAAATAATAAACCCCCGCTTATAGATAATAAAGAAAAAGAGAAGACTGATACTGAAAATCTCGAAAATCCCGAAAATGATGAAAATAATAAAAAAGAAAAACTAGAAGCTTGGGAAACTAATAACTCAATAGCAAAACTAGATCTTCCATTCATGTTAAATCATTTATGGTTGGAGGATACTTATGCAAACTGGAAATTAATGGATATGAACAATCCAAAATATCACAACTTTAAAGATAACCTTTTTATTCCTCTAGCAAAAACTCCTGTTAATTTGGATCTTGATTTAGAAAACAACATTAACACCCAAGTGCAACTTGAAGATTTGCAAGTTGAAAACATTTATGGAATCAATATTGAAGATGAGATTGAGAATATTAATGATGATGGTTTACAGTTTAAAAATAGCTCCCCCATTAAAATTTTGAATAATAATGATGATATTAATAATCTTATTAAAACACCCATCAACATCACTTATAGTATATCAAAAACTAATGAAATTCAAAATAATGAAAATTATAAAAACGGAACGAAAGAAATTAATGAAATTGGTAAAACTGATAAAAATAATAAAAATAATAAAAATAATAAAAATAATAAAAATAATAAAAATAATAAAAATAATAAAAATATCGAAAATATCGAAAATATCGAAAATAATGAAAATAATGAAAATATTGTAAAAACACCAACAAATAAAAAGACCAGCGATATTCCCTTCAATTCAGCGTTACGACTTTTATCAACGGGTAGAAAAGCTAAAAACAAAGCCGCTGAAAAATTGCATTCGGATATAGAAGAATTGAATGTATTTGAGAAACAGCATCGGTATAAAGCAACTCCAAAGTTGCCAAGTGAAATAAAACAAGAGAAAATAAATAAAATAGAAAAAGAGAAAAAAAAATTGGCTCAACAAAAAAAGAGAAAATTTTCTGAAATTAAAGCAAACAATAGTGAAAACGGAAATAAAGAAAATATTGTTGAGTATAATGAAATTGAAAATGAAAATGTATTGAGTAGACAAGAAGATGATAGTCCTTTGAAGAAAATGTCTCGAAAAAAATCTATAACATCTGCTAAAAAGAAAAGATTAAGTAATTCGCTTGCTGCTGATTTGATGACAATAACTGAATCAAAATCTTCTAAATCTCCGAAATTATTAACAAGTCATAAACCAATTGAAAGTAACACAGGTTTTTCAAAACCAAATTTTGATATTGTGTATATTATAACTGGCTATTCAGAGATTTCTAGAACTGACCAAGGATTTTTAGAATCTTATGGGGTCAAGTATCAAAAGGATCCAACCAAAGTTAATACGATAATTGCTCCCAAAGTGTTGCGAACAGAAAAGTTTCTTATAGCTTTGGGTAAAGGTCCAAAATACATACTAAATCCCAAATTTATTGAGGATATTTTGATTCTTATTAAGAGTAATAACATTGATGAGTTGAAGGATATCGATCCAATAACATATTTAATTGATAAATATGATAAAAAAGCTGTCAGTGATTTAAAAATACCCTTAATGACTTTGATACAGCGATCAATTGAAAAAGTCAAAAGCAAAAAATTATTGTTTGATGGATTGAAGTTTAATGTCACAAGTTTTCTTCCTGGAAATCAAGTTATTGTAAATAGAATATTATCCTCTCACGGAACAGCTTCCAAATCAAAGTTAATCAAAAATGCGCATTCTCTAAGGCAATTGAGTGCAATTGAAGTTTGTGATGATGGTGAAAGTTGCTACTTGGTTACTGAAAAGCCCGATCTTGATCAAGAAAACGTTGATAAGGATAACAGAGAAAATATTAAAATAATAAACAGATTTAATGCATTGTGTTATAAAAATAAGAAAAAAGCTTTTGTTATTGAATGGAATTGGATTGTCAATGCGATTTTTAGTATGAGTTTGGATCAGCTTGACAAGTTTAAAATTACTATATGATAGGTTTTTTGTTTTTGTTTTTCGTTTTTGTGTTTCATTTTTATTTCCGTTTTCTTTGTCAAATCTATGTTTTTTTTATAGTCAATTAGTTACATTTTTTATATTCTATTTTACAAAGGCTTGATAAGGAAAGTATTACATATAATATATAAAATTTAGCATTTACTAATAGAAATATCCCAAAATTTTATCGACCTCATAAACAAAGCTCAAGTATACTATAGAAAATAATCATTTAATATGATTCTGATATGAAAGACCAAATATCGGTTAAAAAAAATAATATATATATATATAAAGTAGAGCAGGAATAAACCACAATGCTAAAAAAATAACTTAAAACCTCATATTGAATTAGAAACTAGACAGTAATAATAGAAACACACCATAAGCAAATGAAATGAAGAAAAGAATGAAGATAATTATAGTTAAAGAATGAAGTAAAAATAGGAGTAGATTTATCTGTGCTTTGACTTATGGTGATGAGACTTCTTAGCTCTATGAGAGATTTGGCCTGTTTTCTTAGACTTTTCACCATTGTTATTAAGATGTTTATTACTGTTTTCAAAAAAATGTTTATTTGAAGAATAACCTCTTCTAAAAGACTGTCTTCTTCTAGAAGCAGAGATGATATTATGGTCATTTTTAGTGGTCATTAAAACTTTGTTTCTGAAAGCAGATAGTGGGATTTTTTTGCTTGCTTGTGAATTCGTTATAATATCTTTCCAAATAAAATTACTTTCTTCTGTGTCGTCCAATTCACTCATATTAAACAAATCCTCTAAATCTAATTCTGGTTCATTTGTTAAAGTAGTACTGGTTAGATTAAAGTCATTCATTGATTGATTTTCATTGAAATGTAACAAGAAATTTGGATCGTTAAGTGAAAACCCATTAATCGCAATATTTCCGACAGTCAATGCATCAGTAGGTGTTAACTCTGAGAAATTTTTATTTTGTTTTGATGAATGATTAGGATTGTTTAGTAAATTAGTATCGAAAAAATGATTTATATTGTTGATATTTGTTTGATCATGCATTTGATTCAAACTTTGAGCAAATTTATTAAAAACGATTGATCTTGTTGTCAAGCCATCAAGAATTTCATAGGGTTTTGTTGTATCAGGATACCAAGTAGCTAATATTGGGGGTCTGCCATTAATTGAAGAGGACAAAACTTCCTTAACTGATTTTGAGCCAATTATTTTTCTTTTTCCTTTTGGGGGCAACTCTTCATCCTCATCTGTGGTATCATTTAGATCTAAATCAAAATCATCATCCTCGTCCTCGTCATCGAAATTAGGAAATTGATCGGTATAATAAAATCCCAAATCATTAATATTAATTGATCTTGATGATTTTGGTGAAATGCTATTTTTTGATGTCAGTTTTCTGTGATTTTTATGACTTTTTATATTTTTTGTAACTTTTTTGTCAAATTTGGTATTAAGAAGATGAGAATTTAAACTCGAACTTATTCCAGATCCCGATTCAGAGCAAGAGCTTGAATTTAAATCTGAAGAGGATGATATATTGGAGTCTATGTTAGAATTAGCTTTATTGAAATGAAAATTTCTTTTTGATTTGGTATTCCTATTCGTGCTCTTATTATCAGATTCATCAGATGAGCTTGAGCTTGAGGAATCGCCACCCTTGAAGAAGTAAGGTAAAAGATAAGAATCGTCATAATCATCATCTTCTTCTTCGTTGTCATTATCTTTAAGAAGATTTTTTGAGTTTTGTAGAGGTTTTTTATGTTTTAAGGATTTAATATGACTTGATTTTTTATTTAAATTTGAGTTTGAGAGATTAGAATTTTTAGGGTTCTTTTTGTTCTTTTTATTTTTTTTATTTTCATTTTTTTTCTTGTTATTTTCATTTTTGTTTTTATTATTTTGATAGTTATTTTGATTGTAATTTTTTTTATAGTCAGAGTCAGATAAAGAGTTTGAAATTGAAAATGAATCTGAATCATTTGAATTATTATTTGAATGAGAGTCTGAATCATCGAATTGGATAACTTCGTTATCATCAGAATCATCCAAATCTTGATTATTTTGTAATCTCAATTGGTTTAGTAGTTGTCTATTTTTTTGAACGACGTCTTCGACATTTTCAACTATTGAAGCTCTTGGTTTAATTTTAGATATATTTGTTTTTTTTTGGTTATTATTATTATTTTTATTATTATTATTATTTTTATTATTATTATTATTGTTATTATTATTGTTATAGTCGGTATTATTATGATTCGTATTAAGATTGTTGATACTGAAATCATCATTGAGGCTGAAATTGTAATTGTAATTGTCAGATTGATCATTATCAAAATCATAGTTATCTAAATTAAAACTATTATTATCTAAAGGAAAATCGAAAATCAAGTTATCATTTTCTAACTGAATATCCTTTAATAAAGCATCGGCTTCTTCATCTAACAATAATTCATTGTCGGATAAGTTCCAGTCATTATTATTGTTTTTGTTTGTATTGTTGGTAAGGGTGTCATCGAAATTAAGACTGTGATTTAGATCATGATGGGTATTGTTGTTATTATTGTCATAATAGCCATCTAAATCGATATCATTTTGAATTGCTTGAAAGAATGCGTCAGAATCAAATTCTTTATCATCTGAATCATTATCGTTATTATTAAAAAAACTTAGTTTATTAATGGTGGTGTTATTGTCGTTATTTTTATTTGGTTTTGAAAAGAAATCTTCATCATCCGAATCTTTAATTTTAGGATAATTTAAAAGTAAATTATTGTCAATCAAGAAATTATTTGATGGGGCATTAATATTGATACTCATATTAATCGGGTTTATGGTAGTTGATTCGTTAATTGTAATTTCTTCACCTAAATCTTCATCTTCATTGTTATCTTCATCATCGCCATCATTGTCATTGTCATTGTCATTTTTGATTGTTTTTTTTATATTGTTTTTGGTATTTTTATTATCGATTTTATCAAGACTATTAGGAAGTGATTTTGTAGCTTTATTATCGCGAATTGAGATATCTGAGGAATCATTTTTTATTATATCAATAATGTTTTTATTATTTTTGTTATTTAAAGAGTGAAATGACAAAGATGAAGATGAGTTATTCGAATCAATTGAAGTTGAAGTTAATTTTTTAAATGGAAAAGACATAAAGGGGTAAAAGAAAACCAAAAAAGTGAAAAGAATAAAAAATAAACAGAATATAAAAGAATGGAATAAAAATTTATGGTTAATCTATAAATTTTTCTGATATCAGGTCAAATAGAGAGAAGAATCTCTGGTGGTTATCAAAACAATTGGAATGGGTATGCTTCAAGTTATTTGTTTTGATTGAATCCAGAGAATTTGAATGATGAAAGGGATCTGTTTTCTGAGTGAGAGCTTCGTGCTGTCTTTGGTGAGAGATCCTTCTGTTGATTTGCTTTGTTGAGGTGTCTGTAGTTCACCATCCAAACCAATCTCTGCTCAAGTGTCGATGTTTTATTCTTCGTGAGCTCCTTCTTCAGCTTCTTTGTAAGCTTTTTGTTTGATGATTGCAATTTTCTTTCTCCCCAAAAGGTTCTCATTTTGGTTTCAGAAAATTTTCCTTGCTGAGTTTGGCAAAAATCCTAGAGACCGTTTCCGCAACTGGGATGTCTCACTAGATCACGCGACTAAATACTAGCAAAGTAGCGGAACGCACCTCCGTGATTGCAACGCACTGTGCCAGCAGGCACAACATCAGCACGAATTCCAATCACGAGAGGTTTCGATGGCCCGAAAGGCAACACAATGGTGCGAAAAGTACGGGCAAGAAAGTTTGCATGTTGAAGCAACGCAAAAGCTGCCTCAGGCCTGAACTGAAGCTGAAGGAGCGTCTGCCTGCCTGACAAAAAAGGAGTGCAATCGTCTCCACAGCAGGGAAATCAGAAGAGAAGCAAAAAGTGGAAATCCAGTGGCATGGCTCAATGACGCATGTGTGTGATGAAACACGCATTTATACGTAATATCCTGCAGAATTTTGACACTAGAGGGTTTGGGCGCGAAAACCAACAAAGAGATACAAAAAGCTTATTTTTGATCACGGTTGAAAATTACAAAAATTTGAGTGATTGCTTATTTGGAATCCTGTTTAGAAAGTTTAAAAGAAAGAGTTTTTATTATTATTAATATTCCGTGACCGCGAGCCAGCCATATGGAGCTCGTAGACCTAAATAGAAGCTATAAACTGTTGTTTAAGAATAACTGAAACCAACTCCTTAATTCTAAGCGAGGTTTAGGGAAACCTGAGCTTACAGGGAAAAACCTACACAAATCAGATACAGAAAAGTTTAGGATCTTAAGAGTTAAGGTCCCATGCCTTTTCTAAAAAACTAACCAACATTTTGAATCCTTTTCTTGTACCTAAAAGATGCTTGAGTTGGGTAGGCCTCTCTGAACCAAGTTCCTGAGGGCTTATTCCTGCCAATGTTCTTGCTTCCTGATTGTGCAGGCATTCAATGAGATAGTGATATATTGTAGGAGATGGGCTGTTACACACACAATGTCTTTTATTTAAGTAACCAGCAGCCCACTGGAAATCTGGTCCAAATACATGTCCACATCGCAATTGAGTAATTCCGCTGAGCACGTATTTAGGGTAGGTCTTCATTGGTACATAAAGAAGGTTTTGCTTAAACTTGATTAAAAAAGAGTTTATAGTTTGTGATCGATTATGAAAGGGTAAAGTACATATTGTCTTATTGCGGATTTAGCTCAGTTGGGAGAGCGTCAGACTGAAGATCTGAAGGTCCTGTGTTCGATCCACAGAATTCGCATGTTTTTTTTGCTGCTGCTTCTATTTTATAACTACTTACATAAAAATTCTATAAAACAACATTAATTGGTCTACTTTTTTTTATTTCTGTTCTCAAATGACACTTGTTCAATGAAGACCAATTATTTGTAATTTTTCTGATTTGAAAAATCTTTGAATTCATCTGAAATGAAATTGGGTATATTGAAAATCGTTCCATATGAAGGACTGTTACCACTTTGGTTGCTGTAAACACTTACTCCACTGCTCATTGAATTTTGATTTATATGGCTGATATTGTTATCACTATTAACACGATCTGGAGTTTCTTCTGCAGCATCTATATTGATTTTGACTTTACTATTGTTATTAGCATCACTATTTATTATACTATTGATAGAATTTCTGTTACTATTATTATTATTATTATTATTGTTATTATTTGTCAAAAATAAACTGTAATTGGTATCTCTGACACCAATGAGATTGGAAGGAGAGTTAATATTATTGACTTCACCGAAATTATTTAAATTCTCTGAATTCAATGCTTGATTTATCATTGAATTTAAATCATTATCATTATTAATAGAATCAGCAAGAATCCCGATATTTGTGAGATCTTTATTATTATTGTCATTATTAAAACTACCACTGTTTTTAAAAAAAACATTTCGACCTATTATGTGGTTGACATTTGAATAATTATTTGAATAACTTCCTGAATATAAATTCATGTCAAAATCGTCATAAGCATTACCATTTAAAAAGCTTGAATTATTGACTAAATTATTGTTCAAATTATTTGTGAAACTATTAAATCCATTATTCAGATTATTATTTAAATTATTTAAAAAATTATTATTATCATTATTATTGATAATATTAATTAAATTATCCATTAAATTATTGTTTAAATTGTCATTCATATTTTTGCTTAAGTTATTACTCGGGTTGTTACCCAAGTTATTTATATTATTCAAGTTGAAAGGTAAAGAAATGCTATTGTTATTATTATTATTATTATTATTATTATTATTATTATTATTATTATTACTATTATTATTACTATTATTACTATTATTATTATTATTATTATTATTACTATTGTTATTATTATTATTATTATTATTACTATTATTATTACTATTATTATTATTACTATCGTTATTATTACTATTGTTGACATTTTTACTATTGAAAAAATTTATCCCTATCTTGTTTAGATCAAGATTATTAAAATCATTGTTGCTGTTGGTATAATTCTTGTTATTATTACTATTGAATCCACTAAATTTTATGCTACTAAAATCATTAACATTATTCGAATCATTAAAATTAAAACCACTTATATTCTTCAATTCATTTTGTAAATTCAAACTACTATTCAAATTTATATTTGTATTTTTATTGATAGGTGTATCACAGTTTTTATTGTTAATTATATTATTATCAGCATCCTTAAGATGACTTTGATTATCACCTTTGTTGTCATTTTTTATATCTATACTATTTTTGTCATTATGATTGCTAATGTGGTTTATATTAAATATAATTTTATTTTGAAGTTCTTCATCTTTATTCGCATTAAAGTTTTTGACTTTTAAATCTTCAAAAAACCGATATTGTCTTTGTTTTCTAGAATTAACTATTCTGTAAAGTTCTACATTTGTTAAATTTTTAAACAATTTAAAACTACCATAAACAAAATTAGGCTTTTCTTGTTTCACAAATTTGATTTGATTTTCAAATTTTTTAGGTCTTTCAAATTTGCTTTCATTATAATTTTCATAAACTTTTATAGCAATTTTAATCAATTGTCCAACTGCAATATCAATCAAATGATATTTAGCAATTTCAGGACAGTTTGCAAAAAAGCTATTGTATGAATCAACCATTAATTTGATATCGGCTTCAATCATTTCAGATGTTGGATAATTTATGCATGAACTAAAAAGAGTTGTCAATGCACAGATTGGATAAATTAAACTCGCATTAACCATTTGAGCTATACTATCGGTCAAGTTTCCTGCCAATTTTAATATCTGCCTTGCAGCATCTAAACATCTAATACTAAAATTTGTGTCATTGATATTGGAACATTTTTCTTTATCTTTGTCTTTAGAATATGGATTGTTTTTCTTTTCCCATGGAATTTTAAGCCCTAAACCGTTGATTATCATTATATGGTAATAATAATTAAAATGTAAGGACAAAATTTTGCTTCTAATTCCTTCAATTGCTAAGGGAGAATACTTTTCTTTATTACTATTATCAAATACATTCCAAATTTTGTAGCCAGGTCTAATGCTTATCGGGATATTATCTTTCCAGTCATCTAAATCGGATGAAATTGATATAATTAAGTTTTTAATATCCTCAATTGATTTTTGGGTTTGGGCTTTTTTGCACAACAAGTTGAAGTAAGAAGCTTCTGTAATCTTGGCCAATTTTCCAATACAGTAATAGATGCAAAGCGATAAATTCATTTCATCCTTTTGGCACAATATATCTAAATACAAAGGTTCATCTTTGCCAATGTTTTTAAAAGGTCTTCCACACAGTTTTGAAATTTCACTGATAATAATATTATCATCTTCAGCAGTGACAGCGTTTCTACCAATAAGTGGGGCTTTACCAGATGTCATACAATAAACTCTATCACAAATGTAGCATGAATACCAAATGATTTTCCGTTTTTTGAATTCATCTTTGTCTAAGCCAATATAAGATTCGGATTTATCTAAACCTAATTTGAAAGCAATTTTTAGGGCGACTGATAGTAACATGTGGTTAACTTTAGGTAAAAAAGCAGAGGTACTGTAGATGGTTAAGATTAAGATACCTTGGATTGAGAGTAAAGTTGATTCATTTGTTAGAGAAATTTGTTGAAAATAGTATAGAGAGTTTAAGAAATGGCGTCTTCCTATATTTTTTAGTTCTGATATTTTTATTCTAAAATTTTTATCTGGAGGGGTTGATTGAGTGTTGTGATTATTGTTTTTGCTGTTGTTATCATTTTCAGTGTCTTTGGAAGTATCTTTGGAAGTATCTTTAGGAGTATCTTTGGAAGTATCTTTAGGAGTATCTTTAGGGGTGTTCTGGGGAGAATTTTTCGGTTCTGATTGATCGAAATGATTATAAATTTGGTAGTTGTTTAAATTCGGGCTTAATTCCAGATTCTTATTATTTTGATTGGTTGAAGTATTGAAGTTGTAGTTGTCTGTTTCATTAACATCTACAGAATGGTTGATTCTGTCGTCATCTTCATCGTCTTCGCTTTCTAGATCAAAATGTTCCATGTAAAGGTTTGATTTGTAGGCTTCTATGAATACAGAGGCTGCAACGGCTATAATTGAGTTTATGAGTAATAATTGGGAGTAGGACAAGCCAATATCATTGGGATTATTAGTAGGGTCTTTATCTTTGTTTTGTTCGACTTTTAACCAGTAATCGTCGAATAATCCAGTCATTTCATCGCTGGATACTAGGAAAAAACAGGCATTGTTTTGAGCTACTGGAGACATTAGGAAATCTACGATTTTTTTGTTTGGAATTGGGCTTAGTAAGGAGCTTGGTAGAATGTCCTGCCAGAGTTGAGTTTGTCTTTTTGATATTTCGTTGATTTGTAAATGTAGTATTAGTAGAGGGTGTAGTAGGTTGGACGCGTCGTTTTTCAATTTTTGTTCTACCCATTTGATGCCCTCGGGGCTGAAGATTGAATAGTTCGGGTGGTAACTTAGATAGTCATTCGGTAATGGGGACATTATATGGTAGTTTTCAAACTTTTGGTTTAGTTCTTCCATTGATTTTGAGTGTTCAGAGTTCATGAGGATTGGAGAGAGGAGGTCATTTGAGTTTGTAGAGTCTATGGATTCGTGGTTACATTCAAGAGGGTAATTTTGGGAGTCATCATCGTCGTCATTGTCGTTATCGTTATCGTTATCATTATCGTTATCATTGTCATTATCGTTATCATTATCGTTATCGTTATAGTTGTTATTAATGTTATAGTTAGAATTGAAGTGCCTTTTAGAGATATTTTTTGTATGAGAGATATCGTCGGAGATATTTATATCGTCAATTAATTTTGAATTTGAATTTGAGTCTATTCGATAAAGTAGCAATTCCATTAGATGCTCCATTTTGCCTAATCTTTCTTCGAGATGTTTTACCTGTAAAACATTGTTAGGATTTGAATTGACGTCAGGTCCTGACCCAAATCCTTGTACCTGTCCTGATCCTGATCCTGATCCTGACGCTGAAGCGGAAACGGAAACGGAAACGGAACCTGATTCTGATTTTGGTAGAGAACCAAGGCCAGAAGCCGAAGCAGAACCATTTTGAGTATTGTTTTGGTTGTTTTGAGAGATTGACGATTTCAGTACTCTCTTTTTTTTAACGTAGTTGTAGGTGCAAGAGAGAGAGTCTTTACAGTTGCCACATGGAGTACCGCCGTTACATCTGATTTTTCTCTTTCTACAAAAGTCGCAAGCCTTTGAAACTCTCCGACGTTTTGGCAATTGATTTTGCAGATTTTCAATGTTTAGTTTAGTGATGAGCAAATCCGATTTAAAGTTGTTTAGAGAGTTTAAATCGGTTATGTTGTTTAGGTTGTTGGTAAGATTGGTAGGAAGATTACTGAGGGTGTTAGGGTTGAAGAAAGGGTTAAGTTTGTTTGAGATGGGAAAACCGGCATCGTTGTTTGTAGTGTTGTGATTAATAATGGTATTAAAATTATTAAAATTATCAGGATTAGAATTATTAGAATTATTAGGATTATTAGGATTATTAGGATTATTAGGGTTATTAGGGTTATTAATATTGGTGGGATTGAGAGAATTGTTAAGATTGGGATCCATTTTGAGAGAGAGCCGAACAGATCAAGCCAAAAAGCCCAAAGGGAGGGGGGGAAGAGGAGGAACAAAAAGATAGCAGAGAGCAAACAACCACCAGTACCATGAAAAAGACAGTTCTGGAGAAGAAGCAGCGGCAAGACAGCACAAACAGCTGGAGAACAGACATAATATATAGCAATGTATTTCAAATCAATTCCGCAATGGTCGAGCTCAAAGCGGCAACAGCCCAACCAGGAACTGTGCCGGCTCAGAAGCGTGAGAGACCGACCTAGCGGGAGATGCAGCGGGAACTGGGGTCGGGCTGTGCTGGCGCCTGAAGAGTTCAGGGCCACTGCAGAGAGGCTGAGGGTTCTTTTGTCTTCGTGTTCTAATGCCTATGTTTTCTCGTGTTTGTGTCGCACAGTCAAGCTTTTCCCACCTTGGGCTAACTTCCTTGTCCAGTCTTGTCCGGTCGTGCCACTCGCTATCCAAATTGCTCATTGTTAAGCATGTCTTCGTTCACAAAGTTGGGCAAGTTGAACATGCCCTCATACAACCCGTCCTGTGCTGACTCAACACTGAAGCTGGGCGAGTAACCATACCCAGTCGCGTCAAAGCTGCTGCTTCCAAAGCTTTTGCCACTATTGTTCTGATTGTGGTTGACACCAGAATGCTTATCTTTAGCTTTGTGTTCTCGAGAATTGTCATCGCCACTATTCTGTTCTCTGTTCGACTTTTCATCCTGATCTGACAGCCCATCGCCATTTGTGTTGAGCTTTAAACCTTCACCGACTTTCGTAGCCGGATAAATGAAATACCTGTTGTAGATATCATTCATGCTCATGTCCATGTTCAAATCCTTGTTCAAATCTGTATTCGTCTTTCCATATTCATTCATTCCCACCTCTTGGTTAGTATCTCCTGGATTCTTTTCAAAAAATGTCTCAAATGAAAGTAGGCTATCCAAATCAATCAACCCATTAATATCAAATTTGTAATTGAAGGAAGTGTTATAATCGTCACGATTATTACAGTTACCATAGTTGTCAAAATTATTATCGCTTCTATTGAAAACATTGGAGGGCTCTTTCCCATTTAGTCTTAATCCATTCAATTTTCCATTTTCTTGTAATGATTTTTTATTCATTTCATCACTCATTTCATTATTCATTTCATCATTCATTCCTTTATTCATTTTATTGCTTATGTTATCAGTATTCTTTTCACTTTTTTCACTTTTTTCACTTTTTTCACTTTTTTCACTTTTTTCACTTTTTTCACTTTTTTCACTTTTTTCACTTTTTTCACTTTTTCCATTTATTTCTGGTTTTTCTGGTTTTTCATTTAAAATAATACTAGACCTTAATTTCATTTTCTTCCTCTTCTCAATTATCTTATAAATTGACTCATTGGGCAAATTTATCAAAGATTTTATAGCTCCTTCAACATTAATCTTCTTCCCATTCTTATTCTCTCGCTCATATATCTTAATCGCTATCTTAATCATATACCTGATAACAATATCAACCAAATGGAACTTGATACTCTCCGGACAACAATCAAAAAACCTATTATAACAATTGATCATCAACTTAATATCCTCAAATGCTGTCATCGACGTAGGATACTGGACTACTGAACTGAAAATCGTCGTAACTGCGCTGATTGGATACATTAAACAAAAACTTGTCAAATGCTCCATTCCATCTGAGAGGTACTTTGATAATAATAATATCTTCCTAGCTGCATCTAAACATCTCAAGTAAAAGCTCGTTGAATTCATTATCATCATCTCTTCTTTTCCTTCCTCTTCCCCTTTTCCTGCTTCTCCTGCTTCTCCTTCATTAGCATCTTTATTAGCATCTTTATTATCATCTTCTACTTCCGCTTCTACTTGAACTGCTTCTTTTTCTTCACTTCCTTCCTCTTTATTTTCCCCACGTTTACCATCATTACTCTTCTCACTTCCTCTACCTTTAGTTTCCACATTCCATGGTGCTTTAAATGCTAACCGATTGATAATCATTACATGATAATAATAAAAAAAATGCATTATCAATATCTCCCCTTTAATCTCATTAAACCCAAAATCACTCAACAACTCCTCATACTCACTAAATATATTACTCAAATTATGCCCTGGTCGGATCTTCAATGGTATCGAATCCTTCCAATTATCCAACTCAGATGACAACGTCAATATATTCTCCATCATCTTTGCCATGCTCTTCCCATTCAACGACGTCGCTGCAAATAACTTGAAATATATCTTCGTCGTTATAGCCGTCAACTTCGAAAGAAAATAACTCGCACACAACGTAAATCCCTCTCGGTCTCCACTGCACAACACCTTGAGAACCTTGCTCTCATTCTTACTTATATTCGAAAACGTAGTATCCAATTTCCTAGCAATTTCAAATTTAAATAGCACATCGCTCACCGTAGTAACATCGAGATCATTAATTATCGGCGGCTTCCCCGTCCGTATACAAAATAACTTATCGAAAAAATAACATGCACACCATATAATTCGACTTTGTTGTGCTTCCTTTTCTCCTAATTTTAAATAAGTCTCCTTTCTTTGCAATCCTATATCTTGTGCTAGCCTTATTGCTATTGATAATAACATGTAATTCACCTTCGGCAAAAACGAAGATTCATTATAAATCAACAATAAAAAGATACCCTTAATCGTTTTCAATCCATGTCCAACAACTGAAATTCTTTGAAAATAATAAATCGAATTAATCAAGTGCCTTCTTTCAAGATTTTTTAATTCACTAAGACTTAATTTACATAGTTTTTTCTCCTTTTTATTAGATTTTAAACTTGATCTAATTATATCAAACATTAAAGATGCGCTTAACGTAAGAAATGCATTAATCAAAAGTAAGTCAGAATAATTTAAAGTATTATCCCTCTTCTTTTTATTATTACATTCATTAATCTCATTAATCTCATTAATCTCATTGACATCATTTATAATGCCTAGAAAATTACTATTAGATAATAAAGATAACGGATTGAGTAGTGATAAAGGTTTAATTAAAGATTCAACTGTAGATTTTTTTGGTAAGGAACTCAACATTGATATAGCTATCGGTTCAATCCATTTATTCGTTTGAATCTTAGATATCTCATTAATTTGATGATGCAAATTAAACAAAGTTTTCAGAAAATTGTCATTTGAGTTCCCAAGTTTATTATTAATCCAATTTAAGCCTTTTAAACTGAAAATCGAAAAAGATCGCTGAGGTCCAAAAGAATCAGTTGTATTAATTGCCACAGAATTTAAACGAATTTCATGGTTATTACTGCTCATTTTTTTCTTTTTATTGACATCATCATTATTAGCAGTAGTGATGGTGGTATTTTCGTTATTAAAAGAATTTAAATTATCATGGTTAGAAGATGTCAGATTAAAATCAAGATCTATCATGCTGGTATCCAAATTATCGTTTTCATTAATGGAAATCTCCTTGGTATTATTAATATCGATTCCCACTTCATTATTATTATTATTATTATTATTATTATTATTATTATTATTATTATTATTATTATAAATGCTATTATTATCATTAATGTAATTATCAATATCATTATCATTATCATTATCATTATCATTATAATTATCATTATAATTATCATTATCATTATCATTATCATTATAATTATCATTATCATTATAATTATAATTATCATTATCATTATCATTATCATTATCATTATCATTATCATTATCATTATCAGTTTCTGGAATAATATTCGAGTCAATTTTATTGATCAACAATTCAATCAACTCTTCCATTTTACCTAATCTTGATTCAAAATTTTTAATTAAATTAACTCTTTTATTGGTTTTAGGTACTTTAGTATTTCGAGAATCTTGGTTATTTTGAGCATTTATAGTATTATTGTCTATTTCATGTCCATTATTTAATTTTTTTAAAACATCAAGATCCATAGTAATGTTTAAATGACTGTTATTAATATTGTTATTATTATTCACATTGTTATTGATACTCTTAATTGAAGGTGTTCTTTTTTTTTTAACATGATTATAAGTACAAGATCTGGCATCTTTACAACTTGAACATGGTACTTCACCATCACATTTAATTTTTTTTCTTCTACAGGAATCACAAGCTCTTGCTACTCTTCGACGCTTAATAGGCCGACTATCGGTGGCGTTTGTATAAACAGTGCTATTATTGGAGGAATTAGCAGCATTGTCATGATTAACCAAGCTCATTCTGGGGATTGCACTAATCTTTTGGGGACCAGTGTTAGTTATATTGGTGTTGGTTGGTGTTGGTGAATTTGATCCGTTCATCTGGGGTTAGATTGAACTTGTTAGCGGTCTCGTGGAATGTGTCCAACGGAATTTCAAGCAAACCGAAAGAATGATATAGTAACAAAAATGGCTAGCAGTAGCAAAGATAGCTAGCAGCAGTAGTGACAGTGAGCAGTAGTAGTGGAGCTCAGCCAGTTGATTTGCTTCTGTTCCAGAAGATCCAGGCAACGAAAAACCACTGGATTAAAAACTGCCGAAAACAAAATGAAATTATTTCCGACGGCATGCTGGATGTTACAATATATATGTATAACAGTGCAAGCACCAACATTACGGGTCTATACTTTTTCACAGAGCCCTAATTTTTTTTGATTGTTGAGTCATCGGTTAAGAGCCCTATATGCAATCCACTGCTATTACCAGCGATACGGCGTTGTTTATGAGCCCTTGTGTCAGATAGACCCGCATTGGTGGCTTTTGAGCGAGCCAATCAGCAAACTGTGTTGTGTTTACATTTTCTGTGAATTTGAATTTCAAACTTGCCGTTAAAAATTTTTGCATTAGATTTCTTTTTGTTAAAGCATTTTTTGTTCCTCATTCTTTAAAAGAACAGATCAAGTTATCTAAACTAATTATCAAGAATTTAACTTGGAACAACACACATTTTTGGTTGATTTTGATTCAAATTGAATCAATTGTTGATTTTAGTGGATATCTGGATAAAACTATATAAATATCATTTGTTTGTTTTTGTTTTTGTTTTTGTTTTTGTTTTTGTTTTATTATTTATTTATTTATTTATTTATGAATAGATCACACAACATGGCATTAACTGAAGTTACTATATCAGCAATTTTGACCTTTGTTTTGACTCGATTATACGATAGCAATTCCAATCAAAGGAGCACTAAATTGATTAGTGATAATTTGAAAAAGGAGTTGAGTAGGGATCTTGAGGTTAATAATAATAAATTCAGTGAGGAATTGGATGCTAAGCAAAAGATTATTCTTGAGAAGAATTCCAAAATTATTAAATTGAGCACTGATTTAAAGACTTTGGAAGAGAATTTGAATAATTTGATCAAGGAGAACAATGAGTATAGATTGAATTTAAAAGAGATTGAAGATAAAAATAAGAATAATGAGAGGAAGATTGTTGAAAACGAGAATAAGAATTCCGAGTCATTAAAGAGTTTACACGAGGAATTGAATTTGAAGATTAGCGAAATTGAGAAATTGAACAAGATAATCAGTGAATTGAATTTGAATTTGGGTGATAAAGAAAAGAGTATTTCGTTGATTAATAAAGAGTTGGGGTTGATTAAGGTTGAAGATGAAAAGAAATTAAAAGAGTTGAATACAATTAAAGAAGAAATTAAAAACAATGAACGATTCAGTGCTGAGAAATTTGGCAAATTGAACAGTGAGTTGTCAAGTAAAGTGAAGGAGATCAATGAGTTGAATAGTTCATTGAAGGAATTAAAGAATGAGAGTAGCTCGATAGAGAAAAAGTTGAAGGAAAAGAGTCAATTGGGAGAGGAAAGGCAATTGAAGATTGATGAATTGAATGAAAAGTTGAGCCAGGTTTCCAAGGAGAAGAGTGAGATTGCAGAGAAATTGGGGGAGAAGAGTAAAGCCAATGAAGAGTTGGTTGGTAAATTAGAGGCTGTTCAAAAAGAAAATGCAAGTGAAAGAGAAGTTCAATTGAGGAAACAAGAAGAAGAGCAAAAACAAAAGGGAGCTCAAATTGAGGAGTTGAACTTGAAGATAAAGGAGTACAATGAGATAAAATTGAAATTGGAAGAAGAGTTGAAGAAGATTAAGGAAGATAAGAAGCGAGATGAGATTTTGATTGAGAAACAACAAGGAGAGATTGAGGAGAGTAAGAAGAGACTTGAGTTGGAATTGAAGAAATCTATTGGTGAATTAGACAAGATCCAGAAGGAGTTGAAGGAATCTAACGAGGAGAAAAGCGTTTTGAAGGAAAATATAAGTAAATTGAAGAAAGAGCTTGAAGATGAAAAATTGAAGGTTGAAGATAAAGACAAATGGAATAAAGAAAGCAGTTTAAAGGTTGAAGAGTTGGAGAAGAAGATTGGGGAATTTAGGGAAAAAACACAAGAAGCTGAGAAACAAATTAAGGAAGTTGGTGCTAAACTCGAGGCATCTGAATTAAAGACCAAAGATGCAGTTGGCAGAGCAGTTGTGTCGGAAAAGAAGGCATTGGAAGCTGAGAAGGCGGTTGAGAGTTATAAAGAACAAGTTAAGGAAGCACAAGAGTTGGCAGCAGCAGCGGAGTTAAAAGTGAAACAGGCAGAGGCTAAAGTTGAAGAAGCTCAGAGTTCTGAAAGTAAAGCTAAAGAAGCCGAGTTGAAGGCGGAGAATACGGTTAAAGAGATTGAAACCCAAAACAAGGAAATTGGATTAAAAGCCGAGACACAAATTAAAGAAGCAGAGGGCAAGGTTAAGGAAATAGAAGGCAAGATCAAAGAAATTGAAAAAACAAGCGAGAAGAAAGTTAAGGAAGCGGAATCCAAGGCCAAAGAAGCGGAATCTAAAGCTGCAAATGAAGTCCAAGTAGCTGAAGATAAAGTAAAAGAGGCCGAGTTGAAAACAGAGGCACAAGCCAAAGAAACGGCATCTAAACTCAAGGAGGCCGAATTGAAAGTTAAAGAAGCTGAAGATAAACTCAAAGAAGCCGAAAGAAAAGCAGAAACAGAAGTTAAAGACGCAGCGGCCAAAGTCAGCAAAGCCGAAGCACAGGTGCAAGAAGCAGAGGCCAAAGCCAAAGAAACCGAAGGCAAAGCTCAAACGGAAAGCAAGGCTGCAGAAGCTAGAGTAGCAGAAGCAGCAGCCAAAGCCAAAGAAGCGGATAGCAAAGCCCGAGAAACGGCCGCTAAAGCTGAAACTGAGGTTAAAGAAGCACAGGCCAAAGTGGCAGAAGCAGAAACCAAGGTAAAAGCGGCAGAGGCCAAGGCCCAAGCAGCGGAAACCAAGGCCAAGGAAGCTGAAGCCAAAGCCAAAGCGGCGGAAGAGCGCGCCGACGCTGCTGCCACCGGTGCGCCTGTGGACCCAGCACCAGCCGCCGTTGCCGCCAACTAGCGCCAGGTCTAGGCCTGGGCTTGGGACGCGTCGCAGCGACACGACATTTTTTGTAATTACTATTCGTCAACCGCTCCTGCCTGTGCCGGCACCGTTTAAGGATTTGTTTAAGGATTTGTTCCAGGATTTGTTCCAGGATTGTTCACGCACCCTTGCATCTGCAGTCGCACCTCTGGCAGGGCCGTTGAGCGCGGTTTGGCAGCGTGTCAAGCAATTCAGATCTCAAACCGCTCGGGCAGCAGAGCGCCGGCCGGCTGGGTCTGAAGTGCGCTGAGTGTGAGGTGTGCTGCGTCTCGAAACGCACTTCTGCACGCAGCACGCTCTGTGCGTCTCCTCCTCTCTGGCATATCTCGCCATATCTCGCTGTATCCCAGCCCTCCACCCTCTTTGCAGCTCCCACACATTCACCTTGAGTACCTCGCCAGAAAATTTGACTCCCTGTTGCTTTTTTTCTCTTCTCGCTTCTGCATTTCTCCCATCTTAATCTTATTTTTCCATTCTATCTATATTCTGTTCTCTATTTCATTCCCACCTTCTTGATTAATCCATCTTTCTTTCTCTTGTTCAACTATTGCCATGTCACAACTCACTTCGTCTTCCTCCCACCCATCTCCCCGGGAAACCTCCCTCCAAAATGACCCTTTGCTCGAAATTGGCTCAAAGGTAATCATCGCCAACAACAAAATTGGCATCCTCAGATACATTGGTCAAGTTGCCAACAAACCAGGCATTTTTGCTGGTGTAGAACTACTCAATTCTTTGGGCAAAAACAATGGTGATTTCCAAAATGTTTCCTACTTTACTGTCTCAAAACCAAACACTGGTTTGTTTCTTTCTTATGAAAAATTAGTAGCTATCAACCACGCTTCAAATCCCACTTCATCACAATTAAATCGGCATGCTTCCTTGACCAGCGCTTCGACTAATACCAATACTAACCATAATTCCATCGCAAACTTATCAAGAGCACAATCTTCTTTAGCGCCAACAAGCGCTTCCACTTTAAGATCCTCAATCAAATCTTCAACCCATAACTCCATCCCAAATTCAATCTCAAAAAACCCCATTCTCTTCTCTCCTAAAAAGAAACCCTCCTTCTCTTCCACAAATCCAATTCCAAACACAATTCCAATTCCAATTCCAATTCCAATTCCAACTAATGACTCCCTCAAAAAACTAAGAGCCCAAACAAACTCCGAAAATTCCTCAAGAATAAAATCAATCTCAAACTTGCAATCCTCTCCAAAGAGATCCTTATCCTTATCACACCAAATCAATAAAAACAACACCCAGTCCACTTCCAATAGCAACAATATCCAATTCAAAAACTCTTTTTCAAATTTAAACCACTTTCAAAGAAACTCTTCCTCCTTAAAATACCAACCTCAGAAATCTCTCCTCTCCCACTCCTCCTCCTCTTCAAATGATACCGACATTGAAAACCAAATCAGAATCCTAACTTCCCAAAAACTAACTCTCGAACACGAAAAATTATCTCTATCCTCCCAATTATCAAACTATAAAATCCAACTAGACCTGAAAATAGATCAACTAAACGATCTCCAACTGCAACTACTAGAAATAAAACCAAAATTAGATACCGCAGAAATCGAAATAGCTCAAAGAGAGATCAAATTACAAAAGACAAAACAACAAGCTGAATTACAAAGAAATGAATTAAGAGATGCAATTGCGGCTCTAGAAGACCAAGCTTCAGAAAACGCCGAAATGTACAACAATGAACTAATCAGATTGAAAAATGAAATTGATCAAAATCACCAAACTATTAACCTACTAGAACAAAATGTCTACGATTTAAGAAAAAAATTAGACTTTCTACAATCGAATAATCAATCAAATAATCAATCAAATAATCAATCAAATAACCAGTCAAATAACCAGTCAAATAATACAAAAAAAGCTTCAAAATCAACAAGCACATCTGACTTCTCATCCTTTTCTCCAAATTTCGATCGCAATCTCTTAATCGAAGAACTCAAAAATAAAGAAAATCTAATCAACGATTTGCAAATTCTCATTAAACAAAAAGAAGAAATCATAAAATCTTTCAACTCAGACTCTTCCTCAATCACCCCATCCCCTTCCCTAGACTCTATGATTAACCAAATACACACCCTAAGCATTGCCAACATGGACTCAAGCCTTAACCCAACTGAATCATTAGCTTCCTCAATCCTTGAATCCGCCATTGCATCTGGCTCTCTAACTCAATCCACAAACAATTTTCAAAATAACCTTCAAAACGATCTTCAAAACGATTATCAAAACGATTATCAAAACAATCTTCAAAACAATCTTCAAAACAGTCTTCAAAAGGATAGAATCATTGAACAAATGAAAAAGGATTTCGAAACTATTAGAAACAAAACCTCCCAATTATCCCACGAGATTATTCAAAAAGATCAAATAATCCAAAATCTTTCTGACAAAATAACTGACTTACAAAACGCAAAAGACTTAAATGATTCAATCAAAAAAAAGGAATTTGAAATTAAAAATTTGAAAAAAATAGATGAACAATCCTTAAAACATCAAAACAATCAACTAACTAAAATTAATAATGAATATAAACAAATGCTCGATTCAAAAAATAAAGAAATTAATAACCTAAAACTCCTCCTAAATGATCTAGAATTAAAAAAGAAAAAACAGAACGATGCGAGTAATCTCTATCCTCAACAAAGTCAAGAAATTATTCAAGAAAAAAAAATCGCTCTCCCAAACTCAATCACCAATTCAATCCCCAACTCAAACAAACTATCTGCCACAAATAACCTCTCTGCTGCAACTGAAGAACAAATCAGTTCAGACTCGTGGAATTCTTCTCAAACTGACTTCAAATCTGCATTATCCACAGGTTTCTCTCAAACAACTGGAAACTCTGAAAGTTCTCAAACTTCCGGAATCTCTGAAGCTTCTGAAGCCTCTGAAGCCTCTGGCACCTCTGGAACTTCTAGAACCTCTAAAGTTTTCACAATTTCAAACGAACAAAAATCAAATTTAGAAGATAATACCCCCGATTTTCAAAAACTATTAGATGAAAAAAATAATGAACTACTAAATCTACAAGAAAAGTTAAAAATTATTAATAATTTAAAACTGGAAATTGAAACTCTAAAATCTGAAAATCAATCCCTTAGCAATAAAAATAAAGAAATAAACCTATTAAGAAAAGAATTACATCAATTGCAAAATGAAAGATCTTTGGCAGAATCAAAGGAAATTTCTTCTGAATCTCCTGCATTAAGAAGAAGATCAAATTCAAACCCTTCTCTAATTTCCTCCATATATTCTATTCGTCCTCCACTGACTCCATTACCAATTTTACCAGAAATTGCTGTTGGTTCTAATAAAATTTCAAAATTAGAGAAAAAATTGTCCTCAAAGGAAAAAGAAATAACAAAATTAATGAATGAAAACACTGTTTTACGTCAAAAAGATAACGAAATTAATGAATTGAAGCAGCAAATTGCTATGATCGAAAATCTTAACAAGCGTATCGAAAATCTTAAATCTGACAAAGACATCCTAACTAAACAACAGCGTGAGGTGCTCACCGAATTTGACGATCTTCGTTATCGGCATGTCGAGGTTGAAGGGTTACTTGTCAAAAAAGATAAAGAGATTGCTTCATTAAAGGATGAAGTTAATAAGTTAAGTAATATTAATTTAAATAATGATAAAATAAACAAAAAAAATGAAAAGTCCATTGAGAGCTTAAAGATTGAAAATAGAAAAATTGAAAATCAATTAAACATTATCAAAAAGCAAAATGCAGATTTGTTGCAAAAATTAGACACCTCTTCAAAAAAAATTGAAAAAATAAAATTTCTTAATAAAGAATTACAAGACTCTAAAGAAGAAAATCTTTTGGAAATAGAATTGCTCAAAGAAGAAATCATTGATTTGAAAAATAATCAATTCGAAGGTCAAAATGAAATTTCAAATGAATCACCTTCTCCCTCTCCAGTTAAGCATAGAGATGTATTTACTCCAACTGAAGATATTCATCATGAACTAAAACCTTTGCTGCCAGTTCTTCTCGCTAAAAAAAATAAAAATTCAAATGACTTGAAAATAAACCCTTCAAAAGCTTCAGTATCTCCTCTATCTGAGACAGAAAAAATGAAAGGAGAGATTGAGGTCTTGAAAGATGAGTTATTAACAAGACCAACGATTGAAGAGTTTGAGGAAATACAAAATGAACTTGATTTAGTTGAGCAATTACGCAAGGAAGAAATGTGTCAAAAAGATAGAGAAATAGAAGTTTTAAAAAGTAGATTACATGCCATGGAAAATAGACGTTCAAGAAATTCTAATCCAAATAGTCCCAAATCTCCTTCTTTTAACCGTAGATCTTTTTCAAATTCTTATACTCCACAAAGAGCTGACATTAGGTGCATTCCTCAATCGCCTCTATCACCTGCGGCAGTTATCATAGCCAGCCCTTTACCATCAAACACTCGAAGTATAAATGAATTCACCACACCAGTTTCTAAACCCACTGTTGAAGAACCCGAAATTGATTTATCCAAACAAAGCAATTTAAATCCATTGAAAAATTTAAATGAAAACGGATTGCTAGATGAAGAAAAAACATCTTTTCCTGAGATAGTAGGCGGATTATTGCCAATTTATGTTCCAAAAACACCAAGTGACCCATCAGCAGGAAGAAAAAAATGGTGCGGATTTTGTGAAAAAGATGGACATGATAGTTTCGAATGTCCATATGAAAATGAACTATTTTAAAGGTCTATAATTATAACCCAAAATAAGTTTTTTCTTAATTTTTTTTTCAAACAAATTTTGATATTATTATTTTATTTTTATTTTTTTTCTTGTATTAATTTTTTACTAACATTTTTAACTTTCAATATGTTTACATTATTTGTCGTTGTTTTTTTTTAAAAAATCTTTTAGGTTTTTCATTTGCTTTTTTTGTTTCTCTTCAATCTCTAACCAATTTTTTTCTTTTTTTTTGTCTTTGTCATTTATTATGTTATGGAAAAAAAAATTGGTAAAGATTCTTTGTTATTCAAAGCATGTTCTAATATTTTTATAATTTTCAATTCAAAATACTACCAGATTTCATTCATTTTTAACTTTAATTTCTAATTTTTAATTTTAATTTTAATTTTATTTCATTTTATTTCATTTTAATTTATATATAAATTATTATTAATACCATAGAAATAAATAAATCATTAATTTCCTTCTTGACCAAAATCTTTTGTAAACTGCTCCTGTTTGTGTAAATCAGCTGAATTAACAGTTGGTCTTGTCTTTTTTATAGCTTTTAAGAAGTCTTTAATTGTTAGAGGAGGTTCTAATAATTCATCACTTTCAATATCCATCCAGCTTTTCTCTATTGAATTTTTCTCGCCAGGGGAACAAGGAGTTAGTTTTTCAACTCCATCAACAGTTAAAGATTTAAAATGAGTTGAAGTTTGAATTTTTCTTATTGGTTCCATTAATGCATCTCTAACAGCAACTGCTATATCGGATCCTGAGTAACCGTCAGTTATTTTCCCTAACAATTTATAATCATTTTTAGTTAATTCACAGGGAGTATTACCGACGTTTAATTCAAACATTCTAACTCTTGCTTGCAAATCTGGTAAGGCAATGTATATTCTTCTTTCAAATCTTCTTCTTATAGCGGCGTCTAATTGCCAGGGTATATTAGTTGCTCCTAGAACCAAAACACCAGTTGAATCATTACCAACCCCATTCATTTGAACCAATAATTCGGTTTTAATTCTTCTTGAGGCTTCAGATTCGCCTTCGCCTCTGGGTCCACAAAGAGCATCCACTTCATCAATAAAGATAATTGAGGGAGCATGTTCTCTGGCCATTTTAAATAGATTACGAACTAATTTTTCAGATTCACCCATCCATTTTGAGACTAAATCAGATGAAGACACCGAAAAAAAGGTGGAATTAGCTTCAGTTGCGACAGCTTTGGCCAAAAAGGACTTACCAGTACCTGGGGGACCATATAGTAATATACCAGAAGTCGGTTTTCTCTTTCCAGTAAATAACTGAGGAAATTTGACAGGCAAGATAACAGCTTCTTTCAAAGCTTCTTTAGCTTGCTCCAAACCTGCGACATCATCCCATTTCACGTTTGGTTTTTCGCTTAAAATTGAGGATTGTAGAGATTTTTTTAGTTTTTTATTTTCATCATCATCGTCATCATTATTGTTATTACTATTATCACCGTCTCTTTTAATTGTTGAACCATTTGCTGAATCTGTATTTATTTGGTTTTCTTTATTTTTATTGTTTTTGTCAAGATAAGCCTTTAATTTCTCTGCCCTTGTCAAATATTCAGTGATTTTCTGTTTAATGGTTTCCCTTGACTTTAAATTTTTCTCATATTTCATGGCCAACATGAGATAATCCAATCCATTATAATAGGCTTGATAAGCGTCAGCATAGTTATTTGATTCATCAAGCGATATGGCCTTTTCAATAAATTGGATTCCTTTCTCCAAGAATTCACCTGTAGACATTTTTGAGTAAGAATAAATCTAGAATGAACAGAAAAGAATTAGTGATTAGCTATCAGGTATAAGTAAGAGAACTAAAAACTTTAAGATGAAGAAGTAAGGACCCTATTTTTGAAAATGTTGATTGTTTTCGCCTTTTGTTTTGGGTTCTAAAAGTAACTTATAGAAATCGCTGTTTGTTGAAAACCAGCACCATCCGAATGGTCTCACGTCATCCCTGTGCTTGTGGAATCAGCAAGTAATGTTCCCGTGATACATTGGCTTTGTGCGGATCGCTTATTCCATCCGTACGTTATTTATACGTATCTCGGATACGGATAACTCTTACTATAAATAGTCCGACACATGTCGGTTCGCTTAAACGAAAAGACGATAAGATATATCCTCTGTCTTTTTCTTCGACCATCGGGCTCGAATCACTTTTGGGCTTTCTTTGTCATCAATTACTAATGGTGCAATAAAAAGACTATTTGTCCGGTTTTCAAAGCTGGATTGAGCTTTCCTTTAAATGTTTACTTGCCAGTAGCTATAAAAAAATTGCTGGGGATTCAACTGTAATAATTGACTTGAGAAATGACAAAAAAAATAAAGTAAAAGTTGGATTGGATAAAAGACTTGAAGAAAAATTAAGCTTACCGAAATTAAGTTTTACATTCGGATTTATATGAAAAAAATATAACCAAACTAAAGTTACTAAAAAAAACTAGAATTAACTTAAGATGTCTAAATTTGATTGAAATATTTTTACAAGATATCAATATATATGAATCACATAACAATTTCGATAACAATACTCAAAAATTGAACTTTCTATTTGGAAACCAGAGAATAAGCTCAAATATTTATTTGATTTCAAATATCATTTCATTGAATCATAAAGATTTGCCGGATAACTTTATACACAGCTATTTAAACTTGAAATATCCAAAATTGATACAGTTAGCCGAAAGTTTTGATAAATTTCACATATCATATAAATTTAAATTACCGATATTATTATAGATGAACAAAAGTAATTCATCGCAATAAATAGCATACTAATATAGTGGTTCATTTACACAACTTTTGCATCTCCACATTGAAAAAAAAATATTTTTTGATTAAAAAAATTTGTAATAGTTAATAAAAAACCCAAAAAATTTAAAAACTGAAAAAACAATATAGAGAAATTAAACCGAAAGTTGATAAAAAAAATGAAAAGAGTCAAGAAATTACCAATTGACATTTAGAATGAATAGTTTACCACCTAAATACTTTGAACAATTACCATATTGATGATATTATTCTTGATAAAGAGCTTTTTCTTTACACGCTTGTAAAGCTTCTATATCCTTTTCGGTGCAATCATATGGTGAAGAAATATCTGTTGAAGATGAAAAACCATAATCAATAAAATAAAATTTATTATTAAAAATAAAAATGTTTGAATTTTTTATATCATTACGATATATTTGCAATTGATGTAGCAAAGAAAGCTGTTGAAAGCCCTTTTTTGAAATCTGATTCTGTAGCAAGTTTGCTATCACCTAAATACTGCATTGCTATATATAACCCACAGAATTCATAAAGGTAATTGGAATTAATCATCAAGCAACCAGTTTGATATATTGTTGGAATATTAATGATTTGGGAACTTTCACATTTCATATTGTGGTTTTTGATAACTTCATAAATATGTGTTTCCTTTTTGAATGAGCTATAACAAAGTTTAATTCTCTCTCCATATGTTAATTTTTCGTATTCATGTTTGGATTTTGCATCAAATGGGTCAAATATCTTTATTATAATCTGTTCACTTTCTAGGGGGACAGTAGAGCTAAATGCAGCTAAAAATGATTTTTGGTTCACTGAGAGGACTTGTGTATTGTATCGTTTCCAACCTGGATGCTGTCAAACTCTAGGTTGACCATTTTGATTTTGGATTCATCAAAAACTTGACTAAATTCTTTATAGTATGTCAAGCGAAAATTATTAAAATAACTTTTCCTTTTTTCACCCCAGCTTTCCATTATGACTATCATTTTTAGAAATTTTGTTATAGAAATCACTGATAATTTGTTTTTTTAACTGAAGATTTGAATCCCAAAGGTCTTCAAAAATAAAAGCCAATATCATCGCTTTTAGTGTTAATTGACTATTTTTAAAATCGACTATTTTTAAAATCGATGATTTCATAAGTGATTGGGATTGCTCGAGAATCAGTAAATTCAACACTGATTGTGTTAAGTTTTTCAATATCTATCCGAATCAACACCATAGTAAAATAATTTGTTAAGATTCCTTTATAACATTTACCAGCAAGCATAGACGTTGTTAGTTTTTGAAATATGAGATTCTCTTTAGATGTTTTGTTGTTTCCATATTTGACTCGTTTAACATCTTGATGGAGTTTAATAGTTGATTTATTAAACAGTCAGTAACCAGTGGTAAAATGTTAAATTTTTTAATTTCAATAGTTAGTAGGTTATTTTTTTGGTAGATAGATAAGTCCGGGGTAACCAAAAGAAAAACAATTTTGTTTTGGATTTTTTTTTAAACATGAATTGGCTGTTGTGATTCTATTGTTATTTCTAAATGACATAATTCCCTGAGAATTATACATATTGGATTGAAAACATATTCAAGCAAAGCCATTTGATAATGTATTGTTGTGGCTTTGCTTACATCCAACATTTTATAGTTTGATCGAGAGAAGCAGTTACCAACATTAAGCAACAATTCTAATTGTAGTTTTGGTTCTTTATTGCCTGTATATTATTTTGTAAACTCAAATAACAAGTTTTCGAAATAGGTATCGTTTATTCCAGAAGACAATGCTGATGAGATTAGGTTTGGTAAAGTTTTCATTAATCTGTTGCTTCCACTTGTACTTTTTGAAATTGCAGTTGAAATTGATTAGCAATCAATATTTCGCTCATTAAATTTGATTACTAGATTTAATGAAGGGAATAATAAAAACATATTGATTATAGATTCAGAGTGTATATTGTCAATAAAATACTGAAAAATGTCATTATATTTTATATCTTCTTTTCTTTTATTTAGAAAAGATTTGTATTTTTGACAATAGAATGGTTGTGCAATTTCCGGTTGTGTTTGTAAAGGTTGTTGGTTAAAAGGTTGATGTTGATGGTTACTCATATTAACAAAATATGCAGTATTTTGAACGTAGCTAGAATTTGATGTTGTAAAGTGATATTAATAATATGGAATTAACATATCAGCAATTAGAAATGGAATAGAAAAGACAATAGCAATAAAACGATTAGCGCAAACTACACAATTAATATATTTATGCATAGTGCAGTGATTTGTTTGGTTTTAATATTTGTTTTATATTTTGTTTTTGCTTGTACAAAAAGATAATTCTTTGGATTCATAAATTCATTAACCGTTTGGAATAGCAAACTATCTAACATTAAACTCGCTGTTTAATAAAGGCAAATACATAAATGCATTAGCCGGTTTATATGAATTTGTTTGAATGGGAACTTCATGTCAATTTCATACGTTTGTTAATTTAGATTTATTTTTGCTAAAAAAGGTGAAATGATATTAGTCTAAATCATTTAAAATGTATTTTCTGGTGTTTAGTTCGCTGGTAAAAAATTCAACAATAACAATAACAACCACAGTTATATGAATTTCATTTAATTCTAAATAAGACAAATTCTTTGGGGCTAAAGTAGCTGGAATTACAGATTGTACCAAAACAAACATATTTCGTGAATTGGAAAATAATTAATTGTAAAACTGTTTGAGCCAATTCATATTGATATTTTTGGTTTGGATTTACTTATTTTGAAAGCAATTTAGAGTTTACAATTTTTATTTCAAATAAAAATAAGGTAGAAAAATTATTGTGAAATGGGAAACATCGGGTAATTCCTTTTTGGGCGGACGATCATATTATGAAATAATCAGCGTTTACCTACTCATCAAACTTGATTGAAGTGTTTTGGAATTTGTTCCTTGTCATTTTGGTTAAAAGTTCATTAATTTTATTTCAAGTTCAATGTTTTAGCTAACTACTTCATATAGTTTCATTTTATATATTTACGTTTGATATTAAACTGATTATTGATAGTTGTATAAGTGTGTGTTATTTTCCTTTATTAGGAGTGCTAGGGCAATAAAAAGACCACTTTTCTGTCTCACGGAAACAGTGCGGTTTCTACAAGCGGGAAGAACAAGTAACAATTTGTAATTTCAAATTGAAGTTAGTTTTATTCCACTCGAGTCGCTGAAAAATTTATTCATTACAATGCCATTGAGTGCAATTTCAACGGACAGGCACCCGTAAAATAGGTTATCCAGCAATAAATTTCTAAAAACAGGATTTTCATATCCGCACCGTTTCCGTGAGACGGAAAATTAGTTTTTTTATTGTACCACTAGTACCATCTGCCGGGATTGCTGGAATAGTTGCTGTAGCTCACATGCTTATGCAGTGCAGCCAAATCCATGACTGTGGTGATTAGCGCCTCATAAACGCCACCCTTGACTCGAAATTCAGCGCCACTCACCAACCACAACCATCCACAACCATCCACAGTGGTGCAATTGTTTTTAGTATAAATGTTAAATAAGACATGACTGCCTAAACTGCTTAATTGGCTTTGGCTTTTTAGGTTGATGTTTGACAATTGATTAATTAATATGGGTCTTTTTTGTTTAATATCCTAACAATGTGAGAGATTGCGATCGGTATATAATGGATTCAAAATCCCATAGAAGAAGTTCGAAATTTTTGTTTTAATGTTTTAGATTGCTATTATATCGATATTCTTATAGTTTAGTATTTAATTTATTGAATAAAAATGAGTGTCTCAATATTGAGTGGAATATCTTACTTCCGGATATCTTTTTTAACATTTCAAGCAGTGATTCAGGTTGTGTTGGTTTGTTTTTCGGGTTATGTTGCTGCTAAATACGATTTACTTGATTCTAAAACAATGACAAAAATATCTAAATTGAATGTTTTTATTTTCACACCTGCATTGATTTTTATCAAGTTGGCATCCGATTTATCATTAAAAAAAATCATTGAGTTGATTATTGTTCCAATTTTTTTTGTAGCATTTTTACTTGTGTCGTTGATTTCATCAAAGATAGTGTCGAGGTTTCTTAACTTTAATGAGCCAGAAACAAATTACATTACTGCATTAACTGTTTTTGGGAATTCGTTCTCATTGCCAGTGTCAATTATAATGTCGTTGGCGTATACTTTGCCAAATTTAAAATGGGACAGAATAACAAATGATAACTCTGATCAAATTGCTTCAAGGGGAATACTTTATCTCTTGATTTTTCACCAATTAGGTCAATGTTTAAGATGGTCATGGGGTTATAACACATTAATGAAAAAGAGATCATTTAATGAATTGTATCATATTAATGATAGTAATTCCTCGTCAAACGAGGAATTCATTCATCAGCACCTGGTAAATCAATTCGATAGTGAGTCCATTAAATCGAACAATTCGAGGAATACTAATAATCATAGTCATCGGGCATTAACTGAATCTGACCCGTTATTAATAACTCATACTAGCCACAACAGTGCTGATAATTATGGTATTAACAACAACAACAATAACAATACTTGGATTACAAAATTGAAAACAGTTGCTATCAGTGTAATCAATTACTTGAATCCGCCATTGGTGGCAATGATCTTTGCACTTGTTGTCTCATTAACTTCATTTTTGAAATATCAGTTCTATGAGAAAAATGGGTTCTTCCAAAACACAGTCTCCTCGGCGATTGCACAGCTAGGATCAGTCTCAATTCCATTGGTCTTGCTAGTGTTGGGAGGAACATTGTATCCATCAAACGAGATACCACCAGCAACGCCATACTACAGGAGAATCATCATTGGGGCAATTATCAGTCGAATGGTCTTGCCTGCGTTTATCCTCTTGCCCTCGATATCAATCCTCATCAAATACTTTACGTTTTTGTCGCCCAATTTGTCGGATCCAATTTTCTTGATTGTGGCCTTTATGCTCACTGTTGCTCCTCCAGCGTTGCAAATCTCGCAAATATGCCAGATTAATGAGATCTACCAGAAGGAAATGGCAGGAGTGTTGTTCTGGGCCTACGTGGTATTCACCTTGCCAGTTGTTGTGTTGATAGTTCTTGTTTCGCTCAGGGTCTTGTCGTGGGCCAACAATTGATGGTTTAATTGATGTTTCAATTAATGTTTCAGCCTTTGTTCCACTTTTCGGCGGTTTCGTAGCTTATATACTAAATCAACAATATTACCCTCCTGGATGAAGATATCCTTTTTTTACCGTTTATTGCCGAGATAAGCAGCTGAAGCAGAACCAAAACAAGCTCCACAAAAAACGACAGCAAGAAAGAGCCCTTATGGCCTATGGAAATTATGATGAGTATCAGAAAGAACTGCAAAGAAGTGCTCTTCAGCTGTGTTGAACCAGTGCTCTTCTTCCTACGGTGGCGATGGGTTTCTGCATTCGGCTTCTGTAAGTATGAAATTCGAAATCAACACGTGTTTCGGGCTTTTTGATACGTGATCGAGTTCAAGTTCACGTCCGGTATTCCATCATCTTTTTACTTTTGATTCTACAAACTAAAATTAAAATAATGCTTGGTTTAAATTTGATTATCATTTGAAATTAACTAGACACAAAGCTGCAAAAACAATTCAGATTATTGAGGTTTTTTTCTACCGGTACTAGAACAGCAATGGGTGGTGCTCGAACACTCGGATTTGGATACAAAAAATCGCATTGGTTCGTCCGGTTCAATTCTTTTTCGAGTTGAGTCCGTCGTGAAACAATCACTAGTTTCTGTATGTGACATCTCTTCTCTTCCCTCTTCTTTTCCTTCTCTTTCTTCTCTTTCTTCTCTTTCTTCTCTTTCTTCTCTTTCTTTCTGTCTCTTATTGCTGCTATCTGCTACTTGTGCTACTGAGCTGTTTTCTGTCTTTGTTCCACTAATTGTTCAATTATCTTGAATACTGACAATACAAGATGGAAGCTGAATTGAGTTTGGTTGATAGAGTTGAGTTGAGAATAGCTTTGGCCAACGATTTCCAGTCTTGTGTGAACACCTACTTATGTCCTGTTTTATTGAAACTATCCTCTCAATATTCTCCTGTTCGTTCTAAAATATTGAAGATTGTTCAACAATTGATCAAAAGATTCAATGCTGATCCTAACATAAAACTACCCGTCAAGAAATTGATTCAACAAGCAATCTCCCAATCAAATAATCAAGTCCAATTATACTCTTTATTATTCGCATCTAAGGGAATTGAAAGGGAAAATGATAAACCAACCATCATTTCCTATTGGAAATTAATCCTATCAAATACTCTCAATAATTTTAGTTCTTCAGTCTCTCCAAGATTATTATCCATTTTTTTCAAATTATTAACAAAATTAAATCTTTCAGATTATGATAATTTTCATAAAGACTATTCATCAATTTATAAAAATCCCACTTACTTCACCAATGAATTTCTTGGTTTTAACAGTAACCCTCAAAATACAGATTTTTTATTCAATTGGTTCTACAAACTTTTCATTTTATACCCATTGTCAAAATCAAATTCAAAAGAGATCCCACAAAACTATTTTTCTCCGGGCTTGACCAATGAAGAGGTTTCCTTTTTGACTTTCAAATCTGGTTTATCTTACAACTCTAATCAGCTATTCGTTTTAAAGAAAACTCTAATCAAATTCACAAATTTACTAGATTTAAAAAACATTTTATTCCAAAAAAATCCCTTTTTTGTTCTCTTTTCTTTGATCTCATTATCTGACGAATCAATAGTATTCAATGATATCATTTATAGAAAATTAGATCTTAGTAATGAAATTTGTAACAATCAAATCTTAATCTCAGAAATCCTAAATCTCTATTTAGGTATCGACAATAGACCTCCAATCAATGATGAGTACAAATTAGTCTTTATAGACAAAGTCCTAACAAAGAGTACCTATTTCCTAACTAGAAATTTCACCACTTTAAAACTATTATGTTTAAATGGTTTGCAATCAAATAATAATCAATTAAAGAAAAAATCTCTATCTTTAATTCATTACATTATTAATAATATAAACTATGCTAGAAAATCACAAAATGAAATCATTCAAATTTCTCCTACCAATCATCATAATAATAATAATAATAAAGGAGAAGAAGGAGAAGAAGAAGATGTGGGAATGATTGATATAAATAACACTCAACTTGATGAAGAATCAAAACAAAAATTCGAGTTCTATAAAGGTCTAGCTATCAAAATCAAAGAACAAATTTACACAGAATCAATTATCAACAAAAAGGATCTAATATCTCTTCTCACCGAGGTTTATTTAAATGAACCAACTTTGCTATCTTACAATTATTTTGTAAACCTAAAACTATTTTTTGATCTTTTAGAACATAACACAACTCCCAATCTAAGATCTTTTATATCAAATTGTTTATCAAAATTTGTTTCAAAAATTTCCTGTTTTAAATTAGACGCTTCACAATATGACCAACTAAAATACATTTTTGAAAAATACGTTCTACAAGATTTTAAAGAATCAAATAAAGAAGCAATATTTGCTTGCAAATATCTTTCAGTTAAATTTATCAACTCAATTTTTGACTACCATGATCATTGGGCAAGACTAATGAATATCATAGCCACTTCATCAATCAATAAATTCGATATTATTGAAGAATCTATCAAAGGTTTAAATCCACTCTCAAATATTTCTTCAAAACCTTCTTTTTTAAATTCAAACCAGGCTATTGCAATCAATACCTCGAACTTCAAATTTCCTTCTTTTGTTTCCTTGCTTGATTTGTTTATTGAAAAAATACCTGATATTAATTCTTCTCTATTACACAATTGTCTTTATACTTGCTACACTTATTTGCTAAAATTCCTAATCATGAATGCTGTACAAGGTAAAGACACATGCATCGTAATTAACTTGGAATGGGAAAATAATGTCGATAAAGCATTTGATTTAGATGCAAATGTAAGACAATTGGTTAAAAGTCACCTCAACTTACTTTTAAATACAAATAATGGTATAGTAAATAAATCAAATCCACCGCCTTTAATAGTTTTTTTAAACTTGATATTCAAAGAATACTTTAATTTCGAAAATGACGATATAAACTTAACTTCTATCAATTCTTCCGATCTGGAAAACATTTTCACATATGGTACTGTTTTCAATAATATTTTATCTCTTTCACCACCAATTGTCTCTAGCTATTTTATTCCTAATGAAATAGATAAACTCTTAAATTTCTTAGCTTTTAATCCCAATTCAAATAACGCTGTTTCAAACCAATCAAGAACTAATAATATTTTAAAAATACTTCAAGATGATTTAGTATTACTTATCTCAAAAACCACTGGCTTACTTATTTCAAGACCGCAATACTCTGATCAAAAGATTAAATCAATTGTTAAGAATATAGTCAATGAAATCCCAATCATTAAAAATGAATTTCAAGATTCTTTTTCACTTCGAGATAACCAAATATTTTCCGTTAAATTAACTGTATTAGCTTTTATATTATCCAGATGTTTTGCTTTAAGACGTTTTTCGGTTGTATCTTTGGATGATTTACTAAAAATTTTGAATTTTTATTCACAACTAATGGATTATAATCTCAAAAAAGAAAATAAAAAATATTATGAAAATTTGTTAGAAGGATTAGATCAATTGGCAATATATGGTGTTTTAAACCCTCTCTATTCTCAAGATAATCATCTGGAATATACCGAGGATCCCTTTAAAGAGATCTACAAGAAGTTATGTCTTACAGTCAAGATCACTGTTAAAAGGCTCCATGAAAAATCTGTTGTAACTTTTTCTTATTTATCTTTGGCATATGAAAGCATTCTTGATACTGAAAAGATAATTGATTTTCCGACTGTTATCTTTAACGCTAATAGTCTAAAAAAACCCGAATTTGGGTTTTTTAGTGGTGAGGCTTTGACTGTTGTTGCTTGGGGATGGAACTCAAATTTGCTAAATAAAAGCATTGATTTGCAAGAAGTTGATATTGAGGACCTCAAAATTTTGGTTCCAAAAGTCCTGGACTCAAAATTTAATCTGGTTTTAAGCATTACTTTGAACTCTTGTTCTAAATCCAAACCTTCTTTAAGAAAAGCTGCATGTCTTTGGTTGTTATCCTTAGTAAAGTATTGTGGTAACCATACGTTAATTAAACAAAATGCAAAAGCAATCAATCTTGCTTTTATGAGATTTTTAGCAGAAAGAGATGAATTAATTCAAGAGTCCGCATCAATTGGTTTATCATTAATTTATGAGTTGGGTGATTCAGATTTAAGAGAGTCCTTAGTCAAGGGATTGTTAAAATCATTTACGGATTCTACAGCTGCAGAAAAACTTTCTGCTGGGTCTGTTAATGAAGACACAGAATTGTTTGAACCTGGAATTTTGAAGACCAGTGATGGTTCTATATCCACTTATAAAGATATTTTAAACTTAGCATCAGAAGTTGGTGATCCAAGTCTAGTGTATAAGTTTATGTCATTGGCTAAAAATTCCACCTTATGGTCTTCTAGAAAGGGGATTGCATTTGGATTGGGTGCATTAGTAACAAAGGCTAATTTGGATGATTTGCTTAAATCAAACTCAAGCTTGATCCCAAAATTGTACAGATATAGGTTTGATGCAAATGAGTCTGTTTCAAAGACAATGAATGACATGTGGAATATTTTGATAACAGATTCATCAAAAACTATATTATCTCATCATGATATAATATTCAACGAATTAGTCAGAGGTATGGGTAGTCGTGAATGGAGAGTAAGACAAGCCAGCTGTATTGCACTAATTGATCTTCTTGAAGTTTTGCCTTTGGAAGTCTACGAACCTAAATTGGAACTTATTTGGACAATGTCATTCAGATCAATGGATGATATTAAAGATAGTGTTCGTAATTCAGGTGCTCAATTGACTAAGTTTTTAGTTTCTAATTTGACCAGAATCACAGATATTCCTTCAGGAGCATCTTCTTTAAAATCAGAAAGAATATTGAAAAAAGTTATACCGTTTTTATTAGGTAACAGAGGTTTGCTAAGTGATGCCGAAGAAATCAAAACTTTTGCTTTGAAAACAATATTTCAATTATGTGAAAAAAGTGTAACGGCTCTCAAACCATTTTTACCAAATTTAATTGGAGAAATGATATCAATGATGACCTTATTTGAACCCCAGGTTGTTAACTACTTAGCACTCAATGCTGAAAAATATGACACAACTGCACTTGATATTGATAATCAAAGATTGCAAGCTGTTTATCATTCACCAATAATGAAATCAATTGATCAAATGTTAGATGTTGCTGATGACAAAATGATGAAGGACATCATTCTGCATATCATCGATTCCATAAAGAAATCTGTTGGATTTCCATCAAAAGTTGGAAGTTGCAAAATTATTGTTACATTGATCTCAAGACATTTAGAACTTACTCGACCATATGGTGAAGTTTTATTAAAAGCAAGCACGTCTCAACTAAAACATAGAAATGAAACTATTCGAGAGGGATATGCTCAAGCTTGTGGTTATGTATGCAGAATTTGTTCTACTGACACTGTTGCTAAATATGCTGTAGAGCTTGAAAATATGTATCTCAAGTTCGATAGCGTGGATCAGAGAAGAGTAGCAGCGATAGCAAGTGAATTTGTTGGAACCTATGCTCCTTCAAGTTTCTCATCTGTTGCTTCAGCATTTTTGCCCTTAGCTTATATCGGAAAACATGATCCTGATAAAGATGTCAAAGACAGTTTCAACAAAGTATGGACCGATCATACGGCTGGTAGTGGGGCTATTAAGTTATATATCGAAGAGATTTGTACTCTTGCCAAAAAATGTTTGAATTCTCAGTCTTATTTCATAAAAAAAGTTGGGGCAGAATCTATTTCCAATGCATTGAAAGCTATTTCTCATCATTCTAAAGATAATCCTTTGAGTTCTCAAAATACTTTGATTATTTTCCAACTTTTGATTGAAACTTCCACGGGTAGATCATGGAAGGGCAAGGAGTCGATTTTGGCAGCTCTAGTCACACTTTGTCGAACAAATCACCAATTAGTTTTGTCTACTGAAGGACTATACGATCGTTTACAGATGATTATGATATCCGAATCCAAGAGGAAAAATAGAGAATATAAAGAACATGCTGTAATTGCACTATGTCAATTTGCCGAATTATTTCCAAGTGATACCATTTATCAAGAATTGGTAAATATTTGCGAACCATTATTAGATGATGAATATTTTAAAGAAGAAGATGATGATGATAATGATAACAATATAGGTACAAGTGTTGATAGAAACAACAAAGGATTGCCAAATGATATACAATCTTTCAAGAAATCCTCAGCAAAAAACTTAAAACTTGAACAGTTTAAAAATAATACTTTGAAAAGTTTATCAAATAGTTTTAAATGTTATGATGAAAAGTTTTCACAACCTCTTTTTATGTTGATTCTAAAATCAGTTGAACGTTTCTTTGAATCCAAAGTTGTTATTATAACATGGCGAACTCAAATAGCTGTTTGTGATTCTTTTTCAAAATTAATTGAAACACTTTTGTCTTCAAAACAATCTTTATCTATGGAAGAAATTGAATTTTCGATATCCTCTTGGAATACGATATTTTTTAGATGTTGTAATAAGGCTGCAATTGAGAATGTTAGATTACAAGCAGTTCGTAGTTCTTCAAAGCTATTAAAGTTGTTAAATGCATTAAAAATTGAAAATCATGAAAGCTTCATTATTGAAAAAATGAATAAAATGAGGGCTGAAGAAAGTTCGTCAGTTGTAAAAGTTGAGATTGATACAGTATTGTATAAACACTAACTTTTATTAATTTTTTTTGTTATATTTTTTTATATTTTCTAAACTTTTATGTAATCTTTATAAAAACTAGATAAAAATAAAGCTTTTTTATTTACTTATTTACTTGTTTATAATTTTGTACTGTATTTATGTTTTATGAATCCACAAAAAAAATGCATAAAGTGAATAGCACTAAGCAAAATGATATAGAAAATGAATAACCAATTAAAAGCGTTTATGAAAAGGATTAAAAAAAAAAAATAAAAAAAAAAATTAACTTACCGGTTGGCTGTTCCCAAAAATTTTTTTAAAAAAAAGTATAATATAATCGAATTGAATGGTAAAATTATTTGTTGAAAAATAATTGAATAATAATAGTAAAAATAATAACAATAATAATAATAATCATAGTAATCGTAATAATAATAGTAATGTAATTTGATGAATTAAATAGTAAATAATTTATATAATCAAAACTTTAATAATTGATTATTCAAATTGTCTCAATAATCATTTTGATTCTTTTTTAGATCACTTACATACGACTTTGAAGGCCTTTCTAAAGATACTCTTTCTGGAAAGTTCCCAAGAGCCTGAAGTTGGTTATTAATATTTTGATCAAAAGAGGAAGAAAACCTGATCGATTTTCTTGGGGGAGGGACTGGAGGAGGGACCAGAGGAAGAACTGTTGAAGAGCCTGTTGAAGAGCTTGTTGAAGTAGGTGGTGAAGAAGTGGAAGCAGAAGAAGTTGAAGAAGTTGAGGAATTTGAGATGGAGCTGGAAGATGATCTAGAAAAGGGAGCGGGAGGGGGATTTAGTGGATAAATTTGGTTTAACTTTGAGTTGTTATTTTCGTTGGTATCGTTATTAAATAGAGAATTATTTGATAAAAGAGAGTCTGGGTATTTTTGGTGAGTATCAAAGGGATTTTGGGGCATGTAGTTTTGCAAGCCTACTCTAGCATATCTATCTTTAGCTCTTTGGAATTTAATTTTATCGGATGAGTACAAGTTGTTGAAATTTTTATTTTTTAATCTAAAGTTTTTTTGCCTATTGTGGTTATCGGAGTTTGTATTTAGTCGATTTGAGATGTTTTTGTTAATTTTTGTTGAATTATTAAATTTTAGAGGGGTGGGATTGAATTTGTTTTTGATGTTATTGTTGTTGATGGTGTTATTTGAGTAATTTGAGGCAAATGAAGAGTTGGAAGGAAAGTTTCTTAGAGATGTATTTAGGGAAGAGTGGATAGATGAATTTCTTTCTGAATGAGATTCGCTTTCTTCATAAACGGTGTCAATGACTCTATTTCTAATGAAGGTGTTTTGAGATTGGTTAAAGTTAGTTGAGTTGATATCGTCGTCTAGTATGTCAGAGTTTGAGTTTGGGTTTGAGATTTGATTTCTTGGCTGGTTATTGTTGTAGTTGTTTATGTTGAAGCCGGATAGGAGATTAGCTCTCAAGGCGTCCAAACCCATATCGCTATTTAGAGAGTTTGAAGTTGTGATGGTGTTATCAGTGTTATCAGAGTTATCAGAGTTGTTAGTGCTGTTAGTGCTGTTAGTGTTGTTGGTATTGTTAGAGGCGTTAGAGGAATGTGTGTTTAGAGAGTTGTTTGATATGGTTGAGGTAGTGCTTATATTTGTGTTTGATGTGATGGTATCTATGGATGATCTTCTTTGGAATTGTGAGATTGGAGAAAGCTGAGGAGAGTTGATTAGGTTGTTTGAGCTATTGTTTTCATAGTTGTAGTTAATAATTGAAGATGAGTTGTTATTTGAATGGATGGGTAGAGGAAGAAAGTTATTGTTGTGATTTGTGTTTAAGCTTAAGTTTAAGTTTAAATTTTTTTTGATTTTTGTATCATTGTGGATGTTTTTGTTGTTATTGTTGTTGTTATTATTATTATTGTTGTTGTTGTTGTTATTGTTATTGTTATTGTTATTGTTATTGTTATTGTTATTGTTATTGTTGTTGTTTATGATTTTTTCATTGTTGAGATTTTTTCTTTTTTTTTTATGCCTTAAGAACAACCAGATGAATAAGATTATGAGCAATATGCCCAAGACTGAGCCTAAAACGGAGCCAGTTATGGTTGTGATGTTATTTGAGTTTTTGTTCAGACTACTCAGGTCATTGCTGTTGCTGTTTTTGTTTGATTGAGAGATGATGTCTTGGAGATAGTCATTGTAGTAGGAATAGTCAGTTGTGATGGTTGCAGGGTGGTGGAAAGTGGCGGAATAGGTAATGTAGTGGTTTTCGTTCAAGTTGAGGTCAATGTTTTGGATAGATTCGTAGGTTACGATGTTGGTGGTTATTGGGATGTTTAGGGAGAGGGTGTTTTGGGGGACGTTGTTGTAGTTTGTAATTTCGTAGTATTGGGTGTATGAGGTTGAGATTGTTGTTTCTGGGATGATGAAAGAGGTGGAGATGACTCTTGGGGAGGGAGAGGCGGTTATTGTGATGTAGACGATGGTTACTCTTGGTTCTCTGGAGGAAGAAGAGGAAGAGGAAGAATCTGAGTCAGAGTCTGAGTCAGAGCGAGAGCGAGATTTTGAGTTGGAAATGGAATTTGAACGAGAGGTGGAGGAGGTTGATTTTTGTTTGGAAGAAAGTAGTGAGTATAGCGATGAGGCAGAGGGGCCAGTGAGGGAGTCAGGATAGTAGGCTAGAGAATTTGAATTGAAAGAAGGAGAGGTGGCAGCAGAGGAGGGAGTGGTTTTGAGGTAGGATTTTGTTATGGTGATGGTAGATCTTTTTTTGGTGGATGTTGTAGAAGAGGGAGATGTGGCAGAAGGTTCAGAGGTTGTGGTATCACTATCGTCGTCGTCGTCGTCGTCGTTGGTGGAGGACTGGATTATTTTATTTTTCGAGTCATAGTAGTAAGTGTAGACTATGGGGGTTGTTCTAGTTGATTTGGTGGTCTTGACAATTTTGGTAACGATTTCTTCGTCGTCGTTGTTGAGCGAGGTGGAGGAAGAGGTTATAGTTGACGTTAGAACCAATTTGGAGAGGGAGGTTGATTTCAGAGGCAGAGGGTAGGCGCTGGTGGCATCCTCAGCGTCGTCGTCGTCGTCGTCGTCGTCTCTTTTGTAGAAGTTGAGCGATAGGTTTTGGGTTGTGGGATTGTAGGGATGGGTTGTGTGGAAATGGAAGAGGTGAAGAAGATTGTTTATCATTTGATAAAGAGAGTTGAAGCAGACATATAAATAGAAGTAGGTAGAGTGGGTAAAGTGGGTAAAGTGGGAGTGAGACGATGTGGGCAGTATAGTATTTTAGATCTTACTATTGTTATTTATCTTACTATTACTATGGCTGTTATTGTTATTACTATTATTATTGTTATTACTATTATTAGTTTTATTGTTATGGTTGTTGTGATTATGGAGCAGTTAGTTGGGAGAGGTGGAAATGGCAATGGCAATTGACAAAAATAAAATTGCTTGCTCGAGAAGTGAAACGAATGAATATGGACGAGAGGCTGCAGGAAGGAGAAAAACAAGCTGGACGCGCAGCAGAGGACGAGAAAAGATGTTTATGAGCAGCAGAGGCAGTGCGAGGAAGAGGAAGAAGAGCCTCTCTACAGAACAGCAGCAGAAGAAGCTCGCTCTCCAGCCCTCACCCACTCTGGGAGCGCGTAGGCGAGAGCACGGCACCGAACATCCCAGCACGGCCGGAGCTGTTGGCTGTCACGCTGCGGTTATTACTCTGCACCGTAAGGCACCGGATGTGCTACTGCGAAAACCGGATCTTCTTGCCCGTGGCGGGTACTATTGCTGCTGAGGCGCGTTGGGCTGTGGCGAGGGCCACGCTCGACCTTACTTTCGGTCTGGGCTGTTTGGGCCTGGGAGTGGCACGAGCAGGAGCCGGGGTGGGAGCAGCAGAGGCAGCAGCAGCAGCTCTTTCAACAGGCCCGGGATGCTGCTGCTGCTGCTGCTGCCTCTGCGGACGTCGTTTGGAGCGATCTTCTCCATACTCCAACCGCAACTTCCTCCCCAACAAGTACTTGCACTGCTTGTCGCTGAGGGCCTCTTTGCAGCTTTCCACTGTCTTGAAATCAACAAAACACCAGCCTTTGCACTTGTTCAGGTCCTGGAACGTTCCCATCCGGATCTTGTTGATCTGGTCTGTGTACTTCAAGTACAATGTCTCAATGTCGCTGCCCAACGTTTCAAACGATAAATTGCCGATGAAGAGGATGTGGCTTTCCTGCTTGCCTCCTCCCTCTTTCTCGCCATCGCCCTCTTTGAGAGCCACCTTGGGACGTCCATTGTAGTCGTCTCCATTCTTGATCAATAGGTTTCTGTTCAGCAACTCGCTCTCGTTCAACCGTAGCATGTTCTCCACCATCTCCTCGCTCGACACGTCGATGTACGCAAACCCCTTGTTGAATCTCGCGTTTCTCTCGTTCGTAGGTAGCTTGATCTTCAAAACATCCTTCTTCACATCGACCTCCTTCCCCAACGTTTTCAACCTCCGGTCAATAAACTCAAGTAGCTCTTTCTTGCTCGTGCTGAACGATAGATTGCCAACCCAAACATAATGGCGCTTTTCCTTGGTCTTGCTCTTGGTCTTGTTCTCACTCTTGCTCTTGGTCTTGTTCTCACTCTTGCTCTTGGTCTTGTTCTCACTCTCACTCTCGTTCTCTTTAACATCCAACTTTCCTTTCTTGAGTAATCTCTTTTGTTTCTTCGACAATGGCTGGGCCTCACTCAAATCAACCTCAATATCCTCAAACACTTTTCTCTTTACACTCATCTTCTCCCTTCACTACAACTCTCTTTCTCTTTCTCTTTCTCTTTCTCTTTCTCTTTCTCTTTCTCTTTCTCTTTCTCTTTCTCTTCCAAACACATCAAAAAAAAGTGAAAAATTATTCGGCAATTCAAAAAAAAAAAAAATTGAAAGAAAGACCCGCAATTCTGGTCTCAGCTCACTTTCAGCAATCAAATCTCATTTTCCCTTTTCAGATCTTGGTTGCTTTCTCTTCTCTTCTTCTCCTTCTTCTTCTCCTTCTTCTTCCTATTCCTATTCCTTTTCTTCTTCATCAATCATCAAAACAATATTCAACAGCTTATAATACATGACCACAATCGCCTTTCTCACTTATACACAACCTATCCACCTCAATTCTCTTCCATCTGCTTTTCTTTCTTACTAACACCTAACGGTTGATATACCTAACCGCTGATATACTTTACTGCTGATACTAACCGCTGACACTACTCTTCTCCAAAAATGCTAGAATCCTTGGTGGCAACGCTTCTAAACAGAATCCTAGGCGACTACGTGGAAAACTTCGACTCAAAACAACTAAACATAGGCATCTGGTCCGGCGACATCAAATTGAAAAACCTCAAATTAAAAAACGATTCCCTAGACCAGTTTCTAAATCTAAACAACCCAAACATAAACACCTCCCTCATCGACATCAAATTCGGCTACCTCAACCAACTCACAATCAACATCCCCTGGTCAAATCTAAAATCAAAACCAGTCAAATTTCTCATCGAAAACTTGTTCATCCTCATCAACCCAATCAACTTCAACAACCTCAATTACTCAGACTATCTCAAAAGAAACCAAAATCTAAAACTAAAAATACTAGATGACCTAGAATTCATATCCCTAAACAAAAAAAAACTATCCTCAAATGATCAAAACACCACTAAATCCGATAACGAAAACGATAACCTAAATGAAACTTTCACAGAATCCCTCATAAACAAAATCATAGACAACCTCCAAGTAACAATAAAAAATATCCACATCAGATACGAGGACTCAAATGACGTCTTCACCAACATCCCTTACTCAATAGGTATCTCCTTAAATGAACTATCCGCCGTATCAACAAATGAAAACTTTAACCAATTTTCAAACTTGGCTACAAACATAAACCTAAACAACCACTTCACATACAAACTAATCACCCTAGACAAGCTCTCTTCCTACTGGCTAACGAACTCAAACTCAATCCAATTCAATGACCATGATCAATTAAACAACGATCAATTGATTCAAAAGTTTAATCAATATTTCCTCAATCTAAATCAAAAATCTAATAACAATCTTAATGATAACAATTCTAACGATAACAATTCTAATGATAACAATTCTAATGATAACAATTCTAATGATAACAATTCTAATGATAACAATTCTAATGATAACAATTCTAATGATAACGACGATAACGACAATAACTCTAACTCAAACTCAAACTCGTTGGAATACATTTTAAAACCAGTCAGTGGAACCGGTAAAATAAAACTAAACAAACTAGGTTCAACCGATAAAATCCCCTATATCACTTCAAACTTACTCTTTGATGAATTTTCCATAAACCTAAACTCAAATCAGTACTTTGACATTCTAACAACCCTAACCAACTATAACTACTACTTGAAAACCTTTAAATTTAAAAAAAATAGACCCAAAAACGACATCACTCCCACAAATAACCCAAAAGCCTGGCTATCCTACGTATTTAACGTCATATTAGACGAAATTCACGAAAAAAACTACAAATGGTCATGGCAATTTTTCAAAAAAAGAAGGGACCAGAGAATTCACTACATCGATCTCTACAAAATAAAATTTGATCACCTTGATAAAAATTTAAACTTAAACACTTTACCTCAAAACGTCTTAAATCAATTGGACGATCTAGAAAAAAATTTATCTTTAGACGATATCAAACTTTATAGATCCTTAGCAAGAACTCAATACAGAAAAGAGAATCTAAATAATTTAAACAACATCAACTCTTCTCAAGTTTCTTCAAATAATCAGAAAACTACAAATAATAACAAAAATAACAACAAAAATAACAACAAAAATAACAACAAAAATAACAACAAAAATGGCTGGTTTAGTAGTTGGTGGTCCGGTGCTAACTCAAATCAAAATAACGACAATCAGGACTTTAACGAAAAAAAATTCGTCCTAAGCGACGAACAAAGAAAAGAATTATATGACGCAATTGAATACGACGAACAACAACAAATAAAAGACGCAATAGATCTACCCAAAGATAGAGTCATCTTAAAATTAAATGCCACTCTAAAGAAGGGTTCTTTTAATATTCAACAATGTATTAATAATTATAATCACAATAATAATTATCGAAAATCAAATAAAAATAAAAATAAAAACAATGACAATGACAATGACAATAAAAATGAAAATGAAAATAAAAATGAAAATAAAATTATTCAAAACCTTGCTAAAGTAGCCTGGGAAGGTTGCGATTTTGAATTATCCCAAAGACCAGATTCCTCCATAACAAAATTCTCAATGAAAGAATTCAAAGTTGAAGATCATCATAATGATCGATCTCTGTACAAAGATATTGTTAGTGTTAAATCTTTAATTACAAATGAACAAAATAATGATACAAAAACTACCGCTCTTGAACCGTTTTTCAAAGTCGCTTTTGAAACAAAACCTTTGGATGGCACAACTGATTATTCTTTATCAGCAGAATTAAGAAGTATGACCATTTTTTATAACATAAATTTTATTCTAAGAATAATAAAGTTTTTTAAACCTCCAAAACAACATCTGGAAACTATAACTGCCATCATAAATGCTGCAGAATCAACTGTTGAAAATTTCACCCAGAAAACAAGACTACAGGTCCAGTATGCTCTAGAAGAACATAAAACTGTTAAAACAACTCTTAATTTACAAGCTCCGTTAATCATTTTTCCCTTAGATCCCCAAAATTGGCAAGCCCCTTGTGCCATAATCGATGCTGGTCACATTAGTGTTATTAGCGATTTAATCGATAATAACAAAATTGATGACTTGAAATCTAAAGCTTCTTCAGATTATAACGACGACGATTTTGAAATGTTAAATAAATTAATGTATGACAAATTTAATTTATCTCTTGAGGAAACTCAGATTTTAATTGGTTCATCCGTCAAATCAACAATCGAACAATTGCAAAATGATCAATTGTCCATTCAAGAAAAGCCTGCTTTGGTATTGGATAGGCTAAATACTGATTTTTTAGTTCAAATCTCAATTATGCCACAAGATTATAAATTACCAAAAATAAAAGTGTCAGGTAAAATGAAAGAGTTCACTGTCATGATGTCCGATTATCAATATAAAATAATGATGCAACTTATCGATAAATCGCTTCCAAATTTTACATTAAACGACGAAGATGATAACAATGATAACCTTGGTGAAAATAAAAGTAGCACAAAAGTTAATATTATATCTGATGAACCTAATACGTCAAACTCAAACAATAATTCCAGTTACGAAAGCCTAAATGTAAAAGCATTAGATATTAACAATACTTCAAATATTATTGCTATTAATGATGACATGTATTCAAGTGATACTGAAGATGAAATTTCTTTGAATAGCTCTCAGGTTTTAGTAAATAAACTTGCAGAAAAGCAACACATTTTTGATTTTACTTTCAAAGTTGGCATTATTAAATTGTCATTAATGAAATGCTCAAATGCATCAACTTTATCAACCGATCCTATCGTGGATATTATTGGTGAAAATTTTAAATTGAACTTTACCAAAACAGTTCATAACATATCTGCAGATATTGCTTTGAATAATATTGATGTAATTGACAGAATTGATACAAATGCAACTGAGTCATTTAAAAAAATAATATCATCAAATAATTTTGAATCTACAGAAAATATTAGTGTTGAAAAGGACTTATTTACTGTCAATTATCAAAGATCATTAAGAATCGTGGAACTTGAAGGGAAAAAAATTGAAATTTTTGATCAGGATGTTGATTTATATATTTCAACCGTTAAAGGGGTTGTTACCAGTAAGTCTCTACTTACCATCATGAGTTTCTGCATAACCACTTTTACTGATCCAAATCCTCCTGAAACACCTGCAGACGCTTTAAGACATAACAGTCCAGAAGACAAGGAGTTTTCCCCACAAAAGATTAAAGTAAATATTGATTTAGAAAGTATTATTTTAGTTTTAAATGATGATGGTATAAAATTAGCAACTCTTCAATTAAGCAAAGGTAAAGTTGATGTGCTTCTAGTCCCTGAAAAAATGAAGGTTGATTTCAAATTAGGAGCTTTAACACTTCACGACGAAATAAATGAGGGATCTCCAAGAGATTCATTTTTGAGAAAATTAATCAGCATTGAGGGTGATAACTTAGCTGAAATAACTTATGAAACATTTGATCCCAAAACAAATAAAAATAGTTACAATACTTTGATTGATATTAAAACTGCCTCAGTCAAATTTAATTTTGTTGAAAAACCTATTAACAGGATTTTAAGCTATTTAAACCAATTATTACAAATGAAAGCCTTATTCGATACTGCTAGGGATGCTGTCTTTAATCCTGCCAATGCTTTGCAAGAAGCAAATAAAACTCATTTTGATATTTTAATCAAAACTCCCATTATTGTTTTTCCCAAACTAATTGATGTTGAGAATAGAATCTATGATGATGTCACAGCCTATTTAGGCGAAATTTATATGGTAAATGATTATGTTTCTAAAGACAATAGTATATTAAATATTATATCTATTGGGCTTAGATCTACCAGTCTAACCTCGTCTTTTCATTTGGAGGATTTCACACAATCCCTAAAAATTATTGATAAATTGGACATTTCTTTTAATCTAGATATGGGCGATAATGCTAATGTTGATTTGAAAAGACCATCTATGATTATCAACGGTGAAATGTCCGATGTTGAGAGTACTTTAACTGAGCTTCAATTGAAATACATGATGGGGATAATTCAAGCCATTCCTGGTGCATTCAACTTTGTAACAGACGAAGAATTTTTGCGTGAAATTGAAAATGCTGCTGCAGATGCTGCGGTGGTAATTGCTCCATCAAAATCGTCCGAATTGTCACCAAAAGACTCGCAAATAGCTTCAAAACCAAAAATTGAAACTTCTGACTTTAATAAATCTGATAATTCCGTTCCTGAAATAAAAGTTGATTTCAACTGGAAAGTTTCTAAGATTGCTTTAACAATTTATAATGAAACAACCAATCTCACTGACATAAGTTCCAATAAATTGTCAAGATTTTCATTAAATGACACAGCAGTCAAACTTAGATTGAAAGAAAATGGGTCTTTTAAATCAGACTTTCATATAAAATCATTTACTGTGGAGGATGTCCGAAGCACTCGAGATAATAAATTTACCGAAATTATTCCAGTTGTAAATGATGAAAACTATCAATTTATGGCTTCATTATCATCTAAAGGACAAGATGGGGACAAAAAAACAAATATTATGTTAACTGTTGATAATCCAAGAATAATTCTTGCTTTAGATCATGTGTTTGCTATGTATAATTACATAAAAGTTGGATTGAGCATTGGAGAAGAAACCCCTGAACTCAACAAAATTGGAAATGATCAAGAAAGTATATGTTCAAAAAACAGCGAAAATAGTAATAATTCTTTGAAAAATAGCAATCCGGAAACGCCTTCTTTTTCATATGTCATTAATATTGTTGATCCATCAGTAATTTTATTGGCAGATCCAAAGTCTATAGACTCTGAAGCAATTGTTTTTAGCTTGAAACAGTTTGTGTTATCAAGTCACAATGTTTCATCTATGTCTGCCAACAATGTTGGATTATTTTTATGTCGTATGGACAAATTTAATGAAAACAGGTTACGTATTATTGATGATTTTTCTGCATCATTTGTGTTAGACTCAAGAGGCTCTACTCCTGAAAAGCTTTTAAGCAAAATCCAGGTTTCAATTGAACCATTAATAATGAGATTGTCGTTGCGAGATATCCGTCTTGCGATATCAATTATGAATAGAGCATATGAATTAGCAGGGTTTAATGAAAAACCCCAAAGCGAAAACGAAGAAGTTATTGAGGAAAATAACCTTTTGTTTACAAAAGAATTCAAAAAACGAATTGCTAAATACGCTCCTTCAATCTTGTCTGCAGTTTCTGGGTCAGATGAATCTACACATTCGGTGAAATCTGATATTTCTTCGGATATAATTAGATTGGAGAGCTTGAATAGTGATATTCAAGGATTAAGGCTAGTTCTTATTGGTGATATTCATGAATTGCCAGTTTTAGACATGACTGTTAAACCTTTCAGTATTCTGGCTAAAAATTGGTCTACTGATGTAGTGATTGAATCACAAATAGAACCATTCATCAACATTTTTAATTATGCGAAATCTTCGTGGGAGCCATTAATTGATCCATGGCCTATCAGAATACATGCTTTTCAATCTACGGAAAAAAATCAATTATCAAAAACTTTTAATTTTAATATAGTTTCAAAAGAACTTTGTGACATTACCATATCTTCTAGATCCGTTTCTTTACTTTCTCAAATTTTTAGCTCTTTTTCTAAGACAGAGAAGGTTAGAGCTAATCGTATTGAGTCTCCTTATAGAATTATTAATCAAACGGGATATCCTATAAATGTGTGGATTGACTCCAAAAGCAGCAAGTTGAGAAGCAAATTCACTAAAATTGATGTAGATGAAGAAATTCCATGGGAATTTGAAGATTGGAGAAGGATTCGTGAAAATCTTAGAACTGACAATCAAAAGGGCGTATTAGGTGTTGAGTTAATTGGTTCATCTTACACTATTGTTAACGGAATTTCAGTAGCTGGTGAAGGTGAAGAGGTATTCACTATGAGGCCTCCTGTTGATGGTATACATAATAGATTATTGGCAGAAGTTAAACTTGGAGAAGATTATATAAAAACTGTGGTGTTGAGATCAACATTGTCAGTTGAAAATAATGTTAGCATATCATTCTTTTTAGGTCTAAAAGAACCAAATGGAGAAATTAAAGTCATTTGTTGTTTAAAACCAAACGAATCACATTCTGTACCCATGGATAAATGCTATAGCAATGAGGTTTATATTAGACCTGATATTAATTTGAGCTTTGGTTGGTCGAGAAATGCAATAAATTGGAGATCATTGGAAAGAAAACCAAGTTCTTTGTGCTGTTTATCTTCTGATAGAACAAATAACATTTCTTTTTTTTTCCAGGCAGAAGCACAATTTGACGAAAATGAACCATTGACTAAAATCTATCCTCATATGAAAGTTATAATTTCTGCACCATTAGAAATTGAAAACTTGTTACCTTATGATTTGCGGTTCAGGATATATAATAAAACAATAAAAAAAGATTGGATGATATTGGTGAAAAAAGGTGCTGAAAGTTCAATACATTTAGTTACTTTAGATAACTTCTTACTTTTAAGTGTAACACCTATAAGTTGTGGGTTTGAAAGGTCAGAATTTGTTGTTATAAACTGTCCTGCTGATTCAGATGTTCCAAGAGAAAATGAGCTACCTCTAAGACATGAGGATGGTCAAAAATTAAAATTGAAAATACACTATACCAAATCCAAGGCAGGAAGCGGTACAAAAATTGTGATCTATTCTCCATATATCATTCTTAATCGCACAGGTCAAAATCTAATGCTTAGGGAAAAAAATAATGTTATGAGATCAGATATCTTTTTTAATACTCAGAATGGTAAATCAGAAAAACAAACTGCACCAAAAATGTTTTCTTTCAATCATTTCAATGCCAAAAAAAACAGAGCAGTACTTAGGGTAGGAAATTCACAGTGGAGTAGAGATTTTAGTCTTGATGCAATTGGTCAATATTATGATTTAGCTATGCCTTTAGATGATAAGACCAAAGAAATAAATCTTGGAATTAATGTAAAAGAAGGAGAAGGCAAGTACAAGTTATCTAAAGTTGTTACGATAGCTCCTAGATTTATCATTCATAATGTGTTGAAAGAAGAAATACAGATATTGGAAATCGGATCATCTTCATATTTTAGGATTCAGACGGATGAATTAACACCGTTATATTCTACCAGATGTACTTCAGAAAAACATTTGATGATAAGATTTTTAGGACAAGATTCTAAATGGTCTTCTCCATTTTCTATAAAAGATGTTGGACAAACATTCCTTAAAGTTTATAAGCATGGTGAAGGTGATGTTTTGATCAAAATCAATATTTTTGTTGAGATGGCTACTGTTTTTATTGATATTTTAGACTCAAAGGGTCGCTGGCCTTTTTCGATTACAAATCTTACAGATAGAGACTTTGTATTCTATCAAACTAATCCGAATATAAATGAAGATGGTGAAAATGTGCGAAGTGACATTCGTTATGAAATTATCACTTACAGGATTCCGGCCAGATCAACCATTCCATATGCATGGGATTATCCTTCTGGAATTGTCAAAGAGATTGTTTTATGCTACCATCAAAGAAAAAGATACATTCAACTTGCAGAGATAGGAAATTTAAAGCCGATGAGATTGCCTGCTTTTAGAGGAAAATCGGCTACTGTTGTAGATCTTAACGTGGTAGCAGATGGACCCACACAAACATTAATAATATCCAAATTCAATCCAGATGTCAGTATGTATCAATTGGAAAACCAATCAGAATCAACAACATCATTTGCTAATGATAATTTTAAAACTGTTGAAAAGGAGGAACATTATTACAATAGAGTTAAATTGTGTTTTGAAGGAGTGGGAATATCTTTAATTAATACTCGTTTTCATGAATTATGTTATATTACATTTAAAGGCTTGGAGTTGTCCTATGATGAGTCTGAGTTGTATCAAACATTTACGTATAAATTGAAATGGATTCAGGTTGATAATCAATTGTATGGGGGGATTTTTCCTATTGTTTTCTATCCAACAGAAGTTCCACAATCAGGAAAGGAAGACACACGTTCTACTCTTTCTGGTGCTATTTCAGTTTTAAAAGATGATACTCACGGTGTGTTAAATATCAAATATGCGACCCTTCAATTACAAGAAATGAGTGTTGAGCTTGATGAGGATTTCTTGTTTGCACTACTAGACTTTTATAAGTTTCCAGGTGCCAGCTGGATAATTACACAAAAAAATTTCTTATGTGATGATATTATTCAAATACCTACGAATCATGTTTCAACATCCGGAATGGATATATATTTTGAATTGTTTAATTTACAACCAACACAATTGAATTTATCATTTATGAGAACTGAAAGAATAAATATAGAGGACAAAAGTAGTTCTCAAAATGCATTGATGTTTTTTTTCAATGTTTTGACAATGGCTATTGGAAATATCAATGATGCCCCAATAAAGTTAAATTCGTTACTAATAGTAAACATGAAAGTTTCAATTCCATTTCTTATGCATTATATTCAGGCTCACTATGGACAGCAATTCATTTATCAAATTCACAAGATTTTAGGATCTGCTGATTTTTTGGGTAATCCAGTGAGTCTTTTTAATAACATCAGTTCTGGTGTGTTGGACATTTTTTATGAGCCTTATAAAGGTTTTCTTATAAATGATAAACCACAAGAATTGGGTATTGGAATTGCGAAAGGAGGTTTAAGTTTTGTTAAGAAATCAGTTTTTGGTGTTTCAGATAGTTTTGCAAGATTTACTGGCTCAATGGCCAAAGGGTTGTCTGTTGCAACACTTGATAAGCAATATCAGGAACACCGTAGACTTAATCTTCGTCGTAATAGACCAAGACATGCGTTGTATGGATTTAAATCTGGAGCTGAGTCTTTTGTTAAAAGTATTACTAGTGGCGTTACTGGTGTAGCCTTGGAGCCGATTAATGGGGCCAATAAAGATGGTGCTCAGGGCTTTTTTAAAGGTGTTGGAAAAGGTTTAATTGGGCTTCCAACAAAGACTGTAACTGGTATTCTTGATCTTGCTTCCAATGTTAGTGAAGGTATTCGTAATACTACTACTGTGTTAGATAGTGCTGATTTAGAGAAGGTGCGTTTGCCTAGATACATTGAACACAATGGGGTTATTAAACCATATTCTCCATGGGAGGCACAAGGACAATTTTGGTTGAAAAGTATAAATGGTGGGAAATTTATAAATGAAAAGTACTTGGCTCACATAGTTTTAGCAGGTGAAGAATTGGTGATCTTGGTCACATTCAGATTAATAATTCTTGCTTCAATTAGCGAACTAAATCGAGAATGGGTGATCAAGTATGATGACGTGAGGACTATAGTTATTGAAAAAACGGGCTTGAGAATTGGTTTGAAAAATGGCAATGGCCCATTTGTTCCAATTGCTGATTCTGCTACTCGACAACGTCTTTACAAAAGAATTGCAATTGCTGTAAATGAATACAACAAAAATTGTCAGGTCTTTTTATAAATTGGGACAGATTTAATATTATTACATGCACACTTTTGTATTTTACTTTGACTTCTTTATATTAATTTATTTTTTTTGTTTTGATTTACAGTAACAGTATTTTATCATTTGTGTTTTAATTGCCTCAAGGAAGTGGTGTGTTGAAATATGTAATAAAAAAACAATACAAGATTATAGAACAAAATTAATAAAACTGAAGAATGTAAACCCGAAAAATTAAAAAGTTAAAAAAAGTTAAAAAGTTAAAAAATTAAAAAATCAACATAGAAAGCTCGCAGTCATCAAAAATGGCATCGGACCAATGAGCTATCTGAATTCTGTTCTATTGGTGTTTTCAAAGAGCTTTTCATCAAACAGCATCTCGTGGAGTGTTTCTCCATGCAGAGACATCAGAATGGTGTGAACGTCGTGGTTGAATAGCTCGCACTCTTCCAAAATGGAGGAGTTGGCTGAAGTTTCTTTGTTGGCATCTGTTTTTTTGTTCTCTATGAATTCTGGTTTCAATGTGATTGGAGTCAGGTTTTCAATTTCTGACTCGACATCTTTGATATTGCCAGAGTTCTCGAGCAGATTGGAGCTGTTACTATTATAGTTAATATCTTCAAAGGCCCGTAGATTAGCGAGGTTTTTTAATGTTTCTAGTTTTTTGGCAAGCTTTCGTTGCTCGTATTTTCTAACCAAAAAAGATAATCCAATCCACTTCAACAACGCTTTGTACTTAGAATGAGTCTCCTTGCCTAACCCAAAGATAATAAAGGCTAAATAACACAACACTGACAAGACATAACGATCATAAATAGGCTGGTCAATAGAGCGATAAAATGATAGAGACCACATTAACTTGTCATGAACTTTATCCCAGTCGTAGGAATCATAGATGTTAAAATTTTCAATGAAATAGATAACCAAAATTGGAGTCAATATAAACAAAGTTAAAAAGCAAAATAAAATTGATCTGATGAATTTTGCAACTGTTAAACCAGACTTTGTGCAGTGGAAAATATCCTTTGCATCTTTTCTATTTTTAAAGTATCTGAACAACGTTAAAGAAGATAGAATAATACCAATAATGGACCAAATCAAGGGCCACATAATAATGATGACAATAGTAGGCCAAGTAGCTGAGTGAGCAGCTATACAACCATTGAACTTGAAAATAGCAAACCTCATTGTGTATACAATATAAGACAAAGAGATAATTAAAATCGGTTGAGCCCAACAAATTGTTAAAAAGATCAAATTCTTTTTCCATCTTTTGAATTGTAGAAAACGATTAGTGGATAAGATGCAATACATATGGAATGCTATCCCAGTTATCGCACAACAGATTCCTGTAGTTGAAGCATCATTAATATAGGCATAAAAATCACACCAGACTTTTCCATCCCAAACGCTTCTAAAATTTTCACCACCCCAAATAATTGCGTTAACTAGTGTTTCAATATTTAGTAATGTCAACCAAAGAAATAAAGAAAGATATGGAATACCATCAGGATTTTTGATATGGACACAAACTGGCATAATCAAACAAATTAATGCCACGGATGACAAGACTATTAAAAGTGCTTGATAATTTACCATTATAACTGTTAATTTTTATATTGATCCCAAAAATACTCAGTCGTGAAAGAAAATAAACTAAAGTAGGTTCTCAGCTAAGAAAAAAGAGAAATAAAAAATAATATGAGGAAAGATGAATAAAGATATAAATAAATTTGATTAAACCATAGCACAATTCTCTTTTCTTTTTGATAATGGTCACCACTTGTTTGTTGAAGGTCTAATCACTTGGCCAAAGGCAATATATTCAGAAAGTAACCCCAAATTGTTTTAAGTACGTTTTTATAGAACAAAATTTGAAGCATTATTTCTTTTTCATCTCATATTTTTCCTTTGAATTCCAAATTAGGAAAATACCAAAAAGCATCAAGTTGCACTTTTCTCCAATCAACAGACGGGGAGAATATTCATTGGTGAGGATGCAACTTTGGTTGCAGACTAAGGGATTAGTTGGTAATATTTATTATTATCTCTTTATATAAATGGCTCGCGTATTGAGTTCGTTGGTCCTTGAACAAATCGGTAATAATAAAGTGGTATATCTTTACGGATTTGTCATTTTCAAATACAAAAAAAGCAAGACTGATCAAATATAATCGAGTATTATATAATAGGTTACTTATCAAGATTCAAATAATTGAAATCATTAGTAAAGGAATCTGTTGATAAATCCTTTAATTCATCATCAATCTCCAAAACATTTTTCAAATTATTATAGTGGTTTAATAAAGTGTTTTCAAGGGAGTTTAGTTTAACAAAAACAGTGATTAATAAAGGATCAGATGTTTTAACTTCAATTTGTTTTAAATCCCAAAAGACTTTGTTATTAAAAGTAATATTTCTATTGAGATATTCCAACTCCTTTTCAAATTTATGTTGATTTGAATACTTGGACGAAAAAAATTTATTGAATATTGATTCAGAATTAGATTGAGTGGAGATTTGATAAGAATTCAAGCTGGAATTTGTTGATGAAATGGTGCAATTATCGTTGCTCTCATCATTGATATTTGTTTTGTCGCTATCACTGCTATCTCCTTTATTTTGATTTTGATTTTGAACTTTTTTATGATTATGATCATGATTAATAAAATGATGAATATTAGTACTGTTTAAGATTCCTGTTTTTTTTTTACCATGGCCATTTTTTTTATATTCATTTGATTTGAAACTATTATTATCATCATTTTTGTCATTAAAAGTCTGAAACTGAGTTAAATTGTTTTCATCATTTAGAATTTCATAAATTCCTATTTTTTTATTCGTATTTTTGATTATTTTTAATTTAATAAAATCAGTATAACTTTTTTCAAATTTATTGATTAGTTTCCAAGGTTTATGTGTGATTTCTTTTAATTCATGTAACTCAATTGAAATTTCACCATTGTTTAAATATAATTCGATAACTAGCTTATTTAAATCTAAATCTTGTTCAAATAATTCTGATGATAAATAGCTATTAGGAAACAATTGATCTAAATTTGGTAATTTGATCAATTTTTTGCAATTAATTATATTAATTAGGATTTTTTTGAAAATTTTCAAGAAATTCAAAAATTTGAGCAACCTATTATTTAGATTGTCTGCACCACTATTCGCAGCATTCACAATGTCATCAAAATTATCCAAAATCAATATTGAACTAATCAAATAATCAATTGAGTCCTGAATTTGAGTTAGATTTATTGAGTGATTTGGGTTTAAATTTAACTTGAAAGGTTTGCCCCCATTTACATTTTTCAATCTTATGAGTATACTCAAATCCACTATCTTTGAGCTCGATCTCGTTATTATCCCCTTGACTGATTCCGATTTGCTTGAGGATAGTGGTAGCTTGAAATAGGTCTCGTCGTTGAGATACTTCAATATCTGTTCAATTGTTTCCTTGATTGATGGAAACGATGGTTTGATGATGTTCTTAATCAACCAACTGGCCTCTCTCACCTGGTTGTCCTTTCTGATCCTGAAGATCTCATCTGCTGGCATAGGAGGATATATCTGTGTCGACATTCTGAGCAACTTCCACACTGCTGCTGTTGGTAATAAAACCTCGATAAAGAGCAGTTTTGTGCTGTTTCTGTTTGGGTTTTCGCTTTGTGGGTCAGGCGCGAGGAAGGAGTGAGAAGAAGAGACGTTTTGTATGTATGTTGGGGAGTTTGCTCCCTGTGTTTCGCGCATGGGAGAGCAGTCGATTTTGAGGAAATTGAATCAGTTATCTGTGAATATATTTACAGATGACTGCGATTATTGTTGAAAAAAAAAGACTATGGTAGATTTTACTGATATTTATTGTTTTGGAAATGCTTTCTATTTGCTAGTGTTTGTTTTTGATCAATTTAAAGTGTTGTTTATATAGTTCTTCGTGGATATTTCTCAATTCCCCATAAGCATCCTTTATTGTTTTTAATTTGCTTTCTAGCTCTTTTATCTTAGCATCTTTTTCATCATCGTTTAAAGTAACGCTTTTTATGTTTGGCAAAGATTGGTTTGATGTGCTTTTACGGTTTTGGGGGGTATAGTAATTTTTGAATTGAAATTCCTCGCTTGTGGTTCTATTTAAGTAGGAATTAAAATTATTTAAACCATTTAAAAATTTGGTAGTATGGTTATTAGAGTTATTGGTAATACTTGTTGTAAGAATATGGTTTCTAGAATCATTATCAATTAGATATCTCTTTAGCTGGGGAATAAATTGATTATTATTCAATTTACTTTTATTTTTATTAGAGTTATTATTTTTATTGGAATTAAAAAAGTTATTATCGTTTAGAAATGACTGTTTTGATATTTGAATGACTTTCAAAAATGAAACAGATCCTTTGACTTCTTTAAATGTTTTAATGATATTTTTGGTGACGATATCAGAAGCAAAGACCTTTCCTGTAGAGTCACCAGATATAAGAATAGTTGAATCCAATGATAAATCCATATTAGTTATTTTAATTTCATCAGAAGTGTTGGCATCTTCGTCCTTTCCATCATCTAATGTAGTTATCTGATGGCATTTGAATAAATCATTGTCTATTTCCTGTTGTTCTTGATTGTTACTTTCTTGGTCAATTTTATTGTTAGTAATTTGTTGATCATTAATTGGTATATTGATAATTTCGCCATTAGTATTAATTAGAGATTCCAATAAATTATTTTTAAATTTATTGATTTTAAATAGATTTATTTGTCTAATTAGCCCATTATTTAGCCCCAAATAAATAGTTGAAATTAAAGGATCAACAATAATTGAATGAATTGGATTGGGTAAAACAAAAGTTGTCTGCGACTTTAATTTAATTGATTCATTTTGGTTATTATTTAAATTGTTTGTATCGATTAGATTATAAATTCTGCAAGTTGAATCTAGTGAGGTTGTGAAGAGTTTTATGTCATTATTAATTGAATTTTTAGTGATAAATAAGTCTGTTACTGGTAAAGTATGATCGTTTATAATAAAAATTGGTTTTATATTTTGTTTAATATTATTTTTATAAACTGAGACTAAATCAAAAAATTTATAGATATTAATTTTTGAATCGTTTGAACCTGAGATTAAGTAATTGTTATTGGCTGATAGTTTTAGTATTGATATTTGTTGATAATGGGAATTTTGGTTAAAGATCAAATTACCAGATTTCAATTCCCATATATAAATTTTACCAGTTTTGCTTCCACCGATTAAGAATTGGCTATTATAAGCTAATATTAGAGAAGTTAAGATTTCAGGGATTGGGATCCTTTGAATGGGCAAGTGTTTATTTTCATTGTAGACGTATATTAGAGCTTTAGTTCTGCAAGATATTATAAAGTGCAAATTATCTTTGTCATTAATATCATTAATTAAAGCACAGGAGTGATTGAAGGCATTTGCTTGTTTATAGAGAGAGTTTAAAGAGTTTGAATGAATTGAACTGTAGTAAGCTACTGACTCATTTTCATATTTTTCAGTGTCATCGTTTCCACCCAAATAAAAGACGTTTTCATCCATTTTGAATAATAATTGATTTATCGAAAAGTATATATATATTGAAAATATTCAAATAAATATTGAAATTTTCAATGAAAAAAAAATGTAAGTGAAAAATTTCATTTTGCAGCAAGGCCCTTTTTTATTTTTTTTTATTTTTCCAAAACGGGCTGAAGAAAAGGGCCTTGCTGTAATTTGAAATTTTTCATTTTCAAGAGAAAAGAGATGAATAATAACCAAGATAAGAGTAGAGTAGAGTAGGGAAAATGTTGATATTTTGTCCATATTGTTCTAATATGTTGATAGTGGCAGATAACCATGAACACCATATATTCAAGTGCCAAACATGTCCATACGAGTTTCCTATAATTGGGGTTGAGATGTTTGACCGTAAAAAGTTGATACGAAAAGAGGTTGACGATGTGTTAGGAGGAGAAGGATCGTGGGATAATGTTGAGCAAACAAGTGCTCAATGTCCTATAGAGAACTGTGGGAATGATCGAGCGTATTTCTTTCAGTTACAAATTCGAAGTGCAGACGAGCCCATGACATCGTTTTATAAGTGTGTTAAATGTGGGCACCAATGGAGAGAGAATTAGAGATAGGAAAGAAAGCATTTATAAATGAAGATTATATAGGTAGATAAAACTTTTAGATGGAGCTGGGGATGAATGAATCGAAGCTAGAGATTTGAAGGAATCATCGCTTGTTGCTATTGCTAAGATGTTGTTATTTAGATTTAAATCTATTTTTTGAATTGATTGGTTGTTAAATTTTTGTAGCTTTTTCAATCTTTTTTTTAGTAGGTAGTCCCAAATACAGACAAAGCCATCCGAACCAGCTGAGAGTAGGATGTTGTTTAAATTTTTATGGAATAGGATATCGTTAACAGTGTAGATTAGATTTTTTGAGGACAACCTGTGGCATTTGAAAGCGTAGTTGTTGAATTGAGATTTCAAAGAAGGGTTCAAGTATTCTATTGATATCTTTCCATGGATGGAAGATTGGGCAAAACCTTTATTATTGTTCATGAATTTCAAAGCGGTTGATTGGAATTTGAGGCCATTTTCTCTGATTTGTAGAGGTTTTAGAAGGTTTCTTAAGTCGTACAAGTAGATGAGATTGTTTGAGGAGGAAAGTAGCAAGTGTTTTGATTGGGATGAGTAGTCGAATTGGAGGACTTTATTGTCGAAATTTAAGATGTTGTTGTTTTGAGAGTTGTTGTTTCTCAAGTCTATGAATTGAATGGAGTTATCTAGAGAGGAGGAGATTAGTAGGTTTTCATTTTCTACAGATAGTAAGTTTTTGATTGAATTTTTATGATAGTTATTAAATAAGATTGAATTGGAATTTGAGTTAGAGTTAGAGTTAGAATTAGAATTGGAGCTGGAGTTAGAGTTGTTATTGAGGTTAAAATTGAAATTAAAATCAAAGCCTATATTTAAATTTTTAACAAGATCAATTTTATTTATATTACCATAAATATCACCAAAAAAGTAGGAATTGTTATTGAACCAAGCTATATCTATTACTGGAGTGTTAGATTGTGATTTGTATTTGAATATCAAGATATCATCATCATCATCATCATCACCGTCGTCGTCGTCGTCGTCGTCGTCGTTGTCTTTATCAGTGTTGGTATTCGAGTTTGCATTCGTGTTTGTATTATCGTTTTGTTTGTTTAAAAGGTCGTCATATTTGTTTGAATTGTATAGATTAATTGAACCATCCCAGGAGGAGGATAGTAGGTAATTGTTTGATTGATTGAATTTGATGGCAGATATTATATCCCTTTGAGAATGAGGTAATTGAATGAAATTTCTTCTGGGGGTTGAATTTTCGTTATCAAGGTCTGTATTTTGGTTAGCATGACTGTTTATAAAAGACATTTTAGATTAAATGAATACCATATTATATTATATCATATCATATTTTATTTTATTTTATTTTATTTTATTTTATTTTATTTTATTTTATTTTATTTTACTTTATTTTACTTTATTTCATTTGGTATCATTTCAGGTTTATTAAGTCAAATTTAGATCAGCAAAAATCGGTAAACAAAAACAAAAGGACAAACCGAAGAAGTGCACGTTTTGTGCTGTTTATGATTACTTGAATGGGAAATCCGAGGGCAAATACAAGGGAAAGAGAAAGAAAAAGCGGCGATTTTGAGAACCAGTGCAGCGGGTCGCGGGAGACGAGAAAAAAACAAAACTCAAACGAGAAATTGCCGCAGCGGTGCAGTTTAATCGAAAAAGCATGGCGACAGGAAATAAGGAGGAATAAGAGACAAAAGAGGCAATTTGGCAAAGAGGCAGGGATTGCACACTCAAAACCAAGAGGACATAAGAAAATAGAAGAACGAATGGCAATGGAATTTGTATGATGGATAGGTTTAAATTACCTTCTTGCACCTATTCAAGTTTAATCGAGCGACAGTGGGAAGTGACAGAGGTGCGAGTGTGAAGATGGAAATCGAGAATCAGAGCAGACGGCCAATCAACGGCGAGGAAAACCGAGTGAAAAATCCAAGGTAGAGCAGACAACAGAAATAAGATTGCAGTCAATCTGAGACATAGGGTGCTATTTTGGCACTACAGCAGCAGCTGGAGCACAACCAATCACACGCGTGTCAAGATAATCAGACGCGAAGCCACTGCGAAAAAACACGAGCCCAAGAGCGGACGCACCAGCATCAGTGCTCTCGATCGATCTCCGGCGAGTGTCCGCGATCGCGGAGAAAACGCGCAGTGTCCGCGTCTCAGCTGCTGAGCACGCATTGCACCGCAGCGATTGGCGAGCTGGGAGTAGTCTGATGAGATCGATAAGATTGTTGAAAGCGGCAAAGCGCACCCCTGGTCTGAGCAGCACAAACAGCACAAACAGCGGTGGAAGAGGAAGCAGAGGAAGCAGAGGAAGCAGCAGAAAAGAGCGGCTGCTTCTGGTGCGCCACACGCGTGGCTCTGCTGCCGCTGGATTACTGCTTCCAACGAAACACTTTCTGGAGCCTTTTGGAATCTTTCAGAAATCTTTTTGGAATCTTTCAGAAATCTTTTTGGAGCACTTGCAGGGCATTTCTGGAGCATCTTTAGAGCGTTTCTAAAGCACCTCTCTTGTGCTTCTTGTGCTTCTATTGTGTGTTCTCTTAATGCTTCGCTCTAGGTCTTAGATTCTAAGTTTGAATGGATTCAAATGCATCTTTTTCATTGTTTTTTTTTGGCTCTAGCTTATTGAGGGTTTAGATTAACTATTTAGTTTAAAATTTTTCAAAATAATAATAAGAGTATTAATAATTATGTTAATTATTTAATTTTATTTTATTTTGTTTTGTTTTCTTTGACTTGACTTTACTTTACTTGACTGTATTTTAATCTTTTATAACAATCCAATAACCTGAAAATTTTGCACCAAAGATTCAACCACAACTCATTTATATCTCTTGCCATATATATAAAGATACCATATATATAAGTATATAACTACTGTTTTCTCAATTTCTCAACTTCTCAATTCAATCCACTATAATATATGATTATATGAATATATAACCACTCGCAATCCCTCCACCATAGATCTCTAGAAATCTTTATTTATTCCATCTACTGCTTCAATTATTGCTTCGATTACTGCTTCGATTACTGCTTCGATTACTGTTTCGATTTCTCTTCCTTTTATATCTTAATTGATATCTCTGCTTTACTGTCTTCACTCTTCAATTCTATTCACTCAATTGCCTTTATCCTCTTATACTTTTATCCTCTTATACTATAGATCCCATTCTATCAATCTCATTCAGTCTAGATTTAATCTAAATTCTCCATTACCACTACCACCACAACTAATAACAATATAGTCAAAAATGCAAAAGTGTATTGTTTGGGTTTGCCATGTCTGCGAAACAATAAATAAAAGATTTGGAGCTGGTGATAAATATTGTTCAAAATGCGATCACAGAATGTGCTCAATATGTTACTATGAAGTTGAATATGTCAAAGACTGTGATTACATATCTATCTAATCATCCTTTTCTACTTAATCTAATCAATCTAATCGATCGAATCATTTTGATCATAATCATAATCATAATCATAATCATAATCACAATCATAATTATAATTATAATAATCTAATAATCTAATCTAATATCAATAATCATAATTATTAAATCAAAATATCTAATGAAATTAAAAATATTCTTTTTTTTCATAATGCATACTTTTAAATTTTTTTCTTCTCTTTCTCTTTCTCTTTTTCTTTCTTCTCCTTCTTCTCCTTTACTTTTTTTTTTCCTTCTTTTTTTCTTTTGGTTTAACCCTATTTTGCTTTTCATCTTCTGTTTCAAAAGTTTTTTTCTCAACTGAACAAAATTTATCTTATTAATTTAAATTGTGTTATACTGATTTATTAATTTACTTTACAATCAAAAAAAAAAATTTTAAAAAAAATTTTAAAAAAACCCCAACAAAAAATATAAAAAAAAAATAAAAAAAATAAAAAAAAAACATTATAAAATATATCAAATAAGGAATAGAAAAGAATTTTATATCAATAATTTTACATTAATACTTAATATTAATATCAATATTAATATTTTACATTGACTTATCTTAATTTATCTTAATTTATCTTAGTTTAATCTTGATTTATCCTGATTCATCTTGATTTTTTTTATTTTTATTTATTATTAATCCCTTATCATTTTTGTCTCACTTATTTATTTTTCTCTCTTCTCTTCTCTCTCTTTCTCTCTTTTTTGTACTCACTCCTGTATGATATACTATATTAAAATCCCCCATTTTATACTTATATACTTATCTACTTATCTACTGATCGCTATATATTTTTTTTGCCTCTTTGTTTTGATTATATTATTAATTTATGATCTTATTTCAAAAACTGTATTCCTCCTTCCATTAATATACTTTGATATATTCGTCTGAACACTGCACATGATCTCAATTTGTATTTCGTAATTGCTGACTAACTATTATGATTGTGTAATCACTACATTATTATGTAATTGTCTGGCACAGTGGTAAGCACTTTTTTCTTCTTCTTTTGATCTTCAGTTCGATTCCTTTCTAAAAACTTCTTAAAGACCTTGCTCGGCATTTCGATTTACCGAAAATCCGTTTGTGTTTTCCGCGTCTTCCGCTCTCTCCGTGTTCAGATCCACATCTTCATTGCATCGCCAACATATCGTCTTTGGAGAAAAACGCAGCGAAGTCTTCCGCGTGCTCACCAGCATATTCTCTTCCATATCTTTTTAAAATTTTTACAATTATCTCCGTTTGCGCTGCGACGGTACGAAAAAACATTTCCAAACGACGAAAACACACTCTTTCGCTTTTTCTCTCTTTTGCTTTAAATTTGCTCATTTTTACTGCTTTTTTCTTCTTGTTCTCACCCAAATCTTTTTGACTTTTTTTCACTAAACCTTTTTTGAGGTCTCTTTCGGGTCTTGTTTATGTTTCACTATTGTTCCCGAATTGTGCCATCTTCATTCTTGACATTTTCCCCCATTATTTAATTAATTCAACTGTGATTGTTTTATTGTTCCACTATTTCATTGTTTTATTGATTTAGTATCCCACTGTTTCATTGTTTCATTGTTTTATTGTTTTATTATTCCACTATTTCAATTCATACATCTAACTTCTTCACCTCCAACCATCTTTCACACCCAGTTTTAAGATTCTTGATTTCTCGTAGTTGGTCATTTGCTTCTCACTACTATTACCAACCTAATTTATCTTAATTTAATTTAATTTCAAATCTAATTTCTATCTTGAAACAATTGCTTATTCCAATTTTTCCTTGCTAACTATCCCTTAATTAACCTCATAAAAGAAGTTTATTTAACACAATTCCCTCTTGATCTATTTACACAATATATAATCATCTCAAATTACTCTATTTTTTTCTAAAAATTCCAAATCCCAAATTCTATTATAATTATTATAATTATTATTATTATTATTATTATTATCCGAGTTAAAATGTCAAAATTACTCAATCTACTCTCAAATTCTTTGAATAACTCAAAATTAGATTCAAAATTGAAATTCATTGTATTTGGCTCTCCTTCTTCTCACAATCATGCTTCTTCCTCTTCCTCTTCCTCTCCCTCTATCACAAAGATTTCTCAACTAAATGAAATTTCCTTATACACTTTTGATTCCTCAAACTTACTAATCATAAATAACTTTATAATTAAACACTTGCAATTGGTTAACAAAAAAATCGAAAAATTCTTATTAAATAAACTAAAATTCTTCAAAATTATCAACCTATACAATCTAATCCTATTGTTCAACTTCCTACTACAATGTTCTTCAAATGATTTCCTTTCTTTCTGGTCAAAGAACAATTGGCTATTTCATCATTTAAAATTTGTCATCTTAAATACAAACTACATCATTCAGAAAAATGACATATTTACAGTAGATAATATCAATAATATTAATAATACTAAAAACAATAAAAACAATGCCATAATCAAAAAAATTGGCGTTAATGATACCTTGTTACTAAAAATTTTAAGATATTCTTCAAATTTTATAACTCTTTTATCCGATTCAAATCAATTAAACAACTTTAGATTGAATTTCCAAAAATTAAGATCCGAATTCAACAAACCAAATATTAGATCCTCTTTTGATTTAAAAAGAAAACTAAATCACTCTTCCTCCTCCGATAATGATAGCGATGATGATGATTATAATAACAACAATTACAGCAAAGCAAAAGAATCTTCAAATCATAACAAAAACTTCTCCTCCTCCTCTCCAGCTTCAAGATCCTCTAAATCGCTAGATATCAACAGAGCTATCTCCAATCCTTATTCAAACAATCCCTTTGCTTCTCCCAACCATAACCTCTCCACTTTACACGAATTACCAAATGAATCAACCATTGATTTGATCGATCTAACCACAAATCAAGCTGATGTTCTCAGATCAAAGACATTGCCTTATAAGTTTTCTTCTCGTAATAATAACCATCGCTATAATCTCTCAATCAATTCCTCTCCCTTAAAGCCATCAACTATTGATTCGAACCCTTATGCTTTCAATAGCATTAATCACCAAAAGCTCTTAATATGATTTTTTAAACCTGGAAATCTTTCTCTTTTCAAGTATTCACCAATTCTCAACATTTAATTCACTACTTTTTTTGCTTCTCTAGAACCATGCTTTACTCTGTTTTGGTCTCATACAATGCTTTTTTAATTAAGTTTTCTCTGCTTTATCATATTCTCTAATTATGATTAAATAAGATAAACTTAGTTGCATAATAGCATATCGTTCTTTTAATGTTTAATTTTTGTTTTTTTACTTTATTCACTTATTTTTTGGTTTTTTTTTGATATTTTTTTTACTTCTTTTGGTATACTTTCTACTATGGTTATTCAAATCTGTTAATGACTTTTTAATCTAATTAACTTTTAATTTTTATCAATTGTCTGGGTTTGATTTAATTTATTATCCCTCTTTCGTTTTTTTGTTATGTTTTAAAGCTACTATGATATTTTGTAGCTTAATTTATATAATAATATTAATAATACATATATTTAATTCTTTTTTTCTTTTTTTTTGCAAAAGAAATATCAAATAATGATTAACTATATATTAAAGACTAACATAAAATCATGACACAAAAAAAAACTGTTAAAAATCATAAAATATAACCAGCATCATCCTTTTTTGGCTTTTTGAATTTGCTTTCCTTTATCCAATTGTTTAATTTTTAACTTTCTTATCAGTTAAATTCTCTAATGAAGTATCAGCAACTCGTTTATTACTTTCTTTACTGATCTCTGAAATGTTTGATAGCTGGGGCTTGATTGCTATATTATTTATAATCTGCTGTTGGCTTTCATCAACCACAAATGGAAATTGAATTTCTGGTTTAACTAAAACAGGCCTTATAAACTGCTGGACAATACTCTCAATTGAACTTGTATTCTCAATCATATTAACTTGTTCTTCAGAATTATTAACAACCTTTTTTGTATTTACAAGTTCTAAATCAATATTTTTCTCTTCTTTTTCAATTTCAATTTCAATCTCTTCATAGTTTAGTTGGTCAACAACAATTTCTTCTCTCACAAATTTTTCAGTTCCAGTAACCACATTCTCATTTTGTTTTTCAATTTCAATTAATAATTCATCGCCTGTTGCTGGATGATCCAACATGGGCTTTTTAACCTCTATTATTGAATCTTGTAAACCTGGGGTTTCAACTACCATTACCAAATCATCGGCTGCATCAGTTGACCTTATTGAATTTTCTGGTGCAGTCATTTCAACCTCAATATCCCGTGTGTTTTCTGTTAACTCATTAGAAATAGGCTCTTGGTCTGTTGAATCTTTCAGTATAGTTGTTTCGACTTTACTTATTTCAATTATGGGCTGAATAGAGTCATCAACAGCATCCAACTGAGACCCCAATAGTTTTTTATCCACTTCAGTTTTCAGATCAGAAACATTCAAAATAGTGTTTTCAACCTCATCTTTATCAGATTTGGTTTCGGATTTGGCTTCAGATTTGGCTTCAGATTTTGCTTCGGATTTTTCCTCGTTTGAGATATTCTCTTTAATTCTATTATTTTCAATCTTCAGCGAAGAATCAAGCCCATTATTAGAAATAACCTTAACGGTTTTACTATTATCTTTACTTATTGTATTCAACGTGTGATTTTCAATAACGCCATTTTCAAGCTTCTCTATCTCATCTTTACTATCAATAATAATATTTTTTGTTTGTTCTTTATTATTTTTTTCATCGAACTTAGGCTCTACATTCAATCGCTCTTTCTCAAGCTTAATTGTCTTAATAATAGTTTCAAGATCTTTTACCTTGGTTTCTAATTCGTCTTTTTCAGTTTCGCACGTCGACAACTGAGATTTCAATCGTTGAACTTGTTTTTCAAGTAACTTTGTTTTAAAATTAAACTGCTGGGTGGCGGCAGCTTTACCATCTTCAAATGACTTTTTAATTTTTTGCTGGTTTGCAGTTTGTAATTGAATAGCATTATTCAATTTGTCCTTTTCGTGAGCAGAATTTTGTTCTTCGATTAATCTTTCATGCTGCAAAAGTTGCTGACTAAGTTTATCTTGAGTTTCCTTTTCAAGCTTAGAAAATGATAATTTAAATTCATTTTCAATCTCTTCTCTGACTTTTGGTTCAAATTCCTTTTTAAACTTTTGAACTTTAACATTTGTCATCCGTTCTAATTTTTCTTCAGAAGGAGCTCTAATACTCTTTTCAAATGCTTTTCGGGCTGCAGATATTTCTTTCTTAATTCTTTCAATAATTTTAGGTTCACATTCCACCTCCCATTCTTTTTTAAGACTCTCAAGTTTATCTGCAGAAATATTGGCAGACCCAGCTACATTGTGGATTTTTTGCTTTTCAAGATATTCAGATATTTTTTTTACATCGCTTTGTAATGAATTGATCTCTTTTAAAAATTCCTCTTTTGGAATTTTTGAAAAAAAGTCATTGGAAAGTTTCTCAATAAGTTGCTTGATTAATTCAGCTAACTGGCTATTGTTATTTTCTTGGAGATTTTTAGGAATTTCAAGTGATTTTTTTTGAAGTTCTAAAGAGTTTATCTGTTCATCTTTAGATTGTAGTACGCCGGTTAAACTGTTTATTTGATCAGTTTTTAAAGAAATAACACTGTTTGATTGAGTGTATAAATCTTTGTATTTTTTCTCCCAAGAAGATATTTTTTCTTCAAGTTCTTGAACTTTTGTATTATTATTAATTTTTGTTTGATTTTGTAAATGGACATTAGTTGAATTGTTATGACTGTCAATTGTTTTCGTTAATTTAGTTTGAATATCTAATATTTCTTGTTTAGATAACTCAATTTCTTGTTTTTTCGATTCAACTTCAAACTTCAAATTATCATTAGTTCTTTGTAAACCTTCAATTTTTTCATTTAATTTTTTTAATTCATTATTCAATTGTCTGATTTTGGTTTCAAATTCTTTTTGTTCTTTTTGTAAACTTTGATTTTTCTCTTTCAATAAACCAATTTCCATTAATGATTTATTGTGGTCTAACTCTAATTGAGCATCATTTTGATTATTATTATAAGCTTTTTTCAATTTATCCTCATATAATTCTAGTCGAGAATTTAGTGAATCAATTATTTTGTTAGCAGAGCCTAGTTCTTTGGAAATTGTTGATAATTCATTTTCTTTTTCTTCTTTTTCTATCTTCAAGTATGTAATTATTTCATCTTTATCATCAAAAGCATTAAGATCATCATCAATAAAATCTGGATCTTTAATTGGTTGGTTACTAGAGTCAAACTTTGAACTTATTGGATTATTTTTGAAATTTTTGGAATATAAATTATTTTCATTATTTTTATTATTATTTTGAATAAAATCTTCAAGTTCCAAGAAGTTCTCATCAAAATCATTCATTGATTTATTTGATTCTTTTATTTCATTTATATCAATTTCATTATTGATTTCAAAATGTTCTAAAATTTGAGTTTGTTGTTCAACTAAATATTTTATCTTTGAGATTATTTTATCTGAGTTATCAAATAAGAGATTATTTTTATTATTCATAGAATTTTCAAGATTAGATACTTCTGAATTTAATAATTGAACAAATTGGGCTACATGATTGAAGCAATTTTTCAAATTGACTAAATCATTTGAGTATTTCAATTTTTGAGAATTTAAATCGATGATTTCTTTGTTTTTAATTCCAAGCAAGTCATTATTTCCAAGTAATTTTTCATATAATTGATTAATTTTTGAGTTTTGATTATTATTTGAAGATAGTAATTGATTATTCTTTTCTTGAAATAGGTGAATTTCATCTTGAAGAGTTTTGTTTGATTCTTGCAAATTGTTTACTAATTGGTTTAATTCATTAACTTTTGAGAAATTTTGAATTTTTATTTCGTCTAGATTTTTCTGTAAATCTGAATTTTGAGTTTCTAAAGATGATACAGTATGTTGTAAAAATTTATATTCATCTGAATTTTCAATTTGCTTTTTAGATAATAAGAAGTTATTATTTGAAATTATTAATTTCTGTTTTTCAAGTTCATCTTTTAAAGAGTCATTTTCATTTTGCAAACTATTGATAGCAGTATTAGCTTCAGTAATTGTTGAATCTTGAAATAAAGTTAAATTTTTTCTAGTTTTATTATTAATTTCTAATTCTAAAGATAGATCTCTTGCTACTCTAATTAATTGAGAGTTTAATAGCTGAAGAGTTGGGATATTTTCAAAGATGACTAACTTTTGAGAGATTACTTCATCATAATCATTTTGAAAAAAGTTGTTATTGTTATTATTATTATTATTATTATCATTATTTAAAGAAGAAATATTGGGATTTTCATTCAAGTTATTTAAATAATCAAATTGGTGATTATTTATAGCTAATTGTATTTTGTTTAAGAAATTATGTGATAGGTTGTTTTTTTCAAGAATTCGATTAAGATATTGGGTATCTGAATCATTTAGTGGGTCGATATTGTCGTTGTTTTTGATTGATAATTGGATTAAAAAAAACTGGACTTGTTTTGATAGATCTAGGTTTTGTTTTAAAAGAGAGAGTTTTTCTCTCAGAGTATCATTTATGGATACTTTTAAGGAAGCGATTTTTGATAGTAGGTTATCAATTTTTGATTTATTTGTCACTATTTCGTTATCCATTTCAAAGAGCTGAGTTTTTAGTAATTTATTTTGAGTGTTTGTTGATTTGATTATAGGAAAGTTTTGATCTAAAGTTTTGGCAAAAATGTCTAGTTGATCTTGTAGATTTTTTTTGAGGTTTGATTCTTTCATTAATTTTTTTTCCAAGATTTGGATTTGGATTGATTGATTTTGGTTATGATTTGGATTAGTGATTAAAGTGGAGGTATCTTGAATTGAGTTGGGGATGTTTTTGTTGAAAGATTCGATAGTTTTGGATAATTGTTCAATTTTTGCATCTTTTGAAGATATGGTAGCATTTAAAGAATTGGTTAAGTTTTTGGATAATAGAACTTGATGTTGAACATTTGATACGTATAAATCATGATTAAAAGTGATTGATTTGAGATTTAGATCGCTTATGGATAACTGTTTTTTTAGATTTATATTTTGTTGGGTTAGGTTTGAGATTTTGTCATTTAAATCTAGGATTTCTTCATTTAATTGATTTAGGTTATTGTTTAGGGAAATGAATTGAGAAGATTTGATTTTTTTAAAGTTTAATAGACTGGCGATTTCAGTGTTTAAGCTTTTGATGGTGTTATTGTTGT